CCCTAACCCTTAACCCTAAACCCTTAACCCTAACCCTAACCCTAACCCTAACCCTAACCCTAAACCCTAACCCAAACCCTAACCCTAACCCTAAACCCTAAACCCTAAACCCATCTCCAGCTGTTGCCTCTGATAATTGCATCAAGATATTGCACCATCTTTCATCATTAACATGTGCTATCAGCCCAGGAGGGACAGGGCCGAAGAATGTTATCAATCGGCTTAAGATCTCCAGCTCAGGTTCAACTCCCGCTTCCCTTAGCTCTTTGAAGTCCGGATGTAGGGTTTCCATGCCGGTTAGCACGTAGAGGCACTGAGAGTAATATTAAGCAGGCACCCTTCTAACAGGGAATAGCACAACTTACAAGAAGTCCATAAGAAAATACATCTGAAGGCTTACCAATACCCTTCCCTATTTGCGCCTCTGGACTGCGCCACATGACGTTTCCTACTCTAGCATTGAGGAGCTTTTCGCCTTCAAGTTCCAAAGAACAGTCCAGATCGGATAATGCCACTCTTTCTATTTCAAGTTGGCCTTTGTTGTTTTCACTACAGTCGATCATAACATTGTCAGGCTTTATGTCTAGATGAGGCTTGGGTCAGTGTGGATTTGACAGAGCGATATTTCATTGTCTTGCATCTAACCTAAGTGTATCCAGTTTTTAGCGTGGAGCCTCTCCACTGCCTGTCCGACTTGTCGTAATATGGACTTCCTTGCTCCTAGAGGAAGATTTGAGTTGTTCTGCACTAGGGAAAGCAGGTCGTGCTTGAAGTATTCATAGACAAGGATGTGCTCATTTTCATTGATGTCAATATGTTTTTGAAGTTGACAAGTGTCTGGAAACTCCCTTTTGAGGGTAACGGAATGTTTGAATATTGACTCAGAAACAGGCTTCAAAACAAAAGGTCGGCTCTCACAACTAAGATCCGATACTACCTAATTAGTAGAGAGTTTGGGAATACTCATAAGATGATTCGAGAAGTTAAGACTTACTGCGCGAGGTATATATTCAGCTCTGGTCTCCTTGGATGACCTTTGAGTATCTTATCACGCACATAAACACAACCCGAGGCACCAACAAGTGTTGAGGACATCCTGATTCCAATCCCCCTTAACTTGTCAAGATGGGCAAAAAGAGCATATGAATGAGGTTTAATTCTCAAAGGGTAGCAGTACCACATGACAGCGAGCACTTTCCACTGAGCTTTGAATGTTGGATGATTGAACCTTTTGGAGATTTCGCTAAGGGGCTAACAGCATTAAGGGATTAGCCAGAAGACACTTTTAGTGGAGTCTTCCACATGACATAATCCTCACCAGTCACCACTACTTCTTACCCCCACTTCTCACCCCCACTTCTCACCACTCACTGCTCACCACTACTTCTTACCCCCACTTTTCACCCCCACTTCTCACCACTCACTGCTCACCACTCACTGCTCACCACTCACTGCTCACCACCACTGCTCACCATCACTGCTCACCATCACTGCTCACCACTGCTTCTTAGGATTAATCCTCACCCTTATTTCTCTTCATGATTTTGTCAGTATCACTGAATGAGGGTATAAATTGGTGTATATGCAGCGGAGATCATGGCTTCTACCAGTAAAATCAAGTCTACACTGAACAAGTTACTTTACTGCTTCATTTTGTTTGATTCTGTTTAGCCTACATAATGTCTTACAACCAAGTTTTCAAAAGTTCATTTATCAAGAACATTATCAAAAACAGGAAAACCTTATCCGTCAAGTACGCGACCAAAACTTCAGCCTGGAGGCGCACCCAGCTAGGGAAGAGCATTCAGGAGAATTTCAGCCAGGCAATAGAGAAGAGTGATGTGCCTGCCAATGCTGCCAAGGCTATCTTAGCGTGAGTGATATATATTATAGGTGGCTGTGTATGCCAAATGCTGACAAAAGCTTTAAATTAGTGAAACAGAACACTCAAGTGATAATGACAACCATGATCACTTTACTACTGTCGTTCAAGATGATAATGACAATCATATCACCACTAAGCATATTTATCATCAAGCCTAGTCGTGGAAGCGGATGGATGCATAGATTTCCCTTGGGATTGCCTGGTGCGGAGGGTTATTACATAGATATCTGGTTTCTGGGCTGTGATGTCATCCTTGATTATTACTAGTTTTCTTAGTTATAGGTATTGCACAGTGGTCATAGTATAGCCCTAATACTTTTACCTTCTGGTGATTCCATGTTAATATAACCAACCCCTTAATCACCATGTTCAGGGTTTTATATTGCAGCCACTTAAAAATATAGAATGGTAGTTATATGAAATCATACTCTGCCCTTTAATTCATGCTGAAAAGTTAAGTTGCATTCTTGCTCACGCCTTAGAAGAACTACTTATGGCTGACTAGTGGCTGATACTATTGTAAGGATCTCTAAGAGAGAGAGATGCCTTAGCTACCCAGTGCGCTACTATATAGGTCTGGATCCGCGAGTTGTCTGGCAACTCGCGGTAATGTTGGTCTTTTGGCCTTATGGTCTGTTAGAATCCAGCTAGCATTCTTATAACTATCTAATCTTGATATCAAGGCGGCCAGTGCAGTCCATAATAAATATAAAATCCAACACTACATTAGATGTCTTGAGATTTGCTAGCTACAAAAATGATCTTTATTGATTATCCATCATATGCTTAGAAACCCTGGAGTAGAGTGAATGTGTGAAGAAAGCAATCTTTGTCTTAGGATTAATACTGGTTGCTTTTTCACTTTCATTGAAAAAGAAAATCAAGGATGATGGAGCAGGTATATAACAAGCCTAGTCCTATTATATATAATTATACAATATCAATGTTTATAAACAGCCCAATACATGTTCACCTTGACCTTGCTATCAAGGATTTTTGATCTGCAAGACACACCCCACAATGATCTGTATTGCCGGATGTCTACTAACAAAAGTCAACATCATAAACCCAAGGTTGCAAAGTCGCCAAATCGCATTTAGATGTTCCTAGCGGCTGCATTTGTTCAAAAAAGTAATCAATTGGATGGCCAGGAACAGTATTTTGCATGGGGTGGTCTGTATCAAACACAATGACATCAAAATCAGAATTACGAGCCATAGGCTGCTGGGTTCGCACACTAAGTTGCAATGATTGAAGACGCTCATTCTCAAAATTTAGCAGGATCCCGACTAGCAAGTGGTCCAAGACACAGAGCTCATCATAATTTACCACCAACGATTCGTCCAGGCTTTGTGGAGAATGCCACCACGAATTGTCAATAGATGGCTGTGGTTCCTGCTCAGTACCCTCGCCGGCCCTGGGATAAAATATGGATATCCAAGCATTTCTCATCGTTATTATATCAAGGGCTGCAGCCGCCTCTTCACTTGAGATGGTTAGGTTATGACCTGGTGGAGTGTTAACTGCAACGCTTGGAATTTTTGAGGAATTTTTTTAAATACCAGTGGCATGATCAGCATTTGTACCTTGAGTGAGGTCCTGCGTCAATCTTAAGTCCATTAGAATCTCATTTGTCTGACCCTCTTTGTGTTTTAATCGCAAGCCCTCTCTGTTCTCATTGTGATCCATTGCACGCTCCTGTCGTGGTGTAGTCCTCTTGAGCTTCTGTCTTAGTACTCTATCCATATCTATTGCAACTCTCTTTTCTCTCTATTTAGCTCTTGAAGCAAACACTGCTGTCTAGAAGTGGTATGGTCAAGCCCGTCAAACTTTTTCCGACATGATTTATCCTAGTGTCTTATTAGGGACCCCAAGGTGTTCTTAAGTGTTTGGCAGTTCAGACAACAAAGTCTTTCTGTCTTTGTGTAGACCGAATCTAATGCTTTAAGTTAGATAGGCCACTTCTATTCTGCTGTTTTCTCTTACGGTCAAAATAGTGCCGTAGCAGATTATACTTTGACGTATACTGCTTAATGTGGGCACAATTTGGAAACGGGCAAACATATCGGATTTCAATATCGAATTCGTCCACGCTGGACTCTGGGTCAGTCGATTGTGCCAACTGCCCTTTGCTTTCCGGAGACAACGCCATTTCTTTATATAGGTGGTCATAATGCAGATGTTGGATGAGCCCTCCTGGGCCTTCGCAGTGCTCGAAGCAATTCGGGCAGTCCCAGACCACCATTGTAGTGGTACTTGAAAAGTCACTGCTGTATGAAAGAGACAAGGAAAAATGATTGATACTCTGCTTGGTAGGTGCAGGGAGTAGACCTCTTTTTAATCACGCCTACCCCATCTCTGCGCTTAAAAAGCTCAAATTGATTGGGCATTAGGTCCCTGACCTGGCAAGTCACAGTTCTCAGTGCTTCACTTCCTGCCTTAGCTTATTTTTGAGCCGCTTCATTTGCTTTGATTGCACCCATCCACTATTAGGTGAGATAAGGTGTTTGTTTATATGCAATAAATATCATATATACATTTCCTATAATCAAAATTAATCAATGCAACCTTCGACATCCCCTAGTAGTCCAGCCCTTACCCCCCCTCCTGGGCAACATAGTAAAAGAACAGTTGACAGAAGGGGGGAAGGACGGGGTAACCCATACACCCCCCCCCCCCCCCAACCAAAAGAAATCATCAAATCTTCATATTTTTGGATGATCATAATGAATTTATGAATCTAACTCATGGAATTACGAGATTCTAGATATCTAGACAAGAAGTGAGGTCTAGTTACCTAGAAGGGGGTCAGATAGGGGGGGGACAGGGCCTGCCGATTCTTTTTTGATGGGGGATGCCAAGACCAGAATCTGCGGGAGGCCTATCCCCCTTTTGGCCACCACCTTTGATAAGATAAGATGACTGATGCCTGAGGCATCTCTATTGACTTGTTACTGAAATTTTTTGAACCCCATCACTCCTAATGGCCAGGGGTTTGCGGGGTGGGGCAGCTTGAATCCCTTTAGCCCGGCCCGGCCCGGCCCGCGGGTCAGATCTCTGGTTATTCAACTGGATTCCTGGCGTGTTGGCTGTGTTTCGCCGGTGGGGTTAGACAAGACCACCTGGACCCAGAAGTCCTTCTACAGAATGATATAATATAATATGAGGAGCCAAACCCGTCAGCAAATAGGATGTATCTTGAAATCATCCTCAGCATTAACATTGTCACTTGAATACCGCTCAATAATATCAGTGTCTTTAGAGAGAGAGCGTCGACCTTCGGCAGGACTGAGTCCGAAAATCAACCCTTGTGCGGCTTAAGCCAAGTAGCTCTCAGGAATGAGAAATTTGTAATAGCCTTTTGACAGCATTCTTTACCATAGTAACATGTCATCATCCCCCTGTGACCTGTATAGCATCTGCTAATTGCTCAAGCTTTGATGTTACATCCAAGTGGACCCAGTAGTAAAGAATGAGTATCCCCGAGGAAATTGTTCTCTCCATTACCTACCAATGGGCTGTTATTGATGCTCATGTCGGCGGAGAGATCCTTAATGGTTATTTGCTTCCTCAAGTTCTGAGAATCACGCAGAACAGAACCCCTGACCTCGCTTCTCAGGTGGCTTTCCTAGACATAGAGGACCCACTAACCGCTCAGGAATGTAGTTACCAACTAGCTTACCTTGACTACTCAGCAGGCCATCCACTGACATAAAGTCACCATGGCTGTGTAGGGAGATCCTTTGTCCTTGGTCTTCTTTCCCTCCTAAACTCCGTGATTTTTGTACCTACATCATGGCTTATAAGATAGGTGGTATGTCGCAAAGACCCCGTTGCAGTGCTAAGCAACCAGACATGCATCAAGTCCCCGGGACTTTAATTCCTCTAACAAGAACTCCTCCAGAATGCAGCTCCTCTTATATGCCCACCAACATCTTTCTGGTGCCAACAAGATACGTGCCGCGCGATAAAAGTGAAAGAGGAAGACAAGGGCCCGCGAATCTCCGTTCATCATCAACTTCGTGAAGGGCCCGCTACAGAGAATTGGGAACCCATAAAATAGCTGCTCAATATCTGCCTCATGCGGTATGGCATCCTGGTTTGACAATGCAAGAGATGCACAGCAGAAGAGAGGTGACATGCGGCGTATGATGTTTTCAAAATTTGAGTGAGATGACTGTGATGACAGTGTGACTGATGCATCAGGGTGGTCAACGGGGGTCTGATTAGTAGTAATTCTTGTGACTGCATCCTTAAGATGCGCTAGTTTCTTCTTCTCATCATGCCCTTCTGGAATTAACGCCGCTGTGCATGGTAAAGATCTACCTAATAATGACAGTTCTGTCTCCAGCCCAAGAAGAAGACGCCAAGCGTAAGATGTAGGTCCAGGAGCTGTCATCTTGATAGCCGTGGAACCACAAGTCTGATAGCGCGGGTCATCCCAAATCTTCATGAGAAACTCTACGAAGCGTGTTGGGTCTTCGTTTCTTTGGATCAGAGCCTGCTCAATGTTGAGCCTCGGATTTCGATGGATAATCTGAGTAAAGACGCTTCCCTTGTTAATGAACAAGGGAATTGCTTGCAACCACACCTGGACGATACCGGGGCTGATGAGAAATAGCTGATCCTTAGAGAGATCCAGCCTGGCTGCGGAGTTTGCATCCAGGAAGCCGAGGTCGCACCATAATATATAGTTAAGAAGAAGGGCTGTTCCCATCAGGGCCTCGCAATTATCTTTTGTCAGAGGGTATGATAGGCTTTTGCGAAAGAGGTGAACCGTCTTGGCCATTAGCTGCAGTGACGCATGCGAGTATTTGGTGGTCTGCGGACAGAGGGTTGCAAGGTGCATAGCGCCAATACATAAGATAGCAGACATGATAAACTCTTCCTAGAGGAGATTAGTACTAAGGTTTATTAGCCTAGATAAGGATGATAGACGTACATCAAAAGCCCGTTGCATGATGACGGGCCAGACTTCGGGAAATGTGAGCGTTGATCGGGTTTCTTTATCCCAGTGATGAAATAACTCCAGATGCAAGAGGCTGATCTGAGGATTCTTGTTTGACATGAAGTATGCACTGGGTGTGGAGAGGCTTGGAGCAATGATATTTTGATGGAATGGCTGTAGACATTGAATGTTGCGCTTGATGCAGCTGGAACATGGAAGTCTCTCATCACACTGGTTCATTAGCTGCAGTATTGATATTCATTATAGTGAAATCAGACTGACATACCTTGACTCTCCGCTGTTTGCATGCAACGCACCCTCGCCGGCTTTTGCAGTGGGGTCGCTTCTTGCGCGGCTGGTCCGGGATTCCGAGAGTCCGTAGTGTGGGGGTTTGACCCTCCTCCCATGGTAGTAGGATGGTGTGGGTGAAAAGCACAGGCGCTGGATTTGTGGACATCGAAACTGAGTTAGTAGGCATAGGACGTGTGTGAGAATGAGGTCGTAGCAAGTTCAAGAATGGGAACGGAGAACTATCTTATGGAGTACTCAGCCACCAAATGGAAACAAACAGTGGGGCTGAACTGCATCAGCCCTCGGATTACCGATTGGGAATACGCCGCCCAATCACTTTCCTCATTATGAGAAAAAGGTAACTCAACCTAGCCTTAACTAGCTAGAAGATAAAATGTTCGGTGAACAAAGTAACAATTAAATGAGGTCAGCAAGTGCAATAACCTCATTGCAACCAACTGGCGCCTTGGAATTGAGCAAAAGGCAATGCGTCATCGTAGGGTAGAAGTTGCCTTGATGAGCACCGGAATGTCAGTATCGGCTTGATATTTACATGTATTAATAGTCTCCACATAAGCTACTACTCGTCTATATAAGGCTCCCTGTCGGCCTCATCTTCAAGGTGGGATCCATCCTCTATCAACATCCCTTGACATCTCTTGTAGAGGGGGAAAAATGTCTTCATCTTCAATTCCTCCAGGAGGTCTGATTCTCGTTACCGGCGCCAATGGCTATGTCGCCAGCGTTGCCATCCAAGTTTTCCTGCAGCGCGGCTACTGTGTCCGTGGTACTGTCCGCTCTCTCGCATCCAATGCTTGGATGAAAACATACTTCGGTCCAAAGTTCGAACTTGTTGAGGTACCCGATATCTATGCCCCCGATGCCTTCCAACGGTCTCTTAAAGGCGTGGACGGGGTCGCCCACATCGCTATGAACATGGATATGAACCCACGAAACCATGCGATCATTGAGCAAACTGTCCAATCAAATCTCCAGCTCCTGGAAGCTGCTGCATTAGAACCAAGCATCAAGAGCGTTGTCATAACCTCGTCCCTGGCTGCGTGCGCGCTCCCGACAACTGGTACGCCGTACCGGATTGACTCGACTACCTGGAATACAGCAGCCATTGAACAAACGTCCCAGCCGTGGAACAGCGAGGACAACCCCCGTTTGTATGGAATTATGCTCTACGGAGCCTCTAAGGCACGTAGCGAGCAGGAAGCATTCGCATGGGTGCGCGAGCACATGCCAGTCTTCTCCTTCAACACAGTCGTGCCTACCGTGAACTTTGGCACAGCTGTATCCCCTGAGAACATGAGCTATCGCAGCACCTCAGCAGTTCTCGATGCCATTGCCAAGGGCTACCCAGCTGCACCGTCAGTTTTACCATCACAGTGGTATGTTGATGTCGAGGATACAGCATTGCTGCTCTTGGGAGCCTTGACACTTGAAGATGTGAGAAATGAGCGTTTGCTAGCCTTTGCAGGCAGGTACACGTGGTCGCAGATCCTTGAGATCTTGCACAGACGATACCCACGGCAGATCATGTTCAAACCCATTGACGAATCCGTCGTGGATGCCGGCGAAGTGGATAATGAGCGCAGCATTGAAGTGTTGAAGAAGATGGGTAAGCAGGGAGGGTTTACCTCATTGGAGGATACCCTTGTTAAGGCCCTGGATACTATCTTCGAGAACCAGTCCAAGGATGTGCCTAAGACGAGAATAGATCTCTATTACCAGTCTATCGCTGGAAATGCAGCCGATGATAGTTGAAGGCTAAGAGGTAGATAAGCCATCATCCATCTTATATTCGAAGCCAAAATATCAAGTGGTCTATCTTCCAAGTCTATAAAGAATATCAGTAAATGCTCTTTAATCCAAAAAGCTAACAGCTAATGAATTATTCTACACACACAATGTTCAGCGATTGTATCCAGGGGGGATAACTAATGATCCAAGATTTTGTTTTCTAAAATACCCCTCTTGCCAAAGCGAAACAAAACACCATCATCATTTGTTTTTGATTTAGAGCATACCGAAAGTTCTTCTAACACTTTAAATTCGTAGAGATTACCATTTTCTTGCACTTCTCAACTCATCCTTGATACATCTAGCTCAAACCGTTCTGTAGGATGTAAAGTCCTAGACGTCAGTTGAGGGCTGGCTGATAACTCTGCCTTCTCATAATTGAATGATCGACTTCTCACGGCCGGCAGCTCAGCCCGCTGTCCATCGTTACCGGAATTCCCAGTCACCGAACAAGAGAAATGTTGCTTGGCAACAAGTCCGCGCTGCTGGTGTCTTCGTCGTCGGAACCATAGTAAACCCAGCCCAAGAGCCATTGCTAAAACTACACCAGCAGCAATACCCAGTCCCATCCCCACTTTTGTACCGGTGTTAAGACTGGACGAGGTTCCTGCGGGACTTTGTGTCTCAGCTGGCGGCGGTTGTGTGCTGGTGACGGCCCCAGTGGCTGCTGGGGCGCTAAAATCAGTTGATTGCCATCGAATCTACACACCATAAGCATTAATCGAGCCTGGGCTGGTCATAGAGCCCGCTCTAACTGTCTCCCATTCATCCGTACCGGTCTGAGTATAAAGATACTCGGTTATCACGCCCGCTGACGGTTGCCAAGCACAGACTTCAGTAGCCCACCAGAGTTCCGATGTTGTGGCACTCGCTCGTAGGGAATATGTATTTGATGCGGCTCTAGGGGAATCAAATGGAAGTCATTAGGTGAACCATATTGAATTTTTGAGGGTTCAATTCCAGTTGGACTTACACAGGACAACATGTTGCGACTGTCTCTGTCAGTACTCCTGAATGTATCTCCAATGCGGTCGCTATGACATAGCCACTTGGGCAGATTCCAGGAGAAAAATAAGTAGACGGTGCCCACCCAGATGGGAGACATTTCGCTACATTGATGGGGCCCAGATTCATCCAGGTGTACCCGGCGCTTTTAGCAGCCCATAGATCTTCAATGCACTCTTTGGGCGGCGTAAATGTGGGTACGGGGAAGGTGGGCAGTTGTAGTGGCCAGCATTATGGATTATATACTTGCAACGTGGAATTGAAAATCACAGCCGAGAAGATTAAGACGACAGCTTGGAATTCATCACAATAGGGAGCTGGCAAGAGATGATAATAATAGCGTAGGCACATTGAGTTAGAAGAGGGGTCATATAGAAATACAAGGCTGAATCAATATATGATATGGACTGACAAATTTGGACGCCCCAGGGTCTGACTGACCTGACCTATTACCTTCCTCTCCAAATGAGATACTAGATAGCAGATCCTACGCAGATATACAGCATGTTGAGCTCCTTATTCTGCCTGGTTGGGCGAATAAGTTTGTTTCGAGGAGGTGAGCAGAATAAGGCTGCTCTATGATGATCCACCGCAAGAGAATTTTCTGATGAGCCCGAAAGGCATCACAACAGCGGCATTATTAACAAAATATTAAAGGCAGTGTTCGCGAGTCGTTCATGATCGTTGTTTGAGTATGGGAATGGCAGTTACATGCCTACGTTGATGAATTCTGCTCAAAATCAAGTCTGAGGCCCGAATTGTACGACAAGCCAATCAGTGAGACATTTCCGCATCGAGACAAGAAAGCAGGGGGCTTCTTTCTCATCACACTGGCTCCACGTTCAGCGCGCAGTCGTTTTGTGTAGATACACACGGTCAAGGAGCTTGTATCCCGCATGGTGCGCGGTTATCTCAGAATTCTGAATGGTCAGCGAAGTTGTGCCTCGATAAAATTAATTGTCCGATGTACCTCAACCTTCCCGTTTCTCATATGAGGACTTGGTTATGTGTCAGTTTAACGCTGCGTAACATTGATCAGCGGACTAGGCGCCCATAATTCCCTCTTCATCGGTAGATCCTAATAGGGGCACCACAGATCTGTCTCTATCGCTGATTAGACTGGCGTCCTCTGCCTCATCTAAGACGAGCAGGGTGATAAAAGCCAACGGGATAAATGCAGAAAAGGATGGGGCCATACTCCATAGTGATGTATACATCAAATTGTAGCCTTGAGCCTGTGTTGGCGCCTAGAGGTACCATCATTGTCCCAAAAAAACTGACGGTACCTCATTTTTGAATATCTAAGGAAGGATTTGTCTAGTCCCGCAAGCCTAAGAAGATGCAAACTCTCTCTTTCTCTTCTTTCTTATTTAATTTGCACTAAGCGACGGAGAGCACGCTCCTGATTACTCAATTACTCAGGGCGGGCCTGCTGCATCAGGCAGGTGTCTTGGATCGCTCATGGTCCCGTTCTAGCTGAAGTGAGGAAAGATGGTCGTCCAACTCAGACCTGAGTAGACGTCAGCTGGCATCGCCCGAAAGCAATAAAACACCAGGAACAGAATCCCAACCCGGGCAACGAAATAGCTCAAAAACAGGATAATTCCAAAGACCCAGAAGCAACAGTTAGGCGGCTTCTCTGTACAACAACATATCGCACAATATAGGGCACAGCACCCCACGTCATCTGTACCGTGCGCATCTTTCAATTTTGACCTCACCCAAAATCCGAACATTGGGAGTACAGAAGACGTCAGCATCATTAGTCCAAATACTCTCCACATTGTCCTTGCCATTGGGGTAGGGAATTCCCAATTCCAGGCAATCAAATGTAATCCGGCAAAGATGAAAGCCGTTAAATAGAATGACACCGCGACTGACAGAGGGGACAGCTTTTGGGTCAGGGGAGGGTGTTCGGCGGAGCTGCTAAACATCTCCAAGAACCCGTCGGCTGCCATAAAACTGAGCTGATGGAAGCTTGGGTCTTCATTCTCTTCCAATAAAAATCTATATCTCTTCTTAATGACTTCTCGCATCTGTTTGGCCTTTTCTGGCGGGCAGAAGAGGATTGTTGGGGTCTGTACGTCAAATGGTTTATCCCACCAGAACCAGTACATGATGAGAGCACAAAATATAAAGGCAAGAGTGGTCAGTTCAAGCTCAGTAATTGGGAGTCCTGCGCAAGCACGGGCAATGCTTTGGATCACAAGCCAGGCACATTGGAGGAGCGCGAAAAATTTGGTAAACGAGTCTGATTTCGACCGGTCCTGGATATCATCAATGGTGGTAATGGGAAGAGCCCTGTTCTTGATGTCGGATGCTTTGGTGGCAGGGAATATACCAAGTTCTTCGAGTTGCACTAGAGAACGCGCAAAATGAAACATTCACAGGCCGGTCAGAGAACCATTTGAGCTGTGGGCGGTGATCGGGCTGTTCACTCACCGAGATCGTTTCCCTCCAGCCGCTTGATTCGAAGCCGTGTCTTCTGTTCAACGTTGTCAAGTCCTATCAACCGCTCCTCGACTGAAGGCTCCCCCTTGACCGCAACATCCTTAACATGAGTTCCGGCGTCCAGCTGCTGAGAAGCTATTATATTTTCACTTTCCGCTGCTGCTGGATTAGTGGAAGCAGATGTGTCCCCTAATTTATTCTCACTCTCCTCCTCCGGGATCGCTATCGAAAAACCTCCCATGGTGGCATAGTAGGCATGAACTACTGACCAACCCATGTGTTTATGCCTTTCGTACAACTCTTCCGCCTCATGCCTCTGGCTCACAGAAATCATGACCCCGAGTTCCGGCGCAATTGCCAAGATAAACATCCACCCGACTCGCTTAACCCACATCCAGCGTAGCTCCGAAGACGGCTTAGGGAGAGGAACCCCGAGCAATTTGACCCATTCTGTCGTACCGCGCTCCCGCTCGCTGGGGATGTTGAGATGCATACATTTCCATGTGCAAACCAAAAAAATTGCAAGACAGCTCCAGATGATTTCAGCCGTGCTGCGATGGTTGTCAGGGGATATCCACCCAACGCGCTTTGGGTCGCCTGATGTGGCGTCTGTGTTGGTGTCATTAGATTGAGAGACCGCTACGAATGGAAAGAGGAACAGAATCAAGAAGAGCATCATATCAACACAAGATGCTGAATCTATTCTCTCTTATACTGGGGCTGATGGAACTGTACTTAGTGATGATGATTGAAATAAAAGAGGAACAAGAACAGAAAGAGAAGAACGGCCCTTTAACAAAGGTCTGAAGGCTGTGTATTCATCCTCGCCCAACCCGTCTCAGCCACAGTGCGACGATTCGGTCAGCATTATCACCATGAAATAGTGAGCATAGACCTATACGAGCGTGTGCAGGTGGCATTGCCTATCAATGGCTGACGGTTCCTTGTGACAACGCCTTATTCCTCTGGCCGCCAATAAGCGGCGCGGTGGTTGCTTAGGGGCTGTGGGAGCTTACCCTCTCAGGGATTGACAACATCCTGGCTAAGCTACGAATGTACTCCATAAGCGAGAGATCCTATCTATGGAGTAGACTATGTAACCGGTTGGTCTCAGCCTCTCTCTCTCTCTCTGCAGATTTTCTTCCAGTCCAATCAACAACTGATTATCACACGAAGTAGACGCACACCATCAGTGGGTCACTAGTAGCGGTCTTCCACGCTGTGATTAGGTCGCTGTATGAGCAACCATTCATCATAGTTGTCAAAATAAGGCCGAGGCAATAGCCTGACTCCTAAAAGTTTAATTTAAATGTACCATGGGACACTAAGAGCAACCTGATTTCCACTTGCGTTGTCGAGGCTGTTCTCCCCCGGTCCAGATTCGGTGGCCGAGAAACACAAAGAGGAAGAATATGCAGCACTAGTCATTATGTTCATCAATAGGCGCGATGTGACTGGCTATCTGTGTTCGCTTTGAAGGCAGCTGATCCCCATCAATTAATCTGTTTTCAGAACGAAAGCATTTCTATGGTTAATGATACAAACGAGCAGCTAGGGGCCGTTTGATACCTGTCGGCCCTGGCAAGGCTGAAAAAGTTGAACTCAGCATGTAGTCTATACATTCTATCTCTGATAGGCTGCGGCTTTTCATTTTCTACAATGGCACGTCACTTGCTATGAAAGGGGAACATGGATTCATTATCATAGTGGTTGTTTGCTCTGTTGCTGAGTAGGCATGAACACTTCAGGTGAACATTTTCTCCATCATACACCTAGCAAAAGGGCTCATGCCCCTGCTCCAAATAGTGGGAGCTGCCAATGGTCACCCAGACCAATTGACCTTCGCCGGGATTTTTGTGCATTTTAATCTGACCGAAGAGAACCCCCCGCAAATGAGCGGCGGGAGTAGTAGTCGCAATCTCCTGGGGCAGGTCACTTCAGCTCATTTCTTCAACTTTGAGTCCTCGCACGCAGTTCTGAAGCCGTTGAAAATCATGACTGTAAATCAATGAGCAAAGAGTACCTACGACAACATTATCAGGACAGGTACACGGGACATCGACCCGGTTGATCATCCGTCTTTTGCTTTTATAGAACTTGATAGGCCCCGAGTCGTTGACCTGCATCGCCCCATTGAAATCAGTCGAAGGATCTGCTGGGGACAGCCAGCGACCTATTCTCTCCTCACTTATGGAGGACTGAAGCTGTCCCAAGCCTTGAGCTACATGTGTCATACCTGATCGAATATATCAGTTCCTCTCTACGAGCGGGCTTCCAGAAGGTACAGCAGAGATCAATTTACCTACGGGTTTGGTCTTCTCCTTCCAGAGAGGTAGCTGAGCCACTTTGTGACGTCGCAAGGTAAGAAGCAGCTCCCTGGCATAAGCTGCAGCTGTGAGGGCCGCGTAGTTATGCCACTCATCATTCTTATGTGAGTCAGAGTAGTCACATATCCCACGGATCACCATACATGGAAGATTGTTCATAAGTCCGGCTGCTTCCATCTCAAAGCACAAAGGGTTCATGGTTGAACTTGCAAATTGGTCGCGCATGATGGCATCCTTAATCACAGTGTTGCCAGATGCAATTGTCCCATAATGAACAATCACAGCCCGCCCTGCGCGGTCTGGCCTCTCTACCACATGATTCCTGTCACAGAGATGGCAATTTTGCCCACCTTGATGCGTGCAATCAGAGTGGTAAAGATAATCTATGGTTGGCCGTCGGTATTCAGGCATATCGTCCATACGCCGGATGTGCTCGCCAATGCTTTCGGCCGTTCTGGGGTCGTTGTAGCGTCGTCGGACCTCTGGTATTGCGCCCAGTAGCTTATCTGGAGGAGCATCGAGATGCCCAGTTGGTTGGAAGCTGCCACCTGGCAATAATTTCCCAAGATCATACTGCACCACCCCACCCAATGTCCCACTCGGGGTTCCCACTATAACGTCCCCAAGCCTGATGTCACGTTGGGGGGTTGGTAGACCTCCTCCAATGCCCACCATCAAGGCGAACCGTAGGGAAGGGAAACTGCGCACCATATCTTGGGCAACGCGAGATGCCGAGTTCGTTCCATATCTGCCTGGTGGGAGACATCCGATAACCACGCAGTGACCACTAATACGACCAAAAACATATGTATTATTATCACGTTCGTCAAGTACCTCGAGATCGTTCAGCTCCTCGTCTAGCATTCGGCAAGCGCTCTCGTATTCCTCCTGCAAAGCGCAAATCCACCCAACTGTATAGTGATCGACGGATCCTCCTCGGCGTGATTCATCTCGAAGATGTCCTTTTCGTTTTTCCGGGCCCTGTAGTCCGCTTCGGGCAAGCCCATGGGGCAAATATGTTTCTTCAGGCATGACTTCGGCTTGATGTAGAGCCCGAGATCTGTGAAGACGACTCTTTGTTGGAAGCTTCTTGTGAAGAGTCCAGAAAAACACCGCCGTTGGGAGTATTCATAAGGTAAAAGTTTGGGATCGCTTTTGAATATAGACCCCATGGAATCATTCTACATATAGATGAATACGAGGACTTACGACCTATCGCATGGCGACGAGGCCAAGACGAGGCTGATACAGAGAGCGCGCCAACTTGGCCTTTTCAGCCTGATTTGCATTCAGCCAATCAAATATCATGTGTATGCGCTGGCAAAACTGGGGCACGGATACAATTCTCTCATCCTCGGGGTATTGGCTCGATCTCAAGATGACACACAGTTACATATAACCCCAAGACTCCTGTGGGTCACCATAGTGGTAGCATGCCCATCACCAGGGAGATCCAGGGCACCAACAGTATCACCCACAGTGTCTGTAAGTACATTATCCATCCTCCGCGTTGATACTGTCTCCAGCCATCTTTCAAAGGACTCAGCGGCAGAAACTGGCAGATTTCCCCATTGGCTATGGCCTGCGATGCAATCTCAGCCGGCAGGTTTCCAGCGTATGGGACATAGTATCGACCGAACAAGGTATTCAAGATCCCATCCCGTGCCTGGAGCCGTACCAGCAACCTTGACATAGAGTATATTGACCGGACTCGTTTGCACCGGATGCGCTGAAATTGCTGTAATAGAGGCTCGAGTTCGTCGGCACTGGGAAGAGCTCCAGTTTGGTCATTCTGGAGTTGCTGCAACAGGGTGCTCAGCACTGCCGCATCTTCAATAGCCATATTTGCGCCTTGGCCGATGTTGGGCGTCATCTTTATAGAAGGTTAGCACTTAGGAATATCACCATAATAGTACCATTTGGGTATTCACAGAGGGAAGTACCTTGTGAACGCTGTCGCCCATCAAAACAACCCGGTCATAATGCCACATTCGAAATACATTCTCCTCCAATGCGGTCATAGAAGCGACCTCCCGTGTATCCCAGAGGTGTCCAAAGGTTATATGTTCGTATAATCGCACGTTTCGTAACTCTGCAGCAGCCAAGGCAGCATCATCCGTGGTAAAGTGTGGCCCTTCAGGGTATGTGTATTTTGTGGGTAGTTTTCGAATCACAAACCAGTAGATTCGGCCATGCTTCCCATGAATGGTGATAATTGTGAGATGATCAAAGAACGCATTGATCTGCTCTCCGACCAGGAGACCTGCAATCCCTGATGAGATGCCGAAAATACAGGCATATTCCACTGTCGTACCTAGTAGCTATGTCAATCATGGGCTATACCTGTATCACCGCTTTAATACAACTCACTTTGTTTCTCATCCTCTATAATGCGGTGAAACCTTTGTTCTGCCTGCTCCCACATCGCTGTGCGGACTCGGCTATGAACGCCATCCGCACCAACAATAAGATGACCACGGTATACATTGCCACCAGCGGTGACCACAGAGACCTCATCCCTAGCTGAACTGATAGATGTGACTTTCGTGTTGAGGTGAATACGCTCGGGATGAGGATACCGCCGATATAAAATCTCCAGAAGCTTCTGTCTGTCCAGGAACGCAATGGGAAACCCGAATCTAAACACGTCAAGGTCAACCGTCGCTGATATTTCACATAAACATAGAGGAAATTTCGGTGAGCACCTTTCATGAACGATCTTGGGATGGAAGGAACTGAAACTGAAGCCATCTGGATAGCACACAATTGCTCGCTCCAATGGCTCAATATGATTTTGAATCTCATCGTAGATGTCGAGCTGATCAAGCACCCGCGCTCCATTGGGTAGTATGCCAATGGAAGCCGACCTGAGGAGCAATATTGCCTGCTTTCTCAAGGACAACGTGGTTGATTTTTGCACGCGCTAGACAGTGCGCAAGCGTTAGTCCTGCTATCGATCCTCCGACGATGATAACGGTAAATTCTGATTTTTCCATCTTCAGCCTTGGACGCGAAGGCTATAATTTCTGGGTGTAAAGATTCGCCATCAGCTGGTCCCGGTCAAAGTCCAGGTTCAGCAAGTTGGTCGCTAGTCTATATCACTCCATCCGCCGTAAATCCTCAATTTAATGGGCTGGATGGTCCGCTGAATGTGGTCTGGTCACTCTGCAGCTTCTCTATCGGCCTCCAATGTTAGACCGGAAACATATGCGAGTCGCTTGGTCCTACTATGGCAAACTCCAATTCATGATCGACATGTTTTTTATAGATTCAGTCCAAAGCTCGTGCATAGAACAGACCTCGAGAGAGAGTTTGGGCAAAGAAGGTGTCTTCGAATGGTGCCATCAGATGATGAGCAGAAATTTATTTGACTGAACACTCGTTTATAACCAGACTGACGAAACCGGCAGAACGCATACAAATCCCCCAATAGCTACATCTCCGAGTCAGTCTTTCTGCATGTCAGATAATTTGAGGCAGGTACGTGGGCAGTGATCTGCCAGTGCTAGCTAACCACCGATGTCCGTTGGTATCAAAACATGGTCGACTTGACAATGCAGCATGGATGCAACAAGCTCTCTTGAATTTCGTTTGGCCTAAATGATAGTGAACATTGCAATCAAAACTGTTCACATGGATCTATCCAAATGAAAAGAAGTAGCAATCTTGATGTTGGCAGCCCATTTCACAAATAGCTAGTGGGTATACTGATGTATTGTGCCACTGATAATCCTTAGTTATCACATCGAGAACAAAATACAATCCAGTATCCCATGTTGCTGGCTTCGACACCAAAGTAGCATTATCAAACATCACAAAATTTGGACTTGGTCCATACATTCAGTGTCTGGGATGATGCATATCAATTCCGTCGTCCACTCATCAATGCCAGTCCTCAATTTAGAGACCTGGCTATGATTCCTTTCCCTCCCTTCCACACTGCTCATATCGCTTGACATACCAATAGCATACCCCATATGACCCATCTATCATGAAAAAAGCAGCCAAGCTCCATAGTACGAGAGGCTCTCCAAGCCAAGAGAAGCATTCGGGCCAATACTTCCGCCGCAAAAGGGCGAAGATAACTGTGCAAATAGATCCCGAAATCGCGATAACCTTGAAGCGGTCCAAGGTATTTTGGGGGCGATATATGAAGACATAGACCACTTCCCAGGCGATGTTGCAGCACAAAGGTACAATGGCCATTCCGTAGGTCATGTCATGGAAGGAGACGTAAACCATTCCGACATAGTTGATAATCCAACCAACTCCCATTCCCACGACGAATAGATCGACAATCGGTTTCACTGCGTGGTAGTCCGGAGGGGCTTGCCAGACATTGAATCATCTATCTTGACCGTAGACGAAGAGAAGTTGACACTGCATACAACTGGTCAGGGGAAGATGTGTGACCTGGGAGATGAAACACGGCCTCAGTCCATTTGGAACTGGCGCTCAGCCGCCTTTTATGGAGCATACCTATCCTGCGGTTGAAATGGAAACTTGGGGAGGAGTGCTGGAGGCAACCTACTTTACTTACTGAATTTCTGACCTTGCAGTGCGCCAGCTAAGGAGTCGAAATAAGTAACTCTTCTCCACCGGACAGAATCAGACTCGAATTTGATGAATCTGTATTTGGACTTCTCAGCCGATGCCAAAATCACGATGAAAGTCCCACCTTCGATGCTGGAGGAGGAGCCACTCTCAATCATCATACTGCTGCTTCCTGCGTTCTTCTACTATCTGATCTCGAACATCATTGATCGCCTACCAGTTTTTCAGATATGGTCTAAAAAGTCCTACCTCATTGGCCTGAAAGACCCGGAGCGAATCACCTCCTTTGAATGTCCGTACAGCTACATCCGGAAGATCTACGGTCGGCACCACTGGGCTCCCTTCATAGAGAAACTATCACCGGGCCTTAAAGAAGATGACCCCGGCAAATACGAGATTGTCAACGAAATCATGGATGCTATCCATCTTTGTCTGATCTTGGTGGATGATGTATAGCTACCGCAAGGAACACTACCTTTTGGGGCACGATGCTAATGATCGGATTCTTAGATATCTGACGGGAGCGACTATCGCAAAGGGCATACTGCAGCTCACAGGATATACGGCCCATCGGAAACTGCAAATCGAGCGTATTACCGAGTCACACAGCTACTGAGAAAGACGACCGTGGAATTCCCACAGCTGGCGCCGTGGTTGATGCAAGACCTGGAGGACATCCTTGCGGGCCAGGATCTCTCGCTGGTCTGGCGCCGGGACGGCCTCAGCAGTTTTCCGAATCATGCACCGGAACGAGATGCAGCATATCGGCGGATGGCCTCGCTCAAAACTGGGGCGTTGTTCCAACTGCTCGGACATCTGGTGCTGGAGGACAGCTCGATGGACAAGACGATGACCCAAATTGCGTATGAACTTAGGGCAGTCGCTTGGAAGGAGATATACTGACCACGGGCATAGGTGGTATTCGCAACTCCAGAACGACTGCAAAAATGTGTATTCGTCGGAGTATGCCAAGCTCAAAGGCGCACTGGCTGAAGACTTGTCGAACAGGGAGCTCACCTATCCCATTGTGCTTGCTCTCAACGCAGCCGACGGCAACTATGTGACCGACGCCCTGGAGTATCCATCTCGTCGAAACCTGCGGCGAGCACTCAAGGTGATCCAGAGTGAAGAGGTTCATTCTTTGTGCGCTGCTGAGCTTCAGGCTGCCGGGAAGGGAATAGAGGAGTGGCTGCGGCTTTGGGGAAGAAAAGAAAAGATGGATCTGTAGACTTGAAGAGCTAGCTATGGTCAAAGCTATTTAGTCTTTGCATGTTGTCTGTGTACTTTCGCCTTTGCACCCGCGACAGACTATATATATTCTAGGACATATTCTACCCTTCCGGTTCGTATGTCAGGCGATTCTTTGGTTTCTCAGGCCTTAAGTTTCTATCCTTTCTATACAGTGATCTAGACTACCCCTCTTTCCTTCCAACCCCTTTCCAATAGACCTATACTCCAGATAGATGAGGGTTGTTGTCTACCTATGAAAGGGGTGGCGCTCGATTCGGACTAGTGCAGGATTAATTTTAAGCATAACACTTAGCTCTCGGTCGACTTGGGACGTCTGGGAGACTTCTTCAATAGACCTCACAACGTACACTTGGGGATTCCGAAAGAACTGCCTGTGATGATTGAAATGCCTTGACTACGTCGTCAGTCTGTGTCTGGGATAATACAGCCACCGTCCGAAATCTTGACTGCTGCTTGCAAACAGGGAATGTTCGGAACCATCGACGCGCCACTATGACGCAATGGACATCGACGGCCCTGAATACATCACAGACATCACAGACATCACCAATAAATACCTGTCCAAGATAATCGTGGAATGTGCACTTATAAATACTGTCACTGGGCCTGCATGTCACTAGAAGACATCCTCACTACATCTTCACTACATCTTCAATATCAATTCTACCACTAATCGACCGTATCGACTCGATTCTTTCCCTCCCCAACGCACCACCTCATCCATCCTATCTATCCACATCCATCATGTTGAGCCGAAGCCCGAGATTCGCAACCGGCTGTGCTAGACAGCAGCTCTACCGTCAAACCAGAGCTTCTCGTTTCCGTAATCCCCGCGCACATTACTCGACCTCGTCCGAATCGACGTCGGGAGGGGCCAATTCCGCCTTGGTCGGTGGTCTTGCTGGTGGTGCTGTGACCTTCTTGGCCGGATACACCTGGTACCAGTTCTCGGGCGCGAAGAAGCTGATCCAAACCGCCAATCAGACCCAGGAATACTACAATCAGGCGAAGGCGAAGGTCGCACAGAAGACTCCCGACCCCGAAGAGGCGTTCGGCTGGCTACGCGATACCGCCAAGAGCTACGCCTCCTGGATTCCCGGCGCAAAGGGATACGTCGACCAGGCGTTTGATGATTTGGAGGAGATTAAGCGCAACCATGGAGATGAATTCAATGACATCGTCAACAATGCCTACAAGGAACTGCGAGACGTGTCCAAGAAGGGCAGCCTGGATGTGAACACTGCCGTCAAGATCCGCGACGTGCTGCAGGAGCACTTCCGTCGACTGTACGAGCTCGCGGGCGCATCCGCCGACAATATCCTGGACAACCACCCTGAGCTCAAGGAGAAGGTTGGGGGCAGCTTCGACCAGCTGAAGGAGATGAGCGACGCCTATGGCCCCCAGGCCAAGGAGGAGATGGACCGGACGTGGCAACAGATCAAAGATATCATCGCTGGCGGTGTGACCTCTGAAACTGCCATGAAACTGCAGAAGGTGGCCGCCGAGAAGAAGGAGAAGCTCCAAAAATTCGGCGACCAAGCTTGGCTGAAGGGGATGGAGGAGGTGAAGCCATATCTGGACCGCAACCCCAAGGCGAAGGAGCTGGTCGAGGGGAACAGCGATGCCTTGAAGAAAGGCAACTTTGGACAGATCTGGGGCCTGATCAAGGAGAGCGCCTCTTCCGGCAACGTGGGCGACCTGGAGAATTACATCCGCCGGACCGTGGACCAGGCCAAGGACAGCGGTCTCGGCAACCTCGACAAAGTTGCCAAGAAGCTGCCCGGCGGATCAAACATTCTTTCCCAGTTGCAGTCTCTCCAAAATTTTGCCGAGAAGAAGGGACAGGAAGCCGAGAAGCTGCTCAAGGAGACGATCGATGAGATCCAAGGTGTGCTGGCTGACAAGACCAAGCAAGCCGAGAACCTGGCCGAGGAGGCCAAGAAGGAGAGCAAGTGATCTGCTGGTACGATGAGATTATGATATCTTTCTTTTCTATGACCAATGTACATATACAGGAGTTGTGCTTCAGGGGCTGGATCATCTGGAGCCGAGCATTTCTTAGCAGCGATTTACTCAATAATGACTTGAATCCAGATTGTTATTTCGCCAATCCGCGGGAACAGTAGGCTCACTGAAAGTGCATATAGAATTGAATTGACTTTATGATATCATACGGACTTATTTGCTAGGAGATGATATCTAGAAATAGAAATAATAGCACTCCAGTATGTGTACCTGCACAAGACTAGGTAACCAACTACCAGATCCTGTGATGTCACGGGCAGGATGACATCAGCACCGCTTCTGCTTTTTGCTTTTTGCTTGGCAGTGCTTGGCAAGATTGTAGAAGCCAATCATCGGGGCTCTGCTTGTGGATTTACCCTGCTAGCCAAGACCCAATCACCGACAGCCATTGAAAACCAGCTAGGGAATCACATGACTGAGCTCTACAGCAAAAGGGCCTGACTAATCATATTCCCATTACGCCGTACTCACTCAGTCACCCCAACTATGTCTCCTCTCAACTCCCACAAAAAGTCACACTAAACCAAGTCACTAGAGCCACTAGAGTCAAACCGAGGAGGAAACTGGAAAATGTGAAAAGGGCACCGACCACCAGTAGCCGTGCGGGCGCGCCGCCTCCTGAGCATTCGATGGGCGCGCTTGTGGACACTGGTCCATCGTGATCAGATGGCTTCCCCGGCCCCTCCTCCTTCTCCCGCAGAAACTCGCGGCTGATCCGGACGGACTCGATTCTCTCCCGCAGAGCCAGCGCCGTTTCCTTCGCGACCTCGACGACGCCTCTGGGCCAGAGTCTGCGCGCCATCGGCCTGACACCGTCCGAAGCCCGATCTGCCACTAAGTGCCTGACGGTCTTGACGCCGGACGATGGTCGATGGGGCATGTTAACAGCTGCCAAGCACGAATCTCCCGACCGATGGCTGCTCCGGTATCTAGGGTTCTGCAAATGGAACGTAGGCAAGGCGTTTGTCCAGGTCCTGGAGGCGCTCTGCTGGCGGATGAAGGAGATACATGTGGAGGACCAGCTTCTACCCGCAGGGGAGCTTTTTGCGCTTCAACAATCGCAAGGTTCGTCGCGCTCCTCGGGCGCCGAACTAGAACGCGAGTTTCTGGGTCAACTGCGGAAGGGGAAATGCTTCGTCCGTGGAGTCGACCGTTGGGATCACCCCCTGTGTGTATTACGAGTCCGCTTGCACCGACCCGATCAGGAGACGGAGGCGAGTCTTCATCGACTGATTACACATCTCATCGAGTCGGCTCGGCTTCTCATTGCACCTCCAGTAGAAAGTGCCGTATGTGTTGTGCCTTTGTGCATTAGCCGTGAGGCCTCAAGAAACGTCGGCTAACACACCCGCAGACTGTGATTTTTGATATGACGGACATTACCCGTGCAAACATGGTAAGCTCTCAAACGCCTGGTGCACAATGTCTTGCTCACATTGTTCCTCAGGAATTTGCCACCGTGAAATTCATCATTCGATGCTTCGTGTCATATTATCCGCAGACTTTGGGGACTCTCCTAATCCATAACGCCCCACGCATGTGTACAGGTATTGGATATGCCGTTTGTGTAATCCTGAGACATTTGTCTAATATCATCGATGCTCACAGGTATTTGGAAAGTCATCAAGAATTGGATTGACGCCGATGTTGCGACAAAAATCCACTTCACCAAATCAGTCGACGACCTTGCCCAATTCATCCCGCCAAGTCGGATCATCAGCGAATTAGGCGGTGACGAGGAATGGGAGTATGAGTATCCGTACATCGAGCCCGAGGCAGATGAAAACCACCCGATGAAGGACTATGAGACGCGTGATTCCCTGCTGCTGGAACGACAGGTGATTAGCGAGGAGTTGTTCTCTCTGGCATCACAATGGATTGAGGCGACTAGACTCCATGATTCGGAGCAGATCACCATTCATCCAATCGCATCGAGCCGAAGTAATTGAGCAACTGCGAGCGAATTACTGGAGGCTTGACCCCTACGTACGAGCTCGAAACTGGTTGGATCGAACGGGCGTGATCCAGGAAGGGGGGCGCATCGAACATTATCCGATGCCCAAAAATCATGTTCAGATCCAGACAGCGAAGGTGTTGGAAGTGGCCCACATCGACCGTGCAAAGGTGAAGCTCATCAACGTTTCATGATTGGGGGCTGAAACGCGGATCTATAAGATGTTTTTTGTGGCCGAAAGATGATCATGATTGAACTTTCCGTCCAGTATGACATGCATGTCTGTGCTATTTGTGTCTATATATCATCTATATACATGAAGCTGATTCAAGGTGTGACGACATCCACTCCATCGCACCTATATTGAGAGATAGCAGGGGTCGGCTAGTAGTCCTGGTAGGAAGCATCCGACAACTGTCTCTCGGCATGTCTCTTGGCCTCTTCCCGGTCGATGAAATCGAGCCCCTTGGTCTCGAACTCACGATCAATAAAGGCACCAGCGAAGCCAGCAAGAATCTCCTTCGCCTTGGCATGACTTTCCGGCTGGCCTGGGACATATCAGTATTTGTCCCGAGAACCTGGGATGAAGGGATACAGACCGTTGCGGGCCACATGTTCCTCATAAGCCTTGGCCGCCTCGAACGAAGCAGCACCCGCAATCAGCTCATGGCTGAGCTTTGCCTTGTGCTCCTCGCTACCATTATAGGATTGGAATTGGTCGTAGGCCTGGGCCTGATCGCTGTCGTTATCTAGAGTGACCGCATCAGTTAGACATGGTCAAATAGAAAGTAATTTTGCCTCTGATACTTACCGAACCAACCCATGATACTGGCTAGTAGGAAATGGATATGGGCACTGTTTGTAGAGAGATATCAACGGAAAGGCTGGGGAGTAACTTGTTGAGTGAAAGAACTTGGGCGAGAAAGGAAGGGCATGAGCGGGGGGAGGGGGAGAGGGGGGGAGGGGGCACAGCCCAGTTATGTAGTCTGCCCCTCCGGTGGTGTAATCCAGGTGGCTTGTTGGGAATGGTTTGTCTCATACCACGATAGCATCAAACATCAAGAAAGCAGTCTGGTAGGCTGCTGCCCTCACTGGACCAAGCATTGCCTGGCCAACTAAGCTTTCGAAGTGGATCGGCCGGCTGCAGACCGCTCAATTAGGGCCTGGATGCTCCAACGAGATCCTATCTATTGGCTGTGATCGCAGGCTAAGCAAAAGACGGGCGTTTTGCTAGGCGATAGTTATCCCCTCCACTATTGACGAGGCCCTGATGCATGTGTTGTATGAGGCATTTTGGAGTCGTGGCGCCGATTCGGCAATTCCACAGACTCTAATCGCCCATAGGGACTATTCTCTCGCAGGGTTGCATATCATGCTCTTGTTTCATCATCCTTGGGCACAGTAAAATAGGATCTAGATGGTCAATAATGTGCTGTGCCCTCAACGCATACCGACATTCATGCTGTATAGCCAACCTTTACTAGCTGGAGCGCTGTACTGTTAATAGTCACAGAAGATAAAGCCACTACCTCCCAGGATACATAACAATGATTGGGATCATGCTAATTTGACTACCATAATTTTAATGAGATTGATCTTTGTACTACATCTCACCCTTTGACCTACCTAATCACCCATTAACAAGGATCCTCGATAGAACCAAAGTAATGATTAATGAGCATCTGATTTTCTAGCCAATCTATGGTACTTTCTTGTGTCTCTTTTAGACCTTTACTCATCGAACCAGGCATCCCCTAGTTATCCAAGCCGGGACATTGCTCACTGCTCTCCGCTGTAATTGCAGTGTGAGGATACGGATCCGTCCAGATCAGATCGAAACTGCCTCTGATCAGTGATAGGAACGTTGAGTGGTGGTAGTCTTGACTTACCGATCGTCCGGATATGTGGGCGGGTTATGATCTCCCAGCTTCTTGATGATATCCGTCAACGCGTCATGCTCCCAGCAGATCAAGATGTTGCCTGGCCCGTCGTATGCCTTGACAGCCTTCTTGACACACTTGGGATCGTCTCGATCACAAGAGGTGTCCACCGTCAAACCAAGGTCGTCCGCCAGGGGATGAACAGTGTCATAGGGACGTGCTCGTTTGCCACCTGCATCATATCGTCAGTTCAACCTCGGGGTCACAGGATACGTGCTATCCTACTGCTCTTGGGGGTTTCGGCCAAGATGTATCCAATGTTGTAGTCAGAGTTGCTGCCAAACACATTGCGGAGACATTGCGCCCGCTCCAGACCCTGAGCACTCAGCCCATTGCCACCATCGCTCGGCTTCTCTCCATGACGGATGAGATATACTGTGGGGGAGGCACTGACGACAGCAGAGCTGACGAGGCCAAGTGCGATGATGATTTTCGAAAGCATGTTGAGAGTTGAAAGACAAAGGGATTGGGACACGGAGAAATGGGTATTCGGCGGCCTACTGAACCGTCCTATTTAAATTCTACCACAAGCGATGCGTCAATCGTGCAGGATGGCCCCCAAAGCGGGAATCATGCACTGTAACGCTGTTCTGCTGCTGACACCTCGAGCAGCGAGGATTTTGCACCAGTGGCTGGATTGTGGAGAGTTCCTGCGTGGGGGGCTGTGGTGCGGCTATTGGTTCTTGGCCTGCACGTGCTGCAACACGTCCTCTGTGCATTCAATAATATATGTAACGTGCATCCTTCAAGAGAAGTGTTGCTGCAGCAGTTCCATTGCGGTCTTATGATCGCGATTCAGATGGTATGATATCGTCCGAGTCGGCGATACAGGATACAACAATGTACCTATGGGAGAAAGACCGAACCAGCCTTAAGAAAGACAGTGGGAGTAATAAGGATTCAACACCTTGCACGACGCGCCAGATACACAGACAGTCGATCTCGTCCAGCCAGTGCCGCCGCACTGTCCATAGAGAGCTTGAGTGGTACCGGTAGCAGAGGTATGCAAGGGAGGGGGGGGGGGGTTGGATTAAATTCCGGACGTTGCATGATGCAAGAGCCGGTGAGGCTGTCCCTGCGAGCCAACGTAGCTCACTGGGTAGGGGATGAAGAGTGCCGACCCGGATATGATGACTACGATCGAAGGCAGCAATCAGTTCGGCCATATGCTAGCCAGAATATGAATAGACCGAAGGACAGGACATGGTTCGAGAGTCACCATGACATACGCCCTTCCCGTCGTTGCTCTCGTCCAGAGAGTAACCAGGCTTGCGTCATGAGCCCTTCATCCAAATTGGCAGTGGCTGTTGATCAGACAAAAGATGGCATTGACGAAGTTCAAAAGAGCCATTTAATGGGCGGATAAGTTTCAATTGTAGCTGTATCGATCCAAGTCTCCATATCCTGCATCCACCATGTTTGACAACGTCGTCTCCCCTCGATTGCATGTCAAACCTAGCTGGCACCAGCTCCCACCGGGAAATTCCGTTGCGAGCAATATCCTGGACATTCGTTCTGACAAGCAAGAATCGCACTTGAAAGAAGCCTTGCAACAAAGCATTCATGCCGCCTGTAATGGAGCCCAATCGGCAGCCATGCCGGAACTTCTGCTCTGGGACGAGAAAGGACTACGCTACTTCGAAGAGGTCACATATGCCCCGTCCTATTACTTGACCAACGATGAGATTTCTATCCTGGAGAGGCGCAAGTATCAGATCGCCGAGCAACTCCCCTCAGGCAGTATGTTGGTAGAGTTGGGGAGTGGGTAGGTGTCCAAGGGATCCGTGTCTAAGATCACATCCTGATTACTTTTGACAGAAATTTACGCAAGATCAATATCCTGCTGGAGGCCCTTGATGAACTGGGGCGCGAGGTCGACTACTTTGCGCTAGATGTCTCTTTTTCTGAACTGCACCGCACGCTGAGTTTGGTGCCCCCAGGACGCTTCCGTCATGTGCGGTGCTTCGGTCTTCTCGGGACGTACGATGATGGTCGTGGATGGCTGCAACGGCCCGAGATCCAATCACGACCAAAGACGTTACTCTCCCTGGGGTCGACTTTGGGAAGCTTTCCTCGAGCAGACATCGCTGGCTTTTTGTCTAGTTTTCTCTCCGGATCGGCCAAGAACAAGCCATCCTTTTTGATCGGGCTCGATGGATGCAAGCAGGAAGACCGGGTGCTTGCTGCATATAATGACCCCGACGGGACTAATTACCGGTTCATCAAAAACGGCTTGGTGCGGGCCAACGAGATCCTGGGTCACGAAGCTTTTGACCTCGACCGGTGGGATGTCAAAGGGATCTGGGATCCAGAGAATGGGAGTCACAACCAGTACTATATTCCACGGGAAGATGTGGCCCTGTCCGGCAAGGCAATTTCCGCTGGGAGAAAGCTCTTGGCAGTCAAAAGTCATAAATATGACGCGGATGATCAGGAAACACTGTGTCAAACGGCCGGTTTGCAGGTGGAGGATTCCTGGCGGGCGGACACGGACTACAGTGAGTATATTCCGTCCGCCCAAATAATTCCGTGGAAGAGTTACTGATGCAATCCATCTCCCTGTTTCTTTCATTCTTTCCCCCCAGATTTGCTCTTCTTGACTATGAAGAAACTATAGGTGAATAATCATCATGACGTCGGTACGCGGTGGCCAGTGGAGCTGGGGCTTAATAAGAAGAGGCATAGAATAGTATGGGATAGATAGTGAGAAAGAGACAAGCACTACTCTGACTTAACACACTTTTATGATATGTCGATACTGTAGTTTTGACTTTCAATTGTTACCCAAAAATGCCCTCTAATATTGATCTGTTGATTATAGGCGCTGGCCCAGCAGGACTGATGGCCGCCAGCTGGGCCTCCCACTATAGCATGACGACGCGCATTATCGACCAGAAACGCGGCCGGACACCCACGGGCCACGCAGACGGTATCCAACACCGAACAATGGAAATTCTGAACAGCTTCGGAATTGTTGATCCCATTCTGCGGCACGGCGTCCATGATGTCGAAATGTGTTACTGGGTATGGTTCAACCCTGGTTGTTGGTACGCACAACTGACATCGCCCAGGGCCCAAACAAAGAGACCGGGCACATTGAACGACGAAAGCGGTTGCCATCTCAGCCGGGAAATCTCTCTCAGTTTGGACAGATGCTATACAATCAAGGCCAGATTGAACAGGTCCTGCTGGACTATATCGCCCAACAAGGTCGCATTTCCGTAGAATGGAACACCAAAGCCGAAGGGTTGGAATTTGTCCCCAATGATGATTCTGAGGCTGACGCCAATTTTCCCGTCCTTGTGAAGGTGAGAGACTCTCGCGGTAAGACCGAAGTAATTCGTCCGCGATATCTCATCGGGTGCGATGGCGCCCATAGCTGGACGAGAGAGCAACTCAAGGTCCCGATGGACAGTCACTCGGAGCACTCTACATGGGGCGTGCTGGATGTCATTCCCATAACAGATTTCCGTAGGTGCTTTTCTGGTATTTCCCATCCACTCACTGACCCTCTCCAGCTGATATCCGTCAATCCTGCGCCATTCAGTCCCCAGGTCATGGTAGCATCATGACCGCGCCGCGAGAAGACCGCTTGGTTCGATTGTACATCCAGGTGAAAGGCGACGACGATCCCGATCAAAAGGCGCAGGAGAACTCGGAAGACACACCAAAAGCGCTCATCCAGGCTGTAGAGAAATCGATGAAACCATACAAGCTGACATTCAAGCATTGTGACTGGTGGTCGATCTATCCAGTAAGGGATGCGCTGGTTTACCGATAATCAACCACTGACCTCTCTTTACAGGTCGTACAACGCATGGTTGAGCAGTACAGAATGAATGACAGGTATAAAAGAAGTTCCTAGGGTTTGAAAGCTCTGCGTCTGACCCGTCTAGAATCTTCCTGGCTGGCGATGCTGCGCATACCCATTCACCAATGGCCGGTCAAGGCATGAATGTATCCATGCAGGATGTCTATAATCTGGTGTGGAAGCTGGGAGCCGTCCTTACGGGCGTGGCAGATCTCATCATCCTCGATACATATGAGGCGGAACGTCGTCCAGTTGCCAAAGAATTGATGGAGATGGATTCAGTGCTGGTGCAGGCTTATGAGCATGAGGCGAAGGAGACAGGGGAGTTGGATGAGGTGCGTGACAAATACTCCGGCTTCATGTCGGGAGTGCAAGTGACATACTCGTCGAACATGCTTGTTGCCAGTGACGAGAAAAGTGGCAACATGACACGGGCCAAGAATATCACCGTGGGCATGCGAATACCATCCTTCCCGGTGGTCAACCATGCAGACGGTGCGAAGGTGCCTCTATTAAATATTCTTGCAAGCAATGGGTCCTGGCGTCTGCTAGTTTTTTCCGGTGATCTGCAACTTTCTGACGCTTGGGATCACTTGCTCACATTTGTCAATGGGTTTAAGCAACGATCTCATCTGGCACGTTGGAACCAACGATACAGTCGGCCACGCCGTCCCCAGGTCGAAATTGTCCTTGTCCATGCGAGTCCGAGAGGATCCTTCAATCTCTTAGACCTGCCGGACATCTTTCATCCCTTTGACGCGGATCTTGGCTGGGACTACTGGAAGGCGTTTGCCGACGACGGTGCGTACGTTGGATATGGCATTGACAAGAATGTGGGATGCCTAGTACTGTGTCGTCCAGATCAACACGTTGCCTGGGTGGGGGGAATGGACGATATAGCTGGTCTGGATAACTATTTTTCGGGGTTCTCAGCGCGGCCAACTGGCAAACCTGGTCGGTTTGATAACGCCTGACAATTCGCGCCAGTGTGGGTATGTCTATGACGATCGGGCTGTCGCCGAAGACTTCCCTTAAATAGGCTCAAAGACAATAGACATAAGATTCTTGATATGAATGCTATATATGTCTGTATTATCTACGCTTCTCCACAATGCGAAGCCGATACTACTAGAAGGAGGCTGAGAACAACTTCGATTGAGCAATCATGATGCTCACAGCCAGCTGCAAGTTCGAATTGCGGCGTGAATACATTTAAGAGATATCGGTATGGAAACATATTCTTCAGCAAGCGATATGTTACTTCATTAGGCACACCTGTTCGATGAGACGTGATACAACAGATATCCCAGGTCAAACATCCAAGCAACCTCCCAGAGCTTTTATTATTCGTTTATCAATAGACTGACTCGCTGGTTCAGAGAATTTGAAGGGACAGTAGTCGAAAAGATATGAAGAACGACCTTATTAGATCGCAATTCTTCCATACGGACTACTTACTATCTGACCCGTCTAAGTTGACTAGCTCTCTCTTGACCTCAAGCTCACATATTAGACCAGGCGAGTGGCGCTTGAGAGAACGGCAAGCATATAAGTCACATAGGCACAAGACAAGATGTCGCGGGTGTGCCATTGTGCTGCGCAAATGCCATTGCAGGTTGCCACATGTCCCAAGCCACGATGATCCACACGGACAGTCTGGGTCGTGGCTGCGGGGAGAAATGGCTGGATGTATTCTCGCATTTGAGCTGATATGAGGATAGCGGATCTCGTCCGGAGTAGGAGATGTTTCGCGAGTGTTCAGGGTCACCGATTGCTCGGTTAGTCGCACGCGAGCGGATGATGAGCGGATCTTCGGACAGACTATCAAAAAGCGGTTTAGATTCGCGACCTATGACGGGTCTCTAGAAAGGGCAGCTCCATAGATGATTCAGCTGACAACCACATCAGTATGTCCCATCAGGTTTTCGTAGTACCGCCGATCCAACCCGGCCTGCATCCTCGCCTCGTAGTTGAACGGTTCCTTGAGAGAACCTCGGAAATGGTTGCGCGCATTGGTGCGAAATACTTGAACGGGATCCGTCCCCTCCTGCTCACAGATCCATGTCAGCCAGCGATGGCCGGTGGTCACATGGGTGATCTCATCGTTGTGGATGGTCTCGAGCGCGCCGACACTCTCACCATCGCCTGCCCGACGGAACTTGTCAATCGTCATGGGGTTTACGTCGAGACCTCGAGCCTCGTGTACCAGAGCAATGACAGAAATGCGTGCTCGCAAATCGTGGGCGGTAGCTGTGGCCGAGTCCCACAGACCATGGTGGACGGGAAGAGCACCAAAGAAGGAACCCATCTCTTCAATCCGCGTGCGTAGGAGAGAGAAATGTTTGGCTTCGTCGTTTGCAACCTTGAGCCAATCATGAAAATAGGTTCGAGGTAATTCCCGGGGAGCTCCGCCAGGTTGCGGCCGGGTTTGAAATTGCGCAAACCGAATACAGATGTCAATGGCCAGATCGATCGCCCACAACTCGATATTGGCCAGCGCATGCAGCATGGCAATGCGGCTCTTCAGGGTTCCGCCTCTTCCTGGCCGGGGCATCAATCGCGATTCAACATTTTTCAACCCTTCTCGCGGTGGCTGATCAGGAGGCGACACCGCTCCGCCACCAATAAGCATGGGAGATGAAGTCTTCTCGCGCTCGGTGAATGTGTTGTACAAGTGAGCGGTGAGTTCGATCTTCTGCTCAGGACTGGCCGTATTCAGAATATGGGCCGCCCAGTCGCACAATGTGGCATCATCGTCCAAGAACCTAGCAGGCGTTGGCAGTGAGGCTGGCTCCGCGGGAGCCTGCTTCGAGGCAGCGCCTTTTTTCAACTTGATTATCTCACTTACAGGCTCCAATCGCACCAAGGACGCCTCGCTAGGATACTTGAGAGCGGCAGTAACATCTTTAATCTCCACTGGAAAGGTGCATGCTTTGAGGCCGACACTCGATTCACCAGTCTCAACGTTGAAGTCGTACGCATGCCAGGGACAGGACGCGACATATGCAGAGTCTTCGATATCGACATGAGATTCTTCCATGGGGCCGCCGGCGTGGGGACACTCTGCCTCCATGGCGTAGTAGCACCAGCCATCCTCTGTCTCATTTCGCAAACGAGTAGTGGATGTGGATGGCTCGATGGACGGTAGGCGGAAGAGCACCAAGCGTTTTCCATCTGAGAGATGAATCACATAGCGAGACTGTTTCAATTCGGACAGCGCACCGAGCTGGATGGTCTGCATTCTGTTGACTCGCGTTCAAATTTCTAGCTGCCTTCATTCAACGATGTCCTGGTTGTGCTTTGCGACCGAGAGAAAACGAAACATCTGATAAGCCACGTGATGCTGGCAGGTGGAATGACTCACCCGCTTCTGATTGGCTAAGAAGTCGGACACGTGGGAAACGGACTAGTCCGCTTTTGTCGTAATTTGATGCCTCAGGTGTCGGCCTCCTCTCGTTGCGATATCAAGAACAACGGGCCAGCATCAACAATACTGAGATTGAAAAGGGCCAGGCTGAGTTCCACGAGAAGAGAAGCTAGTGCCTTCAGGGCATAGACCTACAATACAACTCTTTTTACAAATTGTAGACGTTGTGGCTCAGAATTGGAAAGATGTTTGTCCGGCCAGAGTATATATATTTCCTTCAAACCACCTCAACGATGATGATAGCTCACTCACTGCAATTGATACAAGTTTGCTGGGAAGGAGGCCTCTTATATACTGCCAATGGAGAGCCTTGGAGGTCCGCAAAAATTTGCATCGCCACAAATCGAGCAAAGAAGCGAACCTGTCCCAGTCCTCCTCCGACATACCACAGTCCAGGATCTAGCATTTCAGTATATTAGTTGATGCTCCAAGAAGCTATAGGATGAGCTTTGAAGCACATACGACCAGTTGGGACATAAGCTCCTCTAATTTCTCCCTCTTGGTCGAGCCCCCAGTACTCTTCCACCTGCGCATGTATCTTGTCCCCAAAGAGATCTCGCACCGAGTCACGTAGAGTACCTGTATACCCAGTGGCAAAGACAATCACATCGGCCGGCAGACGAGTTCCATCTTCGAATAACAGGCCCTCTTCTGTATATGACACAGGAGCACTGTCGGATTTCACCTTGATCTAGCGGGGAATTAGTACGCTTGATCTCAATTAACAGGTAGGATGGACCACCAAGCCGCGTGCTATCTTGTCAGAGACTCCAATATCCACGTAGTGCCCACCAAAACGCTCATTTAGCAAGTATACGATGTCTCCAAATTGCTCTGTCTTAAAGCCAGCACGTTCCAGGGCGACAAATCGTTCTGGTTGACTCTCTGCCTGGGAGTTCAATGCAGCCATCGTGGTCAAACGACTCACTGCGATGGGTCCAGCGTAGAGAACCCGATCAGAGATGTCTTGTGGCGTGTTCTCATTGTATATAGCTTTCTGCCAAGTCAGATATGGTGCATAGACCACAATTAAAATAGAGAAAGAAACCATACGCTTCCACGCATTTAACAGATATTCTTGCGGCTGAACATCTGGAGGACAATACATCAGTAAGAGATCGATAACGACAAGATCAGCTTTCTCCTCACATGTTCGGCTGCGCTGGATCATTGTCACAGATGCCAACCCAGCGTTCAGCATATCTTCAGCAATATCATGGGCTTAGACGTCATTAGCCAGTCTCTGAGGTCCTTATCTAGAGTCCTTACCAGTGTTGGCGGCTCCTACTATGACACCACGCTGGCCCTTCCAATCCCATGCGTTGCGATAGTCAATCGAGTGCTGTATAAGGCCTTTGAAGTTATGCTGGCCAGAGAATGACGGTATCATAGGCTTTTCACATGTTCCGCCGGTGGCCAAGACAACATGGCGACAGGTAACTGTCTTAATCGTCTCTTCTCCCGCGTTGATTTTCAGTGTCCATTCTCTGTGCAGCTCATCCCATGTGCCTGAGCACAGCTCACTCGACGTCCATACGTTCTATTACATTAGTCAAGGCCATCGGACTATCGTTGAGTAACTTACGATGTGAAACCTCTTGACCCATCCTGCGAAACCGTCTGCAAGATCATCTTTGGTAAGCCACTCATATTGTTTGTCGGCAAAGGTTCGTTCAAAGGGCAGATGGGAATAGTCTCGGATTGTGTGAACTAGCTCAAGTCAGATATCCTAGCAACAGAGACGAGAGAATCAATGAGTTTACGTTTTGCTGAATCATAGCGATGACGCCAGTTGTCTCCCACGCTCATATTCCGGTCTAGCACGAGATACGACACCCCTAAAGCCAGCAATCGACCTGCCGTGTTCAGTCCTGAGTGGCCAGCTCCCACAATCACACAGTCAAAGGATGTTTTTGATTCGTTAACCGACGGGATCCCGGCCACGGGATCCAGCATATCTACACTGGGATGTCCGATGAACTGCTCCAACAGGGTCTTCATCATCCAGATCTTGTATTCCCCGTTCTCGCGATCCGGAATCAAGGAGAGTACGCCGGAACATTGGGCAGCCGGGGAGACGGCAGTCACGAAGTGAAACGGAACATCGATCCAGCTACTGGATTTGTTGATGCGGACAATATGTGCGGAGTCGACGTGCAAGTGGAATTCTTTGGCCTGGCGAGCTAAACACCGGTTGCGATAGACCTCACTCACCGTTCCATGAGAGTAGAATGTTCTGAGAGTCCCGGTCAACGCGAAACAATCTCTCCAGATGACACGCTTATCAAGGGTGGATGAATCCAGCCGAGGGAGACATGTAGCAAAGGGGCTGACAATGGTGAGCAGATTAGCATCCTCAGGAATATTCGCGGAAGGAAGGGCATCAAGCAGGCCGGGGAGAATATTTTGGGTATTTTTTCGATCCATGGCTCGCAAGTCTTGTAACTGTCAATGAGGCTATTTGGAAAGAGTAAAGATGAACGCCAGATTCGATTGTGGAAGACTGGTTTCAGTGTTCACCGCTGGTCGCAGTTGGGAGACTATAAAGGCGATAGCCCTTGCTTCAGCCAAGAACGTCTCTACGTTGTACGACGTGAGTAATCTACAGTAGATAGCTCGTGGAAGACCAACGATCAAGTGATATTGCATGCAAGGAAGGTCTCGTCAAGGTATTTGGGTTGAAACTTCCCCCAGTCAAACACCGTTGGACACTGGCTTATGGGCATCCCGCAGATTAAGAACCGTTTGAACATGTTCATAAGCAAGAGGCTTTTCTTGTGACCACGACAACAGATGGGCGGTCTTCACCACGTTTTTGATCTGCCTGCCGTTCAGTTTTACTGCCGCCAGAGAATCTAACTGCTCCCCAGAAAAATTTGCTGTGCCTGCCGTGCGGGTCAGGAACTGAGACCAGATATGGCGGCGCGAGGTTATCTCTAGATCCGGATAGACGATCGACACATGGATGCGAGATTCAAAGGCAGGATCGATGTTCTCGGCGCGGTTGGTGGTTAGGAAAAGGATACCCTGAGCTGTCAGTCGGGATGCAATTAACAATGTACAGAGAAGAACTCACCTCGTAGTATTCCAACATGCGCAGAAAGATAGACACCAGTTCATTTCTCTCCAGATCTGACGAGGTCCGAGCTTCCATAAACACATCGGCTTCGTCGAGGAGAAGTACTGCTCCCCATTTGGGAACCATGCGCAAGATATCCTTCAGCGCATCTTCTACTTTCTCGGCCGTTGACCCCAGATCGCCGGCGCTCATCACGTACAGTGGTGCTTGCATCACTTCGGCCACGCTTTCCGCGGTGAGGGTCTTACCCACGCCCGGGGGGCCACTAAGCTGCATGATGATCCCGCGACCCTTGCCCTGCACCACGTCGTCAAAGGCATCCGCTTGCTTGGACTGCGCCTTGGTAAGAGCGAGAATCAGCTGCTTGAGATGCTGTTGGTTTTCAGGAAGCACCAGCGAATCGAAAGCTTGCGAGTCCCACACAATGTCCTTCACATTACTCAGATCAAACTCGAGCCATCGCTTGTCCTTGAGCGAGTACCCTTGAAGCATGCAAGTGGCGAGCAGCCGTTGGTGATCCGTGAGCTCCTTTCCGAGCCGCGAGTAAACTGAAATGGATCCGTCGGGATTGAACGTGTTGAAGGCATCAGTATCGATGATGATACGGCTCTTAATGTTGAATTTGAAGCTCCGCGCCATGAAGCGCCCCGTGGCGAGGCCCTCGTAGTATTTAAAATGATACCCCTTGTATTGCTCCCAGAGCTTCCCGCGCGCAATCAGAGCATCCCTGATGGTCGTATTATTCTGATGATAGCGTAGAGGAAATACGGGTAGTTCTGTGATGCGAACAGTTCCTGTGAACGCGGGGATTGCGACTTGGTGATGCCGAAAGCCGAAATGGTCCCCGTCCAAATCGACGTATTGGCAATCGATCTGGAATGCGCCGGTCCGGCCATCGACGGACCCTTCATTGTACTGGAATGCACGAGGACGACCGTTGACTGTGCTGAAAATGTCATCATGAGGCTCAAATATAGTCCAGAGCAGATCGTGTGTGACCACTCCATTGAACACTAGATCATTCTTCCGAGCGATTGTATCGCGAAGCTCTCCCTCCAGAGTAGTGTGAAGAAGATCTAAATGAGCCCTAGCCTCGGAATCTCCCTCTTGATCCCGTGCATCGGTAAATTCCTTCCAGCGATGGACGAAAGGCTCGAAGGGACTTCGGAATTCCACGCGCTCCAGTGTCATGGTGATACTCGGATAGCCACACAACACTTTTCCAAGGCACTTTCTCAGCCTGTCACTCTGAACGATGATGGAATGAATCTTGAGGGGCTTGCGTCCGTCATAACATTTGACGTGGCGCACAAGCAGGGCGTACTGCGCCGATTCAGAGTCTTCAGCCGGGGTATGGAGGTCTCCGGGCTTCTCCTTGGTCCATGAGGTGCGACCATTTTCATCGCGCTTGGTTTGGTAGAGGTTATGAACCTCACAGATACTTCCTGGGGCCACATATGCAGTTTCGTCATTGGCATCCTGCTGGCCATCCTTTCTGGCGTCTGTGGTGGTGGTGAGAATTACCTCCATCTCCTCTGCGGATTCGTCTTCGGATGACTCCTCCCTGTAGTATTGCCTGGATCTGTTGATTCGCATAATCTGGTCTTAATTTTGGGAGCGGTTCGATAATTGTTGCCTCTGCAGGGTTGGATACTCGATGTGCAACAGAGAGATCACGGATTTTTATGTCGGAGCTGGCGCAGGCAGACAGCAGCTCCCCCGCTGTTGATCGACGCAATTGCTGCATGGGTAAGTCAGCCTTGTCTCTTTCGTCATGGCTTTGACTGGTAGTCGGCGTAAAGATGTATGCCCCTCGTCAAGATGTGTTGGTCCAGACAGCCTTGTGACTCACAGCCCTCTTCTGCCTAGATCTGCACCCTTGGTACAAGGCCCCATGAAATGTTGGCCTCGTCGAGCTTTTGCCGCCCAGGCTCATTGCATTGTTCCAGCCTTGTATGTAATGTGATGCTCAGCAGAAGGCTCTGGCATATATCACTGCTACATGGGGTTGTCGGACGATGATAGGGCGGATTTCCTGGATGTTGTGTTACATCCCGAGCATGGTACGGAGCAAACAGGATTGGACCATCACCGAGCATCTTAGCCATGGCTATAATCATTCAAGCATTATCGAATAGACTGGGCTGCGCTCCGCTATGGTTCCGTTCATCCCACCGGTGCTGGCCTTGGTGTGTCCATCAGCCCCTCGAGCACAGCCATAGCAGCCTGCTCTTTTCCCAGCGGCACAAAGATATGATCGTGATAATATCCACTGCCGACATTGCTACTGATGCCATGCTCCGCTAACTTCGACGAGATACCCGCAATCAATCCCACCGCCTCGAGGCTGGAATGCACGGCCAGCGAGATCTTCTTGCAGGGGAACGTATATTGGTGGAACCTGTGCGTCTCGGCCAGTTCTTTCGAGGTGATGATGCTCAACCCCTCATCTTCCTGGAAAACCATCGGTGGCTTGAGAGCATGCAGGGGAACGTCCTCGATTGACTGTTTTGTGGTAAGAAAGATGTAGGTCTGTGGGTGGGTGGAGTATGGGTCCCATCGAAGCCAGAAGGACGCGGAGGTTGTTTTCTCCTTGATTAGGAGTCGACATGGTAATTTTGGGATGAAGGCTAGTCCAGTATGACTAGAACGAGCGAGCCCAGTAGATGTTCTTCCGAGAAGGATTGTTGCGGTGAAATGCGACCGGTGGAGGTGGTAGAAGGAAGAGGTCACCAAACAATTCCTCCAGATGAGGCTTTTGTGTGCGCCAACCTAAGACAGGGATATTCCTGCTATGGCCACACGCCAACAACACTTTGTCACCTATCTGAGAAGCTTCAGTCTCGATCGTCTCTTTCGTTTCCTTGCCTACAAGCAACACACATATACATTCAACGAGGGTTCAGAAGTCTCGATCCATTCACTGGGAGGTAGTCATTGACAGTGGTTCGTATCCTACAACTCGGGAATCACACTCCCCATTCCGTCTTCAGTCCAGCCAGCCATTCCTCATAGGTGAGGACCTGCCCATCCACCAGGACCCGGTTAGGCTCGATTTTCTGCGGTCGCGGTGGAACGTATACAAAGTCTTGAGTATGACTCGGACTACATCTCACGAACGACGTGTCCCCCGCCCGCAGTAGTTTCGTGCAATCCTCGCAAAAGCCCGTGTCGAAGCAAATAGGGCACAGAGAGGTGCCGTCCAGGTTTAGGGTCAATTTTCGGCAAGGGCCATCGCAGGTGTAATACCACGAATCATCCTCAATGTGCTCACGCGTCCATTCCTGAGTATGGTCGTCATCGGGATAACACCCAATGGCGTATGATACAGCAATAACGTTCTTCGTGTCGCCGGCTGCCAGGAGCGCGTTCTGCAAATCAGTCAGACCCACGCTGTCGTTCTCCGGATCATCGTCGGAGAGGATCTGCACCGCTCGCCGGATAGAGGGGGCAAACAACGCCCGAGCTTCGTCGTGACGGCCCACGAGGCGATACCACACCCCCAGGGCAATTGCACGAGCTCGCGAGGCGACCCACAGAGCTGATGTATCCTCAGTGTTGCACCGTTCGACGAGCTGCTCCAGTCGGTTCACGTATTCTTTTGCCTCTTCAGATCCCACCCCGGCGTCGATGGCGCTGCAGAGCCACAGGCGGGCTAGGTTGGACGAAGCAATCACTTTCGCCGCACCGATCTCGCCTTCCTCCTTGGCCGAGCTATATGTGTTCATAATCTTTTCCCACCTCTTCGTCGCTTTTTCCTTCTCATCCGTGATCTCAAAGTAAATACGGGCAAGGGACAGGTCCAGATGTGCTGCTACCACAGTCATAGACGCTTTGCGCGCTGCTCGGGCCGCGTCATGATATGATCGAATCATAAACTTGACACTGTCGGTGGCCCGCGCCGCGTCCGCGAAGAACTCAAAGAAGTCATCCTCCGACCAGGAGTTGCGCCAGAGCCAGTCCGTCAATCGATCATGTCCTTTGTCCGGAACTTGATCCTCAGCAAGCTCCCGCAAGTAGGACATGGTTTCTTCGAATCGCTTGGTGGAGTTTTCGAAGCGTAGAATCAAGAAAGTGCATGCATCACAGTATGGCCTGGCCTCCAGTGCCCGCTTATGGGTTTGGTATTGCTTTTCTGGCTGACCCAACTCGCGATAGCATTTACCCATCCGGTCCAGGACACTGTGTAGATCCAGAGTCGACACCGTCTTGTTCTCTGAGTCATCACTCAGCAGTTGTTGCAGAAGTGCCTCCGCCTGGATGTCCAGATCCAGGGATTTTTGCCATTCTTTCTTCATTGTATATGTAATAGACATCCCTGCTTTTGCAAGCCAGAAGTCTGGATCAAGGTCAATCGCTTGCTGAAAATGGACCAAAGCCTGGTCGAGATGACCAGTCTGACGGAACACGATCGCCGCTCGCTGGTACCAACGTTTCGTCCTTTCAACCTCTGCCCATTCGGCTGCTTCGGCGATTTCCTCAGCGGTTGGCGCGAATCGATCGATGAATTCCCAATCGATACCTTTCTGACATTTGATGTAACTGATGATCATCGCGCATGGGGCAGCGGCATACCAGTCGGTGTCGATCAACCATTTCCTAGCACAGAATTTGGCAAGCAGGCGAAAGGTCTGACCAGGAGTCTCGTGAGTGGAGCGAATAAATTCCGCCTCTTCAGGAGGGAGCAAGTCCACGACGTCGGAGTCTTCCCACCAACTCTGGATAGCTTTGAGATTCTCGGAGGTGGAAACCCAACTCCTGCGTTTCGCCCATTCCTCCATGCACTTTTCCTGGCCAAACATCCTGGCCAGCATGCTAGCGATCTCCTGCCTGTCCTCCATTGATGTTTCTGACGGCTGAACTGCATGAAGATGTTGGACCCAATTCGTCGCAGCATAATCGCGCATCAATTGAGCTTCCTTCGCCTTCTCCGCAAATTCAGTATTTATGAGAATTCTTAGGCAGGTCTTCAGGACATGCGCTTTAGCATCATTGTAGACGACCCCCACAGCCAGTTTGTCCTCCCCGGCAGAGACCTTCTCTTCCATCGGATCGCGGAAGAAATCGCCCAACGATGCGTGACAAAAGGTGACTGTGGTGGATGGTTTGTTTGAATCAAAATCGGTTGAGTTCTCAACATCTTCAAACGCGTCTTCATGGTCAACAGGCTCCGCAAGGGTCTCAACTTCATCATCGGATTCATCCACTGTTAGAATCATGGTCTGAAGCTCCGTCGTTGTCAAACCGTCGTCACGGTCGAGATTAAAAAAGGCAGCAAATTGCCTGCGGAGGGCACCTTCAAGGTAGATCATACCGTCACCTTCAGGCGACTTCAACTCAAGAACTGACTCCACCTCCCCAAGGGTCAAGGGACGGGTGGCACAGGTGACCCATAGCAAGAGTTCGTTCAGGAACTCCAACTCCTCCTCATTTAGACTGGCAGAAAAGCTCACCAGTACATGGCGCAGCATCTCCTTCAAGCCCTTGGGCGCTTGGTCAAGACTCTTGCGAATACTGGACTCATTCCGCTTCTTGACCAGCTCCTGCAGCATCAGGTTCACCCAGAGAAACATGCCTTCCGCGCCGGCTGATAGCTTCTCCGCGATTTCTCTACGCAGGGCCGATGACACTCGCCGGAGAATCACAGACTTCTGGATGCTGGTTCTGATATACCGATCAATATCGCCGGAATTCTTCTGGGTCGTGACGTAGATTGTAGGCACATCGACCTCCAACGACTCCAACAGCTGATCACTGACATGGGGCCGTCCTACTATAGCGAACTGTAGGCGGCCAGAGTTAGGAGCATCAAAAATATCTTTGGCCACCTGGAGAAAGGTCAATCGCTCTTCCTCAAAGGCCTCATCCACGGCGTCAAGGATGATGAACACACTGCTAGTGATCGACGGTTTGGTCAGGAAGAAGTTGACGAACAGGACACGCCAAGCACTCTCGAGGGTGCTAATACGACCATAGTCTCCCACATTCGTGAGATACTTCTCGTATGCCGGGTCATTCTTGCTGATTTGATATGCAAGGTCCCGCAGTGCTTGATGAAATGACCTCGTATTTGGGTTGTCGTCCTTGAAGAAGAAGTACCCCAGAGATACATGGGAAGGATGCTGTACTCCTTGCGGATACAGGTCTTTAAGACAGGTAATGATGTTAGAGGACAGGTAGGACTTCCCCGCGCCGGGGTTGCCAGATATGAACATGATCGGTTGCTCTCGGTTCATCCAGCTTTTGAACACATCCTCATCACGGATCCAGTCTCCGGTCCCGGGCACGCGGGTCTTGTTGATCTTGTCGTACCAGTCCTGAGCGGAATCCGTTGCGGATGGCCGAAGGATTTTCCTCACCAAGTCTTGATGTGATTTAGCCAATTCCCCATGCTTCTCCTCCTGGTCGTTTACAGCAATAAGGATATTACCCAGCATCGCTTGCACCTCTGTGACTTGTACGGTCATTTGGTTGACGGCCATCCCTGTCTCCTGTACTGTGACATTTGTCGACTGAATCGTCGTTTGCATACCATCCACCACACGCCCAGTCCGTTTTGCCTCCGTCAAGGTCTCCGCACCAACGAGGCCGGCTTCCACCTTGGTCAACTTATCCAATTTTCCAACGGCCGCTTTGATGGCATCGTCATTCCCCAGGAGGATGTTGCGTGTGAATTTGAGCAGTCGCCCCCGTTTGATGGCTTTGGTCGAAAGGGCGAAGATCTCAACGAGAGTGACAAGGATATCGCTGAGTTTCTCGCTCAGATCGTCAGAAATCTGTTCTCGACTGTACGCTTTCAATCGAATGGTAAAGTCCTATGGCATCCCAGAAACATGCTCAGTCTTCGCAGAAGGACAAATAATGCAGGGGCAAGGATTACCTTGAGTGTTCCCATCAGGTCCTGGATGGCATCGTAGGAACTTGACACACCTTTGGCGGCCGACATCAGGTAGGTGACAGCGCCAAACACCAGGCTGCTGGGGGGGAAAGCCATGGAAGCGCCTCCGGCCGCCAAATCTCCGAACAGCTGGACGGGGACCAAGGCAGCCTGCATAGCATCGAAGATGGCGCCGCGTTTGTGGCGATACTCGCTGAATGATTTATTCCGCTCATCGATCTCCTTTTCCAGGTCTTCCACACTCGAGAGTCTGTGGAGGAAGGCAACATCGAGATCCTCTTTGGCAATCTCGCTGTACTTTGCGATGGCCCGCGTGTAGATGGCGGGGATTTGGGTATTCTGAACAGTCATCTTGTGGAACTCATTCAGATCGTAAGTTGATGGTGTTGGGAGAGTAGCAGCTGGCGCGCAACGGACATAAGACGCGCTGCAGGGGTCACCGCGACGCTGACAGGCGCCATGGAGATCTTTATGTGTGCGTCCATTGGGGGTGTGCAAGTGCGGCTGAGGACGGCGGCTGCAGGTGCGGGATAGATGGCTCCCACTAAACGGGGTCGAAGAATTAGAGGCACATGCACTGCATTGCTAGTGGCTGGAGATATAAGAAGCGTGCGATGACACGAGCCGCCAAGCATGCACTTGGGCAGTTGGGCTGGACGGGGCCTTTAGGAGGGTGGGGGAGGAGGCGATTCCATCAATGTAGATACTCCGAGTGGGAAGATAACCGGGTTACAAGTCAGCCTTATAAATCACGGAGTCATGATGAAACCCATTGTCTCTCTGGGATCATTTGATGATCTTGTTGATGGATGAAGAAATGCGTCGTGGTTGTTTTTGTTTTGGCAGGCGGATGTCACGTGCTAGTCTCTGGTCAGCAGTACTCCAAGTCCAAGTGCTGTACCGAATATCTACACTCAACATTCGAGTTGTTGCAAGCACTTGAAGATGATAGGGGAATCCGTCAGAAAAAATAAAATCCTGTCAAATGGTAGATTGATGCGAGCCATGCAGTGGTAGTTAGCGAAGCTTTTCGGAAATAGGCAAGCGGCTGGTTGCCTCAGGCCGCACAATATGGGAAAACTGCGACGTCAATCGTATTCTACCTTCCTCTACCTGGAAAAATGAAGCTTATTGGGGATATTTCTATCTAATTGATATACAGGAATACTTTTCAAATATACATCACTGGTTGACCTTGGTAAAGTCCTTCTGTACACGGATGCCATGCAAAGGAATTTCATCACTGTTACGATCCACATCCTTGCCTCTCGGTCCCAGTACGTTGGTGACCATGTGGACATGGTCATACTCCGGTCGCAGAGACGCATCCAGCTGCTCGGGTGTCATGCCGTTCCCCGCCGAGTCGATTTCGTCGGGAAGATGATAGAAGGAGTGTCGCCGACTGTGTTGCGAAAGGCCCAGCCCAGTGCCCGCACCGTTGTTGGCTAAGCCGTTCTGACTGGGACTAGACTCACCAGTCTTGGACATGGGGCTGGTCCGGCTGCGGAACAGGGCCGGCATGGCACTTTGAATGCCCAGCGCGCGGACAATGCACTGAAGGGCGGGCCGCAAGGCTGGCAGGCAGGCGGAGACAATGCCAGCAGACATCTCGATCGCAGTCCATCCGACGGTGGGGGCGAGTGTGTACGAGGGATCAAGGGGGCTGTAAGAGAAGAGGACGCTGAAGCGATAGGCCGAGGCGAAGACGACACTATAGATATGAGTTAGTGTGTATAACCCTCGAAAAGAAAAAGAGAACGAAGACCCACAAGAATCCTAGGCCAAAGGCGACTGTCAAGGCCACCTTTTCCGACGGCCGCAATTGGAGCTTCCAGACCTGCGGCATAGGCAGAAACAAGATGGCTAGATCGGTGACAATGGTCGACACGGCATTGGCGATCCAGGTTCCGACCTGGTTGATGCAGCGACCCGGCAGATCAGGATACCAGAGCTTCTGGACGGGGACACAGATGAAGACAAATAGAAAGGTGATGCAGATGACCCAGAGAATGACAAAGGTGCCGATGATGTAGGCCCACCGCTTGAAGTAGGGGAAGTGGAAGATGCGGTAGTACATGAACAGAATGCTGAGCTTGGTCCAGACGAGGTTGAAGACGTAGAGAATCTCGGCGACGAGAAGGAATTTGGCAATCATCACATTGTTATGGATGGGGATCGTGTCGGCATGTAGTCCCATGCCTTCCTTGACCATGGCGAAGATGAAGCCGACGACCACAAGATTCCAGCCCTATGGGATTTGATGAGCAAGGATCATGTTTTTTTTGGGGAATCATCCGGAAGAGAAACTTACCATGGACCATACGATCATCCAGTCATCCCACCACAGTTTCTGTTTCCTCTCACACCGGGCCAACAGTCGCAGACAGACCATGACAAAGGCGAGCACCGTCACCGACACGGTGGTGGCCGTCACCCATGGCTGTAAAGAATCTTCATTGGCCATTGGGCACCACCAGCAACAACATAGAGATCCAAACCAAGATCAATCACACGTTGAACTCCAAAGGGGGAAAAAAAAAAGAGCACTGTCTGATCCGGACTACTGGGTCCCAATAGAATTAAATCCGCCCCCGGGTATTCTTAAGTGCCTGGGGGCGTTGCTCGTTCCAGCGCGACCAAGGCATATGATTGCCAGAAGGAGGAAGTAGATTGGCAGGACCTCGTCAATGACTCCATGCTCCATCATTCATACTAGTACTCCATAGCGGCAAACCCTTAGAAGGTTTGCTTCCGGTTCCACAGGCGGACAGACACCCATGGATGATGGGCGTGCAGCCACCACGCGTGACTCCAAGCTGACTTGGCAATAAGCCGAGAGGAGTGGATCAGTCAATTAGGTTGGCCGTTACAGTGCCAGAAACCAGCAGAGAAACCATTGACTGATCTAACCGGGCCAGGCTGCAGAAGAGTTGATCCTTATGGGCGCAAAGCGTGGCGATGTGGTGCGATTTCTGAAGAGCGTTAGAATGGTCCTTGTGAGTCGAAGAAAACTATTTTAATTAACTCCACCGGCTGGATTCTATCTACTAACTATCTCTATCTAACACTTCATTTTCGGGATCTGGGACTTGGGACTTGGGACTCAGGGCTTGAGGGATTCTATTTACTTCGTACTCTGTAAAGTCACTAGAGTACAGAATCATACATCACCACCTACTAATGTAATCCACTCCTGTCGTAGTAGGGTTCCAACTGTATGTAGGAAAAGCTGCAATGCTCGATCTCGCTTGGGGGGATCTACATGTGGAAATCAATATTAATTATGAGACATGGACATGAAACAGGCCGGAGTTTCTCCGTCAGTGGAAGAAAATATTGGTAGTGTAGTGGTTCATCATGCTATTCATTCGTTTACTGTCTCGACATCTCTCTACCGATTAAGCTATCTAATCGGATATTTATTATCTCTGCTTGTATTTATTGACCAGTTCCAACAACGCCGCATTCACCTCCCGGGGGTTGGTGGCATTGAGATAATGGGCTCCTCCCTCAACCATCGTCAGTTTCGCCTCTATGGATGAGGTGAAGAGCTGGATCTGTTCTGCCGGCACCGTCTGGCCGAACGGGGTATCCTCGGTGCCCTATCCGAGTCGTTAGGAACGGGAGGAGGCAGAGAGATGTTCGATCATTTATCAAGGAAGATCACTCACCTGCAGCCAGTACACTGGACACTTGATATCCCCCAGCCGCATGAGGAGACCATCCCGCGACAACAGACAGGCGACCGCCATGCGGACCTTCTTGCGGCCCTCGTCGCCCTTGTAGACCTGCCTCGCCGTTTCCGTCCAGAAAGCTGTCATTTCGGCAGTAGTTCCGGCCCCAAAGCCAATGCCACCGACCATGCCGCACCACACATCGTCGACCAGAAAATTCGGGGTTGGTACAGCGCTCGTCCATTTGTCGAAGAAGGGACGCAGGATGGGGGCTGGATCCCAGCAACCTTTCGATCGAGAATCGCTTGATTCATAGTCCATTGAGGTTCCCAGCGGCATCAGTCCGAGAATCTAAGGAGACCGTGATTTGGTGTCAGCCATTGTCCGGAATGAACTCGATAGATGTCCAGCTACATAGGGGGTTCACAAGCAAGAATACTGACCCGTTCAGGAGCCAACAAGGCCATGCGGGTGACAATCCATCCACCCTGACTCGTTCCCAGAGCAAAGGCCTTGTTGATCCCCAGCTTCTCCATCACTTGCAGCGCCATCAGCGCCGAATCCCAATAGGTGAAATGTTCCGAAGGGCAGCTGGTCGCGCCATGGCCGAGGGGCTCGATCGCCAGCAGGTTCATCACATCAGTCAGGGCGGTATCGTTGAACTGATCGCGGTATAGCGACACAGTCATGCACATGGAATTGATCAGGACGCATGTTGGCTTGGAAGGATCATAGCGACCGTTGGAGAGGGCATAGCCGGCTTGGATGCCGCCCAGATGGGGGACTTGGATAGTTTGCGATGCCGCCATTTCGATTCAACAGCAATGTAGACAAAAAGGAAAAGACCAAAAGATTCAGACCATCCAACACATTAGCAAACACACGACAGCTAGCAGACACTGTGGACTAAGTATGCGGTAGTCCCTCATACGATACGCATCGTGAAAATAAGGAAGCTCCATCAACCTCGGCGGATGCGAGCCGAACCTGTTCAACCGTTGACCGCTCCAGATCACCAGCCAAATCCCAGTGGACGGTTGGGGAGGGGTTTCTTTTCTTTCCTCTTCTTTTTTTTTTTTTTTTTTTAAAATGGCAATTATTGGGGGAAATTCACCAGAATGACACCAGGCGTCCAGGACAACTTGACAACACAAGTGATGGGAAATTGGGACTGAATATCACAATCGTTTGGGCCATTTGGAACCCGCTCGGCCCGCTTGGAACACGCCGGTCCTGTGCCCGTCTGAAGTCAAAGGTCCACTTGGGCTCAAATAGGTAGGAGACGATTCAGAGTCATGAGGCAGAATTGAAGAGTTTGTCCGGGATACTACGAAGGACGGAGTAGACAGTGCAATAGACCAAAAGTCTGATAAGTGGTAGTAGCTGGCAATCGGTAGAGGACATTAGGGTTGTGACTTGTGAGGCTGTTGGTGCTTGAGGAACTGGAAGAAGACGACCAGCAGGGACGAAATAGAGTTATGACAGGGTATAATCACCCATATATTTTCTTTACGCTAGACTAGACTCTGTCACTCTGCCAGTCGCAGATCTCTCAAGTAATTAAGTGCTTACCAGGTCCAGCTGCCATCAGGAATCCTGGTTCGTTTTCTGCAGGATGACCTATCAGTGTCATGGAGATTTTTCTCGTTTATTCGGTTGGCTGGAATGGAAATCAGCGCTCAGAGTAAGCCGTGTCTCCATTGCTCAACGGTTATCTAGAATTCTAGACAGTCTGGTGAGTGGTGGTCGAGCTTTTTAGTTCTTCTCGAAGCAGGGAAGGTGGATCGTGGTGATCGTTGCATAGCAAATTCTCCTAAGGGCAACATTGCCACCAATCACAATATAACAGATTCATCGCTTGCACATACTCTGGACAATGGGGGGGAAAGGGGGGAAAGGAGACGGATTCTGGATTTGTCGTTCTACTATCAAGTCTACCTACTCCGTACGCCAAATTCACTTTTTCTCCGGCAGGTCGCGTTGGTCAATCGTCACCCACAAATCCCGGTAGAACCCAACACCCCTTTGATCACGAATCGCGCGGCCGGTTTATCAATCATAGGAGTGATGTTGAACCGACGGAAGAACTAAGCCTCGGTCAGTAATGGGACTTGGAGTCAAGAGGGAGAAGTGAATCCGCAATCCGCATACCTGGAGTGGCCCCTTGTACAGCTCCATCATGGCAATCTCGCGGCCCAAGCACATTCTGGCTCCATAGCCGAACGTGAAGAGGTATTTGTTGTATACCTTGGCCTTGTCCGCATCCAGCCATCTTTCCGGCCTGAACTCTTCGGCATCCTCCCCGTACATCGCCGGGTTGCGCTGCATGATCCAGGGGTTCCCCGAGACCTCTGTCCCTGCGGGCGCAAACCGCCCGTATAGATCGAGACCTGGCTCGGAGACATACCGCGGGAAGATGTTGGGGGCCGGTGGATTGAGGCGGAGCGTCTCGCGCACGCAGGCCACGTAGTAGGGTAGATAGGCCGTGATCTCGTCGTACTGCGGGACGGGGTCTGAAAGGAGTCCTTGCGCGCTTACGCTGTCGATTTCCTTCATCATGCGACGGTAGGCCGCCGGATGGGTGAGCAAGAAGTGGATCAAGGCCTGGAAAACGGTGCCGGTGGTGTCGGCGCCCGCCAGCAGCACCAGGAGTACCTCGGCCTTGAGATATTCGATCTCCAGGGGGGAGCCATCTTCCGTACGGGCCTCGATAAAGGTCTGCAGCAGATCGATGCGACCAATATCCTTGTTCGCCTCGAGCTCGCGGAACCGCTGGTCAATCAAGCGGTCGCGGAAGCGCATCAGGATGCCGATGCCCGAGTCATCCTGGGGTGTCGCGACCAGGTATTTCTTCAAGAAAGTGGTCTTCACCCAGCTGGTGAAGGGGTGCAGGCGCGCCAGAAAGCCGAACGCAGGTAGACCGTCGTGGAAGCCCCGGATGAGACCTCCAACGTCTTTCGCCTGCTCGACGAAGCCAAAGGGGGCGCCGAACCCGATCTCACTGATGATATCGTAGGCCATGTACCTGTCCACCACGGTCAGTGTACCGGCATCTGAAATCAACCAGTGCGCGATGGACTCTTACACTGCCCACCAAGCGAAGTCAAATCCCTTGCCGGTCTGCGCAAACTTGTCTTCGAGTTTGTTGATCCAATCTTGAATGCGAACGTCAATCAAGGGTTCCATCTTCCTCACGTTGCTGAAGCTATACTGTTGGGGTGTTAGCGATCGTCTCTCCCCGATTGATTGCGCGATCAGGAAAAGGCTACCGGGCCAGCGACATGCTTGCGAAAGACCGCATGCGTCTTGTGCGATCGCATATTGAACAGTGACTCGGTTTCGCCAAAGGTACCCGTGATGTAGTGGCCGGTCTTGTCCGCATTGCGATGGTAGATCTCGGGCAGTTTGGTCGGGTCGCTCACGAGGAGAAGCGTGGGAGTGATTCGAACGACAGGGCCTGGCGAGGAATCCGTTAGCAGGGGCTTCAATGAAATCAAATACGAAGACACAAGTAAAAAATATACCATATTGCTTCGTCAGTGCGTAGACCGTGGGTAGCTCCGTTTCTCGCAGATTGTGCCATGCAATCCATAGTCTGGTCACGCTGCCCCAGAATGGCCCTGGGAAGACGGATAATGGATGGAAGAAGCGATAGTAGACAATCTGATAAACAAACTTAAGCACGACATATGCGACGAGGCCCAGGGTCACATTAGTCACTGTGACCTGGGACAGGAAGCTCTCTCCAAGGCCCATAGTGGTCAATATGGGCTGGGCATTCGGGGGACAGCTCGAGAGGAGAGGGGGGGTAAATCGGACACAAAACGCTCAAAGCAGAGGTCGTGCAAGCGAATTTCAATTGTTCCCTGCTGCCCGACTATCTGGCCATGATTGCGACCACGTAGAAGCCATGTGGATGCCCTAGGCTGGCGCGTCCTCATCATGGATAACAGGATTGGCAGCGGGACTTTGGTCTCTCTGGCTTGTCTGGCTAGCTACATGGCTTCGGGCTCGGGCGCGGGCTCGAAATCTAGAGAGGATTAATTCATCATTGATGCGCGAGAGTAGCGAGTCAGCTATGCAGAGGACCGTTGATTAAGGGCTGGAGAGTGCCGACAAAGTATGTCGACTAAGGCAGGGATTATTTCATGAGGTCATTATTGGAGGAGAAAGAAAACATCCCTGCCTGGCAATAGAACTAGTCAGTCCTGTTTAAGCTGTCTGCATCGATGCGAATATAGTTGCCTCCACCAGGTGAAATTCCGAGCGTTGCTTGGTAGAGAGTGGAGGTTGATTGCGCCATGTTTAGCTCCTGACTCGCGGCAGATCTGGAGGCAATATCGGGGACCGAGCGAGCATGCATTAAAATGGAAGTTAAAAAAAAAAAAAAAAAAAAGGGGGAGGATTCGTTTCCTGGCATGTCAGACCTCTATTCCCCGCCTTGTGGAGGAGTGGAGGGAGCGGGTGAGACAACCGTTGTGCAATTAGCACTTCCAGAGTGCCAGTCAGCTCTGTCAATCTGTCTCGCGTAGGCTTGGCTCTGGACTTGAGAGTTGAGGGCTTGAGGCGCTCCATGCCAGGAATTGAGAAAGGATGATAGGCTGGGGAGAATGGGACCACAGCTGCAGATCTTGGGGCCAACCTTGGGATTGTGATTTGGTCATTGATGTGATGTCTGGGCGAAGTAACCAGCGAATGTCCACATTATTGACAACATTCCATTGTCTAGGACGGTTACCTTACTCTGTAGTGGGAATTCAATGATCCAGAGGCATCCAGAGGTATCCTCATGCAAGCATGATCGAAGGGTTGGGCCGCTTGGTGCTCCGTGAAGATGGAATCCGTTTCCTGGTCCAATTGGCTTAATGGCACAGGCAAATAGCCCAGGAAGCAGATAGAGAAAAGCAGTCGATTGAGTTATCTGCGAAGGAGGATCAACGGGGAAATATATGAACTAGAACTGACCGCGAAGATATTCGGATCCCCAAGTCTGTACGTACAGTAGCCATGGGGATTCTCAGGACGCAAATGTGATGCATCTAGTCTAGCTGGAGAGTTGCATTTCCTGGATTCACTATTGGCTTGCTTTGTCCTCCATCTTGGATGCATCTCATTTTCTCCACTGTCTATCTATCTATCTATCTATTCCGTGGTCATACTGAGGCGATGGTCGGCGGTTGCCCATCCTCCCAACCGATTCCTCCGTCGGCTGTTACCAGTCAAGGTGGTCTTCTCCATCGATCCCGTTACACTAGAGAAAACTGATCGGGGCAATGAGCAAATTGATCGATCGAGTCCCTATTTCCTGTGTTGAATGAAACCCGAATTGTATCTGTGTCTGCACCGGTCCCACTTGGAGCGAGCGGAATCTCCATGCGATGTGATTTCGCGTCGCAGGTCTCGACTAATGCAGGCCGTCTTTCACATTACTACGGGTTGTTGGATGATAATCCCTGTCAGCGCGAGAAATGGGACCGCAGACAAAGTCCCGGCAGTGGAATATGGAATACGCCATAGATCCCTGACTCCGTCTACTGTAGGAAAGGGAAATACTATTGCTCTTGCTCCCATCCCGCCTTGCTGTTTCGGAACAAACGCTTGGTCTATCCATCAGGGATATGGTAGCAGACAAAGGGACACCATCTGCACGAGTCCCCGGAGAAAAAAAAAATCAAAACGAAAGAAAACAAAGTGCACCCAAGATCCGGAAGTCGGAACCAAGTCATCGGCTATCCTTAGTGCATCCTTGTTTCGCCATCTGATCTATCATTTCGTCCCCACCGTCGCTAGTTAGAATGCTGGAGGGTGTAATGACAAGAGGCGAGAGGATAAAGGACCGTTCAACCTCCTGGGCGTTGAGAGGATTTTCACCGTTAAGTCATTCTTTTGCCTTTTTGGCTCTCCATTATGGCTTCCGATTCCCAAGGACCCATCGTGGTGGGCATTGCCGTTGCTTTTGCCATTGAGACATTTATCGTGATTTGCCTGCGCCTGTTTGCTCGGATTGTGGTCCTGGAACGAGTGGGCTTGGATGATTGTAAGTACCTCTCAATCGTTCTTTTCTGAAATGGAGAATATGCCAACTGATTGATCCAGATCTCATCGTCTGCGCATGTGTATGCAGTCAGCCCCAATCTTCCTCGAGCGTTCTGTCCCACTAACAAGAACAGGTATTCTCGTGGACTTTCATCGCTGTCACAATAGTCGGTCAGTACAGTCTTCCTCGGCCTGTCGATATCCCAGCTCACTGTGTACAGCGGTTCAAAAAGGCCTTGGCTCACACTTGGAGGATGTGGACCCCAACAACCTCGTTTCCTACTCCTTTGTATGTTCTCATCACCATATGGCGGCAAAGGAGCTGATACTGACTGGATAGGTGGTCTGGCTGAGCTCCATGTTCTACCTGGCCTGCTTGGGCTTCATCAAAACCTCTGTCTGCTGGTTCTACACTCGCATTGGTGATAAGACCCTCACCCGGATGTCGTTGATCATGATGGTTGTGGTAGGCACACAAGCCGCCGTGTTCGTCATGGTCGCTGCCTTTCAATGTCGACCAATTTCCAAAGCTTGGAATGCAGAGTTGCCCGGTTACTGTGTTGAGATTAATGTCTTCTACCTATCCAATGCTGCGCTCAACATCCTAACCGATCTGCTTACCTACACCCTCCCGATCAAAGTCATCTTCAATTTGCAGATGCCGGTCAAGCAGAAGTTTGCGTTGGTTCTCATCCTGTGTCTGGGTCTCTTGTCAGTCATTTTGATCCATACTGATAGATGATAGCATTCTCACTAACGAGCTCTAGTGCGTGCATCTCCTCCATCATTCGTATCACCTACATTCCCACCATGCTCACTTCGGCCGACTTCACCTACGCCATCGGCGGGGCCATGTACTGGTCCGTGATTGAGACCAACGTTGGCATCCTGGCCGCTTCTATTCCCTCCTTCAAGGCCATCGCGTCACGCTTCTTGCCCCGACTCATCGGCGAGTACTCATCCGGGCGCAAGTACCGATCCGTCTCGAAGCTCACGGGATCGAAAGAAACACACTCGGGATTCTCACGATTCAAGGACAGCGTGACACTTGGCTCCCTGCGCGCCACAGAAGAGGAGGAGATGGCGTTGGGGACACAGATCCACAGTGGATATGGTCAGAATTCGAGCGAGGAAAGAATCGTGGTGCCGGACGGGAAGATCTGGACCACCACGGAGATCCAAACCAACGTCGAGGTCAGCCATGGTGACGTCCGATGATGATTGAATGGCCGTCGTATGATCCGACGTGCTTTTTCGTTGTAAAAATATCTGATCAATTGCACAGTTTTGACTCCTGTAGGTCCCGGCCATGATTCCTGAGGCAGAAACCATGCTGAGCAATCAAACAGCCTTAGAGAAAAGACACGGTGATCTGATTGGTTCGGATTGACATTCATCCATGGCACGAGTCTTGGCGAATAATATTGCCCGATCGGGAAGGCCTGTGGCGTCTGGAGTCACGATGGTCTGCTTGAGATCGCCGAATTGCGGATGGTTTTTACTTCTTAGGCGAACCCTACAGTGTCACGGAGTAGATGATCTGTAGGATATTATGGCATGTCCATTGTCAAGTCAGATCGGTGACGGATGAACTGCGCGGGGTTGACTGATTCTATAAAAGCCGCCCCCGTGTTGTACTTCATCATCTTCCACTCACCAAACTTCAAGATCACCTACTTCTACTGATTCAGTGTCTCCATCTCGCAAACAAAATGGCCTCTGTCAAGTCCTTCCGTCAACTGATTGGAGTTCCTCCTTCCTCGGCCTCCGTCAAAGATTCGACCCTGATCATTATTGACGCCCAGAACGAATACGCCACCGGCCTGTTGAAGACTGTCAACGTCTCGGAAACCCGCAAGGCCATCGCGAACCTCCTAGCCAAGTATCGTGCTGGCGGTGACGGCAAGAACATCGTGCATGTCGTTCACGAAACACCTCAGGGTGCTCCGCTCTTCACCCCCGGTACCGAGCTCGCCAAGGAGTTTGACGAGTTGACGCCCCAGGCGGGCGAGAAGGTGGTGACCAAGAACCATCCTAGCTCGTTCGCCCACACCGATCTGGACGATTACCTCAAGGGTCTTGGTGAAGTCGGCAAGAAGATTGTCCTGGTGGGATACATGTCCCATGGATGTGTCTCCTCCACGGCTCGAGCAGGCAGTGAGCGTGGATACGACGTGGTGATTGCGAGAGATGCAGTGGGAGATCGCGATATTCCCGGCGTCAAGGCTGATACTCTGGTGTCGGTCGCGCTGAGTGAGTTGGAGGATATTTTTGCGACGATTGTGACGACAGATGAAATCGCATAATGCTGTGACAACCGAAGAAATCTGAATTCGATAGTTTGAAGTTGTTTGTACAGAATGAGGATTATATATATCGGCTATTAGAAGGTATCCTGATGCCTATCAGAAGGAAGATCTATCAAACATGCCATTATTAGTGATTTTCAATTGAAATAGAAGACTTGATCGTTCTCGTGTGTATTTTCTGAATTACTTGATAATCATAATAACAACAATAATATATATCTACCTTTTCGATGATCGCATGTGTCTTACTGATCGTGGTATTCTGATCTCCTCAGCCCTGTCTCACCAAGAATCATGGCTGCCTGCTGATCCTGGTTGCTTACATGGTCTAGGCAGCATCCTGAGACTACAGAGATATTAAATAGGTGTATCTTCTTTACCAGGTTCGCACAGTAGCACAATTTATTCAAGACCGTCGATAATAATGGCAACCATTGGCGTTATCGTGTGTAGCCAGCGGAGTCCCCGAGCTGGACTGCAGATCACCAACTTTGTCACCGACACCATCCAAGAAGCATTTCCCAGCGCAGCTCTGCGGCTGGTTGACTTGGTTTCCTGGGATCTCCCGCTTTACAATGAACCTGGCATTCCCTCTCAAATTACTTCAATCGACGAATACACCCACGAGACAACAAAGGCCTGGTCCCGGGAGATCGCATCCCACGCTGGCTTCATCTTCGTCACTCCGCAGTATAACTGGGGATACCCCGCCAGCGTGAAAAATGCGATTGACTATCTATTCCACGAGTGGAAGGGGAAGCCCGCCATGATTGTCAGCTACGGAGGCCATGGAGGGGGAAAGGCCGCAGAGCAGCTGCAGCAAGTTTTACAGGGTGTTCGGATGCAACCTGTCGAGCCTCTCGTGGCCCTGACCTTTCCAGACAAGGAATTCACGGGCCGAGCCAGCAGGGGAGAGGATTTGGGTTTAATGGAGGCACAGGGTAAAGGTCTATGGAAGGAAAAGCGGCAGGAGATTCATGCGGCATTTGAACGGTTGAACGAGTTGGTCAATGCGGAGTATTGAGGGAAATACGCGATCCCAAACAATGTCAATATGTACTGACTTCCTCGGTCGAGTGGTAATGTATATCTGGTGCCTTGGTCGAGCCATAGTTGATAGGCGGGATGAGAATCCGACCCACGCCAGAGGAAATGACACCGGATGATACAATTGGAAAATTCCATCATATACACTTCGCTATTCTTGCGTGCTAGCTATTCATCTCAGCAAACGCATCGAAGCAAAATGTCCAGCTCGCATTTCAAACTCGAATCGCCGGGCTGGGAGCAGCAATTGGACTAAGAAGGAAAGGCTACGAGGTCAATGTCTACAAATCATACCATGAGGTCCACGCCGTTGGGGCTGGCATCCAATTGCCTCCGAATTGTTCTCGCATCCTCAAAAAAGTACGGCATCGGGGAGAAGATCGAGGACTACGCCGTGTGGCTAGGCGCAATCCAGCTCCGTCGGTATGCCGATGGCAAGGAGCTTGGGAGCACGTAGCTACGATATGTGATGACCGAGCGCTATGGATATCCGTCTGGCATTCGTTCTTTACGCAGGCCCCAGGGAAGCCTCTGATGACATATTCGACAGATTCTGGCTCATCCACTGAGCCGATTACCAGCGAGCTCTGTACGCCACAGCGATAGAAATCGGAGCGAATATCCATGTAGGCATGCGGATTGAACCCGTAGATCCAATGAGGCCATCAATAAAGATCAAAGAGACCGGAGAGGTAATAAAGGGGGATCTGGTGATTGCGGCAGATGGTAAAGCCTCTATCCCCTCCATGCTCTAGTGAACCAGATATCTCTGATCTGGCTTAGGAATCCGGTCCTTGATGTATGTCTTGCCGAGTGTCTGTCGCGAGCCAAGTCGTTCGACTGGATTCCCCTGGCCACGCACGCTTTTGAAAAGATCCGCCAGGAGCGCGTCGAGTATATCAAGGACGTTGCCCGCGATCACGGAGGTGTATGACAACTGGATGATGGACCCGAGCAGCAACAGCGAGATCTGGACATGAAACACGGTCTGACCGCACTGGCCAGCGACCAGCGACCATCCGGGCCAAAACCCACTGGTCTGGTCTGACCCGTCATTCCAACCATGGTTGTTCGGATATGATACGACTGGAGAATCCAACCAGCGGCTGGATACTTTAAGTGTAGCCTAGATCAGTTAGTCTACTATTAGTTGGTAATGAGAGAAGGAATTGGAACCAGCAATCAAGACCATAAGGGCCGACCCATTGGCTGAAGCACTGAGACAGGTAAGCACTAACATAGTGATGTGGCTGAGTATGTACGATAAGTGCCAAGTGAGGTTATTCAGCAAACGATGGTCTATGATGATGATGAATCGTTCTTCCCTATAGGCGTCAAAAGGTTACAAAGACCGTCCACAATGAAGCATAAGAGAGCCAACCATAGAAAATCCAGGACTGGGTGCATCACCTGCAAGTGCGTATCAGCTTTTCTCCCGAATGCGCCGTCTCTGACCTCACAGGATCCGGCACGTCAAATGTGACGAACAAAAGCCTGAATGCCAGCAATGTACCAAGACCGGTCGCAAGTGTGACGGCTACGATCCAAACCGCACGAATCCACAAGCCGAACAGAAGAACACTGCTGTCGAAGGGGCGGCAGATGTGAGGACCCAGCTCGGGGTCGACCAGCGTCTTGTCCTGCGGCCAGGCACTCGAGAAGAGCGCCGGTACATCGACTTCTTTTCCACCCAGACATCGCGAGCACTGGCGGGATTCTTCAACTCGAATCTCTGGCGCTCTTTTCTGCCCCAACTGAGTCACTCCCAAGCTGCTGTTAGACATGCGGTGGTCGCCTTGGGCGCTCTCCACGAATATGTTTATGTCCTTCTCGCTCGAGGCGACTTCGATCCCCGACAGAAGCTCCCCTTCCAAAATGAGCAGTTTATTGTTCAGCAGTATAATCAGGCTATTCGCCATCTGGTGGTACATCTCGCATCGCCGAATCAGGTGCCACACTTAACGTTGATAACATGCTGTCTGTTTATCTGTCTGGAAATTCTGCGAGGGCAGCATGACAGGGCTCTGGACCATATCGAGTCTGGCTTGAAGATTCTCCGGCGTTGGCAGCCTGGAGATCAGCGACAGGCGCAATCCGACGGGCTGGGCCGCGAGCTCTCGTACATGGGCATTCGCTGGAATATCCAGCTCTCCATGTATGGGCGACAGATGATCTCGCTGGATTTTGCCCAGGCAGACGATGCAGCTGCAGCGTCACAGCAAATCTCATTCAGCACTATCGCAGAGGCCCGGCATGCCCTGGATCTCCTGATCAACCGAACGATGAGTTTTATCCAAACCCTGGGAACCGACACGAGTACGCAAGGTGCACTATGGCAACAGCAACAACAGCAGCAGCAGCACTCCCTCCAGGAAGAAATGAAGTTGTGGCTGGACTCTTTCGAAAGTCTGATGAGGCGATACGGTCAGAGTCAGAAACAGAACGATCCGCGCGCGCCGGTGCTCCTTCGTATGCATCACCGCGTAGTTCGACTGCGGCTGGACGTGTGTCTTTCGCAGAATGAACTCGTATATGATGAGCATGACGAAGACTTCGAAGCAACCATTGCATATGCCGAGCAACTAATTCATCTTAGCGGTACCCTTGACCGGGACTCGTTGCTGTACGTCTTCTCGCTGGAAACCGGACTCATATCTCCGCTGTACTACACAGCCACCAAATGCCGCAAGCCCTTGATTAGAAGACAGGCGATCCGGCTTCTGTACCGTTCTCCACAGAAAGAAGGCCTCTGGAGTATGCGGCAGTATGCCCGGATCGCCCAGGTCGTTGTGCAGGCCGAGGAGGAGCATATGGGTGATTTACCAGTGGACCAGCGCATTCCGGTAGACAATCACCGTGCCTACAGCGCAAGCATTGAGAACAGGACCTGTCAGTCTTGCAGATTGATCTTGATGAGGAAACCAGAGGGATGTGATGCAGCGTGGCGCTCAGACAGCAGACACGTAAATTTCGTGGGTGAGGATATCCAGTTGGAGGGCTTGTGACATTACTGTTAGGGAAATCAGATAGGCCCACTGGTCTACAAGGAAGATGGAGATACATATAAGTTATCACAATTCACCATGAAAATGGCTCATTTTGTTGCCTAAGAATGAGATACCTAGTAGTACCTTGTCAATCCTACTAGGCTAGGGCTGCTTCAGGGTTGTTTACGATGCAGCCAATGGGAAGTCATCACCAGTTACATTGCGGATTACTCTTCAGCTGACATGGATTAATAGTATCCCAATGTGTCTAATATAACTTCAATTGGTGGTAGCTAGTTTCCTGGCCTACTAGCTAGCACTCTAGAACATGGCAAGTCTGGATGACTCTGTAGTATTTGAAGAAGAGGCCGCTCGGGCAGATATTGTGATTCGTACGCAACCTTCGAGTGTGTGCTTTGCATCCGATTAATCAAACTATAGATAAGGCCGACTCTTCTGACCACGTCGGGGCAGCCGATGCCATTGCTAAAGGACTTGTCGCGGGCCATACACCCCAGAAAGCTGGGTACTGGCTACACACCGTCGGCACCGGGATCCTTACCTACTTTGATTCCGAGGTGAAAAAGACCTTTGGTGAGCATGACGACAAAATCTTCAACGACTAGGATGGTGTAGACGAACTCGTCAACCTTCCGTCAGCTGCGTTCCATCTCAATGTCGACGATATTGTGCTCAATACCGGTACGCAGCATGCCGGCCGGCATGGTCATAACGGCGCTTGTCTGTTCTTCCACCATATATGGAGAAGGAAGGGGGCCGATTTTTGTCGTGGACGACAGGTCTACGGAATAGCATCCTCCTAAGCAAGAGACTTGCGCAGTATCTCTATATATAGGCTAATGGAGGGACACAGTGGTATCAAACATAAAAAACAAAAAAGGAAAAAGAAAAGAAACAACTATCAGCTACATCAATTGCGAATTCTTCACGTTGTGATGGTGACAATCTTCCCCCAGTATGAATTGTCCTGTCCATATGGGCGCACCGTCTTTTCGAACAACCACAGGCCCACTTCCTTGCGACTGATCACATATCCCACCAAAGGACTCTCTTCTGTCCCTTCCTTGATCTTCCCCAACCCATTCCCCCCTCCGTCATGGAGCAGGCTAGCCCGCACGACGATATAATCCTGGACGCCCTTCTCATGCCCTGGCCTATTCGCCTCCTCCAGGATCAGGCTCTCCATCACCCTCTTGTCCTCATGGGGCACTTTCAGCATCCAGTGATACATTGGCCACATGGCGAGAGGAACGTCCCGTCTCCCACTACTGATGCCGGTAGTGCTAAGGACAACAAGTCGCGGTTTGTTCATTGAGGAGCGTGTAGCGGTCAGTATCGTACGGATGGCATCCTGGCAGATGGTCGGGTTGTCAATAGTTGGTCTGAGAAAGGTATCGAACCGCATCTGGCCGCCAATTCCAGAGATGATTAAATCAACTGGATGACCGCGGTACAACAGCGTCCGTTGTACTGCCTCGAGATCCATGACATTGCCAGTGACCACGAAGAGCTTGTCGGTGACAATTGACTCGGACACGCCGCGGCGTCGGAGTAGGCCATGGAGCTTGGATGGATTCCGGACCACTAGATTCAACGATTTAGCCTTGAATGAGTGTGAAGGTATCATCTTTCCCTACAGGCTGTGCAGCGGTATCCCGACTCCAAAGCTAGCACCAGGCAGGCGAGGACGCAGCCTCCCGTGGCTCCAAAGAATGCAATTGTGGGTTTCTCAGACGGCATGTTGTATTTAATGAAATAGATATCTGTACTCTAGTCACTCGAAGGGCCGAGTGCGGTTGTTATACATATTGTATTGCTGGCCGTATTGTTCTCCCGTCGGCTCGTTTATTGGAGCGAATCGGCGCAATTCAACCTCCGACGGGCTGTCAAGCAACAGATGTGCAGTGCAGACGGGTCAAAGACTGAAATATTAGATGATTCTGCTACTAAGAGAAATTTGAAGGGGGAGAACAGAGCAGGCCGATGAAATGTCTGTCCTGAAGGTTGTGAATTTTGTCCAACGCAGGCCGAGCTCACCACCACGATGAATCATGCCTGAGTTAGCGGAGCTACTGCTTCGTAGTCCAGAAAAACTAACTCACCAACTGCAAGTATAACTTGACCACTGGACAACACTGGAAAGTTATCGTTGCCCTCATAATGACGGTTGCATGCAGCTGAAGCTCGACAGAGCCGAGTGTTGTCTTGCAGCACAGAGGTCCACCCAAGCAGGATTAGAGCATGTACTATGGCCTTTGTGATATCGCCCGAGTCAGGATGGTCAACTGGTAGGCGGAATTAGTTCCCGATCCTTGATATACATCCATTGTGAAGTAACAGCCAACAAGCGCATAATGCGCGGATAATAGCTATGGTGGCAACTTCAACCGGACGATCAAGGACTAGCGATAGTTGCCTCGAGTACAGATGTTCTCCGCACAGACGGGATATCACCTGCATTACGGAGTAGTTCTTCATGCGTCGTCAGCTGTCTCAATCTCGGTAGTCTATTTCCCATTGGTCCTATCTTACTGGCCGCTGATGCCTCAAGCGGACCGGACCGTCAGAGCCGTGGCGACTAGGTGAATTGTGAATGTTGTTGAGCTAGAATCGGAGATGGTCAAGTTGTAGTTTAAGGCCCTTTGCTTGATTATTGACCCTCGCATAACGTCAATGCTCTGTAGGAATGGTAGACACAAATTGCCGAGCTTCCTCAAAAGAGTAATGCGGAGGTTCATGCAGGGCTTAAGGGAGAGAACAGGGTATGAACCCGGAGAGATATGCATGGACTCAGTGGCGGCAAACGTTGAAAACGTACCTTCGACGTCGTTGATGGAGCTCGTCTAACCCCTTTGAATGCTGGGGCATGGATACTGCAGGTATGAGATCACCATGCATTGGACGAGGGACAGTGCTCAGAGGGGTCATTGTTGCTAGATGAGAGCTTCTTTTCGGAGGAACTCTCGAGAGAGTCTGAAATTCATGACTATAAAACCTCCCTTGAACTGCCTCATAGGGCATCGAAGACAGGACATCGGTCTACCACAAAGTTGCGATTTCCTCCAACTTAAACAGCATTCAAGTTGAAATCCAAATCCAAATCACATGGCCTATAATGACTACCAACGATGTCTGGAAAAACTTGGTCAAGGCCCTGCGCGCCCTGGATCCGTTTGACTTTGGCGCCTGGGCAGATCGATTGCATAACAAGCTCAAATGGGAATATAACAACCGTGGGCTCTTCAAGTACATCGAATCGGCACCTACGGACCCTGATGATCATGAAACCGACCTTGACGGGGTCTCTGCCTTGAATGAATTGGAGAGACTGAGCGTGTCTGTCGTAGCTGACTGTGTTTCCCGGGTCGACGATGACAAGGACTTCTATCACTATAAGGCTTACATAACGGAGGTTAGTCCTGAATTTCCTCGACGCTCTCTAGCATGTACCTAATGAAGAGAATAGGAGAATGCTGTATCCCGCTTTCTCGAGGTTATTACAAACCTCATGCCTTTTTGTCTGGGAGAGCATGTTGACAGACATCTAGACAGCCAGGGTCTCCCTAATATAAACGCCATGAAACAGATGGAAGGGTTCCAGGACGTTGTGATGGGAAACCTAACGAATGAGGAGTTCATCAGGGCAGAAATCCAGTTCGATGAGTCAAACGAAAGCCATCTCTTCAGCATCGCGATGATTCTGTTGGCGGATTACCTCCAGTATAAGCCCGGCGCCCTACCTGGATTTGGTCCGGCCGTTGAGGAGCGCAACAGCTATAAGATTCTGCAGGCCTGGTCTCGGGTACACTGGGAGTCGGCAGCCAAAAATAACCCGGACAAGATGGACCAGCTGCTTACTTTTTGCGGTAACATCTCGAACATCTGTTTCTGCCCAGAGACTGTCACTGGTTTTGCTCAGCCTATGCCGACATTCGATCTAACGAATGGGCTGTACAAGCTGATCGTCAATTCATCACGCGCAAGGGGCGCCACTGCGGATCTTTCATACATTGAGGATGTGGAGACCAGCTTAGCCCGGCTCGACGCGAGGCAAGATGTGGTCAATGAATGGAAAACATATTGTGAGACGTTGGAGGCGAATTTCCGCACACGGCATATTCCCAAGTGGCAAGCCGGTGTGGATGCTGCCTTCACGGCGACGGACTGGCACGGGGTGAGCGAATGGGCAGTTGGATGTCGGTGATCAACTCCATTCTTTAGTTGTCCCAACTGACAAAGGATGTGCTATAGCGTACAGGATCGAGGAGAACGCATTGTACTATACAAATCCGTTTATACGTGTCTTCTATCAGATGCCGCCCGACCACCGTCTATTGACTGAGATGGGTTCTTACTGTCTTGCCGACTCCCAGATTGAGCAAGTCGACAGTCAAATGTGCCCTGTAAATGCCGTCAAACCGGGGATGCAGTTGCTGGGTCTGGCGGATCCATCCGAGAGGATCGAGACAAAATATGGTAGTGGTTCTCGCCGGATGAAGACGCGGTTGATTGGATTCAGTAAGTTGATTACATGATGGAGAAATCCAGGCTAAACATCAGGATAGATGGAGAAAGCCCCTTTACTACACCTGGCCAGGTGTTCTGTACCACCACGGGTCTGCGTGCAGTTGATCCCAAAGCCGCAAAGGAACATAATCCCTTTGTCCGAGTTGGGCAGCTCTCCGTCGGACATGTCTTGTACAAACTGGACGACCGTTCTAAGTATAGTCTTTTTGAGATCAAGTCGATCGAACAGACAGAGCTCCAGCTGCAAAATCTATATTATGTATCTCTCGAGGGCGAGAACCGGTCGTACCACGCAAACGGATACTTGGTCTGCACAAACAGCTCTGCATCTACACTAAAAGCGGCGGCGGACCAGCTACAGAAGGTACCAGAAGGGGAACTGTTTGCTCATCTGGCCAAATATCCCGAATTGGTCCCATTGTTTCGGAAGTATGACCGTGCCACTATCCGCGAGAGGCTCAAGAACGAGCTTACAGCAGAGTCGCATGCTTCGGGCCACAAGCCTATTTACCAAAAGATGCTTAACGGCCTTCCCATGGAGAGGCTTCAAGGGCGTTTCCATCTCATTGCCCATAGGCAAGCGCAATTACCAGATGGGTACCAGCTTCCGGAGCTCAGTATCCTCGACGGATGCATTTCTGCTGACGGTGGGGTCCAACCGAGAACGACATTCGATTCTCGCCGGCGTACGTTCCGCTGGACGCGAAAATTGGCGCAGCCGGGGCAGATGTTCGAGCATGGTCTCGTGCAGATCCTTGAAGACGGGCATGGCGGACCCGGGGTGGTCTTTCTATCCCCAGAAGCGGACCCGACTGAGGTAGTGAAGGACTCGATTCATACATTCCGCGCTCATGCCACTGGCTCTGCTACCAAGAAGTTGACGGGGCTGGCGGAGCAAACTCCTGGATTTCACAAACAGAGTACCTTTACGACAACCTTTGACCAAGGTCCATGGCCGGCTGATGATGATTCCACCGATCTCGTGAATCCAATGACCGGACTCGAAATTGATTACGGGGTGTACATTACCGAAGAAGGATACCAGGTGGCCACCGTTCGTGTGCCCCTGCTCGACGAGCTACAACAGAAGTTGAATGAAAAGTTTAACAAGCAGCTCGATCCGCTATATCGCGCCACTTGCATTGTGACCAAAGACGGATTGACCCGGGCTACAGTGCAGTTCCATCACTCCCAGCTCGTTCCGTTTATCTCAAGCGCCGGGTTGGATGTCCAGAATGTGTTTAATGTGAGTTTTGCGTCGGAGGTGGGACTGAGCAGCACCCTGCCGATCCTTTTCCAAGAGCTCTATGTCGATCTGGACTTTATGCTGTTTGAGACGACCGGTGCTCTGTACGAGTACAATCCTGGGGTTCGTGGCATGAAGGGAGAAAGGTAGGAGAGAAACTCCTAAGCCTGGAGCCACCCGTTGACCTTCACAGACATCGAATCACCGGCGACTCGAGCTTTGAAAAGAAATTCTTCAACGACCTGCGAGCCCAAGTATCGCATAGTCTGGCGCCATACTCCAAGCCCGGCGTGTCCGATTCATCGATCAGCCCAGAGCGGCAGCCAGCAGCCATCACGGAGCGATTGTACGGCGAGCAAGAGAATGATATCACTGATTTGATCACGCTGATAGGATATGATGATCAAGATGCGAGTGAATTCTAGACTATCAAAAGGGAAGATCCGTGTGAAGATCTGACCGCACTACCACGACAGGTTCACAATGCCTCCCAAGCGATCATCCACGACATGATGTTCTACCATATGAACGATGACGATCGCAAGAACTTCACCAGTGGGAGCAAGCCGAGCAACCTGCCGTCCGAGCTGGCCGATGGCTTGTCGCAAGAGCTGAAGGATTTCCTGCGCAACAAGTATGCTCCAGCGTATCTGTGCCGGTCCTTTGCCGCCAACGAGCACTATGAAGGCAAGTTTACGCTCAAGGAGCGCAAAAAGCTCTGGTACTGGTGGGAGGGCAACGGCAACAAGTGTCTGTCACAATCGAAGGAATACAATGATCTCAATAACCTGGCGTCAATCCAGGCGATGAAGCAGCTGCATGGGCCTGTCCTCAATCAGTTCCTCGCGGATGGACCAGAAGCCTGGGCAGAGAAGATGCTTAGTGCGCTTCAGACAGAACCGATCATGGATTACTATATGGCAAATCCCATTCAAAAGGTACGTATGAGCTACCCAATATCGGAATATCAGCTGATCTCTGATTCCGTATCACAGAAGCAGAATAGGATTAACAAGCAATGCTGCATCATGAACACCCTCTCTCCGCTGGCAAAGACGGCAGATCAGTGGTCCGGGAACATAATGATCTATGCTCACAAGATTGGCCTGGAATATCCTTGCATTAAGGAGGACAATCAGACCGCTGAAAGGTGGCTCCGGGAGTCGTTGACCACATTGATAGTGGGTGCCATCAACAATGACAGCGATATCCCCAACGGCGTACGAGGCGCATTACTTGGGGATGTCGAAGAATTTGAAGCTGCCAACGGCCTCGACAGCAGCAGTTCGGGTGAACAACGAGCCGCGGCGATAATTGAGAAACAGTCGGCTGCCATTGACGAAGCCAAAACCTGGATCACGGCGGTGGACAAGGATGTCGAGTCAGCCTGGATTGGAACGCGACTATACCAGTGGCTTGGAAAGGCTTGGGAATCAATCTATGGCAAAGTCAGCAGCACAATCGAAGGATCAATGGTCCTCAAAGGGCTCTACACTTCCGCTTTGGTAAGGCAATCTTTGTGGTAAAAAGAGGTGGCATGGCGCTTAACTGACGGGCTAGGGCTCATTGTTTATCGGTTATGGAATCTACAAGATCGCTGGGTTGATTCAGGATTGGGACGCACTGGATGACGCGAAACGAGCACAGGTCATACTGGAGTCACTAAAGTCCGTCAATAGTGGCGTGGAGAGCGTCCTTGAATCGTGGAAAGTGTGGAAAGGGAGAATGCAGACGGTGGAGCTTGACCAAATCGAAGTGGCCGCCATCGACCAAGGGGTCTACCGTGCCCTGGATGAGAACGGCGATTCCATTCTTTCCATGGCCGACGATGTCAATGGCACGAGGGGCTGGCGCCAGTCAGTTGCGGAGCATATCAGCGGCGACGGTGTCCCGACGAACGTCGAAGGCGAGAAATGGAGCCAAGGTCTCGATGATCCGCTGGATGATGTGCCACCAGGCGGAGCAAAGACGGTCGAGGAGTTCAGCCTTACGACCAAGGTCCTCAAAGGGCTGAATGCCATTCTTGGACTGGGCGTGGCTGTGGCCATGACCTTCAGTCTGATCCGGGATTGGGACAGTCTGGACACCAAGAACAAGATCATCAACACCTTGGTTCTGGTTACCCAGGTGCTGACCGTCATCCTGGATGTTGTGAACCTGGGTCAGATGGTGGGTCTTTGGACGGTGACAGGCGCTCTTGGTACTGCTTTGCCCATTATCGGAGCTGTGCTGGTGGCCATTGGCGTCATCCTATCCCTTATTAGCTTCCTGGTCAATCTGTTCTCTCCTCCGAGCCCTCCGCCACCTGATCCAGTGGAGGACTACATCCAAGATCACGGCAAACCGCTTATCTCCAACTTCACCGATGCCCCAGATGCGAAGCTCGTCTACACCATCTCGACGGACGAGGTCAACACCGGAAGTACGATGACCATCGCCATCACAGCAACCAACGAAACCAGCAGCGAGGTATCCCTTGTAGATACGCGTGTGACCCTGCTCAGCGGAGGTAGCGACGACTGTCTGTTCGAGGATCCAAATCCCATGACACTTGTGTCCGCTGATGACCCTGGCCGTGATACCAGTGGACATGTCTATGTGGCCCCAGCGGACGAGGGAGACGGCACGCTTCCGCCCCCAACAGAGCTCGGTTCCGAGAATCAATATTTCGAGTACGGGTTGAAGGTTGCAGGGCGGAAAGATGACACGGAGAATGTGCTGCAGAAATTGGTTCTACAAGCGGGGACGAGTGTGAAAACGATGTGGACGGCGAAAGTGAGCAGCAAGACTGGAAGAAGCAATGTGGATGTGGTGGAGAACTGGGGAGACGACAAGAGCCATGTGCAGTTTCCCATTCACCGGGTTTGATCCGGCATGGGTTTATGATTGAAGATGTTATTACTGTTGGGATTTGAGAATGTCAATAGTATGATCATTGATAGGTAAGACATTCATCAGACATTAAAATATTAAACCATGTGAATCCAATTACTCCTCGTTGATATCATGTATTTGGTAGAGATGTAGGGTAACCAACCATTCACCCGCGACTGAATCTATATCAAACCCATTAGTACCTAGGAGCTGGCTGAAAGGAGATTAAACGTACCTTCGTGAGAATCTCTGCCTCCATCCTATATGCGCCCTCGAACTCGACTCCTTGTTCGTCTCGTCTTGGTGCAATCTTATCTTTTGAAAGACGGCTTCCACATGGGCCGGGTCCAGATGGCGTGGATTCGACTCGCGACGAGGCTTGGGGACGCCCAGTCCGTAGCAGTCAGGCCCGAGGAGAGGATATGGGAAGGTCATTGTGGACAGTTTGGAAAGGTATCTGCGGCGACTGACTGGAGTGTAGATAGATGATTGACTGTGTTTGAATGTCGAGGAATAGGCGGATCCTCGACTCTTTATATATAGCTCGGTGGATTTCCTGATCATGGGGACAATATCACAATTCAACACAAGCTACAAACCAATCGTAATGGTTGTGCACAACGCGGTGGAATGCTTTAGTCTGCCAGGCACTTGATGTGGTCTGATTCGGGGGTCATTTAGCTGGCATTCTGGGCCTGGGTCTTTCGCCTCTGCGACAACCTGCATAGAGGCTAGGGAGATCGCCTCGGAATGTATGCGATCATCCCATGTATTCATTCATGCTCATATCCTACTAGTAATAACCCACTGGATTTAATACATGATTCACTACTACCCTTTCTTTTCAGATGACTGTTGTGGTGAGAAAGGGGTGTTTGTTTGTATTTGTATGATAGTGACTTCCTGACTCTTAACAAGGGTGTCCATTGAATGGGTTGTTTGTTCTTTCTACTCCATGGCAAATGAATAACAGAGCCATAGACCGGAGTGCAACCTAACCTTCGTTAGGTATATGACCAATGAATATGTCAAGGTGGAAGCCTAGTATCCAACCCATCTGGATTTCTGCCTACAACGACTTATAACAGTTTCAACCCCCATTGCATACCCTCACTGATCTGGTCGACAGCTTTCACTTCTTCCTTCCTGGGCAAAGATGTCGACTCGACAAGGACTCTCCCGATCCACCTAGAGGTTCTGATTCTGAGTTGACCTACGCGTCCCCAACTATCCTCAAGCTGAAAGGCGCTGACGATGAGAACGTTGCCCGGCATGAGAGAAAGAAGCGGGCACGAGCCTAAGGGAGCAAATGGGTATTATTTCAAGAAATGGCCCATTCCTTTCTGCTCGTTCGCCAGTTGCGATACGACAGAGAATTTGCTAGAATTTGCGTACTGCGTGTTGAGAGAGCAGAGTTCCATGGCCATAATCTTCAACCTCGTCGCCTCCGCATGTAGACTATGGCTCGGTATATACTCGAATGATAGCTGAGTGGTACTGGATATCCATGTTCTTCCCGAGCCCTCAGCCCTTTATCTCCCTTCATACCGATTTGCATGCCTGATGAACAATCATGGAATCTACCCACCAAGCGCCGGCCAGGCCGCATCCACCCCCGTATCAAATCCTAATGACCATGATTCGTCGATGAATGGCCACTGCAGCATTTCTGTCTCAAGATCATGAAACTCCTGGAGCGGTGCCTGATCTCGCACTGTCAATCCACTGGTCCTACCCGGCACCACTGGCTGCTGGACCGTTGCTGTCGTTGCAGCGGTCTCCCGCTGGGAGCGTCGAGGCGGCTCTGGTCGCGGTCGTGAGCCTCGGATATCCCCATACTCATCCAAAGTTCCGGCAATCGCGAGGTGCCCGCCCTCGCGCACGTGGGTTTGAGTATCCCTCGCGAGTTGATAGAATCGGTTCGCTTCTTGGACAGCTCGCCACTACTTCGATTAGCCCTGGCAGCAGCAAATCAATGGCGGGCGAGATACTTACCCAGGTTTGTCCTACCGGCCAGAATTCGCTCAACTGTTCCAAGTATGCCAGGTTGGCTGTTTTCTCCCGTTCAGCCCGCTCCCGACCGCCGGGGTACCGTTGAGGACACACGGTGCCGTACATGTTGATGTGAGCCGCCACAAAGATACTGAAGCCAGAGTATGGGGTAATCACTGGTGCTCCGGAGACTTCCAGTGCGGAAAGGATACTGCCAATGTTCTGTGCCGCCTCGAAAAGCTGCCGGATGGCCTGCGACTCGTCCACGCCATCAGCCTGCTGGAGCTGTTGTAATACGTCGGTGTGGAGTTTGAGGCTAGAGAGGAATTGGTCGCGGTAAAGGAAGAGGATGCTGCCAGTTACTGTCAGCGATGCTCGGGTGTTGATGCCCAAGAGTCACACTTACCTCATAAAGTAAACCAGGTTGATGTACGCAAACAGCTCGCCATACCCAAGGGCCACATGCGCCTGCGCACTGGTCGCTGGGTATCGAACTGTGACATCTTGTAGATACCGCCACTCGTCCAGTTCCTCCTTTAATTTCTGCCAGGCCAGCCGCGGCGAGGACACGTCCGCGGGAATGGTCGATGGCCGGCCCCGCCGACTCTCATTGGCGAAACGCAGGATGCGCACGAATATATCAAAGCCGCGAGTGACAATGGTCAGCCCGTAATCGATGGTCAAGTTGCTCGACAACGGCGAGTGTCTGCTCATATCCGAGGGCATCAGTCGCCGAGGGGACGGCCGGCCAAAATTGAAGTCGTGGTCGCTGATCGGCAGCGGAACCGAGATCTGGCGGAATGACAGCGCGAAATGCTGGCGCGCCCCAGAGCTCAGCTCGCAGTCCTGCGCGAAACAGCACCAGTAGGTGCGGACCAGCTGTTCGTATTGGGTTTGGCAGTCATGGAACTCCTGGGGGTTGTGTTCCATACTGTCGTCGGCCGTCTTGAGGAGGGATTGGATCATGTACGTTGCCATTCCTGGAAGGGATCTCAGTATTGGAGGTCGAATGAGCTTGAGGAGGGTGCGGCTTACCGCTATACATCCACGCCTTGTATGCACGCCCCGACCCCCACTCGTAGAACGTGATCATGACCAGGGACTGCGCGAGATACAATGACGGGGCCTCCAGGGCGCGATGGGCGAGTTGCTTCCGCGCATAGTTGGCGTAAGTCTCGGCTGCGTCGAGTTGGTGGGTGGACATGAACCGCGCACATAGCGACAACAAAGCCGCGACAAAGACGGGGTCCACGGACGAGGGATTTGCAGACAGATCTGCGATCAGAGACGGATAATGCAGGAAGTTGGCCACGGGGAACTTCTTGCGGTAGGTCTCACAGGCCGCAATGATTGTCGATGAGGGTAAAGCCACGATGGGATTCAACCCCGACGTACTCCGTGGAGGTAGAGATGGGGGTTGAGCATCGCGTGACGCATGCGAGGGGGGACTGTTGAGGGTAGTCGTGGGCTCCGATATCACTCTTCGTTGATTTTGTGTTCTCAAGGCGGCTCGTCTTGACTTTCTTGCGGGCGATGAGTAGGTGTCGGTCAACACACAGTCCGAGAGATTTGTCCGTTGGCAGCGACGACAGGGAGATTGTCCTTCGTGGATACATTTCACCTTTGCCCGCCTATACAGTCAGTCGGTATACAATATAATCAGCAGATCGTCACCATCAGCTAACGTGTCTCACAAAGCGACCTGGCCCAGACCCTGCAAGATCGAAGCTATTCCCGATTCCCGAGGCAGATCCCGAGCACGTCAAAAATCAAGGCGACTTACCGACAGCCATCGCAAGACACTGAAAGACGCATTGCCGTTGGCCGAGATATCCGGGTTCAAGAGCAAATCAAATTGGTCCTTCCACCGGTTCCATCGCGCTGATCCCAGGAATAATCTGCTTGATGCTGTTGTTGCAGAGGTGGATTATTATTATTGTTGAACGTCGGGAATAATTGTGCGACAATCTACTCCGTGATTCCTCAGGCATCAATTTTTGTGTGCGAAAAATAACGCCAAGATATTGCCTTGATTGGGTTTAGCGCAGTGGCATGACCCTGGATAGCTTCAGAGTCAAGTTTTTGGGCTCAACATACACTGTACACAGTACGCGTGATGATCATCTGCAGGTCTAATGAGGTCTGTTCACAGAGTAGACAAGGCATCTTTCTCACTTCATTGTATTCATAATTCTTTGTGGTGCATTGGGTATCCCCAATCTTGTATATCAGAGCATGAGATATATATACCTGACACAGTGATATCTCGGGGCAAAAGATGGAAGGAATTGGTTTTTAAAATGATGAATGGATATAAATATGAATGACAGATGACACTACTCTCATAAACTGTTCTGAAATATTAATATTAGGCTCGCTAAGTGCTCGATCTTCGCTAAGGCATAACTGTCATCATAATCATTGCTATTATCATCCATCTCGTTCGGTCCACTGCTGCACCCAGCTGTTGAATTTGTCCACCTGGAGAGCGTCTGTCGCCCACGAGGTCACGATGCGAACGATGGAATTGCCATCATCTCGTTTCTCCCATACGTAGAACCCGAAGCGATCTTGCAATCTCCGCACCAACCGCTCTGGTAGGACAGCAAACACCTGATTTGTCTCGGTCTCTGCTGCGAGAGCATACCCCAGCTTCTCAAAACTAGTAGAGATCTTCTCTGCCATCGTGTTCGCATGTGCGGCTAGGTCAAAGAACAGATTCCCCCGAAACAGCTCCGCAAATTGGATCCCCATAAGCCGAGATTTGGCCAGCAGAGCACCATGTTGCTTGAGATGAAAGACAAACCCGTCCGCTAAATGCTGTTTGACCACAATCGCCTCACCCAGCAGCGCTCCCATCTTGGTCCCGCCAATCCAGAAGATATCCGTGAGATCGACTAGATCCCGCAGCGTCAGATCGTTTCTGGGCGCGCTGAGCGCCACACCCAACCGGGCACCATCAACCAAGATCAGAAGACCAAGTCGTTTGCACACGACTGAGAGAGCAGTCAACTCGGCTTTGGTGTAGATGGTTCCCAGTTCGGTTGCGTTGGAGATATAGACCAGGCGGGGTTTAGCCATATGGGGAAAGAATTGGTTCTGCTGGAAGACTCGTTCCAAGTTGCTGGGGGTCATTTTGCCATTCACACCTGGGACCAGGATCATTTTGTGTCCGGTGGCCTCGATGGCTCCAGCCTCTTTCGAGACAATATGCCCAGACTCGACTGCCATGACGGCCTCGTATGGACGCAGGCAGCTGGCGATAGAGATGAGGTTGGCTGATGTCCCGCTAGGGACGAAGTGGATGGCCACTTCATCGTCTGTGGCGTTGAGCTTCTCTCTGATTAGCCGTCGGGCGTCATTGCTGTATTCATCTGTTCCATAGGATAGTTGCTGCGTCGCATTGGTCCGTAGTAAAGCCTCAAGAAGCAGTGGATGGGCTCCCTCACTGTAGTCATCGATGAAGTTGTAGCGCGGAGGCAACTCCGAGACGCTGACATCGGAAGCTGGCATGGTGAAGAGGGTAGAACAATGATGGACGCGCTAGAAATAGAATAGAAGCTTTAGAAGGGAAGGATATCAGAAGAAAAAAACAGCCAAAAAAAAAAAGCGTGAGTCATTGCGCTCTTATCTGTCTTTTTTTTTTTTCGGTGATATCTCCATCCTCTGATGTTGCTGGAAGAAATTGCTAATGGGCTCGGGAAAGAGCAGTTGGCTATTCCCGAGACCGGGATTGTCGGTTGTTTTTTTCCTGGTTCCAGCACATTAATAATATCATGATTGTTGTGTAGCAGTAAGTATTTTAGTCCAAGACTATTATAATCTGCAAGATAGATTCTAATGCAGTAGCTTGACCGATGTAGAGGAAGCCATGGATTTGACCTCAAGAATAGGATGTTGAGGTTCCATGGAGTAGCTCGCCATCCGAGTACATTGAAGCGCCGCTTCTAAGGAGTCCTGCCAGACCACAATCACTCTGGAGGGTTTCAAATCTATATCCTTCCCTTTCGTTCTCCACTGGTCAGGTCAACTGCTATCATGATTGATCTGGTAACATTGTGCCCCCAAAGGTGTCCGAGCCAGTCCGCATCTTCGAATGCAGTAGTATGTTGCATATGATGTATCCAATGACATGGCAAACCGAGTGTAACCCGAACATAGTCCCGTTGATATCCAATAGCGACTCAAGTAGGTATCAGTATGATGCAAGGAACCACCATATACTTCCTATCAGGCCCATTACCATAAGGTCCTCCAGCTCCTTGATTGTACACCCCAAGGTGGGCGCGGAGATAAGTATCTATCTCACCGCTAACATCATCCACCATTTAACCTGACCCGACTGAGTGTCGTATGAATCGCTGGTGTCCGGAGTCTCATGGGGTATGCATTGTGGGACTAGATAGTCACGGATAGGTTTGCATTCTTGCCTTTGGGAGCGTCGAGTGCATGGGCTTTCACAGGATATGAGATATGGGGTAGGAGTTTATGGTCATGGGAGGCTTGAGAGCCATTCCATAGCGGCGACACATTCCCTCAAGTCACACAATCATCAACCAGGTCCACGTCGCTAGAGAAAGTGATAAAGGAATGCAAGATATTGCAAGTTAAGCGAGTCTGTCCCAGAAGGATAGGTGCCAAGAGCATCCATATAGTCATCTGTGAAATTGAATAAACCGTAGGGAATCACTTAATATGGGGATTCCCCTTGATGCCGAGTTAAGAAGATCCGGACCAGAGTTCTGTAGCACTGGGGTAGCTCCTGGTGCAAATGTGCACGAGCTGATGCGTCGACTGCGGATCAGATAGGGAGATATTATGTGGACACAATCTTACGCACTGTGAAGGTGAGCCAAGCACATCAAGCAAGTGAGTACCGTACATATACGCGCCAGTTTGGCCATCTCGACCGGATAGTGAAGATATTCTGCACTTTGGGTTCCAATGACACAGTCATCTGCGATAGGTTTATCGTCCCTCACATCGTCTGTGCTTAGCATAGTGACATCGCAATCCTTATCTCGAATACGGGGCAGTAGCCCAAGCGCTGCGGCACTTTGTTGATCGCGAATCTATCCTGTTAGCTCTGCCAACCTGAAGGCCAAGTTGCGCCTACATATAGAGCCCACCAGATCTGTCTCCACGCCTTCTCCTCTCAACCCAATTAGAACGGGAGTTTAGACCTGCAAAGTCAGTTATAGCTCCGCAAAATGATTAATCGACATACATCATATGCATCCCTTTTTTCTGTGCCAAGCTAATCGCCATTTCCAGCCAGAACCGGGTGTCGCGTTCTTCGGATGGCCCACCTCGCCAGAAGCTGAGGAGGAACAAGGATTGCAACTTAACCATCTTGTTCGTCTCCCAATCGGCATCATAGATTGCTCTGGCCCGACTATAGAATAACAACTTTGCGCGATACCGTGTCTCAAACTCGGTTCGTGCAAATGCTGCGTCTGTACATAGACTCACTCCGATGAACAGAATGGCCTGTAGCAGGAGAGGAGACAAGTTGCCATTTACGTAGGCCCGATCCAGCTCTGCACGATTAAGTATGGGAAAGCACGGATGAAACCATGCAAAATAGGCTTGGAGTAAGAGTTGAGAAATCTCCGCCGAAGGAAAGGAGAGTGCACCGTCAGATTGCAGCTGCGCCTCCATCTTGAGCTTATAGGCGCGCAGCGACTCATCACGAGAGTTGCTCTGATCCAAGTCTGCTGGGATGAGATAGTGTAGCCGTCTTCCTTCCATCCCTGGTGCGATACCTTTATCTGGCGAACGGTGGCCTTCATCAACCACAGCAGTCAATGAACTGGATTCTCCGAAAAAGACCGTATGTTCAGGGGTATTCAAGCTCGCGAGGTCATTCGCATGGAATAACGTAACACTTTTGTGTCGTAAGGAGCTATTTAGCGGTTTAGACTGGGTAGAAGGTGTTTCTGGAGAGCATTGTATTACTGAAGGTGGTGTGCTCTGAGTGGTTGGTGTCCCGGTCTGTTGCGCTTTCTTACGTGGATACCCACGTTGCGTCAGTACGTAGACATATCCGAATAGAGACTGTACGAGAAAATACATACTTCCCCCGTCTAGAAACCCCAACCTCACAAGGCACGCTCATCGACCGGCATTTATGGCACGGGCTCATTTCCACTACGTTGCAGCGTATCCGACGGCGATTGCAGTGGAGACAGGCGTGTTTGGCCCGAGCCCGAAAACGAGGCGAAGGCTCTACTTCAGGCATGATGCCTTCACGATGGCAAGCAATGTGTCTGGTATGGGGGACTGTCGAGACAGATGGCAGAAGATGCATGTTGTGTCGAGTTGGCTTCTTCGGCTACTCATGTCTTGGCAGCGGTTATATGGTCAGTAGGTCAGTCTACATGACTGACTGAGAGCAGCATCAACAGTGCAGAAGGAGTGTCTCAGATTTGTCATTCAAATTGCCTTGTATTAATTGCCAGAACAAAGACGATTCAGTACTCCGTAGTTATCTTGAGTCATCAGTATTCACTACTGCTCGCCTTGTGAGCATAAGACGGACCATGATAGACTCAGCGCTTGTCCCAATTTGGATCCCGCATATTCAGTATAAAAACTCTGCTTTTCGTGTCAGCATGGCTCTTGATGCTTCCTCAGACTCATCTTTTCATTATATTCTAGGTATCTCAATCAGACACCATGGACATTTCCACTGCCTCCATGTCAACACCTCTACTTGAGCTTGTCCGCCTCAACAAGGAACATGTTCCTGGGTACTTTGAGGTCTGGAAGGACCCATTCGCAACACGATGGAGCAGTCACGGCCCCTGTCACACTCTAGCAGATGCTGAGCAATGGATGTCTGAGCTACTACAAGATGTGAACCCCAAAGGGGAAAACTACGCCGTCATCCTCCGCAGCGATCTCGACGACAGTGTCCTCGGCAGTCTAAAACAAAAAAGACAGGACATGCATCTGTCTGCCGACTTTATTACCCCAGGAGCTTTCTTGGGATGGATCGGCACCTGGAAGTCAGACCCGGTGCCTGAAGTTGGGTTCATCCTTCATCGGGAGGCATGGGGCCTCGGTTTCGCCACGGAAGCCCTCACCGCGTTCGTGGATCTGTTCTGGAGAGTCAGGCCCGAATTTTCCATTCTAGAAGCATGGTGTGACACAGAGAATGAGGCTTCGGCCAAGGTGTTGAGGAAGTGCGGGTTTGACTTGGTTGAGACTGCTTATGGGGATTATTCCTTGTCGTGGATGACACCTCCTCTGAGAAATAGCATGCGGTTTCAGGCAACACGAGAAGTCATCACGGATTCGAAGTGAAGCGTCAATTTGATTTGAAGCGTTCAATAGCATGTTATGATTTCCCATCAGCTCCTCTATTCATCTACTGCTATACCCAACCCAGCGGAGATAGCTTCATTGTGCTCCCCCACCTTTAGCACAGCTCCCATCTGCGCTTCGAAACCGTTCGGTCCCGTTCCTGGAGGGAATAATGCTGGTACGCTTCCTGCTGGGGTTTGTACCTGCGTCAATCGTTGCCTGGCCTTCAACTGCGGATGATTCCACACACCCTGCATGTTATTCATACTAGCATTAGCAATTCCAGCCGTATCCAAACTTTTTCAATACCTCTTCCGCTGAGTACTGAGCAAGTTTCCCACAGATAATTTCCTTAAGCGCGACCCGAATCTTGGGTCGCAGCGTGTTGTTACAGAAACACTCATCAATCGTCAGTCCAGACTCCTCCAACACTATCTTGCAAAAGTTCGCCCACTCCTGCTCATTCTGGATCCCCAGCATCACTATCCCCTGTTTCGCCTCGAACGGTCCACATGGATAGATTGCAGCATGTGATGCTCCTGCAGGCTTGGGGCCTCCCTGACCCTCAAAGGCATAGTACAAGAGGAATCCCATCCACTCCACCATACACTCCAGCATTGAGATATCGATACTCCACCCACGACGAGCGGGGTCTTTTTCCCGCTCGAACAGCGCAGCCAGGATACTTGAGTAGGCGTAGCTTTCGGCGCAGATATCGCCGACCCCGGGACGCTCAATTTTGATGACTCGGGCGCCCAGATCGGCCAGTTGACGTGTGCAAAAGGGAGCTGCAATGGCCTGCTCCAGACCGACAACGGTGACACCGGACAGAGGGCCCTTCTTCGTGCTGTTATTGTCGCTGTTGTTGAGGTTGGGATTTGTCCTGGTGGTCGAATAGATGCGACAAATGGTCGACCAGTGACGGGACAAAGCCCAAACCAAACGTCGAGACAGAGCCATTTTCTACCCAGAACCCCTGGTCTCTCTGGCGAGCAAGAAAGACGGTGTCTCCATGCCTTGAAATAATTGCTTCGTTTGCTCTTTGGGAGATCTCCTCTACTGCGGGGTCCGCGGTTTCTTGCCGGTTAACGGTTAGTTAGCGGTTATATGCCCCCCCCCCTTCCATCATAAATACTCTCAATCAATCCCGGACATTCCTCAAATGGTTGGCTAAGATAAATCAACATGTCGAATTTTGCAGCACGAACGGTGCGATGTAGAATCGCCTCTTTTCGACCACGATGGGCATGTGATCGATTGCGCTTCTCCACCTCCACGCGTCGGCCATTGATGGACCTCGCCGGCTTCAGCGAAGAGCAACTCATGGTCCGCGAGGCCATCTCAGCCATTACAGCCAAATTCCCAAACACGTACTGGCAGGAGTGCGATCAAAATGAGCGCGATCCGAAAGAGTTCCATGCCGCATTAGCCAAGGATGGATGGCTCGGAATCGCCTTGTCGGAGGAACTGGGAGGTGCAGGACTGGGTGAGACCTCGTCGGTATCGAATGCAAGCCAAACAACTGATTGGAGAAAGGCGTCTCCGAAGCGACAATGATGATGCAAACCATCACTCAATCCGGAGCTGGGATGGCTGGTGCGCAGGCAATTCACGCAAACGTGTATGCCACCCAACCGCTGGCCCGGTTTGGCACCAAAGCCCAACTGGAAGAGACAATCCCCAAGATTATCAACGGGACCTGGCGGACCTGCTTCGGTGTCACCGAGCCCAACACTGGCTTGGAGACTCTGAAGCTGAAAACCTCTGCCACCAAAACTGCCGCTGGTGATGCGTACTCCGTTACGGGGCAAAAGATCTGGATCACCTGCGCGCAGGTTGCATCAAAAATGATACTGTTGGCCCGCACGACTCCCATCGAGGAAGTCAAGAAATCTACACAGGGGCTATCAATGTTCTGTATTGACCTGAACCGAAGCACATCCGGCCTTGACATGCGCAGAATCAAGAAGATGGGTGGTCGTGCCGTGGACGCGAACGAGGTCTTCTTCGACAACTACCAGATTCCGGCAAGCACGCTTGTAGGGCAGGAAAACGAAGGGTTCGGAATTATCCTCCATGGAATGAATGCAGAACGGTGTCTGCTCGCCGGTGAAGCTCTAGGCCTGGGTTATGCAGCGCTCGAACGCGCAGCACAATATGCCAACGATCGGGTGGTGTTCGGTCGTCCCATCGGACAGAACCAGGGCATTGCGCATCCGCTGGCGGATGCTTATATGAAGTTGGAAGCGGCCAAGTTGGCGACATATCACGCGGCAAAACTGTACGATGCCTCTCAAACGGATAGCTCTATTCCCTTCCATTCGGTCGGGGTCGCCTGCAACAGTGCCAAATACCTTGCAGCTGAAGCCGCGTTCACCGCGTGTGAGCGTGCGGTTCTGACACATGGAGGCATGGGATATGCCATGGAATATGACGTGGAGAGATACTTGAGAGAGTGTCTAGTCCCACGGATTGCACCAGTCAGTCGAGAGATGATATTGAATTATATTAGTGAGAAGGTACTGCAGTTACCCCGGAGCTACTGAGTCGAATACCACCAAAGATTCCATACTACTGGCTAGTGGAATTAGTTGTCTTCGCTATTGTGACGCCCATTGTAATATATGAACCTCTAATTGTCATTCCTGACCTTCACTGCTCCAAAAGTCCAGGGCCCACGATATCCCGCCAAACCAAGGGTTGCTTCCCAAGGTTCCCCTGCCTGAAGATACAGTAACCAGCGAAAAGAAACTCTTGTCGAACGTTTCACCCAGTGTCGAAGGCAGTCTTTGACTTGTCCAAGAGAGAATCTAGTGCCTAGCACGCGCTTGGTATTCCGATCGTTGCGATCCTTGTATGGGCAGGTGTATAGCCGCTTGAAGAGATTTGCTTTCTCCTGGTTTGCCATACCTGCAGTCCCTGCATCGTACCCTGGGTAGCCTCAAGCATTCTATCCACCCGGACGACGTGCACCGAGGGAGTGGTGTCCTTGATAAAGTTGTCGTATCGCTCAATATCCTGCAGTGTTTCGTCCCCACCCGCTTCACGTTAACATGTCCGCAAAAAAACTGTGATGATGCTGACCGTCTTCGGAGTTAGTAGATCGCTCGAGACTGGAATTCCAGGACTTTAGAATAGAGATGTACTGTATGTATAGATGGACTATATTCTCTTCAAGCAGTCTCGCCACATCGGAAGGTGCTCTGCACCTAATGCTTCTAAAATGGGTTGCATTTCGTCTTTCATCTACTTATTACCCAATCATGCTGCTTATATCGCATGAAAATCTTCTAATGGCTGTATATACTGACAGTCATGTATCGATCTCTTCTAGTAGTCTACTGGAAAGCTTCCAGCGCTTGGTCGTTCCATCTGGTTCCCGTCAGTTCCGCGTAGCGTACAAGGTTGTGGAGAGAATCGGGGTAACACTTACGATAGGAACTTGCCAGTCAATGAGTTCGGAGCATCAATCACCACTCGGGCCATGACATGACCGGGCTGTTCGGGTTTTAGCAATTCCCCATGCTTGTGGACCGTAGTGAATATCGCATGGAATTGAGGGTCCAGAGTGGTAGCGTGATCTTCGCGTATCTCTCGCTGCATTTCGGTGTCGACCAAGCCCGGCTCAATCGACACGAACGTCACGTCGGGCTCCTCTTCCCCAAGACTCCGAGCCAGATGGTTCATGGCCGCCTTGCTTGCGCCATACAGACCCCATCCCCTGAAGGCCGAGACGGAAGCCCCAGACGAGGTGAAGACGATCCGGCCCTTGGATTCGCGAAGGGCAGGAAGTCCGGCTTTCACCTGTAGCAATATGAGCGTTAATGGCCATTGACCAATAGTCCTCTCCCTCAAGAACTCCCCAATGGAATCCGTGTGATCAACTTACAAAAGCCACCACGCTGAAAAAATTGACATCGAATCCTTGCTGCCATTGTTCCGGATCGGCCTCGGCGATCTTGCCCACTTGGCCTAGCACGCCGTGGTTGAGAACCAATCCATCCAGACGACCGAACGACTTCAAGGCCAGATCGACGGCCTTCTGACCGAGAGAGAAATCCGCGAGATCGCCATTGAGCACCTCGACCTGCTTGGTGTACTGGTCTTTCAGCTTCTGAAGGGGCTCGACGCTACGGGCGATCACAATGACGTTGTGGGATTGAGGCGCGGTGAGGAGAAATTTAGCGATTGCGAGCCCGATACCTGTACCGTGGGTAGGATGCGTTAGCTAGCTTTCAGGGGTCTAGGTTGAGATGTCGACGTAAGCGAGGGATTGAATTGACTTCCTACCTCTCGAGGCACCGGTGACAATGAAAGTCTTGGGTGACATATTAACTAACTAGAACGAAGTGTGACCTAAGAGGATATCCTTAAACAGTATGGAATTGTGTGGGAGGAATTGGAGGAATTGGAGGAACTGGTTGATACTAGTAGTAGTCCTACTAGTAGTAGTACTACTACAGAGGATTGGCTGCTATTAGTCATCAGATTGTCTTTCTTATAGTGGAGGTAGAGGAGATAGTATTATTCTATTAATATTCACAGGTCTATGCCTCTGTGGTCTCTAGGAGTAGGAGGATATCTTCAAATTAAGGACCTCAATGGGTCTTATAGAACTCTCTCCCAGTAACCCCGGTATAGATCATTTCTAGGTTCTGCTGTTAACCACTATACTCCCGAGGGCTCCTATCGAACTTCTTCCTACGCACACTTGTAGTCGTCAGAGGTCAAATGGGCAAAGACCATTCCAACAGAGTGAGCTCATCTCCCAACAGCGCCATCATGAAGACATACCATACCGGCTCTGACGTCAACCCAATCCCATCAACCTCTTCAACACACCTGAGACTTCTTCACCTTTCAATCCAACTCGAAAGAATACACCACGGGTTTAAGCAGCGTGTTCACCGTACTGACCGCAGTCATAATGATCCATCAAGTAGGAACAAGCGATGGATGGCATGGCATCATCGCCCACGAGGGGCCCTTCACCCCGGTCGCTGGCCGTTATCACCTCTACATCGGTGTGTTGACCTCTTGTCTTGCTGAGAAGCGTTGCCAGACTCACGATCCCAGGTCTTTTCTGTCCCTTTTCCCATCGAGTGGACCTTGTGCGCCACCTCTGCGGCCTGGTCGATATCATCCCCGTGTCCATCGTAAGACCATGGCCAAAGGTGGCTGGGAAGGGCCTGAAATTCCCCGAAACCGATGAGGAATACCCGGGTGCGACTGTCGATCCGCTCTTCGGCACGGAGTTTGTGCAAGACCTCTACTTCAAGGCTGATACTAACTACAAGGGCTCGTGGTCAACACCGGTGCTGTGGGATAAGTGGACAGACTCCGTCGTGAGCAATGAATCAGCAGAGATGCTGCGCTGGTTGCCCAACGCCTTTGATTCGATCCTGCCCGCGACGCAGAAAAGGGCAGATCTTTATCCCATTGCGGTTCGATCCGCTATCGACGAAACGACCGTCTGGATGCAGCCAGAGCTCAACGGGGGGGTTTACAAGGCCGGGGCAGCAAATCCGCAGGAGGCTTACAACCAGGCAGTGGCAGTAGTCTTCCGAGCACTCAATAAGCTGGAGAAACTGCTGGGTAAGAATGGCGGTCCGTTCATCCTCGGAGACCAGCTCACCGAGCTCGATCTGAGGGCTTACACGACCTTGATCCGGTTCGATCCTATCTACGTCCAACACTGCAAGTGCAACCTGGGGATGATCCGACATGACTATCCACACATCCATAACTGGCTGAAGAATCTGTACTGGAATGTGCCCGGTTTCCAGGAAACGACAGACTTCATGCACATCAAGGAGAGCTGTGAGTACGGCCTGAGGAGGTTTGAGAGCAGCGCCGACTGACTCGAGTAGATACCAAAAATGAACCCGATGTCAATCCAAAGGGGATCACTCCCATGGGACCCATCCCTAATATTGAAAGAGCTGTGACCGAGAACTGGGATGAGCTGCGTGTTGGTTTCATCGGCGTCTAGCCTCTGAGTAATTTCTGTGGACTCGTACCATAGACATAACAAAGATCGGTAGGATGCCACAGTTACCTTAATGCTCATGGGAAGCATGATTCGCCGATAACAGATAGAAGAGGAAAGAAAGATTTACCCAACGCCTCCGTTCAACAAGTCTATATCGAATCCGTAGGTGACTTCCAGTGGGCGGACTATAGACAGAAACGTTGGGTTCGTGATATTAGATGCCAGATCCTGTTTCGCGAGGAGTCGCCAAGACAGCTCTTTGGCCGATTTATTGATGCGTCGGATCTAGTCGCCTAGCCGGACGAGGAAGACTACGGTACGGCTGTACATGGTGAGTATATGCCACCTCGTGGTTATCTGGCACCGTAAGATCCATATGCCGAGTCGTATGCCGACTACCTGGCTCAACTCGGCCGAGCTTGAATCCCTCCTCTCTCAATCAATAGCTTCGAATAATCGAATCGGATGTCCATGGACGGGCCGAATCAACTCGGGCTGTAGGCTTAGGACGAGGTTATGATACTTGTAGGCTATGAACAGATTGACCCAGTGTCAACGCAATGAGGGGGAATAATCCTATCGTATTCTCATCGAGACCCAAGAATTTACATGAAAACAGTCTACCTAAAAAATCTCTCATTAAACCCGCAGCGGCTGTCCAGAGACACCTCCGGCCACTGCTGAACATCTATCACACATCACTCAAAGGCCTTCCCTTCCTATCGCTTTCCTATCTTTTGGACGGTACGAATCCCTTAGGAAATAGAGATATCGGCACAAGAGAGGTAGATCTGGGGAGTCTGGAAGGAGTTCCACTTCCAAGACAGGAGGGTGTGGTTGGAGACATAGTTGGGAAGCTTCACCTTCTTGGTGACGGTGTAACCTCCGGCAATGGTGGTCTTGCACGAGTTCAACGCAGCGTTGTCCACGCCCTTGCACTTGGCGCCGTCGAATGCGTCGCAGGTGAACCAATCGTTACGCCAGCAGGGCTCACCCTGCTTGCAATCCGGGCTGTAGCTGCACTTCTGCCCGTTGACGTCGGTGCAAGGCAGAATGCCCTTCTCAAAGCAGTCCTCCGCAGCCTGCTTCTCCGCCTCGGTGGGCATGTAGGATGGATCGAGGAACTTGCTGACCAGCTTCTGGTCCTGGCAGATCCGGTAGGTGAACATGCCACCATGGTCACCGTTGTGGTCGACACACCACTGGACCTCGATCTCCTGGCCGGCCTTGAAGGCGGAGACGGGCTTGCTGCCCCAGTTCTTGGTGGGCTGGTTGTAGTCGATGCTGTCGCGGGCGTTGTAGCCACAGGGGCCGCTGCGGCCGACCTTGGCGGAATCGAGCGAGGGCCAAGCCTGAACGGGCTCGAGGATCGCGCACTCGGGGCAAGTATCCACTCCGGCCTGATCTATGTCAGTGGATCTGCCCCGATACTTCGGACAAAAAAAAGGGCATACATACCTCGTGGCCGAGTCTGGTGCGGCTGGTGGGTATATACATGTATCCGTGGCCAGCGACGCAGGTCGCCAGAGCGAAAGCAACGAGGGTAGCGAAGGGCTTCATGTTGGTTGCAGTAGAGAAGTGAGGTCGGACAGGGGAAGGTCAGTGGCTGGATGTCTTTGGAATGCGCTGGTGATAGGGGGATGAGATTCCAATGTCGCTGAGGATTCTTCACATCTTTTATACACTATTGGGAGTGAGATCGACATCCAAGATGCGAAACATATTCTCCGAGACCCGATGCGGCGTTGACAAGGAACGGATGTCGATGCCAACGTGAATGGTTACTGAGAAGCGGCAGTGCGACGAAGTCTGCAAAGATCGGCAGTTCAGGGACACAAAACCTGAACGATGAAACAGAGCCGGTCCTAATGTCCGGATAGCCATCGCCGATCCCGTTGTCTCGCAGCCCTAAAGCCACATCCCTTGGCACCTCCGCATCCATCACTGGCCTGGCGGGTTGGCGATGCAGATCAATTTGTGCAATGTCCGGTATCTCTCCGATCTCGAGAGGGTGGCCAAGCTGATTGGCGCAATACTTCTTCACGGGTTCTGCCTCAGACGCTGAAAAAACTTCATTTTGTCATAATGCATTGGTAGTGATAATGCATCCATGTCGCTTGTGCCGGCATGCATTGTGGCTGCCATGCTCACGGTACGTCAACGCAATGCCGCACACTCTCGCAGTTGACGCTGCTTCTGCGGGCCAATCCCATGGCCAAATCACCAAACCTGCGGAACTTGAACTCTACGCATTCGAGGCAGGTGTGAGGAGGAGTCTGCTGCCGTCCAAGGCGCACGAGCGCAATGAAGTCGGTCATCCACCGGTCGTTGGGCTCGCGGTCACTACCCAGATCGATCTCCAGATGACGCAAACACGGTGCTGCGATCCTATTATAGATCGAAATGGGCGATTGCCAGCCGCTAGCATCCGCTTTGTAGAGGGTGATGTGCAGCGCCTGAAGACTCGGAAAATTCGAGAAGTCCGGGATCTCCCTTCCGTGAGGTGGGATCGATCCTAAACTCACCTTTTGCAAAGTTTCTTGGTGGATTGACAGCAGGTGCTGGATGTTTGTAGCCCTATACTGGCCATCATACGGACCGTAGCAGAGTGATGTGAGACTGACTTCCTGGAGACGGGCTGGCCGGAGAAACAGGCACTCTGTCACATCAATCGATGTCTTTGGGTCTTGGAGATCAAGGCAGGTCAACCCAGATGAGCGTTGTCTATCCGGCTGGAGAAGGCGCGAAAGCTCCTTTGCCGTGATGGAAGCGCTGTCATCATGCACGAAGTCGGTATAGAGTCTTCCATCTCGGCTCCATCCCCATCGGTAGGTGGCAAGCTTTCGCAATGTCGGGATGGTCTCCAAGATGTCAAATAACATGTTCAGGGAAGGGGCAGCTCCATAACCGAAGAACTCCAGTTGCTCCAGTTTCATTTTCGTCATTCTCTCCAGGAACGGGAGGCATGAATCTTTCAGGTCCAGATGCAGCGACAACTGTCGTATACACGGAAGCAGATCTACGATGCGAAAGATGTCCTCCGAGCAGGCGATATCGTCCACGGTGATGCTCAAAGCCTGTGCGTAGGACCGAAGATGCGGTCTCTCTTGCAACGTAACGAGGAGTTTCGAAAGGCGCGGTTTGTCTGTCTCCCACCACTTGATGATGCGGGAATTGCGGTCTTTCAGCAACAAGGTACGATACAGCATCCTCTCTATGATATCATGCCATCGTCGACAGACTCTGGTCAACGGAGACCACTGGTATACTTTAAGTTCATGGGGAGATTCTTCTGCCTCGAGAAGGGAGAAGATGAGGATCAGCAGCTCGTTGGGCAGATGCACAAAGTAGTCCTTGGGAGGACTGGTATAGTTCTCGGCAGAACGGGTAGGAGGAATCGTGATGATTCTCTGTACGGGGGGGATAAGCAGTGTTTTCAAGGACATGGTAGCTAAAGTCCTGCGTGGTGGGTTTGAAGCAGTATTGGCGACAAATTCACCATTATATATACAGAGAGTCCACCGGATCGGAATCATAACCGCGTCAAGTCCACTTGACAGTCGACTTGACGGCTCTACCAAACAGAGAGAGACAGACAATCATGGGACCCAGAGACGAAATGGCCGTTTTCGATAATCTTAACAAGCTTCAACTGGCAAACAAACATGTTTCTCCGCGCAACTGCAACCGTGTCTATCACAAGGGCAAGGGACTTCGCCCCCGGTAGAAATTTGGTTGACGAGATTGAGCCTATGGTCCATGACTGCGGGGGCAAAGCTTCTAATGGTCACATAGACTCATTGACTTTTCACTAGATGCTTCCCTTGCTTTGAGACGTTGAAGCTCCGTGGAGGGTTCGTCCATTTCCTCCCACATCCGCCAGTAACTACTGAAATTCAACCAGCAAGGACACTAATAATTATATTCCATCTGCGAGGTGAGCTCCCCCGCATTTTGCACGACTTTACCAACGGCCACTACTAAGATTTGCTTTGGAGGCGCCCAATAAATGTGGCCCAAAGACGCCATTCGGGGTTTGGTGGGCCTCAGGCTGTCAGGCTGTCAGGCAGCCGCATTCAGGCCGTGCCGGGGCAGGAATAACTATCACCCGATTCTAGCTGACCAATCAGATGGTGTCTGATGGATGCCTGACGTCATTGGCCTGAGGCATCCACCACGCAGCTCCAGCTGCATTTCGTGTCACTTTAAGAAGCCTTTTGGATCCAGGGGAGTCCCTGTCTTGAGGAATTAAACTACTCTTGATATTCTTACATTCTTACCACTCTGTCGAGACAAGTATAGCCATGCCAGGGCATTTGGGCCAGAAAATCCTCAAGACGTTCGGTCTGGACGACCACGGCCACCACGACCAGTATAACCCCCCCAGTCACGGTGTCCAATTACAAGGAAATCGACTCATCAATAACGACGAGCGTATCCTCTCCTCCCAATCCTCCGGTACATATCCTCGTCTCGCGCGCCTCTCCGACGGCTCCATCCTCTCTGCCTTCACCCGTTTCGAGGGACCGACCCGCGTTCTGACGGTCGCAAAGAGTACCGATGGAGGTTACACATTCCAAGACTGTGGCGAGGTGACACGCAGCCAGGGCGACTGCGACAATCTTTTCATCCTCGAGGTCGCCCCATCGGTCATCCTCGGCGCCTTCCGCAACCACGATCTCGGTCCCAACGGGCCCACACACTTCCGCATCACGGTTTGCCGGTCCATGGACGGCGGGCATACATGGCAGTACGCCGCGCAGGCGGTCGAAAAGTCTCCCCCAAACGGCATCTGGGAGCCCTTCATGCGGATCGGCCGCCAGGGTGAGGTGCAGCTGTACTACTCGCAGGAGTACGCCCACGACAACCAGTGCACGATGCTGGTGCGGTCTTTTGATCAAGGCTCGAGCTGGTCGCAGCCGGAGTGTCTGGAGGGGATCAACGACCGCATCCGCGATGGGATGATCGGGATTGCGCCGACGGTCGACAACGGCCGCGAGGCCCTGGTCATGGTCTTCGAGACGACGCGGTACGGCACGTTCAACCTGGAGGCGCTGATCTCGTACGATGACGGTCGGAGCTGGGGATACCGGCATGAGGTGTATGTGCCCCCGCGGGGGCATAATGCAGGTGCGCCGCAGATTGCGTCTTTTGCGGATGGCTCGCTGGCGGCCATCTTCATGACGGATGAGGACGAGCGGCACGTCCAGTGGACCGAGAATGCGTGTATTAAGATGGTCTTTGCGGGCCCGCCGCAGGAGGGGCGGATCTACTGGACGCGCCCGACGGTGATCTGTCCTCATTCAAGCCACTGGCCGGGTGTGTTGGCCTTGGACCACCATACGCTACTAGCAGTGTATGAGTGCGGAGGACCAAAGGGGCGGACTGTCACCTTACAGTAATTAGATCATTGGCTAGAGATGTGCTACATCTGCATTCTACATAGATTTGGATATATCTTCATTTAGAACAAGATATCTAGACTGTATCCATGGACACATTCTTGGAATCTTACTACTCACAATGGGGGCATATTGCTCGGAACCATTTATATATCGCGTAAGTCACAATAGATACAATCGCACCTTGCGCATGCATCAAACAATCATAACAGTCTGTACTTCACCTTAAGCACTTTCACATGATTTATATCCATGTTGGTCGAACTATCGACATGCAAGCGCTATCTAAGCGCAGTTTTTATAAATTGATGCTTCTGCTACTTCTCGCGGATCATTTGAGGGCGATCCAGGAAAAGTAAGACCACCCGCATCGAATGGCCTCTATTCATAACCATAACAATAACTATACGCCTCTGGATCCATCAATTCGCGCAGCGGCTTGCTTTTCCCCAACGTCCCAAATTCAAAAACCGTGTCCAGGGTAATTTCAGGCGTGGTGGGCTCATTATAAAAACTCATGGTTCCATTGATAGCCCACCGCTGCTTGCCTCCGTCCTGGGCTTGCCATATGGCCCACACCCGATCGAGCATCGCATGGTGCAGCATGAAGACGGGATCCTGGGGCGACGAGAAGAAATCAGCCATCGTCAGCCCAACGGCCCGGTGGCCAGCTGGGTGAAGACCAAGTGTCTCCTCGCGCTTGACTGGGTCCATGTAGTAATCGTTGCGCTCCTGGTAGGCGATGATGTCCGGAGAGGCGAGGAGCTGCGCGACTGCGTCTGCGTTGCTGTAGACGCTGGTCATGGTGGAGTTGAGTCGCCGGCGCAGACAGTGGGGCGTGTAGTCGAATTTGTTGGCGGGCCGTCCGTAGGAGACGCCGCTACCGTCGGAGAAATGGGTCTGCATGGAGACGAAGGGGCCGTTGGTCACGCAGTAGTTGGCGTTCGGGTCGCCATCGCCAGAGAAGGAGGTAGGCGAACCGTCGAACAGCGGGCTGCTGGCCAGATCAGGGTAGAGGGACCAGTTCCAGTAGCTGTCTATCTGTTAGATCATTCGCTCCTAGACCATCATGAAGATCGGGAATAGCATACGGTACGGCTCCTCGATATCCACATTCGTCTCGGAGGGCTTGCTCCCACAACCAGAGGAACTCACGGTGCCAGCCTACTAGAGCGCCGTTGGTGTGAATCTGCGTGGCGTAGTTGACATGCGTACTAGACCATTAGCATAAAGACCCCATCACATCTCGAAGACAATCCCTACGCGGTAAAATCGTCCATGCGATGCCGCACGGCTGGATATTCCTCCGAGGACAAGTGCGGCGGTCTCTGTTGCATGCATTTGATCGCGTTGATATAGTCGAGACGCTCGTGTCGAGAAAGTGAGCCCCTAAAAATGAATTAGATTGTTTTAGCAGTGCTGTCAGGGGAAAAGTATGTACCATTCTCGCCGGATGGACTTGGTCTGCGGTGTGCATTCCGCAGCATAGACCGGCAACAGCCATAACAATGCTAGGAAAATCATCATGGCTCACAGCGATTTTGGTCCCAAAGAATAGAAGGGGCAGCAGATGCTGCAGTAGATATACTGTCCTTCATAATACACTGCAAAAAAAAAAAAGGCCAAGCTTCATTGTGTGGGGAGATGCGTTAATCCGGATGCATCCATCCCCTGCAGCTCAGAGCCTCAGGTGGCATCGCACAGTGACATATCACATGTGCATGGAATCATGGCCGATGGCCATTGAAGGGTTCCTTGCATCCAGTTTTACCGATCGATTGAGTTAAGAGTACTGTCTCTGAGGGCGAGGGAATCGACAAGTGATGCATCACAGTACATTCATGTCGGCAACCTTACATAACGCTTAGTGCTTGTTGAATAATGCACTTGAATAGTGAAGCAACTACTTCAAGGGAGTCGGTATGGACTCCATGTTAAGCAGAAAGACAGTAGAAAAGATGGTAAAGAGGGAGAAGGAGCCCCATCGCCAGTCCTACCTTGAAATGTGTATGCATCGACCTATAAAACGTTCCACCTCAAAAATTGGAACAGCCCTCGAGTTCCAGACTATCTCACGAGAGGCGCAATGCGCCACAAGTTCGCAATCGACCCTCTGTCGATTTATCTGCATGGCGATCAGCACAAGAGATTTGCCTATCCCGGACTCTCGCTGGCCGAATAGTCAGCGTATCCCTTGCGTCGCCCCCCAGCTTGCTTTTCCCAGCAGCTTCTTGTCTGCATTATCCGCTCAAGAACTTGAACATTCAAACATGTCCCTGAATCTTCAGTTTATGTAGTGGAAACCGCGTACGCGACACCGCAAAATGCGCCCAGAAGATGAGTATCGGATTTTGGACATCTCTCGCGCGCCTAACTCAACCCAGGCAGGCTTGCGGGATTTCTCCAAAGATGCCGTGGTACTGTCCGCGCATGTCTCTATCTGGATATCGATCCTCTATTTCGGCTTCCGACTGTTGTGTCTGATATTTGGAAGCAGCACTGCCTGGATGTGGGCAGTTCTCATAGCCGAACTTGCACTTGCATGTACGTGAGATCTCATGGAGTTAGGGGGCTGTACTCACAAAATGACGCTTAACAGCCGACGTGCTTCTCTGGCAGCTCGTAACAATATCCGCACACAAAGCGAGTAGGGACCAGTTGAAAACCCCAACCCTGCGACTGACCGGCGACCACAACCTCCCCATTGTGGATGTCCTGATCCCATGCTGCGGCGAACAGTTACAATATATTCTCGACACGGTCCGCGCTGCCTGTGTGTTGGACTATCCGCCTGATCGATTCCGGGTGCTCGTGTTGGACGATGGGAATAGTGCTTCGTTGCGCAAAGCGGTCGAGGAACTGCGGACTGAATGGCCTAATCTCCACTACCACACCCGAGCAAACACAGATAGGAAAGGGATTGGGAAGAAGGCAGGGAACCTCAACTATGCCATCCTCGACCTCCAGGAACAGATGCTTCAGCCGCCGGATTTTGTCGCCAATCTCGACTGCGACAATATTCCTTCACCCGATTTCCTCCGCGCCACGCTGCCGCATCTGCTGCGCAACCCCAAGGTCGCTGTTGTTGGTATCCTGCAAACGTTCTATAACATCCCACCGGATGACCCGCTTGATCAAGGGATCTGGGCGTACGAAGCCATTTTGCTACCGCAACTGACCGCGCTGGGGGTGATCTTCGCCGGCGGCTCGGGATCCGTCATGCGCCGCAGTACCGTGCTGGGCCTGGGAGGCCTCCCTATGTTTTCGCATCTAGACGACCTGGCCTACTCGAGTATCGTGACCGCCATGGGTCAATCTGTCGTCGTCCTGCCAGAAGTATTGCAGTTTGGACGAGCCCCGACGTCGGTCGAAGGCCACGCCAGCCAGCGAACTTGGTGGTCCATCGGCGCATCGCAGCATCTGCTCGCCCTGAAGAACTCCCCAGCAAACACAGTCCCTGAATCAGCGCGGCGATCCGTGGCAGGGATGGGTGCAATGCACGTATACCGTGTTCTGGCGCGGTTCCTGCCCATGGTGGTGATTCCTGTTGCTCTCCTATCCGGGCAGGCATTGATCCCTGGCGCGTCGGTTTTCTTGTTCAAGGCGCAGCTACTGCTGGCAATTGCCCACCTCGCCTCCCTCTGGGGATATGATTGGCTGCACATGGCAGCAACACAGTTCCGAGCGCCACTCAAGTGGTATCAAGAGGATTTATGGTTTATTCCCGGTAAGTGCGTCCACTCGTGTCAAGGAACGGGAGAATAACAGGGCACAGGCCAGGTATATGCTTTCTTCGAGCATTTCATCCTGCCCAAAGCAGCGTCATCAGCCAAATCTAGTGTGACCGGTAGCATGGATAATCCCTGGAATGCGGCGTCTTCTAAGACTCAGGCATGGTTGAGCCGACGGATCCAGGAATTTGCCAGTCCTGTGGTTTGTTACAATGCCGCCTGGCTGATCACCACCCTCTCAGCAATGTTATACTCTTTCCTTCTCACGGGGAAGGAAGACAACCATAGGCAATTGACAACTCTGGCCTGGCCACCGGTGCTGCACATCTGCTATTTGATCGTGTCGCATAACCTCGTCCCCTTGAGGTATACATGGAGACCACCCCGGTATCGCGAGCGAAAGGATGTTCTGGGGGAGCATCCGCGGGACTCGCGTGCTTTGTTCCCACGGCTCGAGATGCGCACAGAGATGCGTTATCAGAGGTGGCCAGCATTGGGGGGCTATGGTCATCTGGCCCTTGTTCCTGTTACGCTTATTGTGTTAGGCTTGAAAGGATTAGCGTTGTAATCTACACGAAAAATGCACTCCCGAATGACCATGTCTCTTGTCTGATGGCTGAGATTTGAAGCTTTTTCAGTGACTGTATGTATCTGGTGAAAGCAATAATAATAATGAGAGAATGACGTAGACCAAAAAAAAAAAAAAAAAAAAAAAAAAAAAACCGCCAACTGGCTGCTGAGTCACCCTCGGAGACTTTTGGCGGGTGGACCGATTACATAATTCCTCCGAAGTCTCCGCCTGCTGATTCAGGCATCGATTTTGGTAACTAATGCCCTGACGAGTTTTTCTCTGCTGTGGCCAAAGAGCTGATCCAGAATGCTTGATTGCCCGTCCGATTGGGACCTGCGCAGAGAAACAAAAGATGCCGAAAGCACTACTACGTAGGCAATTCATCCGATTGCCACACCCGGTCCAATCATAGCCACCTGGCCCGACGATCTGATGCTGCCACCGACGGGGATTTCCGACTTCGTCTCCACCGCGATTGGAAATCAATGCTGGTGCCAGTGGAGTATTTCAACCGGTTTCTGTATCGGTTCAGGGAGTATAAGTAGCGGGTGATCCCCTGTATATACTGCTACTCGGTAGATCAATCGATAGTTGCATATCCAGACCCCCTAGCATCAACACCATGACTGTCCTTGATATCGACGTCCCTGCTGCCCAGGGCATCTCCTACTTCACTCCTGCCCAGGATCCTCCTGCCGGTACGGCAGCTAACCCTCAGACCAATGGCCAGAAGATCCCCAAGCTCTTTCGGCCATTGACCATCCGTGGCGTCACCTTCCAGAACCGCCTTGGTGTATGTCCTACCCCCTTTTTCCACTGGGATGGAAGACTTTATACTAACACGGCTCTAGCTTGCACCCCTGTGCCAATACTCAGCTCAAGATGGCCACATGACAGACTGGCACCTCGCCCATCTTGGTGGCATCGCTCAGCGCGGACCCGGCATGATGATCATCGAAGCGACAGCCGTCCAGCCCGAAGGACGCATCACCCCCCAGGACGTCGGCCTGTGGAAGGACTCGCAGGTCGAGCCGATGCGCCGCGTTATCGATTTTGTACACAGCCAGGGCCAGATGATCGGCGTGCAGATCGCCCACGCCGGCCGGAAGGCCAGCACTGTCGCTCCCTGGATCTCCTTCTCCGCCATTGCGACACAGAAAGTCGGCGGATGGCCGGACCGCGTTGTAGGGCCCAGTGATATCCCCTTTGCGCCTTCGTTCGCGCAACCCAAGGCGATGACGCTCGACCAGATTGAGCAGTTCAAGAAGGACTGGGTGAGCGCCACGAAGCGTGCGATTGCCGCGGGCGCCGATTTCGTCGAGATTCACAATGCTCATGGATATTTGCTGTCTTCGTTCATGTCGCCCGCCGCCAACAACCGCACCGATCAGTACGGTGGATCCTTCGAGAACCGCATCCGACTGCCGCTGGAGATTGCGCAGTTGACCCGCGACGCAGTTGGCCCTCATGTCCCGGTCTTCCTCCGCATCTCGGCCTCGGACTGGTGCGAGGAGACCCTCCCCGAGCAGAGCTGGCGGTCCGAGGACACCGTCCGGTTCGCGCAGGAACTCGTCAAGCAAGGAGCGGTAGACCTGATTGATATCAGCACCGGTGGTGTCCTGGCGCAGCAGAAGGTCAAGTCTGGCCCTGCGTTCCAGGTACCCTTTGCTGTTGCCGTGAAGAAGGCCGTGGGTGAGAAGTTGCTGGTGGCCACCGTGGGCGCCATCACCAACGGCCAGCAGGCGACCCAGATCCTCGAGGAGGAGGATTTAGATGTCGCTCTGGTGGGACGTGGATTCCAGAAGGATACCGGGCTGGCCTGGACATTTGCTCAGCATCTCAACACCGAGATCTCCATGGCAAACCAGATCCGATGGGGATTCACCAAGCGTGGTGGCACGCCGTATATCGATCCTTCGGTGTACAAGCAGTCGATTTTTGATTTTTAGACATAGATACCATATGATAAATTTATAGATAGCGATCTTTTGAAATGGCACTGTTCTGGAGACAAATATTCTTCCTCCCATGATCCCAGCCCGGTCCCATGCGGTCTGTACATCTGCAGACACCTTGCTTGAGTGTTGATCCACCTGCGGTTGCTGTGAGCAAGTGCTCTTGACATATCTTCGTGCCCCTGAGGGTCGGGAGAAGGAGGTATGTCGCGTGTATGGACACTGCGCCACGGAATGTCCCTGCTGTACGAGATTGCGTCCTTGCATTGATCGTTATCCGGGCCTGCCTCCCGTGCCCTTGCTACCCTAAGAAGAAACCCCTAGGAGGAGATCGCACCTTCCTTGATATTGCTCATGATGGCTTTGAATCAACATGTATCTAGTAGTGCTGTCCAGGTGGAGATGAATTCGCAGGCACAGACAATAAAGTAACATTGTGAATCATGCTCAGGATATATAAACACTAGGATATTAACATATACAACAATCCACAATCCCCAAGTCATGCGTCATACAGCCCTCCCCCCAAAAAAAAACGACACTATTAGAATCTGACATCTCGGATACACATCACCACCACCTCAGCCGAAGCTTAAACGCCAAGGGGATCGGCCTTCTGATCGCCCCGAGTATCCACCAAGCCGGTATCGGCCTTGGAGAAGTCGCGCGTGCGGGTCTTGCGCTCGAACAGGACATCCAGCTCCGCGTACGAACGACCTTTGGGCTCGGGCAGACGCAAGAAGGCCCAGGTGGCACAGCAGATACAGAGACCGGCCCAGAAGAAGCCGGACTTGCCGCGCCAGTTCCATCCGTCGACGTTCAGCATGTAAGGGATGATGATACCGGTAACCAGGTTGAGGATGTTGTACATGTTACGGGCCAGGACGACGGTCTTGGTGCGCAGACGGGAGGCGGGCATCTCGGAGACGAGCGAGAAACAGACAGGCCCGACGGTCGAGTCGTAGATGAAGGTGTAGACAAGGAGCATGGAGCCGGTGGCCCAGGAGAGGGCGGTCGAGGAAGCGGGGATGGAGATGAAGCCGATGACGAAGAGCACACCCGTGAGAGCGGCCAAACCGCCGACGTACAGGGTGCGGCGACCGAAGTAGGTCATCATCGCCCAGGAGGCGAAGGTACCGATGACACCGATGGCGTACTGCACCAGCGACATGGTGAAGGACTGGGAGACGGCGAGGCCGGCACGCTGGTAGAAGACGGTCGAGTAACCCATCAGACCAGCGCCGCAAAGACTCTGGGCAGCCCAAACCAAGCAGGAGATCTCCGTGCGGCGCAGGTCAACACCGCGGAAGCAGTCGAGGTAGCTGGTACCGGTCTGGGTTTGTCTCTCAAGCGCATCGGTGTAGGCAATCATCGCGACGGTTTCCTCGGCATCGAAGTCGGGGTGGCCAGGGGTGGCAAGGCGGTTCAGCGACTTGATGGCGTCTTCACGGCGGTCCTTGCGGATGAGCCACCAGGGGCTCTCGGGCGCGAGCCACACACCGATGAAGATGGGGACAGGCCAGACCCACTGGATGGCGAAGGGGATGCGGTAGGCCCACTGGTCGGTGCGGGTGTTCAAGCCCTTCAGGATACCGGAGGCGATGAGCTGGCCCAGGACCCAGCAGAGATTGACATAGGTGGTCAGGTAGGCGCGCAGCGAGACGGGGCAGACCTCCGAAGCGTAGGTGACGGTCAGGGTCTGGTACACACCAAGCGGGATACCCATGAACAGCTCGCCCACCACCAGTGTCTGAATGTTCGGCGCGAAGAAGAGGATGAAGATGATTCCGACGGTGGCAGCAAGGCAGGCCATGAGGGTGCGGCGGTACCCAAAGCGTTCAGACATGATACCGTTCAGGAACAAACCGATGATCTGACCACAGGCCATGGAGTTGGTCAGGGCGGCCTGCCACTTGGCATCGAGACCGTAGGATCCGTCCGACATGATGTGACCGTATTTCTTGTTGAACTCGGGGTAGGCGAAGAAGGAACCGATGAGGACGACGTCGTAGCCCTCCATGATGATGGCACAGGACATAAGGATCGACCAACCGACAGCCTTGCGGTAGACCTTCAAGGCCTGCAGCGGGCTCATGCTGTGTTCCTTGTCGAGGGCGGCCTGAGCCGCGGCACTGGCGACGACCTCGCCATGGCCGTGCTCAGAACTGTAGTGATTCTCCTCGACATGTTCGATGCCGGTAGACTTTTCCTTCTCCATGGCTGCGGGAGGCGCGGGGAGGGAAATGTGGAGAGGGAGTAAGGAGGGAGCAAGAGAGAGAGAGAGAGAGTAAAAGGGGGGTGGAAGGAGAGAATAAATTGGCAGATAGAGCCGCCTATGAGTTGTGACTGGGGAGGATGGGGAAGCAAGCCGCTGATCGGATCAACACTGTCGTGGAACCAGCTGGGTTTATATATGCATCGAGATCGGATGGTCGACAGCCTGCCTTCGTATTATTCTTGTAGAGTCAAAGGAGTATGTTAGGTCTTGTTCTAAAATCCTTGGAACATCAGCCCAACAGGCTTTTTGACTTGGTCACTTGGTCCGAAGCCACCTATGGCCTCTTGTCGCAATTCCCGAGTCTAGTCACAGCCAATTCCTATGGGAAATCGATGATTATCATGCTATTATTCTGCAGGTTCAAGGCCAGAGGTGGAGACTGTTTCCCCGGATTGACCATGAACCCTTTGGCTACCCCGAGATTTGACCACACACGAGCGAGTAGCGACACAACACGGTGGGCGTCATAAGACTAACGGCCGGTGACGGACAGTGCCAAGGAGGCGCAAAGTGAACCCGATGGTGTTGTTTGGCGTCTGGCTTTTTTTTGGGGGGGGGGTGTCTTAACTTCTGAAGTAGTCTCCTGAGGCTTTTCACCCCGAAAAGTGGGCGGCGAGAGGGAAAACTCGATGGAGAGGGAGTGGAACAGGGTCTGATTGGGTGGATGTCGGTCCGAGGTACGGGGGTGGTTGTTTGACGCTAATGCACGCTAGTTCTCCGAGAGGCTTAGCGGGTGGGTCTCCCTGATTATTCGTGAGTGGAGTGGAATAAGCTAGCCAATCATACCAGGCCAAGGCCCACACCCTCTTGGCTCTTGGCGAATCAATCACCGAGCCGAAATTGGCTGCCCACCAATAACATCCCCCACACCGGGGTAACAGTGGGGAGAGGCGGGGTGAGAATTCCCAAAGCGGAAGGGCCCAGATGATAGCCACTGGACGAAAAGGGCAGTTGACGGCGCATCGGAGTTGCGATAGTGGCAGATGGGGAGATAAGGTCACACCCCCTTGGGGAAATCTGGGAGAGGCTTCAACTCGGTCCGACATTCAGTCAATCAGAACGGCGGGTGCACATGGACAGTTGTCAATTGTCGTCGATCTCGACCCAACAGTCACTATATATTTCGTTCCTCTGCGCGATGGCCATGGGAGCTGGAAGTAGTGCGAGAACCCATTCATCCTGTCTGTTGGGCAGAATCATTTCCTTTCTGATACCATCATCTTGTTTGTGATTTTACTTTTTTCCCCTTCTTACGAGTAATTCTTCCTCTTTTCCTGTTGTGATACCCCCTGCCTGCCACCACCATGTCCCCCGCTCCCATCCAAGAGAAGTGGTGGAAGAACTCCATCATCTATCAGATCTACCCCGCCAGTTTCAAGGATTCCAACGGCGATGGCGTCGGTGATATCCCCGGGATCATCTCCCAGCTGGACTACATCCAGAGTCTCGGCGTCGATGTAGTGTGGCTGTGCCCCATGTACGACAGCCCCCAGATTGACATGGGCTATGACATCTCCGACTATGAGAGTGTATACGCGCCCTACGGCACAGTGGAGGACATGGAGCGGTTGATCGAAGCCTGTCATAGTCGGGGGCTGCGCATCATCCTGGACCTCGTGGTGAACCACACGTCCGATCAGCACCAGTGGTTCAAGGAATCGCGGTCGTCCAAGGACAGCCCCAAGCGGGATTGGTACATCTGGCGCCCGGCCAAGTACGATAGCAATGGCAACCGCAAGCCGCCCAACAACTGGCGCGCGGTGTTTGGCGGCAGTGCGTGGGAGTGGGATGAAACCACCCAGGAGTACTATCTGCATCTGTTCTGTGTCGAGCAACCCGATATCAACTGGGAGAACGCCCAGGTACGGCAGGCCGTCTATGCCTCCGCCATGGAATTCTGGTTGAAGAAGGGGGTGGATGGTTTCCGCGTGGACACCGTCAACATGTACAGCAAGGACCCCGCCTTCTCGGATGCCCCCATCCTCAACCCCAAGTCGGACACCCAGCCGGCCTTTTCGCTGTTCTGTAACGGGCCCCGGATCCACGAGTATCTGTCCGAGATGTACGAGGTGCTCGACAAGTACGACGCCATGACCGTCGGTGAGCTGCCCCAGACCCCGACTCTCGAGGGTGTTCTGCGCTACGTGTCCGCGGAGAAGAAGCAGCTCAACATGGTCTTCTCCTTTGACGTGGTCGATCTGGGCATGGGCAAAGATTACAAATTCCTAACCACCCCGCGCAGCTGGACCCTCCCCGAGCTCAAGGAGGCCATTGCGCGCGCCCAGAACATCCTCAAGGGCACTGATGGCTGGACCACCGTGTTCATGGAGAACCACGACCAGGGTCGCTCGATTTCGCGGTTCGGATCGGATAAGACCCCGGAGCTACGCGATGCGTCGGCCAGGATGCTCGCCATGTTTCAGTGCACCCTTTCGGGCACGCAATTCGTCTACCAGGGTCAGGAGATCGGGATGGTCAATGCGCCCGAGGAGTGGCCCATCGAGGAATACAAGGATGTCGACAGCACAAATTATTACCACATGGTGCGCGAAATGAGCAACAACGATCCCGCCCAGCTGAAGACCGCCATGCAGGCGTTGCAGCATCTGGCCAGAGACCACTCTCGCCTCCCGATGCAGTGGAGCGCCGACGCTAACGCCGGCTTCTCCTCCCCGACCTCCGAGAAACCCTGGATGCGTCCCCACGACAACTACACCGAAATCAACGTCCAGGCGCAGCAGAACGACCCCTCCTCCGTCCTCTCCTTCTGGAAGAAGATGATGCGTCTCCGCAAAGAATATTCGGATTCCTTTGTGTTTGGCATTTTCGAGATGCTGGACGAGCAGAACCCCAACGTCTTCAGCTACCTCAAGCAATCGAAACGGGGTACGATGCTGGTGGCTCTCAACTTCTCCGACACGCCACAAAAGCTCGAGCAACGATCAGACCTTCAGGGCCGGGACCTGAAACTGCTGCTGAGCACAGCTGCTGGCGAGGCGTCGGTAAGCGAGGAGCTGCGGCCATTCGAGGGCAGGATCTACCAGGTAGCCGCCTTGCCGAATTGAGCCTAGCGCACGACGCTAATGCATGCTGGAGCGGACCTCTCTCCCGGAACGGCTTAGCGCTAATGTTTAGACTTTTGCGAAATTAAAAAAATTCAAAAATTCAGTAAAGGCCCCAGACTAGGCCCAATGTAGCATAGCGTGCCTTCCCCAGTGTGGGGTCTCCTCATTCTCTTCTCGTGTCGTCGTCGGTTCGGCGGCACTTGATCTGTTAGACCTGTTGATCCCAAGAGTGGGAAGACTCTGGCACCTCTGGAGTATATCAAGTGGATCGTTGTATGGGTATGAGCAGAAAAAAAGGTGTCCGTCTGCCCAAAATGCTGGCCGCCAACAGAATGGAGTCGATGGAGCCGCTGTCGTCGCGGCGACAGCAGGTGTTCAAGGCCTGCGACCCCTGTAGACGGCGCAAGGTACGCTGCAACGGCCAGCAGCGCTGCCAGCAGTGCGAGCACCTGGACCTGCTGTGCACCTATAGTGACAATCAACGTTCCCGGTCTCGCAAGAATGCTCTGCGGCGAGGCACCGTCATCTCCGAGTGCAAGGTGCCCGTGCCCACCCCGAGCAAGAGCGAGCCGCCTTTGACGATGACCTTTGTGCCACCCCTGTCGCCCCCGGATCTCTCAGTCCCGCTCTCAACCGCCTATCTCCACAGTCTCATCCCGAAGTATATGGCCTTTGTCTACCCGTTCAACCCCATCATGACCGATGAGGAGATCCGGGAATCGATCCGCAAGATGGACGGGGATAGAGACCACGCCGCCTTTGTCCACGCGTTCACCGGCGTGACCATCGATCTGACACAGTCGAATGTCGCCACATCACATGTCTCCGAGCAGATCGACGAGCTTGCGCGTCGAGCCATCGAGCTGCGGACGTCGCTCCTCCCGGGGTTCCGCCCGTCGATTCTCCGCGCCGTGACTAGCGTGTACATCCAGATGCTGTACATGAGCCTGGGCCAGTATGACCTGGGCTTCTACTACCTCCGCGAAGCCATCAGTATGGTCCATATGCTTCGCATCCAAGACAAGGCCGTCATGGCCAGTTTGGATCTAGCCGAGCGCTCCCGGCGCCAGCGGCTGTACTGGCTCTGTTTCATCCACGAGCGCTTCATGTCCATCTTCCACTTCTCGCCCGCGACGCTGTCGCCATACGCGCAGTTCCCCGAGGAAGATGTGGGGCTGGACCCGGGCATCTCGCAGGGCTGGACGCAGGTGATCAAGACCTTCCTGCTGCTGGAACCGACGTTCATCAGCCTGTGGATCGGCGACCGTAGCCAGGTCACGGTGGCGTGGGTGGAGCAGAAGCACCGCGAGCTCGAGGACGAGCTGTGGGAGCTGGAGGTATCGAGCCTGACGGACATGCAGCAGGCGGATCTGGTGGTCACGCGGCAGTGGATGCGCACGCTGCTGTGGCAGATGGCCATGTCCAACTGCCTGCTGTCGTCGCACGCGTCGTGCCCGTCGCTCTCGCTGGAGATGCCGCTGCGGCTGTCGAGCCAGCTGCGGCAGTTTCTCACGCGGATCTCGCAGAACACCGTCCAGATCCACGGATCGTCGCTGCTCAGCAAGCTGCTCGAGATCATCAACACAATTGCGGATGTGGTGATCCATGGGCCGCAGGTGACGCTTGAGGAGACGATGAGCCGGATCGACGATATTCTATTCATGAAGGATGTGATTTTCTCGTTTCGCAACCTGCAGCAGCTCTCGAAAAAGATCCTGATCGAGAAGTTGTATTTGATCCAGGAGCGGTTTGCGCATATTGAAGGGGCCTCGCAGTTGGTTTGCGAGCAGGATATAGGATGACAGGAATATGGACTGGCTGCCTTTTTGACGATTTCCTATACCCTCTGCTCTTGTATTTATGAATGGTGGTATTACTTGATAATGATTTAAGGAGTTTGACCTGGTGAATACATGTGAAGTTGCCGATGCTCTACCAATTGTTGCCGGGCTGGTCATCATGACTGTAAAGTACCACACCTCTTCCTATCAACCCATCAACATGGCGAACGCGGAGGCCTTGAAGAAGATAGATGCGGGAAGCGTCTTCCCAAGAACTACCATCCCAGATCTCCAAACGAGCATGACGCTCTGGTACCGCCCATCCACTCTACGCAGCACCTCGACTCCCGCAATCGTCTTGAGACAGGCCGGCAGTTAAGTCATTCGCGCCGGGGAATACGAGGAAGAAGGGGAAGCGATGAGACAAATAGCATATTGCTCTTTTGTAATATGTTCTTCCCCTGTTTGACTGTCGGTAGCTGCGGTCAAATATGGCATGGTCTGTGCTTCTCAGCGAGGCAATCCTGACGGTTATATATAGTTATATATTCCCGCTCGGAATGACTTGTTGTGCAGCTAATTATTTTCTTCTGATTTTCTCAGCTCCGTCTTCCTCTGAAGGGTTATCTCATTGTACTATAGACCAGCTCTCAATTTATGTTGTTACTCCAAAGAAATAATCAACAGGCCCAGAAAGAGAAGCATTCTCTTCCACTTCTAAACTCTACGTGTCTTCAGGTCAGAATTACGAGTGATGATGCGCACCTCCAATACCTTTCTAGCTGTTTCATTTCTCATCTGCGGCTACCGGCTATGATCTGCCTGGTAAAAATCTGGTTGGTAAGATCACGTTGTCCAGAGATCCTGTGCCAGTGCTGCTTGATGATATATGAGTCGTCAAAATCGAAGACTCTGATTGACTTGCAGTACAAAATACAGCGTCCCAGTGAGGTCGGAAGATATCTTCATTCTGTGATGTCTCCAGCCATAGTACGCTCTTTATGGGAACGAGGACATCGCTCCAGGAGTACAGCTGAGCACAAGCAGCGACGGCACGTGCTATTCCCATAAACCATTGATAATAGTCTGTACCAGCTGAGGCGGCCAGTCCGATGGAAAGAAACCAGACCTCCAGAGATCCATCTATGGTAGAAGTCGACTTCAAATCATCAAGATGCTGCTTGAACCGGGCGACCATCGTGTTCAGTATGACTGCGTGGGAGTAGTATGTGGGTCCATGGATGATAAACATGTAGAGAATGATAGCGTAGCGAATGCATTGGGTCAAGGGCGATGATTGCAAGGCTTCTGGACTAGAAGCCGAGAGTAGGAGTCGGTGTATCACGAAGCATGTGAGATCATGCAGTCGTATCGTCGGAAAGGGACTGTGTTGTGCCCGCTGGAAGGCACGGCGGAGACGGAAAAAGACATTCTTGACTGCGTGATCGACGTCGATACAGCGGAGTGCGCATTCGTCGTCATCAAAGAAGGATGCATCCAATTGCCATTCGGGTATAGGGGGGATGCCGTCACCAATGCCGACATCATCCTGGGTTTCAAATTGCGGGTGGCCCATGATGAGCATCGATACCCTTGGAAAATGTAAGCATGTTATCTGTCCATGATTAAGAAGCAGAAAACGTACCAGCTAACCATCCTTGCAGTCAATGGGCTGGTCTGCCTTACTGAATTGATGCCCCCCCTCATGTCGACGAGTCTTTTCACCCCGTTCACATGCATTTCGCTCACCTTAATATTGCCTTTGCCGAACTGCGAGTGACCAATGTCAGCAACAGTAACTATAGACGACGGGAATGATCGATCTCACTTCGATGGCTGCGAGCGTGATCACCGAATTCATCGTCCCGTCTTGTACGGCCAGGGATAAGTCTTGAATCTTATGTCGCAATAGGGCTACAGAATCGGCCATGAGCATTTCAGAGGTTCGGAAGCCCCTTTGAGCCAATAGCTCCTCATCGAGACAGGCTGTCTGCAACGAGACATGAAAAAGCGCTGGATCGCCCAGAGCGAGTGGCCACCATGAGACGAGGAATGGATTTGAGGCGGCATTCAAGTCCAGAGGATAGTATTGGAAAGCGATTTTGTGTACAACTGAATTGCTAAGCCTAACTGTGATATGCAGGAACAATCGGGAAGGGGCATACAGCTATAAATGAGTCGTTGAACTTGCTGCCGGGGAAGTCTTGTCTGCGGATAAGACTCAAAGGGATCAACCGATGAGAATCGGTAAGTGGTTAAGGTGCCGAGTCCGCCATCAAGAGGAGGTGCTAGCCTGCCATCAACAGCGGGGACTGCCGTTAATGGCTCATTCGCGTAGAGGCATGGGACTTGGCGCTTAAGACAACGTGAGCAGCGTGGGGTGCGGAGGTCACAGCTATGTTTGGCTTTGGCACAGGCAGCACAGGAGCGTCGAAGCGTTTGGCGCATTTTGTGAGGGAGGTACGCTCGGCAGAATTGATTTTCAGAGGATCCAGCAAAGAACAAAGGGGTTGACTGCGCGGACTGTCCAATTCACGCTTCCTAGGACACAACTGTCGGTATAAGATGGGCACGACTGGGTAAGCACATCCCCGAGCACTCCGGCATAACTGAGAGAGAAGGGAAGACCAGCCAATCCGCAGGCAGAAACATTGTCTCCTTACTGATAGCAGTTAGTGCCTCTGAGAATCACTACAATAGGACTAGTCTCCGAGCACTATCCTGCTGGACGACGGAGTCCAATCCCAATCGGGCAGTAGTCTATCAGGGGAGGTGGGAGATGGGCAGTGAGTTTAACTCTAGCAGGATAAATGTCCTGCGAACTGGTATCTATTGAATGCTGGCCTATGTCTATGCGTTCAAGAATCCCTCCTGCTTCCACCTCACTATGTACTTCAAGATCTGCTCCTCGTCAATCCGCCCGGATTGCCTTAGCGTCTGTGAGTGCTTAGTGGCCTTGTCTGTATCTAAGACCAACCCGCCGCACGACATTGGCACGAAATAATGATCAAAGAACTCGATCAACTGCAGCGCCGGGTTATCGCTCACACTGCCCCGGAACCTCCTCACACGGTCCACCCATGTCTGAAATGGCACAATTCCCTCCTGAGGAATACCCAGCGCACGCGCCAAGGTACTAATCATGTCCTTCCAATCCTGTCGTGATGGGTTATCGATGTGGTAGATCAGATCCGTCGAAGTCTCGGTGAGGAGCAATTCGCCTAGAGTAGCAGCGACATCGTTCACCGGGTACCACGAGAGTGTACCGTCCAGGTCCGGCAGCAACCTAAGCACCTGAGATGACTTGATGAGGAAGGGCATGTACTCAGTGGGATTCCAATACCCGTTGGACGTGGAACCGGCGATCTGGGCGACACGAACCACCAGCGCGTGGAAAGATTCCGGATACTGATAAAGTGTCCGAGCTAGCATTCGCTCGACGACAAGTTTTGCCTCGGCGTAGCCCGTGCCCGGGAGCGAGGCGATTGTGCCGGGCTTCTCGGGGACAAGTGGGCTTCCCGTCCAAAGCGGATAATTGGCGATGACGGCGCTCGAGGAAACGAACTCAAAGCCAAGCTTGAAGGGTGCGGGCCGCCGTGCAATTATGTCCGAGGCGAGGGTGAGCAGGTTGCGCGCCGTTTTGAACTGCGTCTCATAGGTGCGGATGGGTCGGGTCAGGCTCATGGGCCAGGCACTGTGAACAATGTGGGTAACGGTGTGAGTGAGGTGGGTGTACGTCTCCGGCGACAAGCCAAGATTGGGTTTGCTCGTATCCGTTTCAAGCACATGAAGCTTTGACAGGGGTGCTGCATCGAGGGTGATGCCGCGCTTCTCAAGCGAGGCGCGCTGACGCTCGTTTGCATCGACAGTGCTGAGCCGGTTGAGGCAGATGATTCTGGTGATATCCGGGCGATGAGCGAGATAAGCCACGACGTGAGAGCCCAGACTGCCCGTGGCGCCGGTGACGAGCACACACTGTTCTGTACTCGCCGAAGCATTGTGCGGTGCTGCGTTGGTTGGCGATGGCGGGATAAAATCGGCCGTGTACTTGGTGACATATGCCTCAATCATGGCCTCACGCTCTGGGTTGTCGAACGTCAACTGGGGCTCGACAATGGAAGGCAAAGCAGGTTTTGGCGCGTGTTCATACCTAGGTCCAGATGCGTGAGCTATAATCAGCCGCTGAATGTTGGCTTCTGGAAGGTCGCCCGCCGTCCAGTCGACGTGGCCATATCCCGTTGATTGTAACACTTGCTCCCAGTAGCTTGCAGGCTGAAGAACATAGTTTCGCCCGTCTTCGAACAGCCACCAGCCCTCGAGGAATCCAAAAATGAAATCCACCCACGGCACCTGCTCCGTCATCTCGAGCATGACCAGAAAGCCCTCTGGCCGCAGCATCCGATGCAGGTTCTTCAGTGAGATGGACAGATTGCGAGTGGCATGGACACAGTTTGTCGCGAGGATGATGTGCTGGCTCTCGAAGAATTTGGCATCCGGCTCCGTCTCCATGTTGACGACCTTGAACTCCATGAACGGGTACTGCTTGAATCGCTTGCGTGCAGCCGCGACCAGCGAGCCAGAGATGTCGCTCATGGTATACTTGACGGGCACACCCAGCGCAGCCAGCAGAGGCACGATTTTACTTGTCGTGCCGCCAGTCCCCGCGCCAATCTCGAGAATACAGATAGGCTCCCCAGTCCGTGGTAGTCTGTCGAGCAGCTGGTGGAGGAAGTCTGCGAGCTGCTGGATCCAGGCTGTGTTAATGGGTGACTTGGCGTACATTTGAGACGCAACCTCGCGGGCTTCGGAGGTGCCAAAAATCAATTGCACACCGTCCTCCTCTCCGGTAATCAACTTCACGAATCTCGCGCCAACAATTGCGGTGAGCTTGTGCTCAGCGGCATGGACTGGCTCGTCGTGGAGTAGCTTTGCGAGCAGGGTCTCTGCCGAGGAAGTCGGCGCCGCAACGGCGGTGCGGATGATTTCTCCATCTTTGATATCGATCAGACGTGCATCGGTTTCTAGGAGGCCGTAGATCAGGTCGATGAATTGTGCATGCTTGGGATCATACGGAATGCGCTCCAGCCGCTGGCCAGGCGCAGCGGATCGGATAGGGCAGCCAAGTTTCTCGAAGGCATCCAGAATGTAGACAATGCAGAGCTCGGTCGATCGTGGCATGACCTCTTTGTAGTAGTTGGCGAGTTGGCCGCGGACGATGGCATCGTCCGTAGCCCATTTGATCTGGCTGAAGGTCTCTCGGACCGTAGCGGTGGTGAAGGATGCGTGGGTATTGCCGCCATTCGTATGAAGTCCGTTTCCATTGATACCGTTGGTACCATTGACTTTATTCACACCATTCGCACCATTCACACCGTTGGTGTGGACGGCCCCATTTGTCCCATTTGTCTCGGGGATGACTTCGGTTGGCTCTTCGTCCGCATCGTCCACATCCTCAAACCCTAGCACAGACTGGATGCACACAACCAGACTCTTAAAATCGGTCAACTCCATCAGCTGCTCGTTCTGGAGCGTGCACTTGAATGCAGCCTTCACCTCAGAGACAAGTTCCATTGCCATGAGAGAGTCGATGCCCAGTTCAATCAGATCGGAGTCATCTTGAATCTCGTCCGGTTCCAAGCCAGACAGATTGCAGATGATCTCCCGGGTTTTGGCCGTGAAGTCTTCTCTGGGTGGTTTGGCTACCTTTGCCTTGATTGACCCATTCACTGGTGTTATACTCGGTGCTGAGGTGCTGTAGTCTTTGGTGGGATGGGGAGAGGAATTCACTGGTGGGAGAGGCACAGCAACGGCAGGAGGAGCAGAAGAAGCGTGTCTTGGTTCGGCACCACGAGACAGAACACTTCGCAAGGTGTCCATGGGTATTTTCTGATACGAGACACCCAGAATCGCCTCGATCAATGATCCATCACGAGGATCGAAAGCGAATACATCGCTGACGTATTTACTCGCCGATTCCTGATGGTGAACTGCAAAGACCTCCCAATTGTCCGGTAGCGAACCAGTCGCACCCAGCCGGGGCTTGCGCGTCCATCTGGAAATGCCATCACAGACGAAGATACCCCGTTCGTTCAAGTCCGACGAGTCGTTCATCAGGTTAACGGAGATGCCTGCCGCCTGGCAAAAGCACTCGGTCAGCACATGGTCGATCCACGCTTCGCCTTGGTAGGCTTTGGTGACCTGGGCTGCCGACTCGTTGTCTCTCCCTGCGATCTTGGTGGCACAGCGGAACAGCTCCCCATACTTGACCACCTGTTCAAAGGCACGGTAGATATTGCGGCCCTGGAGGACCTCTTCAGCTTGACCACCATGAAGAAGGCCTGCACAGCTCTTCCGTCCACTCAGGCGGCTCAGGCTCTCATAATCGGCTATCAGCCTAGGGTCACTGGCAGGTCGGAACTCGGCCGTTCCGGAGCTGAACTCTGAGTGGTTCGAGCGGAGCCACCAGTTCCAAGTAAGACCTTTGTCGTCTTTGCAGGCCACATCGAGGTAGACGTCCCCGGAATGACTGGCGAGGAGTGCGCTGTGGTAAGATATGTCCCGGACCTCTGGCTCGTACTTGAAATTGCTGAAATCCGGCTGGAGACTCATCAGCGCGTCCAGCGCGATTTGTAGATGAAGAATGCCTGGCGCAACCGCAGCCGTTCCAGCGACGAGATTAGCAGAAGCTGGCCGCTGAAACTTGTCTATCTCCGTGTTGACTTGGAATCGCGCAGACTGCTTGGACGGATCCTGATAGGTCAGAAGCGTGGTCAAGCCTTTCGGCACGTCGGAATGTTGCGAGGACTGAACAACCGGAACTTCGACCTTCGGGGGCTCTTTCAACTCCATCCAATGTCGGCTCTTCTCGAACTGGTAGGGAGGGAGGATGACAGGTGTATAATCATCAATTTGTCGGGCGTGGTGTCCCCAGAAGGTGACATTCAAGCCTTCCTTCCACAGTTTCACCGTAGTCTCAACTAGACTTTGAAGGGAGGAGGAATCCCCGGTTATATTGACGGACTGGAAATGATGAGCTGAGGTTGCCTTGCCTAGGGCGCGGCTGGCCATGGTGGTGACGGTGGAATTCGATCCAGCCTCGAGCCAAATGGCAGACGGGAACTCCTTAGCCAGACGCTGGACAGCATGATCGAAGAATACCGGGTTCCTTAGGTGCTGAGAGAAGAAATTGCCTGCTGGTCTGCCGGTAGTTCTGGACTCGGTGGCATGTTCGATGCGAATAGTGGACTCATGGAAGGTAATCGCTTGACCGAGTGTCTCGAGGTCAGGAATGAGGGGGTCAACAAGGGAGGAGTGGAAGGCGTTGCTGACGTTTAGTCTCTTTGCCTTGATGCTTGCAAACACAGGACTGCTCTTTGCCAGGTCTTGGGTGAGTTCAATGAACTGGGAAGATCCAGCCAGTGTAAAGAGCCTGGGGCCGTTGTAACAAGCGATCGAAACATCAGAGAGACCGCCCGATGCCTTCTGGGACTCGGAAATCAGGGATTGTACATCCGCCAAATCCGCCTCAACGGCGAGCATGGATCCTTTTTCCGTGCCCCAGCTATCCCGTACAAGACGAGCACGACCAGAGACGATCCGGAGCGCGTCTCTCAGGGAGTAAACCTGCGCGATGCAAAGTGCTGTCAGCTCACCAAAGCTGTGTCCCACTACAGTAGCCACCTGGACTCCTGATTCAATCCAGAGTCTCGCACAGGAATACTGCATGGCAAATAAGATTGTCTGAAGCAGTACGGTGTCCTCAATGGGAGACCTCTGGAAAATGCCAGGATATATGCTACCCAGACCCAGGGATTGACCGACAGCATCGCACTCGTCCAGGTGGGCTTTCAAACCTGCGACCTGGTGATATACTTCCTCAGACAGTCCGACAAATGTGGAGATCTGTCCGCCGAAGCACAGAATGACCGGACGGGGAGGCGGGAGCTCTGTTTCCGCGAGCTCTCCTTTTTGAAAGGCAAGCAAATTCTGGTCCAAGTCCGTGGCAGAAGAAGCTGTCAGTTGTAAAGCCTTGGGAAGGGTCCGATTAGACTGGCGAGCTAGCTGGAAGGAGACATTGCATGCGCTTAGGTTCTTCGTCGAGCTGCTATGTCGCCGTAGGAAGTCCCTGAACTTTACGATGTATGCGCGAAGGCTCTGGGAATCGTGCGCAGTGAACCAGAATGGGAATTTCACCCCATCTGCGCTCACGAGGGAGGTCTTTGAATCATTGGAGCTGCGCTTGGGTGCCTGTGTGACGACAATGGAAGCATTGGATCCGGAAGCTCCGTAGTTGTTAATTAGAGCCGCCCGGAAGTCGGCATTCCAGGGCCTCAACTTTGTCGGGATGTCGATCATGTCCTCGCGCACAGCGTGTAGGGCAGGATTGATGGAATTGAAGCTGGCCTGCGGTGGGATAGAGCCCTCCTGCATCATGAGGAGGATCTTCACCAGGGAGATGATCCCCGAGGCGAACTCGGTGTGACCAAGGAGTCCCTTGACCGACATCAGCGAAAGCACATCCGAGCGAATTGATCCACCCAGTGTTTCCTTGATTGCTGCATACTCGGCCGGATCGCCGACAGGTGTGCCCGTTCCATGCGCCTCGACGACCGTGATGGCGTGCGGAGGGAGCCTAGCTTGTTGGACGATATCGCCAAAGAGCTCTGACAAAGACTCCGTGTTGGGGACGGTGATCGCGGTGCAGTTGCGGTTCTGGTAGACCCTTGTGCTGGAAATCACCCCGAGAACTTGATCACCATCGGCGATTGCGGAGGACAGCTTCTTGAGATAAACCACCCCGGCGCCTTCTCCTCGGCAATACCCATCAGCTGCGGCATCGAAAGGCTTGCACTGGCCAGTTGGGCTCAAGAAGGAAGCACCAGCGAGATTATGGAACCAGTCAGGGTTGGTAAGGACATTGACGCCACCAGCCAACGCAGTAGTGCATTCACCGTGAAGGATAGCGCGGCAGGCCTGATGGACTGCGACACCCGAGGAGGAACAGGCAGTGTCGACTGTCACACTCGGGCCCGTCCAGCCAAAGTAGTGGCTGACCTTGCCGGCGACGAAACTGCGCAGGTTTCCTGTGGCAGAATAGGCGTTCCCTGGGTAACAGGCGATGTTCCGGTCGTAGTCGACGTTACCGATTCCGATATAGCAGCCGATATGCTCATCCCCTTGCTTTTTCGAAGCACTGAAATAACCGGACTGCTCCACAGCCTGGTACGCCAATTGCATGATCAATCGATGTTGGGGATCTGCCGATGCTGACTCGCGCGGACTCTTCTTGAAGAATTTGTGGTCGAAAGCGTCGTAGTCAGCGATGAAGTTGCCGTACCACTTCCGGCTGGGATCTAGCTCTCTAAATGGAGTCTGCATTGAGAAGCGCTCGAGCGGTACCTCGGTATGCTGGGACTGGCCTCTAGAGAGGATGCTCCAGTATCCCTCTAGATCGTCAGCACCTGGGACCAGGCAGGCCATGCCAATGACCGCAACCCGATCATCTGGGAGGTCATCCATGTGCTGGCCCACAAGCTGCGCAGGTAGGGAAGAAGCTGCCGGATCAATCTCCGAGACCTGCACCAGCTGGGTGCCCAGCTTTCTTGTCATTGTGGGCGGTACGCACCGCTCTGGGCCTAAGCAGATAAATGTAGCGCCGCCAACTTCCACATGGGTTGTATAGACGCTGGTGAAGGTTTCTAGCCAGTGCGAAGGTCGTATAAGAATTTCGCGCAGCGCGATTTCATGGAGGCTCGCGCCGCTGGCTAGAACGCTGGGCAGAATGATCTTTGAAGATTCAGGGAACTGCAATATGTCATGGCTTTTACAGAGCGCAATAAGTTGCTCTGCCTCTTCCGCATGTCCTGGCCAGTGGAATCGTCCGCTCAATGGCACTTCAGACACGTGCAAGCCAAGGCTCTTCATCTGCTGAATCAAATCAGCGGCCTCCTGCTGAGGCAGAGTCACTGTCGATCGCTTCTCATCAACGTAGACAGATATGTATGCCTGAGACTCATCAGCAAATCAGGGGGGGGAGGGGGGGATGCTGCGCTTGCGGAGCTACTGACCGCAGGGCACTTCTCTAATACTCCATACAGACTGGCCTTAGTCTCAGCACCGTTCCACGAGACCGAAACTGATGTCGCAACGCCATTGGAATCGGGCGATGCTTGCTCTGCGTCGACCAGCGCGCCAGCAAGCATGGCAAGACGGACTGCTACGGCCCCATTCTTGTAGAGTTCAGCCAGGTTGGAGGATGAAGAAACGGCAAAGGCGCTCAGGATGCCGGTACATAGGCCGAGTGTCTCCGAGCTTTCTGTGATGGACGCCGGGAATTTGTCGTTCTCCCCAAGGTTGGGTAATGCCGCCGTAATTAAGTCCACATATTGTGTCAGCTGAGCGATGACGACCAAGGGAGAGAGGAGAGTGTTGGGTAGTGGAAAGAGAGAGGGTGAGATGTCTCCTGTTTGCAAGCCTTGGTCGAGGTCTTGGAGCAATTGGGCACCGCTGAAATGTTGCAACTTGGGGATGGAGCTGATGAGCGTTTCCCAGAGTTGTGGCAGTTCGGATACCGTGCTCAAAGCCCACTTGCCGTGAGGATCCGCATGAAGATGAAGGCTGAGCTGGCGAAAGAAGCTCACGTCGAGCGCCAGGGCCTGAGGGCCGAATAAGAACACCTTGGGCTTGTGGTGAGAATTCATGGTCATGTTGAAAATGGCTCAAAAGTGTTGAATCTGTGATAACGCGAAGATCAGATATACTCCATCAGGTTGATGCCGAGAATGAAATTAGTAGTCTCTGGTCTGGAGAACGGCTCTCAATGTATATTTACTTAGTTTTTGCAGCCTCATTCTCCAAATCCAACATAAGCTTGCATTCCGCCAAAGACTCGGCAGGTTTATTGCAGTTTTCGGCCCTGCCGAGCCGGAGCTGTCTCTATCTTGTCTCTCTCTCCCGAGATTCCTTCGACAGGAGCGGGAGGCCTAATTTTGCTTGATTGTCACGACTGGGGTGTAAGCATGAAATTAGCCGAGACACGGATAGAGGCACGGCCGTCATGAAACCAATTCGGTGAATCCATACTCCTGCCGTGTCTTGGACATGCGTCTCAAGGCGATCCAAGGTGCAGACACTGTCATGGGGTAGGTAGTCTGTTGGAAAGCTATAGAGATGAAGGGCCATGGGAGTGAGCAGCGATGGTTCGAGCAGATTGAAGGTTGTATTCGTAACTATCGCATTGCCTCTATCCTCAACTAATTGTCTACATCCGTCTCCCTGGCCAATTCCCGAATCTGCTGAATGACTTGCAACACATCCTTCAACTTGATCGGCACACGGTGATCCCCATCCCATTGTAATACTCTCCTGGTCTTTGCATGACAGAACTCCTCAAACAGCAGCCTATGGCGTTCCAAGCCAGGATCTCGTAAACCGTGTACATGCAGAGTCGGTGTCCGCAGCACATTCCCCTTCGCCCGCCCCCACCAAACCGCCTCATTCTCTAAACTGGCATCTGTGATTTGCCCAGCGTCCGGCATTCCCGAAGAGCGGATCACCTCCGGATCAACTTCCAGCGACACGAGTGGACCCTGCCCCGCCAGGAGCACGCCAAAGCGGAACCTCGGGAGAGCGTTGCGCTCGGAAGGCCGCGTCTGTTGCTGGTACAGCAGACTTGCGGCGACTTTCGCCCCCTGGCTGAAGCCTAAGATGCCGATCCACTCTCCCGTCGCCCCCGAGCGGTCATCTGTCCGGATCGCAGCTAGGAGCGATTCGTTGATTGCGGCCACCGCGTCCTGGGGCATGATGTCCGGGTGCTCCCGTCGCCAGCGGAGCCAGCGGCGGAAAGGCCCCCACTGGCTGTAAACTGCGAGGACGTCGGAGCCGGAGTTGGAGGGAAACGGCGCCTCTGCAAAGACGAAGCGGTATTCATCCCGGGTGTGGTTGGTGAGGGCTCTGCACTGGGCGCGAAAGATGCGCGCGTTGGTCCCACCCCCGTGGAGGCAGAGGATGCGTGGGAGATGCAAACTGGCATCGTGGACTAGAAGAGACTTCTCTGGGCTCGTGGCTGACATTTGTTTTGCACAGGACCGTGGAACTTTGACCTATTTCGTTGTTTCTATGGGGTTTGGAATATGTATGTCTCACAGAGTCGAGCAGTTGACCTATGCGCACGGCGGTGGCCGGCATTTTACACGATTCTCACTATGAAGCCTTAGTAGCACTCGTCCTCCTGCTTAGGGCATTCGATATTGGAGATAAGACAATCGGAAGGAAGCCTATACTATCAGCCGCTCGCGATGAGTTGGATAGTGATCGGCAGGACTTTCAACAGGCACTGGAAGCCTTACAGCGCCAAGAAGACCAGCCTCGGCCCTTTTCCATCCATACAAACCTGCCGAAAAGGCGATCTTTCTCACGCGTCTGCGGAAATCGAACAACCTGCCGAGATGGTCTGACTGTTTCTTCCACGTGTCGGATGGCGTGCAAGGGAGTTAAAATGGTATGAATACAGCAAAGGCCATGGCGATCGTGCCAGTCATCCATATCATTATTAACCCTCGATTATCAAGCATTACTGTAAACCCAACATCACCACCATGACTGTTTCGACCCCGTCATTTTATCTCCCCCTGGTCGATATCACGCCCTTCCTTGAAGACCCGTCCAGCCCGGCGGGCCAACAAGTCATCACCGATGTTCGCAGAGCCTGCCAGTCGACGGGGTTCTTCCAGATGAAAGGCCACGGCGTGCCCCTGACACTCCAGAAAGCCATCCTCGCCGCCTCGGGCAAGTTCTTTGGCCTGCCTCTGGAGACCAAGCTGGCGCTCGACGCCCGCAAAAACGTCGGGTTCCGCGGGTACGACGTGATGGAAACCCAATCCTACGAGCTCGAGTTCGGAGGGCGACCGGGCGACGAGGGCTCCGCGGTTCGCGACATCAAGGAGGGTTTCTTCATCTCCACCGATCTCCCTCTGGACCACCCGAGGGTGCGCGAGGGCCGGTTCCTACAGGGCCCCAACGTGTGGCCGCCCACGGAGCTGCTGGCTCCGCAGGACTTTCGAGCGGTGCTGGAGGAGTACTTCAGCGAGATGCAGCGACTGTCGCGGGTGGTGCTGTCGCTCGTGGCGGCGACGCTCCCGTACGGCCCGCAGGTGTTCGATGCGCTGGATACGAACGACCCGATGTGCCTGCTGCGTCTGCTGCATTACCCGCCGAACGGGGAACAGGCGGCGCGGGACAAGGGCCAGCTCGGCAGCGGCGCGCATACGGATTTTGGGGTGCTGACGCTGCTACTGCAGGACGGGCATTCGGGACTGGAGGTGCAGGACTATACGACGCGCGAGTGGCATGGCGTGCCGCCGCAGGAGGATGTTTATATCGTCAACATGGCGGACCTGATGTCCGTCATGACCAGTGGTGAGTATAAGAGTAGTTGGCATCGGGTCTTGAACCGGAACTCCCAGGACCGGTACAGTGTCGTCTTCTTCTACGATGGCAATTTGGATTATGAGCTAAAGCCGCTGGATCCAGCAAAGAGGGCGGAGGAGGAGAGTGCACCTGCCATCACCATCGAGGAACATGTGCGTCTGCGCTTGACAAGCAGTTACAGCCTTGCACAGAAGTAACTTGCGAGTATGCCAAACGTACGGCACTGGCATGGAAATGCAACTACATAGATTGGAGTGGGACAGGTGTTTAACGCAAGGGACGGCGCAGAGGAAGGCAAGTGGGCAGGCTGCTTTGGATGTGGTGATATTCACTCTTTTTGATATTTCTTCTGTCCTTTCTGTTTTTATGGGATATGGGATTCAGGCGTATGGATACTAGATTCCTGCTTGAACTGGTGAAGTGCCTGCATAGCTAGTCATTCCAACAGATAGGCTCTAACAGGTTAATAGAATCTTGATTGATTGATTGATTGATTGATTGATTGATTGATCTTAAAGCCGTCTTCTGCCTTCTATTGCCTCTAGTAGGAGAATCACAACTGTCATGTATAAAAAAAATAGACTTTGATCCAATATCTAACCTTCTACACTAAAGCAATTCATATATCATTGTAGCAACAAAACCAGGAGTGAAAATGTACACCAGTAGAACCAAAACGTCTAGAAAAATTTAAACAACGGAGCCTGCCTCACTCTCCAATCAGTATAGGTTTCCGCTTCTCGCTGAATGCCTCCAGAGCCAAAGTGCGATCCTTGGTCATGAGGACAGAGTCATAAGCTGCATTCTCCACGGCCTCACAGCTATACGTCAACGCACTGATGGCCGCTCGCACCGCCAATGGTCCTGAGTTGCATATATCCTCCGCCAACCCAAGGCCGGCCTTCAGGACCAGATCCTTCTGGGGCTCTTCGGCGGTTTCCGCGGCGACAAGTCGGTTACACAGTCCCATGGCAGCAGCCTCCTTGGCCGGCACCAGCCTCCCCGTGAGGACCATGTCCAGTGCGTTGGACACACCCACGATGTTCGGCAGCCGATATGTACCGCCTGCACCCGGGATGATCGCTAGTCTTGTCTCCGGCAACGCCACAAGCGCATCGGCGGCGAACACCCGGAGGTGGCAACACAGCGCCAGCTCCAGCCCCCCGCCCAGTGCCCTTCCCGAGACGCAGGCGATAGAAGGGATGGGCAGGGCTGCGAGTCGTGAGAAGACGGTGCGCAGGCTAGCCAGGAAGGACCGGGTTTCGGGCAGCGTCATCTGCTTGCGCTCCTTGAGGTCTGCACCGGCACAGAAGATGCCTTCGACGGCGCTGGCGATGATCAGGGCCCGGGTTCCATTTGTGTGGCTCTCGCGGTGGACCTCTTCAATCTCGCTGCTGAGCTCGCGGAGCATCTGCCAGGAGATGGCGTTCTTGGCCTCTGGGCGGCGCAGCTGAATGATTTTGACGACGCCCGTGTGGGCGGCTGGAACATGGGTAACCACGAGTGTCAAATGGGCTTTTGTAGGGGCGGGGATGATTTGCATGTCAGCAAGGCCGTTGGTTGCTGCCTCAAGCGGGGGAGCGGCGAGTGAGCCATTGGCTTCGTCATTGCGTGGCTCCGGTACAGAGGGGATTGCCTGGTCTGGAGCAACACCGTTGGCAACAGGCTGCTGCTCGTGAGCCGTTCCGTTGACCTTAGCGACAGTCTCCGTCGACTCCTCCGCTGGGGCCTCAACAAGGACCGGATCTTCGGTGGTCAACCGGGCAAAAAGCGGATCCTCCTGAAGACAACGGATCGTGCTCTCCTGCTCCGTGACCATGAACTCACAGCTGCCATCCGGTACGCGGGGCATCACAATGACAGCGCCGGCCTGCGTACCCCGCGCAGGGAGACGCAGCGCCTTGATACGGCCGTCGTCAAACGCAGGGCCAAAGTCCATGGCGTGCAGGTCCATCTTGAAGAGACTGGTCAAGATGATCCCCGACGTCGCCATCGACTCCAGAATGTTCAGGCGCGTATGGGCCTCGAGCGCCGTCCGCTCCGCATATCCGATCAGATCCCGGAACTTGTCCCCCGTCAGAGCCCGGAGCTCGTTGCGCAGGGCCCGGGCAGCAGCACCGATCCCGGCCTCTGGATCCGCGAGCACGGATAGCGGCACGGACGACTTGGTCATGTAGATGACGTTCCCGAAGTAGGTCTCGGTAATCTTCAGTTTCGAGCGACAATCCACAGGCTGTGCGACGTATGTGGTTGCGTCGGCATCGAGGATGCCCGCGCGATGCCGGGCGACCATGATGCTCCGCCAGATAAAGGCCGAGATGGCGTCGTTGGTGGAGAACCAGTCGTCTGCCCCGGTGGAGGTTGAGGAAAGAACGCGCTTGAGCTCGGAAAGGGCCGCAGTGTTGAGGCGAAAGGTGTGGCAGGAATTCTCCACATTGTGAATCTGCGCGTGGGCGTTCGACGGCGAAGACGTCCAGGCTGCGTGGTTCTCGATGGCTCCAGGGATGCCGCGGCCCGAGACGAATTCAGTCCGATCCGAGCGGTAGACCTCGGTTCTCTGCTGGAGAGGATGGCCTGTTTCGCCGGACTGGGCCTTGCGGAGCTCGTCGGCGAAGAGCTTGATGATCTCGGTCACGCCACGACCATCAGCCGCATTGTGGATGATGGATACGACCAGCAGTAAGCCGCCCTGGATGAAATTGGCCTGGAAGCGGCAGACGTCCACCTGCTCCTTTCCAAAGTATCCGACTTCTGGGAGGGGGCAGAGCTGCTCGGTGTTCAGCAGATGCTGCGAAAAGTTGGCCTTGGCCAAGTCGGCAAAACTGAGCTCGTCTGACAGATCCTTGACAATGAGGTGGGCCGCGCCGCTGGGGATGATATTACGAAGCCAGGGACGGCCACCTTGGTCATCTGAGAAGGGAACGACGGAGCCTGCCAGGATAGGGAAACGTTGAACGGTGTGGTGGAAGGCAATTCGGAGATAATCGGTCAACTGCTCTCTGTCGGTATGGTCTGGGAGGGAGAAGCAGAGAATGCGCTTGGAATGTGTCGGAGGGAGGATTCGGTCCCAGTGAGAGATCTTCACATCGAAGGGGGGACACTCAACAGTGAAAGTTTGCTCCATGCTGGGCAGCAAGTATGAAGATGTAGTGCAGGCTACTTCCACGTACGTGACTCAAGGCGTTGGGATGAGGTTCTCTTTGCTCATTTATTCCCCCTCTTGTCCAGTGTTGAGTTAGTCGCTGAGCCAGATGTCGTCGGCCAGATCTCACTGCTCAGCTCGGATAGCACTCTCAGCCATGCATGGCCACTCTAACGATCTAGAACCGACTATTCCCTGTGTCGGCAGGGGTTGCACCATGTGCCGACGATCCCCATGTGCTGAAGAGGTTCGGGCACTTCATCGGCTCCCGATTCGCTGTCGGCTGGTTACTATCTGTATGCCTGCGATCCTTCGCTCGTTTCAAGATGCAGTTCCTAACTCGTCGCCACGACATGGGTCATATACGAGGTACATTTCCTTCGTTGCACGAACGTCCTGTTGAATAATCAGCAGATAGAAGTGGATTTAAATCCCCAAGTCCCCAGCCAGTGTCTCCTGGCACAGGAAGACCCTAATAATGAATAATGAATGCTGCCGTACTCGTAGAGCTAGCTATATAGGAAGCTCCTCGGAGTTAAGAAACATCCATCTCGAGCTTTATCAGCGAATCCCAATAGAACTGTAGGGCCTAGCAGGAAAAGGCCAGATCTGTTTGGAAATTGGAGTTATCCCCCCCCCCCCCAATCTAGCTCTTTTATTCAGATAGTTTAGACTACGCGAGGTCGGCGGTTGAATTGGACAAGGCTTGCGCCACAATGCGCCCTGGCCACCGGAAGAAGAATCCAATGGCTGACGATCTGACATCGATTGCCTTCTGCAGTAGGTCATATAGTGGTAATATGGCATTGTGAAGGATTGGGATCCCTGATCATGAAATTGTCGAGAGGGGGTTGGTGAAATGGTGCCACGCAGCAGTGAGGATGGGAATACTCCGTCCACACGGGTGGCAGTGCGAGTCCACGCATATGCATCTCCGTGTCACACCAGATTCCCCATGGTGTGTGAGTGTCTCTCCAAGCCAGCAGTCGCCGTGTCAGCTTATGTCTTGTTGCTAACAAGAGGTATTGGCAAAGCTTATCTGCAGGATTGGGAGTGAGACAAGGCGCAGCTGCCAACATCAGCCTATCCTGGCCTGTCATCCACGTTGGGTGTTGGTGGTCGTTGTCGTCCTCTTGGATGGACGCATGCAGGCTGACAATGGCAGATAGGCATCGCCTCCTTGTTGGCTATTCATTCATGTCGGGTCGGCCGAGAGGAACGTCCGTGCGCCTGAAGAGACGGACCGTGCCTTGGGAGTTGTGTCTTGTTTCTGCCACTCCAGACCAGTCTTCTTCGGAGATAAATACTCTCTCTGGTTTCGGACAAGGACCATGCGAGGTCCCATCTAATCCTCGTATCTGTGGGGGCCGAGAGTCATGCGCAGGCTCAGATATGACTGGCGTGAGGAGGATATAGACATGGTGACATAAGACTCCGTGCAGATAGATGGATGCAATGCACGAGGTGAGATTGATCCCTGCGCAATTGGCCCTCTAGCGCTGACTAAATCTAGAGGCAACACCAACACCACTGCGACAGCGCGAATCCTTCTATTCCTCCCGTGCGGGAAAGCAGCATGGGAATGACGGAGCCTCCATGGAACGCTGTTATCAGGGGGGATGAAGTGGCAGCCGCGTCATAGCGAGGGGATAAAGCACAAGGAGCCAAACCACCCAGGATGCACCCAAGTCTCAAACTTCAAATAGCCATTGCCTCCAACTAAGCCAAAGCAAGTCGCGCAGAAAGCGGCTAGGTCACCAATCGATCCCACCATGGAGAACGCGCCGTGTGCATGCCTGAAGTATGCAACCAGGGCGTGGCAGCGCGTCGACCACATGGCCGAATTCAGTCTCGAGAGCATCATCGTCGCCACGAGCCAGACAATCGACTTCTCCCTGCAGGCACAGGGGTGTCCGTTACACAACTTCATGCCCGTCCCCGGCGCGATGGAGATCAGGGACGTTCTCTTACGGATCTTTACGAAGCTGGTTTCCTTCCTCCAGATCGCGTTGACGACGTATACGTGTACGGCCATGACGACGATGCCCGCCGACCACCCCTTCACAGCCGCCCTTGAGCGATCCGGGCCCTGCTCTTCCCATCACCTGGCGTGTGGACGCGGGCAGGAGAAGCGAGCTGGGGGTGGAGTGGCGTGCAAGCCCTCCCGGATGACATTGGGGGTCTATGAGTTGAGCGACGGGGAAAGCCGATACCTGGCGCTCGACATGATCTGTCGCTCCCTGCGGAATATCGCCCACGCTGTGCAACAGATGGATTCCGGCGACAACACAGATATCAGAAAGGCCGACTCACCGGTGCTCACCCTGCTGTTCCGAGTGACGGAGTTGCTGGAGAGCGCCACGGCTCATTTACATGATCGGAAGACCTCGTTATAGATCAGGGTGGATGAATAGAGTGGTTTCAATGAATTTATGGCGCTACGGATACTTATCTCTCCATGGTTCTGCACATATATCGTCCCCCCCCATCCGTAACTCACTCCAGCCGCGTGGTGAGGGTGATAAAGCCAATGAAGCGCTCGACACGGCCCCGCACATCCTGTAGTAAATCCTCCGTTACCTTGAAGCTGGTGTTATCCCCTTCGGTCCGTCTCAGCAACTGATGCAGCTGTCTCACCACGCGTCGCTGACGGTCGAGGTACATCCGCACCAGGCGTCGCGAGAACGCGCGCTTCACCGATTCATTAAGTGGGAGGTCCCCCAGCATCAGCGCGCGGGTTGTGGATGGGAGCCCATGGCGCAAGTCACTCGAGCCGGGGGTCGAGCTCCCACTGATGGGCGAGGGACCGCCCATGACACAGCCGCTGTCAATCCCGCTCGCCCCTTCATCATCTGCGGGGCCGCAGCTATTCTCAAACAAGCTGAGGACATTCGCCACCACGAGCGTCAGGAGCATCAGCGTTTGCGCACAGCCTGAGCCCGCGAGACAGAACTGGCAGCGCAGGATCTTGTCCCGGGCGGGACTGACTTGACCATCGAGGTTGAGCAGGACATCCAGCGCGACGTTGGACCCGGGCGCCTGCACCTCGGAGATCCTGGCGAGTTGGCTTGTCAGACCGGCGTAGCAATGGGATGTGCATCGCGTGCTGGGGGCGAACAGATCCAGCTCGCCTAAGGGGGAAAGATCGGAGTGAGAAGCGATGGTCGGTTGGCAGAGAGGATCATTCGCGGGCTGTCCATCCATCGCGGCGGAGCATCCCCCGAACAAGGAGTGTTCGTCGGGGAGGGAGAAGAAAAGGCGCTCGATTTGCGGCGTTCGACGAGGGGTTGCCAATCCAGGGGAGTGTTGTTGGGTGCCCCAGCTCGATGGAGCGACCCGGCCAAAGTGCTGCTGCTGCTGCTGCGCGGGAAAGGACGACTCTTGCGGTGCTGATCCATCAAAGACACTTTCCAGCGCGGTCCAGTCGACCTCTCCAATCCCGTACTCCAAGCCAGTGGCCAGGCTCGCTGCGATTTCCGAGTCGGACATGTTTCGGTCGAGCGACAGAGCGGATCCTCTCGCCGACGAAGCTGACCGGTCTCCGTCATCCAGTTCATCGAGAATCGGCCTTGGGGCAGTCTTGGGCACGGGGATGGCACATGGATTTGTGAGGTGGCTCGGGTTGATGCAGCTTCCCAGGGGATCGCTCGACACACTGGCCGGCAGCAGTGGCGCACCGCCTCTCGACAACGATTCGTCTGGAGACCGAGGACTGTGCTGGTGTTGGCTTCTTTTCAATCGTCGGCCGGAATTTCCCACGCGTTCTTTCGGCAGCTGGTCGGTGCGCCCGATCGTCGCACCCAGAGATCTCGCCGAGGGGCGACCGATCTTGCGATATTGACTGTAAACACACTCCCGACCGTGTTGAAGGCAACGGGCACATGCTGGCTTTGTTTGGCTACATTTGACTTTGGTGGTGAGACACGTATCGCAGGAGGAGCGGATCTTGACGTCGGGCATCGTAGGCAGGTATTCCAACTCTCAGCCTCTCTCTCTCTCTCTCTACGGGAACTGGCCACGGCGCTTTATCTGCCATATTAATTAATCATCAATCTGGGGGGGGGGAGTCCATATCTCTACCATCGGATATCGGGAGCCGGGATACAGGGATGTTTTCGTGTCTTCGCATCACTTAGGACGGATTCATCCTGCTGTCTGCGGTGTGATTGGAACCGTGAAGCCATATGATATTGGCGATCCGTCCATTACGGCATAAGCGCTGGACTGGGCCAAGTGGGTTCACGATACGCCCCCAGGATTCTTGGTGCTTCGCTGGACTGTACTCCGTAGGATTTTTGGAGATCTAAACATTTTTTCGGTGGAGCGTTGATCGTGAGATGATATTGATAAATGAGAGCCTAGAGGACCTGGCTGAGGGCTTATTCCTACGCCGTGCGTTTTGTCCCCGTCGTGCCAGACCCTCCTTGACGCTTGTTTGATGGAATTGCAATCGAGGCAAACACCGTAAGCATCCTTGCTTATTCGTATTATTGCGTGATTATCCGTAGTCAAAGGGGAGGGCCAGGGGGGGCAGATAGACGGATAGACCGATCGAATAGACAAAGACAGATATCGATTCGATCGCCCAGTTCCATTAGAGCCTCGCTCTGGCCACTCAGTCAAACGAGACAAACCCTTCAAATTCCTCGTCTTGCCGAATCAGAGCTGGAGAAAGGAGCCGAAGTGCACGGCTCGGGTCCTTTCACCTTCAGATACGATCCCACCCCGGTCCACAGCCTCGAATCACGGCCAGCAGCCCCAAGGACGTGGCTGCAGATGCAAACAACTGTCTGACGATCATAAACCACTGCTATCCCCGGGTGGGTAATCAGAGCAGCCAGCTGGACATGAAGCAGTGAAAGATCTCGGGAGGACAGCTCCTAATAGATCACAGAGGAACCCCCCCCCCTTAAGCGTAGCGGTCTATATAAATATGAAAATTGTTTCCGCGACTTCGTAGACAGTAATCGACCGGTACTACGATCTCACCGTCTCACAAGCTGACCGACTGTTGTGGGTAGCGCCGATCCAAGGATGCCGGAAGGAAAAGAAGCATTGTCCACGGCGGAAGCCACAGATACTGAGAACCAGACCATGGTGCCATCCGACGATGGAACGAGCGACTTGACGGAGAAAAAGGAGCCAAGTGAAAAACAAGCAACCCAAGCAACGCCTCCTGGGCCTCCAGCCGTCACCTATCCCACTCCGTTGCGGGGGGCCGTGCTGACCGTTGCTTTGCTGCTGGCGATGTTCCTCGTCGCCCTGGACATGGTGAGTTAGATGTTAGATCGATATCCTGATCTCTTCTACGGAGTACTTTTGTCTCTTTTTTTTTACTGTTTTTTTACTGTTTTTCTGAATTCCGAATACTGTCTTGTTCACTTGCGGAGCACTAATCCACATCGGTCGACTAGAGCATTATCACCACGGCCATCCCGACAATTACCCAAAGATTCCACAGTCTCGACCAAGAGGGTTGGTACGGCTCGGCCTTCTTTCTGTGTCTGGCGACCTTTCAGGCATTCTGGGGCAAAGCATACAAGTACTTCCCTCTCAAAACCGCCTTCCTCACGGCTATCGGCGTCTTCGAGCTCGGCAGTCTGATTGCCGCCCTCGCACCCAACAGCCCAGCTCTCATTGTCGGTCGATCGATCCAGGGCGTCGGGGGCGCAGGAGTGACGGGCGGAGTCTATACCATTCTCGCCTTCATCACACGGCCCAAATACCTCCACGCCGTCTTTGGCGTCACCAGTGCCGTCTGGAGTTTGTCATCGGTGCTGGGTCCGATCCTGAGTGGTGTCTTCACCCAGTATGTCACCTGGCGATGGTGCTTCTGGGTCAATTTACCCATTGGAGGTGCCGCCATGATCATTCTCTTGCTGCTGTTGAAGACCCCCCCGCACTCCCGCGTGGCCCACACCACCCTCCGTGGGATCCCCACGCTGTTCGACTTTCCGGGGATGATTGTCCTGGTGGGTGCGATGGTGTGTCTCCTCCTGGCCCTGGAGGATGGCGGGGTGAAGCTTCCGTGGCACAATAGTGTCCCGATCGGATTGCTCATCGGGTTCGGCCTCCTCCTCATCGTGTTTGTCGTGGTGGAATGGAAGCAGGGCGAAGGCGCCATGGTCGTCCCGCGCATCATCAAACGCCGAAGCATTCTGGTCCTCGCTCTGTTCAATCTCACTGCCCAGGGGTCTGGCTTCGCGCGCATCTACAACCTGCCCATCTTCTTCCAGGCGGGTCAAAGCCAGAGCCCGTCGGAGTCGGGAATCCGCACTCTCCCCACTGTGCTCACCACTTGTAAGATCACCCTTGACTCCTTTGCAATGCCACGGTTTCTAAGATATTAACTCCGGTGAAATCAGCCATCTTCAGCTTCGTCGGATCCCTGCTTCTTGGCAAGGTCGGCTACTACCCGCCATTCCTCACGTTCGGGGCCATGTTCGTGACGCTTGGCACCGGCTTAATGTACACTATGGGGCCAGACGCGACGGCAGGGCAGTACATCGGCTATCAGGTGCTGGCGGCTATTGGCTCCGGTCTCGTCATCCAGCTTAATGTGATTGTGGCCCAAGCCATCACTCCCAGGGTCGACATGTCCGTCACCGTGGCGACTGTTCTCTGTAAGTTTCCTATTCCTTTTGCATTTGCATTTGCACTCCTTCAACAAAAACCCCTCTAATGCCTGACCAGTCTTCCAATTCATCGGCGGCACCGTCGGCGTCTCCGCCGCCACCAACATCATGAACAACGTCCTCATCAACAGCGTGACCCGGGACAGTCCCAATATCTCCGTCGCGGACGTCGTAGCTGCTGGTTCAGGCGGTCTGGCGCGCGCATTTCCTCGTAAGGAGGATTTCGACGCCGTGGTGCATGCGTACATGAACGGCATCAACGCCGCGTGGATCTGGTGTATCGCGCTGGCCGGGTTGGCGTTTCTGGTCTCGTTTGGCGCGGAGTGGAAGAGTTTGCGGCCGGAGGCTGTGAAGAAGAGGAACGAGCAGAAAGCCGCGGCTGCAGCTGCCAATGCATAGACGGGCTGTGGTCACTATATTGTGTATTGGACGATTGGGAATAATGTATTGGAAGGAATAGAAGGGCTATAGAATGAACCTGTCAGAGGACTACCTAATATCTCAAGAGATTGCCGCAGTCAGTTCATTTAATCTCCCACCGAAATGAGACATATCCTTTGCCTCCGGAATGATCTCAATAGCCCCTACGGTACTCTTCGTAGGAAGTGATCGATTTGAGGGAGCAGGAGACAGGCCAATCAGCAGTCGGAGTCATACCGTCCCGAATAGGACTAGTCTCCGAGTGCCATCCCGCCAGAGAAGGAGTTTAGTCCCGATTGGGTTGTCCATACCTATATGGGTGACCTTCCAGCAGCGTCAATATCGTGATGGAAGAGGATTCTGAGATTGGCCCACTCTCATCCTTGGTCAGAAGAAAGATGACTCGAGTCAGGGACGGACTGAAACCCCCCCACCCCCCAAGAGACCAAGGGTTGACCATTGTTTATAACAGTCGCGTGCGCCGCTTTCTGCACCTAGAGTCTCCAGAACTTAACATCTCGCATGTATTTGTAAACCAAGATGGACACTGAAATTGCCAATGTTTCCCGAGCTGCTGCTCAATCCGGGTCCCCGCAGGCATGGACTCCCCAGCCCTCCTCGGGACAGAACACCTTGCTGGATTGTCTGGCAGGATGGTCGACCTGGCAATACCTTGTGACGTTTCTGCTTGGCATCGTCGTCTATGACCAAGGTAGGTCAGCCTTCGGTATAGGGAACACTTCTCTTAGCTGACGCTATCTCCCAGTCATGTACCTTAAGCGAAAAGGCTCCATTGCTGGACCTGCATTTAAGATCCCACTGATGGGCCCGTTCCTGCAAGCAATCCATCCCAAATTCGACGCATACCTCGCCCAGTGGGCAAGCGGCCCTCTCAGCTGCGTTTCCGTCTTCCATAAGTATATTTGCCCTGCAACAGTTATTGTTCGTTTGTCAGTCCCTGGCTCATTGTCCTGCTTTATTGTAGATTCGTCGTCCTCGCTTCGGACCGAGACCTTGCACACAAAGTATTCAAGTCGCCGTCGTACGCGGAGCCCTGCATTGTCCCTATTGCCAAGGACATCATAGGCCACAAATCATGGGTCTTCCTACAGGGTAAAGCGCATGCGGAGTACCGAAGGGGGCTGACACCACTGTTCACCAACAAGGCCATGGCTACCTATCTGCCGGTTCAGGAGAAGGTATTCACCGATTACTTTGACAGATTTGTGACCGCCAGTCAGGCAAACAGGGGCCGGCCAATGGCTTTTATGAGTATGTTTCGCGAGATCAACTGCGCCCTGTCATGCCGCACCTTCTTTGGCGATTATATTTCGCAGAAGGCGGTCAAGCGGATCGCTGATGATTTCTACCTTGCCACCGCCGCTTTGGAGCTGGTCAACATTCCCCTGTCAATGTACATTCCCTTCACCAAAACATGGTTGGGCAAGCGCACGGCCGACGCCGTCCACGTCGAGTTCGCTAAATGCGCCGCCGCTTGCAAGGCGAACATGGCGACGGGCGCAAAACCCACGTGTATCGTCGACCACTGGGTGCTTCATATGATGGAATCAAAGCGGTACCACGAGCGCGTTGCCGCGGGGGAAACAGACGTGGAGAAGCCCACGAATCTGATCCGCGAGTTCACAAACGAGGAGATTGGAGAAACGCTGTTCACGTTCCTCTTCGCTTCGCAGGATGCGTCGAGCAGCGCCACAACATGGCTGTTTCAGATCCTTGCCCAGCGACCGGATGTCCTCGACCGATTGCGGGAAGAGAATCTGGCTGCGCGCGGCGGCGATAGAAATAGGCCCTTCGATCTTCCCATGCTGGAGTCGCTCTCCTATACCAACGCCGTCATTAAAGAACTGCTTCGACATAGACCGCCGGTCATCTTTGTCCCGTATCTTGCGACCAAGAATTTCCCCGTCACGCCTGACTATACGGTCCCCAAGGGCTCCATGGTTATTCCGTCCTGCTGGCCTGCTCTCCACGACCCGGACGTCTATCCCAATCCGGAGGTATTCGAACCCGAGCGTTGGATATCCGGTGATGCCGAGTCCAAGACCAAGAACTGGCTTGTGTTTGGCGCGGGACCACACGAGTGTCTTGCAAAGCGATATGTACCGCTATCAATGGCAGCGATGATTGGCAAGGCGGCGCTGGAGCTGGAATGGACACACCATGCTACTGAGAAGTCAGAGGAGATCCGGGTGTTTGCCACGTTGTTTCCGATGGTGAGTACCCAACACTGGGATCTTTTTTTTTTTTTTTTTTTTTTCAATCAATGTGTACTGATTCATGCACAGGATGGGTGTCAACTGGTGTTCTCGAAGCGCGTGTAGACGCCACCTGATTAGGAGATGGCAACTTTAATGTATAGTGTAATCACGAATGTTCAATCCCAGTGGTATCATCTTTGAATATATAGACCCGGTCAACAAGCCGTATCAACGGTGTAAAGAAGACTCACCATCGTGGAAAAAACGCTCTCTTCCTGGCGGGATCAAGCAGATCGACCACGTGCACCGAATCGGACGCCAAGCCTCAGGCAACAACGGAGAAGCATGCTTAACTCCGGGATCCCCGATCAAACGCCGCCCGCCAAAAAGGCTTAAGAGCATCAGCAACTCCCTGTCAGACCCTCCGTGGTCAGCACGTCCTCCTCCCACTGCGCTTTTCCCTGGGTCATCAATCATGCAGCTCATCCCCTCCCAATCCATGTCTGCCCACCGGAATCCCTCCTCCTCGGACGATACCCCACCCGAAGATAATTGGTCCGGGTTGACGGACCCTGTTGAACGACGGAGGAGGCAGAACCGACTAAACCAAAGAGCATATCGTGGGTTCCACCACGCCCACAAACTTCTTCCATGAGAAGCTAATCCCCATCCAGGAAAAAGGAAGCAAGCCCAGCAACGAGCCTCTACAGCGCACTCCAGTTCCAACAACTCTACCCCGGCCTCATCCTCCGCCTCGGGCGACTACAATGCCGTGGCCCCTCGACCTCGGGGCCGATGTCTCCATTCCGCGCAAGTGCGCATGTTGCTCGATCGCTTTAGCAAGTCCGCATACCAAAGCTACGTGCTCGGCTCGCCCGCCGCAGACCACCTGATCACGCTTAGTAAAGTGAATGTTTTCCGCGCCTTCGCCAGCATCATGTCCGTCCTGGGCATGTCGCACACGGACAGCTGGATGTACGAGGACGCCCTCTCCCCGTTCCCCACCATGCCCGCGGGATACGTCGAGGAACTCAAGCTTCCGCCGAGTCTGCGCCCGACCCAGCTCCAGCGGACGGTGCCCCATCACCCATGGCTGGATTTTTTCCCCCACCCGCAGATCCGAGATAACCTACTCACGACAGGGGAGGACAATTTCGACGACGATCAGCTGTGTTGTGATATCATGGGGTTCTGGGACTCGGGGATGGATGGGTGTAGTCTACTGGTGTGGGGGGAGCCGTCGGACCCGAAGAATTGGGAGGTGACGGAGAAATTCTTGAAGAAATGGCCGTGGGTGGTCCGAGGGTGTCCAGACTTACTGCAGTCGACAAATCACTGGCGACAGCAACGGGGGGAGAAGCTCATTTTTCGATATTTATAGCATTTGTAGTGAGATGAATAAGAATTGGACTTGGGGGGCTCACTTCGAACGCTGCCTGTACGGAGTACACAGTAGGTACTGTGTAGGAGTATGGATGCTGATCTTTGGATTTGAAAATGCCAAGGCGCTAAATGCATCTTGCTGACAGACTAAATATATCTTAAGTCTGATTGTCCAGTCAGAGATTGAGCACGGTGGAGTCTGCTGTCCGTAGTATGAGAGAGACTTATGAGTACCTAGGATGTCAGGAATAGCATCAGCTTCCAGGCAACTTTCTCCATCAAATCGTCCACCATACAATGGAGGGGAATTGGTGCAGGAATCATGAACTGCTTGTACTTGTATTCTGTGAAAGATAAAGTCACTCTTGAATTCCGGTTTTTTCCTATGAGCTACACAGTTACAAGTGCTACCACATTTTCATCAAGGACCATCGCCAGCGGCCGCTAATTCATGGTTGATAGATTCTATAATGCTCCACACATAAGAGAGGCTCTATCAAGATACATAGACATCTATTGCGTAGGAGTAGGAATACTGCTAGTATGATTAGGGGTTATAGAACGGGTCTGACGCTGCTACCATGGTTTGCAATCTGGCAATCTACCAGGTCAGCACCCTAAATCGATCCTCCTTGAGAAGTAATCTCAAAAGTGCTATTGATAGATTGTCTGAGTACATAGCGTTATCTGACTTGTGGGTAAATCTATCCTCTCGAATAATCTTGTGTAGGTGGTTGTGCTGCACATCATCCCATTGTTGCGGCGAAGATATATATCTCAACATCACTCTAGACTATTTACCAACATAGTGCGGATATCTATTCTTGATCTTTATCTGTAATGATAAGAAGAAACTATTATCATGTAGCCGGTATTTATCTAGATATGAAAACTAGAGAGGTGCCATCGTTAAGGCCTATGGTAGAAGTTGGTGGTTCATAACAGCCTGGCTGTTGGTAGTTATTAGAGTGGCGAGGACCGTGTGAAACAAGTTGAACCTCCTTGTCGAGGCAAATGATGTGTCGGATAATGGTCAGCACCGATCATACTCAGTAGAGGAATAGAGTATTATGCCTTGCTTTCGGCCCTTGCCCTAATGGACTTATTCCGATTTTCATCCCATCTGGCTATGGATATGAAGTCATCAACAACCATAATGAAAAATGTACATGTACAGTGAGAATGGTCAAGTCTTTTGGGGTTCACGAAGGAATCATTATTGATTGCCACTTTGCACGGGTCCATCCCAGTCAGCTGGAATTAGTCCAAGCACCCCAGGAGAACCCGATCGTATGCAAGACGAGTTCTCCAGGAAACAATCCTTGTAGAAAGGGGTTCTTCCAGATGAATTCTCACGATCATCCGGCCAATCGCATGACGGCTGTGACAGTCACATCTACGGTGTACTTAGAGTTGGAACCGACCAGTGGTGGTCAACATGACCGACTCCTGGCATTGTCCGATCCGAGGTTTCGAAGAGTTTGATTCGAGTCTAGCATCATGTGGCACGGGTCCTGGTCCATTCGTCAATAGGTTACAGAAACGATCTAGCTCGCGGTCCAGCAAAGCCGTAGGAAATAGCGATTGGCGAGTAGCCAGTTAGGATCGAGGGGTTCTCAGCAGCGGTCGCCCCGTACAGAGTCTGCTGATGATACTCTTCTACAGCTGTGGGTGCCCTCGCGGAGGGAGAAACAAGTCAAACTCCAAGCGAGTTAACTTGAAGACATCTGCTGGGCCCTCCGGGAGGTATCCAGCGAAGCATCTCATTTCACACCCTCCCCTGGTTGCCTGGCAAGAGAGGATCGGTCACTTCGCGTGTCGTGCATGGTCTGGACCCGGTTTGGCAGGAGGTCGAGTGAAACCGGCTGAGGGGGCAATTGCGCACGTGTGGTCAGCGTGGTGCTGGAATCACTCTGCCCTGCGAGTGCGGTCAGAAATGCGGGAGTTGCTGATGTTCTTTAATCCTGCCAGCGGATGCCGACTGTTGCTACACGTGTGGATTTGCCTGCGTCTGATTGGCTGCTGGGGAAATGGCCGCCAAGAACTGCCAAGTCTCCGGCGCAGCCAACCACAATCGCCCGCAGTCGAGATGGTCCCTCCCTCCGCTGGTTGCGAGCGCCATGCCAAGACCATCGCAAGGTCTGGGGGTTTTGCTTCACCCTAAGACAAGCTGGCGAAGAGCGCAGAAGACGAGTCCGGTGCGCTTGGCTGGCGCAGTCTGGTTGATGTCGTTGCGTGATTAATCTGCTAACCATGGGTGTATCGGGGAATCGCGAAAGGTCTCTTGGCCCGTGGGGGCAGGGACGCTGCCAACAAGCCCACAGTGCGAATCATACAGAGGCCTGGGGGAACGTGTTGTCAATTGTATACGAACTGGGCAAATGTCCTTTGCCACGTTGAGCTCGTCCGATCGTGCAGGTGGCAGGAGCTGGGGTCTTGGTGAGTTGCCCGACAGGAGTGTCAGATGTGTATAAAAGATTGCTTGCTCTCAGCTTTTCCGTCGTAGCATCCAAGGGCTCATCCTCCTTACTCCTCATCACATACACCAAACACAATCAGTCAAGATGGTGCTCCACCAATATGACTACATCTTTGCCATTGGCACGCTGTTTGCCATGCTGGATGCCTTCAACAACGGTGCAAGTAAGTCATCGTCTTTCCCCCCCCCCTGCTTCTCGTGTGTTGCCGATCAACTTACACATCTTGCAAGACGATGTGGCCAACGCCTGGGCTACTAGTGTCTCCTCCCGCTCCGTCAGCTACCGGCAAGCCATGATCTTCGGTACCTTCTTCGAAATGTTGGGTGCCATCACCGTCGGTGCTCGGACGGCCGATACCATCAAGAACGGCATCATCCCCAACTCGGCCTTCCGCGGCGATGCCGGTGTACAAATGCTCGCTTTCACTTGCGCCCTTGCCGCGGCCTCGTCCTGGGTGATGTGGTGTACCAAGCATTCAGCCCACGTCTCGTCCACCTACTCGCTCATCTCCGCTGTGGCCGGTGTCGGTGTTGCAACCGTCGGCGCGTCCAAGGTGCAGTGGGGATGGAACGACGGAAAGGGTCTGGGAGCCATCTTCGCGGGTCTGGGTATGGCTCCGGCCATCTCCGCCGCCTTTGGTGCCATTATCTTCATGCTCATCAAGGTGGTTGTGCACATGCGCCGGAACCCTCTCCCCTGGGCCGTCTACAGCTCTCCTTTCTTCTTCCTCATCGCCGCCACCGTCTGTACCCTGTCGATCGTCTACAAGGGCTCGCCCAGTCTCGGTCTGAGCAAGAAGCCTGCCTGGTACATTGCTGCGGTGACCATGGGTACCGGTGGCGGTGTGGCCCTGTTCGCTGCCATCTTCTTTGTCCCCTTTGTGCGTGCTCGCGTTCTCAAGCGCGATCAAGGTGTCAAGTGGTGGATGTTCATCTTCGGACCCATGCTCTACCAGCGTCCGGACCCCGTCGGTGCTGAGCGCGCCATCGTCCCCGACTATGCCGTCGTCCAGGAGGACCACGACGAGCAACCTTCCCCAGCCCTAACCGAAAACACCCTGGCTGAGATCGACGGCAAGGGCCCGAGCCCGGACATTGAACCGATCAGCTCGCCCGCCCTCTCCGCCAACCTCGAGAAGGGCCGTGTCGCCGACGAGGCTCAGCAGCTCAGCTACAAGGAACTCATGGCCCAATCGGACAAGCGCCTCAACGCCCGACTGCTCACGAAGCGGGGACCTCTGGGCTGGGCCATGCGCACCCTCCGCGACAACCCCATGGGCGCCGGTCAGATCTACGAGCTGCACAACATCCGCATCCTCGCCAAACGCATCCCCGCCACCATCGTCGCCGGACTTCTGTACGGCATGCACTACGACATCCATGCCGCCCAGTCCGGGATCCACGGTACCCCCGAGGGTGACCGTATGGAGCGCGTGTACGCCCACGCTAAGAAGTACCCCAACGAGGTCGAGCACACCTACTCCTTCATCCAGGTCCTGACCGCTTGCACGGCGTCCTTCGCCCACGGCGCCAACGACATCGGTAACTCGGTCGGCCCCTGGGCGGTCATCTACTCGGCCTGGAAGACCGGCAACGCGGCGGCATCCAAGGCGCCGGTGCCTGTGTGGCAGCTGGCGGTCCTGTCCGGCTGTATCTCCATTGGTCTGATCACATACGGCTACAACATCATGAAGGGTCAGTTCCCACCATACCCCTGCACCAAGAGTCTTATCAGTACTAACTGGCACTAGTCATGGGTAACAAGATCACCTACCACTCCCCCAGCCGCGGCTGCTCCATGGAAATGGGCGCCGCCATCACCGTCCTCGTCTTCTCGCAGTACTCGCTGCCCGTCTCGACCTCGATGTGCATCACCGGTGCCACGGTCGGTGTCGGTCTGTGCAATGGCACCTTCAAGGCTGTCAACTTCCAGCGGGTGGGATTGTTGGTGCTGGCTTGGATCATGACCATCCCTATTGCCGGTACCCTGGGTGGTATTCTCATGGGTCTCTTCCTCAATGCTCCCCACTTCTCTTCATAATTAGCCTCCTCGTCTTCTTTCTCTGTTGGTTCGTTCATTTTGTTTGTCATAGACTGTTGAGATACCATTTGTCGTAATAGTGAATTCATACCATCATTATCAAAATAAATTCAGACTGTAGATGAGGAGTTGGATTGTGATGTATATTATACACGACAACATCACTATGTTGATGTTGACTTGACTTCCCCTCTTGTTGGCGGTTAAGCGGTCGCAGCGCTAAATACGGCAGCGTCTGCTGGCTATATTACATAAGATACCCAACCTGGTGATGCTCGTGTATCTTCCCCTTCTCACCATCCGCTGCATTAGCAACCCCCAGACCAACTACACGTGGGAACTATGTGGAGCATTATAACTTGATGAAGCACAATGGTACGAGTGCCAGAAAAATGCAGAAGTCCATGATCTGACTGTGTCGTAGGCTAAGCCAACACTAGAAGGCCTGCCCATTGAACTGCAGATCGACATACTGCTCAACAGTTGTGATGTAAAGTCTTTGAAATCGCTAGTGTCTGCATCCCCTAGCTATCATCGGGCGTACCTGCTTGTCCGTGGCGAAGTTCTTCATGCGGTGTTACACAATTACTATGATGGGCTTGTGGACATTGCTGAAGCAATCGCTGCGGTGCGCTCCAGAGGACTATATGCGTATCAGATATCCAATCACGACAAGATCATTGCGCTTCTTGATGGTCGGCGCCGAAGCGAAGAGATTCGCCGGTTGAACTCTCCGTCGCTGAAATTTCTGCCTGACCGGCCAGCGACTGTCGATGAGATAATGGAACTGATGCGTCTCCATGACATGGCTGTCTTTCTTCTTGACGACTTCACCCGTACCGTCTCATGTCCAGCATGGGTGGATCGGGAGAGATGGAAGAACGACATCTTACCACTTGAACTGTCCCGCACGGAAAAGAAACGCCTTTTCCGGGCATTCTACCGCCTACAAACCTATGGTAACATATTTGGTGCTATCGAAACGCCACTAGGCGCTGAACCTCCAAATGGGAGGACTGGGAGAAATGAATGGCATGGGGGCAATGGAAACTTCAGTGATGAAGAGGCATGGCGCCTTTTCTTCGGTACTATGGCACCATGGGAAGTCGAGGAGTTCGGTTGTCTGTGGGAGCACTGCTATGAGAGATGGGTGGAGCCATACTCAGAGGTATCAGAGAACCTCGCGAACAGCGGAGTCATGTTTGTCTGCGAGCTTCCAGCTGCTGACAGACCTCCAGCGACTCGAATGGTGTTGGATACAGATGATCTAAGACTATGCGAAATGGACAACAGGGACTGTTTCGTGTCCATGGGACCGGCATTCCTGGTTAAAATACTGCGTGAACAGAATTTCACGACCCGCCGAAATCTGGTCATTGGAAATGCGGATGGGACTGCCTCTCCATTTACTGAATTCTGGCCCCGGTGGAGCCAGGATCATCCCTTCGAAAGTGCATTGCCCCTACTGTATCCGGCAGACAGATTCAACGTGGGCACTGACATGGATGCACTCAAGGAGATTCTTAGGTCGCTGCCACCGCGCGAGCAACCAAATCTTGCCTGGTCGTGGAAGTGGTTGGACGATCACCGTGACTACCCGGAGGTCTTCTTCGATATGTTTGATTACGGGGCGCGAGCCCAGCGTTGGAAATGGAGTTATGCATTCTGGGACGATGAGAGGCTCTATGACTGGGGAACACCGTCTGACTACATGAGCGGTCTATGACATTTCAATCTAATGTCTCTTTAATCAGTAGTGCCAGTCTCAAATCTACTCCATGGTATCGCAATACAAAGCATATATCAAGGCAGGGAAAGGCTGCCGAAATGTAGCAGCGTAAAGATCTTGTGTATTTCACACATTTAACCTAACCTATTCTATCTTCTCCACCTTCTTCATACTAACTGTGGCTCATGATTGTGTATGTAGCCATGCCACTTCCTAGCACTTATTCTAGGTGTAGGAGATTCCTTCAGGTCGAGTGGCTACCTCGTATCCGAATTCAGCACGTCTGTCTGCACTGTACTCGGTTCCTACTCCAATGAGGACCATGAATATGGGAATTTATCCTCCCTTAGCACCAGGCAGGGCACAAAAAGTTGCTATTGCAATATTTGCGACTATCCGAGTGGTCTAGGGCCCCGTGTTAGTAGCATCATTATCATTACAGAGAACAACATTCAAGCAACTTCCACAAAGGAGACTCCTCTCAAGAGGCTTGCACACGATACACAGCTTGGTGTCATCCATCCTTCACGCAGTAGCCCATGATTGATGTACTTTGTTCATGCCTCCACCTGGCGCTTAATACGAGGTGGCTTCAAGTCAGCAACTGCAGCCACAGCATACCTCCACCACAACCAAGTGTACCCGTCAATAGACCCTATCCAGACCCCGGAGTCAATCTGAATAGCGAGTCAGTAGCATGCAGACTAGTCAACAGCTGATAGGGAACTTCCGCTGTGTTGCCTAGTCAGGCAACACATACTCCACAAGGATCGAAAACCATGTCTGGGCGAAGCATTCGCAGCCGGAAATGGTCCCTGTCAGTGCAGGTTGTGGTGCGCCACCGAGATGGGTGTAAGTCATCAATCAGGTTTACAATATCTCGGTTAGAAGACTCATCTTCAGCGTTAGGTGGGTGCAAGTCTAGCCGACGAGGAGACAGGGGTGTGCTCATCAATCACATCCCTGCATTTTTACTCCCAGGTGGCGTTGATCGGTGGCAGCCAACAGGTCTATCAAAACTCAACAGTTGAACGCTCGACGACTGCTAATATTCCATCAGAAGTGTCGTTAAGGCTACCATAGCACGAGGTAGACGGAGATTTTCGGTGATCGTTCGCTGTGCTCTGTGATTCAGAGAGTATGATCGGCTTCTTCAGCGGCCCCGAGATGAGACGCGAGTAGTATGAGACAATGACGATGCCCTGCAGCTTCCTCGAGGTCAGAGAACCAAACAGGTCCTTACATTCGACGAATTGCAAGAGGCGCTGGTCAGTCTTTCTGCATTTCAATCAGGGCCAGCATCCACAGCCCAGCAGATACGGGGTGCATACAAGCGTTCTAGGCCATGGCAGCAACCTGACAACTCTGCAAGCAACAGATTAGACTGTTTCTATTTGTTGCTAGTGGTACAGGGGCCCCTGCATAGTGATTTTGCGACGAGGATGGAGATAGCCTCACTCCAGTGATTCGATGTGGGTGCCGAAAGATGAAGCCCGACTTGCAGGACGGCGATATCCTTCATTTCGGTCTGATGATCATACGACGCCCAACAAGGTATACAGAGAGACCTTTGGAAACAGTTAGAGAAAGTGCTACGGAGACAGAAAAAAACTATAAAGACGCCCTTCTCGCTCTCTGCAATCCATCAGTCCTCATCATCCAGAACAATCTCTCCTGCCTGCCTAGCTCTCGCCGATCAAGCATCTCATCGCTTTCAAAGACTCCTCAAGTCCAATAACTTCCTCAAAATGCAGTTCAAGTCCGTCCTCGCTGTCTTCGCCGCCGCCGCTGTCGCCAGCGCCGCTCCCGGCGGAGGAACTCCCTCTCAGTGCACCACCGAACAGGCCAACAAGTGCTGCACTGGTTTGCTCAATGGACTTCTCAACATTAATATCCTGCCAGCCCTTTGCCTGCGTAAGCCAGAACTGCGTGCGGATGCGTTCCCTTGGCTAATGACAGTACAGCTCTCGTCGGAACTTGCAACAACCAGGCCGCCTGCTGCGAGAGCAATGGCATTGTAAGTCGAAACCGCATCATTGGGCATCAGACTGCTGACGAGGAATCTAAGGGCCTTCTGAACTGCCTGACCATCCAGATTTAAGCGCTGATATTTTGATATCTTGAGAAGGCGCCTGAGCTATATGGCGTGGGAAGAGGGAATGTCGATGGACGAATATGCATGGACATGTCACGTTTTTTAGTCCTTCTCGGATCCACAGATGTCATTCCTTTGCGATTAAATTGAGGTTTTGGGCTCAAAGAACTCACAAGGCCCATTCTATGAGCTGTAATACATCTGAAGTAACAATGGGAAAGGCAATAGTGCCCAGGACATTCTTGGACACCCTCGGATATCGTTTCTTTTATGGTAAGACCTGGGCAACCTGATAATTTGTCCAGACTAAAAGAATTCCTTCAGCTGTAGACCTCATTTCTTCTCACTGATGTTGTAGAACCTTGTTTCTTTTGTACTCAGTCTTTGATATCCACTACTATCCGGGCTTGATCCAGTAGAGATACCTTGGTAGGGTCTTTGCTTACTCTCAAATCATATTCTGCATCCAATGAAAGGGCCCTAGCTCATTGGAATGATGGCTTCTAATACATCTCATCCACAGTAATACTCACATCCGAAAACTTGAGGGTATTCGCAACATCTGGCGTTTCTCATCCATGTTGCCATGCGTATATGTGACATTCCAGTTCAAGCCCACGGTCCTATCCCACCCCCCCCTCACCAACAAAAAAAGAAATTGGGCGTGGGCTCTCCACGCTTCAAGCAACATTTGACTAGGACCAAGAAAACATCCAACGTAGAACATCCAACGAATAAAGCCAGCGGCCGTGCTGGAACTGTGATATCTAGATTAAGAAAATGTTCCCCGATACTCTCGTGATTACCTTGAAGAGCACATTGCGCCAGGAACCTGCTCACTAGACGCACATGAATATCGGCATGATGACCCACAAGCAGCCGGAACGCTGCAGCTTTGTCGAGATCGATAGCGTCAAACAATGCCTTACTAGATTCTCTGGCGTCTGCCCCATACCTCAGCAAGACTTTGGTTAGGTGTAGGCTCGCCTCCCGGAGCATAGCTAGGCTCAATGGTGTGTTTGGTGGCAGTTTCACAGCCAGCTGATCGGCTCTGGTTCCAAGGCACGGCGATATTTGGATCCTCGCGTCGATCTAGTAACAGCTTGACAATTCTCAATGGCCAGGGTGCGGAGGATAGAGCGCCACACAGCGGCGTACAGCTCTCAGTCCCCTTTGGTTCGAAGTTGACATCAACCCCCTTCGACAGTAAGGAACGTACGCGCTTTTCATTTCCTTCGTTCGCCGCATATAGAAGCATCCACTGCATGTTTACTTGAATGGTGTGATTCAACTTCACTGGGGAATATTTGACCAGCTCCTAGAGTAGATAATCGGCGATGACATGATGTCCTTGAGATGCGGCATTAGTGCTTGGACGTTCATGGGGTCGATCATATGAAAGTTTGCTTGCGCCATGTGCGACCAGCATCTGGATCAAGGCGGAATGGTCGTGGCGAGCTGTCAAGGCAAGAGGGCTTCGTCCGTCAGCGTCTTTGAAGTTGATGTGGGCACCGTGTTTAATGAATATTTACATAAATTCTTTGTCTCCATTGGCCGTTGCATGGCAGATAGGATGGTCGACTTGTCTCTGGCACTGATCTGGAAGGGTATTGCCTTCCTCTGCCAACAGTTCTACTCATCAGAGCCCGATATCGGGATTTCCAACGCAGGTCCACTGCAGCAGCTCACTCAGTGTGCTACCTCGATCATACAAGATCTACTGAAGGGTTTAGATGTGAGAAAACGTATCCATGGCTGTCGTCGGGAGGGAGTGCTGACTCGGAATCCACATCACGGTTTGACAGAAGGCATAGAAAGAGGTCAAGGTAGGTTCTTGGTGATTCAGGATATGGTGATCAACTTGGCGTGATGTTGGCGTGTTCGTTATACCGACTCTGGTCTCTGGGTAGAGTGAATTTTGCTGCCTGGTTTCTCCCTCTATCAGCAACTATCCTCCCTCATGCACTCTCATATATCCACTGGCTCATTGTATCGACTATCATGGTAGGAGAATCGAAGTGAAATGGGTGCTTCAAGGACCTCCGGAACCCCAGTTGGCTGTTTTTCTAGGCTAAGTCTACGTCTACTATGGAAAATCTACCATTGGAACTACAACTCGCCGTTTGGTTGTCGCCGCACGCCGAGATTGGATATATCTTAATGCAATTGGTTTAGCGGAAAACTTCAAGTTCTGGCCCACGTGGTATAATAATTACCAAGAGGCATTTCCTCTTCTAGACTCGATAGCCAAGTTCAATCCGGGCTCGGATGGGGGGACCAGCTGAGAGAAATCCAAGTCTCATTACCGCCTGATCAGCGACCTCACCTTGCCTAGTCTGCCAGATGGTTGGAGAGGCCGTGGAACCCCCCAGAGGTCTTCTTGGATATGATCAGACACGGCGGCCAACATCCACGTTGGGAATGGGGATATGCACTCTGGGAATGATGAAAGAATTCTTGCCTTGGCAAGCTCCAATTAGTGGCTCATTCTGATTCATTCAGCATGCTGTGGAGATCATTGAACGCTTGCTGAAAATTCAGGAAAAAGCGTGACCCTCAATTAGCCCCAAGTCCGGGGCACCTGAGACTGGTGTCTCAAACAGAGTTGGATCCGCCTTGCAATTCTCATGACTCAATAATCCCCTCGAGGGAAAGGCACTCTAGTGGATCTCTCCGGCCTTCTCCAACCGTACTACTAGACCTTTTCCCCGGCCGAACCTGTCGCCTCTCATCACCACTTACGACTTGCCGGTTAGCAGTATGAAATCCCGAACCCTTCCATACGGTCTGGGATCGGGCCCGTCCCCGTATCGTGGCAATTATTCCAGCATTTTCGCTCACGATTGAAAGGCCCGGAAAACTTCTGCTTTTTGTCGGGATGTTGGCCGAAAGGATCGTTGACGGAGTCCTGGGAAAAGTCAGAACTGCCCAGCAGTACTATAGATAGACACTACACCGGAAACTTGTGTCTGGATTAGAGCAGACAAATAACAATTCCTGGGATGATAGTCTCCCTGGAGGCGATAATGAGAATACCAGACAGCCCACACCAGACTCTCGGGGTTGGACCAGTACGCTAGCCGCAACGTGGGGAGGCGTTAGCAACATGCGCCTTGAAGTCAACTGACGATGAGGCGGTATCCTTGCCTACCGAGATCATCCAAGCATGCTTAGTTGAAAAGGCTGTTTTCTTGTCTAGGAATCTTGTTTATCTTGAGGCAAATGCCAATATTGAATCATCAATACGTGTGCGGGCAGTCCGCATCACACCTATTCTCTTACTATCCCCCCAAAACAGATTCAATTGCTCCCTCCCATGAATTTTGTTTGCTAGTATTTTCCCCCATACTTGACCAAAGCCGCGTAAATGACGCTTTTTTTTTACATTTCCGAGGATTCTTTCCCCCGCTCCCACACTTCTTCCAGTGAGAAGCGAGGAAAAACGGGGCCAGCCCGGTGACCCAGAAACATCTTCTGAGCATCTGACAACTGCTCTGCAAAGATTGCTCATCTGGGGCCATACTCCATAGTATGACAGTACACCTAGTCTTGGTGCAGAAGGGATGCTGCGAGCCTGCGACTCTGATAGTCCTCCGTAGTCAGACACAGCGTGGTGGAAAGTGGAGTGGGAGATCCACTCAAGCACCCGATTGGGATTCCCCAGATCCCGCTTGCTCCGTGCTTCTTTGGGGTTAGTGTCTATCAGAAGCCTTGTGGTCGGTGGGAGAGTGCTTGATTTTGCTATAGATAAGGCTTGCCATTCTTTCCTCCCCTCCCCCGGGTTTACCACCTCCTTCTTTCTCTCATACTTCACGGAAGTCTCTTTTTGCATTGCATACATATTCGCCATCATGGAGACAGAAGAGAAAACCAAGGAGCATGTCTCCGCCCCCTCGTTGGAAGAAATGGTACGATCCCGAGTCACCCAGCCAGGGAGGAGCATTCCTCCCAATTACGATGAGAATTTTGCTAAGTAGGGTGGTCCCCGGACAATAGGAGGATACCACTCTTCATACAGTGACTGGCAGTGAAGCCTACAATCAGGCCTTGCTGCAAGAACCCCCGAATCTGAGACATCCCACAACGATCATGCTCTGTCTCTGTCTGCTTGTCGGGTTCTGCTGCCAGACCATGAACGGCTTTGACGGCTCTCTCTTCAGTGGTCTTCTGGCCAATAGGATCTTCTTAGACCACTTTCACGGCAGCGACTCCGGTATCTGGGCCGGCATTGTCTCCGCGATGTACCAGATCGGTGGTGTCAGCGCTCTTCCCTTCGTGGGTCCCGCCATTGACACCTGGGGCCGCCGTGTGGGGATGTTGATCGGCAGTATTCTGATTGTGCTCGGTACGGTCGTCTGCGGCACTACAATCACCAATGCCAGCGCCGGCCAGTTCATGGGCGGTCGCTTCCTTCTCGGCTTCGGTGTCTCTATCGCTGCGGCCGCTGGTCCCATTTATGTCGTCGAGACAACCCACCCGGCTTACCGAGGTATGGTCACTGGATACTGCAACACTTTCTGGTTCGTCGGCTCCATTCTATCGTCCGGTGCCGTCCGTGGTGCCATCACGCTCGACAACAACAACTCGTGGCAGATCCCCGTGTGGCTGCAGCTGGTCTTCTCCGGTATCATCCTCTGCTGCTGCTGGATGATTCTCGAGTCCCCCCGGTGGCTGTATGTCCACGGGAAGAAGGAGAAGGCGGTGGATGTCCTGACCAAGTGGCACGGTTATGGCAACCGGGATTCGCTCTGGGTCAAGCTGCAGCTCTCCGAGTATGAAAGCCACTTGAACATGGACGGTTCGGTAGGTTCATCGAATCCCTGCAGTGATTGTTGGGTGCTAATCCTCCCTACAGGACAAGAAGTTCTGGGACTACCGCAGTCTCTTCAACCGCCGAAGCAACGTCTACCGTCTGTGTTGCAACTGCGGCTTTGCTATTTTCGCGCAGTGGGCTGGCAACGGTGTGCTGACCTACTATCTGGTCCCGGCCTTGGAGGGAGCTGGTTTCACCTCCGATGTCACGCAGGCCAACATCAACCTGGGCTACTCTTGCTTCCAGTTCTTCTTCGCGCTGTGCGGTGCTGCCTTTGTCGATAGCCTCGGCCGCCGCACTCTGATGTTGAGCGGTATGGCCGGATGCTGTTTCGTCTGGGTTGCCATTCTGGCCGCCTCGAGCCAGGTCTACAACTCCAGCGGTGCTCTCAACCATGCCGCGTCTAATGCTACCCTGGGCTTCATCTTCATCTTTGGCGCCGTTTTCTCCTTCTTCATCACCCCACTTCAGGCCCTGTACCCGGTCGAAGTGCTTTCCTACGAGATGCGTGCCAAGGGTATGGCCTTTTCGTCCTTGGCCGTCAACGCGGCCGGTCTGCTGAACCAATTCGCCTGGCCCGTGTCGCTGAAGGAAATCGGCTGGAAGACGTACATTGTGTTTGTCGTCTGGGACGCCATTCAGTTTGTTATTATGTACTTTTTCCTCCCTGAGACCAAGAGCCGAACGGTATGTTTTTTTTGTCACCCCGTTTTCGCCCCAATTTCTTTTGTTCTATCCGGAGTACGAGAACTAACCATCTATGTAGCTCGAGGAACTCGATCAGATTTTTGAGGCGCGGAACCCGGTCAAGGCGTCGACCCGGGCTACTACGATCGCTGTTGATCAGGACAACCATGTGGTGGCTGTCAAGGACAATGCCTAGTGGATGATGATGATTACATGATGTCTTTGCTTAATCTGATGTAATTTTATCTTTCTTTTTTGGGGGGAATCGCATTTCATTTTAGCTTCACTGGATCTGGTTAGACAAATGGCAACATTCCACGGAAATCCGTTCAATCCCCAGTTTCCCCCTCCGACAACGGTCTACTGAATTTTCTCCTTCCATTTTGTGCTATATCTTCAACCTCGATTGAAGATACCACTCCATCAATTTTCTTGATTCCAAAATTTCCTGCATGCAGCAGCCACCGGAGACTAGCATCTCGCCAGACACCCAAGCCTGTGCACATTGCATGATCTCCCCTATTGATGCTGCAGAGTGCGCCTCCTCTTCACGCTAACCATTCCGAACACGGAGCTAAACCACACACCGGCCGTCCAGGGAGTAGGGAGTACTAGGGACCAGTCTCGAAGCGGGCAGAAATATGGAGTCACTCTGGAGTCTGGAGTAACCATGGAGTACTCCAGACTCTGCTCAACGGCCGCTGCTCCGTTCCCTTTGTGGACAAGTGTCAAAGCCAGGGTCTCGACTCTCGGCTACTCGGTCTGTCTAGAGTGGCGACCTTTTGGGGGTAAATGAATATTGAGCCATTCGGATCAAACATGGGATGTTCCTCAACCTCCGTAGATGCCGGTATAATCGATAAATTATTCGGCACGGGTAGGGACATACAATCAAAGATCCCTTCACGGCTTTCAGCTGAAGTCGGCAGAGGATAGACTGTGTTTGTTCTGTTTGCAACTCCGGTGCGTACTCCAGGCAGAAACGTCTCGAGGAACATGCTTGATGCTTTTTTTTTTTTTACTCTCAACTTGCCTTGCATCTCGTTCATTGAGGGATCAGATACATAGATTCTATCTTTCTGTCTGGTTACAGTGTGAAGAAGAACTGTCTGGAAATGCAGGTCGACCGTATCCCCACCAAGACCCGCCGCCTGTTCACGGATCTTCCCCCAGAGATCCGTGTTTTGGTCTACCGTTACCTCATCCCCAACACTGACGCAGAGACGGCGCATCGACTAGACCGGGAACCATGCGCACCAGCCATGCTGCGGACCAACTCCATGATTTATCGGGAACTGCTGCAGGAGTGGTACAGCGCCATTCCTTATTCACTATCCATCGCCACCCCCGCCGACATCTGTTTCACGCATCAGCAATTTTCTCCAGATAATCCACTCCCGTCCACGCTGCTGCAGGTGTCTACTCTCCATTTGTACATTAATATTGTCCGGAGCCCTCAGAGTAAAACCCCCAGGCTCCTATCGGAAGGAGTGAAGGAGGAGTCAGACAAGTATCGCGACCGAGTCGAGGCAGTCGCGCAGTTCCTTGCTCGCCCGGATTGTAGGCTGAAACGTCTTCGGCTGGTGGCTATCTTCAATCGTCTAGCATATAACACATTGCGGGGGAGTCCAGAGAACCTGCACAAGGCGCTGGATTTCACCCTCTCGCCCCTGCGAGCGAGGAGGCTACCCCTGGGATCACAGATCTGGGGTATAATCATCTGTTACACGTTCCCGGGGAGGAGGAGCGGCTGCGGCGCATTGCATCGGATTACCTTCAGGGGTTAAAGGAGCAGATGACGTCCTGGCTTTTCTTTTGTGCGCTCTCGTTGCTAGCGACTGCACTTCATATGTCTGTCGTGATGAGCACTGATTTGCTGATGGTCCGAAGCCTTTGGAATCAGAATTAAACGGATACATTGGTCCCTATCTCCCTTACCTATCTCCCCTCCCCATCATTAACTTGTGAACTCATTGGACTTTTAATCCCCCTAGCTGCCCGCCAATCTTGACCTGAAGGACTAGAAAGTTGATCTACGCAACGTGCAGAATGGCTTCCGCCAGGCTACGTGGTTACTCTTACCCATAACCCGGGATTTCATATTCTTTTATATAGTCACACATTGGCTACCACCGATCTGAATCAAGAAACCACTATTGGTGGAGCCGCGGAGTCCCAGGATGTCGATGGCGAGACTGGATACTTCTATATTCATCATCCTAGGGCGCCTGCCCTCCCCGAGTTTGGCTGAGCAATCTCCGTGACTGAATATACAACATTCATGTGTTTGCTTTCCTGTAATAGCTGTATCAGTTGATAAAACCTTCCTATGAAGAAAGTCACTGGGCTAAAACATGCCTGGTCATTAGTATCTATGTAGGGCTAACATGCATGCTATGCTCCTCTTAACACATATAAAACTTCAATTTGTTTCATTTTATGCTATATTACTTGCAAGTCTCCGACTGCTTCATATTGGATATCTTTTGCTATTGTCATGGCATAACTTTGCATTCATGTTGAGTAACTTGTTGAATTGTCTTCCATCCTCCTTTCCCCTGTATATCCACAAGGACTTACATGCTGGTCTATTCACTGATACCTTTCAAGTAAATATCTATTCATGGTGAATAGTGATTAATCACTCATGTCCTCATCAAGAATACAATCCACCATACTCCTCCAGTATTACCTTTTCTCATTTAAAGTATGGACAGTGGCTTCTCATCCTTATAAATCTACCTTCTCCCATCGTACCAGATCCATCTTCCCTTCTCATCCCCTCGCTTCCCTTTCAATCATGATTTAAGGAACACATATCACAGTTTCAGCACCTACACAGGAGAGACAGCTGTAACAGGCTATGGTCAACTGCAACAAGACATGTGAGCAACGAAACACCTTGTCCTATGCACACCCTAGAGCAGCAAGTTCTACGCGGTCCAGCGATCCTTGGCCAAAGCCCCAGCATACACAATAATTAAACCTCCTCGAGCACTCTCAGTGGAGTTATCCAACTTCAGCATCCCAGAAACAGTAACTGAGTCACTTGTGCAATCACATGCTTTCATTGTGTGGTTCCTACAGATGAGGAGATATCTAAGCTCTTGCGAGACAGGACTGATAGCAAGAGCTACTCAGGTATATTGTATTGCCCTTTACTAACTCCTGCTCGCCCTACAGAAATTAGAGAGTGGTCCCATACTGGCATTCCTATATTATACCCCTAGCGCGGCTCAACACCTTCAGACTTACCGAGATCATGGGGTATCGGAGATGTGGTGGATAAGGATGATACAACATATCACCGGTCTGCATACGTGTTCAGGAATACAAGCCCGATTCAGGTGAAATGGTGGAGATCAGGTGTTTTAGAGAATCTATTCCTTCATATGAAATCATGTCTAAACCTTGACTTTCAACGATAAACCAACCCGACTCCACCGATGCAGCCACAAAAACACCACCCCCAGAACAATAGAACTCGCGGAAAAGGCTTGCGCCCCGAGATACCTCTGCTGGTCGGCCTGGATGAGTGCGCCCTGGATCGCCGGCGCCGTGAGACAGGCAAAGCTCACAATCGTCAGAACCATCCCCGTTCTCGTCCCCACTCGACTGATATCACTTGTCTGCCGCGTTGCCATCGCAGGAAACAACGCCTGTGCGGCTCCAGCGACGATGCCGTATACCACGGCCCACGCGTATAACCCTGCTGAATCATTGACAGCGGTCCAGCAGTACACACATGCCGCGCAGAGAATGGAGCAGAAGATGGTTATATTCACGATGCCAGTGAATCGCTCGCCCAGGATGCAAGGGCAGCTACGCCCGATCACGCCGACGCCGTTCAGCACAATCAGCAGGTCGACCGAGGCGGTGATATGGATCTGTTCTCGGGCAAATGTACCCAGATAGTAGAACGCCATGTACAGGCCCCAGAAATTCAGGAACATGCTGGCTGTGAAGAAGACGAAGGGCCGTTCCCGGAACGCGTGCCACTCGATGACCGGGCCTGTGGACCGCGGCGGGAGATACGGACGGTATCCCACCAGGGCCGGGACATGCGCCGCCAGCAGCACGAGGGCAAGGATGCGCATCGCCCACGGATACCCCACGTCGGAATGGAATAGCAACGCATTGGCTGTTGCCGGGTAGACCATGCCTCCGGTGGCGGCCCCGGCCGCTGCCAGGCCTACTGCAATCGAGCGATTCTTGTGGAAGTAGGAGCCCATGACGGACAGGCCCGGCGTGAAGACGAGACCGCTCCCGATGCCGACACAGACGGCCTGGCTGAGGAGAACCTCGTAGTACCAGGTGCTCAGGGACGCCATACAGAGACCGAGGACCTGTAAAATCACGCCAGCCACGAAGCATTGTCGGAAATACCCCGCGTCACTGGCGCGGCCGGAAAAGACCCCCCCAAACAGCAGAAGAAACATCTGAATGCCGCCAATCCACCCAATGTCGCTGGGGGGATGATCCAGAGTCTGTGTGTAATATACCTGAAAGATACCGTAGCTGTTGGCGAGACCCCAGGTGTTGAAAAAGACCATGTGGCAGTAGAAGACGTGTAACCAGGCCCGCAGGCCCTTATCAGGAGGCTTTGACGGCGTGGCCTGCGGTTGTACAGGGGTACACTGCTCCTGCGACTGTTTTGATTCCGACTGCATGACTGTGACGGCCGTTGAAACTTTTTTTCATGTGAACCAGAACATCTCGCAAATAGAAGCTGTTTAACATTCCTTATAAGTCACGCCGCCGCCTGCTAATCTATTGACTTGCCGACATCCCGCGGCTATGCGCACTTCCGCTGGAGATTTCGGATGGGCTTGTGCATAGAATGACCCCGCGATTTTGTAACAGGATGGGGTACCTGATGCTGGAAGGAAACCGATTGTTATTTTCTCCGAGGGTTTGCGGGGGGGCTTGTCATTGGAATGGGACCGTCCCTATGAATTTGAGGTTCGAAGCCCACGACGCTCTGATAGTTGTTGACAGGACATCAAATTGAGCAAATTGACAAGAAAATCACTGAGTTTCAAAAGATCTCCAGAAATCGGTCGCGGAGCAGTAGTGACATGCATGGGATGGTCATGTCCACAAAAGTCAACTCCTAGGCGCCAACTGGCTCACAGTGTCCTCTCGGCAACCAGTCCGCGACATCTCCATTTCCGCCAGAAAGTCGGGTTATTAATTCTTGGAAGCAACGGGATAGATGTTCAGAACAAGGAACTACCCTGCTTCCAAGGGAAAACTGGCACTATGACTGTGTCAGCCACCCAGAGTTCAACAGGGGACAGAAGCCATCAATGTCTTATTTTCCGAACCGCTCAGACACATACTGAGGTTTGCTGAATTGCTTCCGTATTCCGGACAGTAGGTTGAATTCTGCTAGCTGGCTGGCTAAGATCGTCGACGTTTTTCAGAAGTCGTATAAGGGAGCCTTCAGCCATCTCGCTGGGTTTTGGCACACTCGTCTCGTTTCCCGTGCAGTGGGGGCAGTCACTCGATCTGCAGGTCATGAGTGGCCAACGATTGATTTGCTTGTAGAGCTGTCGAGGAACTTAGGCATCGATATGTCGAGCATATGGTCTTCCAAAGCCCTCAATGGGGCGAAGGATTGGTCTTGACGACTCGTGCCAGCTCCCAGTGCGACAGGGGAGCCTACCCTTCCCTTTGATCCTTTCCTTCTCACCGGGAAACAAGTTCAGGTGCGAGTCCCCATCTCACCATAATGATTACTATTTGCTAACAAGGCATTTCCAGAGGATCAAGAGTTACGAGGGAGTCTTGGTACAAAGCAGGGAAGTCACTCCATTGCACTACAACCATGACGCTGCCTGGGACCATCCTTGACAAGGTGTGGTATGATATTGTCAGCCCAGTAGCCCTTCTCGATAGGTATCTGTTCAGGACGATGCGATTTTATGACGGTTTTTGCATCTACAACTGAAACTGGAAGGAGTGTATTTGAACGGAACCAGAAAAGTATGGTATGGTATGGCTACAGAATTCCGTATGTCTTTCGGGACATATCACAAGGGGGCTATGTCCAAGCCTTGATGAAAAGCAGTTTCAGGGGGTTGTTTCATCCTTTAACAAAATCTCTCAAGGCCAATCTGCGTGATTTGATATACTCATATAACTCAGTGTCGCTAGATCTGTGTTATTATCTCCTTTACAGCGTCGGATGCGGATGTGCCGAGAGAGCGCCGCTTCGGCCGAAACAGCCTTGGCCCATAATATACTTCGGACTTCACTGCGAATATCCACATTCCACAGCATCAGCCGTCCATGGCTCTCTTGTCGGGTCGCCAAGGTCAGGATTCAGGGCAGATATTTCGAATTTATATGGGTATGGCAGTGAAACCGGGAGAGTCATACTTAAATGACTCACTCCCGCCTTGTCAACAGCTGTTGCGCAACGAGCAATCTTCTCCAGAACCCTCTTTACTAGAGATCAACATTGCCCATGTCCTGCACACGAGTCGCTTCTCTTCCCACCTTTACTAAAGTATCCTCCTTGGACCCTTGCATTCCTTCACCACACAAGATGACCCGACAGTCGTGTGCATATGAGCGTCGACCCCTGAACACAAGCAGCTTGCCTTGGCGTCGACAGCCAGGGCAACAGATTCTCTGGATCGGGTGCTCGGATAGCGGATGCAATGAACCAGAGAATTTGGGGGCCTCCCGAGATGAAGTTTTTGAATACCGGAATCTGGGGAATATTCTTGTCGATGATCTCTCCTGGAATACCACTCTCCGTTACGCCATTGCCTCATTGAAGGTAAGTACCGACTCCTATCGAGAAAGGAATGTAGCTAATGATTGCATCCAGATCCGGGATATTGTCATCTGCGGACATTACGGATGCGAGATCGTCAAGTCCACGCCGAATACCGGCTTGAGCGGTCCTTGGAGCAGGTAAGAACACTGTCCCAAGCCTGGATTGGCCTGTGCTAATCGGCTTGAAGCATACTTGACCGGCTACGGTCGACATATCACAGCACGCTTGACGGTGTATCCGAGAAGGAACAAAACCGCACGCTGGTGGAATTGAACGTTCTGGAACAAAAGCGCGCGATGAGCCGAGTTCCGGAGATTGCAGAAGCCGTGGAACAGAGCGATCTGAAAATACATAGTGTGGTACACGACGCGGCAGCGAGATCGGGCTACCAGTTAATAGAGCCTGACCGCTAGCATGATTCGTTCCAAAGCACCCAATAATAATACCTTATGAGATTCGAAAGATTTCCTCTCTACCAAATAAAGTGCACGATACCATTGCATCCATCATCAAAGGACTCAGATCGATCGAGTTACGTGAAGTGGCGAAATTTCCCTGTTTGCATCAAATCTGCGCGTTGGGTTTTTGTGCCCTCCCATACCGCCCGGATCTTGGAAGCATCGACGACCGCATCTGATCACCGAACACTTCATCCGCCATGCGGTCTTCCATTCTTTATTCTGTCCAACGCTCCCTGTTCGCTCCCCGTCGACTACACCATACCTGCAACATGTCCGACAAGGCTCGCGAGGCGGTCTCGCAATATCTGAAGCAGTCTCACGAGCGCATCTTCGAGAACAACCGCGCCTGGGTCGCGGCCAAGAAGGAAGAGGACCCCGCGTTTTTCGAGAAACTGGGCGCCGGACAGACGCCGCAATATCTGTAAAGACCAGCATCAGCGATTTGTCATTGGAGTTGTCGGATGACTTTGCCATACTGACCGTGGCTGTGCAGGTACATCGGATGCAGTGACAGTCGCGTGCCCGCCAATGACATTATGGGTCTCACGGCCGGCGAGGTCTTTGTGCACCGCAACATCGCCAATCTGGTGCCCAACACCGACCTCAATGTCATGTCGGTCATCAACTACGCCGTCCGGCATCTGAAGGTCAAGCACATCGTTGTCTGCGGCCACTACAACTGTGGCGGTGTCAAGGCTGCGCTGACGCCCTCCGACCTGGGGCTGCTGAACCCCTGGCTGCGCAATGTCCGGGATGTGTATCGGTTGCACGAGCGCGAGCTGGACGCCATCGAAGACGAAGAGGCGAAGTATAATCGCCTGGTGGAGCTGAATGTTGTTGAGTCCTGCCGCAACGTCATCAAGACGGCGGCGGTGCAGCAGAGCTACCACGACAACCAGTTCCCCGTGGTCCACGGATGGATCTTTGATGTGCGGACGGGTCTGCTTCGGGATCTCAACATTGATTTCGAGGAGACGCTGCGGGATATCAAGAAGATCTACAATATCACCAAGAGCTGAGTGTTCTTATATATACTATCTATATACAGTACACTATCTATCTACTATCTCCAATACCAAACGTATCGACCCCTTGAGATCAACTGGCGCCAAATAGAGTGAAACACCTTTGTATAACAGTCCAATAGAAAAGCCGACAATCGCCTGACATGGGACAGGATGGTCACGTGGTGCTGTCGCTGCCCACAACATCAACAGCAGGCCAGCGTCAATCAAGACAATTCATCTGATCTGCTTACCCTTGAAAACTGTACAGCTCTTCCACAAGCCTTGAATCATGTTCTGGGACCTTGACCTCTGCATTGATCAGCATGGTATGCCAGTAAAGACATTCCGTCAACGGGTATCTCCAAAGCGATCTTCTGCGGGCATCGAATCCTCCTTTTGTTTCGATGATCTCCCGGAAGACATTCTTCTGCTGATCTTTGAGCACTGTGAGATCTCCGCTTTATTCCAGCTGATGCACACATGCTCCTACACACGACAGAACTGTCCCAAACTCTTCTGGGCTAAGCTGGATAATATCTGGTTCCATTGCCATGGCAAAATGCCGTTGTGGCTGGCACCCGATTCTACCCAGTTCAGTGACACTTTGCACCAGGAAGGCAGCTGGAGTCGTCGGAGTTCTGGCTCTTTCATCTACCCAAGCTCTCTAAGCATGATGGTACTGGCCTCTATGGATCTGGCTCCTTCTTACATGGAATGAATGTTAATAGCCATATTCCCTGGCCCATCCAGTAAGGCCTTCGAAATGATGGGTGCGATGCTGTCCCCTCATTGTAGTAATATCCATCCTTTGGACAGACTGTTCAGTGGTCCACGCCATAACTACACATAATGGAATTCCCATCTGGAGAAATTAACCTGGCTTCTTCATGGCTGAAGTCGAATAGCTATGCGGTTTCCTGTCCCTGTTCTGGTAAGTTCATTCAATATACACACAGCCAACTCCCCAACACAGAGCAACCATGGTAAGACAGTTTTCTTTTTCTGAGCCCACCCAGTGGCCGAGCTACACATCTATGAGGCTTCCAGGACCCCATATACATGGATTTCACGGTATACTCCGGCCCAAACCCCGTCTCCACTACTAGAAAATGGAAACTGAATGAGATATGCATACCTTCTTACCCGCAAGGCAGCATATACGGGATTCATTGTTAGGCATGATTGTTCATCGGTGCCCCCTCTCCCTGCAGCAGTGAATGCATGCATGGTGATGGCCTGGCGCCTACGAACAGCTCAACGCTGCTGCTTTGCCAATCACAGCAGCCTCCCCAAGCATACTAGGCTGCGGCAAGGCTGATCAACGGTACAACCCCCCATTCTTCCTTGTTATAAAGGAAGCGATTTTTCGTCTTTCTAGATTCCAAGCCTATCTATCCCCCCTCTGTCGAAAACTAGGCACTCCGCCTACATCATTCCCCTCACATAAATCATGGCCTGCCCCGCCGCCGAAAAAAGCCAGATCTTCCTCGCCTGCAAAGCAATCTTCACCGGACCACATGCCTCGCTGCGGAAATTAAAACACATCCAGAAACGCATCACGGAACATCAGGCGTCGCTGGGGTCCATCATCCCCAACTTCGAGGTCAACCGTGTGAGCAATGTTGCGAAAATCCTCCTGCGGAAGGGGGTGTTCCAGTCCGACACTAAAGCGAAGGTGGAATTCCCGGACTTGTTTGCTCCATCAACCGCTAGGGAGATCCAGCATGATGCGTCTGAGATTGAGGCGGCGCGGTCTGTAGCGGAGGCGTTGGAGGAGATCACGTCTGTGTACGAGCGGGAGGCTGGTGAAAATACAGTGATTGCGCTGGACGCACCTCCACCCATGCCGGACATTCCTGCTGCAGCTGTGCTTGCTGTAGAGGAGAACTCAGGTAAATTAAAAGACGTCCTCGGGCGCCACACCAATCAATTACTGACTCAAGCAGTCGCCGGAACAATCGTGGAGACCGGGTTACCCATCCCCTCGCTCTACCCATCATACTTCCCCTACCACGCCCAGCACGCCATTCTCTCAACAGTCCAGCGCATTCTCGAAGAATGCTGTTTCGATTTCGCGACACGATGGATGCCCACCGAAGTGCACGACCACGGCTGGGACTGCGCCGCCGCCGTGGAGCTAACCAAATGGACGAAGCTACTGTCCAAGTGGACACCGCGGCTACCCAGCGAGGCACTGGATCTAAGCGCCTCCGATCTCGACACGAGCATGTACACGATCCGCAAGATCCGCCACACGGCGGTGCACCGGCTTCCGACGACGGCGCGCGGGGTGGGCGCGATGGTGCTCTCGGCGATGCGGTTCGCGGAGGTGTTGCGGGATGCGCTGCGGGCGGCGCAGCTGGAGGATCTGCATGCGGATATCCAGAGTAAGATCAAGACGATGGAGCTGAACAAGAATGCGCTCGAGGATCACTTTGCGCGGGAGCTGAGAGCTCTGCAGCTGCAGCGGGAGGAACTAGATCGGCAGCAGGAGCGGTTGATTGCCATGACGATTAAGAATGATAAGGATAATAAGAATCTGATGGGGTTGTTGGTCGAGGAGTCGATGGAGAGGATCTTTAATGGTAAAGGGAGGGAGCTTGATGATGATGATTTGAATGGGTTCGCTACGGCTGACGATGGCGAGGAGGAATAGAAATGCAGTATAGATATGTGCTTCATTCTGTGCTTGTGTTTGACCAGCGGCTTTTGGCATGTTTCCTACAGTCTTGGAAGCCCCCATACTAGTGATTTCAGTTTTATAGATCATAGGTTGGATATAAGATTGGGCACATGTACAGAACAAACACTTTCTTTCACAGTTCCTTTATACCAACTAAAATTGCAATCCACGAGCAGCTCTGACAGATCCATCAGGGCCTCTTCCTCTTGGAGTTGTAGAAAAGATATAGCTTTTCATCCGAACAAGTTTATCCCGAACGAGAGCATCTTTGATCAAGCGGTTTCTTGAGGCAATCAGACCATAGTGGATCTTTGGGTCATCATCCATTTCAAGCCTTTTGCTCAGCCAGCAGTATAATCCTCTTTACTGGTCATTTCCTATCCCGGAAGAGGATGAGCCAGGCAGCTAAACGATTCAGAGAATTAATCAGTTATAGTGATGCTGTAGTCATGTGCAATGAAGATCAGACATTGGCTACTTGGAGTTAACATCGAAACTCAAATAGGAAAAGGAACTGTTGGATACGGATCAAGATGGAAGAGAGAGCGATATCAACGGGCTTCTGTAGCTCATGAGGCTGAATGTCAAGCGAGGGATTGTTCAACTCAACTCAGCGCAGCACTACCACTGCTACAATTGATGAGCCGTAAAGCTGAAAATAACATACATCAGCTCCTAGGCTTTCTGGAGCAAGCAGGGAAGAAATGCACAGAGCTGAGCAAAGACGTCAGAATTCGCCGCTTGGTAGAGAACTACTATACCAATTTTATGGCATGAAGGGCTCAGCAGAGAAAAAAATAACACATGAGACTGAGATCTTGCCAATCAAGGCTGCTACGAATCCGAAAAACATCGCACGTTCAGATGGACTTGTAGGAAGCTAATCGGGAATCTACTCAAAGAGAAGAGAGGAAACTTTTCTCGTTCATTAACTATGTAGTATCGCTTATTTCACGGCCTTAACTCTTACACTCAAGTCAACCATTGTCAGTTAACCACCCTTGAACCCTTCTATTTGGGCTCCGCCGATTCAGAGAGTATATTCTCTCCGGTCAATCCTTCGTTCTTTGCTTCAAGCTTTGCCTGTTCCTTGATGCTTCTCCACTCCAAAGTAGCTGCACCAAGTACAGTGAGGCATGTGACAATCAAGCCGGCCTGAAACACCGTCCGCAAAGCCTCGTTATAAGAATGAAGGACTGTATCATGGAAATCGGGAGGGATAGCGAGAAGTAACTCCGTAACACCACCCGACGTGACAAGCTTACGGTCGAATCCAGGGATCCCATCGAGCCTCTCAGCAAGCTGATTAGCCAGGACATTCTCCCCGACCGGGACAAACACCGCAGCGCCCAGGAGCTGGCCAAAAAACATGAGCGCGATCCCAGACGGCACGTCGGGTTTTGACAGCACAGTCTGCGCAGCGAGGTTGGGTACCTGGAAGCACAAGCCGAGCCCGAGTCCGTAGACGACTTGGTAGCCAATCCACTTTCCTTCGGCGGTGTCGACCTGGAAGGTGGTGAGGAGGCCAGCTCCTGTGGACATGATACAGGACCCGATGATTGCCAAGGGCGTGTAGTATCCGATTCTCGAATTTGTTATTCCGCCACTGATTGACCCGGCGACCATTGATAACATCATCGGCAGCAGGCGTATCCCAGATTCCACGGCGGAGGTACCTTTGATGACTTGAAACCAGATTGGAAGGAAGTATACTGTGGTTGAGGTTAGCGTGAGGTTATAGCGCTTGCGATATGAATCAAAACTCACCAAAAATGTAGTTGCCAGAGCCAGCGCAAATCGTCTGCCAGAACCCTGAAACTATGCTACGCTGCGAGAAGATACGGAGGGGCAGCGTAGCGGTCTTGGGACGGAGGATCTGAACAGCCACGAAAGCGAGAAGCAATACTCCCATGAGAACCAAGCATGCTATGATACGACCATTATCCCACTGGAACCTGTCAGTGAAATCAGACTTTATTGACCTGTGAAATTTCTTACCGAATATGTCTGGCCGCCCCACTGAAGTGCCAGCACAAGACAGACCACGCCAGGTACCAAGAGTGCAGTGCCCAGGAAATCAAGTTGGAGCAGCTTCTCTGCGCAGGAGATTTTCGCTGTCGTTTGTTCGGGCACCTCAAGACAAAACGCAATGAAGATCATTGCCACACCGCCGATAGGCAGGTTGATATAAAAGCACCAGCGCCATGTCACGTTCGATGTAAAAGCGCCCCCAATCAAGGGGCCTGCAATGGAAGCAACCCCAAACAAGGCGCCGAACAAGCCCTGTATCTGGGGGCGCTTCTGCAGCGGAACAGAATGAATGATACACATTATCTAGAGCAGAGCGTTAGTGATTGTAGGTCGATGAAACCGATGGTTGACTTACAGTTCCAGCGAGGATACCAGCAGCACCGACTCCGCAGATTGCTCTTCCTATGATGAAGGCCACGGAGATAGGAGCTGCCCCACATAAAGCAGAGGCGATCTCGAACAGTAGGATACTGGAGAGGAAGACGACTTTGGCGGAGTAGAGCTTGTACAGCTTCCCGAATAGAAGCTGGAACGCGCAGCATGTCAATAAGTATGCGCTTCCATACCAGCCCACATCGGTAAAGGAGTTGAATTCATCGGTGATTCTAGGGATCGCCTGCTCAGTTGAGGATTGTGTCAGCGCGTAAAGAGAAATTTGTTGGATTGAGTGTCCTCATACCGTTGAGATGATGGTTCTGTCCAGGGCCATCAGGAACATGGCCAGAAAGGCTGAAACCATCAGGAAGACAACCCTCGGACTCGATTGATTCCTCCCAAGCTGATCAGGCTTGTCTGCTTCTTGCTTCTTCACCGCATCATTGTCGGCTTCCTGACTACCCTGGAGCTCGACCGAGTCTGATGCATCTATCGCAGCCGAATCGGCAACTTGGGAGGTCGACGTGTGTGATCCTGTCATTGCAATTGTACTATGTACAGCTCCACTCATCAAGCAAAATAACTTAGTCTTCTGATCTGGGAAATCGAATGAATAGACTGGCAATAGGCATTGTCATGGCCCCCGAGGAGGGAAAGCTTCTGGCTTTTAAGGACCCAAGAGTCCAAGGGCCTGTCAAGTGCCTGCATTCTGCTAGACTTGAAAGCATTGAACGCATTGTATGATGATTGTATGATGATTCCTTGATTGATTCGGGCGTATCAATATCCGACCTGAAAGTATGTAGTACTACCCCATCACTATATCAAAAGTGCATTATATGAATCTCTGCTATATTCGGGGATTAGAAAGCGCGGGGCCTATTCCCGCTTGCCTGTCGGGACTTATAAAACCCGAGACGCCTCCCTCATTCCCGAGTCGGTTTCTCTTTTCTCTCACACCCTCGCGTGCTCATGCCCTGTCGCGGGCAAATTTTAGAACCTGAGCCTTTAGTTGCTACAGGAAACCACCGGCCCCGAGCCATTTCCACCGCAATGCCCGTCCCTGAGGAGACAGCCTCCGCCAAACCACGGCGCGTGCTAGCCTGTGTAGCATGCCAACAGCGCAAGATCAAGTGTGATCGTCAGTCACCTTGTGCCCACTGCGTACGGTCAGGTGCACAGTGCACGACAGCCGTACGCCAGCGGCGTCGTAGGTTTCCCGAGCGAGGGTTGCTAGAGCGTCTACGACATTACGAGACCTTGCTCCGCCAGCACCACGTCGACTTCGATCCTCTTCATTCACCACCTGTTACAGGGCTCGGGTCTCCGAGCGGCGACGGTAAGGATTCACCTTCGAACGATACAGAATCGGAAATGATCATCCCCGGCACCGAGGGCCAGCCGTCGGGAGAGAAATCAGTCGGGGAAGGAAAGTCCAGACCGGTGTACTGTGCTATTTCCCGAAAAGCGGATGATTTTAGGATACTAACCAGATAGTAGAGATATCTGGCGTGCAATGGGCCAGAAGGTATGATACAGCGTTGGAATAGTCAAGCGTTTCACTGATAAGTGAGAAGTGGGCTGCAGATCCCAAGGATGAGGATGACAACGACACCGAAGACAATGAGACTGACAGTGGTTTCCTACACGACAACGATGATATGCGTCAGGCTGTGATCAGGAAAGCATACGATTACATATCCGAATTCCAAAGAAACGACCACCTACTATTCGGATTGCCTACCGGAAAGATCGACCTATCCGCTTCCCACCCGGATCAGGTACAGATATTTCGGCTCTGGCAGGTCTATTTAGACAATGTCAATCCTTTGCTCAAAGTGACACACACTCCCACCCTTCAAGCACGCATCATCGATGCCGCCAGCGACATCGCTAATATCCACCCCGTACTGGAAGCCTTAATGTTCAGCATCTACTGTGTTGCCGTTTTGAGTCTTAGAGAAGACGAATGCAATGCCCTCTTCAAATCGCCTAAAAAGGATCTTCTGACAAAGTATCAGGCTGGGTGTCAGCAAGCTTTGCGAAATTGTGGTGTGTTACGGTCTACCGATCGCGACTCTTTGACGGCATTGTACCTCTACCTAGTACGTTTCTCGGTCCTTCTGATGGCTAAATGATAATTGTGTATAGCTGTCAATCAGGCCCGACACAGATCCAATGTCGCTTTCCTCATTGCTGGGTGTCGCTATTCGCATCGCTCAACGAATGGGTGTCCACAACGATTTTATCTATGGCAAATACTCCGTGTTGGACGCCGAGATGCACCGAAGACTATGGTGGTCCCTCATTCTCTTCGACAGCCGCATCTGCGAGATGTCTGACCACAAGACCGCAACATTGGCGCCGACCTGGGACTGCCGAACTCCGCTCAACGTGAATGACTCCGAGCTTCAGCCAGAGATGACAACGCCACCAGCATCCAACGACCGACCCACAGAATCTCTATTCGCTGTGGTACGCAGTGAGCTGGCTGACTTCGTTCGTCACAGTGCCTTTCACCTTGATTTGACCAACCCGTCATTGAAACCACTCGTCACTCGATTCGGCACCAGTTATGAGGCGGAAAAGTTCAATGAGCTGGAGAGAACCATCGAGGAGAAGTACCTGACATTCTCCAATCTCGAAAACCCACTGCACTACATGACCATCTGGACTATGCGGGCTTACCTGGCGAAGAATCGTCTCTTGCAGCATTACGCAAGAACCTCAACAGCGTCCGTGCAGCAGACGGAGACGCAGCGTAAAATCGCCATTTCTCATGCCCTTCGCATGCTTGAATGTGATACAAACCTCATGACATCGCCTCTCATCAGCGGATATCGGTGGTTTGTTCACTTCCACTTCCCCTTACCCGCATACATCCACATCCTTCAGGATTTAAAAAGGCGGCCGGAAGAGAACGATGCAGACCGGGCGTGGGAGGTCATGAGCAACAATTACGAGGTTCGATTCATGAACTCGAAGCAAGATGACAAGCCGTTCTTTGTTATTTTCTCTCGGATTGTCTTCCAGGCCTGGGAGGCGCGGGAAAACTTGGCAAGACAACAACAGAGAGCACTGGTGCCACCGCGCATTGTATCGGATGTGAAAGACAGGGTGATACAGATGGCGTCTGACTTTTCACAAAGCTGTAGCATGGAGCCGACGAGTGGCTCCTGTGCTCCCGACGTTAATGACTTTTCAATTCCCATGCAGGCGGCCTTTGGTGGTTCGAACATGGCCTACGGCACTGGAGATCAGGGATCCACAGGTTGGGGATCCTGGGGTTACCCCGACGTGTTCGGACATGGTTCATATGACACCGATGGGAGCCAGTTCCTTTTGAGTACAATGGAATGGAATCCACTGTACGCGCGAAGCAGATGAATTCCGTCTGTAGTAGCCATCGGATTGTCTTCGCGGCGGTCGTCAAGGAACTCAAGGAAGCTATATCCGCTATAGCTACATGTACGTCGAGGTAATATCAATATTACAGAGCAGATATTACAGTGTTGTATATTCGCGACTTAGGCAAAAAGCTGTCTGGACATCGTCGTGCCCAACAGGGAGCCGGGAGATCGGGCAGATTCAAGAGATCGAACCGTATCATAACACCCAGAGACACAGCTGAATGGACCACATAAGCGTGCACGGGCCACTATATTTCCGGGCCGCAAATGTGGCAATGCCTTCAACTTCCCGTGTTCTACAGCTGAAAGTATCCTCGAATGCTGATTTATCTACTTAAGCACGGTGAACAGAATGCACGCAGCATGCTGGACGTGCCGCAGTCGCACCATCCAATGTGATCAAAGCAGCATTCCCTGCGCCAAATGCGAGAAAGCCGGACTGGAATGCTTCCAGAAAAGGCCATTACGATGGGTCAAAGGCGTAGCAATTCGGGGACGAATGCGCGGGCGTGGTTTTGATGGAGAAGATCCCAAAGCCTCTGAAAAGGGTTCATCGACGCAACGGAAGCGAGCCTATCTCTTGCACTCCCGTGCGAAGCTTCCGAGAACTACATCTCCTCCCCCGTTCGCCTTACAAGACCCTTGCATCCGCGATCTTGATCGATCATCGAGATTCTATCTTGATTATTGTGAGTTTTTAGCAAAAGTATCATACTGATCATCCCGTAGATGTACTAATATCAAGCAAAAGATAATGTATGCGTCGCCAAGCTGTACATTGTATACGACAGCGAGAGCAATCCATTTAGGAGTTTACTCGCTTGGGCTGCCAATGATTCAATTTTACAGAAATGTATCATCGCTGTTGCTGCACGGCATTTTGCCAATACAGGCCAGTCGTTTGAGTCATTTGACCAGGCTACTGACGCTTTATCCCCTCGGTTTGTCAATGCCAACTTGGACGCGCTTTATTTCAAACAGCAGACTATCAAGGCATTGATATTATCATTGACCCGTCTAGAGTCCTTCCAGAAGGACGAGTTGATGGCAACTATTCTCCTTCTCATCTTTCTTGATATCCTCGAGTCTGGCATCGGTGGCTGGAAGCATCATCTTCATGGTGCGGAAGCTCTCGTTGGTCTTTCTCGCTCTCTGCTGGGCCCTGGGTCGACTAGCCATGGCGACCGCAGCCCGGGCGAGATGGGAGAGGAGACAAAGCAATTCGTTGCCAGACAGCTTTCGCTGTAAGATCATACTTCCTCTTCTCTGTTCATCAATGCATATTGCTATTCTTGCCGCTGACAGTGTCAGTGTCTCAGCCATCGGAGGTGCGCTCTCGGGTTCGAAGTCGAGCCCGCAATTAGTCGTGGGTATCCACGAACGCGGGCACCATGAATCCATCCTTAGAAGCTTTCTAGGGTGCCCGGAATTCCTTCTGGGAGCTATCCGTTACTTTTCCAGTCAAAGGCACGAGATTGGGAATCCATATCTGCATGACGATAGCTCGATCCACGAGCATGTACAGAACACTTTGACCATGCTTGAGTTGACGGTAGAATTCGATTGTCTGGAATGGGCATCGGACTTGATGCAATTCAAGGGCGCCTCAACAGTAGAGACTCAGAAGCTTTCTTCTCTGGCTCAAGCATACAAAAACGCCACCGTGCTCTATGGAACCCGAGTCTTCCGTGCTTTGCAGACGTCCACCGGGGTCAGAGCACCTCCCAACAAGACGTTGATATCGCAATTACTTGAGGTGATTGGCTTTCTCCAATGCGACGAGGCTCTGTTCAAGTGCCTTCTGTGGCCGACCTTTGTTGCCGGGCTTGAGTGCCAGGCTCATAGCCAACAACAGCAGGTCATTGGGTATCTAAAGCGGCTTTGGAATGTGACATGTTGTTTGAACGTGATCAATGCTTCCTGGATTCTGCAAGACTACTGGAAGCGAAAGCATGGCGATGGCAACCTGGCAACGGCGCACTCTGAAATCCATGTACTAGAACAAGGCTGGCTGCTTATTTGATCCGTTAATGGCGTTGTCTGATGGCCATATGTCACTAACGTTTGAAGCGTGCTGCGTGAAACTTGAGCGCCACATGCTCCAACTTCCTATCCTGGTGAGCGCTTACTATGATGTGCCCTCCCCATGCTTGTCCACTGTCTGATGCGAAACAGAGGATTGGTCCATGGATTACACCGTCGTTAGTAGTGCATTATTAATAATTGACCCAGTTGGCTAAGCCCCACATGCCAGAACTTCCTAATCGGGAATGGCTCTATCAACTGAACGACTGTACAGAGGCCAGCGTCCGATAAGTATTTGGGCACAAGGAGTTCGGGATGCCATCGAGAGTCATAGTTCTCTGATATTTCTATGGATTATGGGGTAGAGAGGGAATATTTAAAGGGCTTTAACCCGCCCAGTCCCCTTCCTCCTGGACATCATTCCACAGACAGACTCTCAGCTCTATAAACAGCATTCTAATTCCTACTCGAACTCTTCTCATACTTTCAAGCTCTTTTCACTGCATCATGTGTCACCAGGAAGTCACAGCCAACGGCTGGACCAGCATGCCGGTCAATGCAGGTGCCACCTTTGGTGACCAGCCTTTCATCAACAAGCCGGAGAATCTTCCACTCCGCGACATCGAATTCCCGTTTGATGAACCCGTAGTCGCAAAGACTTTAAAATATGCAAAGGAGGTCCTGCACCCGGAAACGTTGAACCACTCAATGAGAGTCTATTTCTATGGTATGCTTGGCTCGTTTGTTTGGGTATATCCCGTCGCAATACCAAGCGCCACAACTGACCTTTACCTAGGCATGGCCATCAGCAAACAGCAATTCCCGGAGCATGCCGCTGCTCTCAGCCCAGTCACCTGGGCTCTGACTTGCTTGCTGCACGATCTTGGCACCGCCGAGCAGAATCTGACAGCAACCCGGATGTCCTTCGATCTTTACGGGGGTATCAAGGCCCTCTCTGTTCTCGAGGATTTCGGTGCGACGACCGACCAGGCCGAGGCAGCCGCCGAAGCAATCATCCGACACCAAGATCTGGGTGTTGATGGAACAATCACGTACATCGGGCAGCTCGTTCAGCTGGCCACGATTTATGACAACATAGGCGTCCACCCGCACGTCCGGGATTTTGAGCAACTGATTCACAAGGACACCCGCGCCGAGATCAATGAGGCCTATCCGCGCCACAAGTGGTGTACGATATTCGCCGGCGTCATTCGCACGGAGGAGAAGATCAAGCCTTGGTGCCATTCGACTCATCTTGTCAACTTTGCCAATGAGGTCGAGGCCAACACGCTCATGAAGCAATGGGAATGAGAACTGGTCGAGATTTTGATCTTTGTGTTGCCCCCTGTGTCTGATTTAATTGTAAATAAGAACATATAGTAGCAGCTCAACTGCCTGCTGGAATCTGCTGCTACTTTGTTAAGAAGTCGTCGGCAAAGGCATATTTCAAAAAACAATTGAACTAACCAGTGCATTTCGGTATATTTTCTGATATCCAGCTGCTCGTGCGAAATCATAGGGACAAATCATATATCTTGAGGCATTACATTGCACAAAGTCCTGTTCAGCGTGTCGCCGATTGCGCGTACGATGCCGCCGCACCTGGACGACCTATAATGTGGTGTGGCAGAGACTGGAAAATACCTCTTCATAGGAGGCTAAGTAGAGAAGAGGATGGATTTCCCTTGGCCAGTGCTACAGATGCCGGTCCCTCGCCAGTAGTCTTCTTCTCTCCACATCCGTCAAGCGCTCTCTCAGCATATGTATTTCATCATCTAATTCTTGGGTCGAGGCGACGCAATACTTCCATCTCAGGATCAACGCTGAAATGAGCAAAAGTCCAATAGAAACCAGGTAGGACCATTGTCCAACCTGCTGGGGATTCTCTTGCGGCGGCCCATCATTGTATATATACCATTCGATCCAGATAACAAACGCTATCAACGTCAATGGGCTGATGATGACACTGACCAACAGCCCAACGAGCAGGAACGAGTCTACTAATAGGCGGAGCCGTTCTTTGTTGAAATGCCTGCTTAGGATGGATCGCGATTGGTGGCAGGTCGAGCCCTTCTGCGACGGATGATCGGTTTCGCCCAAGGCAGGACACGGCTGTGCAATTGCAGTCGCCTTCGTTGACAAGAAGCCTTCACGGAAGCTGCTCCATATGGCTTTACGCTCTTTCCACACATCCATGATCTGGACGGATGGAATGCGGGAACCGTAGGGAAAGAATCTGGACACAAGCAGGATGATGTTCAAGATGACCGTGACGCCAATGAGACTGTAAATGTAGCGCCGGGAGTAAACGAATTTGCCCCAGAATGAGTGCGGATGGTCCAATTCCGAGCCACTCGTCGCAACCCAGACGTTCAAGGAGGTCTGCTTGCGGAGGACCTGGCTGGTATTGAAGCAAGGATTGAAGCAGATGTCACCAAGCTGGGCCCAGAGGGTGCTATTGGACAATACGCTCCAGACACTATTGTTCCAGCTGGACGTTCGCCACGAGCTTTGCCAGCCATCGCTGGAGGTTTCGTCGAACGGAGGCAGGTCCGGATAGCAGAACATGTATTGGGTCGCCGTATTCTTTGAAATATTGGAGTAGACCAACCCGCAGATGGAGCCTGCCAGCATCAAGATATTCCACAGATAGAAGAGGATCACGCGGATACGCTCTTGCGAAAATACGCGGGACCAGCACTGCAAGGGCAGGAACACCAGATAACCCGTGATCACGATGGCATTAACGGCATCAGCATCCAAGTCCATAGCAGCTGGCTGGACCATGACCGAGTCACTCTCAGTGATGAGCTGAGGGAAACTGCTCCAGAGGCTGGTGCTGTTCGGGAGATTTGGAATCATCACTGGACCTGGGTCCACAGGCGACGAGGGACTTGAAACAAGAATGAACGACTGAATCGCTGCGACACCGGCGTATGTTGCTGCAGCGCCCAGAAAGACGTCGGCCAACCATCCTGTCCATCGTGTGACGCAGCTGGCCAGAAGAAGGGCGTAGAAGAGGTAACGCGGACATGACTCGTAGATGGTGCTGATCGGATAGAAGCAGACGGCTTCTTGGGCGATGAATAAAGGGTCTCGAACACTCATTTTAACCCGGGTGGGAGAGTGGCCAGCAGATATCCGAGCTGTCCGTACTCTCAGGGACTCATCCTACTTTTTCAGTGTAGCTAATCTCGATTGTATAGTCCATGAGACGGTTAGTGACCAGTTTTGGTATTTAGGGACTGGAGACTGGGATGGCCATGAGGATATATCCAAATTCATGACATCACATATTTCCCTATTATGGTCGACAATGAGTCGGTCCCATTATACCTCTTCAAGGGACGTTCCATGGATGCACGACAATCTTAAACTTTTCACGGGTGATCATGGCGGAGAGAGTGAATCTGCTGTTTTATTGACCTCCACGTTGAGCTCCCAGAACACAGCTACCCTCCAGATCCTTTTGAGCTGGCCTGGAGTACGCTCGCAGAGGGCGTATTCCACCCTCAGATAGTGATATGCCTTATGGCATCCAGGTAGCATAAGAGAAGTAGGTATCAGTCAAGCCCCAAGTCAATGACAGAATAGATAAGTGCTATAGTCACTATTTTAGATAGCTTAGTTGTGTTCTAAAATCAGTTATTTACTATAGTAAACACTTCTGCCTGTATAATCAACCGATAAGGTCTAATGGTGAAGCCTAACTAGAACAGTATTCTTTCCATTGGCAGTCTCAGAGAAATAAAGTGATGCTTTTAGGTGACATCTTCCGGGCTTGTAGGAGATGACAGATAAACCGCGCTACTTCTTTAACTTGGTGGGTCACGTGTTGGTCATCGTTGGTCAATCAAAGGGCAACCTCTAAAGACATCCAGATGATGAAATTGAATGCAGAGAAGGCACAATGAAACGCACTTATGAGGTATCTTCCTCCACAGACCTGTGCTAGTGAGCAGTACTAATAAGGGGAAGAATGCACTCAAACTCCTCGAAACCAGACGGCGTAAAGCCCGCCCGACGAGTCTGACGACTCCGGCGGTTTCCATCACCCAAGATACAGCGCCAATAAAGCAAAATTCTCTCAGAGGTCTACCGAGCGTAGCTGGTATGAAGGAATGGTTGCAAATCTTGGGCCACTCGGTACGAGATAGATGAATCGTGATACACCAGCGATCTGACCTGGTCCAGGACACCACGGTCAACAGCTTGAATGTTATTCATGTCAGCGGCACAAAGGGCAAGGGGAGCACTTGCGCATTTACACGCAGCCTCCTTCGTGCGCATAGCGTGCGGACAGGATTTCCCAAGAGGATTGGGCTCTATACTGGCCCACATCTGCAAAGTGTTCGCGAAAGAATACAAATCGACGACCATCCGGTCCCGGAAGATGTATTTACTCGATATTTCTTTGAGGTTTGGGACCGCATTATGCCCAACAATGTAGAGCTCGACTCGAAAGCTGCGAGGCAACCCCGGTACCTGCAGTTTCTCGCCCTGCTGGCTTTCCACACCTTCATCAGAGAAGAGGTTGATGCAGCGATCTTCGAGGTGCATCATGGCGGAGAGTATGATGCAACAAACGTGATCCAGAATCCCGTTGTAACTGGAATCACATCTCTTGGAATGGACCATATTGCACAGCTTGGACCTACCATCGACACAATCGCTTGGCATAAAGCAGGAATATTCAAATCAGGTGCACCTGCTTTTTCCGTAGCTCAGGAACCAGGCCCTGCGGAAGTCATGCGAAAGCGCGCTGCTGATATAGACACTACCCTCACGTTCGTCTCGGTGAATGAGTGCCTCCCCACCGATGGCAGAGTACTCAGTGTCCCAGTACAACGATTGAACTGTTCCTTAGCGCTTGAGCTCACGAACGCATTTCTTCACGCCAAGGCACCCGGCCATACACTTAGCGATGCGGACATCTGCCATGGCGTGGACAGTTTCCAATTAACTGGCAGATTCGAAATTATAGAAGAAGGGCAGTTGCAATGGTTTGTGGATGGGGCACACAATGTTCTGAGTTTGGAACAAACTGCAGAATGGTTTGCCACGAACGCCAGCAGAGATCAGATCGGAAGGTCTTCCGCCCTTGTTTTCAGTCAGTTGTCGGAAGAGCGAGATGGCACGGCGCTGCTACGATCCTTGGCGCACGCCCTCTTTAGAAAGAAGGTGAAACCTGGTCATGTTATCTTTACTACATACCAAGAGAAAGAGGATGACCCTACCGGTAAGTAGAGGAGGATGAAGCTTCTGCAAAACCTTGACTGATGGAGTTTATGTGGACAGGCAAATCCACCCAAGTCTCTCAGCCATCATCACATGAGGTATGCGCTTTGTACGCCTCGGTGTGGAAGGAGCTTGATCCTCAGACTACGGTTACGACTGCACCAACGATCGAGAGAGCAGTGCGGCTTGTCAGGGAACTAGGGGGCCGCGGAAATGGAATGCAAGTGCTTATTACGGGGAGCTTATACATGGTTGGGGGGATACTCGGATTTTTGCGGCCATCATCACAGCGGCATGAAGATCTGATATAGGCAGGAAGAGTTCTTAAGATCAATTGACTCCTCGGATTGCCTGCTGAGCGAATAGTCGGTCCAATTTTGGACACAGGAAAGAGTACAACAGCGGTAGCCCAAACCTAAGAGATACACCGGAAACCCCGCCTAGATGCGCTATGTCTCACCATGCAATTATCAGTTAAGCTGGATCCAGTCTTTTTACACGCTGCAATATGGCCCTCGACGATCGTATATACAACTCTATACCCTGGCTTCCATCCATTGCGACCGGATCCCCTTCATCCTACCCATACCCCGAGTCGTGTTCGCTCTGTCTCCGGCGAGAATTGAGTGAGTAGGTTACGCCGGCGCGTCTGTCATCCAGGGTCTCCTGTCTTTCATCGATCGTAGCCTGTGTGCCATCTTCGCATTGCCTATCCAACGTCTGCCCAAGACAAAGCGCAACCTTGTGCTTGTGGGAGTTGTTTATCGGTCTGGGTTCAGGCTCTCCCAATGGGGTAACCCAATGAAGGTGGCTTCCAAATCAAGGTCGAGTGCAATAGCCGAGTTCATGGTTCTGGCTCTTCTTCTGCTCCTACTACAGTACGGGCATTTGCTTCAGTCTCAGCCTCGCGAGGTGCGCTTTCGGTGCAGCTGAACTCGAAGAGAGTCTCGCTAGCAACATTGCTAACGATCAAGGCTATTCTATAGTGCTCATAGGGCTCATGCATGTTGTTCCTCCTTCCGATCCGGCCCCCTTCCAGCAGATGAGCGACGAACTACGGGGAATCCCTTCATAAGGAATGGAATTTCAGCGAAATCATTTTGTTGAACTGCATTAACGCACTTGGGTCAAACAATATCTCACGACCTTCCGAGGTCTATTCATATCTGGGAGATTAATTCAATGACTGCAGGGTGTTTGGCTGCTCCGCCTTCCTTGACCCATTCCAAGTGACCCTTCAACAATATCCCTGGGGGAAAAAAGCCGTTTTGCCTCTTTCGTTTTCGCGCAGACAAAATAGCATTTTAGACATGTTTTCCTCAAGTGGAATATGAAAACAAAGACAGAAAGGTCACCGCTACAGTGATTGTTTGATGGAGGGCATCGATGATAAAAATACATTGTGGTCGTTTCATAAATTAGATTCGTAAACGTTAAAACCAAGGCTACCAAGAACAAATGGTAATCAGTGGTGCTGAGCAAGTCCCTCGGTGGTGTTCCCAATTGGCCTGCCCATGTACCATTGGCCAAATATCTTAAAGGCCTCGTTGTTTGCATGGGTGAAATCAAACATCTTGGTCAGACGCACTACGACACTGTTGTCTTGGAAATAGGCTTCAATGATTCGGGCTTTCAACCCCATGAGCGAGAAACAAAGAACCTGCCAGATATGGAAAGGTCAGTTGATTCAGTGATGGGGGACCAGACTTGAGAGGGAAGAGCAGGTTGTTACCGGTGAGACCATTTGGCGAATGAACCGCAATCTTCGCAACTGCATGAGCATGATTCGAAGGACCGGAAGTAATTCGCCGTAGAGGACTGTGTCATCCCTGGCAACCAAGTTATTGTACATGATGACCTTGACATGTGGGTAGGTAGAGCCTTTGAGATCAGTGACGCGGTAGCATCCAAACTCAGGCTGAGAATCTCTATCCAAGCCCGTGAATGGGTAGTTTCCAACACTAGAGCGGCATTAAATGAGTACTGGCCAGCCGAAGAACAGCAAATGGCCTACCAGTCTACGGTCCACGGGACTTTTCCCTCGGCGGCATCCATCAAGCAGTTGGCGATGTAAGACTCGAGGTGTATGTTCACTGCATAGGCGCGATCAGCGGGACGAGTAAAAGCTTCCTCTGTTTCATCCTCTACACCATTGTAGGGACCTCCGATAGCTTCATCGGTGGAATCGGGAAGCATGTCGCCTGGGTAGGGAGCGAAATATGCCGGCCTCGAGGGCGATTCTTCGTCTAGTTCTAAAGGCTCAACCCGAACATGGCAGCCTTGCAGCTGTTACAAGTCGAATTTATCAACCCCACAGGCTTTGATGTTGCGCGTTATATTGGTCAAAGCCTCCCGCATCGCGCGGCGCGTGGGAGCTTCCATCATTTTCGACATGGGGAGAAAATATGCGATAGAAAGAGCCTGACTCTTTGAATTAAGAGGAGATTTGGATGAAGCTGGGTTGTTACAAAGAAACGAGAGGAAAAGACTGAGATAGAGATTAGATTGTCAATGTCTTGAATCGTCTGGGGGGAGGGCGACAGACAGAACTCGGAGATTTCCGTTTCGGGAATCAACAAACAACCCAAACAGGCCTCGCGCAGTCACATGTCACTTGAGGAGTATCTCAGAGTAACTCCTCTTAAGTTCCCTCCTGTCTCCTGTCCATATCCAGGCCTTCACTGTACTTGCAGTTCTGCTTTGCAGCTGAAGAGGCACCTTCAGGACTGTGATGTTTCCGTCTATTTCTACCCTTTCAGGTGGTGGATTGATACGCACTTGATGCCAGCATGTTGTATATGCGCTACACTGGAGTTCACCAACACAAGGGAATCACCCCTCTGTCTGAATGGCCGGATTAACGCCTGTGGATTTCAGAGGCGAATACAAAGCTAAAAACATACAAGTCGTGGGACCTCTATTGTCAAGGGTTCACGCGTCGGACCCTTGAAGAGGGGAGTTTTGCAATTGCCCGGTATTATCAGCTGGAGGTAATCAGTACCGACAACGATATAGACCCCTTGGCCTTCACGACTCCCATCGCCCATCGGACACGCGGGCGTGAGCTCAGCAGACGTCTTGCGAACGTGCATTTGGAGACGCCTTCGAAGTCCAGCAAAATTTCCAAGTCCCTGGACATTGAAGAGTTTGGGCTTGAGGAACCTCCAGCTATTCCGGAGGATTTGAACTCAGAGTCCCCAAGCCCATTTCAGGAGATATCACCTGCGGCCAGAGAGCTCGAGAATGTCCTGTATCCTCCTACGAAAGATGAGCAAATCGTCAATTGCGCATTGGTTATCTTTTTGAATGCTTTGACCCTTGACCTTGAGTTTACCAATAAGTGGACATTGCATAGAAAAGCCTTCAAAGCTAGTTTTGAAGCAAGAACTGATGGCTATCTTGAAGATCGCCAAGGCAATGCCAAAGTGATCATTGAAGTGAAGCCCGTGAAGCGCTCAAGGAAACTGCCGCTTATCCAAATGCAGGAGAGCGCTCAGGTGGTGGCTTGGATAAAAAGCGACGATGAAAAGCTCGATGAGGAAAAGATGATGTACGACACCCATTCCTTAGCCATGCAAGCTCTATTACGGAGAGAGTCAAAAGCGGAATCCGACTGCTAACTGATACATAGGCGCATAATTGTGTCCCAGGGTCGACATGAAACATATGTGACAGTTGCCGAGTACGACGAAAACTACATCGAATATCTGAACTCTCCCGACACTGGCAACCTTCCCCGATCCTTCATGACTATGCACCAATTCGGTCCCTGGAATACGTTAGATCTCAGTCACATTCGTTACCTTGGACCTGTCCTTCTCGCGACATCCCTCCAAGCCGAAGACATGAAGAACAAAACTTGAATGATGAGGGAATGGGTTTCACCTGGCAATCCGAGGTTGCCCGAGAACGTGGCTCTAATTTTTCCGTGTTGGCCGTGTAAGGTTGAAGTTCAGCTTATGTATGAGATAAGCGAAGTATTACGACTAACAGACCCTTTGAGTTGCACCAGATCTGTGCACTAGCTAGTTGCTCAAATGTCGATCATTTGACTTAATACTCTATTGTAGGATGTGAACATTGATAGCGGATCCCAACGCCAGTGGAATATGAGACCCGGGTTGCCTCTTATTCTAGAGATATCCACACCCATGCCCGCGTCGGATTTGCATACCAACAACCGAAGACGGAGCATCCTTTCCGCTGCTCCATGTACCGAGATCGGTAGTATAAGGGATACATAGTTCTCTTCAACTATCCACTGGAAACGTCCAAGAACCAATATAGCTTCTTTTGTACGGCGCCTGGTCGATTCTTCCTACCTTCCTTTCCCCAGCACTCACCTGGTTTCATCCACTAATCGCAAGTGGAGTCTCTTACCATTGCATCAACAAACGGAGTAGCATATGACATTATTCCCATCACCAATCTTTCCGAATCTCCCTCAAATGCTGCACCATCAACCCATGGTCCTCGACAAGATGCAGTGTCTCCCTCCCCTCGATCAGCGCATTCATAAACCCGGGCCTCCCAACTTGATAAAACCGCACATAACACCCAACAGTAAGAATCCCATGAATCATCCTCCCGTCCCTCTCAACCTCCTCCCCATACTCCTCCGCCAGCTCTCCCGCCATCATCTCCTCCAAACCCAACCAATCCGGCCCCTGGCCCACCACCGGCGGCGCACAGCATCGCATCTGCAGAAAATGAATACCCGTCATCTCCGTTCCCCTCTGCGGCATCAGGCCGATGTACCCTGGGATCCAGGGTAACGGGGAACGCAGGTCCAGCTGCACGAAGTACCTCTGCGAGGCGCGGACTTGAACGGTGGGCGGGGCAAAACCGAAGTATGTCCCCAGGATCTCGGTCCACACGAGGCAGACGGCGAGGCGGTCCGAGTGGAGGGCTATATTGCTGATTTTCTGACGGAGGGATGGAGTGTAGAGGGATGGGGGGAGGTTGGTTGCTAGGGTGTGGGTTTCGGGGGTCATGTCGCCGTCGGGGGTGAAGGTGGGGAGGACGGTGGTGTATAAGTTGCTTGGGAACTTGGTTTTGGATGGTCTGGTGGACATGTCTGTTCTCGCTTCTGAAGGAGGTTTAGATAGGTGACAGATATGGGTATGACACGGTTTTTATATCTATCCATGGCATCAGCGTGGAGTGCTGACGATCTGAGATCGGGTGCGCGCTGGACAAAGAGATTGAAGACATAATAATCCCTTTGTCTATGTCGTGTGGATTGCTCTTCGAACAAGGCGTGGGATGATAAAGACCAGGGCTCAATACAGCGATTGCAAAAGAGTGTAAGACAGTCACTTGGTATATAGCCTGTTGCGATAGCATTTCTATCTCAACCGCCGTCACCCTTCTCACTGTATTGCATGGTCTCATCCATCCTACCAAAAGTACAACCATAAGCGCATGTCACAATCTAACCCCATCTCTACTTCTCTGTACATCAACCCGTCCTCGCCTAGTTAACACTGGCACTCCAGTGAGCGACAGTAAACGTCGATTTTCCGCCAGTGAAGGGCTCGGTTCCGAATTGCATATCTATCCGAGTCAGTACCAAGTCTTGAGCCCGGGGAACAGGGACATACTAATCAAGTGCTGGCTTGAAGCTGGGAAATTATGCTTGGAAGCAAGATAGTGCCAGAACTCCATCAGATCACCGCTGTACGAGGTGATAGGGCTCGCAGCAACGAAGCTGTATGTCTTCTGTTTGTTGCCGCCGCACCAGAGCTCCCAGGTGTGGCCACCAACAGTGGCGGTACCAATCTTTGAGCCGATGGGCTGGACATTTCCATACCGAGCAAGCCTGCACGTATCAACAACTGTTCCTCAAGTCCACCAGTCAAGGCACACCTACCAGATCATCAACTCATAGTCACCGCTGTAGGTAACGTGGTTGATATCGGCCGCGGTGAACAGATCGTAAGACACATCAGCACGGATATTGGTATTGTCGTAGCTCCATTTGACAGCGGTTGGGATGCTAGTCAGCTCACTGACGAGTTTCTTTTTCAGCGCCACGCCGGAGTTGGGGTAGCTCTTGACCGAGTTCTTGCCGCCGGACCAGGACCAGGTGGTGTGCCAGGCAGCACCGGAGCCAGAGATGCCGTCGACATAGGTGCACTGGGAGCCGGAGCCGGAATCCTTGCCCCAGACGTTGTTGTTTACGTTGTACCGGCCGCTGGTGTAGCTGCCATACTGCTCGCAGAGGGGCTTCGCGAGGGCAACGGAGAGAAAGGCAGTGAGGGCAGCGACAATCTTCATGGTTGTTTATTTGAGATTTGGAAACTGTGAGACTTGATTCACAAGATGGAGACAAATGAAATGAAGGTGGTCTATCTTTTTATAGCCCATGGCGCAGTCGAGCGAAGCCATCAGTCCAACTACATGTCCATACTCGTGTATGTAAATTGGGGAGCCGTTGGTGTTTCACGTTGAGGCCTCGACAACAGGATAGCCGGCATTGAATGAAGATCATGCCCATCTAGGAGCTCGTCTGAAGAAAGTCGAAGACGAAGATGTCGATTGAGCCGGAATAGCACAACGATACCCCTGCGGTCACATACCCCATCTGGAACGGCCCTGCATCAGATAAAGTCCCGACACCAACAGCCGACTGCAAAAACGGGCTAGATTCCTTTCTTCAGCCAGGTGCATGTCGCCGTATCTGCCGTCGATTGTGAAGATCGGCATACATGTAAATCACGAAACGTGATGGACGTGACGGTGGTGGTGACAAGCGCCGGACTGTAAACGAACCAAGACTTATTATCCATCACGCCACACCGACTTGAAGAATTAAGGAGGGCAAAGTGGGGATTCGGCAGATCAGCCCGCTCGTCAAAAACTGCAACTGGAGTCCGCATAGAAAACGGAAGTCGTGAGGCTGATCCGTGATACACTGAAGTTTCGCCAGTGGCCTGGGTGATACCTCGCCTAAGTGACCTTCTTATTCCACTGCAATTTCCGCCAGGGAGGGGAACCCTGTCTAGAGATACATTCAGTCCAAGAATCCAAGTTCAGGTAAGTGAAAGGACCCTCTAAGAGAGAGAATAAGAGAGAGAGAGTAGAGTTGCATACCTAGACTGCAAAAATCAAATCTAACCATCACTGAACTTGCTGAGGTGAGGGTTCAGTACCTAGGCTGGGGATCTATTGTAGTTCTAGTTTCCCTTGTACTAAACCTCTTAGGTTTTAGTTGAAACTATTAGTTATAGCCTATGGGTTTATAGCTTTCTTTATATTAGGTAAAATTCCTAAATAGAGTTGCATTGCATACACGGACCGCAAAAAAATTGAATCCAACCCTGTAGGGGGGGAACCAGAACTGCTACAGATCCCTCGCCTAGGAACCAAACCGGCAAACCCTCACCTCAGTGAGTTCAGTGAGGGTTGGATTCTATTTTTGCAGTACGAACGTGGAAGGTAAGAAATTGCTAAGGTTATACCGTTATCTATAATCTATATATATGGGAACTGGGCCAGATTAGTGGATGAATGGGCCGTGTGTTGGAAATACGTACAAGCCGGTCTTGATCGATTACCCGTCGCTGTGTCTGCATGATGGGCCACTGGGTCTCCGTTTCGCAAACCCCGTCACCGCGTTTCCCGTGGCGATTAATGCCGGCGCCGACTGGGACAAAGAGCTACTGTATGCGCGTGGTGCCGCGATGGGGGAGGAAGCGAAGGGGCTAGGCGTGCATGTCCAGCTGGGCCCGGCTTCGGGACCGCTGGGGAAGAACCCAGACGGGGGACGGAACTGGGAGGGCTTTCCCGTGGATCCGTATCTTGCTGGTATTGGAATGGAGGAGAAGACAATTCGTGGGATGCAGGACTCGGGTGTACAAGCGTGCGCAAAGGTATGTCTCTTTCCCTTCTCAGAGTCGCTCAACGCTAATAGACAAAAGCACTGGCTCGGGAATGAACAAGAACATTATTGCGACACCATGAGCTCCAATATCGGCGACCGTGCCATGCACGAGCCTTATGCATGGCCATTTATAGATGCGGTCAGGGCAAACGTCGCATCTGTAATGTGCTCGTACAACAAGGTCAACAGCACCTAAGCTTATGAGAGCGACAATATTCACACAAGCTGCTGAAGGAAGAAATGGGCTTCCGCGGGTACATCATGAGCGACTGGGATGCGCAGCACAGCACTGTGCAGAGCGCTGTGACTGGGCTCGACATGACCATGCCGGGCAGCGACTTCAACAATCCTCCCGGGAGCATCTTCTGGGGGTCGAACCTGGAGGCTGCCATTGCGCACGGGTCTACGCCACAGGCCCGCCTGGACGACATTGTCACCCGCGTTCTGGCCTCGTGGTATCTTGTTGGTCAGGATGAGGGCTATCCCGATGTTGCGTTCAGCTCATGGAATGGCGGCGAGGCGAGCGTCGATGTGACCGGTGACCATGCCACCATCACCCGTGCTGTTGCCCGGGACTCCATTGTGCTGGTGAAGAACGATGGCAATGCATTGCCTTTGCAGAAACCTAAGAGCCTGGCTATTATCGGCCAGGATGCTATTGTCAATCCCAATGGCCCTAACGCCTGCACTGACCACGGCTGCAACATTGGCACCCTCGCCATGGGCTAGGGAAGCGGCACCAGCCAGTTTCCGTAACTCGGGCTGAACTACTAGATCAAATTTATACTAACAGCAAAATACCTCGTCGGGCCTCTCGACGCTATTCAGAAACGTGCTACTCCCGGGGTCGTTCACAGTTGGTAGCGATCGATGCTCTGCACGAACTTGAGGATCTGGAGGTATTTATGTATCTGGTGGCCGACAAGGAATCAATCCTCTTAGTATTTCCATTTCCATGGATGCAAGATAGTCGGTCTTACCCCCTCTACTATGGCGCATTGTTGTATGATGAGCATGCGCTGCCGACGTTGGGAAAAATCATGGTCTGCCATATTAGGGTTGTCAGGACACGATGGAATAATGGGATTCCATTGATAGATCCAAAAAGTACATCAAAAAGAGCAGTTCTCACAGGTAATGATCTACAATCCATCTTGTAGGGACCATAATGAGAAAATTGGAGCAGTGCTGGGATGGTGGGATTGGGCTGTGTATATATATCTTCTATGAGGATAGACTGCCTCGCCTGTCTCTGACATTGCAAATATCATCATACATAAATCCCATACTACTTAAAGCTCAGCTTGTATGCCATTAAATTCATGAGAAATATTAGAAACAAGCATTGCATGAATTCGTACAAATACAACTCAATTCATCTCCCAAATATCGCCCTCCATTCCCTTCAATGCCGTCATACCCAATAGTCACCTCCGTCTGGGTCAGAATCCTCCCACGAACACTTGGAATCCAACACCATCAACACACCCTAAATATGTGCTATTCCTTCAACATCATTCCCCCAAAGCTGAGAAAGATGGGCAACGTCTTCTCCAAGCAAAATTCACACAAGAGAAGGGAAAGCCCGGCACCCCGTGAGCCACCGGCCGACTCCGAGGATTCGTGGTCGGCGCTCAGCGAGGTTGCGGCTCCCGAGCCGATTGATCGGGAAGACCAAGCTCAGAGAGTACCGTCGCTGGAGGAGACTCTCTCGCAAGACGGCTCTGATCCAGATCATGGATTGAGCGAAGTGGCAGCGCCAGAGCCGAGTCCACGAGACGAGGAGGGTCTTTCTCGCCGGTCCAGTCTTGACGAGAACTTGGCTGCGAGTGGTCGTCGATGAAGCGGATTTCCTGCTAAGAATCTATTCTACTGCTAAGTGAAGGGAAAACCGGCTCCTGTCGGTTGAAGTGCAACAATTGGGGAGTGGTAGACATTCAAACATTTATCAACAGGAAGGCATTATCTTTTGACAGGACTTGGACGTATCCTTGTTACACGCGACGGCCACTTGTTTTGAGTGACGCCTATCTTTCACTATTGGACACCGAGGGAAGACTGTTTCTGAGGTCCCCAGACGAGAATCGGCTTGATGATCGTCCCGTCGTGCAGCCCTGCCAATGCTCGCTGATACTCCTCCGCCTGTGGGCATGGTCAGCACGACATCCGAATCTCCCGCTTCGACTCCGAATACTTACCGCTACGAATGTGACTAGTTTGTCGATTGGAAAATTCCCATGGCGGTACCACTCAATCATCTGCGGGATAGCCTGCGCGAATCTGTCAGCTAGGAATCCGCCAGAGAAGACCAACAGATGAGAACCTTTGTCGGTACCGAGTCCCCTTCGATACAGCCGATCAATGATACACCGGTCTAATCTGTTAGCAGACTGAGCAGTCATATCTCCTGAATATGGCTCCTACATTAATATGCTGACTGGCGCGGACATGCAAACCCCATTCGAGCGGTGGCACACCCACGAAGATGAATTTTCCTCGCCGACGGGTGATCCTGAAGCCCTCTTCGATCAGAGAAGGCGACCCGGTCGTGTCAATCACGATCGAGGGACCACTTTCGACAAGACTGCCGACCGCGCTGGCCAAGTCAAAGTTCTCCCCCGAGGTATTGACGACGTTTGTCGCACCGAGCTCTTGCGCAAGTTCCAGTCGCTTTGGGACCCGGTCTACGGCGATGATGGCCTTGCAGCCGCGGATTTTGGCCGCCTTTGGACTGTCAGCTACACGCACTTCTTCCATGATTAATGCTCACCATGATAGCCGCCATTCCCACTCCACCCACCCCCATCACCATCACGCTGTCGGACGAGGATGCATTGCAGATATTGGTTATCGCCCCGACACCGGTCTGGAAACTACACCCCAGCGGCGCAAACAGCTTCAGTTCGTCCTCGCTCCTGATCAGGTCCTTCGCGTTCACCACGGTTGCCTCGGACACAACAGTGGTCCGCGCAAAGCTGGACTGTCCAAAGAAATGGCGGGCCACGGTCGGTCCGGACCGCAACGGGACACGACCCGGCTGGCCGACGTAATTCTTCACCGCAAACGAGTGACAGTAAGCTGGGTGACCTTCCACACACTGCTCACACGATCGACAGGAGTCGAAGGAGAGGAGCACCGGGTCCCCGATCTGCACGGAAGTGACGTTCTTCCCGACGGAGCGGACGTAGCCAGCACCTGACCAGGCTGAGCACATCCTACCGAGGTGACGCTGAGGAGAACCGGTTGCCACGTACCTTCATGACCCACGATGCGAGGATACTGTGTGCCCAGGGTGCCTGTCGGGATTGCGCTGAAGATCAAGTCCGTATGGCAGACGCCCGTAGCGATGATGTCGACCAGGACTTCATGGTTTCCTGGGGTGTCGATGGCGATCTCTTCCAAGGACCAGACCGGCTGGCCGATGGTCTTTGGCTCCTGGGCGACAATGGCTGTGGTGGTGGTGGTGATTGTCATCGTGCTTTAAACCCCTGGCCTTCTGCTTTGGAATGGCTGGATGGTTCACAAAGCAGAGACAACCAACTCTGAGGTTGAGCTGTTACACAAAGGAGGGGTGTCCAAGTCATCTTCGACCATCTTCCAGGATGTTTTGCGATGGGCTCCTGCAGCTAGTCTTCTGTTGCGGGGCAGTCTTGACCTGGACACGAGATGGAGGTTTTATTGGACCATTGAGCGCCGTCCTACGCAGTACCAGGCTGGACTCTGAACAGCTGGGAATTTCAGCAAGGGTCCTTTGTCTGCTGCCAAGTACTATGGATGGTTCAGGAAGGGTCTTTCGATGTTGAAGTCCCTGTTGCTTTTAGAGACCGAAACTCGGGCATAGTGGAAATCCGCCGGCGTAAGACACTGCAACTCTCCATGACTATACAACCCCAAATTCGTCCTGTTGGATACCTCACTTAGCCACACTGGCGACGACTCACCATCCACCCTGCGATCTCCTTGGAACCAAAACGATAGCAGTCACCACACTCCACCATGACGATGACATCAGTATGCATCGTGTTTTTTTAGCGTCCAAACTGTCGGATCGCATGAGGATCATCTGGGGTGCATTTTATACAAGGGTAGAATAGATCCATATCTTTGTTTGTATAAATTTGAGCTGTGGACGGTCAGTAATCAGTATCACTATCCAGGAGTAGAAGCTCTGCGGTGATCCTCTTGGACGGCCAGGAGAGGATGTCCCGGGGGCATGTGATAGTGGGTTCTGCGGATGAATGGTGAAGCCACGAAGAGAGTCACGATCTGAACAGATTAGGGTTGGAATTCATGTGAAGTCGAAGCCTAGCATGTGGTCTCGATTGCAGTAGTTATCCCAGACTAGAATTGAAGCTCAACGATCGGGGGCAGATGGCGTCCATAATATACACTCTGTACATCCTCTGGAGCTGGAAGACGCCCAGCTGATAGGATCGGGGCCTATCACCTCAGGCATCACGTCCCTGCATGCTAGCTGCATCTCTAGTGAAAAAAAAACACACCAATCTGACTCGGCACTATATAATAATTTCTTGATCGAGATGATTAGACGGCTGTTTCTGATTTTCTCTTCTCTGCACCGCTGATCGGTCCGTCTGACTCTGATGTTTCTGAGTCTGGCAGAAAAGTCAGGCAGCAAGGCACCCACACCACCCGCCAGTTCAGCCGAGGTTGATTTTCCGCATCGGGAAACCTTCCAGCCAGGCCGAGGTGATTTCCATCTCTTGCCGTCTCCGTTTAGCATCCGTTCTTCTTCTATCTTCCCCCATCCCCCCCCATCATCCACTTCCACTTCACCCCGTGGAGTAAAAACGAAGTAAGTTTATAAGGGTCATTCCCCCCATCAAGACTTCTCTCTTACCCACATTCCTTTCCCCCCTTTCCCCAGATTCTCCCCGATCCTCCCCTCACGCCCCCCCCCGTATATTCACGATGCCTTCCCCCCCTCCCGACTGGGTCAAGGCCCTCACTCCCTCCAGCCCGCAGGGCACGGAGCTGCTCAAGCAGGAGCGTGCTCAGTCGAATGTCAAGGTCGACCAGCTGGGGGAGTTCCTCCACACCAAGGAGTTCCTGGAGAAGCAGCAACGCTTCATCCAGTTGCTCTCTGCCGAGAAGGTCTTTGACAAGAAGGACATGCACTCGCTGAGCCGGCCCGAGCGGATCCAGCGGGCACTCGCCAAGGGAAAGAGACTCCAACAGATGTCGGAACAGTACAACTGGTCGGCTCAGGATTATCACTTCGCCAGTGATATGATCGGAGAGCCCAATCCTTATGGTCTCCATGCGAGCATGTTCTTGGTACGTCCTTTTTTTTTTTTTTTATCAAACTGACGTGGGCACGGATGCTAACGATCTCCTCCCAAAAAAAAGGTCACCCTCCGCGAACAATGTACCCCCGAACAGAAGAAGCTCTTCCTCGAGCCCGCCGAGAAGTATCAGATCATCGGTTGCTATGCGCAAACGGAATTGGGCCACGGATCAAATGTGCGTGGCCTCGAGACGACGGCCACTTGGGATCCCACGGATAAGACCTTTGTGATTCACTCGCCCGCTTTGACCGCGTCCAAGTGGTGGATTGGATCTCTGGGCCGGACGGCCAACCATGCGGTGGTGATGGCGCAGTTGTTCATTGCTGGCAAGAACTATGGCCCCCACCCCTTCGTGGTCCAGATCCGTGATCTCAAAACCCATCAGCCTCTAGAGAACGTCTACGTTGGTGATATTGGACCCAAATTTGGTTACAAGTGAGTCAACCCTGGGAATACGTATGGGGAAATCAGTGGCTGACTTGCCTAGCACCATGGACAATGGTTTCCTCCTGTTTAACAAGTTCAAGATCCCTCACGTGAACATGCTGGCCCGCTTCTCCCAGGTCGACAAGGAGACGAACCAATACATGCGCCCGGCATCGCCGTCTCTGGTCTTCGGTACCATGACCTGGGTCCGGTCCAACATTGTCTTCCAGGCCGGTTCCGTCCTCGCGCGCGGTGTGACCATTGCCACTCGCTACTGTGCGGTCCGCAGACAGTTCCAGGACCGGGACGCTGCGCCCGGCGCGGGCGAGACCCAGGTCATCAACTACAAGATGGTGCAGATCCGTCTGCTGCCCCTGTTGGCCGCCATGTATGCGCTGCACTTCACTGGTCGGGCCATGATGGGTCTGTACGATGAGAACCAGAACAAGCGCGCCGCCGCCGAGGCCGGACAGGACCAGCGTGGTGCGGCTCCCGAGGCTCTTCGCGCGGGCTCCGATCTGCTGGCGGATCTGCACGCGACCTCGTGCGGTCTGAAGGCGCTGGCCAGTACCACGGCCGGAGAGGGTCTGGAGATCTGCCGTCGGGCCTGTGGTGGTCACGGCTACAGCAGCTTCAGCGGCATTGGACCCTTTTACGCCGATTATCTGCCCACCCTGACCTGGGAGGGTGACAACTACATGCTGACCCAGCAGGTTGCCCGATATGTAAGTTTGCATTTGGCCCCGATTTCTTTTTTTTTTCTCTTCGGTGACTCGATCCTAACAGCTTTTGTAGCTTCTCAAATCCGCTCGTGCTGTGCTTGCCGGCAAGGGGACTGGCAACGACACCAGCCGGATCCTTCAGGCCTACCTTGCTCGTCGTGACAAGGGTGCCTCGTTTGACATCCTCGAGGATGACAAGGACATTGTGGATGCGTTTGCCTGGCGGACAGCCCACCTGACCTTTGAGGCCCTCAAGCACCGCGATCTCGAGAAGCGGTCGTGGAACAGCCTGCTGGTTGACTTCTGGCGCCTGTCGACCGCCCACTCGCAGTACCTGGTGGTCCGGAACTTCTACGAGGCCGTCTCGTCGCCGCCGCTCGCCGCGTCGCTGGGTCCGGAGACCACCCAGGTCATGCACAGCCTGTTCCGCCTCTACGCGCTGAACACGCTAGAGCGGGAGGCGGCCGAGTTCTTCTCGTCCGGTGCCGTTACTGTGCGCCAGATCACCCTGACCCGCACCAACGCGGTGATGAAGCTTCTCGACGAGATCCGTCCGCACGCCGTGGCGCTGGTGGACGCATGGAAGATTCCCGACTGGACTCTGGACAGCAGTCTGGGCCGGTATGACGGCGACGTGTACCCGGATCTGTTCAAGCGGGCCAGCGAGAACCCGGTCAACGACCTGGTCTTCGATCCATACCCATGGAACGAGGCGGTGCTGAAGAATGCGGTGAAGAGCAAGCTATAAAGCTATCAGCGGTGATGTTTCTTTTTGGATTCCTTTTCTATTTGTGTATATCTTTAGCCTTGTATTTGATGATTAGAGATAGAGCCGGTCTATAGAATCGATTGACATAGATGAGTCATTCTGAAGATTTGGATTCGTGTGTCTGACTTTGTGTATCAAGATGATTCGACCTTGCAGACAGGGGATTGTATACCCCCCCTCTCCGATGTCGGAGCGGAGTTGGAGATGCCTTCGCATATAAGTATGTATACAGACAGCATCAGTCAACACCCATCCTCATTCCTCATCTCTCATTCATCAGATCCCAAGCAAATCCCCAGATCAAAGCTCTTCCTTCTTTCTTTTTTTTTTCTAAAAAAAACAAACAAAACAAAAACAAAAATGTCCAAATCCGAAACCGCCACGTACACCCACGGCCACCACGCCTCCGTCCTCCGTTCCCACAGCTGGCGCACCGCCGCCAACTCCGCCGCCTACCTCCTCCCGCACATCCAGCCACACATGCGCATCCTCGACGTCGGCTGCGGGCCCGGCACGATCACCATGGACCTGGCGCGGCTGGTCCCCGAGGGCCACGTGACGGGGCTCGAGCGGGATGCGGCGGGGGTACTGGACCAAGCACGCGCGCAGGCGGCGGCCCAGCACCTCGACAACATCAGCTTCGTGGCGGGCGACGGCAACGCGCTGGCGTTCGCCGACGGGTCCTTCGACCTCGTGCTCTGCCACCAGGTGCTGCAGCACGTGCGCGATCCCGTCGGCGTGCTGGCGGAGATGCGGCGCGTCGCCAAGACGGGCGGGCTGGTGGCCGCGCGCGAGAGCGACTACGGCGGCTTCGTGTGGTGGCCTGAGGTCGGTGGGCAGGGGCAGACGCAGGGGCAGGCGCAGGCGCAGGGGCAGGGGCAGGCGCAGCTGGGGCTGGAGGGCTGGCGGGCGTGTTATACGCGGGTGACGCGGGCGAACGGCGGCGAGCCGAATGCCGGGCGGATGGTGCATGCGTGGGCGCGGCGGGCGGGGTTTGCGGCCGACGCCATCACGTGCAGCTCGAGTAATTGGTGCTATGCGACGAAGGCGGAGGTGGAGTGGTGGAGTGGGTTGTGGGCGGAGCGGACGGTGGCGTCGGCGTTTGCGGCGACGGCGAAGGAGAATGCTGGGGTGGGCGAGGCGGAGTTGGAGGAGATTGCGGCGGCGTGGAGGCGGTGGGGGAGCGAGGAGGATGCGTGGTTTTCGGTCGTGTCCGGGGAGGTGATTTGTGTGAAGAGGTAGGTAGCTAGCTAGCTTGCTGGAAGGCGAGTTGTGTATGGAGGCGCGGGATTAGGAGGATTGTTATTGCTGTTGAGAATGGCTATTTATGAATCAAAGTTATTCACAGCCCATGTGGTCCAGGTGTCTTGTCTTTATATATTATACATCACTCCGGCGACGACAGATCGCTCTCGCTCTCCTCCGCCTTCTTCAGGGTCTGCTCGCGGGTCAGGAGTGGATTCCGGATGCAGAGCGAGAACGCAATCAGGGGTACGGTCAGGCAGATGCCTGTGATGCACAGCAGGCGCTGGGCGTGCTTGTAGGCCAGCACGACGGCGTCGCGATCCGGCGTGCCCACGGGATTGGCACTGGCGAAGCCAAAGGGGTCGCCGTAGACCTCGCCCGCCAGGGTTGCATTGCCGAGTTGCTTGACCAGTTCATTGGGCAGCACCTGCGTCCAGAGGGCGCCGGAGATGGTGTTGCCGAGGGCGCTGCCGACGTTGTAGCAGGCGAGGTAGATGCCCGTGATGACGGCCAGGTCTGCTTCTTTAGATTCCTTTTCTGTAAGGCTGGAAGGTGGGGGGAGGGGAGTGGCTTACGTTCATGCTTTGCAGCAGCCTGGATGCTGGCCTGTGCTGGGTAAGGGAACAAACCGCCCGCTACTTCGATTAGTGCACGTCTCAATCGGAACTGTCGAGGGGAGGAGACTTACCAATGCCGAGAAGAATCTGGCCGCCGATGATCCCAGAGTGACTCGATCCTTCGGTTCCTCCGCGGAAATGGATGAGGATGCCAAAGGCCGCCATGAAGATACAGGTACCGGCGACAATAAACGGCTTGAGCCGGCGCACTTTCAGGATCACGAACCCGAGGAGACATCCTGTGATCACGGAAGTGAAGCTGCGACGGTTAGCCAAGTCCAGCCATTTCGCCAGCGAGACACGAACCTGTATAGAGAGGTGATGCGCGTAGCACTGAGGGTCGTCTCATCGAAACTGACGACCAGGACGGTATAGAGATAGTCGCCCTGCAAAGTCCAGGCTACCCGACGTTAGCCACCACGCAAAAAGAAAGAGGTTGTCTCGCATCACCTACCTGTGTTGAGCATGACGGCGATTCCCAACGCAGCCCAGACAGCGCGGTCTTGCAGTAACTACGATTGAGTCAGCGATGATCCTAAGGATATTTGGAAACCTCATCTCATGACCCACCCTGAATGGAACCATGGGATGCTTGCAGGTACGCTCCCAGTAAATCCAGGCAGGAACACACAGCACACCGATCACAAGCGGAGCGATGATCTTGGCCGTCTTCCACTGGGCCGTGATGCCTCCGGCGATCGTGAACGGGACCAGGATCAGCGCCAAAAAGGCGATCAGAAGCAAGATGCCCACGACGTCAAGTTGCCAGAACAAGTCCCGCGCGAGCTGGGCATATCCTAATCTCGTCCGAGAGGTCTTGTATGCGTCCGGGTGCGATTTCTTGGCCTTGTAGTGCCCGACGAAGAGAGTGATGATCAAGGGAATGGTGCAGACGGGATAGATGATGGCGAACATGCCAATACCCCATCTCCAGGTGGTGGCCCCGAGCACGGAGGAGGTAACGTTGCCGCTAACCCAGGTGTTGATCTGCCAGGGTCAATGTCAGTTGGCTCCCACGATTCCTGAAGGGGTCAACGGTCATATCGTACCAGGAACGGGAGAGCGGGAACATATGAGAAGAGCAGACGAGAGCGAGTGGAGGTCACGTCGGCGATCAAGACCTCCAGCAACAGAATAATCAAAGTATATCCGATCTGCGGCCATTAACCTCCTATCCAATTCACCACATGCCATCCACATGGAGAGAGAGAGAGAAGATATATATATATATATATATATATATATATGTATACATATCTACATACCTGGTAAAGGACAGCTCCGGCGCAGAACGACTCAACATTGTCGGCGGCCGCCTCGACAATCGTCCCCACGGTATAGAAGGTCACCGACAGGAGGATCAACTCGATTCGTCCAACGACATCGGCGATTTTCGCCGCGGTAGGCTGCATTCTGTCAGCGACGGCAGCCCTCCTCCAACACACGAAACCAATTGACTTGACTTACCTGGGCAGCGGCGGCGATGACCGCCCGCAAGACATTGATAGCAGCCAACAGACTGTGCGAGTCGTAACTGGCGGTTGCTTGAGCCTATTCATTCACGAGGCATGAGCATGAGTAACCGAGAGCATATACTGATACGGAGAGACGACAAAAAAAAATACCTGATAAATATACCGAATCTGACCATCCAGACCGTAGACGTAGGCCACCAGGAACACACTGAGAAAGAGAAAAACCCGATGAACTAAGGTGAATTGCGATGAGATCACCTCGATCCGCCTGACACCGGGACTATCGACATCACTGTCCGCGAATCCCTTGAGGGAAGTTTGCGGGACGGTTGATTCCACGGCGTTCGGGACTTGCTTGTCGGCAGGCATCGGCGTCGCCATGTTTGACTAGGGGGAAGCTCGGCTTGGACAGCAGCAGAGATGCACCGAGGGGCAGCCTCTGCATTAAATAAATCGCCTGGAGAGCCTGTGTGTCAGTTCTTTTCTTTTCTTTTCTTCTTTTTTTTCTTTCGGCTGCTGAGCCCAAAAGTGCCAATGCTTGGCGAGGATTTTAGTGTCGCTGGTCGGCTCTCTTCATCTTATCAGATGGAACCAATGAACTAGTTCAACTGTTAGTGGGATTCTTGTTTGCCACGGTGAGAAAGCCAGAGCGGTTGTTGCAAGAGAGAGAGAGATGAGTTGGATATATATGAGAAAGGAGACACTGGTGGTTGAGTGAAGTGGTGAGTGGTGAGGTAACTTGATAACTGCTCTCCGGATGCGGCCAAACTGCACCTTTTTTTTTTCTCTTCCACCCTCTGCAAGTCTTGACACTCCACGAGGTTGCATCGCCATCTGATAGTGATTAGTGAGTCTAGTCTAGTCTAGTCTTCTAGTAGTTAGTGACCTCCGACTCAGACATATTTAACATTTAATTCACGTAACACCTGACTTGAGCCGTGGTGGGGGCATCAGCCTTGAATCAGATAAACCGATGAAAATCCTGCACGACTGAGTCTTGGACGCTGCTGTGTGAACAGAGGTCAGGCCACTGTGGTGAAAAAAATTTTCAGGGGACTGACTAGCAGATTTAGTAGAGTAACAAACATGGTCGTGTTATATCAAATGTCTCTGAAGGGGGAGGGTAAAAAAGAAGAGACCCCCGGGGACCAGGCCCTACATTGGGTAATCTCATATACATACATACATTCGTCCAGACTTCTGCATCCTGTCAACCAGCCCTACAAAACCAGATCAATCAAGCGCCTCCCCAGTTCATGCATGTCTATATCGATCGGGATGCTTTGGATCGTGCCGCATTCCCCAAATCCCACATCAATTGGCAGAGATTTTGAACCAGCGGAGACAGGGCTGGCAGGGTGCGCGGCGCCTCGCAGCAACGCTTGGGCAACATCTATGGTCTGGCCCAGGTCGGAGACCCCGGTGGTTCCCCTGGACTGTTTGTACGTAATAATGCCGGGCATCCATAGCCGAGCCAGATGAACTTCTAGACGTCCGTGGCATGGTCTCTTCCCCGTCCAGGAAGACGGTCAGCCAAGCGCCACGGAAATGCGGGTCCGCTGGTGGACTCCCAACTGCCTTAGACTGGCGTAGGAGACCCCCCCAGCGTGAAAAATCCGGTCAAGGAGCCCGGAGACAGGACCTTGGCTGTCCGGATGACCTGACCGGCGTAGAGTGTTAAATCAACGAGGCTATTCGTCAGGAAGGGGCAGCTCTAATTCCGAGTAGGAGACGATCGGGTTGGCGTTCAACATCAGGGCCGATTGGGCATCGTGCAGGAACAGGCGATGGACGCGTCTCTACCAATTGTTCAGTGATCAATCCTCTAACGAAGCGGCAGCAGCATCGTCACTCCGTTGAACGATTCAGAATGAACCCAAATTGGCCGACTGACTTCGCTTGTTGTTCTCCCCGACATTTTGCACTCCAAGACTCCAGACTCCAGACTCCAGCTTGCTTGGGTCTACTGCGCTTTAGTGCTTTAGTTTGTCGTTCTGCACTCTAGATACAACTCTATACTCTATAATAGGATGGTGCGGAGGAGAACGGGGAGGGCCATGGTATTCTTCGTCAACTGGATTGAACTCACCTCCAGCACGATACAGTTCCACCGCCATGATTGAAAAAGAACATGGTGTGCGTGCAAGGCACAATATAGACGATTCCCGCGCCGCGCTTTGCATCGCGGTTGTCTCTGCCGTAGGCAATGCGGTATTCCTCCTCCAGGTCCGTCTTGAGGCTTAGCAACAGGTAGGGGGTGCGCAGCTCCTTGAGCGCGAGGATGATCTTCGCCTGGATTTCTTCTGGGTGCGTCCGTCGATCTCAGCGGAGAACAGACGGGAGAATTGCGAAGAGACCATTCTGATGGTGGTGATGATGGTCAGGATGAGTGTGGATAGTGTACACAATCTCTAGAGAAGGACTCTTTTCCTACTCCTTGTATAGTCCGAGACAAACACAAAAGGAGTCCAGTCAGCCATGTACTCTCCGCATGAGGACAATCCGAGACTCTTCATAGCAGACGGTGCTTCTTGATCAGATTGATTACAAGGACAACAATGGGAATTCCGAGAGCAAATGTGGGGGGAAGTGTATAGGATGAAGTGCACTGCAGTCTGCAAGTCTGTATGTAAGTCGTCCTGCTGGTCGACAGTCCTTAGGGGAAGACAGTCCAGCCCTCTATCCACACTCACTTTTCCCCTTCGCGTTCACCTTCACTACCCAACATCACAACGTCGACATCGATACTGTCCCCAAAAAGAATTGTCGCCAACAACCATCCAAACCTCATCCAACACCCTCTCCATCCTCGCCAACTACGAGCTCTACCGCAGCGGCAACGAGATCGAAGACCCCTAAGTCTCCGAACGCACACCTCTCGTCCCAACATCATCCCAACCCGCCAACTGGCCGTCAAACTACCGTCGCATCCCCGCATCTTCGCTGTTATGAACATTCCATTGACAGGACCGCAGCTGTATGAGCGCAGCCGCTTTGACAACAAGATCGGAGCTATCATTTACATCTCACCAAACGCCAATAGCTTCCTACAGCGACTGGGTCGAGCCCATCTCCACGGAGGCCTCAAGGCTGCTGCCATTGCCCCTGGTCCCGTCAACCCTGCAGAGTTGCACACTTCCAGCAAAGCCATCGACATCGATCCCCAAAGCGCCAGCCCAACGCTCAGTGACGGTCAGGTTCTTCAGGGCGATGTAGTCATCGCCGCAGATGGTGTACATTCTATTGCCAGATCGAAAAAATCCGGTGCCGGCGCTGTCACACCCTATGCCTCGGGTAGGAATGCATTCTGGTTTCTGATGTCTCGTCAAGCCGCGCTGAATGATCCCGAAGTTCGCGAACTCGCACAAGATCGACGCGTGGTCGACATGCGGGAATCGCCCGATCGCCGACTGGCCATCTATCCCTGCCAGAACAACGAGATTCTCAACTTCGTTTGCATTCATCCTGATACGATGACCGCCATCGAGACAGGGACAGGCTAGGACCAGCGGGTGGGCGAGAGCGCATTGATCGAAGTGTACAAGGATTTCGATCCCCTGATGGTCAAGCTTCTGGGCAGGGCTGACGCCGAGACACTCAGAATCAGGCCGTTGCTGGACAAAGGATACCCTGCCGTCATGGGTCGAAGGTCCCATGGCCCTGCTGGGAGATGCTGCTCACCTTTCCTTGCCCTATCGCGGCTCGGGTGGAGCGATGGCCAATAAAGACGGTGTCTCACTAGGAGTCATGCTCTCCAAGGGTGTTCAACCACACGAGCTACCAGAGCGTCTCAAGCTCTACGAGAAGGCGCGTTATGAGCGAGCCACCACTATTCAGCAAATGACTCGGGATTCATCAGCAGAATGTAAGCCACTCTTCCACCACAGCATTCGTTGGCGTTATGTCGTCTAACTTGGTATAGCACAAGCAATGGTGAACTACATTTACGGCCATGATGAGTTCGATCACTCCACGCAGATCTTGCGCAAACACATTTGGGCCCAAAATCCCCGCATGTACTGGCGCCAGCCAATCGTCTTTGGTCCCATGCCTGGTCCAAGGCAGAATTTCGAGGGTCAAGACCGTGCTGTCGATCCGCTTCAAGACCAGCCGGACACTGCTGCAAAATACGTTGCCGAATGACTCCTACAGCTTTGCCTGTCCTGGAACGATTGCCTACGCAAGTTTCTCGCAAACAACCCTCATTGGGATGGACTGGCTGGGCGGTGGTGGTTACCACCATCTGGGACTTTATATCGAAGGGGTGCAATACAAGAAAGCAAACGGCGAAGTCGTCAAAGGCACCTACGTCCTATCCTCTTTGAGAGCCTAGCGGACCCTATCGTCAGCGGTCGGGAAGAACTAGGCATGCCGAAGCTCTACTCAGCCGTCGGTGCACATGAGCGTCGAGATGCCTATCATCTCTAAGCGAGTTGGCAAGGTGCAGTCTGGGGTCACTACCATCTGGAGAATCTGGAGGACGTCGACCCAGAAAATGATCCCGGGGTGATCGGCGGAGAACCCAGCGAAGGCATTCTCGTTCCTCGATACATTCCCAAAGTCGGCCGCGATTTCAAAGGAGAGGCGGAGGCAGAATATCCAGTCTTCGTACCCCATGCAGCCGAGCCTTAAGGCAGTGCCATCTAAGGTAACTTGTGTGCGCAAACCCACCAAAGTTTCTTTCAGAATTGACGGGCTTGGCTGGGAGTCGCTGCGGACACTACAGCATGTCATCGCTCGTCTTGCAGAAATTCCAGTCGATGGAATTGTAGGCGCAAAGGTGGTGGAGGGGGAGGGAGTGTCAGACGTGTCATCTGCCATGCGTCGAGAGTGACATATCGACGAGGTATGGAATGTTATTATATTTTGAAGGCACACATTGCTTTCCTCTGAGCGGTTAGATGACACCTTAGATGGTTCGGAGTCTGCTGATGACAGTTAGCTCCAATCGGATACTGTACCAACTACCAAGTGCATGCTAAGTGGCCAGGGCCTCGTACTTTTCAAGCTTGGCTGCTGAAACTGAAAGCCTGAATCTTTGGCCGGTGGACCTGGTGCAAACGATCCGTCATGAGGCCGTCGAGCAGCTAAATTTTAGTACCAGCGATTTGTCCCGCTCTTGCGTTCGGCCGCAGGAACAGGCGGCGCTTGCTCTATGACAGGGATATCTAGGCAACTGGCATCGGCGGCGACCAGCCTCTTGAGCCGTTGAACGAGGTAGGCTAGAGAGTGCCCTCAGGAAGCTCAATTTCCCACTCGCAAAGTTTGAGATTTATGAACGGAGAAATGCCATGAGAAGGACGTCTTAGACCCTGGGACAACGATAATCAATAATAGAGACATGATACCACGCAGCGCGCGACCGATGATGTCAGATTCGATCATCCTCGTGGCATCAGACCGGATTGAAATCCAGGTATATTGGCGATCTGCTGGACCGCTGTGTCCAGAAGCGTGACCATCTGAGGCGTTACAGATCCTGTCTGTGATATGGATGGAGTATGGACACAGTCTGCGCAGGGTTGATCTTTTCGGGAGCTCTCAGAGTCAGGACCTGAGACTGTGGATATTAATAGCAATAATACCTACCACCATTCCCCTCCTCTGGAAGTGTCAGAAGTACTGAACTACCCAGCGATGAACTAGTCGGTTCCGGTAGCTCGCTCTCTCTAGACCCTGACTGGCTGCTACCATGGCTTGAAAAGAAGTGGGAAAGCTGTGAAGGCCAAATCATCGTTAATCAGAGTGCTGATGTGATTATGAATCAAAACGAAACTGACAGCGACCCAGAGAGTAAGCGAGGTGGATGGAAGAGACGGGATAGAAGAAGAATGCGATGGCTGCCTTTTTCCACGAGAAGATGCCTAATCGGGCGGGCTGCCGGGAGTCGTTTCTGACATTGCTCCGCCATCAGCTGCACAGCACCGATAGTGGTCTGTCTATCTGTCTATCTACATTCCACTCTCTCTCTCTCTCTCTCCTCCTCCTCCTCCTCCTCCTCCTACTCAACTCCCATCTTTGTCACCTCCTCTTATTTACTTACTGACTGACTGTCACTCTCACTCTCGCTCTCGTTCCAGTATCTTCTCTGCTCTTCCTTTTTACTTTTCTTCGCCCCCCTTCTCCCGTCCTTCCATCCTACCGTCCTCCTTGCTGCCCCTCTCAGCCGCCTCCGTCCTTACTTTGTATAAACGACTTTTAAATAAGACCTCTTTCGAACATCTTTCTCCCATTTCAAGGGTCTCTGATCTCGGTCTGTACAGTACACACTCTATTATAGAGAACCTCGTCTAGACAGTCCTTGGCAATACCCCCGGACCATCCCACGATCTCCGAGCTAGAGAGTTTCCCCGCACCGGGTCCCTTGGAGCATAATGTGAGTGAAAACGGTCTCTGCATGATGGCGACTGGGTACTTGGTCTGGCTGACAGCGATGTTTCTTTCTCAACTAGGCGCATCACTGTTAGCGTTATTCGACCGGACCAGGCCGACTCTGACATCATCTCCCTCGAGGTCGGTGGGGACATGAGCGTTGAGCTGCTGAAAGCCATCGTCGAGAGCGAAACATCCATTCCTGCCAATACACAGCGACTCGTCTACAATAATCAGCTACTGGGAAATGACTCACAGACGTTGGAGCAGATCGGGATTGGGGAAGGGGACATGCTAGGTGTTCACGTTACCTTGCGGAGCCCACAGGCGCCCGCTCGCAGTGTAGGGCCCCCCAGCACGGCAGCCCAACAAAATCTTCAGCGTCGGCAGGCGGCGGCCCCCGATCCGGAAACTATTCGACTCCATATCCTGGGTGATCCGCGAGTGCGCGAGGCAGTGCGACGGCAAAACCCTGAGCTGGCGCAAGCTGCAGACGACGCCCACCGATTCCGTGAGGTCCTGATGGCACAACAGCGGCGGGAGGCTCAGCTCGAGGCGGAGAAGGAGGCGCGGATCGCCATGTTGAACTCAGATCCCTTCAACCCGGAGAATCAAAGGGAGATTGAGGAGATCATTCGACAGAATGCGGTGACCGAGAACCTGCACACTGCCATGGAGCATCATCCTGAATGTAGGTCGGCACCGATACCTTCGGACAAGCCATGGAGATAGCAGCTGACGATAGCGTAGCATTCGGTCGCGTGACGATGTTGTATATTCCTGTCGAAGTCAACGGTCACAAAGTCAATGCGTTTGTCGATTCCGGGGCACAGGTCACCATTATGTCTCCCGAGTGTGCGACCGCCTGTAATATCATGCGCTTGGTGGACCAACGGTACGGCGGTATTGCAAAAGGTGTTGGAACGGCCACCATCCTGGGTCGGGTACACTCGGCGCAGATCAAGATCGGTAGCATGTTCCTGCCATGCTCCTTCACGGTCATGGAAGGGAAGCACATTGACTTACTCCTCGGCCTGGATATGCTGAGGCGACACCAAGCGTGCATCGACCTCAAGAACGGCGCTCTGGTGATCCAAGACCAAGCGGTGCCATTCCTGGGAGAAGCCGACATCCCCAGGCAGCTGCAGGATGAATTCGAGGATGAGCCCATCATCAAGGGTGCTGATGGTGCCGAAGTCGGCGCTCGAACCGGTGCGATCACGCATCAGGCCAGCGGCTCCAGCACATCAGCTGCTGCTCCGTCGTCTTCGACGCCGAGAATGAACATTCGTCCCGCGGCATCATCACGATGGCCGCAGGACTCGATCGCAAAAATCACAGAGCTCGGGTTTACTCGGGAGGAGGCGATCCGGGCATTGGATGCAGCCAACGGGGACCTTGATGGGGCCATTGGTTTCTTGATCTGAACCATGTGATATGACGATATCACCACTGTTTATCAGGTTATCGGGGGGGAGGTGCTCCCCAAATGCCGCTGACGGCTGATCAGTCTAGGCCGGGGGGGCAGTTGTTGACCTGGAGTAACGTTCTGTAACAATGAGATACCATAATTCGTTCATGCCGGGATCATCCGAAATGTGACGCCTACCCTCCTCCCCCTGCGATTGCGAGATTTTAGGCCAGCCTGCCCTTCTATTATCCAGGATCTGTCCTGCGGCCTGGGCGAGAAATCCTGCGCGTATGCTTGAGAATAAATGAACCATGATCTAGAACTCCTTACTTGCCGGTTACACACGGCTCTCGTAGAGTTCGAGGCTAGCATGCCTCGACCATAGATGATGGTGTGATATAAGAAGCTGAAGCTGGCTCCTCGCATGCAGATTATTCGGGATACAGGGGGTTTCCCTCCTTCTCAGGTAGTGTCCACGCTCGGGGCTTCGCAATGGTCAGATGTCCCGCGATCAATAAATTTATATATCTGTATCTATATATATCTATATACTACGCAGTATATATTCCAGGATGTCCATCAATTGATAACAGGACGGGAAATTGGAGCCGAAATTACCTAGTATTTCACATAATTTTCATAGCGGTAGTATACATAAATATACAGCGCGCTTCCAATATACACCAAGTCAACGATGAATTTACGATCCCACCAACTCTGTACATATCATATACCATCGCCAACCCACCTCCTTACTCCTCCTTACTCTTACGAAGCAGCACGCGCCGCAATCTCAACACCATATCCAGCGCCATGAACGCCCCTACACCACAACCACCCTCATCAGCACAGCTCGTCAACAGGTATCAGGACAAACATATACTCACCCAGCGCAACATACGGCCCATACAACATGGTAATATCCTTCTTCTGGGCGACGGACCGGTCGACCCAGCTCCACACATCAACCAGACACGCCAGCGAGGTGACGAACGCCTGGACACCGAAGACGAGGAGATGCACGGGGACCAGTGGATCATCTGAACGCATCGGTCAGTAGAAAGCACAATTCCCACAGCACGGGTAGGATTAGACGGAACCCATCACCACCTCCACCGTACCTCGTAGCAGCCCGCCTACGGCCCAGATGCTCAGCGGGACATGGTAGAAGAGCTCCATGGCGATGAACGCGGTGAACCAGGCGGGCGGGTCGGAGAAGAACTTGTCCTGGTAGGAGTTGATGTAGAACTGGCGGATTTGGTGCATGAAGTCGATTTGCAGGAATGAGGGGAGTAAGGGGACCGTGTCGACAACTTTTGAGAAGGAAGGGGGAACGGTTAGCTAGATGCTACAGAGTATAGTAGAGATGAGGACACTGGGCTTACGGAAGATGGTTGGGATGTGGATGATGAAGAAGATGAGATAGACCAGGTCGCGTTTGCGGGTTAGGACTGACGAGGGGGTCTTGGAGAGGGCCATGGCGAGCGTCTGTGGATTGTGAATCTTTTGGAAGCTATTCTGTGGACTGCAACTGGATGTGCTCTACTGTAGGTTCTACTGAGTATGTATAGTCCTGTCGTCGCGAAGGTGAAACTGCAAGCAAAGTCACGAAACGCGCGGTCATGTGACTTGCGAGAACGATGGAATAGTAATCAATCACGAAACCCACCCGAGAGTCCCAAAGCAGTGGAGATGATAGGACTACCGACAAACACTACTGGCTTCATGAAAGAGTTAATCGAAAAGGTACGGCACGGGTAGCAGGATGTTTGCTTTTTCGACTGCACGCGTGTTGGACTCGGAGTCTCCTAAAGATAGCTTAACTCTTAAGCTTAGCTGCGTGGATTCTCGCTCGGGTAAGTTAAGTTTAGTGGGTTCGACCGATGGGAAGTGTCAAATGCTGCTGAGGATCGCTGTCGTCTGTCTTGTTCTTTTTTATTTTATTTTTTGCTTTTTCTGCCATTGTTCATGTCTATATCAACTACATGTCATCTGCTTTCTCGTCGTGCTCTGCTCTTTAAATGATGACTCCAGGAGGACTGATGCTGTGAAATATCAGGCTGTTCGGTGATCAACTGGATGATCCTCACATCCTGGCTGCCTGAGTCAGGTAAAATCGAAAAGGAAAAGAGAGAGATCCTCTTCACCGCAACTCCAAGTCTTGGATATTTGTCATCGGAGGTCAAATTCCATCCCAAGAGAGCAACAGGAGTGCTGGAATGACGGCAAAGGGTGACGGTCCTGTCTTGTCTTCCCGCCGGCCGTTCCCTCACTAATCATGCAATCGATGGTCTCCTCGCTCTCCTGCACTTGGATTGAAAGATCCCTATCGCTCTCATGATTCTTCCCATTCCAGGACCAAAAAAGAGGGAAAAAAAAGAAAAAAGAAAACGGGATTGTCGAGCTACTGCGTATGCAAATGCAATAGCAATACTAATGTTTATGCATGGTGGGGTCGGGTCGACGCTGCAATGGATGCAATCGAGGCAATTTCCCTCGACAAGCATAGTCCAAGGTTTGCATTATCTTATGATATGGACTGGTTGATCCCTGTTCGGACGCTCATCGGGCATTGGATGCACAGGGAGCATTTCCCCCCTCTAGCGTCAGTTTGCATCCTTCTACTGTTAATTTATCGCAGACACTAGCCACTTGGCTAATTTAGCCTGGGTCTCCAGAGAATGGTCTGGGACTCCTGAGTCTTGACTCTGGAGAGCTGCGACTGCGAGTGGTGACTCGCGAAAACTTGAGACGGCGTTCCCCCCGGACGATTGGGACGGAAGTCTGGCCGTCAGGGATTATTATTACGACTAACGAAGTACGAACAAGTCTCCTCGCCTCCTGCTCCTAGATTTGTGAGCACCGGAGACAACATGGAATCCATATTCCTTCCCCGGCCCGGTTGACGGCAGGATTTCCATCTATTGACCGCATTTGGCCCATCAACCAACAACTTTTGTTCTGAACTTCTGATCCCGGGAGATCAGGAAAAAAAACAAAAGGAACTGTTTCGTAAGAGGAAACCGTCCTTCCAAGGCTGGCTCGTCCTCACACCATGTGCAACATGGACAAAAGCCAAAAAGCCCCTCATTGATCTCATCAAATATGTCTTACGCCGACGTAGACTAATCATATCGGCGGACTACTGTACAGTGTATACACTACCGAGCGCACCGTCCATAGTCCCTAAAGCTCATGAAATGCAGGTATGGTGCAGAAGTACGCCTCGTTGCCAAAATTTCCCAGTCTCCTTTGCAATGCTTGGTCTCGATGGCTTTCGAACAACGGAAACACGACATACAATCTGCACTTGTCCTCCATGCGGATGTTTATCATCGCCCTAGATAGTAGTCTAGTCTGTCTATCTGCCTGTCTGCCAGCAGTTCCATGATCACCCTATTTTGGAATCCTGCTCGGGCGAAAACCTTGCCTCATAGTCATGCCTGTGATAGTGCGGCTTTCAGTCTTTCGGATTAAGGGTAGGTTGGGAACTGAGTTTATGGCGTTCTTTGAGATACTAGCCTGGTACTCCGTCCCAGCCTGCTACTTCGCTAGACTAGTCCTCCTGTCCAGTTCTACTGTGGGGAACCCTGATAAACGATGGGTGTTGAACCGCATACCCGAAATGAAACCGAGGGTCGCCAGAGTCTTGGCTTGGGAACAAGCGTATCGGCTTTGCGAGAAACCCACTGGTCGCTGTCACTTGCGAAACTGCAAGTCTGCGACCACTTGAGTCATAAAGCATAAAAATTCCGAGGCCTTAGCAGCCCACACTCCACAGACGAGCGAGGTATTCTTCGAATATCCTGTTTACGGGTTCCGCGATGGGGCCTGAAGGCTGGCCGAACCCAAAAACTCTATGACCACCCATGATGGGTCTCATGAATTCGATCTTAGGAATACGGAGGTATCAGGAAACGAACGATTGTCAGGGAAGATGCACATTGATGCAAATGCAAGACTGGGAATGCGATCCTGGTTCTTAGGGTCTAAGTCTAACCAACTAAGTGCTGATAGATTTCGGCAAAGGAAAGGCCCAACATGAGAGTCAGCCCAATTTTTTTTTTTTTAAAAAAAAAGAAAAAAAGAAAAAAAAAAAGGTCCGCCCAGCCAAATCACAGGTTTGCGTTCAGTTCAACCGGAACGACACACAATGTGCATGGATATTTATCCAGAGTGTTGGTGTGTCTGGTCTCAATCCAGCACGACATAGGAGAGGAAAAGAGGCCAGATACAGCTATCTGGACACTCGAATGCATCTTGCCCTTATCAGCAGCATGCACTCCGTACGGGCGTCTGCAAGATAGCACAGCTTTCCTGGGCACCCAAGCTGCAACTGCTATCTAGTCTGCTTTTCTCGTCCTCATCATTTAACTTTCGAGGTCCTTTTGACATTTGAGATCCAGCCACCAGCTCGGTTGGTTTGCCGGTTTGACTGGACGGAGTTGGCTGGACCTCTCCGACTCGACCATCCTCCTTCAAGGGGGACCCGTATTCTTCCTCAAGGTACTTAGGTACTTACTTGACCTACAGGCTACAGCGACATTGCACCTGCTTACCTGCTTGCTGTAAGTACTACTACGGAGTAGGTGACTACTACTAGGTGCGTCTGTAGAAGCCGCAGAACAGGTTGCAGATGCAAACAGGGATCCACTCTCCTAGTTCTTGTCTTCATCGCATGTAATAGTGTATGCTGTTGCTTATCATTGTGCATGTTATTGAAGCGGTGAAACGGCAATTGAGACGAATGAGAAGCGTTAACAACCGCCTGTGTGTTGCCAGAGCCAATTCCCCGGAATACGCCGGGAACAGGGAACAGTGCCTAGAGCGTTAGACTCAGGGGGAGCGGGGGGGCTGCTCCGGTTAGGAAGAATTAGGGACCATTAGGGATCGTTTAGAGGATAGTTTAGAGACCCGGTTAGGGAGTAGGGCGTACACAGTAGTTGCTCTCTACTCTCTAGTCTCTACGTAGTACTCCGTAGAAGAAAACCAACCTAAGTCTCTCCCCCCCCCTGGTCATTCTATTCCCTCACCAATCGCCAATCATGAACCCCGATGGCCACATCTGCTCGAGATAGGAAGCAGCTATGGGACATCAACACTAAACTAAACCACTTTCCTTCCTGTGGTTTAGTTCTGAAGAGGATTCCTGGACTCCGTCTCCTGTTTCGGGAAAATCCCTGACCGCTTTTCTTTTTCTTCTTTTCTTCTTTTTGGGCTTCTTTCTGGCTTCCATTATTGTCTGACTGGCTCCAAGCCCATCGACTAAGAAGTCAATTCTGCCCCTTTTCTGAGATACTCATTAACCATCTCGGGAGTAGTGACCCAAGAGAACCGAGAAGAGAGTCTGTCCAGTCTCTTTCGCCCCCCCCCCCACCACCCTGGTCGCCATGAGTTCTGCGAGTCTATCAAATCTCTGCGAGACGACGGAGTACGGAGTCGACTAAGACTATCTATCTACCTCAATCCTCATTCTCAGTCGTCATCGTCATTTCAATGATTCATGAAGCCCCCAGCCGGAGATGAAAAAGGATTGAGACTCTAACTTAGTGACAGGTTTTCTTACCGACGATGCCGTTGAGACGCAAAGATCGTTGGCAACATTGCGACCGATATCATCCACTTGCTGTGTGCTGCTGCATGGGTTCGCAAGATAGCTAGCTAGCCAGCTTCTTGAATCTTTTGATACCCTAGTTAGAGCCCTAGACCCATGCTCGCGCAGTCTGATGAATGATCGATTCTGTATATCTGTTTTCTGATCTGATCTGTGGTGTTTGATTCAATCAATTACTCAGTCAGTCAATCAACATGGGCTCTCGTGAGATGACGACCGGGTGGAGGCTGACGCTGGCCTTCTGATTCGGCCCTTTTTCTCGATTTATTTATATGGACATACATGGATATTTAATTTTATATTATATTTCGCTGATGTTATTTTGTTTCTGTTTATTTCTTTTATTTTATTTTGATTTTTGATTTTATTTTTTCATTCCATCTACGCATATCTTTGATCTTATTCTCGTTATATTACGCCGGTCGACTGCCAGATGAGCACCAGATATTTAGCTCTTCGCCCTCCCTCCGTCTGCTTTTTTCCTCCTCCCTCCTCATCTTTATATTCTCGGTATCTTTGTCGCATCGTCGAGCATAGACTCGACCAGCTTGTTTTGGTCTGCTCTGCTGGAGAAACCGTGGACCTTTTTGTTGCCATCGCGACTCTAATTCCATGAGAACAGCCAGATCACCTTGCCTCTCCTACACCACTTGATTGTGTGCCCTCTCTTTCCCCTAGTGTCACTTCCTTCGATCTCCAACGATATCACCATCACCATCTCCATCACACCATGCCTGCCTCTGCCCCCGTATCACCACCCAGCAAGCCCCAAGCGGTCCACCCGCACGAACAGGAAATCCCCATAAGCTACGATATCAATATCCCCTATGTCGATGTCACCAAGGAATCCACCTCTCACACCAGATACCCCGACTACCTGCCCACCTGGGACAAGGTCTGGTTCGATCCGCTGCGTCCCTTCAAATATGAGGATCCTGCGCTGCGCGTCAAGGACAAGAGCAAGCGCAACTTGCTCACCCCCGGGGTGAAAGTGACCGAGATCCAGCCCCAGATCGGGAGCATCGTCGAAGGCGTGCAGCTGAGCCAGCTCTCCAACGCCGCTAAGGACGAGCTCGCGCTGCTTGTCTCCGAGCGCAAGGTCGTGGCCTTTCCGGCACAGGATCTCATTGATGCGGGCCCGGAGCATCTCGAGCGGTTTATGAGCCATTTCGGGAAACCCAACTACCAACCCGTCTCCGGTACGGTGCGCAACCACCCGGGATTCCATATTATCCACCGCGACGGCAACAAGCAGGAGATCGCGCGCTTCCTCGAGCAGCGCACTACCACCACGCTCTGGCATCAGGACGTGAGCTACGAGATCCAGCCGCCGGGATACGTCATGCTTGGTCTGCTCGAGGGGCCCGAGGTCGGCGGTGACACCGTTTTCGCAGCCACCGACATGGCCTACAAGTGAGTCTTCTTCTTCTTGGTAGCCTTTTCCATTGCCAGTTGAGATCTGACTCCCGGAGTAGACGTCTCTCCCCCACATTCACCTCCTTCCTCGACGGCCTGCGCGCCGTCCACTCCTCCGCAAAGATGATCAACCATACGCGCCTCATGGGCGGCCTCGTCCGCAAGGATCCCGTCGACACCGTCCACCCGCTCGTCCGCGTCCACCCCGTCACCGGCGAGAAATGCCTCTTCATCAACGGCGAGTTCATCACGCGCATCCAGGGCCTCAAGGAGCCCGAGCAGCGCTACCTCACGGACTTCCTCATGCAGCACATCGTGACCGGCCATGACTTCCAGGCCCGCGTCCGCTGGCAACCTAAGACCATCGTGATTTTCGACAACCGGTGCACAATCCGTACGTTTCATGTCCCTGCTCTCTCCCCGTCCCACTTCCCTCCCCCCCCCCAAATACTAACTGTCAAACACCAGACTCCGCGATAGTCGACTACCTGGACGACGACTTCGGCGCCAAACTGCGCCACATCTTCCGCCTCTGCGCGCTCGGCGAGAAACCCATCCCCGTCTACGACCAGTTTGAGTAAAACCCGGTCTTTCCACTCCCACACACGCATCCATCATGATCTACGGGCATCAGCATCGGAAAACTAAAAAAAGGTTGTGCATCTACGCTTAATTTTCCTCTCCATCCTCACCATCACCTCATCTCCGGCCGGAGCTGCGCTTCGCCGACCTACTACCTACTACTACCCTCTTATCCTCTGGGCATATCCAAGCCCCCCACCCCAAAATTCTCCGTCCTCGTTCTTCATTTTGAGTTCCGTTGATACCTCGTTGATGTTCGTTTATAGATTGTTTTGATTTCTGTTTCTGTTTCTTTTTTTTTTTTCTCTTTTCTGGCTGGGTGCTGGGTGCTGGGTGCCGGGGTTGAGTTTAGACGGGGGTGTTTGACCTTGCTCCTTTTTTCCTCCTTTACCCTCTTGCTTAATCTCCTATGATTTGTTCAACTCAACCTGGCTGTTTGTGATTTAGATAGACCTGATTTTTGATTTTTTTTTTGTTCCTCGGGGAGTTCCTGTTTCCTTTCTTTCGTTGATGAAATGTTTCTTAGCGGTCCTTCTTTGCTGGTTTGCATGGCACCTACGCACCCATGTCGATGTTGATGGTGATGTTTGGAGGCAGGGCAGATAGAAGATCACTTATAATGAATAAACCATGATGACTTAAAAACTTATCTGTTCTTCTTTTTTCGCTTGGATGAACTCTATCTGTATTTTGTCTTATTTGCTGTCTGGATCGAAAGGCTGCGATGGTATCGAATCGACCAGACTCAGAGACTCAAGAGACTCTCTCAAGTCATGAGATGAGATTTAAGGGAAAATGGCGCAAATACTATATGACCAGCCCATTTGGAACCAAAAAAAAAGAAAAAAAAAAAAAGACAATGGAGTTAAAGATTGAAGGACAAGACAACGCCAGATGCAGGGAGTGCTGACAGGAGATCATCAAACGCAAGCAACGAACAAAACGAGTCCAGACAAAGACCGGCTCTAGACTCAGTTGATAACCCATGATCCGTTAAACCTCATTACTGCAGGACCTCTGCGATCCGCGTGCGCAGCTCCTGCGCCGCTTGCACCTGTTCGGCCGGGATACCGCCCTGCTGCAGCAGGAGAAGCGTCTCCGAGATACGCTCGGCGACCGCATCGCTTCCGAACACGATGCCTCCCAGCCGGACCGTCTCGTGGTACCAGACTCCGATCAGGTAGAGCAGGTCCCGGGCGATGTATTTGCGGTTCGATCCGTGGAACGGCGCCTCATCGGTGTAGTACATCGCTTCGAGAACCGCGTAGAGGGTCTCGTGCGCGACTCCGAGATCCAGGAACAGATCGATGATCCAGGTCGGGGGTCCGACATCACGCTGATTCTCCAGTGCATACCGTTCGATCATCGGCAGGAGTTCTTTGACCGGGAAGACAATCTCAGACATCCGCAGACGGCTGCCCAGGCTGCGCACTTTCTCGATCACGACTTCATATGGCTGCGCCTCCCCTCTCTCGAGAGCTTCGTCATGAAGTGTCTGAAGTAAGTGCTGCCATGTGCCCTTGATATCAGCTGGGTTGCGGTGGTCTGCGAGGTAGTAGATTTGTAGGCAGATATCGTAGTAGCTCCCTGGGTCGGCGTATTGGTTGAAAAGCTGTGAAAAGTTAGTACCCTGTCATCGACAGCATGGAGTGGGCATTGCGCAACATACGGTGCTGATGTCCATGATGGGACCATCCACATCCTTCAAGACCACCGTCCGGCGCTCGGGCGCAATCCGAGTGTCATCCTTCAAACGCTGCAGGAGGTCATCCTGGATGTTTGCAACATCAATCAGAGTTGAGATCTCCTGCAAGAGGCGCTGCCGTGACTGCCGACCCACATCCGGCGTGTAGATCGAGGCGTTTGCCCTAGCGCGGCCCAGATACTCAATTCGGCGGCCAAGCGGCAGAGCAAAGGCACTCTGCGCAAGGTGATACTGTACAGTGGCCGCCTCGTAGAATCTCTCCGACTGGGCGTAATATCTCCAGAGAAGGTCCGCATGCGAAAGATCATCAGTTGACTTGCGTTCCAAATAAGTCACCACGAACGGAGAGTTGTTCTGCAGCAACCGATCACTCCAGCCCTGTTCCAGGTACCAGTCGTACAGGCTCGTCAAGAACACCTCATCCGATGAATCTGAAATGACGCTGTAGGCCTCCTTCTTGCGCTTGGCCACGATTGTGAGCTGTCCATCAACCACACCCGGGTCCTGCGCGGCAAGATTGTCGACAGCAATGATGACCTTGGAGATAAGATCGTAACATTGCTTCCTGAAGTAGAAGTAATCGCGTCGGGAATCCTGGGTTCATGCCCGTTAGCTTTTCAAGGGGAGACAATTAGCCACTAAAGGGATCTTACATCTTCAGGGCGCCCGTCCACAATCCACGAAAGCGCCATGTTGGCTTTGTCGGAACGAGCTGCGACATTCAAAGCAAGTTGGATTGCACCTGCGAGATTGTTAGCGTTTGCTTCTTCCACGAGTCAATCCGTAGCTTACCAGCAAAGAACTGATTCGAAATGTAGTTTTCGACCGCGGAGATCAAGTAGTCCATAGGCAGGCTATCCGACACCTGCTGGAACAGATGCAGACTCTCGTTAAGCAAGTTGCGGCCAAGTTCTGAGTTTGCACCGGCTTCGGTGGCTCTCTTCAGAAGCTCTTGCGCCTTGAAGATGACCACATCCTCCGCACTGCAGAAGCTACCGCATCGCCGTCTGAGAGCATCAGCTACTGTCTCAACATTGGAGCCCTTGGCAATATTCCGGTTCACGATTCCCTTGACCAACTCCTTAGCAATGTCATGGCCCTTGCTGGTGCTGAAGAGCTCTTCAAAAGTCAGCTTGAGGAAACGCTGCTTCGACTCATCCGGCAAAGTGGCCACGATTTCATCGACACGCTCATCGAAAAGCACCAAGACAAAGGAGATGCCTTCAATGGTGTGGGATACCAATTGTACAAGAGAGTGAAGTGCTCTGTGTTCTGCTTGCAATGCGGTCTCTTCTTGTTTGGTCGATACACGAGTCAGGGCTTCAGGGCCGCTCAATCCTTCGATAAAACTCTTGTTGGCCTTGAAGAAATCGTGCAAAGCAGACAGGTCTTTCTGTACGCTCTGCAGCTTGGCTGTCGACACAGATGGAGAAATTGTCTGAGCGCCATTCGGCGAGGCACCGACTTTGGCAATCTCCTTTTTCCAGATCGATCGCAATAGTCTTGAGATGTAAAGAGCAATGCCGGTATGTCGGGGTGATAGGACAACCGCATCAATTGCGGGTGTGGAGCTGTCAGCAACCGCGTTCTCGTTCATCGTGGGTCGGCCTCCATATTCGATGAAAACCTTCCGAGCGAACTCGAGAACATCAGGATCATTGATTTGAGTGAGTCGAGAGTCTGATGAGATTTCCACTCCCTGGCCACATGCAACAGCGAGCGCTGTCGCAAGAGTCTCGCTTCGACCGTAAGTCCGGATGAAATTCTTGACTTCGCCTTCAAGTCCTTCATCGCTACCACTTCCACCACTACGAACCAACGCCGCAAAGATATCAACAAGTCGTCGCCGGCGGATGACGTGGATACCGGTGTTGGTCAAGATTGCAACCTCGGCTGCCGGACTGTCAAATTGAACAGCAAGTTCGTTGCCAAAACCCCCAGGAGTGAGGGCAGCAGGGCTTGGTTGCGAGCAAAGACCGACGTCCTCGGCTCTGCTACCCAGAGAGAGCCAAATGCCCGTCTCAGCAGCCTTTCCAGGGATGACGTTCTCCTGGGAGCGAGCAACTCGCCCCGAATCGGGAGAAGAGATGAAAAGAGTGTCGGTCTTCTGCGTAGGATCCTTGCACGTGAAGCAGAAGAAGTATCCTGGTGGATATCGGACACTGAATCTGGTGGGGCTGAGGGAGTGGATTGGAACTCTGGAAGCTCCAGAGGTTTGGAATCGTGGTTGGCCTAATTCCATTGGTGTCGAAGGAGCGTTATCAAATGGCGGTGTCTTCACATGGTGCGCCTGCATGCTTGTCGGCGCGTTCGTGCCATTAGGAGCTGGGGACCAGCTATAAGACGCTGTGGCACTGAGATAGATGCGGTAACCGGTCGCGGTAGTAGCCATGAGATGATATCTCGACGCCTCGGCGGCTGGGATGGGGCTGATCGAGACAATTCTGACCTTAGGATTAAGAGTTTCGTTCGAGGCAATGATATGTCCAATGTTGGCGTAAATGTCCATGGCTAGCTTAGTGATGGCCAGCGCTAGAGTGCCGTCGGGCTTCATGTGGAAGACTCTGATGGTCGAGGACGATGATAGCGTGTACAGCAGTCTTCGAGTGTCATCGATCTCCATCTGTTCCACATTCTCGGTCGTCTTTTGTGTGAAGCTCAGGGTCGGTGTGAACGCAGAGATACGCGAGCTGGTATGGTTGACCTTGGCGCACCTGCCCTGGAACCACCGCTCCTCCTGTTGGTACGTGAGTTCGTAGACATCGTTGTCGGAAGATCCACCAAAGAAGATACGGCCAGTCGCATCCGACGAGGCAATGACGTGGATGTCCAGGCCACGGATCGAGGTCGACATGCCGGTCTGATATAGCGATACTTGTCGCGCTCCTCCAGCTAGTGTTTCGCATCCCATTCCAAGCAAGATCACATCGGCCGTGGTTGAAATGACGAGTAGGTGGGTGATCGATGGCAAGAACACTCCTGCGCGAGGCTTCGCCAGCTTGACCGCATTTATACTGTTGGGTTGTTCTTCAAAACCGACCAACTGAGGGTTGGGGTGCGTGTAATCCCAGATGTACAGGGCGTTGTCGATAGCAACCCAGGCATGATTCAACTCGGCGAAGAGACCCATGCTCGTGGAGACCTGTGCTCGGTTGTACTGATCAAAGATCTGATCGGGAATATTATACATCTTTACCTTCTGGAAGGGAGCCCATGCGGACGCGGTGGGAATGTCATAGTCGGAAGAGAACCCTTCTGCAAAAGGATTGTCAGCTCGGCGAAGGGTGGCGCAGACATCGTCATCAGTGACTTACGAGACAGGTAGCTATCCAGATCAGGATAACGCGACTCCTGAACGAGAGTATCATCGACCGTGCTTGCCGCGCGCTCCTCAATGCTCAGCGTCTGACTTTGAGACTTCGACGCCGCCGGGGGGAGCTTCGGTAGAGAAGCTGGCGAAGCTCGCTCCGCCGGGGCAGGAGCTGGCTTGGACGAGATCAGCGACGCGTTCGATACATGATTGGGCGCAGGAGTCTGGAAATAGGCTCCAGGAAGCGGTTTTTGAGGCGTAAGAGTCGGGAGGTTTGGGTATGACATGGTCTGGATCTGTAGCCGTCTACGGCTTTGGGAGAAATATCGCGCTCCCCGGGCGTAGTGGTAATTCGTTCAACGTGGGCGACAAAACGATGAGGGACAACTCTAGAGGAAAGAAGAGGCGCAAAGATAAGAGAGAGTAAATGAGCGCCGCAAGAGACAAGGAATTTGTATCAATGGGTGGTGTGTTTCCCCAACCCAGGTGATTATTATATTGCAGACCCAAGTATTGGAGACAGCACAATAGCAGGTAAATTGGCAGAATGGGAACTTCACGGCAGAAGAGAAACAAAAATGTGCACGGGCCGGCGACGGTGACCTTGTTCCGCCTTTTTTGCTAAGCTCCCTCCAACAGGAATGATTTCATCCCCAGCCTTGCAGAACATTGTCTGGCTCCACTATACCTTTCTTTTTTTTTTTTTCCTATTTTACTTCTACTAGGAGCGCTGTCATCTCTTCTCTGGATATTCCTACTTTAAAATCAATTGCTCCAGTCATGATGAATAGCACAATGTTCAGATCGCTCAGACGGACTACTCGACTGAACCTGAGCCCAGTCCGATGGAACTCGACTGCCAGCCCAGCTTCGCCGCCCTTAATGGCCAAGATTAGATCTGATCTGAAGGTTGCCATGAGGGCGAAAGACACGGCCAGGCACGTTTTAAACTATACCTTCAACCTTTACACCATGAATTTCACCGATCAGCAAGTACTAATTTGATGAACTACGAGCAGGTTGAACGTCCTTCGAGCTCTGATCTCGGAGACAAACAATGCCGCAAAGACCTCATCACCCATCCAAACTGACTTGCAACTGCTGGCACTGATCCGAAAGCGTGCCAATGCGGCAAAGGAGGCGGCACAACAATTCGCGGAAGCAGACCGTCCCGATCTCAAGGAGAAGGAAGACGTGCAGGTCACGATACTCGAGGAGTATGCGGGTGAGGTGCAGACAATGAGTTTGGAAGACGTGAAGGAAATTGTGTCGCAGGAATTCTCGAAGCTCAAGGAAGCAGATAAGAAAGTTGAAGTGGGCGCGCTTCTGAAATCTCTCTTCGCTCCTGGGGGTGCCCTGGATGGCAAGCCAGCGGAGCGCAAAGAAGTTGCCAGAATGGCCAAAGAGATCGTTACCTCGGCGTGAAGGATGACGCCGTGTATTATATAGACGCGCCTGTACCATTATGTATATTAGGAAAATGCCCTTTTCCACTCTTGTCTCCTGATTCAATTTAAATATTTTAAGAGGATGCCAGTATGATACAAAGATGACCTCCAGCGCCATACGTCCGCAGAAGCCGATGACCATGATCCCATATAAGCCCTTCAACTTTACATCTCATGGAATGACAACAAATAACATGCGCCCAAACATAGCTTTGATTAGGAATAAATTATGGCAATCCCACCCATGGCGGTCATGAAAATCCCGAACCACAACCATCGATCAGGGTTAATGAGGTCGTCACTCCGTATGAACCCGCCGACACTCGCAGAACGAGCTATATCTCTGCGGACATGGCGCTTACTCTTTCCTGTCTCGAGGCTGGCTGGATTCAGTGTCGTCGTTGGTAGCATCTGAGGCGGTTTGTAGACGAGGTACATTGGATGCATTGGAGCATCGTCAAACGAGGCTAGATCTAAACGTCGGACATGATGATAGGCGTCTGTGGAGACAGTGAATAACTGGGCCAGCATTAGCAAGGGTTAGACAAACCATGCAATCGGTCACATACATTGAATGTCTCGCTCTGGTTGTATCTGGTATACATGCCGACGTCTTTTGAGCATGGATCCGACACCAGCTGACGGCCGTCAACCGCAATCGGTGTCAGTTCGATGGAGCCATCCGACTTCACTGAATAAGTGCCATGCTGCCACTGCATTATACCTTTGGGACATGAAGGTTCCGTTGCTATTATATCATCTCCAGTCAGGATACAAACTGCGGACAGACAACGGCGGTATACTGACGATTGGCAAGGGCTCGATAGTATGCTTCCTCAAAGTGGCCATCTTCAGTAAACGAATATGACATGCCAGTGAGATTTGGCTCGATGAATATATCATTGATCGGATCGTAGAATGCCTGCAAACAAAGTAGGAGATTAGAGATCGAAGGCGCTGGTTTTCGCGGCCATCAGCAAGACTTACTGGACCCGTCACGACGCTGCGTGACTTGGTTGTCCAAGTGCCAACGAGATCAGCAGCATTGCTAGCACTAATGATAGTGACGAGGAGGTTGAACAGGAAGTATTCAACAATCATCTTTCAGTGTACCCATGCGAGAGGCTGACGGTACCAGGTGTCGCGCGGTGCAGCGAGGTGAGAAGAAATAGCTGAAGGGATGCCATGTTGACAATCAACAATCTGCCCTTCATTGCAGTGAAGGAGGTAAACCACGGCTGGTATGTGCAAGAACCTGACCGCGACGATCCAGCCACGCGGATCATCCATAACAATGTGCCAAGACGCGGACGTTGGACATCGGAGGACAGTTCGGTTGGCTCCGATGGCGCATGCTGCAAGTGGGCAGTCAACATTTGACATGTCAATCATCACTATATCGCATTGATGTCGAGTATTTCTGATATTCTCATCATCTCGTAGCGATAATGATGGCTCCAGGTCTACAGACAGCCAAGAGGGACCTGCGCAAGAAGATCCGCGACGTTCTTCAAAATACCCCCACCGATTCCATCATCAATCAATGTCAGGATTATCCATTATATCCATATACAGCCACTCTTAAACTGACTGCGCCTAGCTAGAGTTGCTGCGGACAAGCTGTTCTCTCTCACCGAGTATCAAAATGCGAAGAGGATAGGAGTCTACTTGTCTATGCCCTCGGGGGAGCTATCAACTACGGCTATAGTCCAGGACGCCTTGTCTAATGGCAAAGAGGTGTTTGTGCCATATATCCATAGTGTGGAATCGGCATCTTCGGCGCAGCAGAAGACCTCCATCATGGACATGTTGGTCTTGCAGTCTATGCACGAATTCACATCTCTTGAGCCAGACAAGTGGGGTATTCCCTCGCTCACCAAGACTCAGGTTGCGAACAAGAGAAACTGCTTTGGCGAGATCGGAGTGTCGACAACGCCAGAAGAAGTCTCTACGGCAAGCCTTGAGGGGCTCGACTTGATAGTCATGCCCGGAATGGCTTTTGATCAGGGATTTCGCAGACTCGGTCATGGTAAAGGATACTATGATCATTTCTTGACAAGATACTCGAAAAAACAAGCCAAGAGTAAGACAACAACCTCGAAAATGCCTCTACTCGGTAAGGAACAGCCGCATCCAGAACCCAAAACTCCCGAGAAAAAAAAATGACCTTACTGACTGCGACTAGTTGCGCTTGCTCTCAAAGAGCAAATGCTTCCTCTGACCGAGGAGATACCCGTTGCGGATCATGACTGGCCAGTAGACATGCTCATCGTCGGTGATGGCCGCTTTCTTGTCCGCCAACCCTGATATAAACCCCCCCGGATACAGTCTTCATGCATGCAAAGAAACCGTCTATTCCATCCAGCATAAATCTGTCCTCCAGCGGTAAATCGTAAAGTGTATGATTAGGAAGAAATCGGAGGTGCCACAGCGCGATGAATAAAGACTTTTCCACCCTCGTAAGATCATTGGACAGCTTGGATCAGAGAAACGTTGTCGCCCTTGAGCAAGATTTGACCTGTTTCGTCACGCGAATTAGCACCTTCGCAACTTCGGAAAAATCACACTTGCAATTAAGATGTCTCATACCCAATGGTCTCCGCTTTTCCTCGTCAGTCTTTGTAGCCATTCTCACTTCCACGGCATCGTCGACGACTAGGTTCATGAACTCATCGAATCCCTATCGCATCCAATTAGCTCATTGACTCCCGAAAATGCAGCAGTCAACGGCCTACCCTGATCTTTCCCTCTATCCGGAACGCGAGCTGCTCATACAGCCAAATGGACACTGTGGTTCGTTGCTGGAGAAGCTTGAAAATAAAATGGATGGGCGCAAGCAGCGTCTTGCGAGCAGCTCCACCGCCTCCTCGGCCGGTCATTCTGAACACGCGACGTGGATATCCGATAAAAAAACGTGGGAGACAAGAGATCTACCGGAATTTTTCCAGTAGTACTTAGTTCTGATCGAGAGCCGTGTGTTGAGCGAGTCGGTTGTTGGTTGGTGGTTGTTTGAAGCTATGCTGGAGTGAAAGAGGTTCCTTCACCCGCGGTTTTCTTTGGCCGCCTGGATTGCGGCTCACCCAACTTTTCCTTTTGAGTTCCCTGTCACCACATCCCACTTCCCTTGCAACGCAGTGACGGCTTGCCCGATTTTCCTATCCGCCACATTTTACGACTATCGGCTCTTGAGAGCCTTGCTCCACCCGTCAACTTCGACTTGTTTAATGATTGTTCATGACCGTTACCTATAGTTGTTGAGCCTTCCCGGCCAATTCACCCCTCTTCCACTCCCGGTTCTAACACTAGAATCAAAACATCCCACTTCAGTCCACCATGGCCAGCAAGGAAGGAACTGCAAGACAGGCCTTTGGTCCTGTCCTCGCGGCAGTCGCTACGATGCAAGGGAATGTATCCCGGAGCGAGAAGACACACGCCCATGAGTTTCTAGAGAAGTTTCAGAAGTCCGTACGTTTGGTCCCATCGCTGCCAACCCCCACCTTGTTACACACCTCGCTGATAGTATCGTCATCTAGATTGAGGCTTGGACGATTACCCACGAGCTGTTACAGTCGCCCGATGTTCCTGTCGAAGCGAAACTGTTCGCAGCGACCACATTGAAAGGAAAGGTGAAGCAGGATGCTCCTAGTCACAGGCGAGGGCGACACTGACCTTGATAGATCATATTCGACTTAGATCAACTACCCGCGGAATCCATAGTCGCCTTGAGGGACTCCGTGCTCGCATTACTCGTGGCTTATGCACCGGGCCCGCGACCGATCCAAACCCAACTATGTGTGTGTTTGGCGAGTCTCGCCATTCAGATGGTTGGGTGGAAGGACGTTCTTGCTACTGTCGGATCAGCTCTGGGAAGTAGCGCCGGCGACTGCGTCTTGGAGTTTCTCAAGATCTTACCCGAGGAGGTGACAGAAGGTCGCAAAATAAATCTGAGTGTACGTTCGACAGCTAGTGTTCCACTACTCATCAACCAGTCTTGACGCGGTCGGCGCGACTTACGACCAATGAATCAGAATCTAATATTTTCGCTTTACTCTAGGAAGAGGATCTTTTGACACGGACAAAGGAGCTACTGGAAGACAACGCCGAGCAGGTGATGCACCTTCTGATTCAATATGCTCAGTCATCTCGTATGTCCTCATCTGCGGTTCTGTGAATGCGGTATACTGACCGATGCCTGTCACTTGGCCTCTCTAGCGGACGCATCAACCAATCCCCGACTTTTGGACTGTATAACCTCGTGGATGCGCGAAATTCCGGCCTCAAAAATCGTCGAATCCCCGTTGATGGATATTGTACTGAAAGCCTTGGACAACGATGTCTCCTTTGAAGCGGCCGTGGACAGCATGTGCACACTTTACAGAGACACAAGGGAGGTCGACGAATCATTGCCCATCATTCAGGCCCTTTACCCACGGTTGATGTCATTGCGCCCCAAAATCGCTGAGTCTGCTGAGTCTGAAGACTCGGACGCGTTCAAGGGCATCACCAGGCTTTTCGCGGAGGCCGGTGAGGCGTGGGTAGTTTTGATTGCCCGGCTCCCATCCGAATTCCGAGGTCTTGTGGAAGCGGTTCTCGAATGTTGTGCGCGCGATTGGGATCATGACGCTGTCTCTCTCACTTTCGTGTTTTGGTACGAACTGAAGCAGTACATCACACTTGAGCGGTACGCTGAAGCGCGCATCGCATTCACCGACATCTTCTCGAAGCTGGTGGACATTATGGTCAAGCACCTCGAGTATCCCCGGCCGGAAGATGGCGAGAATGACCTGTTCGGTGGTGATCGTGAGCAGGAAGAGAAATTCCGTCACTATCGTCACTCCATGGGCGACGTGCTCAAGGACTGCTGCTCCGTCATTGGCGTGACCGAATGCTTAGCAAAGACCAATGCGTTGATTCAACAGTGGGTCTCGAAGTATGCATCGCAAGCCAGTGACCAGCATGTTCCTCACTGGCAGGAACTCGAGGCACCTCTTTTCAGTTTGAGAGCTATGGGTCGCATGGTCGACCCTGAGGAGAGCACTGTGCTTTCGCAAATCATTCCGTTGATAGTACAAATTCCCAACCAGGAGAAGGTGCGGTTCCAGGCCATCATGGCGCTTGCGCGCTATACTGAGTGGACTGCTCAACATCCCGAGACTCTCGAAGCCCAGCTCAATTACGTTATCTCGGGCTTTCAACACAGCTCCGCCGAGGTTGTGCAGGCCGCAGCATTGGCATTCAAGTTTTTGGGAACCGACTGTCAGAAGCTCCTCGGAGGCCACATTGCCCAGCTTCACTCCTTTTACGAATCGGTTATCGATAAGTTGAAGCCAGCGAGCCAAGAGGAAGTCACTGAGGGTGTTGCGGCCGTCGTTGCGGTTCAGCCTTTGGATAAGATCTACGAGACAATGAAGTTGTTTTGTGATCCCATCATGGCTCGAATCATGAACTTGGCCAACAATGCCAGTGACGAGCAAGGACAGCGCGCTGTTGCTGGTATGTCTACCTGTCTGTTGTGACAAAAGACGAAGCTGACCATCTCTTACAGATCACCTCCAATTAATCACAATCTTCGTGCAGGTCGTCAACCCTTATGTGGGGCCAAACGTAGATAATCCAGCCGTCAAGTATTGTGGAGAGATCTTACCGATCATGACGACGATTGTGATGAATTTTACCTCGTCAACTCCCATTCTGGAACGTGTTTGTCGTTGCTGGCGGTATATGATCATCTCCTACAGGACGGCCATGATTCCACTGCTACCCACACTGGCTCAAAGCATCGCCAATGGATTTGAGGCTTCACGGGAAGGATGTTTCCTGTGGGCTACTGACGCTGTTGTGCGCGAATTTGCCGAGGGTTCCGAATATGTGGATCGCTCAACGAGCAATGCTGTCTTCCAGTTCTATGAGCAACAGGCGATTGCATTCCTGAGGATCCTGAATGATCTGCCGCCCGAAAACCTGCCTGATGGTGAGTGGTTGATTAACACCCCTAGAGCTCCTATTGTCAATGTTCTAATCATACCCAGTGATCGAGGACTTCTACCGTCTTTCTTCGGACGCTGTTCGTTACTACCCGAAAGAATGCATCACCTCGGCCCTTGCCGTCCCTATCTTCTCTGCCGCCCTTAGTGCCCTTACTCTTCAACAGATTGACCCTCTCATTGCGACGCTTCATTATTATCATGACCTGTTCAGCTTTGCATTTGACAAGCCGACAGTGTCGAAGTTCACCAGTTCAGAGGGCGATTTATACTCGAATCCTCCGGAGATCAGGGACGCTGTCAAGCAGCTGATCATTTCTCAGGGCCAGGTCCTTACTCAGCGGATCCTGACAGGCATGATGTTTACCTTCCCGGGTGATTGTTTCCCGGATGCCTCTGGTCTCCTGATGACCCTCTTTGATCTAATGCCCCAGGAAGCCGGGGCATGGGTTCAGTCCACTCTGCAGATGCTTCCCGCCGGCAGCATGAAGCCAGGCGAGGCGGAGCGGTTGCTGAAGGGCATTGCCGACAAAGTGCAAACGGGTGAAATCCGGAAGATCAGAGCTCTGCTACAGGGTATGAGAACTCGAATGACTACATCAATTTTGACCATGGCTGATCATTTGCTGCAGATTTCACCAACTCCTACCGGCGACGAAACGTGGCACCTCGGGAGGGCTTGGGTCGTCTGGAAGCTACTCGATTCCGCTTCAGCGGATAGATTTGACGACCTGGAACAGTCACCAAGTCAACTCTCAGTACGGGGATATTGGAGATTGTCCCGCTTATCCAGTTTCGTCCAGCTCTCGTGGCAAGTTCCATCTGTGCGCCTTCTATCTACGATGGTCAACGCACGGGAGCGATCGGAGTCAATAGGGATTCATGCGTAACCGATCAGAAAGCAAAGAGATTGTTTCCGGCACCTATACACGAAACACAGTGGACGTTGGAAATGGGCAACCACGCGAAGAGATGGATCAGCGCACACCGGGGACACGCCAGGGGTGGCGCTTTGTGCTGCCGGCCCTGCCTGTAAGATTTCAGTACCATAGCATTTAGCAAGCAACCTTAGAGAAATGAATGGAACGGGGGCACCGATGCAACAACAACAATAACAACGACAACGACGAACCACTCGTTTCTCTTTTTACTTTTTTTTTTCTTCGGGCATGCACTGCCAGCCACACAGGTTACTGCCGATTTCGGCACTTGGCCCATGCGGAGTGCATCAGGAATTGAAGCGTGCTCGCGGGTCCAACGTGCGGCCAATTGTGTGATGTCAGTATGATGCCTTGGATCAGGAGAGGACAAGGGCCTTTTTTTTTGTATTTTGTATTTTCCCATGGTAGACGCGGTACGCCCGGTTTTGTTTTATTTGATTGAGTGTGGCCTGACTCGCTGACCTCTCCTCGACTTCTGAATAGAGTCACCGGTCTATTCGACGTCGAGTGAGAACAGAGGAGTCGAATCGCCAAGTCTGGATGCCTTCAGCCCTGGGTACGAACTACTAAGGAGTCTACTTCGATCTATCTAGTGACCTAGTCAGGCAGCATCAGCCGTCCAGGTTCAGGTTCAGGAGGCAACGAAGACCACATCTGTGCCTGACGGAATATCGAAACGATGAGTTTCCCGATTCAGAGACCCGGTATGCTGGGACTGCGTCGAGGATTTCCGTGGAATGGACCATCGCGAGAGGATATCACAATGGATCACATTAGGGGCTGCAACGACGTTTCGATATGGCATTGTTATGCGTCCTTATCGGGGAGATTGACAACGGACTATCAAGGCTAGAGTGCAGAGTCGACGCATCCCGGAGCCAGGAATCGGGAGCGCTTCTCCATTTCCGCGGTCCTGGAATTCTGGGGGATGCACCATTTTCGTCGGGCAGTTCGTGGTTCGTGGCTGGGATAGTGATGTTTGTTTGTTTTTTTTTTTTGTTTTTTTTTTGGAGGATGTGCTTCATACTCATCCATTTCTACTGGACGATGCAAATTGCCTCAGGGTCACGGTGCCCGGAGTAGTCTCGTAGGCTTTGAGCCTATCAGCCTACCCGAGAAGAAGGAAAGTAGCAGACGAGGAAGAATAAGGAGTAGCCGCGACAGTCGAGAGGAAAGCCTCGATTGAATAATGAAAGAAAAAGAAAAGAAAAAAAAAAAGCAAAGAATCAAGATCCGTTGAGTGGACATAGTCATACGGTTAGTGAGACTATCCAGACGATCTAGTTCCTAGTCCCTAACAGTAACTACTCCTAGTTCCTAGTTTCCACATGCTCGGCGCCTCCTGGAGTGCAGAGCGCGCAGAAGGGCTGCCCGCAGTGCCCAGTCCAGTCCAGTCCAGTTCGCACAGGTCTGCACTCTGCAGATCCTTCTCCGCATCCGAGTCGAATACCCTTCTCAGAGTCGACACGTGCATAGGGGAAACCAGCGCGGAGTTGTCCAGACAGCTGGGACTTGAATCCAGAAATTGGGGAGATGACCTGAATGAAAGACGGTGGTTCTGTGTGTTCGAACCCTGGAGGGAGTTGGTGGTGGGTTGGGTTAACCGCCGCTGCCGCACTGCATAGGTATTGGATAGTATTATGAATATTGAGCATGATGCATGGTCGTTAGCAGAAGGTCTTTGGACTCTTGAGTCTTGACAGCCATTGTTATTCCCATCTAGCAAACCATCCTCTTGCCATTCACCGTGGGCGGTTCATCTTCTAGCTAAATTCCGAGCGTGTTCGATGCAGGAATTGCTCGGCACAGGGCCAATCAGTCTGGTGGGAAACTGGGGAAAGGATTGATTGAGACTAGTTCGTCTGAAGCTGAAGACATGATTTCCCCATCCTGTGTTTGGGCTGAGATGATTCTAATAGATAGACTAGATAGTAGATAGATATCTACGGAGTATACGGAGTAGTACTCTGTAGATCGATATACATAGACGGGAGATGGGAAAAAAAAGCAAAGGGGAAATACAAAATACATGAATACAGGCTGTCTTTTGGGTGCCCCACCAGAAGACACTGACACTCGGACAACAGTTAGTTACGAGTGACAGTGAGAGAGAAAAAAGACGCATTGGCTGACGGACGTTTGCTGTTCTCAACTGACTTCCTCCAGGTCATGATCGATCGAGTTAATAGTTAATCATAATTATATCAACCACCACCACCACCACCACCACCATCACCACAATAGATAAAACCTCTCGTGTCTTCCTCTCTCTGCTCGGAGCCAAAGACGCTTCTTCCCTCTTCCCCTCCACCTCTCTCTCTCTCTCTCCATCACACCACTCTGAACTAACTACTACTCTGCTTTTCTATTCAGTCCTCAAAGACACCCTATCTCGTGACTTGTCCATATATATCAACACTCTCTCCCCCTTGGAATCCCCTGTGGTCTTTCCCTCCAACAGCCTTTTTCACTTTCCTCCCTTTTCCCCACGGGGTTCCTATCCGGCTCGGCCTTCCTCACAGAGTCAAAACTCAAAGGTGATCTATCGCGCACAGGCCGTCCCCCGAAATCAGAGATCTTTGGATCGCTTTGTCTCACTCCCGCTTTTTCCGTCCCACCACTCCGAAGCCACATGGATTACCTCGACCGACTGTCTCCCTCCTCCTGAAGTTCTCGTCGCCTGCGATCCCCGCCCCAATCTCCGTTCTGATGGTGCTATTCGGCACCATCAGGGTTTTCACAGGTCCACTTGAGGGTATCGGATAAGGCTGAGGAGAAGTCGCAACATACGCCGACAAACAAACTGCTGCGGTACTCCCCCGCACCAGAGACGCTCCCCTTTGACTGGCGACATGACGGCGGTCGGTGTGCCGGATCTCGGACTGGGATCAACCATGAGAAGAAGGGACTCGGGCGAGATGGAAGCCGAGACCATGGATACCGACCATCCCGCCGCTGCCGGCCCGCGCAAACGGAAGAGAATTCGCAAGGTGAACTCGGACAGGAAGTTTGAATGTACACATGAGGGCTGCGGCAAGAGCTATTCGCGCGCCGAACATCTCTACCGCCATCAGCTGAATCGTACGTGGATGTCCGGGCAGCAAAAATGGTATCGGCAGAACCGAGTGAACTGACCTTCCCCCGTGACTGGTTAAAATTTTTAGATACGCCGAAGCAAATCTACCGATGTGATTTTCCCGACTGCTATCGGACCTTCGTTCGGCAGGATCTCTGCGTCCGGCACCGGGAACGGCATACGACACAAGGCTCTCAGCTTCAGAAGCGCGATCATTTTGCGCAGACCGCTACGCAGAACAAAACGGGGGTCCCAGGATCCCAGGAGCTGGTGGACGGGAACCGCCAGCCATCCATGGACTTTCCGTCGGCGCGCCCAGCAGTCGGCTTTCCGGACGGCGGGGTGGAAACCCTGACGCCGCAGTCGGTGAACGGTGGCTCCAGCAAGCATACGCGGGTGTCCTCGTCGGGCGCCGTTCCCCTCGGTCGGCCGCTCAGTTACCCCCCGTTGAATTTGCACCATGGCGTGGGGACCCCCGACTCTACCGTGTCGAGGTCCAACAGCTTGAGCAACCAGAGCATCAACTCTCCGCCGGGTCAAGCCAATGCGTCGCCCTTCAGCCCCCCGGATCTGCCACAGGCCTCGTACGTTCCGCTCACCGGCCATCACTCCATAGACTCCTTGGACAGCCCCCTTGGCCAGGCCCATCGGCTGACCGCATCCAATCTCATCTCTAGGACACGGCATTCAGACAATGGGCCAACGTACTCGATTCCATCCGATGTGAGTGGACCGGCGCTCGTCGAATCAATCCCGTACGCCTCGGCTCCAGGCTTGTCGATGCCCATGGGCGGATATGGGGATCTGCCGATGAATGCCACGGCCCCGGCCACTCAGGCATCGATGGAGACAACCGCCAATCTGGGCGCGCTGGACTCCATCTCGGGAATCATGGCGTCAGCGGACCCGGCCTTTGACCCAATGGCCTCGTGTGTCTATCCGATCTTCGGTGGAGAGACGTATAATAACCGCTCGCCGTTTGCCATGGCCGAGGATTTCACCGCGTGGCTTTTCAACGAACCGATGCCGGGAACCTCGTCCCTGGCCTACCCGACCACCACCGCCATGGTTCCAAACTACCTGGATCCCACCCAGCTGCAGAATCAGTTCCTGATGGGTGATCCGGGCATCGGCAGTTTCTTCAACGGCGTTCTCCCGCAGCATCCCATGAGCGTGACCAGTATCCTCGATCCGGGATCACCGCGAGCGATCATGTCGGAGGAGAAACGGCAGGAACTCCTGCATCTCATGTCCACTCGGTTCAACGAGGCGGCCTATTCAGCCGTGGCCAAGCGCAAGGATGCCTTGATGGATGGCGACATGGACGATGACGACCATGTGCTGAGCCTGCGCATGATGCAGACGTTCATTGGGTCCTACTGGTATCACTTCCACACCCAACTCCCTATTCTCCACCAACCCACTTTTGTCGCCGACAAGGCGCCGAATCTGCTGCTTTTGGCCGTCATGGCTATTGGCGCAGCCACACTGGACAACATCCACGGGCAGGAGGTGACCGAAACGGCCGCGGAGCTGGCCAACTTCATCGGGTGGCATTTGCGCTGGGAGATCTTCATGGACGCGGATTTCCGACCGCCGGCCAAACTCTGGGTCTTCCAGGCGCTGCTCCTCCTCGAGGTCTTTGAGAAGATGTACTCGACCCGCGCCCTGCATGAACGGGCGCATATCCACCACGACACCACCCTGACTCTGATGCGTCGCGGCAGTTCGCTGATCGGTCGGTCCGCGCTGGACTCGCCCGCCAGCTTCCGCGACGATCGGCACACGCGCTCCACCACCGGGTCGACCTCGGTTTCCGACTTCGCTGCCGATGACTCGTGGACGCACTGGATCAAGGCGGAGGCGATGCGGCGGGTGGCATTCGCCGCGTTTGTGCTGGACTCGACCCACGCGACGATGTTTGGCCATTCCGCCAAGATGGTTGCCCATGAGCTCCGGCTTCCGCTGCCCTGTGACGAGGCGCTGTGGTCCGCCACCAGTGCCGCCGAAGTCGCACGGGTCCAGTCCAGCCTGCACGCTAATGGCGTGAAGCCGACCATGTTTCTGGATGGGCTGAAGAAGACACTTAACGGACAGCGAGTGACCACGAATGCATTCGGGCGCACCATCCTGATGACCGGTCTTCTCAGTGTGAGCTGGCATATGAACCAGCGCGACCTGCAGGTCAGCTCGCTTGGCGTGCCCCAGGCGCTCGGCGGGCGAGATAAATGGCGGTCGGCGCTGTTGCGCGCCTTTGATAACTGGCGGCGCGATTTCGACGAGGCCATCGCGCAGGCCGGCCCCGCACCGTTCCCCAGCCCCTATCGCGTCCGCAATTCCTTCGACGAGGAAAGCGTGTCCGAATCGCGCGATGTTCTGCATGGGTTGGCCCACATGGCCTCGCACGTGGACATTGTCGATTGCCAGATCTTCGCGGGGGCCGGCCGGCTCATGGGTCGATCGATCACTCCGCGGGACTACAGCGCCGCCCGCGAGAAAATGACCCAGCGATGGGCGACCAAGGCGTCCGCGCGCGATGCGACGTTCTACGCGCTCAGGTTCCTGTCGCAGTGTCTCCTCAACAACCGGGGCGGACCGCTGGACGAGAACGGGATCTATTCCGGGCGCGATGACTACCTGCTCAATCGGCCGTGGGTCATCTACGTCGCGGTGCTGGTTGTGTGGTGCTATGGCTATGCGCTGGATGGACCCATTGCTTCGCCTCCGGTGCTCGCAACGGTTGCGGAACAGCAACGCGACATGGAAGCCTTCCTGCGGCGTGTGGGCGGGGTCCGGGACCCGAACGAGCTAGCGACGATGAAGGGCCGCAACCAGTGTCTGGGCTTGTTGATGATCCTGCGCGATGGGTTTGCCAATACGCGGTGGGAGTTGCTTTCCGAGGCGTCCAATCTGCTGCGAAGCTGTATCGACAAGCTTCGCGGTGGGACGCGTCGGTGTTGAATCTGTCCGGGGTGTCTTGTATTCTTCATCTATTTATATATATATGTGTGTGTGTGTGTGTGTGTTTCTTTGGACAGGAACGGGATTGAGGTTATGTTTATGATTGACTATTTTGTTTGCGTGATGTGATACCACTGGGCTGGGCGGTTTCTTTTCTACAATGGACTGGTTGTATATATATTTTTTGGATTATCTATCTCTACTATTTTTTCTTTTCCTCAGACAATAATTATGCCAGTAGATATCTATCCTATAGCTATTATCTAGAGAGTATGTAGATCAATCACGGCAAGATGTCATTCAGCCAGGAAACAATGCACTCTGGTTACCACAACAACCGCCGCCTGCAACACCAAATCCACCTGCTCACAATCGCCTGAACTTGTAATCTCTCTCCTCCTCCTGCTTTTCTTCTCCATCGATAAGAACCTCTGCAATTTTTCTACGTGAACGTGAGTACATATCTAATTATTGATGCCCTTCTGACTATATTGTTTTGCATCGATTGACTGGTGTCCAGCTTGAAATCCCACCCTCGGAACCTACCTCCCTGAATCTGAATCGCTCAAGCCTCAACCATGGTACGTCCGCTGGAATTCACACTGTCATAATCACCCCAGGAATGGAGCGGAACGGAGGGGACTGGAATGCATGCATTGCAGGCAGACAGGCAGGCAGACATCGTCGCAGACACGAGGTCGTCACCGTTGTGGTCGCTGCTGCTACTGCTACTACTGGCCTCGTTCCTCCCTTGCGTCGTCTTGTTGTTGATTGAACCTCGCTGTGTTCCTGCATTTCGACCCTCCTATTCATCAAACTATTCTTTTACACCTTTCTTTTCCTTCTGCCTCATCACCATCACCCCCTCCCCCTCAGTATCCCCTTCCATCCATTAGATCTACAAAATGTCCCGCTCACCTGATAACCACCATGACCAGGCCTCGACCAACTACAAGGAAGCCTTCTCGCTCTTCGACAAGCGCGGCACGGGCAAAGTCTCGCTCGAGTCGCTGGGCGACCTGCTGCGCGCCTGCGGCCAGAACCCCACCCTTGCCGAGATCGCGGATCTGGAGAAGAGCATCGGCGGTGATTGTACGTTTCCTTCCCTAGGGAGAAAGAAAACGATGAAAAAAAAAATGAATCAGGGGAATTTGGTGTCGCCAGCTAACACGAAGGCCTTTTCTTTTAATAGTCGACTTCGAGTCCTTCCTGAAAGTCCTCAACCGCCCCGGTGGATTCCGCGAACCCGGCGAACCTGAGGAGTATTGCCGTGGGTTTCAGGTTTTTGATAAGGATATGACTGGGTTTATTGGCGTGGGGCAGTTGCGGTACAGTATGTTGTTCCCTCTATCTCCAAAGAGTAGCAGCTGCTGGCAGCTCGGTGGAGGCAGACTTCGCTAATTGCTTTTTTTTTTGCTTTGCTGCGACAGTTCTCACGAATCTGGGCGAGAAGATGTCGGATGAGGAGGTGGATGAGCTGCTGAAGGCGGTCGATACCAGCTCGGGAGAGATCAACTATACCGGTATGTTCGCTTGGAGCTCACGCTCGAGCTGATGCTAACGTTGCAAACGTAGAACTCGTCCGCACGATCCTGGCCAACTGATGATTCACGATACCCCCTGCTTTCATTTTCCCCTTTGACGCTTACGAATCTTCTTTTTTCGCGTGTTTTTTATTAATATTTTTTTTTATGTTGCTCTCGTCTCCGTCTGCAGTCGACGAGACAAGACTTGAGCTTAGCAGTTGATTAATCCTGTCTTGTCCTGTATTCCATGTCGTAGATACCAGTTGACACCAGTAGACGGTAGACACGAGTCGAGTGCATCCAGCTCATAGCTAAAGCCATCACCATGACTATCCCTCAATCCAACCCACCCACTCCCGATCCATCGCCCTCATCACCTCCTCATCCCCCATCTCCCCCGTCTCCACCAACGCCCCAGGCAAGAGGTAAGCAACCGTCCGCTCTTCCTCCTCCATTTCCACTCCCTCGTCACCGGCAGCCCCCGTCCTCATCCTCGTATCCCCAAAATGCACCCCGTCCAGAAAATACCCCACCACCACCCGACACCGCCCACAGCGCAGCAGCACCCTCTTTTCGAACCCGTCTTCGCGCCGGATCAGCGTCGCTTTGCGGTCCGGGACGGTCGTCGAGAGGAGGATTGTGTAGTGCTGTTGCTGTTGCTGTTGCAGCGCGTGCTTCTCCGTTGGTTGCGCGTAATCTGTTTCGGCCGTGGTCGTGGTCGTGGTCGTGGTCGTGGTCGTGCTTGGCTCAGCCTCAGCCTCAGCCCCAGCCTCGGGTTTTCTGTCACTGCTGCCGCTGGTGGTGGTGGTAATGGTGGTGGAAGATGGAGCTGGAAGCGGGAGGATAAGGGCTGCGTCGCGCGCGGGATCGCTGCGGCGCGGGAGAGACGGGAGGTGGCGTGTTGTGGCGAGGAGGAGGTGGTTGCAGAAGCGGCAGTGGTGGGTTTTTATGGGGAGGGTTGGCGTGGTGGTGGTGGAGGGGGGGGAGGAGGACCAGGAGGAGGACATTTGTGGATTTGTTGTTTTTTTAGGGGGGGGGGAGGGTTTCGTTGGTGGAGTGGATTTGATGTGATTTGATTTGAGGGTGGATGGAGGAAGGGTTTGGGTTTGATTTCGTTTGTAGATTAGGAAGACGAAGAGAAGAGGAGAGGAGAGAAGAGAAGAGAGGGATGTTGAGGTTGGTGTTGGAGAGGGAGAGGATGAGGTTGTTGTGTAGTGTGGAGATTGATTCTTATCGATAAGCCCAGACTATGGAGTACAGAGTTGGGAGTATACTACTATCACAATTCCATTTCAAGTTCCATCTACGAATACAGATACAGATGCAGAGAATAGTGGATTGAATTGATATGGGACCAAGGCTTATGCTTATGCCAGGCCCAATTCCTTGTAAAACGCATCCGTCTTGGGTTCCCGGCCCAGGAAATCAGTCAGCGTCTTCATCTCGTCTTGGCTGCCGCCCTTCTCCAGCACACCGTAGCGGTATCTGCGGCCCGCGGCCGGGTCCATCGGGTTCTCGCGGAAGACGCTGTAGAACATGTCGGTCGAGTAGACCTGCGAGCTGAGGTAGCCGTAGTATCCCGCGTCGTAGCCGCCGATCAGGTGGCCGAAGGTGGCCTCGCCGTGGCCCCATTCGTCGCCGAGGCCCAGGACCTCGGGCCCGTCCTGCAGGGCGATCTCCTTGCGGAGACGGTTGTAGGTGGCGGAGATGGGGAGCGCCTGGACCTGGTCGTGGCTGTGGGCCTCGTGCACGGTCATGTCGAAGATGCCAAAGTGCAGCTGGCGCAGGTTGAAGAGGGCGTCGTTGACGTGCTTGGTGCGGATGAGGTTGGCGATGACCTCGTCGGGGATGCGCTCGGGCGGAGCGGGCTTGCCGCCCGCCTGCTCCTGCCACGCGGCCAGGTACTCCGGCGACAGCGCCGAGTAGTGCTTGCTGAGGGACTTGAGCTGTGAGGGGGTCCAGCACCAGTTCTCCAGCATCTGGCTGGGCGCCTCGACGAAGTCGCGCACCGTGCTGGTGCCGTGGAAGCGTGAGTACGTCGTCTTAGAGACCAGGTCGTGGATGCCGTGGCCCAGCTCGTGGAAGAGCGTCACCACCTCGTCATGCTTGAGCAGACTGGGTTTCTTGGCAGTGGGCTTGGTGAAGTTGCACACCAGCGCCGTGGCGGGGTACCGCCGCTTGCCCTCGGCGTCGATGAAGCCCTACAATTGTCAGTCAGGTTTTGAGTGGTGGAAGGGGGAGATTGGAGGTGAAAGTGGGGGAAAAAAAACGTACTGGTTGGAGGTTGAAGTTGGCCGCATGACCATACTTGCCCGGGCGAGGGAACAGATCCAGGTAGAGATACCCCACGAATCCATTGCCCTCGCCTTGGTCATCCCAAACGCTAAAGATCTGCACCTCCTCGTGCCAGACGATGTCGCTGCCCTTGCCCGTGGGCGCCACCTTCTCGCGGTCCTCGCCGGTGATCTCGACAAAGACAAGCCCAAAGAGCTCCTCGAAGATCTTTAGCATGCCTTCAATGGTCGTCTGCAGCGGGAAGTATTCGGCGATCAGCTGCTGGTCCAGGGAGTAATCCTTCTCCAGCATCAGCCGGTCGTAGAACCGGTGGTCCCACAGGTAATAGCGGCCGTCAAAGGCCTCACCACGGGCCTCAAGGTCCGCCTTCTTGAGCTCCAGCAGCGTCAGGATCTCCTTCTGTCCGCCGGCCGTCAGGCGCGACCGCAGGTCTCCCAGAAAGGTATCGACGGTCTGCGGGGTCTTGGCCATCTTGTCCTCGATGCGGAAGGCGGCATGGTTCGGGTATCCGAGCAGACGGGCGGCCTCGTCACGCAGGATGATCGCCTCGCGGAACAGCGGCACGTTCTGGTTGCACTTGTTCTCGTTCTCGATCATCAGGCGCTTGCGCGTCTCCGCGTTCTTGGCGTACTTCATGGTCGGGAAGAGGTCCGGGTACTTGAAGGTCAACCAGAGCTTGCCCTCGTGCTCACCTTCGCCCTTCTTCAGCCCGGACAGCACATCCTCGGGCACGCCGTCGAGCTCGTCGTGGGTGAACCAGATGCCGCCGTTCTCCTCGTTCAGGTTCTTCTGGAACTCGATGCTGATCTGGCTCAGCCGCTTCTTGATCTCCTTGAAGCGGTCGCGCTTGGGGCCGGCCGGCAGCCCCAGCCCGTTGCGGATGTAGTCCTTGTGTTCCTTCTCGAGCAGCCGGCGGGACTCCGGGTCAAGGCTCTCGTTCTTCTTCAGCACGGCGTCGACGAGCCGGAACACGTCCTCGCGCATGACGGTCTCGATGAAGAACTCGTCCATCAGCTCCTCGGCCTTGGACGACGCATCACGCAGCTGCTGCTCCGTCGACACTGCCTGGTAGAAGCTCAGGATGTGCGATTCCAGCGCCATGGTGTTCTCATCGTGCGCCAGCGGCTTCACCACGGAGTCGAACGAGGCCGACTCGGGCTGGACGTTGGTCACAACGGTATCCTGGACCTTGCGGGAGGTCTCGATGAGGCGCTTGGCGTCGTCAACGATGGACTGGGCGGTCGCGGTGAAGACAGGTGGGGCCTGAGGAGGCCGACGCAGATGTTCGGGAGCCATGCTGGCGGTGGTGAGGGATTTGCGGAGATCTGTCAGTGGATGGTGGTTGAAGAGAGTCGTGGCAGGTCGACGCGTGGTACGAAGTTGGCTCAGGACCGAAGAGAGTCTGAGAGTGGGGGAGGAGAGGCGGAGAGGAGGAGCCACGATGATGAAGAGGATGCCCACGAGGAGGGCGAGGGCGTGCAGATAAAGATACAGACCACGGAGGACGAGTGGACGAATGATGACGGTAGGACTGAGGAGTGGGTGGGAGGAGGGGCAGGAATTGGGATCAGATCAGGCGGGGTAGTAGAGGTTGGACTGAGCTGGCAGAGAAGAGTAGAAGAATAGTAGGGGTAGTACTCCGTAGTAGCTATTATTATCGACGGTATATATTAGTTAGTAGTGACTAGTGAGTTGGAGATGTGAAGTCCGCCATCCTCTCTCTCTCCCTCTCTCTCTCTAGCACAGGAGCAGTTAGTGTCCTGGCGGTGAACCAACTCCCCTACTCGGATAATTTATTCTCTATCTTCGGTAATCGGTAGATATTCCCTACGAAGGACGGGATACAGAGCTAATAGAGGTGAGGAAAATACTCCTGCAGGTATACGCATGCCAGAGTCGACCATGGTAGTAGGTCTTTCGACCCTCGGATTCGATGGTACCCTTGGTGTTGACCCTTTTACAGTTCACAGGCACGGAAAAATTGGGCATCATCATCTCTAGATTCGTTTCCAAGACACACAAGGCTTCTCAGCCGTATCTCGCTTTTAGAATAAATAAAGGGGAAGCAAAGTTCGACTCAGGAAAATATGCCGAAGCAAGGAATAAAAACAGCCCAACTCCCAACAACTCCAACCCGCATCACAGAAATGAGAAAAGTCTTCAGAACGCCCCACTATGTTGCTAGACTTCAAGGATGAGAAAAATATCGCTCAGAATTCAGTACTGGTCATGGGAAAAAAATACAAGGAGAAGAAAAAGGACACGACAAGCGACCGTTCATGCCGCATCAGCGGTGGGGATGGGCTCGGGGATCTTGGTGACCTGCTCACCAGCGCGGATGATGCGCTGGCCCGACTCATCCCGAACATACTCGCTGCTCTCCTTCTGAGCGCGCTTCCAGATCTCAACCTCGCAACCACCGCGGATGACACCAACACGCATGGTGGAGAGCAGGTTATGAGCGGCGTTGGAGTGGTAGTACACACCACCGTTGAACATGGCGGTGGCATCCTTGCCCAGGCCGGAGGCGATCATGGCCTTGCCACCGGGGTGGTCTTTGATGAAATCAGTCACATCGTGGACAACACCCGCGATGGCAATCAGACCGCGGCCGTTCTTGGCCTGCTCCACATAATCATCCCATTCCATGACGGGCAGCTGGTCGAGGGGAACACCCCAATCCAGCTTGGCACGCTTCTGGTCGATCTTCTTCTGCAGCTGCTGGATACGGCCCTTCTCGATCTCGTTGGCACGGAACTGCTTCAGATCATAGGCGAGGCCGAGCTGCTTCCAGATCCAGATGGACCACTTGGTGGGGTCGTACTGGTGCCACTCGATGGCGTTGCGGTAATCCGAGGGGAATTCGTGGTGGAAGTTGTGGTAACCCTCGCCAAGAGTGACCAGAGCAGTGATGACGTGATCTCTGGGAGAGTTGCGGTCGTCGAAGGGCTGATCGCCAAGCCAGTGGGCCAGCGAGTTGACGCAGAAGGTGGCCTGCTGAACGAAGAAGATACGCAGAATACCGGCGTAGATGAAGCCACCCCACCAGTCACCCCAGCCAAGACCCGCGACGAGCATGGGCATGGCGAGACCCATGCCCAAGACAACCTTCAAGTAGTTGCGGTGCTGCCAGACGACGACGGGGTCCTCGTTCAGATCGGAAATGTCGGTACGGCCAATACGCTTGGGGTTCTGCTTCATGACCATCCAGCCAATGTGCGAGTACAGCAGACCCTTGCGGACGGAGTAAGGGTCCTTCTCGGTATCGGTGTAACGGTGGTGAGCACGGTGGTCCCGAGACCACCAGCGGATAGAGCCTTCAACGGCACCACCGCCGACGGCGGCGAGCCAGATCCGAAGAGGAAGGCGAGCGGAGTAGGAACAATGAGCCCAGAGACGATGGTATCCTGTGCGTGCATCCCATTAGCATCCAAACCGGACGGTTCCAGGGATCGATGGAGCGAATCATACCTGCTGTGATACCAAGACCGGTGAAGAAGTAGTAGATGACAGCCCAGATAGCTGTCTTGATCTGCAGAGGCACCCAGAAAGCCTGGATGCACCCGTACAGGGGGATACCGATGATGAGGGTGATGTTCAGCCAGTTGACGTGCTTGTACCAGTTTTGGCGAGTCATCACAGTGTCGGCGATATGGACCTTCTTGGGGTCCGCCGCCCGGGAGCGCGAGGCATCGACAGGCTTCGCAGACATGATACCGGGAAGGAGCTTTGACGCGCTCTCCTCGAAGATCCTTGGGTTCAAGTCGATCAAGGATGTATACAACCTGCCAAGGGAGTAGGGGCAGGGTGAGGCGTCTCTGAGGGGGGGGGGGGTGTGGTGTGTGTGTGTGAGTGTGTGTGTGTGAGTGTGAGAACCAGACGACCCGGGGTGGGGAAGAAGGAGCTCTTTTAAAGACACCAGAAGTGAAAAGAGAAAGGTGGAAGAGGCGAAATGGAGAAAAAGCACGAGAATGCGCGGATAGTCTTAGGGCGAGGGAAAAGTTGGCCGTTCAACAGTCAAAAGTATATGCTCCCCGGGGGTCCACCAGGCCGAATGATGGTTGGGGCAAGGGGAGGGATTGTGATTCGGACAAACGCAAGGCGGAGAGCAACCAGACATCGATTGGGGGTGGAAGAAGAAGGATAACCAGTGGACTGATGATGGTCAGATGTCAGCCAGCTACGAGGTTGGATTTTGTGATCATCATGATGTTCGAGAAGCCTCAAATCAAGCGTCAACCATAAGGTAGTCCGCGTTTGCATCCTTGCATCCATCCGTAGTACTACAGTACAGAGTAGTGCAACTGTGTATCTCCATAGTCATAGTCCGCAGTCGATATACTTTCGGCTTTGTACTCCATAGTATCCCGAGTAGTGGTACCAGTAGGTTGTTGGGCGGCTGATGTGATGGCCTGTTCGGGACTAGCGGCCATTCTTCCCGCCAATCACAGCGTCTGCATCATCTGTTGAATCCCCAACACTTTTTTTTTTTTCTTTTCGGCATTTTCGCCTGCGGAAATGTGGCTGATCCTGTGGCGAGCCAGTCCTGACTCAGCAGGGGGACTGTGGCGGGAGCTTCTCCCGCGCAAATCACGAATCAGTCGGTGTCAGCTGTTGATGCCTCAGGCATCCGTGCACAATGATCATTGATCATTGATCCAATATGTATGGCACGTGACGATTGATGAATACGGAACACACCTCCGCTCTCTTGATATCTATAGAAACTCTTCTAGATCTTTTCGAACAAGATATGTGGCTAGTGGCTACATTCCAGAATCAAGAATCCAGACAGAAAATATATCCGTATTATTAGACACTAAATAGGAGTCTAATTAGCATAGGTCAACGGGATTCTGTGGAGTTCAGTCTTGACTCTAGAGTCTAGGTTAACTCTTCAGTCTCATCGACTTGCCTCAGGCACTGATGATGGATGATGATGATGATGATGATGATATAAGCTCATCCTCTCCAGGTATCGAAAGGATACTCCCTCCGCTTAGGATCCGTAGACCAGTCCCACTATCCCCAGTTCCTGACCTTGGATCATCACCGGCGTGACTGGAGTCGGATCGAGACTATGAACTATCTAGTCTACGATGAGCAGCCTACCATTTCAATATCAATTTCAATTTCAATTTCAACCATGCTGATCGCAGAATCCCATCTATCCCCACGTCCGGACAGTCAACTCTTGTTATTAGGATGGCTGACCCTGTGATAGTTGCTGTCGGCACTCGGCACTCAGCTATCAAACACTGAGAACCCTCGGCGGACCCCGTCATCGCTGATAAGACCGTCTGGATTTCGTATTTCCATCAAGTTATCGAGTCAGATGGGCATCGTTTAGGCTTATCATCCTCCACACCACTTGATCCCGGCAGCTCCACATGGAATCAACACTAACGATGGTTGACGGTTAAGTCCACCAGTCTAACTGGCTCATGCTGTATCGCTACTCGCTCCCTCTTCCACACCCAGAACTACCTTTGGAACTTTACACAGTATGCACGCGACGCGAGAGATAACCGTCGGGATTATTCGATTGTTTCACCCATCCCAGCTTTATCTCTCGGGATGTGCATCGCGATGTTCGCATCGTTGCGACCATGCTCTGCCTATATAGGAGTCACTGGTTCGTCCAGAACTGCGCAGTAGTATCTCATCCATCTCCATCTCCATCTCTTTGACTCGAACCTCGAATCTCGAATCCTAGTCCGACAACTGAGCCGTTGAACTTGACGGTGGCACATATCCGGTTTCCCCGCACGTTGCCTGTGATCGACTTATCTATCAGCTATACGTCAGACGTTACATTCCTTGACGAGGGAACGCCTTTAAAATTGCTTCGTTCTACATACTCTGCGAGCTCTGCGAAATCGAAGAAGCATTTTTTCCATTCATCGCAAAATGGAAGGGCCGGATCGGATTGGTCCCGATCATAGTCCGAAGCGGACGCTCCGTGACCGAGCCCGACGAGTGGTGAAAACTTGGACCACCAAGTGCGTTGATTCGTGTTCGAGGGATGAATTTCCGTGTGATCGCTAACATGTGTTTATTCATTGCAGAGAAGGATTGGTTGGAGATTATAACTATGCCTACTTGTTCACACCGAGAATCCCCTTCACCAAGCACGTACGAAAGACCGCACCGTTCTTCGGACTGCATGACCGTTTGCCGGTGTTGCTGGCCTTCATCTTGGGTCTCCAACATGCCCTAGCAATGTTGGCTGGAGGTGAGTCCTTCGTCTACCAGCCACAGCTCGTCCTTCGCTGATCACCTCTTCCCAAGTTATCTCTCCGCCTATCATCTTGGGTGGATCTAGCGGTGCAAACTTTGGAGACGAGGAGTATCAGTACCTGGTGTCGACGTCTCTGATCGTTTCTGGCCTGCTTTCCGCTGTGCAGATGACTCGCTTTCGCCTCTGGAAAACTCGATTCTTCATCGGTACCGGCTTGATCTCCGTCGTTGGCACTTCCTTCTCCACCATCACCGTCGCCTCGGGCACCTTCAGCCAGATGTACGCCTCCGGATACTGCCCCGTGGATGGCGAAGGAAATCGTCTCCCCTGCCCGAAAGGCTACGGAGCCATCCTCGGTACTGCATGCTTGTGCTCGCTGCTTGAGATCGGCCTATCCTTTATGAGCCCTAGGATCTTGAAACGCATCTTCCCGCCTCTAGTGACTGGTCCCACGGTTCTGCTGATCGGAGCAAGTCTGATCTCAAGTGGTATGAAGGACTGGGCTGGCGGTTCCGGCAGCTGTGGGTTTGATCCATCCGCCCGTGCTCTTTGCCCCAGTGCCAATGCACCCCATGCGCTGCCTTGGGGAAGTGCCGAGTTCATCGGTCTCGGCTTCTTGGTGTTTGTGACCATCATCCTCTGCGAGCGATTCGGTTCCCCCATCATGAAATCCTGCGCCGTGGTGATCGGTCTGCTGGTGGGATGCATCGTGGCCGCGGCCTGTGGTTACTTCGACCGATCCGGCATCGACGCGGCCCCGGTCGCCTCGTTCATCTGGCTGAAGACATTCCCGCTGACGATCTACGCGCCGCTGATCCTACCGTTCCTGGCACTGTACATCGTGATCATGATGGAATCGATCGGAGACATCACCGCCACCTGCGACGTCTCCCAGCTTGAGGTCGAGGGCGCCGAGTTTGATTCGCGCATCCAGGGTGGTGTCCTGGGCAACGGCCTGACGTGTCTGTTCGCCGGCCTGTGCACCATCACGCCCATGTCGGTCTTCGCCCAGAACAACGGCGTCATCGCGCTGACCAAGTGCGCCAACCGCAAGGCTGGCTACTGCTGCTGCTTCTTCCTCGTGGTCATGGGCGTCTTCGCCAAGTTCGCGGCCGCCATCGTGGCCATCCCCAAGCCGGTGCTCGGCGGCATGACCACCTTTCTGTTCTCGTCCGTGGCCATCTCCGGCATCCGCATCATCTCCACGATCCCCTTCACGCGCCGCAACCGGTTCATCCTGACGGCCGCGTTCGCCGTCGGCATGGCCGCCACTCTGGTTCCGGACTGGTTCTCCTACTTCTTCACCTACAGCGGTGACAACCATGCGCTACAGGGGTTGCTGAACGCGGTGGATCTCGTCATGGAGAACGGCTTCGCCATCACCGCGGTCATTGGACTGATCCTCAACCTCATCCTTCCCGAGGACCCGGAGGACGAGGCTGCCGTTGTGGAGGCCACCGAAACCCAGACTCCCACTGAAGCGATCAAGGGTGCTTCGGAGCCTTTCCCATATAAAGCGGAGCAGCTGCCTGGTCCTTCAAGAGTATGAGTTTGTGTGTGTGTCTTTGCTTGTATGCCTAAATTTGTTTCGATACCCTTCTTGCGGATAGTCTTTTTATATACACCATTTGAAATTTCATCTCGATCATTTATTCCCTTGTCGACCATGTTGGTCTCCTGTCATAGCTGCTTGCTTACCACCACGTCGAGATATTCATATCGTAGCAGATCCTAGACACCCTCGACCTTCTCCCCGGGGGCCAGCGACTTGAGATAGAAATGCTCCCCAATCTCCAGCACAGAAATCCTATCGCCCACGCGCACCGTAAACTCTACCAAAAGAACCCCGTTAGCCACCCACCCCATCCCTCAATCAGAAAGTCAAAAAGCACTGAAAACAACGGGGTCCACCAACCTTGCACCGCCGGAACACACTGCATACCCAGACACGCATTCGTCGGATCCCCCGGGTCAATCCGCCGGTAACTCTTCAGCGTGCGATCCGGCTCCGACGCATGCCTCACGCCCGTGTCGGGATCCACATTCGGCAGCCGACAGCGCAACGTCCGACAGACGGTATGGACCTCGACGCCGCGACCGCCCTCCCCGTCCCCGTCCTCGTCCCCCTTTCCCTTACCCTTGATCGAAATCCGCCTCCAGTGATCCTCCTCAAAAGCCCCCGGCCCTTCAACGACGATATTCGCCCGAAACCGCCGAACCGACAGCCGCGGGATCGCGCCCGCACAGCGCGCGCCCACGTCCCGCACGCTGGCCAGGTTGAGGATATGCAGCGGGTACGCGTCCGCGAAGCCCGTCACGGGCTGGAAGCCTAGCTGCCGCGCCGGCGGCGCATTGCGGAAGATGCGGCGGTGGTGGCGGGCGTCGACGCGGAAGAGGGTCAGGGGGCGAGTTGTAGTAGTAGTAGTAGCATCAGCAGCAGCAGTGGTAGCGGCGACGTCAGGCGGGGCCAGGAACTCCCGCAGGGACGGCGGGAGGTGGGCACCGTAGTCGAATGCGGTGGGGGTGTCCTTCCAGATGCGCACGGGGACGGCCGGGTAGGAGGCGTCGGGCGTGTCTGGCGGCGGCACGAGCGGGAGACGGCACGAGAGCTCTGCGGGGATGAGGCGAAGGGCGACGGCGAGGCTGGTGAGGCGCGCGGCGAGGACGGCGCTGGGACTGCGTCCGCGTGGCTGTGGTCGCGGGTAGAAGAGGACCAGCACGCCCTGCGACTGGACTTCGGGGAGATGCGGCGCGTAGTCTGGGGCCGTGGGGTCGGGGACCCAGAGCTCCGGGCGGAGGAGTGCGAGGCGGCTGTAGTGGCCGTTGCGGAGGGTGCGCGCATCCCAGTAGGGCTGGGCTTTCTCGTCGCTGGGGGTGAAGTACTCGGCGAAGCAGAATTGGCGGTCGAAGGCGAAGCCGGTTGCGACAACGTCGGCAACGTCCAGCTCCACCCCGGCGCAGCTCTTGATCGGGTAAGTGAAGAGGGCCTTGATGCGACATGGGGCTTGCTTGTCCCCGTTTGCGTTGTCATGGTCGCTCGCAAGTCCCTGGCTGTATTTCGGATCGAACTCGTCTTGCAGGTTGCTCCGATTTGAGGGCAGGCCGAGCTTTCGGCATCCTCTTGGGCGTGCAGAGTGGGCAGAGCGCCTTTGGAAGACGATGAAGACGAGGATCGGTAGGAAAGATAGCAGCAAGATTGCCGCGGTAGCAGGCGATGTCTTCACAGCATCTTGTTGGGAGTAGAAGAAACCGAGTATATTTTCATACCGCATTAGTGCGTTGCCTCGGAGAGACTCGAAGATCGAGCTCAATGACCACTTCTTATAATACGCAAAAAAACACTCGATTTCTCACCGTCAGGCTCGCAGGCGCAGTATCGACGCAGGCACCGAGTATACAGACATCTTCAGGCGGAAAGAGTGTGGGAAATCGAGGGAATTATCGAAATCGGGGCGAGATCGGAATCCGTCACCAACTCCCACTAGTTATCTCGGACTTGGCGCAGTCAGCAGCATCCTCATCGCATCCACCATCAGTCAGATCCCGATGGCTTGACATCGGCAACAAATCACAGGCTCCTCACTTTAGCTGTAGAACCTAGAGCCACGAAAGATGCAAGATCGGGACTGCGGCAATGCTCTGGATTGTGCTGCGAGAGTGTCCTTTCTTTTGATCCCGACAAGAACTTCACCTCTGGGTCTGACGACGCCACATCCAGTGTCGCGATGAGCACGCAGGATATTCTAGGTTTTGCCAGTCAGGAGCCGAGTAAGTCTCGAAAAGCTGTCACAATGATTACGATCGTTCATAGCTAATCCAGTCTTCCAGGTCGCGTCATATCTTTCCCTGCGTCGCAGTACCTGCACGCGTCTACCGCGTCGCCAGGTTCTGGTTCCATCTCCACAGGCCTGCCTCGGCTTGACGAGGCTATTTCTCCCGTCTCACTGGATGAATCGCCGGAGGCATCAGGTGAAGATGTGACAAGGGGTATTCTCTGCGGCCATGTCACCGAGGTCTTCGGGCCGCCTGGCGTGGGCAAGACGTCGCTGGCGTAAGTCTGGTTCTTGCCTAGGTCCCAGTTGTTGCAGTTTCTCATGTGCAAGCTAGTCTGACTCTTACTTCCAACGCTCTTCGCGAAGGTGGTAAAGTAGTCTGGATCGGTAACAAAAGGCTCTACCCTCATTTTCGAAGATGAATGCTAACAATGCCGCACAGACACCACCTCTCCACTTCCAAAGCTACGTCTGAAGAGCATGCTCTCAAAGTCGTTGGAAGCATCGGAGTCCTCCGAATCATCAGAACACCTCGTCGACAATCTGATATACTTCCGCGCCCAGTCCCTGCCTCATTTGCTGGCGCTTCTGCTCCGCCCGCCCAAAGGATTCCCACCCGAAGACACCAAACTCCTGGTCGTCGACTCGGTATCAGGGCCCTTTCCTTCGTACTTTATGGGCCCATCGGAGTTGAAATCCCGTCTGGCCCAGGCAAAAGTCACAGATAAGGCCCAGGTACAATGGCTCATGAACCGGAAGTGGAACGTCACGAGCGAATTGGCAAATCAGCTGATGAAGCTGGCAGCCGCGCAGTCCCTGGCCGTGCTCGTTGTCAATCAAACTCACACCAAGATCAAAGGCCAGCCACGTGCTACGCTCACCCCGCTACTTGCAGGAGGCCCGTGGGAGAACAGCGTGTACACCCGCATCGCGCTGTACCGCGCCTTCGCTGTCGATGACGACAGCGGAGCAGAGCCGCAGTCTGCTCCAAGAAGTGTCCGGTATGCGGAGGTCTTGAAGCGAGGCGGGAAGAGCGTGACGGTGAGGCTGGACGAGAATATCGTGCCCTTCACAATTGAATCAGTCAGTGCCACCCCATGCTGGGAGCCCTGAGTCTTTGGACATCGGCTGACGGATCGGAAACAGGATTGTTTACGTGGGACGGACACGAATCAGCCGTCTCGCGCTGTTGCACCACAGCCAACTGAGGAATCGCTCCGGGTGGGCCAACGGAAGCGGAAGGTGGAGGAGATCGCTGATAGCCAGGATGAAGACGATTCGGACCAGGAATTTGGATGGATTAATGGTGACGACACCAGCCTGCTTGAAGGGCCCGCTGATGAGGACTCTTAGAACGATGGCAGAACGGCTTGGTAGGTTGTTCTACGTCTGTGATCAATCTATCCATAAGGCTGATTTGTTCTCAGGGCGCTGCAGCATCAATATATGGAGTGCCTCATCTCATGCTCCAATGCAACAGGATACAACTGCTCGACTTCGCTAATAAGCACGCTAAATCATCTCGTAAAAGAGCATGACACCACAAAATCAACATGCCACCGTAATCATCAAGAACAACATCAGTGCACAATTAAGAAACCTCAAACCATTCGCTGACCGTCACCTCCGCGCGGCCGTCGCTCGATCCAAGTGGAAAACTCGGTCATTGCGAGTATCTTCCCGTCCGGGATCCGCCCCTCGAAATGTTCCGCGGTGGCCGTCTGGACCTTTCTATTCCCGGCGGCATTGTTGGCCGAGATCTCACAGATATTCCCATCCCCCATTACACCGGCTTGGTTACCCCTGTCATTTGGACCGGCATGAAACTCCAACGAACAGAGATGCACGGAATCCCTGACCATAATGGGCCGTCTATTCCCATGGATCACGTCGACGAGCCTGCCGAGGACCGCGAATTCCAGCTTCAGCTTGAGGCTGTAGATCGCGCCCTTGAGTGTGATCTGGACGGCGTAGTAGCTGGCGTACTCGAGGCCCAGCAGAGCCATATCCATCAGGACGATGATGATATTGATGCCGACGAGCTGGTACATGATGCGCTGCTTGTCCTTGTCCGAGCCAAGCCGGAGCAGCTTCACCGTCTCCCAGACATACAGGCTCGAGATGACCACCTCCTGGATCGTGAAGCCGGTCATCTGCAGCTTCTCCATGATGTTGTAACCCTGGACGAAGACGGGCGAGCGGTCGACGACGTTGGACCCGTACGTCAGGACCGTGGTGGGGATGTGTAGTAGGAAGACGTTTGCGATGATCATCACCAGCACGCGGCGCAGGACCCGCTCGTCGCGCAGGACAAGATGCAGGCGCGAGTACAGGACGAAGGCCTGGCCGGTGACCATCGTCCACCAGCCGATGCTGAGCATCGTGACGGATAAGGTGGAGTTGGCGGAGGTGAAGAATTTGAGCAGGAACCCCAGCGAGTATGGGACCACCCCGAAACATCCGGAGAGGAGCAGGCTCCAGAAATACAGGCCCCGCCAGCGGCGGAAAGTCGAGAGCACGAGGACGACCAGCTCAACCACATTGTAGAAGGAAATGGCGCTGAAGATGAACAGCACCGCTTTGAGCCCGTCTCGGTGGTTTGCAAGCTCCCCTGAGATACCGTCCAGAGGATCTTGAGTTGTCGACATTGTCTCTTCTTATCGCCTTATTGCCAAAGCAGCGGAATAACACCTCTTCCACTATTTTTACCTACCTTAGCATTTGCTCTAGACATCAGCAGTAGTCGGGGGAATAAATACTCACAGATCATCAAACATCAACACCATCCATTCAGGGAGTCGAAGATCGAGTGATAACAACGACAACGACAACGACAACAACAGTGACATCCAAATTGTATCTTCTCACTCCTGAACCGCAGCACCCTCAGTTGGATCAAGACCCCTGCCTCATTCAATTCCTTCCCCTAACTCTTGCCCTTCACGATGCAGGGTAAAAGATGCGATGCTGAATCCAAGCCCAAACGGAAACCAGCCACAGGATATTTCATGACACAGAATCATCCAAAAACACAAAATCCGCCCCGGAAAAGCGAGTAGATAGAGGACCATGCCGATACAGACCAGACGACGCAGACCGCGAACAGCCACCCGGGAAGCAAGCTCAGCGCTTTCTTCAATGTTGGGGTGGTACAGTCCGACTCCCACCGACGGGAGACGTCCTTTTTTTTTCGCTCCTTATTGCTGTGTAGCCTTCATGCTTCTGCTTTACTATCTGGCTGATTCAAGCAAACAAGAATAGAGTTCATGTGTACTGTAGGTACTCTGGCAATAAAGAGAAGGAGAAAATAGGAAAGGAGGAAAAAAAAAAATGAAAGAAAAATTGCAAGAATCTTCCCTTTGTTATCATGCTTTTCCCGTCTAGACTCTAACTAGCCCAGGCGCGAGGACCAGGGCTGTGAGTGTATAACAAGAATTATTTCCAAACACATCCAAAACGTGCAGTGGCATCCAGCGCTTACCGTGCTCCAAACCCCCTCAAAAAGCAAAAGCAGCGGGAAACACTAAGAAAACGAGAAAAAAAGAAAGAAAAAAAGAAAAGATCCGAATCTCGACGACGTGTCATGAAAGAGATACCGCTGGTCCTTGCACGAGAGAGAGAGAAAGAGAGAGGGGGGGGGGCGTGTGCAGTGAGGATGGGGAAAACTCACTTGACTCAGTGACGATGGCATTGACTGAGCCACTGACAGGAGGAGGACATGATTTATCACACGGTTTGGGCCGCAGCTGTAGGACAGACTATGCATTGGCCCGCCAATCGGCACGTCGAGTCCAGAAGAGTGTTACAAGGATTGTGGGAAGAACAGCTGTCTCGACGGCACCATGAGGTCCTTTTGCCCTTGCCCTGAGGTTCACGGATGATGAGCTGCATCATGCCTTGGGGATCATGGAATCTACAAGTCAATGCGTTAAATGAAGGAGCAAAAGAACGGAGCACGAAACCGTTGGTCCAGAGCGCGGCCTACGCATTGTGGGAGGTTAACGGCATGTCTGCGACACTCGTCTGGGGAAATTGGGGCTTTTGGTGACCTCATCTGCAACGGTTGGTTGCATTGCATTTCAATTCGTGATGTTTATCTATTAGGGTGCAAAAGTCAAAGTGTACCGCAGACACCCTTCTGATTTCTGTCTAGACGCGGGTTCAACGGTCATCTGAGTGCGTTACCAGAAGGTTCTCACCAGGCAATGTCTGGTTTCGGATAGTGGCTCTCGGACAATGCATGCGAGGGATTGCGAAGTCCGCGGGTAGCCTCATCAAGACTTGGAATTCGTCTATCGAAGTACATGGGTCGCCAGAGTCAAAAACCGTACCAACATAAAACCCATCATAGATTGGTGAGATAGTCCTCGATCTCCTCTTTGGTCAACTTCCTGAACCGAGGGCCCCTGGCTCCTTCAACCCCTTCATATCCCAGAAGGTGATCCGCAGGAGGGCCAACGATGCCTAAGAGAGTCAGTCCTGCGCCTAACGTGCGATGTCATGATTCAAGTCATGGAGAACCTACCGATCTCTATTGTGTCCCCGTTCATCTCGCCCTCGATGGTCTCTTTCAGGGTGAGAAGGGCGATGTGGATGGCATCCTCAAGTTCCAGCCCCTCTGTGTAGCGTTTTTCGAGGAATGTCTTGGCGCTTGTTGCGTGCTTTCCGATGGCCGTGGCCTTCCAGGGATAGTAACTGCCACTGGGGTCGACCTGATACAGGCTCGGGCCGCCCTTCAGGATACCACCGGTCTTTCCGGTTGCCTTCTTGAGCTCGCCCTCCTGATCGCCACGCTGAGCTTCCCCTGTCTCGGGCTCGATTCCCTCATCCCAACCCGCAATCAGCAAACTGACACCGTATGGTCGAACACCACCAGACTGTGTTGCTTCCTGCACGACACGTGCAACGTCTTGCACCAGTATCCGAGTAGGAGGGTACTCATTATAGATGCGCTTGTATCCGGTGTGGGAGACCTTGCGGGCCTTGTCGACCAACACACGATAGTCCGGTCCCATACCAGCGTAGACCATACCGATGTCGGGCGTGATGAGGGAGATCTTGGAAAGGGAGGGAGGGTCGATGAGAGGGGAGGAGGACTTCTTTTCGGTAGCGAGGACAATTCCATTTGTCGCTGTGGAGAGGCAGGATAAGTTAAGAAGCTATCCTCCAAGCAGACACAATCAATACTGAATGATGCTCGTACCTTTAATGCCGAGGGCAGTTACACCTTGGTTGACAGCGTTCAAGGCATATTCTGGGTACAGTCAGCGCGAATACGACAAGACCAAAGAGACAAAAGTAGTACCAATTTGTACCAGCTTCCCACTGCGAGCTACTGTTAGCACTCATCCAGTACAAGTGTCACCTGCTCCGAGCTGCTCTTACCTGGGGGAGAAGGTGGTCAGCGAGAAGGAGTAACGGTCAGCCATGGGGTCGATTTGGCACTTCCACAAGCTTAAATCAAGACAATAATGCTTTCAAAAAGAGCGATGAGATGGATATTGAGATAGAATAAGGTTGTGGGAATCCCAGTTGAAGCTTCCCTCTCTTGAGCAGCAGGCGGCAGGATGTTGACGCAGCAGCAGCTTTGGCTCCATCCGCTCATCTGCCAAGCTGCGTCGGGGGCGGTGACGCTACTGAGCGGCTTACGTGAGCAGCCGTGCTCTTCTTCGACCTCCAGAAAGAAAGCTCCACATCGCTTCTTTTAAGCTGGAGGGTTTTTTTCCCCCCTTCTCTTCGTTTCTGTTCCTTCGCCTGTTTGCTTTCACGCACAATATATCTCCTCCCATACATTGTCGCTTGTTCTGTACAATTCATCTGAGTTGCTACTTGATGTTCCCTCGCGTCTCACTGGGTCTCTGGTAGATTTGGTTGATATGCTGTGGCCTAGACTTCTTGATCGTCTAGTGCAGAATGAATGTGCATAATGAGCCACTCTGGCAGTGGCCTTCAAGCATTCCTTCTAATCCTCCAATGAACTCGGAGGCAGATCAAGCATCGCAAGAGACTCATCAAGCCAGTAATACGGACCCGACTCCCTCGGAATCTCCCAGGAAGACCTACCCCCATCGTACTTGTCGCATCTGCCTGGAAACGGTCCCTCCGACTTTTCATCCTCCTTCCGAGAACCTCCCCGGGTTTCTGCAACCCAAACCGCGTGTTGTCTACGAGTCCGCTGATCCCGAGCTCGGTCGTCTCCTGCGCCCCTGCAAATGCAAAGGATCCTCACGTTATGTCCACGAGGGATGTCTGCAGTCTTGGCGGCATGCGGACCCCGATTATGGCAAAAGGAACTATTGGCAGTGCCCGACTTGTGGCTTTCAGTACCGGCTGGAGCGGTTGAAATGGGCGCACTGGATCAATAGCACACTGACGCAGATCGGATTAACTCTGAGCATTTTGTTATTAACTGTGTTTTCTCTTGGTTTCGTTGCTGACCCGATCATCAATCTCTATGTGGACCCTGTTGAGACAATATTTCATACAGAATACTGGGAGTCTAGTACTGTGTCCCAGGCATTGCCAGCGGAGACAAGGGCATCTTGGATAGAGCATTTTGTCAAGGGACTCGCCTCGCTCGGCGTCCTGTCCTTCATCAAAGCGATTCTTGCATTGACCCCATGGCATTGGTTGAATCTGCGCACCTCGGGTGTCGTCAGTAGTGGCAGGACCACCGGCAGGAGTAGGGTAGCTTCAATCAGCTGGGTAATCATCTTGATTGGTGTCCTTAGCTTCCTCTGGGTAGGTCATCATGTTAACGGTTCGATCAATGCATTGCTAAACGTGCCTCTTAGGCTGTTTGGAAGGGAGTCAGGACGTGGAGTCGCAAGATGTTGGAAAAGGCCGGCGAACGCGTCATGGATGTCCCGTTGCCCGACGATGAAGATGAGGATGCATCATCCTCTTCTGCCGAACCGCATGAGCCATCAAAAAAGGATAATTGATCACGTGTATTCACGATGGCATTCATCCTTCTGGGCTGTACATCAGCCATCGTCCCCAACGCACTACTTTAAGTTGTCACGCTCCTTGCCAATGAGGTGCCAATTAGTCAATGTGCGAAGAACGACATTGGTCCTTTTTAAATCCCAGGTTTCATCTGAGAAGTAGTGCATTCGAGACAGAACGTTTTGTTCTATTCTTTCTTGCTCTGCTTCGTCAATCAGATGAGCTCAGGGGGGATCATCAAGCTGCATTCTTGACTTATCAATACAGGACACTCCAATCGTGAGCGCTTCTGGATCGAGATGCGGTACATAATATCGTCCCTATAGTTGTAGTTATTAATCCTTTGAGTTTTGAATATCACTCAATGCCAATATATGCTGATGGCTTACCTCTATCCTTAGCGTGCCCATGGCATGTACTATTATCACAAAGTTGTCTCGACAATACCGCGGTGTCTCTTCCATCCTTTGCTTCTGCAGCATTAGAATTACGGTGGATACCTGATATGCGAATCCTGCGACCCAGAGTGTCAGCGCTTCACCACAAAAAGAGAAATAGTACGAAGGGGGAGACCTCCAGAGCCCCAACAGTCAGCCCATATCATGTCTTCGTGGTGCCTGGACGGTCTCCATGATCACGTAAATCGACCGGTTTTTTGGCTTTTGCTATATCTGTTGGAGAATATCTCCTACACTGGCTTCAGGAAGCATCTCTTTCGAATTGGGTATCCTCGCTCGAGGGAAAATCGAACTTGATCTCAAAGGTAAGGTCTTCCAGAAAGTTGAAACAATATTGACACCTTTGCGTACTGATCAGACGCCCAAAGATAGAAGGTAGATCTTCATTATGGCAAAACGCATAATGTAGATGATTCTTCAATCACCATGACCATGCGCGATTTTATTCTTGATTTCTCTTTCTGAGGACATCTTGATGGAAACATCCGTGAACCTACACTTCAAAACAGGGTAATTCCTTCACTGAGATGGGATCTTCCTGTTCTTCGTCCCTCTACAGTGAATTCTGTGTGGAGATTTCCGAGAGATACAGAGCTTGTGAGCATTCACAGTGATGTGATCTTCCTCACCAACCAGCAGCATCCCTCATATAAAAGATGCCTTTTTCCCACCATTCCCAATCGTTCTTGGACACCATATTTCTGCCGCTATCGACAGTGAACTCTGCATATCAGTTTATTTGACCTCAGAGGATCGATTTCATTGTGTTGAACTCATCTCAAAATGGGTGACAATCTTCACCAACACATACCCTCCTCCTCAGACATTGAGGACAACCTGCGCCCTGCCACTCCTGAAGGACAAAGCTCTACCAGCGACAATTCTCCGGATTCCATCAATGGACTTGTGGAGCGTCTCAAGGCTCAACTTGGTATAGGCAGCTCAAGCGCCACCTCTGATGTGCTTCCCACCCTTGAGGGCAGGCTTGTCGACGCCATACCTGGTCAGCCAATTGCGCTTGATGACTATGATGATGAAGAGGACGATGCTTCCGTCATACTTGCCATGGTGGCTGTGGATTTCGAAAATGGCACTGCTGGCCGCCGTAGCAGGGGCAACTCAGATGCAACCATCGGCGTTGTCAGTCCAATGCTCCGGGTTGCTACTCTTGAGACTGATCTTGAGCCCTTCCCTGACTACTGGGAGTCCTGTGAGAACAACCAATCCGTTGTCAACACAGCACACGAGGCATCCTACAAACACGCCATGTCCAAGGTTGTCGAAGAGGTCGTGCGCTTCAAAGAGATTGACACCCGCCTCACCACTCCTCCTGTCCTTACACTCGACGCTTCCACCGATCCTACTATCAACGACCCTGAGACCGATTCAGACTCAGAGACTTCCATTGAGCCAGATAGAAACGGATCAACCTCACCTACTGAATCCGTGGCATCTGATGCATCAGTGGAAACGGTCGTTCCTCCTCCGACAACTATCTTTCACGAAACCAAAGCTGATTTAATTGAGGATATCCAAGCCATGCTACGAAATGACCAAGTGAAGCCCGAACTGATGAACCATATCATTGGCATGACGAACATGGTCCTTTGGATGGAGTACATTCTTTTCCCTGGTTCGAACACTGCCTCGCCACCAGCGAACTTCTATTCCGCCGAGGACAGCAGCATCGTGCATCTCATGATTGAAGAAATGTCCGGTTATCTCACGGGTCGCCGCAATCATTTGCAATCCAGGCTGGGAGAAATGCGCAGAGCGAGATTCGCCATGGCGGAGATTGCATCGACTACATGGTTGTCTACACACGCTCGCTATCAGTACATGGCCGAGCTTGTCTCTGCGTAAGTCAGTTTCATTCACCTCCAGAGATCTACACAGCTAATCGATTGGATTAAATAGCTACCTTATAAAGCCAGACAGGACCGAAGTACGTCTGCTGTTTACTTTGTACGACTTGTACGATATCACTGTCTGTACGCCTTTTTCCAAACCGGACTCCAACTCGACCTCCAACCAAGAGCATCTCAGTACCGAGCGCGAGGAATTGTCTGAGCTTCTGTCCTCACTCCGAAGTGTGTTCAATGATGCCATTGATGAGTTCCAGGAGTATTGCAATTCTGTGGCTTTCATGAAAGAGGAATACGCCACTCCCCTTCACAGGCACTTCCTCAACAACCCTGGTGCATGCATTGAGCGGTGGAAGGAAGGTCAGCTGAAGCTGAAGCGCGAGATAGAGCGGAATGAAATGGCTCGGCTGAGACGCCTTGGGGGAGGAAACGCGCAGATTTGATTGACTTTGAGATGTGGTTGAGCTTAGGTTGGACTATTGGTACTGGCGTGAGGGACGGGAGATTGAACTGGGTGAAACTATGTTAACGCATCACGATGTAACGAGGGAACTGGCTATGCTTCTCATGTATTGGATTTTGAATACGCAAAGGAATCTCAGATAGCTACAATTCGGAAAAAAGAAAAAAAGATTCAAGCAGAACAAACATCCTCACGCCCAATCTTCAACCGATCCATCAGATTCAACTCAGCATTGTCGAACCAGTCGCACGCATCCGCAAAGGTCTCAAACGGATAGTCGATCGAGAACAAGATCCGATCCGCTCCAACCTCCGCCATGTAGAAATTCAGTGTCGTCATTGAGAAATGCCCGGACGTAGTTGATCCACAGATTCCGCGCAAAGTACTCGCGGATCGTCCTCTTGCACGTCGCCGCCAGACCCAGCTGCTTCTTCCAGTCCTCGAACCAGTAGTTGATCCGCCACATGTCGAAGGGGATGTGCTCGCCCAGATGGGCCAGGATGATCTGCAGCGCCGGGTGCCGGTCAAACACACCGTTGGTCACCATGCCGAGCACATGCAGGCTGACGCCGTGCGCGAAGCTCAGCGGGCGGGCCCAGGAGCCACTTACGGTCCGCCCAAAGTTTCTCGTAGATGTTGCCCGTGGGGTTACGCGGGTGCAGATATAGCGGCACGTCGAGCTCGGTGCACGTCTGCCAGAAACTATCCCATTCCGGCTGGTCGTAGAAGATCATGTCGTCGCCGTCGGGGGGCCGGCGCGCTGTGTATCGTTGACCAGGGCGCCGAGGAAGCCGTGCTACTGCACGCAGCGGCGGAGCTCGGCGGCGGCTTCTTGTGGATTGTGCATGGATAGTGTACTGCAGCGACTGTTAGCATTTGAACGGTTTGCGGAGGGGGGAGGGGGAGGGGGGAAGGGGGTATGCCGCATACGCAAATGCTTCGAAGCGATCGGGGCTTCGCCTTCATTTGCTCCGCGATGTAATCATTGATTTTCAGGACCGGTTGAGAAGAGACTTGCCCGCCACCGAGTCTTTTCTTCGAAGCGGGGGAGCGCGAAGGCTTCCTCGAGCGCGATCTTTCCAAGCATTGCTGAAGGATATAGTTGAGGGGCTTGCTCGGGTTCTTTGATGGGAAAATGGGTTGAGGAGGAATCGATAAATGCACGACTATGTTATGAACTCAAGATTGAAGGGGATGGGGTTGTTTAAATCCGATCCTTCGATACTTTCTTGCTTTATACATTGTCCTACATTGTTAAGTTGTAGTCTACTACCATGCTTCATGCCTCATGTATGATGTTGTATGGGGTCGCGGGCCGCACCCGCACCCGCAAGCAGCCGATGAGCAACTTCCATACTCTGTATCTACTACCTAACTGTCCTACATGTCAAGAAGGTCATAATATTGTGATCTAGATGTACATAGGAAATGCAAGCCTGGTGGTCGAAACTGCTCATCTTCTATATCTGCTTTTTCAAGAGAGTGGTGGGCTGGTATGGGCTAGCCTCTGCCTATGGTAGTAGGTATACTTCTAGATATATATACATCAGATGTCCCTCTGTTCCTCATGGCCTGTCCATTCCACACAATCCATCCGACGGAAAACTTAACCATGATAGACTAACAGTTGAAGACTTCTTCTCCCCCGCGAATGAATGGGGGACATGAAAATCCCTACCCGATATCCCGGGTTGCAGTCCAACGAGGCTGTGAACCTCCGGAGCCCACGACGAGGCCGAGAGCGTAGGGTCGTAAAGAGGGTTAAATTATAGGTATTTCTCATGGGATTTATTGATGGCCGATGTGCTTGAAGCAGGTTGAAAATGGCCAAGTGTGTAGGGTTGTTCATATGCATATCCGATTGAAATAGTCCTCATAGCTTGATGGCTTGAGGCTGTGCCTGCTATGGAAGAATAGAATAGACGGGAAACAGGCAGTTATGCTTGATTCTAGACCATCTCTGAATATCGGGTGAAGTGATGCTCAAGCGACACGACGAACGCAGCTTACCTGCCTGAACATCCCGGCCTCATCGCCTTTGCCATCGGTCACGGGGTTTGTTTGTCCTTGTCTGTTTCACTCTCTGACGACGACGAACTGACCATCATCCTTTCCCCCCCCCAGTCCTTATGCTTCCTTTTTCTTCAATGCAAGCCATCTCAATATTCCCGATGATATCTCAAGCGATCACCATGGAGGAGAGCTCAACCGGATAGACTACCCCAGACCATCTGGACCAACAGTACGGAGACTTACCCCGGACATCACTCCCCAGAATGACCAGGCCTGTGCTGTAATTGGGCAGAACACGAGCTTCATTGCCCCGTTTGCCTACGTCCTGACCCTCGCCACGTTTGTCTTTCAGCCTCGCGAGTATCATTGCTCAATAAGAGACCACCAATGATCGCGTGCTGACATCCCGCTCTGCAAGAACGGAGAAAGGAGGGGATTGAAGAATATGACCAAGAAGAGGGAAAAAAGCAATCAACGGCCAAGATGCCTCTCCGGCATGGATGTGCTCAACTTGCTCGAAAAACAACCAGTTTAATACCTCACCATACTGCCTGGGGCTCTTCTACTCTGCTTGAGAAGGTGTCGATCTTTGCTCAGCTGGAATTCATATTTCTTTGTTCTCGAAGCCTCCGACCCAAAATACCCTTCCCTCCATATCTGCCTCTTCATCTTGACGCTACCATAGATCTAAATACATATTCCTAACTGGATTTGATGTAAAGCCATGTTTCTCCATTCTTTGTCCTAATTCTTACTATTATTACTCGATTCTACTATCCACCTGCAAGGATCAACCTAGATCTTGGTTGCATTTCAATCGAGCCCTGGGTACCAACCTGCAGGTTCAATGGATTATAATCCAGCTAGTGAAGTTTGAATATTTCCATGCTTGGGTTCGCAGTATATTCAAATACAAGTCTACTGTCGAAGCACCTTAGTTTGATCAAGTCATCTCGTTCGCACCGACTTGACACCTGTGAAAAGATTCCAAGAACATACATCCTGTCTGAGTTCTTTGTCTGCAGTGGAGATGCAAGGGCCTCATGATACCAGCCCTTACGGGGACCGGGTCAGTGAACAGCATGTGGAAGATGTTGAATATGCGACGGACAAGAGAAACTCCTTTGTCGACCAGCGCCGTTACGGAACAGCGGCAGAGCGTCAACGCCGAAAACTGAATGCCATACTTGCCAATCCACTTGCCGGATATACCCCTGAAGAGCTGCGCAGGCAAGGCATCGACTTCGCTCTCAAACACCACATGGGGGATGAAGAGGATATCCGTGCTTTCGAGTTGGGCGCCGTCCTGGCCCAGGCCCCGGCCAAATTCGCAACTGTCTCCGGTCTCACACCCGAGGAGCGTGAGATTCTGCACAGGGAATTCACCCATCGTTGGTCGCAGCCCTGGACGATGTATCTCGTCATCGCCCTATGCTCTCTGTCGGCAGCAGTGCAAGGGATGGGTAAGTGATAGTGCCATCTCACATTTTTGCTGCGAACGTCGTTGCTGAAACCCTCGTCCGCTCCCCATTAGATGAGACGGTTGTCAATGGTGCGCAGATATTTTATAAAGGGCAGTTTGGCATTGGTAGCGATGAGTCGAGAGATAAATGGCTGGTCGGCCTTGTCAATGCTGCGCCATACCTTTGCTGTGCGGTAGTAGGTTGCTGGCTGGCAGTACCGTTCAATGCCTGGTTTGGCCGTCGAGGGACCATTTTCATCACTTGCTGTTTCTCCGCCATCGCTTGCCTTTGGCAAGGATTCGTCAACACGTGGTGGCATATGTTTATCGCTCGCTTCGTCCTGGGCTTCGGCATTGGTCCTAAATCGGCCACCGTCCCCATCTACGCGGCGGAAACCGCACCCCCTGCCATCCGTGGTGCGTTGGTGATGCAATGGCAGATGTGGACTGCCTTTGGCATCATGCTGGGCTACGCGGCCGACCTAGCTTTCTTCGAGGTCCCGGACCCGTCAGACATTGTCGGGCTGAAATGGCGAATCATGATGGGTTCGGCGATGTTCCCAGCGGTCCTAGTTTGTCTGTTTGTATTCTCGTGCCCAGAGTCGCCGCGATGGTACATGTCTCAGAAACGCTACTACAAGGCGTACGAGTCAATGTGCAGCCTGCGCACCCACAAGATCCAGGCCGCCCGCGACCTGTACTATATGCACACCTTGTTAGAGGCAGAGAACACCATCAAGCTCGGCCAGAACAAGATCTGGGAACTCATCGCAGTACCTCGAAACAGGCGTGCCTTGGCCGCGTCGGAAATCGTCATGTTCCTGCAGCAGGTGAGTACTCCCAGAGTTTCCCATCGTTTCCCACCATACGTTCTCTTCCTGAGTTGACTCCCCCCCCTTTCCCCCCTCCAGCTCTGTGGAGTCAATGTAATAGCGTATTATTCCTCCGAAATCTTCCACCAGGTGACAACCACCCGTAACGCGCTAGCCACCTCCTTTGGCTGGGGCGTGGTGAACTGGCTCTTCGCCATCCCCGCCATTTACACGATCGACACCTTCGGCCGGCGCAACCTCCTCCTAACCACATTCCCTCTCATGGCCCTCGCCATGTTCTTCACGGGCTTCAGCTTCTTCATCCCCAAAACGGAGGACAGCAATAACGCCCAGCTCGCCTGCGTCGCCCTGGGCCTCTACCTCTTCGGCGTCGTCTACTCCGTCGGCGAGGGCCCCGTCCCCTTCACCTATTCCGCCGAGGCCTATCCGCTCTACGTCCGCTCGCACGGCATGGCCCTCGCCACCGCCACGACCTGGTTCTTCAACTTCCTCCTCGCCATCACCTGGCCGTCGCTGCACGGGGCCTACGGCGACAAGGGCGCGTTCTGCTGGTACGCCGGGTGGAACCTCGTCGGCTTCGTGCTCGTGCTGCTGTTCATGCCGGAGACGAAGGGGTTGACGCTTGAGGAGCTCGACCAGGTCTTCTCTGTGTCGACGCGGGCCCATGTCATGTATGGCTTGCAGCAGGTGCGGTATTTCTTTCAACAGTATATCCTGCGCAAGAACGTGAAACCCGTGCTGTTGTATGAGCGGGACGATGCCTCGATTTATGTGAATGATGTTGGCTTCAATGCGGATTGAGCTGGTTGCACCGCGGAGGTCATGGGGCTATGGGTTCTGGAGTAATGGTTGACGACAATTATGCTAATGAGTCGGTGTGCGACCACTTCATTGAACATCGCCTTCTTCTTGGAGTACATGGTTGCATGTAGATGGTTAAATGATACTCGAATATATTTCTAATCACTTGGATACACTCTCAGCAACAGTTCATACAATCAGATGTTTTTCTTGGAGTAAATAAAAGTCTGAAGATACCGGGGGTTCAGACACATGTACTACGATAGCTATTTGTAAGAGCCTATGAAGCAAGCAAGTCAGTAATGAGCTTTAGAGGTCATTGGAGACATGCATGTGACGTGAACAAGAACAAAGGTATTGATGACTTTCTCAGACAGCAGTTGGTACGATTGTAGATCCGCATGGAAAATGCTCAGAACAGGTCTGTGTGAAATCTTGCTTCATCATAGAAAGTGATTAAGGTTTGGGGAATAACGTGGGAGGACAAAACCAAGAGGACAGGAAGGAGGAATCATACCTTGATATTAATGAAATGCTTGAGTTCAGTCAAACTGTCCCAGTAAGTCGGTAGAACTGGTTCGTCGACTCCTGCCTTGACGGTTGAAGCGTGTTCCGTACAGTACCGCCGGTGCGCTCAACTTGCTGCGCCATATCCAGATGACTTGTGTCATCGACAGACATGACAGTCATAGACCAGCTAGAGAGCAGAGCCTCGAAGGACTCGCGCTGCTGCAACACCCCCAACAAGAAGGGAGGCGGACTCGCGGCGTCACGGACAGCGGGGCCTGCAATCGTGGAGGGCCGGATATCGAGTTCCATGGCACCGGTGTTCGACCACACAGGTCGCACATAGTCCCCGAAGTCGGCGCGGGCGGCCCCAGCCCCAATGTGGATGTCTCTTTGGTTGAACAGATCAGCGAGACAGACCCAGAGAACCTGGAGAATGACACCGTGGGATACGACAGCGATGACCTCCTCCGGCTTCGTCGTATCAAGATTCACCAGCAACGGCACGATATAGTCCTGCAGGAAGGCGTTAACGCGAGTGCGCATAGAGACAACCGACTCCTCCTCGGTGTAGGATGGCTCGCCCCCGCGCAACGCATCCGGAGAGCTGATACTGGACCCAGGAGCACCAGACTTCCACCTTGTCCCTTCAAGGGAGCCGAACGACTGCTCCCTCAGGTTCGAGGTTTGAATCGGGGTCAGGAAGGGTCCGCTACTCAGCTGCTGCTGGCAGATATCCTGCGCCGTCTCCATGGCTCGATCGAGGTCCGAAGAGAATACCTGGGTAAAGCGCACCCCGCGGTCTCTGAAGCGTCGAGCGAGCAGATGGGCTTGCATCTTACCCTTATCAGTCAGGTAGTGGCCATTGGTATCGCCTCTGCAAATTCCATTGGTATCACGGGAATGTCAGTTGCCATTCTATCTAAGTCAACAGAAGACGCGTACGCTGCTTGTCCCACGTTATGTCCACACTCTGCATGTCGAATCAGAAATAGCTTCATACTGGAGTGATCGCACACAATTTGAAATCAGCTTGATGGCGAGACAAGTCCATTTTGGTCTCCTCTGACGGACAGCGGCAAGAGTGGAATGACTTTAAAGGGAACATGGAGCAGGAGAAGGCGCAACGTGATGAAATCGTGATTGTTTTGCAGTTGCTGGAAAAAATATGCTTGGTTCGCTAAGGGGCCAATCGGCGCTAAAATGTTTGGTTAGTTTGCGCTGTTTGAATGATTTGTGCCAAAACGCCGGGAAAAAAAAAAAAAAAAAAAAAGAAGTTTTAATGTCACCAGGCGTGCATGAAGTATTTGTCGACGAGTCTGAAGATTCCTTGCCAGCTTATTTTCACTTCGGTGGCAGAATACACTGGTTCGATAAAATATTCATATTCTCTTTCCTTGAGGTGCGGAATCTAGATCAATTGTGGATATCTTTTTGCTAAATCTTCTAAATTGTTGTCAGGAACGATAAGAGCCTGTTTGTCACATAAGTGTCATAATACAAAAAGATATCAAAATGGCCGACGCTCCTGATAGTCCCGTACCGCAGCAAGAAAGTGTGTAGGGCAGAATCCTTTGGGTGGCTCATTTAGGGCTTATTCCAAAAGAAGTCAACCGATGGCCTTGATCTCAAATGACTGATGCATCCTTAGCTCCCGGAAGATCACCTTTCCAGAATGGTGTCAGAACATCAGGCCGTGCTTTCAATTCGCCCAACTGGCGCATGAAGGGCGAAGAGAGCCCGAGCGCTCGGGACTCTGGATCCCCCGGACCCAAGACAACTACCTCGAGACTCACATTCGGCAAGCTCAACTCTCAAGTGCCCCCGGCCATCTCTGAAGGTCGACGCCTCTATGTCGGTAACATGCCCTATACAGCCAAGTCGGAGGATGTGGAAGCACTGTTCACCGCGACGAAGTTCCCAATGTATGAATTTGCACGGATTCTCCTTTGACAATGGTTGAGAAACTGATCGCTTCGTAGTGAGCGTATCGATATCGCCATCGATCCTTTCACGGGCCGCAATCCTTCATACTGTTTCGTGGATTTGGACACAAAGGAATCGGCAGAGCGAGCGATGAACGAATTAGATGGCAGTGATTTGCTCGGTCGTCCTGTCAAGATCAAGCCAGGTGTCGCCAAATCTGCAAGCGAGCGTGCTCAGCAACAACGCACCGAAGGTGCGCCTCGTGGCGACAGAACCAGCAGCAGCAGCAGCAGCAGCAGCCCATTTGCTGCTGACCGCTGGCGCCGCAACGATGCTCCTACCTTCCCCAAGGTCAATAGCGACACCAGTCGTCGTGTATACGTCGGTGGACTCCCAAAGGTGATTGATACCGAGGAGATCACCACCAAAATCACTGATTTCTTCAAGGGATACAAAGTGTAGGTTTTGATGTTTCGAGCTCCATTTTCCAAGGCTAATGATCTCAATTATTAGTGAGAACGTCAGCAAATTGTTTACTCCTCACCCTGCGAAGCGATTTGAAGCTGGAGACCACTACTACCTCTTTGTTGAGTTCAGCAGCGTGGAAGAGGCCCAGACCGCCATGGATACCTTGAACGGCCAGCAGGGTCCTTGGGGCGGCAACCTCCGTGTGCAGAGAGCCCGAGGAGAAACCTATAACTCCGAGGAAAGGAAAGCTAGATGGTCATCTACTCGAGGCGATGCGAATGATGCACCGGTTACCGATGAGGTTGCGGGAGACGTATAAACAGTTGCAATGCAATCGCTTCACATATTGCTGCTTGAAAAAGGCCATTGAACAGGCAAACCCAGTCTATGCTAGAAAAAGTCAAGGACGAGGAAAATAGGCATCGCCAGCGAAATGGCTGGATACCTTTCGTCAATCTCGCCCACGAATGGTCCAGATGTGGAAACAGACTGAAGACTCCGATTCAAACCGTGGATCAGCCCCTGTTTGTCTTGAGCTCGGTTCAAGGCACCAGACCTCGATGGTCAGCAGAATCTTTCTGCTCTTGGTGACTGCAGACACCAAAGGAGAATTTATCACAATGGCCCAAGACCATACCAAATCGGGGAGTTGATCGCGGCGAAGCATATTCTGATTGCTCGTACTCCATCTTAAACGTCAACTGGCAGGGAGAAGGCATTCATAATCCGAAGCACATCAAGATAGTAAAATATTAGTCAAAAAATGATACCAACAAGCAGATTCCCCTAAAGAAATGAGTTGCAGGTCAGAGTCAATCTCGCAGATTAGAGTGATGTTACGCTTGGATTGCGTGGAATGTAGAGATAAGAGGTCCACAACAGGGCCCTGTGGGAAGAACGACTGTCATAAAAAAATCCTATCTTTATCTTTAAACTAGGATATGTATAGTGCCTCTTTCTGTATTATTGTGTAGGAACCTGAAGACAGGAGAACAATACAGCCTGCTTCCAACTCCAGCTCGAAAAGAGTCCACAGATGACGAAGCCTGAACCAGATCGCCCAGATGCGGTGTCAAAAGCGGTCGCACCTGTTCGGCAGAATCAAGGAAGGTCTCATTGAGGATTAGCCGACGGCCCCAGATTTTCACGGCTGATTTGGTCATAGAAATGATAGAATAACATGAGATGACGGGCGTGGAGAGTCGAAATTTGGACAGCCTGGACCTAGATTACAATCTACAAACGGTATTCCGTCCAGCCGATTGTACCCTACCTTCTCCATCATAGACCAGGCCACCATCGTACGACTAGAATTGCTACAGCATCTAGCTGACTACCTAGATGTTCTATTTGAAGAAGCCTTCCACCACACCCCGCCAAAAGAGGACATTCCGATCGGCCTAGGCAGGAACTAAGAACTGAAAAAGAGGACTAGAGGAGTCTATAGAGTGTCACCTGCCCGATTTCCTCAGTCGGGACTCGGGAGTCTGGACGAGACAAGACCAGAGTAAGACAAGACGATATACATACTGGTGTAGGTACCAATACCACGGGTGCGAATTTACCCGACGAAAACGTGAGGGTCACGTGGAAACCTCTCTTCGACGTCGTCCTTTTTCTTCAGCAGGGAAAATTCCTTCATCTGAAGAATGAGAAAGAGAACCATCAAAGAGGAAGATTGTTTCCATCATTCGGTGACCGCATCTTTCTCCAGCGGAGGGGTTATCATCAGGAACTTCTCTAGTTATATTCACTGCCCCGCGGCATGACGTCTGTGCTGTTCTTCTCCTTCTTCACCGCATCGACTGTTGGGCTTAATGTGATCCAGCCAGTTACAACTACTTTCAAGATCTCTGCAACAAATCCCCTGTAAGACAGCCGGATCTGTCTTCTGTCATTCGAGGGGGAAAAAAAAAAGAAATTAAAGAATTCGAAATCTTCTGCAAAAATTAGAGCAAAATCTTGCCCATACTCTTATTGTTCTTTTCCGTTACATATACCCTTCGATTTTTCCAAATCGGCCCTCTGTTCAATTGGAGACTCTTGGCCGAGGCTATTAGCCAATCTCCCGGTGTGTTGGCGATATTATAAGAAAAAGGCTACACGAAAGAAGTTCTTGATTGCGAAAGATGACTTCTGGGATTTCAGCTCAAAGAGGCTCCGGCCAGAAGAGTTTTTTTGCCAGCGTAAGTGCTTCTTATTTCTTTGTCAGATCGTTTGTTTATGTCCTACTCCGGTGGGACGGACCGGCGGAGTCTGTCTGGACTCCATGGCCGATACTATGTTCAACTATATTACTTTATGTCTTGCAAGAGTCATGCATGATTTGATGGCATGTTGCTTCAAACAGGCTTGGACTTCTAAATAGAGGAAAGTCAGCGAGTGAGAAAAGCACTCTCTTTGTCTTGTACCCCCGATTACACCTGTGAGAGCTTCTTCGGGTCTCTTAGATTCTACAACGCCCCTGGCATTTGGACTCTCTGTTTGGGCATTCTGTGTTTTCCCTGAGACTTTCTATATCCCAAAGAAACACTCCAAAGGGAATCTTCTGCTGCATTTAATAACGAGGCGATAGTCAGATGACTCCAAAATCTGTGTGGTCATGGTTGGCCTTCCAGCCCGGGGCAAGAGTCTCATAGCTGGAAAGGGTATGTCAAGTCTTTGATCTCCTTACACGCCGGAAAACCTTCTAATGGAAAGCTGATATATCATCCAGCCATGCGATATCTGGGCTGGGTCGGTATACCAGCTCGAGTATTCAACGTGGGCACCTACCGCCGTCAGGACACTCCGCAACCAACTGCTACTTTCTTTGATCCTCACAATCCTGAGGGAGAGAGGATGAGAAGAGCGGCTGCCGAGGCGGCATTGTCAGACATGCTGAACTGGTTCAAAGCCGGAAAAGGCGTTGTAGCCATCCTTGATGCCACGAATTCAACAAAAACACGGCGTCGCTGGATCTATGAGACTTGTCACGAAGCTAATATTGAGACACTGTTTGTTGAATCGATATGTGATGATGAGGACCTCATTATGAACAACATTCTGGAAGTGAAAACTACTTCGCCTGATTACAAAGGACAGGATCCTGAAGCCGCCGCGCTGGATTTCCGAAACCGCATCCGCAATTACGAAAAAGTCTATGAGACCATCGACGATGACGAGAGAAGCTTCACCTATGTAAAACTCATTAATGTCGGCTCCACGGTCATCATCAACCAGATCAAAGACTATCTCTCGAGTCGACTGGTCTACTACATCCAGAACCTCCATATCAAACCTCGCTCGATCTGGCTTTCTCGCGTGAGTCTTTCGCCAATGTACCCAGGAATCGAGTAGAGCTAATCTTTTCCTAGCATGGTGAGTCAGAATACAATCTGACAGGCAAGATTGGCGGGGACTCCAATATCTCAGAACGTGGCGAAGCTTATGCTCGGGCTCTCCCTGGGCTTTTGCGAAAGTCTGGTGTTCCTCCCAATACAAAGATTGTCATTTGGACGTCCACTCTCAAACGTACAATTCAGACTGCTCGGCACCTTGCGGCTGAGACAGGCTACGAGAAGTTAGAGTGGAAAGCTCTTGATGAGCTTGACTCGGGTGTCTGTGATGGGCTCACCTATGAGGAAATTGCGGACCAGTACCCTGATGACTTTGCGGCCCGTGATGAGGATAAGTACAATTACCGTTACAGAGGCGGCGAGTCCTATCGCGATGTTGTGATTCGCCTAGAGCCGATCATCATGGAGCTGGAACGCAGTGAGAACGTCATGATTGTGACACATCAAGCTGTCTTGCGTTGCATCTATGCCTATTTCCTCAATGTGCCTCAAGAACAAAGCCCTTGGATGGAGGTTCCTCTCCATACATTAATCAAACTTACGCCTCGTGCATACGGCACTGAGGAACAACGCTTCAAAGCCGACATCCCTGCCGTATCCACATGGCGTGCGAAGGGCACATCAGCGAAACATCAAGACTACCCCACCGAACTTCAAAAATAAAATAAATAAAAATAAATACTGAGATTGGGGGGTATTCTTTGGTTGATGTCTCTCTCCCAAAGTGTGACTCCCAGCCAATTCGTTGATACGAAGCTTGTTGTTGGCTGTGAGAGTAACAACCATTTTTTATCATCGTTCTGGGCGCCTATTGTTTGTCATAGCCCTCTCCGTTTCTGACAAACGGTGCCCCGGGTAGCATGATTTGTATCAATCTTGCATATTGTCTGACATCTGTATGAAGTATACACGCTTGTGGCCGGCTACATCTCCGTTCCTCTGTCGATTTTCTTTCTTTTTATCTGCATAGGGCCGCTTGAGCATCACCTTAACGTGGAGCGCGCAGTCAACAGCCAAGGGAACTGCAGATATCTGGTATTCGATATTTGATAGGTGCCAGCATCTCCCGGGCGCTCTCTTTGGTCATATACTACACATACCAAACATAGGATAGAATCTTCTATAATACAAAATGCACATAATAAAGATGCGCAGAATCTCTTATCGGTGTGAGTGCCTCAGGTGTCCTAATATGACGTCTGCCAGCCAAGTCCACGGGCAGTGATCTGATTAGCCGGGGCCAAAGGCGGCAAGCGTGACCCCTGTCACATGAGTCGGTGGGAAACAGCGTTGAGACGATGGTGTAACCGGTGAATTAAACGTAAACTGCTTGCAGAGCAGACGAACAACATGACCAGAGCAGCATGGTAGCTGCGCTCAGATCCTCATCTTATTCCAATTGGACATGAACGAGAGTTGTCCCCTTGACAGGTGAAGAGGCGCGACCAAAGGAGCTCGCTGCCGAGCCATGCTATCCGCTTTCACGGCTCGGCCGCTCGTCGAGCTCAAACCGCGAGACAAATCGAAGATCGAGTCGGTCCTCGCGTACGGCGATCGCCTTCTGGTAGGGTTGAACAATGGCAGCTTGCGGATATACAGGATCAATGAGCTCTCCAATGGCGAAGCGGAGAGCGAGGACCATCAGGTCCAAGGTGCGGAGGGAGAAGGCACAATGAGAAACGGGGACAGTAACCGGCCTGCGACCATGGGCTCAGTCACGAACTCAAAGCCCAAGCAGACAGATTTGCTCCGCGAACTGGAGAAGTTCGCCAGATACAAGATTGAGCAGCTGGTGCTGATCAAGGAGGCGAAGCTGCTAATTTCGCTTTCTGGTGGATACGTCTCGATTCACGACCTGCAGACCTACGAGCTCCAGCAGCAGCTTACGAAAACAAAGGGCGCGACTACGTTTGCTGTGACGTCGAATATCGTCCACGATCCGGAAACGGGCGTTCCCTCGATCGTCTCGCGCCTCGCTGTTGCCGTCAAGCGAAAGATACTGCTATGGACGTGGCGCGATATGGAGCTAGAAAATGATACGGCGGAGATGACGCTGGTTAGTGGGATCAAGACACTCACCTGGGTTTCTGGCGCAAAGCTGGTCGCTGGGTTAAGCTCGAACTTCGTTATGGTGGATATCGAGACCACAACTGTCACCGACCTGGTTGGGCCGGGGAGCATTGGTGGGCTTCCGGGGCAAGAGACCGGACGTTTGGCTGGTGTTGGAGTTGCTAGCATGAGCTATATAGGAATCGGCGGCGCAGCCCCGAAACCAATGGCTACACGACTCAGCGAAGGCCAGGTGTTATTGGCAAAGGATATAAACACTCAGTTCATTGATATTGACGGTAATTCTTTGAGGCGAAGGCAGATCCCCTGGAGTCATGCCCCTGTGGATATCGGGTACTCTTATCCTTTCCTGCTAGCACTTCACGACTCTTCGAAGGGGGTGTTAGAGGTTAGGAATCCGGAGACGCTGACATTGCTTCAATCGGTGCCACTGCCGTCTGCGAGCGTCATGCATATTCCTCAACCTACAATTAGCTTGACACACGCTGGTAAAGGCTTCCTGGTTGCCAGCGACCGTATTATCTGGAGGATGGAGGCTCTGAGCTATGATACACAGATTGATACTCTTGTCGAAAAAGGACATCTCGACGAGGCGATCAGCCTCGCGAGTATGCTTGAGGACGCTCTTTTAAGAGATAAAGCGGGTCGGCTGCGCTCCATCAAGCTTGAGAAAGCCGAAACTCTGTTTACCCGTCGAAAGTACTTGGAGTCTATGGAGCTCTTCACAGAAATATCAGCTCCTCCGGAGAGTGTGATACGACTCTATCCTCGAACCATAGCCGGCGAACTCTCCACCCTTCCAGAAGAAGCGGAGGATTCGGAAGACAGTACTATGGATGGCCAGCCAAAAGCCGATGAAACCCAGAATCAAGAGAATGCCCGATCTTCGGAAGAAGCCGCAGCTGCTAGAACTCTTATTCACACGCCTTCTGTGAGATCTCTTCTTCGGACGAAAACTGACGACGCCAGCGATACGGGCAGTATCCGTAGTAAGCTTGTGGAGGAATCTCGCGGCGACAAACGCCTTGAAGGCAAGGACCTCAAGCTTGCTGTTCGTGAGCTCCAGGCGTATCTCGCGGATGTTCGCCGGCGCTTTCAACGATTCCTCAATCCCGATGGATCGCTCAAATTAGATCCGGCCACCAGCACGGTGAAAGATGAGTTCGCCGACTCTGTCACGAAGCTGCTTGGCATTGCTGAGGGCGACCAAGATTACGACTTCGGCGAGAGGCTTCGGGAGAAAGCGAAGCTTGTCGACACAACTCTTTTCCGGGTATACATGTACGCGACTCCATCCCTTGCGGGCTCCCTTTTCCGTATCGCCAATTTCTGCGATCCGGACGTAGTTATCGAGAAGCTGGAAGAGACTGGCCGTCAGAACGACCTGATTGACTTCCTCTACGGCAAGAAACTGCATCGGCAAGCCTTGGGGCTGCTGAAAAAATTTGGTCAGGCTGAAGGAGAGGAGGAAACAGCGTCTCAGCTCCATGGGCCAAAGAGAACAGTGGGCTATTTACAGAATTTGTCTCCAGATCACATCGATTTGATCTTAGAATTCGCTGAATGGCCAATGCGCGAGGATCCTGACCTGGGCATGGAGGTTTTCCTTGCAGATACTGAAAATGCGGAAACGTTACCACGTCACCAGGTTCTGGATTTTTTGAAAGAGATCGATGTCAAGCTTGCAGTTCGGTATCTCGAGCACATCATCGGAGAACTAAATGATATGACGCCAGACTTGCACCAAAGCCTATTAGGTCTCTATCTGGATCGCCTCGAGAGACACAAAAGCCAGGAACAAGAATTTGCCAGTGAAGACGATCATATCGATTTACGAAACAAATTATTGGATATGTTACGGACGAGTTCCCAGTACTCGCCGGCTAAGATCCTTGACCGTCTGGATCGAGATGGTAGGCCTATGCTTACTCTACTCTCAGTTGAGACAATGCAATAAGCTGACTTATTTGGAAAAGATCCTGAATTTTTCGAGGCGAGAGCGATCGTTTTCAGCAAGATGGGGCAGCATAGACAAGCGCTGGAGATTTACGTGTTCAAGCTCGAAGACTATGTTAAAGCCGAAGAGTATGTCTTATTACTGAATGACCTCTACCAGGTTGAGAAGCACGTCTGACAATTGCGCGACAGATACTGCAACCACTTGCATAAAACCGAAGATGCGACTAGCACGGAGACTACGGCTACACAGAGTATAGCTCTTCCAGATTTCGAAGGAGAGAAATCATCCATATATTTGACATTACTATCTCTATATCTGTCTCCACCGCATGGGTACAAACCACGATATGGACCCGCGCTGGAGGTGCTCGCCAAACATGGATCTCGCCTTCCTCCAAACTCGGCTCTGGAGCTGATCCCGGAGTCCCTCCCGGTCAAGGAGCTCGAGTTTTACTTCAAAGGTCGCATGCGGGCTGCCAATTCTATTATGAACGAGTCCAGAATTGTAGCGAGCCTGCAAAAGTGCCAAAATATCAAGACCCAAGCCCAGCTGTTGGTTGGCGAAGGAGGTGATGGCAAATCATCCAGGTCGAGACATGTCACGGTTACCGAAGAGAGAATCTGTGGAATTTGCCATAAACGACTTGGTGGGAGTGTGATCAACGTTTTCCCCGAGTAAGTCTCTCGCTGCACTGGAACTTTTGTGTCCTACGCATTTTCTCCCCAGCCTCCTCGCACATCCTGACTGACTAATATAGCAACACTGTTGTCCATCTCGGCTGTGCTAATCGCATTTCTTCCGCTGTTTCGTAATTGCATTCTTCTTGCACAGTCAACTATGCTTGTAAATTTTGTCATGATGTTCTGTTTTCTTTCTCCATCTGCCTCGTCTCTGTCGGATGCGAGGCGTGGGAGTGTGGATGAAGTGGCGAGTGCTTTAGGCGATATGATACCCCAGGATAGCAGACATATCCCAAGGAGTCAATAGAACTGATTTTCCGGTGTGGCGCGCCGGTGTTGAGGCTGCGATCACATCCCGTAGTAAAAAAAAACAAAAAAAAGGCACCAGAATCCGCAACAAGCCAAGCCGAGTGTGCCGCGGTATAGCTTCGATTGGGGGAAGCGATTGACTCAAGCATCCTCCTCGACGACCTCCTCACCATAGTTCTCCTCTTCTTTGGCTTCCTTCTCGGACAGTTGGCGTCCTTGCGCTTCCGCCGCCTTCTTGTCGTCTTCCATCCGCTCTGTTAGGAAGACATTAATTTCGTTCTGTAGTTTGGGCACTAAGCTTCTCAGCTCGGCAAGATAAGCCACTTTCAATTTGGTGTGTTCGGGCGAGGTCTCAGAGGAAGCGAGAGGGGCGGAAAGTCTGTGTTCGAAAGCCTGTGTTGAGGGCTGAGGGGCTGAGTAGACAGCGCGAAGGACTCGCTCGGTGGAATTGGTCGATGGCATGATTGATTTGAAGTGAAGAGATAAAAAGCCGTATACCTAGTCCTTTGTATTTGAGAATGAAGAAATCAATGCTAGAGTTTTCGACAAGGCCAACTCTCGCAGGGAGGTGGAAATTAGAGAAACGAAGCTGGGCAGCGTGCGGGCGGGGCGATGCGTAAAGGCGGCGTTGTTTCAAGCGTAGCTGAGGCCCAGCAGAGCCAGCGATCGACGATGATGGGCGTTATTCATCCTTCTCTTTGCTGATCTAGGCCAGGCACCTTCGTATATCAATAATCCGAGGTTCCAGGAGTGAAAACCGCCCAGAAAAAGGGATCATGGGGGTGTATATATTCTATGATGCTGGAACCGCTTACTGACTAACACAACCTGCTCTACTTGCTGTCCATTCCAGACACGTCCTGCCCTCTGATGATGTTACGCTCTCCGGTCTCACCTGAGCGATCCTCTGCCCGCTCCCCAATTCCACCTCGACCATCCTTCGACGACGAATTGGGACGACCTGGCTCCTCTGGGAGTGATGCCTCTTCGATTTACTCCAATGTGACTACCGTGTCTGCTGTCCAGAACTCCCTCACTGAAAATAGTGCTGTTGCCCCAGGCACATCTTCCCCCCGGTTTCCCCGGACCTCGTCGACCGCCACGCCCAGCATCAACGGCAGTGCTTCCCCAGGCAATATCTCCAGACGCCCCTCGGCCTCGTCATTGATGCCCCAGAATGAAATGTCCAGCAGAAAGGTATCCGGTCGAGTTGTTCCGCCGGAACTGGTGAGACATCGCTCCCGCCATCACTCACAGGGATTCTTCGAGCCATCCCTCCCGACGGCGTCCTTAGCAGATGTCACGCTCTCCGCCTCCCGAATCGCGGCACAGACGGCGATGCAGCAGCAAACCTCTGGTGCGCAACATCCTCCCAAGCGAATACCACCCAGCGCTCAGAGTGGCGATGATGGAGGGAGACTCAGGATGGGCGGGAGCGCTTCTCCTCCCCTACCTCCAACACCGGTTCTGACAGCGTCTGGCTCCGCGACTTCTTCGGGACAAGCAAGTCATAATGTGAGCGCGGGTGTGGCTACGACAGCTGCCAATCTCGTGTTTTCCAGAGGTCCTGGGTCTCATGCGGAACAGGCGCAGCCGGAGCGTGAGCAGAAGTACAAGGGGGACAAGCCGAAGTTGAAGCTGTTCTCGAAACCGAAGCATATCGGAATCAGTCGTGACAAGGATCCTTACGGGAAAGACAAGGGCATTCCCTCACCGAGCAAGATGGGGTTTGGCGGCTCAGGCGGGTTATCACGCATTGTCAGCGGGTCCACGGATACGCTCCCGTCGAGCAATTCGTCCATGTACAGCATGTCCAATGCGTCCATCAACACGGTGGTTCCGGCTGACAGGCAAATGTCCGGTGAGAAGGAGAAGGATAGAGACAAGGAGAAGGACAAAGCTCATAAGCACCATTTCTTGTCGCGGCAAAAGCTCAAATTGAAGGACAGAGACGATCACTACAATCTGCCTCTGTCTTCGGCCTCGAGCAACTCGAAACCGTCAGACCCGAATGCACCGCAATCTCTCTATTCCTTCACTCCTGCCTCTCCCAACGCAGGGTCGACCACGTTTAGCAAAACCGTGGGAGGGCTAGACCTCTTGCATGGGGCTCGGGCGCATCGAGAGAAGAAGAAAGAGGAAAAGCTGCGAGAGGAATTAGAACAAGACTCAACTGTCGCTGGGATGACGCCTGCTGCGTTTGCCGGACCGTCATCACTTGGAACTTCGGCGGGAATTCTGCCTGAAGCCGCGTTAAGGGAGACACTGTCGGGCTTCGGTCTTCATAACATGACTCCGGAGGACGCATGGGATTTTTTGAAGGCCAAGCTGCTGGTGATCTTTGACGGTGAGGACGTGCGCATCGCCATCGAGGATCTCAACAAATTGGTGCTCATCCACATCCAACGTTGCGTTCAGAAGCGTACACCAACCGCCATTGTGCAGGATCTCCGGGAACTACTTGAGACAGGGTTTGCCTCATTGAACCACACGTTGAACGGAGTGCCCGACGAGAAGCTGGTTCCTCATTTGGTGCAAATATGGCTGCTTGTCTTTGGTACAATTCTCCCATTCATCCAGGCTGTCTTCCTTCCGCTAGACCTGGAATTTCGTGGTTCCGGATCCGTGATGAACTTACGAGAAGCAAAGGATTTTTGGAACTTAGTCCCAGCTAAGGACGGTTCGGAGAGCGAGCTCGAGGTTCGGCACCTGGTTCTGGTCGCGTTTCGTGACATGGTGATCCTCAAACGCTACGAGGGCCTCAAAGCCACCTTTTCTCGTCTCAGCCTGGATAGTATCAATGTAGGCTCATCTGCCCTCAGCATCACGACCAAGAGCAGTAGCAATAGTGGTCGACCAGCCACGGCTGCTTCTCTTGACGCCGGGTTTGGCAGTTACAGCTCTCAATCATCTACACTTCTGAACGCTGCGGGCAGTTACTCCTCTGATTCAATAAGCAACCGCAGTCGTGCTGCCTCCAACACGTCGTCCAACCCTGATCAACTCATCTTTCAGTCCTTCTCATCCCCGTCGCAACGCGCGACCATTATCCACCGAGCATCACATACAGCAGATACTTCCCAGCTTATTACTGAGACCGTCGGGCGGATGCTACAGTGTCTCAGTGTCCTAGCCAGCGTGCAGACAGGCAACCAGGCGCAGGAGAAGATTGAGACTCTGAGCAAAGCGCTCAAACACAACTGGCTCGGACGCGGACGGACAGGGCGAGACCGACGCGGGTTTGTTGGAGCCAAGATTCGGCCCACCTTAACGACACGGACGAATAGTGATGACTCTACGAAAGATACAAGAAATGGTGATTCGGGCTGGCAGATGCGGGACGGACGCCAGGAATTGAGTGTCCTGTGAGACTTTGAATGTGGGTGCAGCATTTCAGCTGGTGGTTCTTTTACCTTTTTGTGTTAGATTGGCCCACATGGATCTCTTGTTTTTGTCTGGTACAAAATATATACCTCTTTGTTGGGTGATGGCATGTTTTCTTCAAGGGTCTCGTTTGTAGGATATCAGGTGCACACGGTTGTTACTTTCAAATGGACCTGGAAATGTTATCATGATACTTTATCTCATTGACCTGGTAGATGCTTGCAATTTTGCAATTTAGACCCTCCTAAAGTTCGACTCAATCCAAGAACCTCGCCAACGGCTTCGATGAAGCATTGTCATCGCGGGTCGAATCCGCCAACAGCCACAAAACTATCCGAACTTCATGTACAGGATCAAGCATCCGAGTATCTCACTCCTCATCCTCGACAGAAGCGGCGGCTTGACCCTTCTTACTCAACTCCTTGATCTTCTTCTGTATCGCCATCGCGGGATACTTGCCTCCACCATCCGCCTCCACCCCCTCAGAAATCTTCTGCCACTTCTCCTGCTCAAACTTATCCTCAACCTCCTTTTTAACCTTGAGAATCCGCGCCTCCTAACAAAAAAAAATACAGACCAAAATCAGTCCTGCAGACACGACAACACATACCCCGCAAGCACACACACAGAACTTACATCCTCAGCACTAAACGAAACAAAGTTGGCCTTCATGGCCGTGTAGCGCTTGCGCAGCGTACTGCCCTCGACCTTGATCCCCGTCATCGTAGTCCATGCAGCGGTGATATCAGTCCAGCTGCGGCCCTCGCCATCCCTCATGCGGAGGATCATCTTGTCCGCGAGGCCAGCCGAGGCTAGAGACGTCGGGACAGGGCCGAGAGAGGTCTTGGGCGTGCCCTTGCCCTTCTTAGTAGGCGACTCAGCAGCATCAGCGTCAGCGTTGGCGTCAGTGTTCGTCTTCTTGCGAGTCCTCTTGCGAGGGGTGGTGGCTGCTGGGGAGGGTTGCTGTGGTATGGGTAGTGTTAGAGTGCTTGGTGTTGGTAATTGGGTGCGTAGGCTTCTGGGGGGGGCAATGAGATGTGCTTACCTCTGCGGGAGAGGTCATGGTGTCGGTCTCGTTGGCTTCGATTTTGATCTCTGCGATGGCGAGCTCGTTGTTGATGGGGGTGAAGGTTGGCACTGTGAAGACTGAGTCCATGGGGCCAGGGGAGAAGGAAGTGTTGATGTCCATTTGTGGAGGAAAATGTGTTTGACAGAGTGGTGGTCAGGATTTGTGTTCGAGGGAGGTGGAGATGTGAGGAAGAAGACAGAGGAGGATGGTGTAAGAAGGAAGCTGAGCAAGAGGAGTGCGTGCTGCTCTTAATAATAGAGGGAGAATGGCATTACTCTGCTCTGGATCTGAGGTGGAAATCACTCAGATAGGTGAAAGTGAGTGTTAAGAGATGTGCTAACACTCACTGTGTTCTACGTAGTAGCAAATCAAACACTGAAGGATAGTTCCTTACAGAGGTCTCTTGTGTTAAGTGGCCTGAGACTTGGTCATTAATCAGATTCAGCAGAATCAATGAGGTATTGATATGGCATGTAGCTTGCTCCTAAACTGTGTGATAGATGGTGGCATCACAGCAGTAAGTAATTGACTACAGTGAGGGAAGGTAAGCTTTCAGATTTGAGAAATTTCCTATTTGGTAACCTATGAAGCTATTGGGCTGTAGGGATGAGTTCACAAGGTATAACTAATTGTAGTGTAAGCATGGAGTTCCTATAGCAAACCTGTCTCCAGTATGGTACTGATCTTTTTCTCCTTTAGAGACCATTTTGTTAACATAAGTGGCTAGCATGCCATTGATGTTTCTACAATGAGGTTCATCAAGAGATGCACTATCAATATTTCCAAGGATATGAAGCTATTGAAGGAGCAGAAGCGACGAAAAAAGCAAGTGCAGAAGTACCTGCGTTGCTATCGTGCTTATGTCAAGCGACCCGAGTCGGAGTCACCTTTCTCTACGGAGTATCTTGAATCTTACTCCGTAGCTGTCAACCCGAATCGACTTTTGATCTTTGTCCATGTCAAAGACCATGGCGAGTTTACTGTGCTCCGTAGACACTGGGCGCTAATCCTGCCAACGCCACAATTCCGGAACACAGCTATCACATTCTGTGATCTTACAGCTAACAAGAACTGGCAACAAGATGATTTGGTCACCATCGTAGACGGACAATCCTAGTCGAATTTCAATCCGCCCGTCGAGGATTCCTTGTTTCTGCTTTTTTTTTTCTTTTTTCTCTCTCTGTGATCAGCATCTCAGATTACAAGAGTGAGGCTGCAGTCTGCACTCAGAGGAAGTTCCGCAATCGCTATCTTTCAAATTATTTAGATACATGGTGAGGATGTTTTCGGGTCAGATATCTTTGTAGATGATTCAACCATCGTCTTCTAAATCTGCGAAATCAAGAATGTTTTGCACTGACTGTTGGCTTTTGTATGTACCCAAGTATGCTGCGGTGCATGAACACGGGCCCGGGTGTTGCTCTGCCCTAAATGACCGAAAGTACCATCACGAGGACCAGGCTCCACTAACTGGGCCCCAGCCTCTATCTAGTCGACAGCGTTCATGGGGTGTCAGTCAGGGATGGAATCCACTTATGGAATTTCGACCAGTGGTGGAGTTGCAACGTGCATGGGCTTCCTGGACTCCATAGGCAGACCCATCGGCATCGAGTCCTTTCGTGTCACCAGCAGATCGACAATTGCAGATGGTATCAAGGTCTAGTCCGCCGTCCTGTTGTCTCTGCTGCTCACTCCCACGCTGCCGGAATAATTGATATTGTTGGGTCGCTAAAATGAAAGAAGAAAAGTCGGTGACGACGGGTGAGGCATGAACACCGTAAGTAAAGTACAACCCTTTGGGGGGCAAAAAGTCCGCGATGCGAAGAAGAGGCGATCAGGCAGATAGCCCGGCAGCGAAGGGGTCTGGTTTCTTGCTGGGCTGGGTAGAGGTCCGATATGAAAACTTGAATTAGCAAACAATTTGTTGGTCAACGAGCTCATTTTGGATGTAGTTGGGCAGTCCATCGAACACGATCGATCCATACTGGATAATAATACTTCCAGCTGGGAGCGAACTCTCTGTTGCAACCACTGAACAAAGCTTTGAATCTGGCTTGAATCTGTGGGGCTGAAGGACGACGGACTGGGCCATTTTTCAAGAACTTGCATTAACAACAGTGGACTAGATAGGTGTGGGATTGGCTGTTGAGTGTAGTAAGGAAGAGAGCTATGCAGCCCCAGGCCACTTAGCAAGCAGCCCCAGGCATCCACCGCGGCCGTTCTGCCTATCACCACCAGCTTCATCCATCCTCCTCCATTATCCATAAGACTAACCTGACACTGACTACTGACATCCTTCCCCCATCTATCATCATCCAGCAGCCAGAAAAGCACTTCTCATCCGGCTTTTTTGTCTTCTCCTCCAGAGCAATGCGCCTGGTGCCTAGTCCCTTTCTCCATCAGAGCTCTTTGTTTGCTCCTGCTTTATTTATGCCTGGTCTTTCTTCACTTATCTCCATGTCCACGTTTTCTACTTTGTCTTGGATGATTCTCTTTGTCACCTTAAGCTCCTTTCTTCTGATAGCATCCTCTTCAAGCTAGCATATATTGAAGCTCGTACTTATCCTCCTCACCGCCACGAAGCTCTCCTTTCCTGTCAACCAATCTCTGAGACCCAAGAGACGCAAGGGCGCTTCATGGTCCAAGAGTATTCGTCTCCAACCTTCAGAGTACGTCGCGGCTCTATCCACCTATTACACACACACACACACTCTCTCTCTCTCTCTCTACTGGCAATACTATTTCTAGCTCATGATCCCCTTCCTCTTTGAATTTCTTTCATCCTCTTTCCTCCTCGCTGTTGTCTCGGTTTTATTCCCCTCTCTTTCGTAAGCTGAGCTGCACGTCAGATAGAACCTGCCCGGCAGCATAATTCATATAATGACAACTGACTCCGATATTATTCCATCTAGCTCCACAACTTCCCCGTCACTGATTTCGGTGCCCGACTCCCCAAACGATCCAAGCTCCGGGCCGCTGACCCCGTCAACTACTGAAGCTCCACAGCGGGACCCGTCCCAAATTAAAGAGGCCCAAGCTATGCCGTCCAACAATATGGCTGACCCCAATGCCACCAGCAACGCTGGATTGGACACCAAACATGAGGTTGAGCCTTCCGTCGATAATAATGCAGCAAAGACAGACGCGAAGCCATCGGTGGCCGTTCCGGAGAGCTCTGCTTTGAAAGCCTCGTGTAAGAAACATCCAGGGAAGGATTCCGATGCTGCTGGTCGAAAACGTGATAGCAAGAAAAAGGCGCATAAATCGGCGACTCCCGAAGAGGACACTTCTTCTGAGTCAGCATCATTGTCCAGCAGCTCCAGCACTAATGGATCGGACTCGGAAAACGACGACACTGTGTCCTCCTCGTCGGAATCGGACACAGATAAGAAGAAACGGAGGGATCGGGCGAAGGGCAAGAACAAGAGCAAGAAAGTCCTGAAGAACAGCAGAAAGAAGAAGCCGCGATCTCACCAACAGGACACTTCGGATTCCGAATCTGACTGTGATGATATCGACGAAGATGACCTTCTGAATGAGAAGACTCTCAGACGACTTCTGACTAAACTTCAGGCGAAAAAGTCGACCAAGAAGCTTCGAACCAAGGGAGACTCGTCTGAGGATCCAGAAGAAGATGAGGAGGAGACTAGTTCAGACGACCTGGCCGCGCTACTTGCCAAAGAGATGGCCTCTTTGAGCCTCAAGCTCGGCGATGGGCGGAAAACAGTTGATGGACGTTGGAGTAGGACTCGTGGAAAACGACTCCCAGATGGACAGACGGACAACCGAAAGGGCCATTCTCAGAGATCCAAGGGCAAGAAGAAAGCTGCTTCGAAGATGGCCTTCAAACGAGTTGACCAATGTGCGTGAGAAGTTTACTTTTCATTTCCCTCTCCTGATCTTATTTGACGTTTGCGCTAACACTATTGACAATACCCAGTGTGGGATAATACAATCCACAACTACAAGCTCACAGAAACTGTCGATGACCCGGGCGCCAATGAATGGGATCAGTATATCTTCACGGTTCGCCGCAAGTTCGACTGGGAAAACAAGTACCTGGAGACCGTTGTAGACATCAAGAGCAAGCACCTGCGGGACGCACTGGCCAAGGTGATGGACGGTGTCAAAGGCGTAAGCCTGGTGCAAGAGACTGCTGTTGTTGATCCAAACATGCTGTTCCTGTATCTCGAAGAAACTCGTTCCTATATGAAGGAATTGAGGCAGCAGGCCAAGACAGAAAAGAAGAAGAGAGCCAGGAAGCTGGCAGATCTCAAGGCGTCTCAACTCAAAGTCCTCATCAAGTATCTGGATACTGACTACGCGGAGACAAAGAAGACACTCTATCCGCTGCTAGAGGCAAACATGATCACCTTTGATCTGCTGTGGGCCCTTTTCAAGCCTAACACGATCGCCTATACCCCGACTTATGGAAATCAGGATGAGCCCCGTGCTTTCAAGATTGAATACGCGACCAAGGAATCATCCTTCATGAAGGGCCAATGGTACAGCATCGAGGGCCGTTACTTGGAATATGACGGCAAGTCGTTTGGCATGGGAACCATGGCTGCTGAGGTGGAGTCCTTCAAAGGTGCCCGCAAGATTACCAGCCTCAGTTGTTATCCACTCAAGTACCATCGGGAGGCAGAAGAGGTCAAAACCAAATTGATCGAGCGAGGCAAGAAGTTTGTAGCTCTGAGAGGGATGAACTATCGCTTCCACAAGGGCATGGCATTCTACAAAAAGAAGCGGACCGTCATCAAGGTTAATATCAACGGCCGGGTGATGATTGATCCTGCTATCCATCGTCGTATCAACCCAAACTATCCCATCAGCACCGTTCGTCCCAAGGACCCTGACCTTATGGGTCCATCCGACAACGAAGGCAGCGATGATGGATGCCAGTGTGGCATGTCTGATTCGGATGAGGATCAGCAGTACCAAGACCGCCGCGACTCCGATGCGCCCAAAGTGGTGTACAAGGTTGTCCAGGACAAGGAGGGTCGGCCGCGCGTTGTAGAAGTTGAGCTGGATGAGAATGGAAACATCATGCAGAAGGAGAAGATGGATGAAGTGCAAGATCCCTCCGACCGCGAGTTCACCGAAGAAGAATTGCTCATTGCAAGTCCGGTCGTTCTTGGCTTCGCCTTCAGTGAGAAACTGTGGCTGGAATTTAGCATTTCGGGTATCAGTGAGATTGACTGGAATGAGGATGCATTTGACTCGCTTGTCCTTCCTGACAACCAGAAGTCAATCGTCAAAGCTCTCGTGGAGTCGCATACATTCCGTGCTGCTCAAAACATTGACGATGTGATCCAAGGCAAGGGCAAAGGACTCGTCGCCGTCCTTCATGGACCTCCCGGTACGGGTAAGACACTCACTGCGGAAGGCATCGCAGAGCTGCTGAAGCGTCCCTTGTACATGGTGAGCGCTGGAGAACTTGGAACCGACTCTCGGACCCTCGAGGCCGAGCTGAACAAAATCTTGGACATTGCTCACTCATGGGGTGCCGTCCTCTTGCTCGACGAGGCCGATATCTTCCTCGAAAAGCGTACAATCCAGGATATTCACCGCAACGCGCTCGTGAGCATCTTCTTGCGGCTCCTCGAATACTTCCAGGGCATCCTCTTCTTGACCACGAACCGCGTGGAGACCTTCGACGACGCCTTCCAATCTCGCATCCACGTCGCCCTGCGTTACGGCGACCTCACGACCAAGGCAAAACGGAGCGTGTGGAAGATGTTCCTGGAGCGCGTGCAGGCCAAAGAAGGCGTGCAAACCGCGACTTTCACGGATAAGGACTTTGACGCACTAGCTCGTCACAATCTCAACGGCCGTCAGGTAAGCTTTCCCCACCAGCAGGCATCCTCTCCAACGAGACACATGTAAGTCGCTCTCTAACACTCCCCTCCAGATCAAAAACTCCGTCCGCACAGCACAGGCGCTCGCAGTCAACGAACAAAACCCCCTGTCCATGGAACACATCAAGCGTGTCCTGGAAGTCGCCGAGACCTTTGATCGTGACCTGCGCGGCGGAACGGGCTACATGGATGCCATGCGAAGCTACACGTAACCCAACCAGGAATCTGATTTTGATCATATCAACTAGACTGACGACGATTGATGCTCATCTTAATTTTTCCTTTTTCTTTTGCAGTTATCCTGCTTTGTTTTTATGATCTGGTCCAAGGATACCCTTTCTTTTCCCAGTGTGTTGGTATCCTTTCGTTTTTTTTTTTTTTTTTTTTTCTTCTTGTGATTTGGGAAACCGATTTTGCTTCCGCTTATCTTCTTTGAGTTTGGTTTTCTTTACTTTCGTTTCTGCAATGTAGTTTTGTGAGATAGCAAGATTGGCAATGATACGTTTTTCCAACCTTTTCGTATGAAACTCCAGATGCGGCGAACTGAAAATGCTTCGCAATCTTCTTGTCGAGGTGAAAGATAAGGTCAGAATGAAAACTAAGCTTGAAAAGACATAGAAACGATTACTATTTTCATTTATAGGAAATACATGTCATCTGGTTTTTCCCATCATGTTCTCACCGGTCATCAATGGCTCGTCAATGAGAAGGGGAATGTTTTCAACTCTGCAGCTGCATTCTTCCGGTATCAAAGTCGATGCGGAATGCGAAGCATATAGGAAAGGCGGGAATAATAGGCTAATGACAAAGTACACAGGTGACTGTTATACAAGGAGAGAGGTAGCTGCAGAAGAAGTCGAACAGGGAGGAAGAGAAGAAAGAAGAGACATTTAAGGGTTGGCCTTGACGAAGTCAATACCCTTCTGGATGTTCTTCTTAAGGTCAGCAAGAGCAGCCTCGATGAGCTTCTCCTCGTAGGCGTTGACCTTGCCAACCTCGTGGATCTTCTCGACACCGTTGGGGCCGAGCTCGACGCGGGAGGCGAAGAAGTCAACACCCTGGTCCTTGTAGAGAGGGCTCTCGACGAAGGTGGGCTCAATGACGCCCTTCTCGCCCTGAGCAGCCTTCAGGAGGGACTCAGCGAAGCGAGCACCGGCCATGGCCATGGAGAGGGTGGCAGAACCGGCACCGTCCTTGGCCTTGACGACCTCATCACCACCGAACTGGATGCGGTTGACGAGCTCATCACGGGTGGTGCCCTCAATGTCGGAGTGGTTGGACTGAGAGAGCAGGGGAACGATGGTGACACCGGAGTGGCCACCAACGACGGGGACGGCCTCGCCGGCAGGGTCGGTCTTCTTGACCTGAGAGATGAAGCGGGAAGCACGGACAACGTCCAGGGTGGTGACACCGAAGAGACGCTTGGGGTTGTAGACACCCTTGGCCTTGAAGACCTCAGAGACGATGGGAACGGTGGAGTTGACCTGTCCGCGCGGTTAGCGGTTTTGATCAAAGCTGCGCGGACCTAGAATACGTACAGGGTTGGAGATGACCAGGATGTTGGCCTCGGGGGAAGCCTCAGCAGCGGCCTTGGCGAGGTCACGGACGATGGAGGCGTTGGTGTTGAAAAGGTCTGTCATGATCACATTAGTATTTGACCTACTGACAAGATGATACACGAGGGTTCATACCGTCACGGGTCATGCCGGGCTTGCGAGGAACACCGGCAGGGATGAGAACGATCTCAGAGCCCTTGAGGCAGTCACGGAGGCCCTCAGGGGTAGGGTTGTAGCCAGTGACAGTGCTGTTGGTGTTGATGTGGCTCAGATCAGCAGCGACACCTATTGAGAAAAAAAAAAAAAGGCCATTGATCAGTATGTCGCCAAGATTCGAGGTTTCGCGATAGCCGAAAACATACCAGGTCCACCGCGGATGTCATAGAGAGCGAGCTCAGAGACACGGGGGTTGAGCTTGAGCAGGAGAGACAGAGGCTGGCCAATGCCACCGGCGGCACCGAGGACAGCGACCTTGGAGGCCTGAAGATGATAATGGAGATGGTTAGCACATTAACAATGCTCCGAGGTACCGAGCGTTGGATGAAAGAACTGGGTCTACACACCTGGCTGGCAGAGGCAGAGAAGGCCCGCTTCTGCAGGAGGTTGAAAGAACGAGCAGCGAACATCTTGTGTGGTTTTGCGAAGACGGAAAAAAAAAAAGATCAATCTGCGAGAAATAGGGAATTGGAGTTGAAGAGAAAAGTATGGAGACAGAGATGAAAAGAGAAAAGGAAGGAAGAAAAGAAAGAGGGAAGAGGATGAGGTGTTGGCCGGTGAGAAGGGTTTTGGGGCGGCTAAATTGCTCCGTTTCCGATCATCCCCACGGCGAGTCGCGGAACTTCTTCGTGCGTCACATGGGGACGCTGCAAGTAGATATCCATCCCGTCTACCTCTGGGGAAACGTCATTTTGGCCTTGGATCACTTTGTCAATATTTACGGAGGATACAACACGAGTTGATGATCTTTTGAAGCCTCAATTGCTGTTTGTTATTTCGTTGTTGACAGACTTGTGTGAGTTAATTATCCGTGCTCGACACCACTAAGTCCCAGCTTCGTTCTACTCCATACCAAGACCTCTGGCTATCCTGCAATTAAACATGTTCAACATATGAACATTGTAATAAGAGCAGATCAATTGCGTGCCACATACTTTCCATCTGCCCTCCAAATCCAAAAATGCCTTACACGGCCTTGACCCCCGGTACCACCGGAGGAAAGGAACTGCCTGTCCAAGGTCAGGGACCCGAGACCAGGGAGCTTGCATAGAACGTTGGCGCTCGGCCCGGTCATCAGTGGCATCTCAAACTCTCGGATGACCATGTGCATATCCTCTCAGCCGTTGATCATGTCAGAGTGACTTATATCCTTCTAATATCGCTTTGCGACCACGAAAAGACTCCATTGCGTTGCATTTCTCTACCAATGAGAGCTTGTCAACTCCCACTACAACCAACTTAGTCTTGATATGGAGATTTACCCGTGTGAAGTTTCAGGAACCGAGTATAATGACGCCAAGTCCATCTCTACCAACCCCCGACAGACGAGATAAAGGATGGTACATAGGTAGCAAAACGAGCTCAACGAAAACCAGGACGCCGGCGCTTCAAATTCAAAACATCCAATGGACATGCGGAGGAAGTATTCCAGGTAGTATAAACACATATTACTTTCACCTCAAAAAGTGTAGCACCGCCCAGCAAAAGAGGAAGAAGGTCAGAACACCGCCCCAGAATATCCACTTGTCCTGCTTTGCTCTCCGTTCGACTCTCCGAATAGTATCACCACTTATCCCCAGGGTATTCGCAACGCTGTATAATCGACGCTGAGTACCCTTGAGAACCTCGCGTTGCTGTCCTAGATCCGCAAGAACGGCCCGACCCCGGTCAAGGAATTCATCCAACTGCGTATTTGTATTGGCAAAAAAGGACTGTTCACGGAGCGCATGCGTTTCACGATTGAAATCGGCTGGCGAAGCACCAAAGCTGAGACCGGAGCGGGACGATGAGGCGTTTGCGAAGGGAGAAGACTGCGGGAGGGACGATTGAGCATAGGGATTTTCGGGGGTAGCAGCATGGTGTGGTCGTCGACCAAGAAGCTCATTACGATTTGTGACCGATTGCTATTTCACCCATAGGATTGTGGTTAGCGATACGTCCGAAAGACTAGCACAAGACTCAAAAGGGAAGTAGACGAGCTTACAGCCTCCTCGCGCTCTTTTCGCAACCGATCGAAATGCGTCCTGTAGTCCGCGAGTTCTGCCCGGAAATTCTTGACTCTTTCAAACGCCTTTTCTTGTTTCGCGGGGATCAGTTCCTTCTTCGACAGAGCCGAGTAGTCATCGATCGTCCGTGATAATGATGCCAGTGAAGCTGCGATCTGGCCTGTTGGTCATGCGCATTAGCCATCGAAATGATGATCACACATGAAATAGCAGCGCACACAGTGACAGTTCCTAGTCGCATTTCTGGGGATAGTACCTTGTAAAGCTGCTGACGTCGTCGCGGGCGACTGGGAGAATGAGTCCATGTCGCGGCGGATAGCAGAAGACTGCTTGAGAGCAGAATTGAAGAGGGAATTCTATCATGGAACACACCTGTACGTTAGCAGGCTGCATGCGCTCAGCAGATACTTGTCAAGGACCACATACCATTTTGTTCTCAACAAGCGATTCTTCATGTACTTGTAGAGGGACGGTTTGTTTGTGTATGTGTTCAGAGGTATAGACACTTCCTTGCGAGGTTTATTTAGGTAACAATGGAATAATCCAGGACACCTGGTCAATATAAAAGCCAAGAGACTGGAATGATTATTTTTGGGGTCGAATCACAGTGTACAAGTCGAGATGCCCTTTGACTGATGCGATAGGAAGTGGCCGAGGCCACATGTTCTTGCAGTGGAACACGAACCTGACGTCGTTGACCGCCTCCAGTGCATGAGCTGCCAGCCATTCCGTGGTGGGCTATCCACATTGTTCTTTCAACAACTCCAGCTTCTATCTACATTACCCTGCTACGTATTGAATTCTCGAGGACTTATTTGTGGATCTGATAAGCGGATTTTAAACGAACTTGCAGAGATATTCTCATTAGGATGGGAAAGGACCGATTTGTGGCAGGCGACCTCACTAATGCAGTACAGTTGAATAAGTATATTTTAGACCATGCATATCGATAGAATTGTGTATCGAGATTACCGAGGAATAAGTTACAAAATAATAAGCCAGAACTGCCAACTCCATCCCTAGAACTCATGTGAAATCACTTGGTTCAACCAGTTATAACTCCATGTGCGAAAATCAACTCAAGAAGCTCTGATCGGTCTTTAGAACGCCTCCATCATGTCAGACCTATTTGGGAGGGTACTTGTTCTGAAGCAGCCACCTAGAGTTTGATATGTTAGCAAGGGCTCCCTCCATGAAGCCAGATCGGCACGATGAACAGTTAGAGACATACTTGCTAACGAAGTAATCCACTGCACCAAAGGCCCCGACAACACCAGACCAGGCGCCAACCAGCTTCCATGAGAGTCTGCCTTCGAGATGCTTTCTGTATGCGCCATATCCGAGCGCTGCGCCGACCAGCGTATAGATGATGGCATTTCCAACAAAGACAGGGTTGCGCTTCGCAACGTGACCAGCACGCGCGGCTTTGGCTTTCGCTTTCTCAGCCTCCACGGCCCTCTCGCGCTCTTTCCGCTCCTCTTCCTCGCGAGCCTCCCGCTCCAACCGCTCGGCCTGGGTGGTGGTCTTCACTTCCTGGTTCAGGAAGTCCGAGTCTACTGAGACAACATGAGGGGAGTCGACGTCAACCAGGGAGGCGGTGCTCTCTGCTGTTTCGTTCAGGTAGGTGCGGGTTGGGTTAGGAGCGCGGCTGCACGAAAGAGTCAGTCAGGGGTTGAACTAATCGGATATAGCTAGAAGCATGGGGTTCACATACGCCTAGAGTTTACTTGGTTAGCAAAATACTTAATTTTTTCAAAGGGTAGCTTCCGCTGGCGAAGCATGGAAGACCATAGGCGCAAAACTTACCTCCTCTGGGGACTGCTTAGGGCCCTTGGCTGCGGCTTCTGCGTAAGACATGTTTTATGATTTGTTCAAGGCTTGAGAGTCGAGATATATGCGAAGTCTTTAACACTCATTAGTTTTCCACCGTACGATGAGCAATTGGCAAGATAGCGCAATGGACACGACTGCGAACACCAATCGTTGGGAAATCGCAACAACCGCATGACTTACAGGAGACGAGAAGATGAGGAGGAGACCAAAGATCCAGATGCAGTCACTGATAGGTCTGAGGATATAGTAGGGGGTATCGTGGGAGAAAAAGAGTAACTGGAAGTGATGACTTGCGTCTATTTATGTCGGATGCAAGGGCCCTGGCACCGGCTCACAAGTATGACATCACTTCCTCGGCGAAGTGGGCACTGCAATGGTGTGATGAGCACCGCCAAGTCATCTCAGTAGTTACTACGGAGTATCTAGATTCTATCTAGTAGTTAGCTCCCATCCAGATATCTTTACTCTTCACTAGCCTCTTTCCATTTGTCTCCGATTGTTAGTCTAGCGCTTGGTTGTTCTGCTGATTGCTGGCCAGGTCTACCTTGGCCATCTAGACCATGCGTCCATTGCCGAAACTTCAAAGTTTTCCAGAGGAACACAAGGGTAGATAGAATAGAACCACGGAGATGGAAGTCGGCAGCGTTTCGATATCGAATGCACTACAGGCAGGGATATAGAAGTTCGTTCTATGCCACCCCAGCGGGTTGCTCCGGCGCTTGCTGGGAGATGCGGCGTGCCGTCTTAGAAGTGGAGAAGTCTATCTGTGCAAAGAGGACTTAGTCTGATCTGAATGAATCGGAGAGAAATCTTATTCTTAATTATTATGCGAATACCATGGAAGGGCAGAGCCATGAACAGAGAATATATCGGTCTTCCTGCCAGGTATTCAGTCTACTCTACAGTCCTATGCATTATAGGAATGGACGTAAAGATCACCACTTCTATGAAAGTCATTGATATAGATCTATCCGTCCACAGCTTGCATGCTCATGAGGTGGTAAACGACAAACAAAAGAAGTCAACATTGAAATGGTAAGAATCGTACTCAAATAACCAGCTTTGGTCGAAATCAACTATGATAGGTATTTTTTAATACATATTACACAGACCACGAAAGAACCCCGGCTTTCAATGTCCCCATTGGCATATCAGAATTCCACATAGTCAAACTCGCTCACAGAAGAAGCTCCAAGGGGTTCTCAACAACCTTCTTCAGCTCCTTGATCCACTCAGCACCGATAGCACCATCGACAACCTTGTGGTCAAAGCTGCCAGTTACAACAATCTGGTCATCCCACTCAACAGACGTGCCCTCCTCGGTCTCAACCGGAACAGCAACCTTGCGCGTGGTTCCAACAGCCAGGATACCGGCCTGAGGAGGGTTGATAACAGCGGTGAATCTCTCAACAGCAGGGTTCATGCCCATGTTGCTGATGGTGAAAGTGCCACCCTGGTACTCTTCGGGCTTGAGCTTGTTCTCGCGAGCGCGCTTACCGAGATCCTTGATCTGGTTGGAGATGCTAGAAAGGCCAAGACCCTGGACATCTTTCACAACAGGGGTGATCAGGCCGGAGGGGGTAGCGACAGCGACACTGATATCAACAGCGTTATGTTGGCGGATGACAACCTGGCCGTTCTCCTCACGCCAGCTGGAGTTGACGGCAGGAACCTTGAGGAGGGCAGCGGCGCAGGCCTTGACAAGGAAGTCATTGACGGAGAGCTTGTACTTGCCCTCGGAAGAGGCGTTGAGGGCCTGACGAAGCTTCAGGAGCTTGGTGACCGACAAGGTGGTGGAAACGAAGAAGTGAGGGTTCTCTCTCACCGACTGCTGCAGACGCGAGGCAATAGTCTTGCGCATGGATGTGAGAGGGATATCTTCGTATGTAGGTCCGGCGGCGGCGGCGGAAGTGCTGGGCTTGTACTTCTCGACATCCTCCTTGGTGATCTGACCACCACGGCCAGTGCCCTTGAGAGCCTTGACTGGAACGCCCTTCTCCAAGGCCAACGCCTTGGCAGCAGGGCTGATGCTAGGCTCACGGTCAAGACTGGGCTGCAGCTTGTCCGCCGATGTCTCAGGCTCATAGGCCTCAGGGGCGGGCTCCGGGGTTGCTGCAGGAGCAGCATCAGCCTTGGGCTCTTCCTTAGTCTCCTTGGCAGGAGCAGCTCCCTTATCGCCACCGGCATCCTCCAAGGAGAAACTCTCAAAAGAGGAAACATCTGTTCCCTCCTCCACGAGAACGGCGATAGGCTGTTTAGGCGCGTTTAGTAACTTGTCAAGATACGGTGGAAATTTTTTCGGAACAAACGTACAGCACCAACAGCCACATCCTTCTCACCAGTCTCCTTCAGGACCTTGGCCAGGACACCCTCCTCTTGAAACTCAAAATCCATTTGCGCCTTATCAGTCTCGATCTCAACCAAAACATCACCGGGCACCAGACTGTCGCCAGCCTTCTTCTGCCAGGCTCCGATATTACCCGCGGACATGGTCGGCGACAAAGCAGGCATGCTGATGATAGTGTGAGGGGGGAAGGCTGGTAATTCCACATGTTAGAGACAATCCATGATAAGCATATAGTCGGTGACGGGGAAAAAAAACAAAATGGCATACATTTGGAGGCATAGAAGCGGGAAAGAGCGGCCAAGGCAGGCAATTGAGGTCTAATAAGATGAAAATGCATTCATTAGCATGAATGATATTGCGGTTCAGTCTCGGAATGAAGGAATCATACTGGACAGCATCCTTGAATCTGTGAACAACCTGAGGCCGCCTCATACAGAGAGCGCCTTTGGACAACATAGCGCTGGGGACGCGCATCCGGACAGCAGAGGCAACCATGGTGCCAGATGCTGTAGCTATGATACAATAAAAAGGCCCGCGGCTCAAAGAGAAGATGAAATGGAGGATGAAGATGGAGCCGGGAGATGAACTTAGCAGGTGGAAGAGCCTGTATCAGAGAGTTGGGGATGCAGCTCCTGGAACTTTTCTGTTGAGCTTCCCGGTGAGCGTTCGGATTAGTTCTCGCCGGATTTCTCCAGAGCGGTCATCCCCGAATTATGTAAGCCCAGTACCGCACCTTTGGCGCGCGGCGGTTACCGTATATTGTTCCGCCTGCGGGAGAAGACACGCATCCGCATCAGCTCCAGGATTCATGCAATAGCGCTATACTCCGGAAAATCGTTCCAACTCATTTCGTCATTTGGTGCTTTAGTCCAGTTTCGCGTTCCATGTGTACTTTTCGTTTCTATTATTGAATGCTCCGGCTTGGAGTTTTGCATACATGGCGGAAGTCGAGAACGGCTCCTCCCAGGAGCCCAATCAACCATCTATGGTAGTGTCGCAGGGAGACAACAAGGACAATATTGTCGATGTTTCGACACATTCGGATCCCCCAGTTACTGCTGACAAAGACAAACCGTCTTTACCGCTTGAATCGGAACGGCTGAAAATCGACATCGACCAAGTGGCAGACTCCATACCACCAGAGATTAGGATAGAGTCCTCGGAAGACACAGAAACTCCGCCGCGACCCTCGAGCCCTCCGAACGACGCCGCCGAGACCCAGGATACCGAGAACTCCAGCGCATCTCAACTAGATCTGAGACCAGATGTTGCCGACGATTCGGAAAATGTTCAAGCAGAGACACTCGAGCGGAATGCGCCTGTTGATAAGCCTGATGGCGGCTTCCCTGCCCAGTATGAGCTTACGCCGGACGCGCGTCAACGCTCCGACTCAAGATCAACAACTGCAACATATGCGACTCATCGTTCTGTGCCTGTCAGTTCCGCAGTGTTTATTGTCACAGCCCTTGACACAATCGGATCGTCCAAGGAAGCCAAAAAGAGCAAAGAGCTGGAAGATGCCGTGAAGAGTGCGCTGGCCAACGTCAAACAATCTGATCGACAATCCATAGACCCAGAAGCTATATTTCGTCCTCTTCAGCTCGCCTCAAAGACCATGAGCATCCCGCTGCAAGTCACGGCTCTTGATTGCATTGGAAAGCTCATCACATACTCTTACTTCGCCTTTCCATCGTCTCAGGAGCGCAGGGAATCGGAAGCGGAACCCACCGCGGATCAACCGCCCCTCATTGAACGAGCGATTGATGCCATCTGTGATTGTTTTGAAAATGAAGCCACCCCTATTGAGATACAGCAACAGATCATCAAGTCGCTCCTTGCGGCGGTCTTGAACGATAAAATCGTGGTTCATGGAGCTGGTCTCCTTAAAGCCGTTCGACAGATATACAACATCTTCATCTACTCCAAGTCTAGCCAAAACCAACAGATAGCTCAAGGGTCCTTAACGCAAATGGTGAGCACGGTATTGGACAGAGTCCGAGTGAGGCTTGAGCTCAAAGAATTGCGCATGCGGGAAGCGGAAAGAGGGCAGGACAATACTCCTGATGCTCTTGAGACCCCGGAGATGTCTCAGCCCACCGATCAGGATCAGGCATCCGATGCAGCCTCGGTCGCAGCCTCGGTCGTGATACCTGATCAACCCGTCATAAAAGAGCCAGGAGAGAAGCTTACCCTGCAAAGTTTTGAATCGAGCAAGGATGTCACTTCGGTCGCTGACAATGCTCCAACTATGGTGACTCGTGCCAAGCTCGGCCAAAAGAGGGCACATTCGTTGTCTAGCGTGTCCATGGAAGATAGGGAAGATGGCGACGCGACTACCGACGATGACGAGGATGAGATCTATATTAAAGACGCTTTTCTGGTTCTCAGGGCCCTGTGCAAATTGAGCCACAAGATCCTCAGCCATGAGCAGCAGCAGGATCTGAAATCTCAAAATATGAGATCCAAATTATTATCCTTACACCTGATTCATTATCTCATCAACAACCATGTCGCTGTTTTTACTTCTCCACTCCTGACAATCAGGAACAGCTCGAACAGCTCGGACGCCATGACATTCTTACAAGCTGTTCGCCCTCACCTCTGCCTAAGCCTTAGTCGCAACGGCTCGAGCTCCGTTCCTAGAGTTTTCGAGGTTTGTTGTGAACTTTTCTGGCTTATGTTGAAACACATGCGGGTAATGATGAAGGTTCGTGGTATGCTCTGTCCCATTTACTCGACAGTTTTTAACCTCTCCTTCGCAGAAAGAGCTTGAGGTCTTCCTAAAAGAGATCTATCTGGCCATACTTGAAAAAAGGAACTCGCCTGCTTTCCAAAAGCAGTACTTCATGGAGATTTTAGAGAGGCTTGCAGATGACCCGCGTGCCCTTGTGGAGATATATCTCAATTATGACTGTGATCGGACGGCCTTGGAGAACATATTCCAGAAGTAAGTCTTAGTCCTTGCCTCCTTATTATTCCATCCTGCACGATGTTAATCAATTTGTTGCAGCGTCATCGAACAACTATCCAGATACTCCAGCATTCCCGTAACAATATCCACAATGCAACAACAGCATTATCAGGAGCATCATGTCAAGATTTCGAGAGTTGGCGCGGATTGGCATCAAAGTGGGACCCTGCCTCCTACACTCACAACGGCACATATAGCCAGCACTCAGCAGGCAGCCGCTCAGAGTGTGCCTTCGGATTTTGTTCTAAAGAATCAGGCGCTGGAATGCTTGGTCGAGATTCTGCGATCCCTAGATAACTGGGCGTCGCAGCGTATTGTCGATCCGACCCCAGCAGTTGCGACAGCTCTTTCGCAAAAATCGATTGACAATTCCAGAGACTCGCTAGATACCAATGCTCCTACGTTTGTGTCATCACCAAAGATTGAAGGTGTTGATGGTAGCACTGGTCAATCAACACCCGTGGCAGAGGATGACCCAAGCCAAATTGAGAGGATCAAGCAGAGGAAGACTGCACTTATGAACGCCATCCAGCAATTTAACTTTAAACCCAAGAGGGGTATCAAGCTTTTCATTCAAGAGGGCTTTGTACGCTCTGACTCTCCCGAGGATCTTGGAAGCTTCATCTTTCGCAATGATCGGTTAGACAAGGCCATGATCGGAGAATACCTTGGCGAGGGCGACGCGGAAAACATCGCCATCATGCATGCCTTTGTCGATCAAATGGAGTTCTCGAAGCGGCGCTTTGTCGATGCACTTCGTCAATTTCTGCAACACTTCCGATTGCCAGGAGAAGCCCAAAAAATCGATCGTTTCATGCTTAAGTTTGCTGAGCGCTACGTGACCCAGAATCCAAATGCTTTTGCGAATGCAGACACAGCATATGTTCTAGCATACTCCGTGATCATGCTTAATACAGATCAACACAGCGCTAAGATTAAGGGCCGTCGCATGACCAAAGAGGACTTCATCAAGAACAATCGAGGGATCAATGACAACCAAGATCTGCCTGATGAGTATCTTGGTTCTATTTTTGATGAGATTGCGAACAATGAAATCGTACTCGACACCGAACGAGAGCATGCCGCAAATATTGGTATTCCTACATCAACAACGGGTGGCCTAGCTTCAAGGGCTGGACAAGTATTTGCGACAGTGGGAAGAGACATTCAGGGTGAAAAATACGCACAAGCATCTGAAGAAATGGCCAATAAGACGGAGCAGCTGTACCGGAGTTTGATAAGAGCACAGCGCAAGACCGCCGTCAGGGAAGCTCTCTCACGCTTCATCCCCGCGACGTCAGTCCGACACGTTGGTTCCATGTTCAATGTCACATGGATGTCTTTCCTTTCCGGCTTATCTGCTCCCATGCAAGACACACAAAATCTGGAGATTATTAGGCTGTGTATGGAAGGAATGAAATTGGCGATACGTATCAGCTGTGCCTTTGATCTCGAGACTCCTCGAGTTGCATTCGTGACCGGCCTCGCCAAATTCACAAACCTGGGCAATGTCAGGGAAATGGTGCCCAAGAACGTCGAGGCTCTGAAAGTGTTGTTGGACGTGGCTCTTAACGAAGGGAACAACCTGAAGAGTTCGTGGAGAGAGGTCCTTACCTGCGTAAGCCAGCTTGACCGGCTTCAACTTCTCACTGATGGCGTCGATGAAGGCTCATTGCCGGATGTTTCACGCGCTCGCATTGTCCCGCAGGCGCTCTCGGAAAACTCACGCAGATCGATGCAGAGTTCGCGGCGTCCTCCTCGTCCTCGATCGGTCAATGGACCCACGGCTTTCCGCTCGGAGGTTGCAATGGAAAGTAGATCGGCAGAGATGATACGCGGAGTGGATCGCATCTTCACTAACACTGCAAATCTCACTCACGAGGCCATCATTGATTTTGTCCGAGCTCTAAGCGAAGTGAGTTGGCAAGAGATTCAGTCGTCCGGGCAGACAGAATCCCCTCGCACGTATAGTCTGCAGAAGCTTGTTGAGATCAGCTATTACAACATGACGAGAGTCAGGATAGAGTGGTCTAAGATCTGGGAAGTTCTTGGACAGCACTTCAACCAGGTTGGTTGCCATACCAATACAACAGTGGTGTTCTTCGCATTGGATTCCCTGCGCCAACTTTCGATGCGTTTTATGGAGATCGAAGAACTTCCGGGATTCAAATTCCAGAAGGATTTCCTCAAACCATTTGAGCATGTGATGGCAAATAGCAATGCTGTGACCGTGAAGGACATGATTCTTCGATGCTTGATACAAATGATCCAGGCCCGGGGAGACAACATCCGATCGGGCTGGAAAACAATGTTCGGCGTTTTTACAGTTGCGGCTCGTGAGCCATATGGTAAGCAGACTGCTTAAAGTGATGATTCGCAAAGAAAATGCTAATATACGACAGAGGGTATTGTGAATATGGCGTTCGAGCATGTCACTCAGATCTATAATACGCGGTTCGGCGTCGTCATTACGCAAGGAGCTTTCCCTGACCTGATTGTCTGTCTGACCGAATTCTCGAAGAATTCTCGGTTCCAAAAGAAGTCTTTGCAAGCAATTGAGACTTTGAAGTCAACGGTCACAAAGATGCTTAGGACTCCAGAGTGCCCACTATCCCATCGTGGAGCAGTATCAGAAGGCATTCAAGATGAGTCGACAAATCTTGCTAAACAGCTGTCGCGTCAATCTCAGGAGGAACAGTTCTGGTATCCTATTTTGATTGCCTTCCAAGACGTGCTGATGACTGGCGATGATCTCGAGGTTCGATCAAGGTAATTTTCAGTCCCACGCCTATTTTGTCATATCAGTGTGCTAAAACATGAATTTGCCAGGGCTTTGACTTATCTTTTTGACACGCTTATCCGTTATGGAGGCGATTTCCCCCAAGAGTTCTGGGATGTGCTATGGAGACAGCTCCTCTATCCTATCTTTGTCGTGCTACATTCCAAATCCGAGATGTCGAAGGTGCCAAATCATGAGGAACTCTCCGTGTGGCTCTCAACGACGATGATCCAAGCATTGAGAAACATGATCACCCTCTTCACGCATTATTTCGATGCGTTGGAATACATGCTGGGTCGTATACTTGAGCTTCTTACTCTTTGTATATGTCAAGAAAATGATACAATTGCACGTATCGGCAGCAATTGCTTGCAGCAATTGATCTTGCAGAACGTCGGGAAGTTCAAGCAGGAGCACTGGACCAAGGTTGTTGGCGCGTTTGTGGAGCTGTTCAGTAGGACCACAGCCTACGAATTATTCACAGCTGCTGCCTCGATATCCTCGAAACCAAACAAAACGGCCAACGGGGATATTTCCGGTAATGAAGACGGCTCTCAGAGCTCAGAGTCTGCCGAAAAGGTGCCGGATCAGGATGCCCACTCAGATGCACCTAAGACGAATGGATCGCAAACCATGACGCATGAACATGAAGATGGAGATATGCCTGCCGCGTCGAATCCGGAGTTGGAGGATTACAGACCCCAGGCTGACGCCCAACAACAACCCGCTGCCATCACCGTAGCACGGCGTCGATTCTTCAATCGCATCATAACCAATTGCGTGCTTCAACTCCTCATGATTGAGACCGTGCATGAGCTTTTCTCGAATGACAAGGTTTATGCCGAGATTCCAAGTCGCGAGCTTCTCCGATTGATGGGACTGCTTAAGAAGAGTTATCAATTCGCTAAGAAGTTCAACGAAGACAAGGAGCTTCGGATGCAGCTCTGGCGTCAGGGCTTCATGAAACAGCCACCAAATCTCCTCAAACAGGAGAGTGGAAGCGCCGCTACATACGTCCACATCCTTTTCCGCATGTACCATGACGAAAGAGAAGAGAGAAAGAGCAGTCGCGGGGAGACGGAGGCCGCGCTAATTCCGTATGTACATTGATATCACTGAAGCAATATCTTACTGACCATCTCTCTAGTCTCTGCGCCGATATCATTCGAAGCTTCGTCCGACTCGATGAGGAATCTCAGCATAGAAATATACTGGCCTGGCGCCCCGTTGTTGTGGATGTCATCGAGGGCTACACCAACTTCCCATCCGAAGGCTTTGATAAAAATGTTGAGATCTTTTACCCACTTGCTGTGGATCTGCTGGGCCGCGATCTCAATCCCGAGATCCGCCTCTCCCTTCAATCTCTGCTTCGAAGGATTGGAGAAGCGAAATTGGGTATTCCTGCTGCGCAGACACCCATCAGCCCCAGAAGCTCTATCTCACAGCAATATGCCCGCAGACACAGTCGGGATAGTTGACTTTGGGATCTGGGGTTTCTTCCAAAGCTGTTCTGTATGATTGGGATCGTTTTTCTTCTTTTCTTTTGGATATCCTTGCCTATTCGGTTATAGGGCTTTCTTTTTTTTCTTTCAAATCACTCACTCTAGAAGGGTGGTGGCTGTAGACTTAGGAGAATCTAGTATTTTGATCATTTTCCAAGCTCTATAGAATTACATGACGCAGCTCGCCAGCATCTATCTTCTATATATCATGCGCTTCATGTAGAGTCATGGTCATGCCCTATTCTAGAACCGTACAACAACGGATTCAATGTATTGGTCGTCAGTGCCAATCCTGTCTGACTTGAAGAGACCCCCCCCCCTCCCTACGGACGTTGAGCGTCATAGAAGCTCATTAGAAACAGTGAGCTCTGGCATGGCGATTTTTGCGACACGATAAACATATGTCGCTGTTGAAGAAGTGACGTTGCACATGTGAAGGTTAGCTGGATTGGATTTCAGCATATGTTGGGATCTTGCCCGATTCATAGAATGTCAGAACGCTCTCCATATCCTTTTCGCTCATCTCAACCAGTTCTTCAAGACTCCAGGATTCGCATACACCAGACATCCTTTCAGAGACGTTAGCAAGAACTATTGTGCGACGGCGGATCAGACTTACCACTTCATTCTCTTGGGGCCTTCCTCCGGATTAGGTGCGACCTCTCTCAGTTTCTTTCGCAACTTGCCCACATTCTCAATTGCCGCTGCCATGTTCTCAGGCAATGTGGCTGCAATCTTCTTTCGTACAATACTCGCCAGCTTAGGCCCATTGCCATTTGTGCTCACCATGACCTGCAGTGGACCATTACGGTACATGCTGCCAAAGTAGAAATCGCATTCGGGAGGTACATCGGCAATGTTTGCAGGTATCCGCTTCTCCTTGCACAGTTTCCAGACACACGATGAAGCCTCTGGATCGTCAATGGCGCAAAGAACCATGTCAGCTCCTTCTAGATCTTCTGGCTCGAAGTTGCGGTCGACATGAGTGACTTGGCCCTCCGCCACGCGGAAAGCGACTTCCTCGTTGAGTCCTGAATGGGGGCAGACAACGGTCACTCTGGCATCGGCGTTGAGAGCGTGGACAATGCGACCTGCAGCTACCTGTACGTCGAGTCATCAGCATGATGTCGATATATATTTACCGTTACCGGGCCTAGAATCGGAGGACTGTACCTCTCCACCGCCAACAACGAGGACATGCTTGTTCTTGACTTGCCAAGCAACTATTAATGAGCCACCTCCTTGAATAGGAGGGAATTTGTGCGACATGTTGAAAGATATGGTATCTCTTGAAGCATGATAAGAGTATCACTGCCACCTCCGGTTGCTATCTATCGATCGATTGGGGCGGGGCCAACTCTACGGAACGCGAGAGAAACCCAAGACGACCTGTCCTATTTTTCCCTTTTCTCCCTTGGCCGCCGACACTTTTTTTTTTTCTTCCCTCTTCCCTCGGTCATTTGAAATGACCTCCACAATCCTTTCCTCCGTTTTGTTTTCTATTTATTCTTTCCCACCCGTCCATGTTTTCTTTCGCTAGTACATAAACATCATAATGCGGGGGGTACAAATCTTTTCTGGGACATCCCATCCCGTCCTTGCTGAGACCATCTGCGAGCGTCTAGGCACACTCCCCGCTCGGGCACTTCTCGGAAAATTTGCGAACGGGGAGACGAGGGTTGACATCGGGGTTTCGGTGCGGAATCAAGATGTCTACATTCTCCAAAGCGGCAGCCAGAAGATTAATGACAGTGTCATGGAGCTCTTGATTATGATCTCTGCGTGCAAGGGTGGCTCCGCGAAGTCTATCACAGGTATGTTGTTTATGCAGGCCAATGGGTATTTTCTTCTCTCTTTTGATCAATGTACTGACTGATGTGATTTCTCCTAGCGGTCATGCCGTATGGTGCCCGTCTACCTTGAAGAATATGCATTGAATGCTGACATAGACGAGGTACTTTCCTTACTCCCGCCAATCGAAGAAGAAGAGCCATCGCGGAGCTATCACGGCTCGGATGCTGGCCAACCTGCTTTCGGTCGCTGGGGTAGATCACGTTATTACCTTGGATCTCCATGTGAGTTTCGAGGTTTCACATCGTTGAGACGAAGATTTTTCTAATCGGGGGCAATATTAGGCATCTCAAATGCAAGGATTCTTTGGCAAGCCGGTGGATAACCTCTTCGCTGAGCCTTTCATCGCTCGTTGGATTCGGATGAACGTCCCTGGTTGGAAGGAAGCTGTTGTTGTCAGCAAGAACGCGGGAGGCACCAAGCGTGTGACATCGCTTGCGGATACCCTGAAGCTCAACTTCGGCATCGTCACAACTGATAGACGTCGTCCCAAGACGGCCATGGCCATGACGGATAGCACTGTGTTCTTTGACTCCATTGACGATGATACCACTGGTATTCCCAAGGAACCAAAGCCCTTTGTCCTGCACCTTCGCAGTGGGAATGACAATTCCCAGGACGACGATGTGTTCACTGAACCGAGCCATCCAGATCCGCAACTGCGTCCAGAGACACCACCTGCCGCTCGTCGCCCGTCGGAGCTCGAGGCAGTCCATGAATATACCGATGTGCGAGTGCGTGAGGTGGTCACTGGACGGCTTGTCCAAGGCCACATTGTGGACGATGATTTCCCATCAGCCGGTCCCACATCCTTCCCCGCCTCTGGCATTACCACGCCTGGTCAACCCTCCAGCCAGGCTGCCTCCGAGGCAGTTCCGGATGCGATGGTGAACTCTTTTATCTCGACCACATCCTCAGTACCGGGCGATCACGCTCTTGGTGGGTCGTTTGATGCCGCCGAGTCCTCCGATGAGGAAGAAAGTAATGGACGAAGTGCTGAGCAAGAGAAGACGATCACATTGGTTGGAGATGTTCGAGGTCGAACGGTCTTCCTTGTCGACGACATGATTGACAAGAGCGGTTCCTGGGTCGCTGCTGCAGAGACGGTAGTCAAACGAGGCGGAGCCAAGAAAGTTTACTGCATTGCTACTCACGGACTTTTCGGGGGCGAATGCCTCGAACAGATGGAAGCGTGCGCGGCGATCGACTACATTGTCGTCACCAACACCTTCCCTATCACTCCACATATGATGAAGTCCAAGAAGCTAATCACCATTGATATCTCGAGTCTCCTGGCGGAGAGCATCCGTCGCCACCATTATGGTGAAAGGTTTGTAGCCACACCACTTGGATTAGAATCAGGTCGCTAACATTCAGATTGAAGTGTTTCGGCGCTCTTCCAACTCAATGACTAATTAGTATGCCTTTCGTCCATGTCATATTCACGATGATCACTTCAGACGGGCGATGATTTGGAATGTACCACAGCAACGAAGTGTTGGTAAGATGATGAATTGACAGTAACGACAACATTATGACCCTCTACTCCTTTTCTCGTCTTGACGAACCTTTTTTTTTTTTTTATTTTTTATTTTTTTCCCTCAACCTCCTTTTCGCTTTGACAATCACAGGGAGGCCAATTGCCAGACATAATGACTGTATCTATGTTGTGATGCATCCGGCCGATATCGCTTCTCTCACTTCCGATGGAGATCGATTGTCGTCTGGGCCGCGCATATGAACACCAGGTCACAGGTGAGCCAGGCCCAGTGGCTGAAATCATAAATCCCGGGTGAGCAGAATTACTGCAGCCCACATAGTGAAAAAAAAGAAAGAATATGATTCCCATTATCGGGTTTGACAAAGGTTCAGTTTAGTCGACGGATTCCCTGTTTAGCCAGCTTATGATCATCCTTGAAGAGCGTATAGCGTCATGGGATGTCATTTATCTACACACCAACGGTGCAGTCCACTCTGGGTACTGCAGGAGCATCTTGTTTTGTCACAATGATTGTTCTTAACGGAGCGTTGGAAGAGCAAACAATATTGGCCCTGTGGCTCCTCGTCTGGTTTGTGTCATACGGCATGGACGGATGGATGCGCTGCAGGGTCATTCGAGGAACGATTGCATCAATTTCTTTCTGAGCCTACGTCAGTTGGCATAGGCTCTGGTCCTCTGGGCCCGTGGAGCTGATGCAAGAGAACATCTCGAACATTCTTTATTGTATATATCACAATACGCTTGTAGTCCAATACATTCAATATACGTCCAGTTGACTGTGATCGATCGGGGAAGTCTATGTAGATACCGTGTCTGATGTATTGGACTGGACTGGACTGGACTGGACTGTCTCGTGCTGTTCGGCTTCGGGGCCATTCCCGGGATCCTTGTCATAGTCCCGTAGGAGGCGGATGACGATCCTATCTCTGCTTTTGGAAAGAAGGCAGGTGATCGAGTCTTTCACAGGTCAGTCAGTACCACATCTACTACATACAGGACCAGGGATGAGTCAATGAGCCTGCACTGCAACTCCTGCAGAGAAGCAGACTTGATTCTAAACCCTGGTTCTTTGTCCGATTGCAGGGGGAAGGGGAAGCCGGCACGGCATACTTTGGCGTAGGTATGTATATCTGCCGTACAGGAAGTGGGCCAGTCGTGCAATGGTATGTATGTATGTGAGTCCTGTGTCTGGATCTGGCATTCGACCTCACGAATACGATAGGGAGTCGCTGTCGCGCACATTCACATATGAACTCTGGATTCTGGAATTGGATTCCCACTGTGTCCTGTCTTCTTCTTGGCGGCTGGCCAGGTGGACAAATCAAGGACGAAAATAAAATAAAGAGCCAAAAAAAAAAAAAAAGGAATGGGTATCAACTCTCTCGATTCTCAACCCTCAACGCCCTACAAGCAAGCGGTCTCTGGCGGTGTGCGTGTGCCCGCGCATCCTAGTCAGTACTCAATAGTTACACACTTTCCGATCGAGCCAGTGTTGGTTCATCAGGGTGGAAGGACCAGTTTCCAACTTGATTGCGATGGGATAGGGAGGCGGGAGCTTCACCATCGAGCTGGAGTTCGAGTTTCAACTCCAAGTCCAATTTCAAGGTGATTGTGTGATCGTGATCGTGACCGTACTTTTTTTTTTTTTTTTTTCTTTTTCTTTCCCCCATAAAGACGTCACATCACGACCCTATCAACCGATCAAGCACTCCCCTAGAGCAAATTGTAAGCAGTAAGCAGCAATGCAAGTGCCAGTGCAGCAGCAGCCCGCGACCCGAATTCCAGGACAACTCCATGGCCTCGGACCTTTTCTTTTCTTTTCTTTTCTTTTCTTTTCTTTTCTTTTCTTTTTTTTTTTCCTTCTCATTTTTGCTTTTGCCCCCTTGTCCCGGTGGAATCTGATTCCCATTCCGACCCCATTCGTTGGTCAGATTCACAATACTCTATTTAGTCGGGGAGGAGGAGACGGTGTTGTGGGGGCTTGGCTATGTTCTGGGCTTTGGCTTCAGCTGCAGAGGCAGAGGCAGCAGGACGCTGTTGCGCCACATTGATCATTTATTATGTAATTAAGATCGAGGGGATGTAAGTAGCATCTACCTTACGAGGCCCTATCGAGTAACTACTGTTACTCCTTGGTGGTAGATAGTGAAGAACCAGGAACCTGCTGAACTGTGAGTTCAACCATTACAGTGATTTTTTCCTCTCCTCTGTGGGAATGTGATGGGTCGAGTTGTCAGGGGAAGATGGAACTCGGGTCAGAGCCGTGGAGAACCAGATACAGTACGGAGTAGTAGGTAAGAAGTCAAGAGGCGCGAGGGACAAAGTACCCTGTGTGATCGGAGCGGGAGAGGCAGTAGTTTAGTCTAGTTTTAGTTTGATAATTGATCCCTTTCCCTTCCTCCCTGGTCCCTAGATACTCTTCGTAGCCTCGTAGGAGTGTACGAGATTCAGCCTTGGAGACTTAGCTGTTGAGTGTTAACAAGGGGTTGCTGATTTGTGGTTCGTGTTACTTTTAGTGTACGATGGCTCGTCCTTAGGCGGCCGGGGAAGAGGAGCCGGTAGATCAAAGCTAAAGTGCTCCTGAGAGTCCTGGAAGTTGGGACATGGGGCTTGAGACGTCTTTTGCAAGTTGTTCACTAGTAGGGAGTCAATTGTGAAGATCAATGCGCGAGACTTTTCCCGTTCCAGTGGATATGCCGACCACTGGATATCTACTACTCCGTAAGTAAGAGTATGATCTCTTTTCCAGGATCTATCGACGGAGTACCTACTGTACTTTGTATATGCCATGCTACAACTAGTGATAGACTAGTCGCCAGATTTAGCCACGCGTCTCGATATCGGGTCTAGCCTGCTGCAGGTGTCCCGACTGGGCGAAACTCGACCAGGCCGGAATAGCACTAGTCAGCGATCTAGAGGTACGCTGAGTAGATAGTAGTTAGACTAGAATCGATGTAAGTTGAATATTCGATGGATGAATCTAGAGGCTGGATCGTAAGTTAGTAAGTTTGCAAGAATTGTCCCAGCTACCGGGAGACTCACCGGATTCATAAACACTTGCAGGTTGGCATCGGGCGAGGAAGCCCCGAGGAGATCGTCTCGCATACTCCGTATACAGAATGCTGGATGCTGTTGAGTTGATGGAGCCAAATGGCCCGGCAGACTGCATACTTTTGGTGTCGACTTCGGGAATTATCGGGTGATCACAGTATTTTGTAGCAAACGCAGAGGAACAGTAGCAATAACAATAACAGTAATAATCCTATCAATCAATCTACCTATCCTACTTGGTCGCAGGAATCAGGACTACGTAGTACGTACGGAGTAAAAGAGATAGATAGTACCTACAGTAAGTACATACCTATCTGATATTCCTTCCGTATAGGCGTATTCGCTGTGGAGTAATGGACCTGGTGGGTGGGTCTCCAGATCCTCCTGCATAAGCCATAATCGGCCACCACGATCGGTCATTCAGCCATCACGCCGGCCCTTTTAATATGAAACGAGGTGCAATAGCATCATGTTGTACCTCGAGAGTCGAGACAGAGGAGAGGGGAGTTATGAAAATGCACCACATGAATCAGGTAGTAGGTACCGCTGGGTGAAGGTAGTATAACTGAGTAAGTACTAACTGGCTAGTAGTAGTACTTAGTAGAGAGAGCTAACTATGGCATGTCCGTTTCCTCGCGCGCTCCCCTGCTCAGGTGGATTTGTGGGGGGTTCGACTGACAATAGGGTAGTGTACTTACTGAGAAAGATATTGTTTGTTTAGTCGAGTTTGTCACTCCAAGTTAGGAGCAAAATCGGATCCATTCGATCCAGCCAGGATCATCATTCATCAGTAACGTAGTATTTTCGAGTGATAGATGACTATTGTATTGTTCTTCAATCTGATCACTGTGATGGCATCGGTGAAACCCTCTGAAAAGATCCCAGTCGTGTTTCCCTGTAGCTGTAAGAGACTAGAGTATTCGTTTTTGTCCTACTGTGCTGGGGTCCGAGACAGGGAGACTGGGGGGACAGTTAGTTGCACAGCATGCTTCAGACCAGATGGCTTGGTGGATTATCGTTTTTTTTTTTTTTTTTTTCTTTGGATATTAAATATCATTAGGATCAAGAAAGGCATTGATATTTTCTTTTTTTTTTTCTGTATCTATGTGCTCCCATAGTGGTTTGTCTCGGAGAAATAATAGGGTTGAATTTGTCAAAATATTGTTAGAGATATTGAATGCTTCAAAACAAGTAGTTTCCAGACCCTTGGATCTGGGAGGATCTGGGATCTGGGATCTGGAACAAGATCTGACTGCTGAGCACTTAAGCAAGCCACCAAGAAAAGAAAAAAAAACACAAAAAAAAAAGAAAAAAAACAAAAAAGAAACAGAAAGCAACCTGGATGCAATTGATACCAAATTCAACCTCCCGTTAAGAATAAGCGCCCTAAACAAAGTACGATAACTAGTCTAAACTAGTTATTACCTCTGTCGTTCTGCTCTCGCTAGATCCGAAAGATCTCTCCGTCTTTCCCCCATGACAAAATCCCCCAGCAATCCATTCAGCTGGGATTCGGCAAAAGGACTGTGCTTTTATCGATCTCCAATCATACATCTACGATCTTCTTCATCGGCCCAGGGACTTTTCTCTTGACGTTTCTGGTGCTTTTTTAAGTGAAACAAGACAGGTCTCGATGTGACGAAAGGAAAAAGAAATCCAGGCAGATCGTGTCGAGACTCGAGGGTCTTCTATATCTATCCATCTACCCATCATGGATATTATACTACTCAATATTGTCCTGATTTCAAATACTCCAATGATCTTTGACTTTTTTCACCCTTCCTAATAATAGTCTCCCTAGAACCATATCCACACTCGGCACTTGCTTCTGATCCGAGTAACAAAAAGTACTTCTCTCGATCTAACTATGTATATTCCCAATATCGATAAATAGTTACTGTTAAAGTTAAGATTGCGACTATTGACAAGTCTGCTCCATCTCCCCGGAACTGGCACTGACCCATCTATTGCTATACATCACTTTTCCATGCAGCCTTCTCTTTCCTTCTCTTCCTCATTCTCCTGGCTTCTTTTTCTTTTTCTCTCCATATCTTCCAAAGAACTGCCATCCATGTATCGATCTCATCCTCTGCAGTGACCATCGTGCAGCTTGCCTGACAGTACCTTTTCCCCCCTTTGCCCATCATCCTCGGGGCTCGATTCCTCGCTCTCATTTCCTATTCCATTTTGGTCCATTCCTCTTTCTTCTTCAAGGAATTCGTCTCCACTGGTCCGATGTCACTTCCGCATTTATCGGGTACATGCATTTGTGTGAAATAACTTCCCCGTGAGAGCAGTTCCCTGCAACTTGGCTGGAAATCCTTGTTGCCTTGTACGATCATATCGATCTTCGGACAAACGCCTCACCTGGGCATCTTTTCGCAAATGATGAGTTCGTCATCGGTTGGTCGTTAGAAGACGCTGCTTTGCTACTCTGTGGTCGAGATCGAAACTCTGACTATATATACTATGGCCTCGTCGTCCGAAGCTCCATTTCAATTATCCTTCATCAACCAGCACTCAGTTCCTTCTATACCATTCTCCTCGTTGTTCTCAACCTCTCCCAAAAGCGTCCCTTGACACTTGCACTCCGACTTTACTCCCGGTCTTGCTCTAAGCTTCTTCAGAATTCCATCCCTACCGTCTTGTCAAGCCCTTGGGCATTGCTGCGTACGCCCTTGCCTGGTCCTTGAACCCACGATCCGGCTGTTGTTTCCCCAGCCATTCGGATAAAGGAGTCCATTGTCCTCAACTGAAGACCCAGGAACCTGGATCAATTGAGCAAGCCACTCGCATCCCCAAGATCGTTGTCGTTGCCCATCTAGTATGTAACCAGCCAAGCCTCAAGAAAGACTCTCCGTGTATAGTCCTGAACCGTGCCTATACTAACATCTCGGCAGAATCACCATGGCCAACCAGTGCTCCGGACATGTCTTTGCCATCGTGCAAGCCACCAACGGAAACATCCTCACCTGGCGCTGCTCAGACTGCAACGGCGGCCCCTATATGGCCATCTGGCGATGCAAGATCTGTGGTCACTGTCGCTGCAACTCCTGCCACACCGCCAAAGCATAAAGCATGGTTACATTGTCCTGGACTACAGGGTTGTACTGTCCACTTCGGTAAGTAAATTTGGTGTAGGCCGTGAGTGCTAGGACTGATAGGACTATTTCAGCTGACACTCCGCCTCAAGATCTCTAGTACCTGCACTTGAGCATGCTGGAAAACAATCCTCACTGGGAATCGGTTCCAACAACCAATCGGATGCGTACCTGGGGCCGATTGGATCGCAACTCGATGCGCTACCTACACTTCGAACCATCTGCGTCCCGAATGGTCCCTTCTCCCCAAACAGCAAAGCCTCAAAAACGAAAACCACCACGAAAAAGAAAAGAAAAGAAGCAGTTCCACCCTCTTATCTGTCTTACCACCATCTCTAGCCCTCAGCTAATCTCTAATGACCCCAACCAACACGGCCGCATCCTGCTGTTTCCATGTTCCTGTTGTTCCAGCATGTATCGCTCCGGCGTCCAGGAGGAAAAAGGGCAGCATCTGCTCTTTGATCTCGTCACCTTCTGGGTTTGTTCTCACATGGCGCACGTTTTTTTAATTCTTCTGTCATGTTTCTTCTGCGGTTGTTGAATAGATAGATACATTACATACATAGATAGACTCAGGCGACTGAACCCGCGGCAACGCAACCGTCAATCATCAATCATCAATCATCAATCAATCAATCAATCAATCAAACCACCTACCACACCACCTCTCTCCTTTCAACCTCGAACAGAAACGAAAACAAAACCAAAAACAAAACCAAGGAAAATCCTGATCCTGAAAAACAGCACAACAGCACAACAGCACAAGAAAAAAGAAACCCTGGTATCCACCGTAAGCAAGCGGCTTCTGTCCTCTTCTGTACGACGGGAACTCCCTCACCTCCCAAGGTCCCTGTACGACGCTGCCAAGCTTCCCGATGGACAAGGGAGGGCGAGGGGGGAGGGTAGGACAATACGATACAAAAAGCAGTCTCAGCGGATTCTGTTTCCTGCTTACCGTTGCTGCGCCGAGAAATTCTGGGACCGCAGCTGCTCTAGTGTATTCCAGGTACCTTGCGTTTTTTCTTTTTTTTCTTTCTTTCTTTTTTTTTTTTTGGTGGTCGAGCATAAAATATGGAAGTTACTCATACTCCGGATGCGCTACTTTGGTTCGTATGTCGCATTGGCATCGGGGAGGATGTGCTGTGTCCTCGTATACTCTCTCGTATGGTCTTGATATTGACAAATATCGGCATGGGTGTACGATCGGCCGTAGCACGGTCATGTTTTCTTTTTTGCTTATGGTTGTGTAGGCGGGTTGAGTGACGCTGGTTACATGCATATGGGTTCTACTTCCAAGACTATTGCTTATGTGGAGAGAGAGAGAGAGACAGAGGGCTGGAATGGAAATGGTGGAATTGGGATGTGCTTGTGCTGTGCACTGTACAGGATGGTATCACTAATCGGCGTAAGGTAACATCGTTCGGTCAAGGCCAAGACGAGATTCGAGAGCAAGAGCTGGTCCATAACCAAAAACAAAAACAAAAACAAGAACAAGAACAAAGTCCAAAATGATGTCATATATCGTGGAGATGAGCCGGTTGTTGTCCTGATGGTTGTACAAGCTTATGGTCCCTTGCTTCGTGTAAGGACTGGGATAGATTCGAAAGATGGAGATCAGGTGAGTATGAGGGAATGCAAGAAGGGCAGGATATGGAGAGGCGAAATGACAAAAGGAAGATGCAAGAGAAGATCTAGGTGTAGATACTCTGCAGAGAGGTCAGTCAGTACCAGTACCCGATCGAAACAAGGGAGCAGACTGGGCACTCACCTCCGTGATCTGGTTCACAGCCAGCCCGGGCTCCGCCATCTCCGCGTCCTTCAGGAAGTCCAGCGGCATCCAGACAAGATGGCCTTTGATGCGGTCGAGTTTCTCGCGAACTTCCTTGACGGGCTGGTACGGGTCGAACAGGTGACCCTCCTTGATGTTGCCGCGCGGGCGGAAGTTATCGTAGTCGTCGAACGTGCGGATGTTGTCGTCTGGGTCCGCGCGGAAGAGCATCCGGTAGACCTCGGTGTTGGTGGTAGCCTGCTCTGTCCACAGCTTCCAGAGCTCGTCGTTGAGGGGGTCTACAACAAAATCGTTCTCAGGACCTTCGAGGATCTCGTTGAGGCAGACGTTGGGCGGCTGCGCGTTGGGATGCTGCGATGCGTCGTAATCTTGTGCGGGGAGAAGACCGAGATGTTCGCGCCATAGCTGTCGTCGTAATGTAGCGGCTAGACGGCCGGCGCGGAAGGGTTTCCCGTCCATCGTGCTGTCGATCAAGTCCTGGTCTTCGACGACGATGGCTAGTTCGCTGTCGTGGTAGCCAAGTTGTGACTGGGGGTTTGTCAGTTGGTTTGCTAAAACGCATGGAGAATCCAAGGACTGGATGCACTCACTCGATCGTTGATATTGGCACTGCCACAGATGGCAATCCGGTCGTCCACGATGCACACCTTGCCGTGCACGTAGAGCTCCTCCTGGACGAAGTTTACCTTTTCATTCTCCTCCTCGCCTTCCCAGAGCTCATCGGACATCTTGCCGCCGTTCAGCATGGTGCAGTGGGCGACGGTGTCCTTGCTCTTGAATTGCTCTGCGGTATGATGTCCCTGGCTCTCCTCGTATTTGCGCAACCGTGCGATCCGTTCTTCTTTCTCTTTCTCCGCATTGTCATAACTGACTTCATTCTTGTCGCCTTCCGTGCCGATCATTGGGTGCACACTGTCGCTCATGATCGCCTCGGCGATACCGCGCTGGATGTCGTGGTAGGTCACTCCTGCTTCATTTTCGAGTTCTTCGAGGGCAGGGGTTTTGTTAATACGATCGTAGGCCCGCAAATTAAAGAGGAATATGTGCTCTACTAAAGTTAGCTACTATTCTTTTTTATTCACGGTATACGACTCACCCCTTGGATCAACTCCTTGTGCAGAAATTTGGCCGAAGATCGAATGCTCTCCGCGAAGAATAGACTTATACTGGTAATCCATGATTGCACGTGTACCGGTAGCTGCGCTTTTTCGAAGGTCTCCAGCAAAGCCTGGAATGGCTGGGATGACGATAATCACTCTGAACTTTCGTCCCTCTTTGCCAGCTCTAACGCATGCATCAACAATAGCACGTCCGATGGTATTAATGATGGGTTTCTGCTGATCTCCGGTGGCAGTGACTGAACAGACAGGGTCAGTCTCTTTCTGTTGTAATGCTGCACAAGTTCACTTACTGAAAAATTGGTTCTCAATGTACACCAAATGTTGAGCATTGCGAATGATTTCGCAGTACGCATTTTGGATGCTATGCTCCACCAAGATTCCACTACTCCAGTCCGCGCTGCTGCGAACGATCTGTCCTTGTACGGTACCCTGCATCCCACGTGGTTTGGTGTCTAATGGGGTGAAGGGATGCTGCACATATTCGCCGCAAGGGTACTTCGGTCGTTGAACGCCAACAAGGTCCTCATGCTCGTCGGTGCGGCCTTCTAAGATTAGCCAATCAACGCTGTAGTCGCGCTTGTACTTATCCCGCTTGATGAAGTTCCATCGGAGAACAAAGTGCTCTGCAATATCGTAGACGCAATCGCCGACCAAGCCCATGGCAACATCGTGCCATGGCATTCGACCAAACTCCGCTTTGCTGACCTCGTTTGACTGCCATTCCGCAACGCTCTGGAAATCCATGATGCGGTTATTGTTAAAATCTTGGCCTGGGAAAATCTCGTTTTTCAAATTCGATGGGTGAACGTCGGCGAGGGGGTGTTGGTGAGCATCCCAGCGACCAAAGCAGAGATCGATGCCGCCGATGAAGGCCAGGGCGTAGTCAACAACGATGAATTTCTCGTGGTGTGCCTAAAGGGTCAGAAATGAGTGGATGAGTGTCACAAACGCTCGACTTACCCAGTATAATGTCATGTCTGCTGCGTTCTCGAAGATGTTGTGATCTGGATGCCGTAAGACTTTGATATTTCCGTGACCAGGGCTTCCCTCAGGACAAAGGCTCTGCAACGCATGTTTCGTATGCGCTGAATTACATGTCAAAGCTTGATTGACCTGTACTGTATTAGTATATCCTCGTCACAGCTAGAAGGAACTGTAACAAACCTCCTTATAAACTATCACATAAATCTTAACACCAGCTTCAGCCCGCCGCTTGAGTACCTGATCCAATCGCCATTCTTGTGCCTGATATGGAGGTCTCCGCAGGAACAGTTCTGGGGACAGCCACCAATCCTCGATATAGATCACCTCCTTGGCCTCTTCCAGTGCGATAGAGACGGCCCACATATAGTCGAGAGCGTCAACGTACCACTTCACCCTGTTACCTTCACGGATCGGGGCAAACGATTCGAATCGATGAGATTCAGCGATCGCAGTTCTCTTTCTGTCTGTTTCTTGCTCGTGCTCCTCGTCATGGCGGTGGTTCGGATTGACGATGTTGAAGAACTTTCCAACCTTGTGCTTGAGGTGATGCGCTTTGGCTTTGGCATCGTGTAGATGAGAGTCTGATCGCGACCTGGTCAATTCGGTTATAGTCGATCGCAAGCGCAGATGCACTGACCCTTGAGCGCACTCTCTAAATGAACCATCTCGTGCCCGAATTTCTCCTTCAACTTCTCCATCATGACATATGGCCCACACAGGGATTCGTGGGGGTTGGCTTCAACACAAACAAAGGCGATCCGAGCTGATTCTCGACGAGAGCAACCACACAATTATGTCCTGCAAGACCACTCAATTTTTGAAGAGGAGAACCGAATTCCTCTTAATCTCAATATTTTTCTTTATCGAGATCCACTAGAAAAAGAGGGGGATCAGCGACTATTTCACTGCAGCGTGCGAAACGCGTCGGCCCACGCCCGTGACATCATTTGTTTCAGCCTTTCCAGCCTTATGGCCTTGCAGCCTGAGAGGTCGAAGAGCCGATTTCCCCTCGAATGCCTTCTTCCTAGCCTGTTACACGCGATGTACCTCTCCACTCTCCGCTGTTGATCGTTGTTGTTCCTGGATCACTGCATTTACTCCGTCTATCCACGGAGGAAACCATCAAACAAATAAATACTCTCCTCAAGCCTCTTCTGGCCTCGAAAATTGGTTCAAGCCATTGTTCTCGTACCACTGGATGCATCCGAGTAAACCCCACTTCCATCCCATGGGCTAAAAAGGTCAATTTCAAGTTGTCCACTGATATCATCATCTTCCTTAGTCTACTGCCGGACTCACGATCCTTGTCTCTCACAGACCACAGTCTTGCTAAGTTGCTAGTTGCTACTTCGTGGAACCTCTTGGCGGGCGTTTCAGGCTGACACTTTTTTCGTCCGGGTGATCAAAGCAACATGAGGACAGCACGAAGCATCTACAAAGATGACGTCGATTTCACTACTTTGGCGTTGCAGTCGCCGGATTTTGCGAAATAGTTGGTGTTTTGTCCCATGATCTGAATCTATATACTGACTTCCTCGGTAGTCTGAAAGGGAATGGCCAGTTAGACTTCAGCGACCCGGATGCTGTGCGGTATGAATTGACTGGAGAATGAAGGGGCTACGACGTTGACTGACCAACTTTTCATAGCCAATTGACCAAGAGTCTATTGCAGAGAGATTTTAATCTCAAGGTCACGATACCTGAGAATAGATTATGCCCTCCGGTATGTACCCTGACCAATAGTAGATACGTATCTGGACTAATGTCGTTCTATAGGTACCTAACAGGTAGTAGTATTGACAGCTGTGACTGCTACCGCCAGCTGTCTAACACAGATCAGGTTAAATTATATCCTATGGTTGCAAGACCTCCTGGATACTACGGGCGATGAGTATCGAGATGATTATGATCCCGACAGAAACGTTCTTGGACTCGACATGTGAGCATGATCACCCCCAGCGAGTTGCAAGATTTTTTCTGACTTATGTAGAGGAACAGGATGTTGCAGTATATACCCTTTACTAGGATGCGCTACACGTCCCAAGTGGAATTATCTTGCGACCGGTGGGCATGGCTCAGTGCTCTGTCAGTAGCAGAAAGGCTGATTGTTCTCTCAAGATGTCGATGACGATAACATTCGAACTGCCCGTGAGAATGTGTCTGCCAATGGCCTGGAGTCACGCATTCAGGTGATCAAAACCAACCCTGACGATGGTCTCATCCCTTTGGCCACAAAATTTGAAGTTGAGAGGTACGGATCCGTATTGATGCCGTAACATGCAAACTCATTAGTCACACCAGTCTCGATTTTACGATGTGCAACCCCCCCTTCTACGCTTCCCGCGACGAGATGATCGCTTCAGCAGAAGCTAAAGAACGTCCCCCATTCTCGGTAGGTCACAGCCAACGATCTCAGACACAGTCATTGACCGAGCACACAGACATGCACAGGGGCGGAGGTCGAAATGGTCACGGAAGGAGGTGAAATAGCCTTTGTCTCTGGCATGATCGAAGAAAGCCTCAAGCTTCGCGACAGGGTCATCTGGTACACCTCGATGCTCGGGAAGCTCAGCAGCGTGTCTGCTATCGTAGAGAAACTGATGACACACGGGAACCGTAATTACGCAGTGACGGAGTTTGTTCAGGGCAGTAAAACCAAGAGATGGGCCGTGGCCTGGTCATGGAGTGATCTCCGCCCGACAATGGTATGCTTTGACAATATGAAATATTTCAAGACCGCGTGGCTGATGACATTGAACAGAATGTAGCTCGTGGTATCGCTGGCTTCCCCAAGCATCTATTACCCTTCCCATCCGAGTCCACATTCGAATTGAGCAATGAATCTATCGACAGTGTCGGTGACAGAATCAACGAAGAGCTCAGTCACCTTCACCTCGACTGGACATGGCGTAAGAACCTTGCTACAGGCGTAGGGTTCGCGATGGAAAATGTCTGGTCGCGCCAGGCTCGGAGGAAGATGCAGAATCCAACTACTTCGGGAGATAAAATGGAGATCGATGAGCAAAAGGCGGCACTTGGTTTCAAGATTCAGTTGAAGCAGAATCCGCTTGACGAGAAATGCTTCCGTCTTACTGTACGGTGGCTTAAGGGGACAGACTCGGTTTTATTTGAGAGTTTCTGCGGGATGTTGAAGAGAAAGGTTGAGGGGAGATAGGACCTGTGCACCAGGAGACGAAAAAAAAAAGTTAACGTTACTTGATCATTTACGTCAAATAAGGACTGACCCAAAGCGATTTATGCATACCGGCAATGCTAAGAATGGTCTACTCGACATAATGCATCATAAAAACAAGCCTAACGACTAGGAGCTTCCAACCTCGGTCTGCAGCTCCTTCAGACGATTCCATCCCTCAGAATCTTCCCAGAAATCTTTTCCTTTGCCCAGGATGCCTCTCACGGCACTGCGAGCCTTGAAACGCCAGTCTTTGGCCACCATCTCGGGTTCTCCTTCGTGCTGTCCCTCTTTGTCCATGGGCCCGAACTTGGCATAGCCATCCCGCACAAGTCTCTCCGTGGCACGCACGACATCCATCCACTTCTTCTCGTCGCCCATCTGGAACGCACCCTGCGTGCAGGAAGCCACCGTAGCACGCCAGGCTTTCTCATGCGCCTCGAAGGCCTTAGATGGTTGTTCGCGGAATTGCTCGACGCGGGCAACGAGCAGCCAAAGCGGCGCAGAGTGAGTGATTAGCGGCACGACGCACTGATCGACCAGAGCAAGGATCTGGCCTGGAATGGTACCACTGCGGACAACCTGCTCTGACTTCTCGTCCTTCTCGTCGACCTTGATCACAAGATCTTCGTAGTTGTAGCTGCTGACAAGGTGATCGATCAACATGCTGAGGATCGGGATATCGACGCTCTTTTCACCATTCTTGGCGCCAAGTAGTTCGATGACCCGTCTCTGAGCCGTGATGGCGTCACGGAATGGTGTGGCTGGGGGAGGAATTGAGGCGGCGACGGTCAGGACGTTGTCCCAAATGCGAGCATCGGTGTGCTTGAGTTGTGCGGCGCGGTGGAGGGCAGCAAGGGCTTCACGCTTCCGCTTGTAAGGGGCCTCTGGTGCTTTAGCAGGTTCCGAGTCGCTGTCGGCGTCGACGTCAGTGTCAGCGCTTGATTGCTGGGGCGCCTCCGCTATCTCCGTGGTCTCGCCGGGTTTCGGGGTGCGCAGGATTGCGGCGGCAAGGTTACTCCATGCTTCAGCGTCGTTATCTTCCAGCTGAACGGTCCGTGTGAATGAGTCAATGGCGTCTTCCCATTTCTCTAGCTCGAGTTGTACGCAACCAAGAGCGAACCAAGCGCCGTGGTTGAGACGATTGACATGAAGACTCTTGCGATAGGCTTCCTCTGCCTTGTCGAGAGCAGGAGGCCTTAATGCGAGGTAGTGACGGGCCAACGACCGTTGAGCACGCGCGTATCTGTGATTTGACGCCTCCCATGCACGTTCATATAGTGAGGGATCCGACTCAATATCACCCAGGATACATAGTAACCGAGGAGCATCGGCTGGAAGAGGAGACAGCTCGGGTCCGTCGAACTTCTCATTCTCATCGTCGGGATCTGTGCCAGTGGGTTGGTAAAGCTGTCTGCGGACGATGTGCTTGGCCTTTTCTTCCCGTTCTGTTGCAGCGTAGCAAAGAGCAGCCTCTGCCCACATGTGCAGCCGTTCATAGATCTCCAGCGCGGTCCGCAGGCCTCCAAGATCGACCCATCGCTGAGCCAGCTCGGCCTCAAGGCTCCATCGAGTAGGAGAACTCAAGATCCAAATATATTCCAGTCTCTCAGCTGCCGAAGCCGATTCAGATTTCTCAGGTCTTGGGAGGAAGGTGGTGGGTTGTTCGGTATTTTCGGTCGCCTGAGTATCAAGACTAGCGGTGTCTGCGATGACCTGATCGACTAGAGCTTGCATCTGCAGCACAGCTCTTTCTACCGTTCGAGAACGGTAGCCTTCCACCCGACTCCGAACCAACAAAGCTTGAGTGTAGATTTGCCAGTTCGAACTTCCACCCTCCAGTACACGAACGGCATATGGGTGAGTCTCTTCTCGGGTCAAACCGTTCTCCGGTGAAGTGTTGGTGATGGCAGATGCCAGCCCCAGTAGAATAGCGGAGTCGACAGGATCAAGAAGTGGCTGGTTACCGGGATCCAGGGATTGCAATGCTGGAGGAAGCGTAGATTCCTCTTGGACCGTCATCGACTTATCTTGGGATGTTTCATCACTCTTGGTAAAGGAAATGCTCTCAAGAAGGGTGTCATCGTTAAGTTCCAAGTTCTTGGGTCCCGCTTGTTTTGTGTCTTCCGTCTCTTCTGGGAGCGCAGCATTCCCTGTGCTCTTCAGACGCTCGGCACTCTTCGCGAGAACGACCAGCTGGCTGACATCACGTTCCTGAAACTTCGTCCTTTTACCAAGTCTTCCTGTCAATGCAAACTCGAATCCTCTGACAGCGGCAGCTTGTTCAAGGTCGGCGCGAGCTTTGGCGTCGAAGCCATGGTGTGTATGGATCATCGCTCTCTCAAGCAGGAACCGTCCCTTCTCTTGTGCGGTAGAGAAGACAGACTTTTCTCCGATGAGCATGTTGCTCAACACGTCCAAGTCCTTGTAGATAGCATCCTGTAGTGTGCTTGTAGGTTCCGACAGCATCTTCTGGTGAAGAAAATTGACACGCAACCTCGCCGCCCTCGCCATCAATGGGCCATCAATCAGAATACCAGCATCCACAAGCAAAGCCTTTGCCAAAGCGAAAAGTTCGACATTCGGTGTCAGCTTGTAAGCCGCCTCACCATCTACCGAGAGCTCCCGAATAATGTGGCTGCGAACAGCCCGGAGCTTTGCCGCATCGGAACGAAGAGCAGAGGGAAGGACCACTTCTGCGGGGTTGAAACCTAATGGAGGACCGGTAATGTTAGATTGCAGAAAGCTGAACAAAGCTGCGAGACCGATATGGAGAAGCTGAGACTGCTGCTGTGCTGGCGAAAGTCCGTCAAGGGGCATCTGAGAGACGGCCTTGGCCTTCTCAGTCACGAAGGTAGTGTAGCATAACTCGCCGTCGGACACTCGGTCAATGGCGCTTGAATCTGCCGAGTTGCATCCTAGCACTTCTAGCGCCAGAGGAAGCTCGAGGATCGGGACGATCTGCGCATCCTCCAATTTGACAGAATCATACTGCTCCCTCAGCGGTGATGTCTCGTTATAGAGGGTGTCCAACGAAGTTGGGTATGTGATGGTTGAGGATTCACTCATGTTGGGAAAGTATATTTTTGATGGAAATACAAAAGAATTTTGACTTTTGATCGCTTCACAAAGGCAGGGAGCTGCTTAAGGCTGCGTGTGTACTTCGTACTCTGGGAACAGACCTCGGGTTAGGTCCTTGACATCGATGAGCACGTGATGTTGATGTATGTATTGGCAATCACAAGACCATACTGAATGCTTCCAAGCATGTAATTCCTATCTCGAGGACAGAGCTAATGAAAGAGCGACTGTAGATGGCCTTAGGAATGACGATGAGGAGGAAATACAGGTACCCCGCCTAGCAGTTTTTTCACTTTTCTTATCGATAAGGCAGATTTCGGAGATTGTGGTGGGGGCAACAGAGGCTGTGGTCATAAGCACTTGCCCTGTGGATAGAAACTCGGTGTTGCTGGAAATATTAGCTATTATTAACAGCCACGCACTACGTAACCACCAATCGACAATGCTTGGTTTACTCCAGGGCCAGGGATACTTTATTCGGCACAACAATCATCAAGTATTCGTTTCATTAAACCTGCAGGGTATGGTAATTCTAAGAGATGCTCAGCTCTTCGTTGCGTGAGCATGCTCTCTCAAGATTCGATTGAGACCTTCACGCTGCACACACTCATCAAAGTGAAAGCTATGAGCCAAAGCCTCCAATTCCTTCTCACCCATCCCTCTGAACAACTCTGCGAACTCATCTACGAAAGACGCAGCGAGAAATGTCTGGAAGACATTCCGGAGCAAGTGGCGCTCTGTGTGCCACGGGGTGGGATATGTCTCCTTCGCCTGAGGACTGACCTTGTCGATCCACTCAACCAGCGGCTTCAACGCAGCTTCAGGCTCCGAAGATGGCTCTCTTCCCCAAGCATCAAGCCAGAATTTTGTCTTCTTTTCCAGCAACGGCTGGATGGTCTTGTTCCACTTGCTGTCTGGATTTGTGTGGATCATGCCCTGGAGGCCGATATCCTTGTAGAGCCAGATAGACCAGTGAATGTTGTACTTGTCGTAGATGCGGAGCTGGTCGCCAAGGAGGTCATAACGCTCTTGGTTGATGGATTCTGCCTCTGCTTCGGTCCGTGGGTTGGCGTAAACGGGACCAAATTCACCGTTCCAGATTGCTGTGCCATTCTGGTACATGAATTCGGCCTTGCGAAGGTATTGTTTCTCAAGATGCTCCTTTTGTTCGGAGGTTCCTTTGTACCGCTGTCCAGTCGGAAAGCCCATGGACTAAGAGATTCATTAGCCTGAAAAATACCTGTTAATGAGCGTGGTACTCACCGAGTAGTCATGCATGGCGTATACGCAGTTCGGAAGAACCTTATCAAATCCCTTCCACTCCATAGCAAAGGTATTCCCATCCAGCCACAGGATGTGATCAGGATCAACTGCTCGGATAGCCTTCTCCACACGCTCATAGAATGCCGGAAGACGAACATGCTCGGGATCGCATGGCTCATTCAGAGGGTTATACCCTGCAACCCATGGGTTGCTCTTGTATCTCGCGGCGATCTGCTCCCATAGCCAGACCGTCCGGTCCTGGTGGTCCTTATAGTCCCAGAAAGCAGCGTAACTGGTCGTGTTATCGGAATGCCAGTCACAATTCTGTCCACCCGGCACCGTATGCATATCTAGAATGGTGTAGATCTTTTCTTTGGCGCACTATCCCAATATATCACACATTAGCGTGGAATACAGGCATATGGAAATGGTTCTTACCAAGTCAATCACCCGATCCAAGTGCTTGAACCCCGATTCCTTCAACACGCGCGGGTTCATATCATCTTCGAAGTGACGGAAGTTGAACGGAATCCGGATACAGTTCAATCCCAACCCAGCAAAAAACTTGGCATCCGCCTCCGTGAAGAAATACTCGAGCCACTTGTCGAAGAAGAACTCGTATTTCTCTTGGCCCAGAACGCGACGCATAGCAGCGCGGTGTTGGGATTCATGGCCCGGATAGCCGGTAATGAAGTTTTCCATACTTTAGGATTGAGCAATCAGCAATTTACCTCATGGATAGTGATCAGATAGGTCGTAAGCGTACTTCATCCAGCCCCCAATGGCGGCACCGCGAAGAAGAACCTCATTGCCGCTACTATCGACAACCTTGTTGCCTTTGACTTTCAGAACGCCGATAGCCATTTTCTAAAACCTCAGATATTGTAGACGTGAGGGTTCATTCAGATGACTTGTTTGGATGGCTCAGCTTCCAACAGGGGATGGGCCTCAGCGCTCTTATAAAGCTCCATGCTCCACCTTTGAATAAAGGCAGAATCCATATGTGAAACCTCATTTTGGGAACACCTTAACACATCATCGCTGGGGTCAAGCGGGGTGATTATCTTGTCACTCTTTGCTCCTGCGGGGGATTTCATTGCTGACGTCGGTTAAAGCAAGCTATTTAGGCTATTTCAGTGAGACCTCAGCCTGCAGGTCAGCACAGCGCTCATCAGCCCTAGCATAAATTCAAATACCACTACCAATGTTCGGTAATACTCCGGAGGCAACCTAGGGATTCGGTTGTTTCACCGATGCCACGTTCATTAGTCTTAACTATGGCAGTACCTAGACAAGGATACCGCGCAACAGCTCAGAGAGAATATAAGTACATTGAATCGACGCTATCATCGTTATAGCGGCCCGGGGTATCTGTAAATACAGACGTGAAATGCAAAGAACGCCTCCAAGGCTCAATAATAACTCCGTAGATGCAAGAATCAACGATCGTATATGATCAACGTTCCCTGGTAATTGGATCAAAACTCCGACACCAGTTGCAGGACTCATTAATCACGAAGCTGCCTGACCGGTTCTGCTGCTTCATCACCAGTCCTGACCTCTATCTCTCATTAGGATCTCGATAGCCTCATCCTCTGGAACAGGGTTGTCATTTAACTCTTTAACACATTGCGTTAAACCTTCGGCAGCTTCGTCGACTTGTTCAGCAGTCCAACCCGTGCAGGCCATCACCATTCGACGGTAGTTCTGGCCTAGCACGACATTCTTGGACTTCAGGCGATCCACCTCACTCAAAATCTCCTGATTAAACTCTTGATAACATTGTACCCGTTGCTGCAAAATCTCGGGAGAAGCCAAAGAACTCAGATAAGCTACCTGTTTCTCGGAGAAACCGGATGTGGGATCGAATGTTTCGGGAAAGATGGATTCAAATTCAGATATGCTGACACCAGAGTCTTTGTCCGCATCGCCGATGATGGTCATTTTCGAAGGCTCGAAATGCCCACCATGCATGTCCTTGAGCATCATTAGGAGATCTTCGGACGAGCGTTCTAGATTTTTAATCCGTCGACTCAATTGCACTCGATCCGAGGACTTAGTCTTGAGCTCGTCAAGTCTCTTTTGCTCGATTTGACGAGCTTTTGCTGTCTCACGTATTTTCGAGTGCCAATGGTCGAATTTCTCTTGCTTTTTGGACAAGTCGGAGGCTAGTTCCTTATCAAAGCTAGTTAACGTCTCCTGGACGATTGTGCTTATTTGAGCCATCGTTGCTTCAAGTTGTTAGTAGACCATCGACTATACTTCATTGCAGGTTACATACCATCGAATATCTCTTTCTTTGTTTTGGCAAGTTGGTCAATGAAAGAATCATTTCTGTTTCCGCCCGGTTGGGCTTGAGCGTTGCCATCCACCATATCCACACCAACACCATAATCAGCTGGCCGCAGACCCGTGTGGTTGGGTATATGGGGATCTGCGCCGACCTCCAGCAATTGAGGCACCAGAACAGAGCGCGCTCGCCCAGCAAGATTTAGCGCGGTGTCTCCTTGATCATCCCGAAGATTGACAATTTCTGAAATAAAGCGGCCCAAGGTTATGACTTCGCCAGTCTTGTTACCCACAGTCCCATCTGCAGGTTTCTGGCTGACAGAAGTGCCTCCGTGACGAACAATAAATTCTAGAAGAGCCTCCAGATAGTGCTTTGCAGACACGTGCCCACCACCACCAGTAGCGGCCATCACCGCAATATGATGTAGAATCGTCCGCCCACTGTAGTCAACCATGTCAATTGTGGGGGCAAGCACTTGCAGTAAGCGCGGGAAACTCCGATAATCAAGGTTATTCCTTGTCCCCACTGACTTCTGCAAGGCAGTCTCACCCGCACCATTCAGGCGGTAGATGCTCACACCTTTTTCAACAAGCGCATAAACGAGCGGCATCCGAGCAAGCATTGCAGCCCAATGAAGGGCATTGTTCCGATACTCATCAAGTGGGATCTCCAGATCCTCACTGGTGAGTTGCAGCAATGCAGGGTGTTTGGAAAAATCCTTCGTCCTCTTGTCGAGGAACAGTGTCATGATAAGTTTCATTTTCTGGAACCGTTCGGGGGTCGTGGCAGGAGGAAGAGGATCAGAGCCCCGTCTGTTACTATCCATCAATGAGATCGGCCCATCCATTTCCTGGTAGAACGAGTCATTAGGTTCCGTAGGTGTGGGCTCTTGCATGGATAGTGATGAAGGCTCCCGATGAAGCCCAAAGGAGGGTACATGATTGGATGATGATCTGACACGCTTGCGAGGTGGCTCAATAGACTCTTCTGGCTCGAAACTTGCAACATCGGGGCCGTTGAATCGGCCATTGCTCAGGGCATTGCTCCCAAACACGCTGTCCGAGGCCACGCTGTACATGCTCTGCTGGCTGCTGAATGCAGGGAGCTGAGACTCCTGAGAGGTCATCTGCTGCGACGGTTTCCGTATGACGCTCGTGCGCTTGCTATCGACACCCCTTACCGCAGGGGAATCGAAACGAGCTTTGCTGATGGCGTTGACGGCCGTGGCGGCGGTGCGTGAGATATTCTGGAAGAAGGTACCCTGCTGCGGTTGCGACATCCCACGATTATCCATACCGCTATACATCCGTTTCCTCTGTGCCGCCATTGCTTGTTCCTTGGTAGGAGTGTCCAGAGTATCCGGCCCGGTGTTGGCAGTACCATTGGGGCCCATATCGTATTCGAGAAGCGGTCTCAGTAACTCTTCGACATGGTACTCGCGACAAAGATCTACGCCTCTCTGGTAGTTCACCCATGTGCCTTGGTATTTGCCATATCCTCCCTGGACCTTCTCATGTTCACCGGCCGCTATCTCCTTTTCGAGTGTTTTTGTTCTCCTGGCTTTGACCACACCAGCGACTTTGAGAATCTGAGTAGCATTCAACCAAGAATCGGAGCGACGTTTCATCACCGCGACTCCGTTGACTTCCATTTCGTAGACAGAGACATTAGAGTAGACAGCCTGCAAAGAGCGGTGTCAGCACAGCGAGATCATAGCATCCAGAGGCGCGCTGACCTTGTATATCTGGGGCTTGTATTCCTCATGAAATTGAACCATTGGCCCATAGCCATTCATATCATCAAATGTCCCAAATCCACCTCTTGGACCGCCAGGAAGACCGTTCGGGTAGTTGAAAGACATCGACTGTTGGGAGTTTTTCGGAGGGGGTGTTGCTCGGGGTGTTGACGCGATCGACTGAGAAGCATTAAAAGAACCCATCTGAGACTGAGAAAAGGCAATCCCGTTGGCGGAGCCCATGCTGCTCTGAGAGTACGACATGGACAAGCTAGGTCGCGGAGGAAGATGGTTGTTGGAAGTCATGACCTAAGGGTGTCAGGTCCGCCGAAACCCAGACCAGACAATCATGCACATGCGAGGCCTGGGCGTGAGATGTTAGTACAAGCCGCGACTGGTATGGCTCATAGCTTAATTCCTATACCGATCTGTAGCTTGAGGGAAAAAGAAATTCTCGGAGCAACACAGGCAGTGAATCGAGTGGGGAAATAGTGCACCAATTCAACTGTCTCCCGGTAAGTGTTCGGCGAGGCGCGCGAGGAGGCGAAGGGCGCGTGGCTGGCACCGATTGTGACAGGGATGTTTGACACAGGCTCACTTGACGAATGTAAAACAAACAAAAAAGAAAAAGCTCAACGAGGGCTAGGGACGGTCGAAACTCGAAACAGAAATAAAACAAGGCCTTTCAGTAATTCTAGAAGCAATCAGCTCATAAATCGTGCATGTAAATGGTTGAAGATCGTGGTGAGGAGTCGCGGGGCCTGATGGTCGCGTTTTCTGCTTGGCGTTTTCGCGTAACGGACGTCAAAAAACCATCTATTTCCTCTTTCGGCCACTATCTACCTTGTTCTCCGCTTTTGTTCTTGAGCCTCCGAGACGGTTGGATCTGGTAATCGACGCTGATGACGATGTCAGATATGCGAATGTTATTGACTAGTTGAACTGATTTCGATATAATCACCGCTGTAGGACCATGTCCTCTCCGCTCATCCCCCCAGAACAATGGCGACATCTCTTCCGTGCCTTACTCCGTGAATGCTCTTATCTCCCCGACCCGATTGCGAAAGGCTACATGCATGACTACGTCGTCCAGAGATTTCGACGCTACAATGACATATCGAAAGCAAAGCCTCTCAGTGACCCCCATCGACAATTCTCCCTCCACAAGACCGCGACTCAGAAACTTTCTTTACTCAAACGTGCCAATGAAGGCTACTCTCGACCGCTTGAAAAAGTCCTCCGACTGTCCTACGGACGCAAGGGAAAGAAAAGAAGGGAACTGTTAGACACATTCATTGCCCCGGAGGTTCCTCCGGATGCTGCGGCCGTGATGAGCCTTGTTGAGAAACCGATCATGTTCGAAGATGGATGGAAACCCCCTTCAATTGTGATTGATCTTTTGAAGTCTCAGTTGAACAACGGCATGATCTCTCAGCTTAACGACCGCTCAGTAGTCAGGAATCTGGAGCCGCCGATACCAAAGGAGAACAGTTGGGGGAAGCCTGTTGCGAAAAGTCGACGGCGAAACATCCGGAAGACCTGGTATCAGTCTCTGCTGGATGGCCTGCTGCCGCCGCTTCCCGACACACAGCTTGAGACACTGGAGGGTTTGATCTCGGGAGAAATGCCATGGACATCGCCGAGGAAAAGGAAAGCAGTTAATGTCTCGGAACAGCGGGAGGACAACCTCGACGTCAAGTTTCTTACAAAAGGGCCCGAGAAGGGTGTGACATTCAGAGATTTCGTCAACGGGAGGCCTCACAAAATCACGCGCCGGTTCATGCAGCGACTTTGGAGGCGCATATCTTGTCTGGTCCCGCGCCTGGAGTGGAATGAAAAGGGTCAAAAACATTACTTCAAGTGGGATACGGTGAAGCCTTTACCAGAGATTTCTACAGTGATTGAACATGACCGTTTGTCTGATCTGTTCCAAAAAGTGAACACCGAGGGAAAACTGATCAAGCCTCCCTCTAAACGGCGAACTGTGACGGTGCAATGAGCTGGCTGCGCTAGTACCATCTGTTCTCAATGCGAATGCTACAAAACATCTAGCCGAAAATATACATGGCAGAGATTACGGACATGTATTCCCTCAGATTTGCTGTCTACTGAGTGGGCTTTGCCTTGGTGCTTTCTACGCCGTACAGTCGACACGTTGCGAAAAGTCACTGGCAACACGGCCATTAGACCGCTTCATTCCTTGACTCAGGAACGGTTATCGTGGAATACCGAAAAATATACAATATCCAAAACTAACCCAACCATCCTATGTAAAATTGTCTGGGTTCTTTGGACGACTATCCACAACGAAAAAGAAATGACGTCATTCACGAAGCCTTAGAACTTCTTCTAAAGACTAAAGAACTCGAAGCACAAGTTCATAGGCGTAGAAAAGCAATAATTTTACTAAAGAGCTCAGTTTAGTGCCGAGCCTTCCATACATAACATGGTTTCCCTGTCAGTCGTTGTTGATAGCTCATAATCTCGTGTCTGTTAGATCGCTAAGCCCAGTGGGCTCGGATACTATTTGGATAGTCTATTTACTTCCCCTGAACTTTTTTGACGCGTCCTTCACCACAGCAATAATCTTGCGTACACTCTTACCAATCGATCTTAGAAAGAACAAGTACATCAACAAAATGTCCCTGAAAAGAAAATCCACAGACCTCGACCCCTCCAATACTGAAAACGTCCTTCCCGAGATCGATAGCGACGATGACCGCCTCAACCACATCGACTGGAACTGTGACCAAGTCCGCCGCCGTATCCGCACATTTATCGAATGCAAAGAAATGAAGATTGGCGAATTCCAAAATGCAATTGGCGTGACCTCGCGCTCCTACCTAGACTTCATGGGCCAGAGCGGGCGCGACAAAGGCGCCGGGTCTGCGACGTACATCAACGCGGCGCGCTTTTTCAAGAAACGCGAGCTGCGGGGCATCAAACCGCCCAGGAAGAAGAGGGTCACCAAGGCATCGCAGAAGGAGGCCGCGGAAAAATACGATGTCTCTGGCGTCCATCTGGACGGAGAAGAAGATCAGCAAGTCTCCGTGTGGGATACTTGTGATGTCGTCCGGAGGAAGATCTCGGCCCATCTTCGTAAACCTAACATTACCAAGGCCCAGTTCCTGCGCGATATCTCTAAGGCTGCGTATCCTGGGATGGATAGAACTCTCAGCGGCAATATGCTCAATGAGTTTCTATCCAAGCGCGGGCCCAATGCAGGCAACACCAGCCGCGTCTTTTATGCGGCATATGTTTACTTCGAGAAATTGCGAATTCGGGATAAGAAACCCAAGAACAAGTTTCGGGAGGAGATGGAGGATGTATGGCAGCATAACAACGGTTTCGATTGTGTCACATCACCTAGCACCGGAATTTGGGTGACTAAAGGGGAGACCCCGTACACAGATAAATATGGTAGGGTGAGAGTTGCCTAAGTCTGGTGGTAGCAGAACTTATCTGCCTATAAGAAGCTATTTAGTAGTTATATAATAGTTACTTTAATATTGATTGAAGTAGGTATATATTATATATCAGGGGTGATATATATAGTATTTACTTATTATTTATTTTGATTTTATCTCTTCTACTGTTAGGGGTATTGTACACCTTATATGAACCTTGTGCGAGATAGAATTGATAACGCAAGACGTATAACCCTGGACTAGAGACCTGGGTAAGTGGATCTACTTCAGATCTACTCCAGAGGCAGGGCATCGCCAAGAACCCTTGTCACTAAACTCATAGATCTCGATCGGAGGCTGGTCCATATTCCCCATTGCCACCGAGCGTTCAGGAAAGCCAGCGGATTTTACCAACTATGTATCTTTCCTCAAGAAGCTTAAAGACGCACTGGGGTCAGATGGGCACAAGTATGGTCTGACTATTACTCTGTCATTGCCATACTGGTTCAATGTCATGACCTATGATTTGCATGGTACTTGGTACGATTGGCAACCCCGCTGCTCGGAATCTGATATAGAAGACTGATAGCGCTGACACTTTCTCGCAGGGACTCCACGGACCCTTACATCGGCAGTGTTATCAATGGTAGCTTTCCCCAACATTGCAAACCTACACGAAATATCTCTAACTCTTTCCTCTCTAGCGCACACCAACTTGACGGAAATTGAGCAAACCCTGGATCTCCTCAGGAGAAACAATATCAACCTCAGCAAGGTAGTCATCGGGATAGGCTTTTACAGTCGTAGCTTCACCTTGGCCGACCCGAGTTGCAATAAAGCTGGATGCCCCTTTGCCGTCGGCGGCAATCCCGGGCCATGTTGGCCTCTGCAGGTACTCTCATGTATTCAGAGATCCAGGATATTGTGGCCAACGGAGCCACTGTTATCGGAGACAAGGATGCCGCTATAACCATTGTGACTTGGTGCAACAATCAGTGGGTGTCATACAACAATGACAATACCTTGAAAGCAAAGATGGACTACGCAAATCAGAAATGCCTAGGAGGCGTCATGGTAGGCTCTGACCCCTACTCTCTACAGGTCATTGTGTTTCGTGCGCATAGTACTCAACTAAGTTGTATTAGGTCTGGGCCTCCTCAACGGATGACGCTTTAAATACTGCATTCAAGCCTTAGCAGGGACTTCGGAACGCCGCAACTTCGTCAAGGTCGCTCTATTTAACTACCCTAAGAAACCTATCGGACAATGTGTCTGGGGCGATTGTGACGCTGGATGTCCTTCGGGATTTCAACCCGCGACTGGCACTGGGGGCAAGGTCAGCGGCTATGCTGGTATCTTCAATGCCTGCGATAAAGGCAAGAGCAGGTACTACTGTTGCCCAACCGGGAGTGCTCCAAGCTGCACATAGAAGGGAAGTACTCTCTTTTGCGGCACGACCTCCACTGGGCATTGCTCTGCTAATGAAGTCAAGATCACAACAAGTACCTCTGCGACAGGGCATTCCTGTTGGACAGGCCACAAGTCGCTGTGCTGTACGCGTACTAACTCGGACAATACTATTGATCAGTGCGGTATGTTACCTATCCACGTCCAATCTATTAGACGTGACTACTATAAGTGCTCGACGCTAATTCCTATTCAACCTTTAGAATGGTCGGGCTCGGCCCCTTTCTGCACGACCGCAGGTCTTCTTCTCAGTCCCGGTCTATCCTTCACCTCGACAGACTGTAGCAGCGACTATTCCATCAAGCAGACTATCTCCAAGTATGGTTAGGGCGGTGAACAGCCGTGTCTTTATGGCGGTGGGTGGAGGTCCTACTGTTGCAAAAAACATGGCCCATGAGCGGATAAGAACTGCGCTTAGCATCAAGGTACCGACTACAGTCGGACTGGATGGGCCGAGTCATGGATTGCAGGGGGCTTGCTTCACGGCGTGACGGCCCCCATCCTCGGATGGGACTGTCATGGTGAATGTCCTGCCGGCCAGGTTCCCATTGCCACGTAAGGGAGTATCATGTCCTTTCGACTGAGGGAACAATGCTGATTGCTGTCTTTTTACCCTCTAGCGATGGTACGAGCTGTCAGCCAGGAACCTACTCGTACTATTGTTACGCCGGAAGACATTGAACTGTGGATGAAAGAACATAAAACCTAACGTATCATTGCAAACGGCGGCGGAGGGCTCCAGCCCGAGTACAATTGGGAAGCCCACTTCAATCCGGGGGATGTCGAAGAAGCGGGAAACCGATCCCTGGCCATCCGCGATCTTCATCTCTTTAGTAAACGGACATTTGATAAGGATGCTGTTCTTAGGTGCTGCGCTTCCGGCGCACCGCAATTTAATACATACTCACAAACCTATAGTGGTTACCGGACAATCACCAAGCTGGCAAACAAAGGATGGGTCACCATCGCCAAGCCAGCCATATGTGGTGCAATCAGCGTCGCTTCGTTTGCAACCCTCATGGAGCAGCAGTCCAGTCGAAAAAGCGTTTAGAGTCCTTGGACATGCCGAGGCTCCAGCCAACTATGATAATCTGTAAGTGAGCGATAGAGATATCAACCAAATCAAGGCTTTGGTATGGACTATTTTCCCTCAATCCTACAGTCCATTTTTACCCACTCTTACTTGTGCGACGAGCAGATCACTGCAATCAAAGCCTTTAAGGACCTGAAAGAGTTCAGTTCATATGGTTCTCTTGAGCAGACCGCTTTTCTGGCTGATGTGATTACGTAGGTCTCTTTACTTGTTTTAAATTAAGAAGAGAGGGAGACTGGCTGATTAGAGGTTGGTAAAAGCGCCTTTTCTTATATGAAGTTCAGCCAAACTGTCTAATCTTATAACTCCGCATATACGGCGCTGATTGCCTTCTGGTACCAAGTTCCTGTTTTCTTTAAACTTTCCTCCTGCAAAATGCTAACAGACAATATCAGGAAACTGTTCGCAAAGCACCCGAATGCACAGGCTAGCTATGAACCCCTGGGGGCTTTCAAGGACCTCATAAGCGCCGATCTGGACTTGCAAGTGTCGACTGCCCTGAGTCAATTCAAAGCACTAGTGGCCATAGCACAGAAAACATGGGCTAGCACAGCCAGTAAGTATGTCCCTTTCCCCAGTTATGGCATTCCTGACATGGCTTATTACGGTGTAGTGAAAAAACTCTATACTGCTGTAGTCATCAAAGAGAACCAGGATGCAATTGCTGATTTTATCCACAACGTGGCCACGTACATCAGCTATGATAAGACAGGGATGCTGGCGTAAACAGCAGGACGCGTGGCACTGGTTTTGATATTGGTTAATAAACCGCTAAAGAGCACTTTTTGCCATGTATATCCACCCCAGCTATAGTTACAGGAAAAAGTGACTGAAAAATGAAAGACAGAAGGACTCATAATCATCAGGACTCTTCCTCATAGTGGTTTATGCCTCCACGATATGTATCGCACCAGATATCCTTGTCATGTCGCATGCCAACTGTCAGTCTAGGCAGGTCCATTATGTCCAGAGCGACCATGGGGTAGAACTTTCCTAACAAGCTCTCAGCTGCGACATTAAAGTATCCTTTGAAATGATGGCTGGAAGTAGCGTCGTTATAAGATGGCTCAGAGCGTCGATAGTGAGCAAACTTGGAGACAGCAACTACATATGGAATCTGCTTCCGATCCCTTAGGGGCGCTGATGAGGGAAGTGGTGAGTTGAGGAATGACTCTAGAGCCGCACGAGTTACCATGAGACAGGCTGTGGTGGCGAGGCCGAGGGAAAGGTCCTTCCACATCTCATCGAAGCGCCTTTAATAATAACTGCATCCCGTCAGAGAAAAAGAGAAAGAAATGAAAAAGGACGGGTCATACCGAGAAACCTCAACCGGGGACGCCCCTGCCAATGAAGTATCTTCCATCCAATAAAACCGCAGCAGTTCAATCGCCCGATCCGACTTGGGACGAAACCCTTGCTGATCTGCATAATCATCTTTGATGATCTGGTCCCAGCGCCGGCGAAATTCTGCCCACTGCGCATCATGCTCAGGTCCATAGGGAGTAGCCCGAAATATCACAAAACCCCAATCCGACCAGTCATCTGGTTAGAATTTAAAGACATTTTTGAGAGTGTCTACATAGGGAGCCCAGGCATATCTCACGATAGGCTAGATTCTGCTCCTCTGTTTTGGTGGCTTCTTCATCTAGTCTTTCAGCCTCTAGGTCTTCCATGACCCTTTGCTGTACTTTATCTGCAAAAGCCTGATAAAGACCTGCTTCCTTAAGACCATTTAATAGGGTAGTATGTTGTCCCTCGGTAATAGTGTCGAAGTCATCATCGGCGCAGTTCATCACGCGCTCGTAGTCCCAGCCGGGGGGATAAAAAGACATTGCGACGGAGGATTGTTTCCTTTGATGTTTTGTCTTTTCAGTCTATCTTTCCAAGAGAAAAATTCAAGGTTCAAATGGAGTGGAATGAAAAGTGGAATGAAAAGAAGATTGGAGAAAGAGGAAACATGGGGGTTGACCGTTGACCACTAAATTGGCGATATCAGATATTAAGGTGGAAGAGCGGTATGGCAGACTTTTTATATAAAGCTACTATAATATATTTTTACTATTAATACTATCCATTATACCCACACTATAAAAAGTATATATACTACTTTATATTAACATAGATATATATTAAGCCTTTCTATATATAGTAGCTATAAAAATAATATACTAAATATTATCATAATAAAAGAAGAGGTAATCTTAGAGGTCCTACTGAGTCTCCTAGAAGGGAGTCGGTAACTGTCAGAGAAGAATACATATCCCGGAATTGGCATGCGGAAATGAGGCATAGTAAAAGAAAAGAAAGATCGGGGATATAAAAAACAGGTAAAATTTCAAGCAACACTTGATAAGCTCTATAGGCTCTCCTGGGAGATGTAAAGATACCTTCAGCAAGATCAAAAATAGACCTTTTATCCTTTGCGAGATCATCATCAGCCCATGTCCCCTCACACTTAGGACTCAGAGAGCAGGAAAACTGTTGAACAAACACACAGAAAGGAGGCCCCTCCAATATGGAACTACTTCTGTAGAGTAGAATTAGTCAGCATGAGTTCTGTAAGGCCTTCAAGATAAGGTATATCACGTACCTAGTCCTTGCCTTCAAAATTGTGATCTAAATCGGTGACACAGGGCCAGAGAATATAGAAAGATATATGCTTGGAAGATGAGAGACAAATAGGAAGAAGATGGAGAAGAGGAAGCATGCCAGACATGTATGAGAACCAAATAAAAGATTAGAAAGAAACTAGAAGAGTCAGTCCAGATGTGGCGGGTGCTCCTTCCCTTTATATCTAAAAGGCTGGGTGTGAGTGAAATCTTCTACCCAGTTCATACACTTTCTCCATTAACTTATAGATTCACATACATTCAAATCGCCAGGAACAGTATGCTCATGTAACACTACCACTTTCATCTACAGCCTATGAAACGCAGGTTTATTCACTCAACTCCAAATTCACCACAGTTACAGCTGATCCTCTTACTAGATAGTGGGGCTAGAGCAGGTCGAGACCGGCTTAGTCAATACTAAGATAGATAGAGAGTGAGGTCGTTGTTGCGGATGATTATTGTCTACAAGGCCTGGGAGGCCTGTGTGCCCACGTATCAGGCTTAAAGCTATCTAGCAGCTACAACCCTGCTAGTAAATTCGAGGAAAGAAGGGAGTAGTGGAGCTGGGTACAAAAGCAGTAACACAAGTCCAGACCATAGAAAAGAAGAGGGGTTAGCTAAAAGGAGGAGATCATACCCATCGAAGCTGATACACTGCACTTCGTGCGTTCTATTAATCTGACACAAGATAACGTCAATTGATCGTGTTTGGAGCGTCGGAAAACCGATGGAAGGCTCAAAACAATGAGCTCACGTTGTGGAGTTCGCAAAATACATTTAATGAGCTTTTTTGCTAAAGTAAACATTCGGTAAGAGTAAACTGGCAGCAGTCCACCTTGATATGCACTAACAACTGATTGTTGCAACATGGGATGGAGATGGGGTGACGTTAGATTTAAGCATGGCACTAGCCTTAGAGTAGCCGAAAAAGTGGATGCTCGTCCTTATCAATGCCGAATGTTGGGGATGCAATGTTTGTCTAGACTTGGCGGACCCGACGTAGATTAATTAATAATCCTGATCCAGAGCTGCGACACCCGAAATGTAGAATGCATTGTCATATAGATACTTATTTGAGCCTGATACATCAATTAGCGAGTTGATGAACAAATACAAAGGAACATTGGGGTCCTTGCCCCGCCAGCAGGTATAACTTGCAACGTAGTTTCCACAATCCATCATGGGTCTAAGGCATTGTATACTTATGGCCATGTTGTAGATTATTGTCATTCATTTGGTCCAATCTGCTGACCCATTCTATTTCCTCCAATCTTCAAAATTCAGACATGTCTGACATTTCCGGGTCTCAGGGCGTAGGCCCTTCCAATCAGTGGCTCCAATGGAGCATTAGGAGAGGTAGTCCAGCCTCAGTGCCTTCCAAATCCCAGCGCTGTAAGCTGGGCATGACAACACAATTATCCTCCGGCTTTTCAAGGCCCCAGTCTGTCCGCTCCAGCGCTTCAAAAAGTTGCCACGAGAATTGCAATAAGCTCGAAATTAGATGGGATGCCCGGGGAGCGCGTTAGACGCGAAGAGCAAATCGAATTGGAAATCCTAAAGCAATGTAGGCATCTCTCTATGATACTGCCATGGTACTACTCTCTCGTAGATCTACACTCATTTTTGATACCAGGCCGAGAAGATGGGGCGCCCCATAGCTGAGCAGGCGATGCCTTTGTCCCAGGTTAATTACTCCATACAGCGAAGTGATCGGTTCAAATGATATTGCTTTCTCACGTTCATGCTTGAAATCAAAAATTTGATCGCTCAGCATTGACAATGAGACCGCGACCCTAATGATTGGGTTAGCTGACAACTAGAGCTTGTGTAATGAAGGAAGAGAGCGTACCAAAGCAGTCATTTGAGATTAATGGGGGGCGAAGAGAATGTATGTCTCATCTCGTCCACAACCATAAAAATCACCACCAGCTAGGAAGTGATTCTTAGGCTCCTTTTCAACTGAGTGGTGAATACATCACATTCGATACTTAGTACTAGTAGATGCCATACATATATCTTTGAATTAGCCCAACATTCAAGTCCATGATTACAACGGAGTATGACCGCCTTCTTCTTGAAGTCCAGATACATGTTGAACTATAACCTTTCTTAGGACTATTTCAAAATTCTTTTTAAGATAGACAAGATAGACAAGATAGACAGATAGACAATGGACAGTACAATAGGAAATGGTTTCTCTCTTCAATCTATTCACTCACTTAGATCAAATAGGACAGACAAAGCAAGCCTGTGAGTAACTGCTAGAGAAGAGGAAGATGGGAACTAGATATTTATTCTTGATAATGATGGTAGTAATAGTGTTACTAAAAACATGTTTTCCTTTCTATATGTCTGAGTCTCTATATACTCCTGCCTTCGTGTTCTTCAGAGACGCTGTCCTCATTACGGAGTCCAATTTGGCGGCGATGACCTGAAAGGCAGCCAGGGTCCTGTTGTCCTGCGCTTAGGGGGGAGTGGGTGTTCAGCCTCAGCTGCTCGCAGTTAGCCCCTAGTAACCTCGTGAATAGTCACCGAGACTTTTAATAGCCAGCAAATTTATACTCTATGATATTGGATAAATTCAGCCGTCGTTGCTGTAAGGCTTGTAATCAACGGTGATGGCTTAGCTGTGCACTGCCCCTCCTACTGATTCCCAACGATCTTCTGCGCTGAGCCGTGGCGGCGCCTTCCAATTTCCACTGTTGTCAGACAGCTCAGCCTACCTCACCAACTTTGCGAAGATAACTAATATAACTGAACATATTTCCCGCTCCTCCATTTCTGTTACTCTCTTTTTTTTAGATACCCAGAATTTCACACCTTTCTGTATCGAGTGAAATACACGATGTCTGACCCTTATAACAACCACCAATATAACCAGTACGGGGGAGCCCCGCAGCACGGGCCTGGTCAGCCAAGCGGCGGATATTATGACAGCCATCAAAACTACAATCATCCTCCCGCACAAGGCCAGTATGGACAGCCTCAGCAACAAGGTTATTATCCACCTGCGGTAAGCACTATTCTTGTTGCGTGGGAGCGATTGTTTTCTTGGACGTTTCGCATCAGGAACAATGAAGATCTTGACTTTCGGGGCTAATGTTTCTCGTCGCAACAGCCCTCTTATGATCCTCAACACCAACCCTCCCATTATTCCGGTCCTCCTCCATCATATGGCCAACAAGGCTACGCGCCTTCGTATGGCGCGCAGCATCCACAGGGCGGATACCCAGGTGATCAAGGCTATGGACATGGCGGCCCCATGAACTACCCACCACACGACCGTGGCCACTCGCCGTATCCTCCACAGGACCAGCAACATTCTCAGCAAGGCGCAAGTGCGTCATACTACGGTGGTCAGCCGGAACAATCTCATCAATCGATGGGCACGCCCGTTCCTGCGGGACAAGAGGGCGAAAGAGGCTTAGGTTCGACTCTTATCGGAGGCGCCGCCGGCGGAATACTAGGTCGGAAATTCGGCGGAGGATTGCTTAGCACAGCGGGAGGCGCACTGGTAGGCGCCGCGGGGATGAATATGGCCACTAAGATGTAAGTCGAGTGCTCTGGAAGGGTTCGATAGATGCTGATGAGCCATCTTAACAGGCACAAGAAGCACAAGAAGGAGAAGAAAAAGAAGCACCACAAGCACCACAAGCGTGGCTCGAGTTCTAGCTCCTCTAGCTCCAGCTCCAGCTCTTCTAGCAATTAGTTGACTGAGTCATATCAGGGGCACTCTCACGCACTTCTCTCTTTTCTTTTCTTTTTTCTTCTGCTATCTTTAGCTACACATGTAGTCATGACAGTCACAATGATACTCAGATACCCTGTTGCGCTCCATGAGTATAGAAAAATCCAAGCTGGCCATTTTTCTTAGTATCCACGACACTTGCTGCATTCTTACCCTTGGACAGTCCTAGAAACTACTGTAAGACTATCCATAGCAAGCGCATATTCCGCCCTAATGCTTTGATTCAACTTCGAAGAATTGCACCACAGCTTCCCCTGTCGCCTGGAGTGATGACATCAAAACAAAGTTGGGAAACTCCCAGCATCGCCACACTGGGATCTGGACGGGACCGAATCGGTCCCGCATTGGCAACTACAGGCGCACTCTGGTGGAACGATAGATGGCCATCCTATCAACGATCTAGACGAGCGACGTCAATGGCTTTGTTGGCAGTAAATCGAGAAAGGTTCTAGAAGGTTAGTCTCGACGCTCCAATAGAACCAAGACAGGTGGCGAATTTGTGGTAAAATTCTAGTGAACTGGCGGAGACTAGGCTGACAACTACAACAATCTAATGTGGGCGTGAACACCTATCGTCGATGATTCAAGAGTAGTTTTGAACTTAAGAGGTGTATCTGGGGTTTGGGGGTGTAGGGTTACTGAACACAGACGTAAGAATGTGATGGGAGTAGTGGCGATAAGCAGGACACTAAAGTGACATGGGTGGTGTAGACAGTCTATTTCTTGTACACCAAGGCCTAACAACTATCTGATAGAATCGACAAATGACAAAATTTCGATGCCGAAGAATATGCGATATATCCGGAATTTGACCCAAATACCAAAACGCAATAAAAAGGTTAACTTCGGAAAAGAGAGCGGACAACTCCGTCTGCCTGAAATGCAAGGGCGGAATCCGGCGAGAACGGGAAAAGGAGAAAAAAAGAAAGTTTTCTGAAAAATTCAACCAGGAAAAGATGATGACGGAGACGAGATTACCCCCTGTTAAAAGATTTTGAAAATAACATTGATTGATTGATAGACTACTGCAATCGATTGCAAAGAACAATGTGAGGTTTAAGGTTTTTGACCCACCGAGTATTTCGCGGGGGATAAGGCAGGGTCAAGGATGGGAATATGGAGAATACAGATTAGCGATAACGAAAGCATGCTCGACTCTCGTCCTCGAGACCAAAAAAAAAAGAACCAAATTAGAAGAAAAATCGCTCATAAGTATAGCAATGATGAGTTGATATTGGAAAGATTTCATTTGCTAGTGTCAGCGATGAATATGAGTTATTTGCAATACGACTGTGCGTCCTGAACAAGACAAAAGACCACGTAAACCAACCTATATGTACTCACAACCAGCCTGATAAATTGTTCCTATGTGCCAGATTGAGCGGTGAGATTAATATTGGTTCGTCTTCCAGCCAGAAAAATGGCGGTGATGCTCATCCATGCCTCCTGTAAGCCATCGTTTCAGCCGGCGGTGATTGAACAAGTAAGCTACAGAGGAATGGCGCTTGAACCCCGGAGTATCCTTGAACAGGTACTTCTTGTTTTTCTCTCCTTATACGGAGCACTCTTCGCTTGTAATCTCGGGTGTAAATTGACTTTGTGCCTACATTCAGGGAGAAACAATCAATTTCTGCTCATCTGAATTTTTTGGCTATCTTTTACGCCATGGATATTCAGCCCAGGCAATAGTCGGTAATAATAAGTTAATCAGGCAGACACAGTACTAGAAGACGGATGAAATCGTCGACCTAGTACTTATTGCTCCTAGATAGTCCAAATAGCTTCCTTCTCTATCTTCGACAGGAGCATAATAAATTCACTCCTCAAGTATCATACTGTACCATCATCATATTGTCGAAGTATAGGCCTGGTCGGCAACACAATATCGATGAATCAAGAGTCCCTAACACTAAAAATAATCTTGATTGTTTGTTGACCTCCCCCTGGTAGATTTCCACATGCTTTAGATTCCCAAGGCCGAGCCTGAAGTCAGAACCCGCTGCGCCACTGAGTCGGATAGAAGGGTCTTTGTGGCGACTGAAATAGCACCAGCAAGCATCTGCAGCCCCCCCCAACACTTCCACGGAGACTAGTGGACTGCAGCGGACTATCTATGTAGAAACTAGAATTTAGAGTAATTAGTACTCTTGCATGTCAGGGACTAGAACTTTAGCCCGTCAAGCGCTGGTGATTATCGAGGGGTACACGGTGACCTTTAACAATCTTGTTGCAGTTACACTGTTAGTAGGTGGGTACGTAGGCTACATCGAAGACCATATTCTCTTCGCAAACGAATACTAGGCGTTGTATCAGTGATGTTGAAAACACATTTGACTATCCGTACTCCATGGTTGATTGTGTCAGTCCCGGGGAATAGTCGCTGCCATCAGCCTTGTGAGCTCAATGTAACTCAACAGAGGTTGAAAGGGCAACGGGCGGTTTTCTCAGTCATCAAGCTGTGATTGGTTGGAACATCCTCCATTTTCTGTTTCATTATTCAAAGTCGCCTCCGAAGGCCAAGTTTCAGTCCAATCTTATCGCTCCTCCTGATAGAGTACCGAAAAGATATCGAAATTTTCTTGGGGTATAACACAGAATCTCAACGAAGGTCTTTCCATCGGATCAGTGGTAAAGTATCTAGCGTATCAACTGAACAACAGAAACACGGGTTGTTCGACGAATTTGGCCAGAGAACCAGCGTAAGAACCCCAGAGAGGAAAAAGTAAAAGTCCATTTTATCGCCCATTCCATGAACATTCAACCTTGCCAGTTGCCATCATGGAGGGGTGCTGGCCAATCAGCAGCCACTGGATTCGCCCAAACCAGACACGGACCCTATCGGGTTGGTTGCTTCGACAGCCATCGTCACTAGTCCGGACTCGGCACTAGCGCGGGACAAACGATGAAAATTTTTTTATCTTTGCTAAATTTTTTTTCCTTGCTGTGTTGGAGGGTTGGGCGGCAAAAAGAGAAAAAAAAAAAAAAAAAAAAAAAAACGAGGCCACAAACCGATAAATATCATCCCTCCCCATCCTCCTCTTCCCCCTCTCTTCCTTTCTCCCCTCCTATCCTCCCTCTCATCCTTTCTTCTTCACAAGAGGTCTGGTCCTCTCTTTACTTCTCATTTCCTTTTTGTCTTCTGTATAGACAAAAGCATAGATTTTATCTCGGCCTTTCTAGAGCGTGTTTTGCGTCGTCTTACTCTCGCAAGACGCATTTCTCGTGGCCCGCCACCTCTTTGATTGAGATACCCTAATAGAACGCTTTTTGCACGTTCTTACTTCATTTCCTCTTCACCTCTTAATTCTTTTTCTCGTCTTTTACGAATTCAGTCAAAATGCCCGCTGTCGATGTTTCTTCAGTTCCTGCCGTCTCTGGCAAGGAGACCGCCCAGGCCGTCGCTGTCCTCGAGGACTTGATCAAGAACCTCAACATCTCGACAAGCCAGGATGAGGTCAACGCTGCCACCGATAACCTCGCCCACTACTTCAGCGGTCCTATCCCTGAGCAGACTCTGCCCATCAAGTACGTTGAACCCACCCAAAATGGAATCTTTTGGGCCTGTTTGCTAACTGTGCGAACTTATAGGGCCGTTGAGACCTTCCAGAAGCAGCTCTCCAACAAGAAGGATGCTACCGCTCGTGAGCGTGCTTGCGAGGCCATCCGCGCTATCGCCGCTCACCAGACCATCGCCCCCGGTGTCGAGCCTCACCTTGTCACTCTCCTTGGTCCCGTTCTCGCCGCTTCCGGTGACAAGATGGTCCCTGTTCAGAAGGCCGCTGCGGCCGCTGCCGTTGCCATCGTCCAGGGTATTAACGGTAACGCTGTCAAGGCCGTTCTGCCCGTCATCACCGAGTCTCTGCAGAACGCGCAGAAGTGGCAGGAGAAGATGTGTGCTCTGGACTGCATCAACTCGCTCATCGAGTCTGCTCCCGCTCAGCTCTCCTTCCGTGTGCCCGATCTGATCCCGGTCGTATCCGAGGCCATGTGGGACACCAAGGCCGACATCAAGAAGGCCGCCTACTCCACCATGGAGAAGGTTTGCGGTCTCATCGTCAACAAGGATATTGAGCGCTTCATTCCCGAGCTCATCAAGTGTATCGCTAAGCCTGAGAACGTCCCCGAGACTGTTCACTTGCTCGGTGCCACTACTTTCGTTTCCGATGTCACTGGTCCTACCCTCGCTATCATGGTCCCCCTACTTGACCGTGGTCTTGTTGAGCGTGAAACCGCCATCAAGCGTAAGACCGCCGTCATCGTCGACAACATGTGTAAGCTCGTGGACGACCCTCAGATTGTCGCTCCCTTCTTGCCCAAGTTGATGCCTCGTCTCGAGAAGAACTTCGATACTCTGGCCGATCCTGAGGCTCGTGAGAAGACCAAGCAGGCCTTGGATACCCTCATCCGTGTCGGTGATGTCAAGGATGGCAAGATTCCCGAGATTTCCACCGCCGGTGATGTCTCTACCGTCTCCGCTATCCTGAAGGATATCCTTTCCCCCAAGTACAAGGCTCAAATCGAGAAATCTGAGGCTATCATCAACTACGTTGCTGCTATTTCTGGTCAGCTCGTCGATGAGAAGGATGTCGAGGTTGTCAGCTGGACCCAGAACGCTGTTCCTTACATCTCTGCCATTGTTGGTGAGACTGAGGCCAAGACTATTGCTGAGACTCTCCGCAAGCGTGCCTCTCCTGGTGCTGCTGAGGCCGATGCCGTCCTCTCTGATGAGGAGGAGGGTGAGGATCTTTGCAACTGCACCTTCTCCCTGGCTTATGGTGCCAAGATCCTGCTGAACCAGACTTCTCTCCGTCTCAAGCGTGGCCAGCGCTACGGTCTTCTCGGACCCAACGGTACCGGAAAGACCACTCTCATGCGTGCTATCAACAACGAGCAGCTGGAGGGTTTCCCCAAGAAGGATGAGGTCAAGACCGTCTACGTCGAGCACGACCTGGACGCCGCCGATACTGAGCAGACTGTCATTGGCTGGACCATGAAGAAGCTTCGCGAGGTCGGTATCGAGATCCCTCAGGCCGAGGTCGAGTCCAAGCTCGAGGAGTTCGGTTTCCTCCGTGAGCAGTTCGAAGGACCCATCACCTCTCTGTCCGGTGGATGGAAGATGAAGCTGGCTCTTGCCCGTGCTGTGTTCGAGAAGCCCGATATTCTGTTGCTTGACGAGCCTACCAACCATCTGGACGTCAAGAACGTTGCCTGGCTCGAGAATTACCTTTGCACCTCCCCCTGCACTTCCATTATTGTCTCCCACGACAGCAAATTCTTGGATAACGTTATCCAGCACGTCGTCCACTACGAGCGCTTCAAGCTCAAGCGTTACCGTGGTAACCTGAGCGAGTTCGTCAAGAAGGTCCCCAGTGCTCGCTCCTACTACGAGCTCAGCGCCTCCGACATGGAGTTCAAGTTCCCCGAGCCTGGTTTCCTTGAGGGTGTCAAGACCAAGGCCAAGGCCATCATTCGTGTCAGCAACATGACCTTCCAGTACCCCAACACTCCTCGCCCTCAGCTTACCGACATCACCTTCCAAATCTCCCTTGGTTCCCGTATTGCCGTCATCGGTCCCAACGGTGCCGGTAAATCCACCCTGGTCAACGTCTTGACCGGTGAGCTTATCCCCACCACCGGTGACGTCTACCAGCACGAGAACATCCGTATCGCCTACATCAAGCAGCACGCTTTCGCCCACATCGATAACCACCTGGACAAGACTCCCTCCGAGTACATTCAGTGGCGTTTCCAGACCGGTGAGGACCGTGAGACCATGGACCGTGCCAACAAGATCGTCACCGAGGAGGACGAGAAGGCCATGGACAAAATCTACAAGATCGAGGGTACCTTCCGTCGTGTCATCGGTATCCACTCTCGTCGCAAGTTCAAGAACAGCTACGAGTACGAGTGTTCGTTCGCTCTTGGTGACAACATCGGCATGAAGAGTGAGAAGTGGGTTCCCATGATGAGCACCGACAACGCCTGGATTCCTCGTAGCGAGATCATGCAGTCCCACGCCAAGATGGTTGCCGAGGTTGATCAGAAGGAGGCCCTCGCCAGCGGTCAGTTCCGCCCTCTGGTCCGTAAGGAGATTGAGATTCACTGCGCCAACTTCGGTCTGGATGCTGAGCTTGTCTCTCACTCCCGTATGCGCGGTCTGTCCGGTGGTCAGCGTGTCAAGGTCGTCCTCGCCGCTTGCTCGTGGCAGCGTCCCCACGTCATCGTCCTGGACGAGCCCACCAACTATCTCGACCGTGACTCCCTTGGTGCTCTCTCCAAGGCTCTCAAGTCTTTCGAGGGTGGTGTTGTCATCATCACTCACTCCCGTGAGTTCACTGAGAACCTGACCGAGGAAGTCTGGGCTGTCATGGACGGCAAGATGACTCCCTCCGGCCACAACTGGGTTCAGGGTCAGGGTTCCGGTCCTCGTCTCCAGGACAAGGAGGGTCCCGAGGAAGTGACTGATGCGTATGGCAACAAGACTGTGGTTGAGAAGAAGAAGAAGCTCACTTCTTCTGAACTCAGAAAGAAGAAGAAAGAGAGGTTAGCCAGAAAGAAACGGGGAGAAGAGGTTTTCTCTGACGAAGATGACTTTTAAGAGGAAGCAGGAAACGGAGGGGAGGAAAAGTCAATTCATAATGGGTTTTCGATATCATTGCTGGCTGGCTACAAGTCTGTTGTGTTTATAGACGTTATGATAGTATGAAGTATGAATTTCATTACAATTTTTGAAGTGTGAATCTCATTTCAATCATTTTAATTGTTGAACGCAAAGATGAAGCTATTCAAAATGCATATCTGGAGCGGAGGACAGGCAACGGATTACTTAATCTCCACTTTGGTTGAGTCCTGCACCCCCATCTTACCGAATTCGGTTAGTCTATCTTATCAGGGCTGCTGACAGTCAAGGCATAGGGATCGTAAGCCAGCTCGTATTTCATAAACGATAATCCAATATGTGCTCATGAACCTGCAAAGCATAAAACATAATGTTGGAGTGTAGGTATCAATTCCAAGTCATAGACTGAACCCCTCAACTTTCACGGCTGCTCTACTGCTAAGGTCTTATTGTGAGAGCACTTGGGGGATGCTCTAGATAGAGTGGCAGTAGCATGTATGCCTCCTTTGGTGAAATAATCGCACATGTTTGAGATGCTCTCACCTCGGCAGGCGACGATATGTCTGTTTGTCACCATCGCATTTTTGCATTTTGCTACGTACATGCTTCGCTGCTCGCGGCACTTACGTTGTCTATCTACTCTTCTTCGAAGCTGAGTTTCTCAGTCAGTATCTTGATCTGCGGAGCACGATTGAGATGAAAGGTTGACAGTTACAACGCTTTGTTGCTACAATAACGCGGATGACATATGGAGAATGCTTCAAATATGGAAGGCGCTGAAGAAGTGATAGAGAAGTCCGAGAAACAGTAACAGCTCAGAAGAACACCCTCAGGCAGCGCGTCTGCTTCGCGTCAGCGTTGACTTCACCTAGCCTACTATATCCTTTTCCCGACTCCTCGCCGTGTTTCATCACCATCAGGATCTGCATGGATAGTTATTATTTACCATGATCATCATCTACTCATCCCACATGTCAACATCTCTCATCCTGAAAATCACAATCTGGCCTAATCTTGGATTTGTATTACATGGCTGGTCTTGATGAAGAGGGATTGGCACATGAGCTCATGTCTCACAATGAGTTGCCAGTGTGCCTTGGCCCTCAGTCAAACCACTCCAGAGTCCCTACCATCAAGAATGTCAGGCTACATACGAGAGCATCCCCAACGGCAAAACCGCTGTCTTCACGAAGAGGGTGCTATAAGGACTACTCTCCAATTCTATATTACCAAGAGCCGGATTCATGCCTTAATGGCTCGGTAAACTGAAGTCTATTAGGATTATAAAGGAGCATGGCTACCTCCTTTTTACTATTCATATGGTGGAATCTGGATGGCAATTCTCAAGGGAATCGTACTGTTCAAAGTAAGGCTCTATTTTAAGAACGCCATCTCTGCTGAACTTACCAGGTCCAATCCAGAAAATACCCTATGAAATAGAAATGAACTACAAGCTGCGAAGAAACACCTCAGAGAAACAAACATGCGATCGAGGGTCAAGGATGGCCCGCGTATGCTGCGGAAGAACCGACCCAGGCCCAGCAAAGAAATGCTGTTCTGCAATGATAGCACCTTGGTCACAAAGTACTGTACTATCGACTGTCAAATCCTCACGCGCAGAACCGGCGTTTCTCCACACCGAAAGGGGAATGGTAGGAATGATGGAAGTTCTCCATGATGGTCTTCAAGTTAAATCTTACCACGGCATATTCCGAGCAGATCTGCCAATGATTTGCTAAACAAATGCAGAAGGGAGTTAATGTTCAGTTAGCAGCTCAAAATTTCTTCCTCTTGCTTGACAACTGAAGAGTCAATCGCCTTTCAACATCAAAGCTACAGTCTTACAGCGGCTTTGGTGTCGAAAGCTTTGCATTAGGGGAATATGGAAACTATTTGGCGAGACTCAAGAATCAGAAGGGGGAACGGAAGGGCCATCGGGCAGAACGAGGAAAACCGCTCCCACTTTCGGCGCAAGAGCTCCACGAGACGAAGTCAGTGGCCGACTTGAAACAATAGAAAGGAGGAAAGAGACGGCTATCAGACGGAACGAGAGGGTCTCTCCCAACTCCAGCGCAGAAGCTCCGTGGAAAGGAGTCACCGGCCGACATAAAGAAATTGATGACAAAAGTGAAGGGAGTACCGAGCAGAAAGGAATGAACTTGAGAGAAAGTTAGATGAGGTGGATCATAAAATCGCCGATGTTGACAAAAAGACCTCGAAAGCGTTCAGGAAATTCCTTATCTGGGCAAGCAGAATAGGTCAAAGACCTACGATCTTCCAGACTCAGATGAGGAGCGCTGGGGTCAGGAGGAGGCACCCTCCTGACGCCAGCACAGAAGCTCCGCAAAGCAGAGCTAATCGCTGACATCAAGCTGTGGGAGAGGAGAGAAAAGGGCACGGGCATAGGGCAGAAGTAGATGAAATACAGTCAAAGATGAATGATGTCAATATAAAGTTGCTGAGGCTGACACGAAGATATCCAAAGCATTAAAATAACTGGCTGACCTGGGCAAATAATGTTGTTTTTCAAAGCATGGTATTCTCTTCTATGTTGAACATTGTATGTACAATGGGCTTTGGGACTGCTTCATATTCTCTCTCTTTTCCATGATGTTAAAGTGCATGTAAACCAGTACAGGCACTGTCTCCTTGGAGCGCAGCTCCTACAGCATAGCAGCCGCATAGAAGGCGAGCTGAAGGGGTATGAATACTTCTTCTACTACTACTACTACTACACATAGAAAAGGTCAAAGACCTTGAGCAATACGAAGCAGACAACATGAGTGCCTGCGGTAAGGGAAAGTAAATAATCTTCATGAAACCGAATCCATCGTGGTTGATGCCTAGCCAGAGTGCAGGTAGATTAACACGAATATCACATTAGACCATACCATGTCAGCAAATCTGATTAATATAAGCAAATACCACCCAAGCATCAAACTCATCAGTCATCGCCAGATATATCGCTGTTCACGCCTTGTGTGAAGCCGTTGCCTTCTCAAGATCTTCATCGATGACTCCCCGTTCAGCAGTCGCAGCCGCCAAGTCCGAGTCATGCGCGGCATCAAACTGGCGGCCCAATTTCTCCGGACCGAGAAAGGTCACGATGATGACATACGCGTAGACACACCCCATGAAGATGCAAATCACTTTACCGTACTGGTAGCGGTGCTTGACCTTGTCCGTCGGCGGCAGCGGGAACCGCTCCCCAATTGTCGACTCGATGGTAGAGCTCGCAGACGAGACCAGATTACCGAGCTGATAGGCAGTGCCAACGGCGAAGGTGCGGATAGGACCGGGCGAAAGCTCCATTAGATGGATCGGGACCACACCCCATGCGCCCTGCACGCAGAACTGCTGGAAGAACGCGGCCGCCATGACGGACTTATCGGAGATGAAGGTGTAGGGGTAGAGTAGGGCGCCGCCGACGATGCTGATGGCGATGACGGAGAAGCGGCGGCCGAAGATCTGACTGGCCCAGCCGCAGAGGGTGCCACCGGAGAGGGCACCGAGGTTCGCGATGACCTGGGTGACGGTGACGGCGTTGGGGGAGAAGCGGAACTGGTTCTGGAGCATGGTGGGGTAGAGGTCTTGGGAGCCGTGGGACTATGGAGCCTTGTTAGAGGGATCGGACTGGGCAGGGGGCGGGATATGAGACTCACCATGAAGTTGAATCCGGCCATGAGCAGGACGAGATAGATCAGAAGCAGCCAGTGGCGCTTCAGCGCGATCTTGCCCTCTGAGAGGAACGACGAGGCCACGCCGCCGCGGGTTTCGGCGCGGATGGCCTGGCGCTGGCGGAAGGCTTGAGTCTCAGGCAGACAGAGCCGGAAGAGAATGATTAGAACGGGAGGACAGGCACCGAACCAGTAGAATGGCCTCCAGCCGTGCGGGGTCGTGTCGACTAGAGCGCGTGCAAGCGCCGTGGCTAGCAGGTATCCAAAGGCGTAGCCCTGCTGCAGCAGGCCGGAGACGATACCGCGTGCCTCCATGGGACAATCCTCGAGGGCGGTAGCCGCTGCATTGCCGTATAGGCCGCCCATGGCGATTCCGAACAGAGCACGGCAGGCGCTGGACACGTATCGTTAGCGATGTTTTAGTTGGAGTACCGAGGAGCTTACAGGAATTGGTTGTATGTCTGGCAGAAACCCGTGCCGAGTTCCAGAACAATGAAGAGGAGGTTATTCACGATGAACGGCCATTTGCGACCCCAGCGATCGGACGCGATGCCAAATGTGATGGCGCCGATGGACCGGAGCATCAGAACTAGGGTGATGCCCCAGGTAATGTCGGAGATGGATTTGTCGAATGTTTCCGCCAGGCCGGAGGTGGTGAGGGAGACGGTAAAGAAATCAAAGGCGTCCCATGTCCAACCGCAAAAAGCGACCTGAATCGTTAGCCTTGAGGTTTTAGCATTCTTGATGGAAACGAACCAAGAAGAAGAGCCACTGCTCTTTGTTTAGCATTGCAAGCGCTTTGAATGGGTTGGGAGCTGGGTTCATCGGAGGTACCAGCGTTGAGACTCGAGTAACAAGATATCTTCCAGGACTCATGCGATGGCTGTCCTCCACACTCGTAGTGGAGGACTCATCGTAAGGTTGAGCCATTTTGAGAGTGCTGACCGAAGTCAGATTCAACGATATGTGAGATTACAGTAAGATGGAGTGTTGAAAATGGCGAAAAAGTAGAGTAGGAAGCAGATTGTTTGATTTCCCGAACAGCAAGGGGGGGGGATGACTGGTTTAAATTGACACCCGAGATGATAACGGAGTCAGCTCGGTTGATCAGACATAAGCGAAAAATGACCCCTCCGTCCGAGATGAATTATCTGCGTAGTACACTAGATAGTGAAACAGGTAGACTAACCGTGAACACAGCGCCGATCGCCTATGCTGAGAGAGACTAAGCAGGATTAAGCGTCGACGGTGGGAAGCTCTGGCTGATCCATGGACGAACCGATGGAAGCTTTAGGTAGCACTCGGGGCGCCTGAATCGCCCTAAGTCAAGTTTCTTCCTAAGGTAGTTCTTAGCACGGAGTAGATGGAGCCGTCTTGACTCCTTGCATACTACGCCGTTGACAGAGTTCTAGATTCTATCTGGAATCATCGGGATGTGTGTTCAGCTTAGGTTGCTGCCTGCGATGAACCGGACTCTTTCGCATTACAAGGGCTTGATAATTTCTCTTCCATGAGCCGTCAAAAGTATTGAATGAAAGAATGATGCCTGTACGACCCCCGCCAAGCCCTACTCCAGATTGGCCAAGCATCTCCACATTCTGGGGATGTACACTGTCGACGGAGCACAGTTGACGCAGTCACACGCCGTAGATAATGATATCGAATCAGACTTCATATTGCGCAGCACTAGCAAGAGTTCTATATCGCCCATAAACCGAGTTTCTACAGAATTCCCGGTCATCGGCCCTTTTATCAGCTCACTGCTACCTATTACCTAAGGACCGGAGAAGAGCAACGAGGTTACAACTAACAAGCGAAAATCTTTTCGACCCCACAACCCGCGTCCAAACGCACCAAGCTACGGGCTTTTTGCATAACTGGGAACAGACCGGTCACCTGGTTGAATCCCCCAAGCCACTCGCCGTGTGATTCGTCTCGAAGCAAACCTTTGAGTTGACACCAATCATCGAGGAGGTAATGATCGTCTCTGTCCCCAGAACAACACGCGAGGATGGCTCAGATCGGGATCGATTACCGACTGAGGCTGGCAAAATTTTAGCATCCATTTATTATTTCAGAAAAATTCAGATGTCCGCCTGAGCCCTACAGTCTGCACAGACTGAGAAATAATCCCGCATCGTGCGGGGTGTGAATGTGGGGATGCTTGGACTTCATTCCGGGGAAGTCCTCCCTTCTGCATCGACATGGCGATAACCTCTGGTGTACAGAATAATATAATGTTTTATCTTTAAGAAACTACGTAGATAGTGAAGTATATATCAATCTTATTGATCATGATGACACTCAACAACTGTTGGATATTTTGTTGAGTTTGCAATGTCGGTGTTGAATTTTAGACTCGCGTTAGGCTTGCCTAGACATGTCTTGGTCTCTTGACCCTCTTGGCCAAAAGCTTCTATCGACACACTCACAGATAATGATTTTAACAATGTCAAATCTTCATTCAATGCGATTTATTGATGAATAATAACTGTGGGAGAGTTGACAAAATAGTACAGACACCTTATTCAAGGCTGCCATGGAACTCTCAATGGGAAATCGGGCTCTGCAACAATCAAACGACTGACGCGTGTATTGAAGAACCACATGGTTCGAGGCTTTGGGGCTTAGTATTCGATTTGAAGCCAGTCAGCAGCGCCGTCACAGTGATCGTTACATAATGGAAAGTATGCTGCGAAAGTAAGAGACTTCCGGACGACAAATATAAGAGCGATTCCGGTATTCCTCTATCCCTGGAAACGATCGTTCAAAGTGGTATAACCTACTGACACTGTCTCAGTTCAAACAGTGCAATTTCCGCCGCTCAATGACTGCACCCCATGTCCTTCGAACCGCGCACGATGGGCATGGCTAGGACTAGTTGATCATGAGCCCAGTGTGACAACTACATCCGCGAGTGGGAGCGGGAGCCGAAAATTCTCAATAGTGCCCCTTTACATGCATCATCGCAACAATTTTTGAGTACCAGTAATATTTGACCAACTCTTTACACCCTCAGCCACGGCTTGCGCTTAGGTCTGAGAGGGAGTTATGCCCAAACGACATGCTAGGTTATTGGGAATACAGCACCTGAATTGTTATCTTGCTCCCAAGCTGTTCAACATATGTTCTTCTACTATGATAAACCAAGCATGAACGCGGTACGATCAGAGAGGATCCAGTCCTGGTGATGCCAAGTATGGATATGATTCAGCGACAGGAACGTACCAAGATGCTCGATTACTGTCTACTTGTTGGGTGTTCCGCTCTGACAGTATCAAAGGAGAAAGGTATATCACAATCTTCTAACTAGTACAGGGTCACCTTCTAAAAGCAGCTATCTGTGGGCGGGTCTGGTCGCCAGCAAGCCAAGGTACTGTTAACACAGCTGATAGACTACTTCATATTCTCATGCAGATCCATCAGGCAACATCACCCCATTAAGGAATGAAAGTGTCACCGTCGCTGCCTGGGCAAAACATCCCACTTTGGAAGAAACATGGTAGAATTCACATTGATAACCTAACCTGATAGTACTCCAGTCAGGCCTTCTGTAAAGAAGAATAATCTCCGGTAGAATGGCTTGCCTTTACTCCATATCGAAGCCAAGACCATGCCAGAGGATCTTCATCGAGAGATGGCTTCTGAAATTCCATCAGCGAGACCATCCAATACGTGTTGTGTCTTCTCTTCAGAGACCGATCCTTCATGACAGTCCTTCGACCAATCCTCTATTCAACATCCTGTGGTACTAGTTAGCATGCGTCGGATACTTCAGTCTGGACAAAACTATAGGAAAATGGAAGCTTGTCAGAATCTGCTTAATATGCAGTAATATCACTCCAGCCACGACTTGGAAGATGACCGAATCATAGTAGAAAGTTTTCTTCATCATCCTTTACTTAAAATTGACCAGCAGGAAATCAATACCTACGTTCTTGCTTCAGACCAACTCAGGGTACGGATGCTGCTTCCGAGGAGAATTGATTTGAGGACGAAAAATGAGGAGAGTGGGAGATGTCGGTTTTTCAATACCAAGGCTGAACTCCGCACTCTGTGTTGGTGCCTGGATGTCGCTGAGCTACTGGTTGGATAGTACCTTGGTATCTATTGACTCCTGGGGATAGATACACTGGTCACGGTGATATGATGTGTTACAGTGCAGTGACATGAGCTCATGAAGAAGGTGTTCTCATGAAATTCTATATACGCAACACACGATAATTCGGGTAAGTCGTTGTATACAATCCGACATTTGAGCCTATAGAATAGAAGTTTTGTAGATAGAACCCGGAGTAGGTAGCTATGAGTTGTTATTTCTCTGCGGATCATTCTGATTGGATCTCAATTGTTGGGCAAGGCTTGGGATGGCGTGCTGTAAGTAGGTAGTAGTAGTAGTAGTAGTAGTAGTAGTAGTAGTAGTAGTAGTAGTCTAAGAGCTCCTGAGGATGATTGTAACTCCATTACTACGGGCAATGACTCCTTTCCTAGTAGATAGTTGGCTGGGACTCTGTAGACTGTGCGATCGAACCTGGGAACATGCTTTTTGGTGTTGCATTTGTGTCTGCAAGCTTGAGTAACTAATGACGTCGCCCGCTCAACTTTTATCTGTGAAGGGTTGACTACTTCTACTCCGTAGTCTGTCTATACAGCATCACATGGACCCCTTACTCAACCTAGGTCTTGATCCCTATTTTGCTTCTCTGCGACAATTCATCATTGCTACAATCACTTTACTACGCTCGAGAAAGGCCTAATAATCTTTCGTGGAGATAAGAGTCGTGCCGAGTGCATCCGCCAAGCCCGTTCCGTCTCCGGCTACCCAGCAGGAAGAAGAAAAAAAAAGCACGATCCAGACAAATCAACGCCCCGTTTTATTGGATTATCAGGTAGATTGGATCTCACGGTGCCTGCGGGAGGAACAAGCTACCTGAAGGAAAGGCAAGGCTGGGAAGAATCAGGTTCAGGACTCCAGGTACGTCTAACCTCTCTCTCTTCCCTTGCTCTTCTTCGCCTTGATTTCATTTCATCTCATCTCATCTCATCTCTACCTGCCTCTCTCTCTCTCTCCTCTCCCTCCTTATCATCCCATCCGGTCTACTCCCCGCGTTCCCCGGTCAAGGGTCTGTCGCTCTTTTGCGTTCTGCACCAAAAGGGGATTAATCGAAAAAAAAAAAAAAATTTAGGAGATACGGTGACAAAAGAAAAGAAAAAGAAAACACAAAAAAAAAAAAAGGCTAGACTGCAAAACCAGCCACCTAATCGGTCTTCACCCTTACACTCGTTCGATTGCGCAGTTCCTGCTCTCCTTCCAATCAACTTGTCCCAATTGCTCCTTTTCGCATTCTTGAGCTCATCCCTTACCGCTGTCGCGGTAAACCCACCCAACCCACGGCCTCCAAACTGCGATCCGCCCTTCCACCCAGAAAGCTTCGATCGGTTCCTGCGTGCTGGATGAGTACGAGTATCTCCACCTCCAATGCACAGACGCTTGTCTGGCTCGCCTGTCGAGGACGACGCTGAAGACTCGTCTCCGGTCTCTCGAACTCCGACGGAATCAGCAGCACATACCCCTAATAATGCCTTCGAGACGTCCGAAAAGTCGCGCTCCCAGATAGCGAAGAGAGGCACCAGCTTCGATCTCCGACGAGACAACGGCGCCTCAACCCCTCGTTCTAGGAACTCCAGCCTGTGGAGGACCCCGTCTGCCTCGACGACAACGACGACACCAACCATGGCCGTCACATCCGCCGATACAAAACCTCCCTCCTCCTCCCTCCTCATGCCATTGGCCTCGCAACGACTCCCGATGGGGGGCTCCCCTGAGAGCTTTCGGCTTCGATCCTCCCGACTCCGCAGCCCGTGGTCCTGCTCGGTCCTGACGGCCATCACCACTCTTGTGGCATCGATATTTCTCTTTTTCATCGTCCGCTCCTTTTCCTCTCGTCAGATCGGCGGAGATGGCTGTGGGATACCCGTGATGAGCCCAACGTTTCTTCGCATGGTAGGCTTCGATACGGAACACACGCGCTTCGCGAGCAAATACAACCTCTACCTTTACCGTGAGGAGGGTGTTGATCCGTACAATCAGGAGAATCTCGGGGTAAGATCGGTTTTCGAATCCGTCATCGTCTATTCGCTGAATCCCAATTTCTCTAGTTGAATGGAGCCCCTGTGCTCTTCCTTCCCGGAAACGCCGGTAGCTACCGACAAGTCCGATCCCTTGCCGCCGAAGCCTCGAGACACTATCACGATGTCGTCCGTCATGATCAAGAGCGTGTCAAAGCCGGAACTCGAAGCTTGGATTTCTTCATGATCGATTTCAACGAGGATATGGCCGCGTTCCATGGTCAGACGCTCCTTGACCAGGCGGAATACGTGAACGAGGCTGTCGCATATATCCTCTCCCTTTATCATGATCCGAAGCGATCGCGACGGGATCCCCAACTTCCGGATCCCAGCTCGGTCATCCTCGTCGGGCACTCCATGGGTGGCATCGTCGCCCGTACCGCCTTGACAATGGCCAATTACCAGGCTAATTCGGTGAACACGATCGTCACGATGTCCGCTCCCCATGCGAAACCGCCCGTCTCGTTTGAATCGGATATTGTTCATACCTACAAGCAGATCAATGACTACTGGCGGGAAGCATACTCGCAGACTTGGGCCAACAACAACCCTCTATGGCATGTGACCCTCATCTCCATCGCAGGAGGCTCGCGCGACACCGTCGTACCATCCGACTACGCCAGTATTTCATCCCTTGTCCCAGAAACGCACGGCTTCACCGTGTTCACCTCGACCATCCCCGATGTCTGGATCGGGATGGACCACCTTTCCATTACATGGTGTGATCAATTCCGCAAAACAATCATCAAATCGCTTTTCGATATTGTCGATGTTCGCCGTGCAAGCCAAACCAAGCCCAGGGCCGAGCGGATGAGGATATTCAAAAAATGGTACCTCACCGGGTTGGAATCTGTCGCCGAAAGAACGCTTCCACAAAAAGGTCTGTTTGTTAGCTGCTCCTTAACCCTATCCGTTGCCACCTTTCTGATCGTCACCGTCACAGAACCCAACACTCTCTTGACCTTAGAAGATAAAGCCAACTCAATAATGTCCCAAGGTCAACGACTTATCCTTCGCGAGCTGGGCCACCGCACAGGGCCCAAGGTTCATCTCTTGCCGATTCCGCCCCAGGGAGTCTCAGGAAAGAAGTTCACTTTCCTGACGGATCAAAAGCTGGACAAAACTGGAGAACACGGCAACTTGGAGGTCCTCTTTTGCAGCGTCTTCCCTCTGCAGAATGGCAAATTCGCATCGGTATTCACCATGAATCTGGACTTTTCTGGAGGCAACACAGGCTCAACTCGCCTCGCCTGTAAGAACGCCGCTGAAGACAGTATTCACCTTCCGGCCTCGACCCCAGCATCAAAGGATCCCTTCGATCGGGTACAACCTTTCTCATACTTACAGTACGATCTGGAGGATCTCGCAGAGCACCAGTTCGTTGCCGTCGTCGACAAGGCCAATACTCCCACAACAGGCTGGGTTCTGGCCGAATTTTCAGATAGCTCAGACGCTGTGATTCGGGCCCGTGGCGGCCTGGGTGGTTTGCTGAGTACGGGCTTGAAGATGAGACTTCCTGCAAACCGTCCAATGGTCACTGAAGTAAAGATCCCGGCGTTGCATTCCAGTTTGCTGGATTATAAGCTTCACATCGTCCGGCACCACCACGGCAACAAACAGGAACTCTTCGCTCCTCTGCTGCGACAATCCATTCTCGACCCGCATGAGTCGAAATTCTTCGTCAATGTGGAAAAGGTAAACGTGAACCTTCATGGACTGGCACCCTTCATGCCTCCACCACTCCGCGAGCAAGCAGCTCTGGGCGGCGTCTCCTTCCAACTATGGACTGATCCGAGCTGTGGTTCTACCGTCGACATCTCCCTCAAGGTGGACATCGTCGGCAGTTTGGGTGAGCTTGTGATGCGTTATCGCACTATTTTTGCCGCATTCCCCGTGCTCGTTGTCGCCCTCGTTCTCCGCAAACAATTCCAGGTGTATGACGAGACTGGCTATTTCATTACGTTCGCCGAAGGTCTGGACAGCGCGCTGCGGTCATCCTTGCCAATTCTTCTACTTGCCATGTCTTTGCTGGCATCTTCATTCGCGACATCCACACGACTTCCACCCAGCGATGATCCGTTTCGTTGGCGAGCGAATGCCACGGAGTCTCCAATCGATTTCACAAGGAATGACCTTCTCCTGGGTTCGCAGGACGCATTCTTCTGGTTCTTAGTACCTGTCTTCGGCTTCATCAGTGTTGGTATCTGCGTCATCCTCAACTACCTCGCACTTGTCCTTCTTTCAGTCATCTCCTTCCTGTACGGATATCTGAAGAGCAAATCGGGCTACATCAAACGCAATGAGAAGGGGTAAGTCGTGGAACGTCTGCATATCCGGCTAATGACTAACTTGACCAGAACTCCGATCTTTAGTGCTCCTACACCGAGGCGGCGGATGATCAATACGGCCATCCTCTTGGTTCTTGTATCCACGATCGTTCCCTACCAATTCGCCTATATGGTGGCATGTATCGTGCAGCTTGCAACATGTGTGCGAGCTCAATGGCATGCGAGAGAAACTGTATGATACTTGTTTGTTAGTTTTGCAACTCGTACTAACAACATAAGCAGAGAACCACCGCGCATTACAATTTCTCCAACTATGCGCACTCGATATTCCTTCTCATGCTTTGGATTCTACCGATTAATATTCTGGTTCTCTTAGTCTGGGCTCACAACCTTGTTGTCCACTGGTTCATGCCATTTTCGTCACACCATAATGTCTTGTCGATAATGCCTTTTATCCTTCTCGTGGAGACGATGACCAGCGGGACCATGATTCCGCGAGTCACCACTCGGTATGTGATGTTTTTTCCACTGCTCCAGTCCGATTACTGACCACGTCAAAGTCTAAAACATGTCACATCCATGATCCTCTTCATCATGGCGATCTATTCGGCAGTCTACGGTGTATCATACGCCTACCTCCTCCACCATCTCGCTAATTTCCTCGCCGCCTGGCTCGTGATCATCTACTTCTTCAGCAGCGGCTTCTCCTTCCGACGATTATGGCGAATCCTCGAAGGCGACGACGTCGGACACAGTATATCTGAGCTCGGCGGAGGCCATCAGAAGAAGAAGCCATGAACAAAACCATCGCGCGCAATCTGAAACGTCAACATTTATGTCCCCTTATCTAATTCTCCTTCTCCTGTTTTATTTTTGTCATCTGAATTTAATTGAGGAACCATCGCGCATACCGGAGTTGATTTTATGTGGTTTTGGGAGCGGAATTCTGATTTTTCTTTCTTTTTCTTTGCCCACTTTCTCATCTGCTGGTGGGAACCCTTGACTGTACAGAGATATCCATACTTTTGAGTCCCTCGCCGCACATTTGCCTAGTCCCGTGCTCATCATCTCTATACTTGGGATGTCCTGCGGAGTGCTTGATCTCAACATCCTCCTCCCCTTCAACTCCGTGTCCTCGTTGCCTGTTGATCATATACAAGAGCTGTATGTATGGTCTATCTCCGATGGCCTTTCTGTTTACGGTCTGGATATAGAATTCTTCTTTTCTCCCTTTTTTTGTTCTTTTTCTGTCCAAGTTTAATGCATACACACATATCACAGCGGTGATTGATAGATATCACTTGCAGGTGATGCAAGGAAGAAAGAATCATATACCAACGTCCACACTTCATTCATCCAATATCTATTATACATGATTATATTTATGGACTAGAAAATTAGAGTAGATTAGACTCATGATTTACACCTCAACCGGTCCAACCTTCACCCCGGCCTTCTTCATCAACTCCTCCACACCCCGCAACTTCTTCGACTCAGCGAGCCGCCCCTCCTTCTGCGCCTCGAACCGCTTCTTCCCCCCAAACTTCAGCTTCGTGATCATATCCGCTGCCTGGCCCCGCGTAAGCTGCTGCGCATGAATCGCCCCCTGGCGGATCTTGGCTTTGTTCAGGAACCGCACCTGCGCCGCCGTCGCGGGGGACTGCCGCCACGTCTGCCACGAGGTGATATACTTCTCCTCGAACTCGGCGCTGGCGAAAGTGTCTGCTGCGCGGACGGCGGATTCGAAGTCCGGGGTTGTGGCAAGGAGGCGGGGGCGGGTGTGCATTGGTTTGTCGTCTGCGGTTTTGAACTTGGCGACGTGGCGGACGGTGAAGATGAAGGGGTTGGGTTTGGGGTCGCTGGTGGTGGTGTAGGCTTGTGCGGTGTCTTTTTCTTTGTCGATTGTGAGCCAGCCTGAAGCGTCGGAGAGGATGTAGCGGTCAGTGCCGACGCGGACCCAGGCGTGCGGGCTTAGGGAGCGGATGTGTTTCTCGGATTTGAGGTCGGCGATGAGGTCGTAGATCGTGTCGTATTTGGTGAAGGTGAGTTTGATGTCTGTGTCCTCCGTGGTGGGCTCGGAGGAGGGCAACGGTTCCTGGGCTTCGTTGTCTTCTTGGGTTGTTTTGGAGGCGCCCTCGGCTTTCTCCTTCAGGTCGTTCGCTTTGGCCTTTTGGAGGACTTCGTCGGGATGGAGGCCGAAGAGCGTCGGGGTCGAGAGGACGCCGGTGTTCAATGTGGCTACCATGTCGATGACGTGGCAGTCATCTTTGCCGGGGTACAGCCTGAGCCCACGGCCGATCATCTGTATGAGGAGGTTCCGAGACCGGGTTGGTCTGGCGAGGAGCACGCAGTCGATGTTCGGGATGTCGGTTCCTTCAGTAAAGAGACCGCAGTTCAGGAGGACGGGATACTCTCGGTCTCGGAACGCGCGCAGCTGTTCCATCCGCGCTTCTCGCGACGTTTTTGCCGTGATGTACCGAGCGTCGATGCCGTAGTTGCGGAAGGTCTCCGTGAGCTCCTTGGTGTGTGCGACATCCACACAGAACACGAGTGTGGATTTGCGGTCCTGCGCGTTCGCCAGCCACGCGCGTACGGTAATGTTATTCACGCTTTCCGTGTTGACGGCCTTGGAGAGCGAACCGATTGCAAAGTCTCCGAAGCTATCCTTCTTGACCTTCGACAGGTTTGCCTCCGAGCGGACCGTGGTGAAGAACGCATTCGCAAGCCATTTCTCGTCGATCATGTCCATGTAGTCTTTGTGGTAGACGATATGATCGATCGCAGCACCTAGCTTCAGTCCATCGTACCGAGAAAATGTAGCGGAGACGCCCACGAGAGCTGGAGAGTCCGGAGATTCTTTATCCACTCCGAAATGCGTCAGAGCCTCCCGGTATGACGGTGCGACAATGTGATGCGCTTCATCCACAAGAACTAGCTTGAATTGTGCCGGATCAAACTTGGAAAGTCTAGTCCCCCGTGCGAGAGTCTGTACAGACGCGACGATAATGTCTCCGGTTCCAGTGGCGTGGCTAGTTCCCATTTCGATCTCGATCGTTCGGTCTGGATATGCGCGGCGGCAGTGCTTGGCTGCTTGTTCAACAAGCTCCCTCCGATGCACGATAATCAGCGCCTTGTCGCCAATTTCATTGCGCGGTGGTATTCGGCCTATCAATTCCGTGAAGATGACCTGTGGATGAGAAGATATCAGTCACTAGTCAAACCAAGCGTATGCATCATGCGCACAGTTTTACCGGCACCAGTCGCGAGCGAAATCCCTAGGCGCTTATGCCCTTCATCCAAGTACTTTAGTACGGATTGGATGCATTCTTCTTGATAGTCGCGGAGGACTATTGCAGGTGTTTCAAGTGACTTCGGAGGTGCTTGAGTGAGGGCCGAGTTGGTAGAGTTGAGCCTCCTATGACGTAGCGCCGGAGGTCGCCAATGAGGTCGAGACGGTCTGGTGAGGACTTGCAAGAAGGGGATAGCCCCCAGTTTCCGTCGAAAAACGTTCATCCAGCTGCCATAAAGTAAATCTGGTCCAAGGATCAATCGTCATGCAGGTTCTGATACCCATCAGTCGATAAAATATGGGGAAGAAGCAAACAGTGCAAACATAGATCTGCCTTATCAGAAATCTTTTGGCCGATAAAGTACCTCCACTCGACTTTTTGGCTTTTTGGTCCATGCATCGCTGAACTGATCAAATATTCTAAATGATACCTATATAGCATACTTGTGTGCCATATATAGGTGGGATGCTCTCGTCATCCGCCCATACTCGATGTCTCCAGCGTGCTGTCTGCTTGAACCCCTCAACACCTGACAATGAGCAGTTCAAGCGTCTATGAGGAAGACGAAGAGGGATCCGAGTCCGATGTCGAGGCCAGATATTCCAGCACGAAGCTTTCTGCCTCTTCCCCTCGGAACGACGAATACAATAGCTACAATTCAGCGGAACCCGAGGGAAACACTCCTCCCGAAGTATTACCCAGAGCTTCGCGGGGAACAAGAGCTCAGATACTAGATACTCTTCGCACATCACTTGGAATAGAAGCCGTCAACGCATACACCAATGTGCTTGCCGAAACAGCCGATTCTACCGTGTCCTCCGATGTCCGCAATGAGAACTACAATGCCACCCAGAACGGCGTCGTGATATGGACTCCCCAAGAGAAGGAAACTTTATTCAATATACTTGACAAGAAGAGTAAAAACGGAATACCGGAGATCGCACAGGCGATTGGCTCGAAGTCCGAGTTGGAAGTCCAGCAACATTTAAAACTCCTACACAAAGGGCTCGAGCGGCAGCATCTTCGGGATCGCCATAGCAGAACGATCATTATTGGTGATGTTTCAGCAGCGCTGGAAATCAGTCAGGAATGCTGCAGGGCACTCGAGGATTATGCAGAGCTGTTGTCCCTCGAAGAACAACGAGCTGAAGACGTTGCCGGGAGGAAGATACATCAGGATGTGTGGGTTGTGGACCGGGATGTAGCGACAATGGTAGACGAGCAGTTAGAGGCTCAGGACGAGACTCCTTTGCCTAGTTCAAGCGTCTATGTTACCGGGGAGCTATTCAATTTGGGCAAATGGATTAGACTATCGGAGCGGTTTTTCATGAACTCGGGTGGTCCAAGGCTAGAAGAGAATTGGGTCAATATAGCCTGTGCAGACGAGGCCCCTTCCATGACAGCAGATGCCCTTGCGGATTTCTATGCTTTGACTATTAGCGTGACCCGTCGTCTAGTTCAGTCTACCCTCTTCTTCGCTGCATCAAGGCTCCGAAATATGAGGGAAACTGGAAACCGCAAAGCCCGCGTGGTAAGATCCCGCGATGTCAAGACCGCGCTCGACGTGCTCAATATGACCCACGATCGCTTCGATTTCTGGGTTGGTCTAGCACGGAGATGCAGACTGCAGGTCGCAGACCTTCGTCACAAGAAAGGCTGGCAGTCACAACTCATGGACTATAATGAGGTTGAAGATCTACTGTCCGGGAAAGTACCATTCAACGGGCCGTCTGATGAGCGGGACTCCAGAAGCAGATCGGGAAGTCAATCTTCGCATGAGGATGCAGATGAGTCAATGGACGATCATGACAGTGAGTCCGCGGTGTCATCGTCGGCTTCTTCATTGCTATCGTCGCCCGAACTGTCACCCGTCGACGAGCCATTTTTGGATCTGGAGGATGAACACGCAGAGAAAATCGATCAGAAGAACAATAGTTCGGAGGAACTGAGTCTCTGGAACCTCATGGGACAGTCAGCACCGCAGGATATCGAATCCCTGAGTTTGGCCAAAGAGGAAGAATCCAAGTCATGCAAACCGGCTGGCGAGCGTAAGCTGAAAGAAGACTTGGTTGACTGGCGTGATAGAACACTATATCGAAGCGAGTGGGAGGAATATGGACACGATATACATGATCTCCACGAGGATTTATCAGAAAATAGACGAAAAAGAAGACGTCTTGAGTCCTATGCAATGGCTGAGTGGTCCGCCGTCGTGCGAGATGAAAGAGATGATCGAATGGATGATATGAAGAGATTACCGGAACTTGATCCAAACACTATGAACGTCGAGCAGAGTGCTGAGAGAATCCGCGGTGATGGCGACCCTGACGGCCAGTTTGAACACGGTAACGATGCTATGGATATCGACGATTCTGATTCCAACGAATCAATTTTGAGTGCCAGCGAAGAAGCGAAGATGAGGATCGAGATGGATCGTATTCGATCTCCTGATCATAGCCTCAAAAACAAAAATATTCGATTCAGTTACAACCAAGAATCGACGGCTGAAGATGAGTCTGATGGCGATGACGATCAGAGAAATCGAACCTCACTTGAGTTACGACATGAAGCCGAAGTCACACCAACAGTACAAGAAGTTCCAGAAGCCGTCGTTAAGCCAGAAGTATACGATGTCAATGAAAGCGAAGAAGACGAGTCTGGTTACGAGTCTGATTCAGATGCATTCGACGAAGGCATTGACACTGAACACAAACTGTCCCCACATCAGTCCAGGTCAGGGGGAGTCTCATTGCATCAGGAACCTTATTTTGCAGTCAAGGAAGAGGGTATACAGTCGAGCAATTGCGAAAATTCTAAGCTTGAGCCCGAGTCCGCTTCTGGGTCTGATTATGAAGAGGATATCGACTTCGAATACAAACCCGCAATACACCCTCGAAATGGAACTGAGGATGGAGATGTCCCTATGAGCCCATTGGTTATGCCGCCTTTCAAAAAGGAGAACATAAAATCTAGTCAAAGTGGAGAATCCGGTTCAGAGTACGAGACAGAGTCCGAGGTTGGATCCGAGCACAACAGCGATATCCACCGCAAAGTCGTGCCTGAACATGCCCAAATTCGCTCACAGCCAGATATCAAACCGGAACTTGAGCAATCGGGCACCGAATCAGATTCATATCTCGACCACAATGGATCAGACAGCGACAGCGACAGCAACTCGCAAACCGGTTCTCAGCACGGTATCAAACTCGATCCGCACAGCGGAGGCAGCCATCCGGCTTCAGATATAGCTCCCAGAGAATCTCCGTCTGGGTCGGATTCGGAATCAGAGGGTGACTCTTCTGGAGATGAAAACTTCAGCACAGGCAAACGTTCCCGGCAATCGCTGCAGGAGCACCCGAAGATAGAACCCAAAATGGAAAGGGCAGGTGAGCTGTCTAGCTCAGATGACGAACTTCCTTTCCAGAAACGCCTTGGACGCGGGAATTCGGGTTCCTCGTCAGATGAAGACGATGAGAAGAAAAGTCTCCCTTTCCATTCCGAGCCTTTGAGTCCGGTCACCTGAAGTCTATATATTTGCCACATATTGGCTAGGTATAAAGGGATTTGGATAGATATTTCGGGTTTACATTATGAGCTACGCAAGCATAGACTAAAATCGCCACTACAGTTATGATTATATAGAGTTCTATCGAAGAATCTACAATTTTCTAAGGATTGATTCCTAAGCTCCCAGTGAGCAACTACTTCAGCAATACAGTAGTTAAAAGTAGAATAAAGATCAAATTGATTTGCGGATAGTGTAGCTCTTGAACTCCAAAACATGTGCGCCTTTTCCTAATAGCGTAAACATAAATTGCATTGCAAAAAAAAACAGATCCCATCCATCACCGAAATCATTCCCTACCAAGCCCACGTCCAAAAATCGCAGACGACGGCTGTTAATCTGGAGACATAAGATAAATGTCTGACCTCGCTTTCCTCCCTACTCCGCCTTGAGGATATTGTACAATACTTGGATATTATAAAAAAAAGTAATCCACTCACTGGCCCGCATAATCATAGAATAGAATATGTGGTATTGTGATTTCTCGATGACTCAATCGCGTGGAATCCCATACAGGCCGTTTCTTTTTCTTTTCTTGGGGAGTATGACATGATCACAGGTCGAGGGTCTTGAAGTCAGCTCCTGCCTCTGCACTGAGAGGCTGAACACCATCTCTCATATCACCACCTGTGGGCTGGAAATTGTAGCGGTTGCCGATGCCCGTAGTGGCAGCATCTGCAATCAAGTTGCTGCTCTCCTCGCTGGGCCCCTTCAAGCTGATCGACTGAAAAGAGTCCTGAACCTCCTTGACTCTACGCTTGAAGGCCATACGGTCAAGGAAAAGCTGCTGGCGGGCGAGTTCCAGCTCCCGGCGTTCAGCCTCGATAATCTCCTCCATCTCATTGAACTGCTGCAGCTTAATCTCGAACTTCTGAAGCGTGACATTAACAGCAGCCGAGACAAGACGAGTCATTTCCCGCTCCTCGTGCGAGGCGAGAGCTGCAGCGCGAGCTGCAGATGTAGCGAGAGCAACCGTGGCAAGAGAAGACTTCGGATGCTTCTCAGATTCAGTGACCTCGGCAACTTCGACGGCAGCCTCTTCCCGAGAGGTATCTACATCCATCGAGTCTTCGGTCTTCACGCCGGCACCTTCCTTCTCCTTGCCCTTGTCATGTGACTTGTCCGCTTCCGAGTCTTTGTCGAGTTGCTTTCTCAGCTCTTTACGGATCTCTTCCACTGAGCGACCGGCGGCAGCAGCGGCTACTGCAGGCTCTGCCATTTGCGCCAGGAAAGCAACAACAGACAAAACAGGATTCTCGACCTGGTTGAGAGGATCTCGCCCGCCGACTGCGCGCATATCTGGTACATCTTCGATATACTTATCTTCAATCTCCAGTTGCAAGAACTTCATCACACACTCTTCCTTGGTTCTTGTGCCGACATGCTTGGCAATCTGTTCCCAATTGTCATCGAAATTCTCTAGCCCTTCGAGGAGAAGTACAAGCTCCGAGTCAGACCAAGGAGCATCCTTGTCGGAGGCGATCGAGTACGCATTGTCTTCAAGCTTGACGAAATCCGAAGCGTTGTGTGAGGCAGGCATTCTACCTTGCAAGAAGCAATTCGGGCAGAGATCGTACTTGCCGTCCGGCGCATTTGCATTAGTGGTTGTCGGGGCCGATTTAGCGTAATGAAATCTGAGACGAGTGCAATCAATGCCGCAAGAAAAGCAATGGAACTTCCTCTTGGGCTCTCGGGCAGCGCTTTCCATCGCCTTAGAGGCGTCAGCAATTGTGCCATTGGCGACCGATGGCTCGCCGTTGGTTTGCTTTTCTTTGTCCTCGACAGCTGGGGTGATTTCTTTGCCTTTTTCGTCGTAAACATTGCGACGAATCTCTAGGTTGAGATCGGCCTTGGAAGACGGGGCAGCGGAAGCGGCCCGATCAGTGGCGGGAAGAGCCTTTCCAGGTTTCACAACGTGTTGAGGGCCAGGCTGGAAAGGTTGGAGACCCCTTGGTGTATCAGCGACAACGCGGAAATGACCCGTAAAGGGAGGTCCAATGTTCGACGGCCGTGTCTGAGGATCGACCTTTCAAATGCAAACATTAGTGCCGTCCAACAGAGGCAAGATAGCATACGGAGTACTCACCTGGTAGTTGATCAAACCCCACTGCTCGAGAAATGAGTGAACGCGCATAATGGCACAGACATCTCCCGCGAGATTGCGGCGACACGCTGTGACTGTGAGGTACTCAATAGGATTCAGTCGATATGTGTTGATCATGAAATCGCGATAGTCTTTGTAGACTGCCGGGGTCTTGCTCCGGTTGCGGCCGTTAAAGAACTCTGCTAAGGCCTTCTTCTCAATCGGATGGATGGTATGCATGTCGAACCATGTAGAATAGCTAGGAAGGATAATAGCGTGTGTCTGCGAAACAAGATGTGAACGTGCTGAGGCTTCGAGCGAGGCCTTGGCTTGCGCCGGTTGCTCTTCAGAGGCACCTTCGGCAGCCTGTGCCGTTGTATCGGCGTTTTCCTCGCCTCCTTCCGTCTCCTTCGTTTCTGTCTCGGTGCCGCCCATCTCTTCATCCTCTGGCTCGCCATCGGCGTTCTGTTGCTTGGGAGAAGCAGGAGCATCTAGTGGATTATCAGCTGTCGGAGCACTTTCGCTATTCTTCTCGGGGGATATTTGATGTGATTGCGACCCTGAGCAATTGCAGCTGCGGGCGAGTCCCGCGTCTTGTAAGGGGCGGAGGAGAGGCAAAACCTACCGGATACATTGGTCATTTCGGTTGGGGTATCTTGACCCGCAGCCGGTGTCTGAGCATTATTGGCAGCGCTGCCACTGACAGCAGTGTGCTCCTCCATTCTTACTGACTGGCGATGACAGCTGGAGATTGGAGGTCGCAAGAGATGCTAGGCAAGGCTTGTTGCCGATCTTCAGGCTTCACTAGAACTAGGTAGACAGGGCGCAGATGCACCTTTGATCAACTGAACTATTTCAGTAAATGAAGCGACAATGTCTCCAAAGAAATCAGAGATCGAAAGGAGATGTCACAAGGTGGGGGAAAGAGCGAGGGTGATGATGGGACAAACTGCTCGGATCGCAGCGTAACTCCAGTCGCGACACGGCCAAAAACTCGCGCCAAGAACCTCACGTGCATTAGCCTCTTTTGGACTAGCGTATACTCCATACTTCCCTCTTCTCATCCGCCATACCAGAGTGAGAAGAAGAAGTACTCCTTTTGATTCTATATTACGGACTTTATATTCATTCTTGTTACTCATTGTTGCATGGCCCTTTACATTTGCAAAAGTGACGGAAACATCTTCCCCTGTATTTGAACAAGGAGGGTCAAACACAGCAGTATGCCCCATCAAACAAAGAGATGAACAACCATAGCTTCATATTGCGAATCGCACTACACTCTCATATCGAACCATCTATCCCAGGAGACCTCATCAAATAGAATTTAGATACATGCACCAACTCTCGGCCGATCTTGATCGCGATCCTCACTTAGACGCGGCTGCCAGTGCTTGGTCTCTTTCTTAAACAACTTTGGCAATAGCAGGTCTCTCCTTGATTCTATTCAACCAGGCGTTCAGGTTGGGAAAGTCTTTCTCGAGGCCGATGCTGTCACCAGTAATCTTTGGGATGATCGCGTACCATGGTGTGAATGCGGAGTCAACATAACTGTACTTGTTGCCGACTAAGTACTCGCGGCCCTCGAGCCACTTGTCCAGAACACCAGACACACGGCGGACCTCATTGAAGTATCGTTCCTTTGCACTCTCAATCTTTTCCGGGTGATAGACTGTGAACCAGACCGCTTGACCAAAGTACGGCCCTTGCCCTGACATCTGGAAGTGCAGCCACTGCTTGGCATGGAAGTACTCTGGTGTACCCGCCGGGAAGCTGATAGTGTGTTCCTTATCGTATGTTTCAACCAGATATTCGAGGATGGCGCCTGATTCCCACAGGGTAATCCCCGTATTGGGATCCTCTATTGCCGGGACGCGGCCGTTGGGGTTGATGTTCACATAAGGCTCTTTCTTGATTTGGTCGAACTCAACGTATTTGTGCTCGTAGGGGATGCTCAGTTCTTCCAGGATGAAAACCACCTTCCAGGGGTTCGGGCCGGAAGCATGGCCCCAGAGGGTGATCGGTTGAAGAGACATGTTTGAGTTGGCTGAAAGCTGTGAGATATCACTCTTCAGCAATTGATACGAAGGAAAGGTTCGAGTTCGGGGAATTGGCTATTGTAGAGTGCTAGATGGAAAGCAATCTTCAACGGACGGCGACCATCTTTATATACGTCTTTCTTCGAAAATCCTTTGGTGAGAATACGCGGTCACAGTTGGCATATCCATCATGCACAACCCATAATGGCCCCATGATAGTGAGACACGAAATTATTCAAAACGAAAGGAAGCCGTTGCCTGCTCGGATGTTGGACATTACCGCTCCGTAAAGCATAATCTTCGCGTCACGCTTAAACTTGCAGAATGAATTGTGGGCAGTCGCTGACAAATAGGTAATGCCGCTTCTTTGCTGACCTGAAAACCGCTTGCACAACACTTGAGATAAATCTCAGCTGATGTTCAATTCGTACTATCCTGGGAGTGAGATCAAAGGGTCGATTATCAATCATCGTGATCCCTCCGAATCCTATCTAAGCCGCCGAACCGCTATGGCGGTATGCACGCATGTCATGTTACTTCCCAGAATCAATCAGTAGTATATGCTGCAGGGTCTGGTAAGTAGCTTCAACATCAATTTGTCAGTGTCTGATAAGCTACAGAGTTTGAATTCTTCATTCAGAACATTGGGCTGCTGTTGACACATGCTGCTCTTGGCAACATATCTACCCGCAGTGTGGGGCATGCGCACCAAACGATGAAACTTGAAACAAAGGCAAACGCAAGCGCCTTTGGAAATGAGATACTGGTCATCAACAACCATTATTCCAGTTTCTGAGTAAAGAATGAGATACTCAAATGATGTGTAGAGTCCTTGAAGCAGATGCTTGGTATTGTTTTTCCCGCCTGAGATGTCCCTCTAGACAGTCTATCTTTTGAGTGACACCTCATCGAACGGCCGGTACTGAACAAGAAACGACACTCCAAAACTTTTATATTGAGAAATTAGCCATCGAAATATGAAGGAATACAAGTTTGATAGAAAGTTTTCTTACCAAGCGTCAACACATGCAACCATGACCCAAGGAGTACTCTATCCTCACCTCTGAGAACAGGAGTCAGTGGTTGCTGGCATGTCAAGGAGAACAACAATCATGAGCTCTTGAAAAATTTTTTACCAGGATGTTGAAGCATCCAATGTTCTAGAGGCATCTAGTAGTTGATATTAAACAAATGGAACCTGATGTTCTATTCTTGTGAATCACGATGTCATTTTTCGGAGTGCCGTCTCGGAGCTCGGAGTGAACCAGCGCGGTCGGAGTGCCCAAGCTAAAAGATTGAGCAGGCAACAAACGGCCTAGACTGGGCTGGTTGACAGGAAATAGCACTACGGAGTAGATTTTTGGGTACTCCGTCAGACACCCCGGAGCTTGTTAGTTGTCACAAGGCAAGATTCCATGATCTTTGAGGCTATTGCTGGGAAGATTTGTTAGGACTTGCGGTGTACGTGATGCTCGTATAGGTATTGCCTCAGTCATCGTTTACTCTACCATTGCTCATACTACTGTGGTAGAGGTATCTCTGCGGACTCTTGAGTCATCATCCGACGCCTTGTGAGTCGGAAATGCCTTGAACCATCAAGATAGAGTTCATGAGTACGAGAAAGACGAAGCTACGGGCACATAGTAATAGATAGTCTATGTTTTTTTCTCATGGTCGCGGGTCTAATAACCCTCGTATACACGTCGGCGACCAAAAAGGGAGTCCGACAAGGGGATATCAACGACAGCTCGCTGTCTTCCATTCAAGGCGACAGGATCCACCACGCCTGATTTTGATAATAATAGCTAGTATGATCGCGTTGAAGGGTCTAGATGGAATATGTACAGCACGTTCGTTGTCATCGTACAACCTGTGGTCCAGGATTCAGGGATGTGAAAGCCCTGTGATCCAAAGAAGCGAGACCAGAATGATCGATCTTGTCTGCAAACCCAGTGGAGTGGGTCCTGTATATGGTGCTTGACTGCTTTCCCAAGCCTCAAAAGGTGGCTGTCATCGACGATGAGGGATGATTGCCAATTAAGTGGTCTGTGTCCTCCTGTAGGGCAGAAAAATCCGATGATGTTTTTGCCTGTAGTTCAGCCATGTTGCTTTGTCTGTGGGTCCTGACTCTTTTTTTCATCTACTCCGAAGGCTTCGGAGTAAAAGCTTCTGATGCCGGAATAAAAATATTGGTATACAACTTGTGCTTTGAATGAAGACGGATCAAGTATATAAGGAGCATTGAGGATCCTCCTCAATCGATATTCTTCTCATCCATCCAGCATCAGCTTCAATAACATCGCAAAGCAATCATCTTCTTGACTACATCTTCAAAAACACAATCCCGAACAATATCAACAATCAACCGAGTTATATACTCTCCACCAGAAACCAATCAAATCACTCTCAGTGACCACCACCCAAAGACTCCTCTACCATCACAAACCACAATATCCTCAAGAGCTTCTCTAAGACTCAATCTACCATCCACATCAAAAATGCCTTTCAGAGCCTCCATCAACGACTCCTCCTCCACATACTCCGCCTCCTCGAAAGCATCCACCCTTAAGGGCGTCGAGACCATGCACAAGAAGTGGTTTGCGATGAAGACCAAGAGCGCCAAGCCATCGTTCTCTCTGTCTCCCACCGAAGCTCTGCACAACGAGGCCGTCGCCAGCTACTTCTCTATGCGGTGATTGCGATCAAATTGATACTCGCTTCTCTCGTTTACACCCGCGCTGCGCGCAGACGGGATGAAGTTCGGAATGAATACCCACATCGGTTATGACGACAATTGCAAATGGAACATGCGTGTTTGGAATTCTTAAAAGACAACCGGAGTTTGGGTACAGGGACACAAAAAAAATTAATGATGGATACCTCTGTTGATTGTTTCTGTTATGACCTGTTGTTTTGCTGTTTATAACTTGTTTCGGTTGCTGTTTTTCTTGCTTCACAAGCCTAATAATCGCTCTAATCAAATAATAGAATGCCTGTCTTGGACAAATCCTTCTCCTTGATCTAGTTGTAGAAACTGTTCTCATAGTGCAATAGTGCAAAAGAGGTTATTTTTGTATATAAGATATGCTCAGGTGAAACCACAACTCGCTGACCAGTCGCTTAAATTCTTCAAATATTTATCTATCATCATGGCGTCCTCATGACAGTTCAAAGTCCAGCCATCAGTTCGCTCAACGAAATCGGCTTGCGCACGGCATTGGAGAAACCATCATGATAAGTAATCCAAACCTTTCTTCCAGCTTTCGAAGTTTCATTCTGCATTGGAATTCCATCCGACGTTTGTGATTGCGGTTCCGGCTTTTGAATGATTCTCCCGAAGAAGTCGCGCTTGATGCCTGGTGCATCCTTCAGAGTGGCATTCTTCCCGGCGTTCCCACCGTCAGCTTTGCCGTTCTTCTTGTCGGCCTTGGACGAAGTCAACGCCTCGGAATGCTTCCTCGTGGTTTCCTTGCGATACTCCTGGTCTAGTACCTGGCGGACGGCATATCGGACAGGCATGGAGCTCCCAGTGTCTGCTAAGGTTCCCTTGACCTTGGAAAATGCTACAAGAGAATCCAGGGGTCTGTTCCAAAAGTCGTCAGTTAATCACAAGCCAGACAATACATGGAGGGGAAGGGAACAAGAAGTACTCACGGTTCCATGCGGTAGGCAAATCCGCCGTGTCCACCACCCTCGCCCTCAACCCGTACTTTCTCAAAAGTCACGCCCAAGCCCGCCATGACACGAACAGCTGCCTGCACGAGAGCCCGTTCACTCTCCTTCCTGACACTAGCCACACTTCTTTGCTCCCCGCTTCCACGAACAACGACAGGTTTCACATCAGGTGATAGCATACGCATGAGATTCGGAACGAGGTCTGTGATCAAGCTGTCCGTTGAGCGGAACAATCTCAGTAACGGTGCTGAGAAAGAAGATTGGAACCCGTTCAAAATAGCACGGTTTTGTTTCTGTGCTTCAAAGGCTGCAAAGTCTGCTCTGGATCCCGAGAAAGGATGCTCTTCTTCTTCATCGTCCTCATCGTGATTCTTTGATATCCTTTTGCCTCCGACGGAGGAGAATAGGTGGTGGAACGCTATGACTGATTGGCTTAAATAAGGTGTAAGCTCCCATTCCTGGGAAGTATAGACTTTCGAGGAAATGGTATCATGAAAGTAAAGCCAGTCGTATGCCGCGTTAGGCTTCGAAAGAAAAGTATCATCTTGGTATGACTGAAGCGGGTACGTAGCGAAACATTCAGAGGCACACCGATCCTGATCGCCGCTAGCATCTATCATCTCGCGTAGCTTGTTGATGGCGTGACGTTTCCGGAGATCTGCAACCCCAAGAGGCACGTTTCGATCGGAATTGTCGTATGGATCTTGGAACGATCCAGAGTTCACAGGGGCATCCGGAAACCCTCCACCCTCCAAAAATACTCGATCCACGATATCTCGTACTCCCCCGCGGCTTAATCCTTTGAAGAATGAGCCTTCTGCCGGACCACTGAGAACACGTTTCTCAAACCAGCTCCTTGTCAACTTGAGAGAAGACAGGCTCTCATTCCTTAATTTATGAGCTACCCATTCCGCCGCTACAAGCACGCTCCGGATGTCGCCTTCAGCTGTTCCACTGCTTTTCATCCCACCACTCTTCTTTCTTGAGAGCCCCCACGATGCTTCGCAGAGTCGCCGCACTCCATCGTTGTCCGATGGAATGCCTTCTAGAGTCAATATGTTCTTCAGGCGAGAAACAACGTTTTCAAAGGGCGCTTGGCGGACATGAATGATTTCGGCAATGGAGGAAGTTCTCAATGGACGTAAGCTTGGGTGATATACATCATTGCATACCAAGATCAAGGGGCGCAGGAATCGGAACTTGTCCCCCTTCCTCTTGTGGCCACTCTTTGCATTCGGATCTGATGAACGTGCCATATTCCTTTGATCAAGTAAGACAAGGTCGACCAACGCCTTCATGAAGCCGCCTTCACCGCCGCTCCCAGAGCCGCTAACAACTCCATCCACTTCATCGACGACAACACAGACTGGTCGTCCAGCCTTTCGAACTTTGCGACCGCCTACCTCGACGTTCATGCCCTTGACATTTTCGGTACCCAGCGCATCTCTGATTCGCCCTTTCACAACGTCTCTGCTGCGGTCATCGCTGGCGTTGATTTCTAGAATTTCGTAGCCTGCTTGTTTTGCACAAACATGTGCCAAGGTAGTTTTTCCAAGGCCTGGAGGACCACACAGAAGCAGAACTTTTCTGTGCACCCTTTCCCCGTCGTCCTCATTTTTTCCTTGCTTTTTCGGTCTAGATTTGGCGAGACCAGGAAACACGATGGGCTCCCAGCCCTTCAACCAGCGCAAAACCGACCGGTGTATGCGCTCATCCCCAATGAGTTCAGTGAACTTGCGAGCGCGATACTTTTCAGTCCACATCGCCCCTGCCAGCTTTTTACTTCTTGGGTCATCTAAGGGCGTTTCGATTGATTTCTGTACTGCTCGATCGGCGAGTGCTCTCGCCGCTTCCAATTGTGCGCCCTCTTTCGCGGCCTCGTCCAGGATACTATGGATGTCGATGCCATAGTAACACTTTTGCGCCCGTCCTGGAGCGGTAGTTGAGCGACTGGCGACAAGGCGTTCATAGGACACACGCGTTGTAGTCTGTTTCAATGGAATTGTGTGGGTCTTTCCTGAGCACGTTTTGATCTGGATGGCTTGAGTTCTTCGTCTTGGCGGATCGCAGGACACTGCGATTGAGGTGATCGTTGAACTCGTGATGGCCGTGGTAGTCCGCACTTCAAGTGTAGGCTTCGGGGTGATTTGCGGCAATTCCACCGGCTCCTGCTCAATCAATTGCTCTTGCAATTCAAACTGACTTCTCATTTGGGCATCATGGAAAGCCGCCAGGTCATCCTCATCTTCGTCGTCCTCGTCCAGGAAACCACCCATAATCCTCTGCCGCTTAGGCTCCGTTGACTGCGACTGTTGTTCATTCTTTCTCTTTTGCGTTTCATTGGGAGAAGCACCCGGTGATGAAATGAACGGCATTTTGATGACGGGGGGAGAAGAGGGGAGAATAAATTCTGAATATAATAAAGAGTGGTCTTGTGATTCATGTAAAATCTTTCGCGCCTTCGTTGGGGTGTCTGCTTCCTTGTCAGATTCTCAACCTTTGTCTCTCTTCTATCAATGTAGCCTACCAGGCCCCGCGTCCTCGTCGCTGCGAAATACGTCTGACAGATTCCAAGAGCGATGCTGTATGACAACTTTATTGCGGATTTTCTCTAATCGCTGAAAGTCAAGTGCTTCGAGCTCGTCGAAGAATGACTCTGAGGGCGGGTTTGGTTCTTCGGAGTGGAGGTATAACGCAGGATCGAATGAAGGAGGAACGGATGGGGGAGAGGTCGTCATTAAGATCAATCAGAGGCTCATATGGATTGTTTTGAATGTTTGATGTTGGTCAAATACGAGACTCCAGGTTCATCCTCTACTATCCCTCTTTGATTAGAGACTGGATAAGAGGACGCGATTGCGACGCGCCGAGCGGGTATCTACGCGCTAGTCCAATTACCCACGTTGCTCCCAGTACAGTCCATATTGATTCAGAGGCCTGTGGAGTACAACTCCGTAAAGAGACTCTACTGTGTACAATGCAATCAGCATTGACTGTCCAAGAGTCAAAGAGACTCAAGAAATGGCTTCTAGACTGAACGATACTTTACAAAGTACACAGGATCCTAGGGTACTCAGCGGCCAGGGCTTTTCAAAAAGTTCTCCATGTTGTTACCGTAGTTTCTGCTGTCCCATTGGGTCAAATCACGTGACAGTAGTATAGGCATCTCGCATCTCTTGTCTGGAAGATCCAGTCCATAATAGATACGCTGAGAGACAAGCAAATGCTGTAAAGTCTAGAATTCCGCTACTTATTTCCTAGCATTGACAATGCATGGTATAGAGTTATACAAACACCCGCCTATAGAAGCTCGCAAAAGAGGCATAACATCAAAGTTCAACAAAATCATAAATGGGGCGCAGGCATAGTGATTCTATGTTTACGCCTGGCTCTTCAACTTCTCAGTCAATTCTGGCACCTTCTCAAACAGATCACCAACGAGACCAACGTCAGCAACCTGGAAGATAGGAGCATCGGCATCCTTGTTGATGGCGGCAATGACCTTGCTGTCCTTCATACCAGCAAGATGCTGAATAGCACCCGAGATACCGGCACAAAGGTAGAGTTGAGGGGCGACGTTCTTGCCGGTCTGGCCCACTTGGAGACTGTTGTCGGCAAAGCCACTGTCGACAGCAGCACGAGAGGCACCGATAGCAGCGCCCAGGGCGTCAGCCAGGGGCACCATGACGCGGTCGAACTCTTCCTTTGATTTCAAGCCACGGCCGCCAGACACAACGCGAGAGGCGGTGGCCAAGTCAGGGCGTTCGGATTTGGCAAGTTCCTCAGACACCCACTCAGTCTGGGCGGGAGACTTGGGGTCGACACCCTCGACAATCTCGGCAGAGCCGCCCTCGGTCTCAACGTCCTGGAATGCGGTGCCTCTGACAGTGATCACCTTGATAGGATCGGACGACTGCACGGTGAGGATAGCGTTTCCGGCATAGATAGGGCGAACAAAAGCTGCACAACCAGTCAACATACAATGACTCATCGACGGGGCAACAGTCTTCAATCTCCAGGTAACATACTGTCCTCGCCCTCAATCGCCGTGATGTCGGAAATCTGTTGCACATCGAGCAAAGCTGCAACACGGGGCAGGAGACCCTTTCCAAAGGCCGAATGTCCCGCGATGACGTGCGAAAATTCGCCCCTCTTGATGTTCTCTACGAGAAGAGGAGCGTAGTTCTCTGGCAGACCCTAGAAACACATCACCATCAGCATCGCCTGTCTCGTCATCTCATTTATTTTCAGAGCCTTTTAGATTCACTCTATACCTTCTCGTAAGCGTCGCTGTCCACTGCCACGACCTTGTCCAAGCCCTTAATCTTAGCTGCCTCGGCAGCAGCAGTTCCCTTCACACCACTACCAGCCACGAACGCTGTAACCGATCCACCTAGCTTCTGTGCGGCTGCGATCGCCGAAAGAGAGGAGCTCTGGAGCTTGCCATCGCGCTGCTCAAGGACGGCGAGAGTCGAGAGAAGGCGAGCGAGCGCCGAGGGTGTGGGTTGGTTAAAGGTCCGCGATGGGTGGAATTGTGAGCGGACGGCCCGCAGAGCCGAATTTCTTGCGATTGGGATCATTGCGTATTATCTGGAGAGTAGTGAGGCCTGCTCAGATCTCTTGTTGGATTGGCAACAAGAATATTCGAGTATTTGAAGGCGGGTAGCAGGAATCAAAGGTCTTGACGATAATTCGTACGGGCCAGTGGTTATCATCGGAGCGCCAAGCATCGCCGATCCCGGACTGTCCTCGGTTATGATGACCGAGCTCAATACAATCAAGACGTCTTGTGATATCAAGGCTACGCTACTTATCGTGACGGCTACGGCATATTGTACGTATTACTGAGAGATTTATAGGTATAGAAAAGACATCAAAGACAAGTGTAAATACAGGGACTTTTGTTTCTCAGAGGGGTATTGGAAACACGCCCTGTGTCTAAATCACAGAATTGACACACGTGACATTCAGTACGCCGCGGCAAAAACCCAATTTTTGGACAGAAAAAGGACACCCTTTAAAACACCAGAGAGATAACAATTATAAAATCGACTTTCTCTTCTTCTTTGGCGCTCCAGATGCTGCTTTCCCGGCGGCTGCGGATTTCTTGTTACCGGAATCGGCGCCGTCCTCCAAAGCTTTGGCCTTTTGCTGCTGGAGCTTCTCCTTTCTTGCGGCCATCGACGAAGCATCGTCGTCGTCCTCGGGCTTGGATTTCTTGGTCTTCTTGCTTCCTTCGAGTAGTTTTTCGTCGTCACCGATCTGCTTGCGCTTCTTGTTCTTTGCGCCCTCAATGGCCTTGACATCCTCCTCGGCCTCTTCCACAACGTCAGCCTCATCCACCCATAATTCACTTGCCAGCCAGACTGGCATCGCCATGGTGTTAGCGCCCTTGATATGAATAGCCTTGATATTCCTCCATCCCTTTGTAATAAACTTATCCGTCAAGCCTTTAACAACAGCTTCGACGTTTTCGGCCAGCTGCTCCGGAGTAAACTTAGACGAGCCCACACGGATAGCGGCGGTGGTAGCGGGTGCAAGCTGTACAGCGGCGCAATTCAGGGTTCTCTCGATCTCTTTGGCGACGATCGCAGGAGACGCAAAGGAGCTGTCGTCATCCTTCGACTTCTTCTTGGAATCCTTCTTGACCTTCTTGCCATCCACCTTCTCGATTTCGGCGATACGGATGGGAATGGGTCGCTTGCTGGATTTGTAGAACACTTTGCCAAGAGTATTAACCAGGCGCATGATGATCCGGTCATCGGCGAGGAAGACATCGTGCTCGGACAGCAGCTGCCTGCGAGACTCGAAGCTGTGATATCTAGCCTTAAGTTTCGAGTAGCCGATGACCCGCTCGATACGCGAGGAAAGGTGCTGAGGGAAGGAAGGGTCGGCGACAATGTTCTTAACAGAGCGCTGAGGATCGGCGGTGATAAGGCAAACACTTAACGACGGGTAGGCATTGAGAGAGTGGGGAATGCTGATTTTTCCGGGCTTCAGACGGTTCTTGTCGACAACATGCTTCTTTGTGGTGAGCACAAGCCAAATGGCCTCGTTCTTGAGGGCAGTCTCTTCGTCGGATTCGTCATCATTGTCGCCAATGAGAGTCTTCTTCGTCGCTGTCTTCTCTTGCTCTTCCTGCTTCGACTTGATGTGCCGCAAAAGAGCGGTGGAAGCTCTGGCAACCTAGAAGTTCATCATTAGTTACTGATCTGAATTGCTGTCTGGCATCGCTACTCAGTATATATGGTAACATACCTGGCCTTTCTCCAGCTGGTAGGGAGATCCAGACTCCACCTTCGTGGTAACCGCTGTTGAAGACACCATTTTTGTATGAATTAAGTGACTGCTGTTGCAGAAATCAGATGCCTCAATTTTTGCGATAAAGGAATTCAAAAAAATTCACGGGAAGGCGGTGGGCAAATTTGTCCGGTCTTGGCATGGAGTTATGGTGATTAGTCATTGCTCCCCCTCTACATAGTGTATCTCTTCAGAACATGCAGTAAATTTGCAATCTCGGCCTTCAACCTGATATTTTAAGTGCTGGAAATTTATATCACTTTGACTGACAGGATTGAGGGCAATCATCGCAAGTCACTAGTAATGACGGTGGTTGAGATGTCTGTTGTCTTGTTTCGTAGTTTGGATATATATAATTGTCGCAGCGCGTTGGGATCCGACAATTATCTTCCTATGTACTTTGACGCAGAGTAATACTTATTTGTCTGCCTGTATCATCCTTATGGGCATATAGTATTTGATAAAATCAACGGATCAACGGATCAACGCCAATCAATGTCATGTCCGAAATGCCTAAACAAGTACAGAGTAGTCATCGGGCAGTACCCAGGAAGATCCTCTGAAGAGGCATCTTCGGCTATTAGTAGGCTTTACCCTAAGTATTCTTCCCATGAGATTGCCATCAGCGTCAAATCTTTGGTTCAGCGTAAACACTATCGGTTGTCTGCTTAGCATCAACAGCGACCAAGACCACTATACTGCAAGCCGAGCGACGATGTACTCTGTAGAAATGAGGAGGGAACGATAGGGAAGCTTGATTCGTTGCTGATTTACCCTTCTATCAGGTATTGAATAATCCAGGGGTGAATCAGCAGGACGTGGGCGATTGCCAGTCTAGTGCGACTATTGATGATGATGAAACACAGTCGTGGCACGTTGTCAGGGGAGCACCATGGGATTTCACTACTCCGTATTTGTGGCCTCTAAGTTTGTACAGAGTCTGGATCACTTTGGTTGAAGTATTTAATAATATCTAGCTATTGAATAGTTGCGCATTGCTAGCCATCATGGGGAATGACTCGGAACTATTCAAGTCTGGCAGGCTATCGACTACCTATCGAGCAGCTTGGTAAGGACTATGAATGCTCGGACCTTGACTGACCAATAATTCGAGCATTGTGAGAGGGATAGGTACTCCATGCTCCATAGACTGTAAAACAAGTATCGAAAGAACTACCTAGGTACTAGGCAGTCGGTCGGCACGGATACTCAGCACGAAATTCCGTACTGAATACCTGGATATTGGTAGGACAGTGACGAAGAGTCAAGAATATGAAGGCCAATCTTAATTGATCATAAATTACGCTCTTCTGACTATTTAAATGTAGGTAGGCCCGAATATTCGTTGCACACCGCCAATGTTGAATTAACAATTGGGAACCTGGGCTCTGTCTTTAAGCTGTAAGTACTATCTATCAAACGGTCATCATAAAATGGCCTTTGAGTCAGTCGGATTCCTGGGATGCCTGATGTCTAATTGTCCATCGATTCCATATCATGATGTAGTATGAACTAAGATATCCCCGCCTGGAGAGCTGTACACATCACTGACAGATGTGGGTAACTGGATCGTGATGATATCACTCATCGTAGATTCAAATACCCGTGCCAGCTGGCAGCTGACAATAATCACAACAGCCTTAGACAACGTGCTGATCGCTGAGCCAGACATATAAAGTGATCCACACCATATTGCTGATGCATACAGGACTACTGTGGTACAGAATAGTAGTAAATTAATAAAACATCCTCCAGTTCGATCAGAAGAGATTAGCTTTTAACTAACAGAAACAATCTATCAACCCATGAACATGGTTAGCATTTACCTAATCTAACCTTAGGAATCCACATATTGTCTTTATACATAGGTGCCAGCGCTGCTCGGTAGCTGTCTTTGAGCAATTGCATACAGTCAGCTCCACGAGTCGTTAGAATTAGAAAGACAACGAACAGCATAGGAAGCCACGCATGGAATCAATTGGCTCGACCACAACGCTCGAAGATCGTAATTGTAGGTATTAGGGATGCAGGAAATGGTTTTTGCTTTTGACTTGGTGTCTCCTCTTGCCCATATTAGGTACTAAATACTACATATCACCTATAGCCTAGCGAATACTGTCAAGACCTAGGAGCCTCAGTCAAAAGACTGCAAGACAGCGCTGTGAAAGGGCTTCATACACGTCTAATACTATATGGTCTATTTTCTAAGGATGATAGAAGCAAGGTGTGCTATGTTGATGCTCATGTCAACTTCATGACTGCCCATCCTAAAATCAAGATGGCTACACCAAGTACTCCGTAAAATACTACTCCGCAAGAAGGCCAAAGGTGATTGGATTCTGGAGATGGCTGAGTGCTGACGCTGGGCGATAAAATGACGATGGTCAACGGCTCCAAGTTAGTCTACTAATAGTGTGCAACTACTGGCACCTTAAAGTTAAATCTTTACTTGTTGATGTGATGCTGATGGAGTCCTCAAACCATGGAGAAATGATAGGGGTGTTTACAGGCTCTACCTCACACCGAGTCTACATGGCAACCAATTCCATCACGACTATTATTTAGCATTTACCGGAACATAAACAGTGTTTAAATAAGGCATGTCCTTATGTGGATGTAATTCTGTGATTAACAGTCTAGCATAAGTGCGATGGAGTAGATAGATGCTAAGCCTACGAAGAACTTCGGATCCAATGTAGATCGAAAGTGGACTTCCTCCAGTAGCCCATTATTTTTAGTATTTTTACTACTTGAGCGTAATCTGCAGGTAGATAGATACTCCGTAGTCCGTACACCAATCTGCAATCTCATAATCTCAAAACCCGATCTTTCTTGACTCACTCGTACTGTTGCCGTAGCCTTGATGAGAGACGTCAACATGGTTCTTGGGCCAACTCGTTGCCAACAGGGAGGTGTCAAGACCCTTGGGAGGAAATGTTTCAATTTAATTTATCCTGTACCTGCTTCGCGCTGGCCTGAGATACCTTTCCTCCAGTCGAAAGCAGCGCTTGTGAGGCAAGGTAAGGTACAGATGCAGAGGCACATAATGATCGGACATGAGACATTACCTGTGTCTTCTGGGAAAGTGGGAGCAAACTCTGTGGCAATAAGAGCGCATGCTGTCTGAGCTTTGATTGGTGTGCCTGACTTGGGGCCCGTCAGATTTCCCACCAGTCAGTGCCAAGGGATCCAGTCTTATTGGCCAGACCGAACCATGGTAATTTCGGCAAACGCCAAGCTCACCCCCACCGACATCTTGAGAACAGGAACAGGTAAAGAAAACGAACAACAATTACCATGGAATATGGATCTATCTATGTACCTAGTACCATACAGAGTAGTACGGACTAGGTAGGTACCTATATAAACTACCTAGGTAATAGACAGTATTAAGTTGGTGCCTTGGATATCTCGATGTGGAAAAGCCACGATCATTCCCATCCCCAGCAGCAACTCCTTGCCCAGTATCTAGTAAGTGGAGATGTTCCAGATGGTCGAAATTCTCAGCTCAAGGTAGTATCAAGGACTTTCTCGCAAGTCTCAACCAGCCAAGGCACTCCAAACTTTACAGATAGGCTACCATGTAGTTCATGCTACGCACTATAAACAGTTATAGACACGTCGGCTTCTCCACTGTGGCTGACAACCCAAGAAAATCTCACGTTGTCAATGGATGAATTTCCAAAAGATTTTTTGACTTTGTGTTCCTGACACTGCTTCCACGGCCAGCGTTACCCCTGACGAACAGGAACCACAGGTGGGAAGAGGTACCGTACCATACGAACATCGAGTCCGCTTCCATCCTGTCACCCAGACTCCGTAGTATGTAGTTGTTTATTGTTTATTATCATATTCATAGTAAATTTTATTCCATCTGGGGTTTCCAAGTGTCTTAGGATGCCCTACTCCGTACAGTATACAGTGATGGTTAGAACGGAAGACACGAGGGCGCTAAGAGAGGAACAACTCATCCTATCATGGAACCCCCACCGATTGTCATGACTCTCATGAGGTAGTTTTAATATTACTTTGAATGATGCCTCGTTATTATGATTGCTTCACAATGTAGATACTTATTATTATTTTTACTACGGAGTACTCCCTCCTACTACTAGTCAGTCTAAGACTCTAACTATGTCTTTTGCCTACTGTGTACAGCCATAATCCCATTTAACCTTCAGCTTCTGTCGGAGTGGGGCCCCCTATTCTAATTAGTTGTTTATTTTTTTTATTATTATTTATTGTTATGATAATTTATAATTCTTGTGATTAATTACACAGTATTATTAGACTTACCTCTTTACCTATTTCTTTGTCTTTCCACTTTTTCCACGGGCAGGTAGTGCCACACACCCACACACTTCTTTTACACACGCTTTCTCTCGGTCTCTCAGCCCCCTGGAAGGCACTGCATGTACGCCTCGTCCGTTCCTTACCCCTGGGCCACGCTGACTCTACCAAACTCTCTGGAAATCTACTTACTCCTCCTCATCTCCTTTACCCTCCCCTTCTTCTTCTTTGCGATCTTCCCATCTCTTCAAAGAGTGTCTTCTCCGGTTTTTCCCTCCCCCTGCTGTCATTCCTCGTGAGATTTCCTATCCGACCAGAGGGACTTTGTCTTCTCTCTAGCACGCTCTTTTGGGAACCTCTTCGCTCTTTGATTTCTCGTCTTCACTCGAAGGTCCTGATTTTTTTCTAACCACATTCCTCAACAACAAGACCGTGCTTCGGCAGTTTCCATTCCTGTACTATTCCACAAGCGCGCGCCTGGCCCGCCGTGACATTGATGTAGGTTCAAAAATGCTTTATTCATTCCTATCCCATATTTCCAGACATTGCATCACCATGGTTTATGGCGCAATTATATTTGGCGACAGAAGTGGCCTACCCCTGAGCGGGGATCGGATACCAGATGCGCAATTGACAATCATGGCATTGCTGCGCCAATACTCGCTGTTGCCTCCAGTGTGCCAAATTATCATTTTATGATTCGCAGCACATCATTGGGATGAGAATTGAAATGATCTGTATCATTGATCTCAATTTCAATGGAGCACATGCTGATTCTTATCGGTCACAAGATAGATCCACTGCGCCTACCGACTTTTCGCAGTTAACATAAGAATCGAACACAATGAAGTTCAACACCGTTGCTCTCACTCTAGCCACGGCTGGTACCCTGGTGAACGCCCAGCATCGTCACCACCATCGTCACCACCAGCAGTATAAGCGCGAGGGCCAGGTCGAGCAGGGCCCCACAGTCGTCGAGTACGAGCTTGATGGAACTGTGATTCCCGTTGAGAAGGTGTGCGAAGGTCTCGCCGATGGTAGCCTCAAGTTCGCCAACAATGATCATCCCACCAATGTCTGTGACAACTTGAGCAGCAGCTCCTCTGCTTCTACTTCTGCTCCCGAGGTCACCCCCACCGTCGCCCCAGCTCAGTTCATTGAACTCTCATCGGTTGTTGTCCCGCTCTCCTCGACCACGACCTCGACCTCGACCTCGACCTCGACCTCGACTTCGACGTCGACGTCGACCACGGCCTCGACCACGACGTCGACCACGACCTCGTCCTCTAGCTCGAGCACAGCGGCGACCACAGCGCCTTCTAACACCTCTAGCCCCAAACCTCCCACCGCCACCGGCTTGGATGCTGATTTCCCTGATGGAGAGCTGGACTGTGGTACCTTCCCCTCCGATTACGGCGCCATTCCCCTTGACTACCTTGGTCTTGGTGGATGGTCCGGAATTCAGTACGTCACTTGGGGCGCCGAGCACATCAGTGGCATTGTGACCGCTGTCACTGGTGATTCTTGCACCCCTGGTGCCATGTGCTCCTATGCCTGTCCTCCTGGCTATCAGAAGTCTCAGTGGCCCCTGACTCAGGGTGCTACTGGCCAGTCTGTTGGTGGCATTGAATGCCGCAATGGAAAGCTTCACCTCACCAACCCTAACCTCTCCAAGAAGCTTTGCGTTCCTGGTGTTGGAGGTGTTCATGTCCAGAACAACGTTGGCGAGACTGTTGCTGTTTGCCGTACCGATTATCCTGGTAAGCTCGACTATCTTTGGCCAAATTTATTTGAATCACGACTCATTCCTCTCCAGGTACCGAATCCGAGACCGTTCCCCTTGCCCTTGGCCTCAACGATCTTCAGCCCCTGACCTGCCCCGATGGCGAGAACTACTACAAGTGGCAGGGCAAGACCACCTCCGCCCAGTATTACGTCAACCCCAAGGGTGTGTCTACTCAGAAGGGCTGCCAGTGGGGTGATGGCAGCCAGCCTGTCGGTAACTGGGCTCCCATCAACCTGGGTGTCGGCCAGAACAACGGCAAATGGCTCTCCATCTTCCAGAACAGCCCTACCACCAACGCCAAGCTCGACTTCAACATCAAGATCAAGGGTGACAACCTCAGCGGATCCTGCAAGTACGAGGATGGTGTCTTCCACTCTGAGACCGGTACCAGCAGCTCTGGTTGCACTGTAAGTCCTTTGCATCCTCATTAATTGCCTAGTGCTTGCAACTAACATACCTATGCTACCTAGGTTGAGGTCATGTCTGGTGATGCCACCTTTGTCTTTTACTAGAGCAAGGAGCCCTCGATTCCCTGTGGAAGCGCTTCTGTTCCTGTGCAGATGGTAACGGCCTCGATTGAATCATTCCAAGCCGTTCCTGTCACTCAATCCTGGGTGATGAGACCATGAACCGCTGTCCCCTCGCCCCAAGACCAACTGCCCGGTCCGCTTGTTTTATTCTGTGTATCTTACTATATTACCTTGTGTGGCGTGGACCAGAGATCTTGTCACATTTTGTCATGTCCCCCCGCCCTTTTGTTGGGGGCATTGTGGTTAAATTTTATTTCTCAACTTCGAAGTCAAATGACTGATTTCATTTACCCTCAACTCCCTCAACTCCCTCCATTGCACAGTATTGCCGGCTACGCTTTTTGTCGTCTTCAATGATTTCATAGTTGGCCTTGTACTCCTCCCATCCTTCCTTTGTTTGCAAATATTCGGATTATGGACTAGGTAGAATGTAACTTGACTGGACAGGACTTTACGGTGTGCTGTTGAGATCCTCCGGTAGAGGACGTGTACATATGCATATATCGCTCGCTAATAGCGGGGAGAGCTAAAACCAACATACCCATCGCTTCGTTCAGATACTCGGAATCATGCAGAGCCTCATTTAGTAACATTCGATCGGAAATTGGAAGCCATGACTCTGCTATCTGTAAAGCTGCAAGGTTTACAGGAGACGACGCTCGAAATTCAACAAGAACGAAATTGTCCATTGCAAACTTGCTCCCGAATCCGGTGACGTCTCATTTTTCAAACCACATCATGCCTACATCGAATTCCGTATTGTGCCCTATCCCACCCTTCCCCTACCGCCTCTTTCTGTGTTGCTTGAGCGTCTCCTCCAGTGGCTGGGTATCTTCTAGTGCACATAACCCCATGCTGACTGAGGTGTCTATAATTATCGGATATCAGATGGACTGTTGCGCACATCAAACGTTGCAGTATTACAGTACAACGCAGTGAGCACACACGCATACTAAGAGCCCCTAACAGACAGATATGCACTGTACTTTTGTTCAAGTGGTTGATTTAGCGGGTGCTGGACATGAGGGTATAAGTGGCGAGGGAAGGCTGGGAGATCGTCTTTGATGCACGGAAACATACTCCGTGGGATTTGATCTATCGATGGCTACATTATCGCGTCATAGGAATGTACGGTGCTGGCTTAATGTTTGAAGCATGGTCTTCGGTGCTCTGCAGTCGTCTCAAATTCCTGGTGTTTTCTTTGTATGTTATGTCACGAGGTCATCGATCAGGCTTATCCTGTAGATAGATTCCAGCCATAGAACTTCAATAATCACTTGACTTCATGACTTCGTCGGAACTGAGATAGAATCCCATGTTCTAGATCATCAAGTTCCTACCAGCTCTTCAATGTGACAATCTGCGAGGGTTGATTATTTTTTTCTGTCACCTCCATGGCTCAAGCAAGGTACCAAGAGTGGTGCGTGATACCGCCCAATGGGACGAGGAGAAACTCGGTAAGCTGCACATGGCATTTCCTTTTCGAGGAAGGTGCCATGCAGGCACTGACCAAGGCCGGCTGATGTAATATCACGTGAGCATGCGCGAGTCACGGGGACTCGAGCCTAAGGGACGCGGAGCAACATGACGCTAGACGCGGTGGACGCGATTTTTTGCTGGAAGTATACATAGGGATTCGAGGCAAGGATGGGCTATTGAAGCATGCTTGCTTTTATCTTGCTTTCGCCTAATTTTTTCTTCTTCTTAATCCTAGCTGTGGTCTCGTAAATAGAATCATGTCGTGTTACGCATACTTTTAGATGGCCCCTTCCGTACTGTGAGGCTGCGCGATGTTAGCGGTGGAGCTCGTCGGCGCCTATCGAACGCGTCTTAGACTGTAAGCGTGCATTTCCGCGCTGGGAGGACGAGACGCTCCGTTCCGAACAGGCATTCCTGCACCACACACCAACTTTCACCCTTTTCTTCTATTGCGTCTTGATCTTCCTCGCTGGTCAATTTTGGTGCTTCCCAACCTCCTGGTCGTCATCCCCGGGGGAAGCTTCGGTTCTTTCCTTTCTGTCTAGGACGAGTCTATTTCCTTCTTCACTCTTTCCTCTATAGTCGGTCCTCTCCTAGGATTCGTCTCTCATAGAAATAGGGCCCCTACGCGGCCTCGACGCGAACCCTCGATCAGATATTTTTTCTCTCACTAGAGTTGTTAGAGGTGCCTAAGTGATTTTTCTTGATTGATCTGATCAGAGTTCCATAGCATCATGGAGTCTTCGCCTCCAAGGAGCAGTTCCACTGCTCCTGTGGCAGGTGTGAAGCGTCCCGCGTCCCTGCTGCCTGCTTTCGAGCCATTGAGCTCTTCACCCTCCCTTCCTCGACCACAGAAGCGTGTGGCACGCGATAGTCATGGGATTGTATCGATTTATCCGACCCCCGTCCCGACCTCATCGACCCATATCATGTCCTCCTCTCCACCTCGAATGGCACTGTCCCGGTCCGTCTCGCGGCGTTCTATTGTCCAGTCCAACTCCGAACGGACGCCCCTATCCACCGTCCCGACGCTCATGCTTCCCGAGAGTGGTGAACCCCTGTTGATGGGAAGGTCTAGTGCATCGTGTCATCACCAGCTCCCTGCCAATCGAATGATATCGAGAGTCCATGTCAAGGCCACATACAAGCCAGCCCCTAATCCCTTCGACCGTGATAGAGTGGAGATAATGTGCATGGGCTGGAATGGGGTCAAACTGCTTTGTCAAGGCAAAACATACGACCTGGCTAAAGGGAAGACTTTCACGTCAGACATCAAGGATGCGGATATCATGGTCGATGTCCACGATGCTCGTGTGCTCGTGCAGTGGCCACGAAGTGAGAAGAAGGACTATGCCTCCACAGATTCAGAGCAAACTTGGGAAGAGACCACACCGAAACGCCATAGCCAGTCGCGTCGAAGTCTCCGCGAAAGTCCCCTCGCCGAACGTCAACGTCTGGCTTCTCCCGTGTCCCCGTCGCCTGCAGTGCAATCAATTGTTCCCCCGTCTTCACCTTTGTTCACCCCCACCCGTTCACGAAACGCGGTGGTTGTATTCGAGGATGAAACTTCCCCTGTCCGTCGTAACAATCCCGCGGTTGTCTCGCCCCCCTGCGTTTCCCAGAGCTTTTCTCACGGAGAGGGTGATTTGGAGAGCTCGCAATCCAGTGATCTGAGTGACCTAAGTAAATCCGACGACTTCTCGGACCACGATGAGGAGAATGATCCCATTATCCACTCCTTTGGTCCCTTCGGCGAAAACCTTCTGCCTCGCATGGCTTCTTTTTCCGCCGATGAATCACCACTCAGAGCTCCCCTTTTGGCTCGCAACGTGGGCTCATCTCAACCTCTTCAACCTACCCAATCCCCTCAACAATTGCCACAACCGTCAGAGCAGAATGGCGCAGACCGCAAGCCAAAACTGTCCGCTGACATCTACGAGAGTATTCAGAACCATGCGGTCAATCAGCTGGCCTTCTCTCGTCTGTCCTCCACTCCTTTCTCGACAATCTTAAACAATCTGCCACCAGCTTTGTGGAAGCGGGATGAGCGGTCAAAACAAGGGCCATCTAACGATGAGATCCGCGCCATCATTGATTCCACCAAGTGTATTGGCAAGGTAGCGCGAAATGGGAAAGACGCCGCTGGCAAGCCACTTGAGAGTGAATATTACTATATACCCGACTTTGATGAAGACGATATGCGGCGTGAAGCAGTTGTGAATGACCTGAGGAAACCAGGTCTCCGCAGCTGCCGGAAGCAACACAAGGTAGGTTCTTCAAGGTCCCTCGCATGATTCTTATATTTAAATTAGTCGTCCATCTAACATTTGTCTAGCAATACTTTTGGCGCAAGCCGAAATAAACCGAACTTCAAGACCAGAAAACAAAACAAAAAAAAACAAAAACAAAAATATTGATCTTTCTGTTACCCGATATCCGGACCAACCAATTTGTGATGGTAATCGTTCTTAGTACATATTTTCATTACCTTTTTTCATTCTTCTGTTCAGTTCAAGAACTCGCATAGCGTGGCGTGGGCATACCCTGTTTGATTTTTTCATGTTGAATGAAGGTGTATGATGTATGGTGGTCTGTTTCTTTTTGATCTAGGTATGACGCCTCTTTTGCTTCAGATCTTCAAAAATTCGAGGATCTGTCGTTTTCTTTGGTCCACATGCCTCGTTGTGTTCCTTTCACAGTCGATATCGGGTCATTGATGCAAGCTGATGGGCACCAGTGTGGTCGTTTGGATGGTTCGTTACAGATGGTCGATATCAATTTGCAATTTGTCTCTTTCTGCATGCATCGTCTTCCAGCCAGTATTCTGTGCCTATGGGTATACCAGACAAGGCCCCTCCATCGATTTGTACGGTATGAAGTTCTTTCCGCAGAATAAAAAGTATTGATGATTATGATGTTGCTTCCATCTGATTGCTGCTTTGTATACTATTTCTCATACCCTCGGTCCAATGGCTGATCCAGATTCCGGGGTTAGCTCTTCTCCAACTGGGGCAAGTCACGTGAAGAGGGCGTCCATATGGTGGTTGAGTACCAAGTTCCTGGGGTAGGACAAATAACGTATGATCCTTGCTGTCTTCATGGGAATCATTCGATATCGGCCCAGAGACGAGAACTTGGTCAGTATATATGTGTCAGGAAGAGTTCACCCTATTGCAGCCGGGAGGAAGTCTGATATCACGACTACATCGAGACTGGCCCATGGCTCTGTTTGACCTCGCCAGTCGCCACAGAACATGAAATGGCATGACATGCTGGTGTCACAATGAAACGAGAAGGACTCAATATTTAACCTTCAGAATCTGCCCTGATACCCAGCTCGACTGATCATTATACTTGACTAATCTCAACCTGAATCCACTGGAAACAAACCGTTCCTGAACAGCTCCATCACCTCATCCAAGATCTGAGTACAAGTGAGTTGCAAGCTCATCTGACATCACCCTTATGAACCTTTATGCTCAACCGTGCTCCCTAGCAAGTACACACAACAAGCCTCCCCACATACATCAACATTCAGTCAACCTACACTCAAGCCTACAAACACAATGGCGTTCACCGGCCACCAGGGTCCATTCGCAGAACCCAAGTCCGAGTCCCAGGCTATCCTACTCCCTGCCAGAAAATCCACAAGCCGCAGCAGTGAGCCTCCTCCCAGCCCTCCCAGCACTGACACTCAAGGTCGGTCCCCCGCGAAGCCGTGGAAGCCAACGATCAACCGTCAGCAGAGCTGGAGCGAGCAGGACCGGAAACATGAGCTTCAGGCGAGGCTTCTGGCGACAGAGCGGGGGAAGGAGACGGGCTTCACGGAGATACTGCAGGAGATATGATTTGTAGCATTGTTGTAATTTCTTCTCGTTTTTATGATGTTCGGCTTTGTACATGATAATGGGAACATGATATGATGGGTAAATTGAAGCGCAGTAGTTGCCGAGTCTCTCTGGAAACTGTTTTTCTTAACAGTGAGTGTATGCTTGTTCTTAGGTGTAAGTAACTAGGTTCAGAGACGATAATGCAAGCCATTTCTTGGTTCCTGTCATGGATATGCACAATGGAAGGAAAGAGTAATATCCTCTGCTTCCCCGTTTCCATTCAATTATCAAATGACGGCAATTAATTTCCATATAATATACATACCTATCATCACATGGAGAGCAGAATCATTGAGGGGGACGAAAATTCGTTTCGAGGCAAATCAAGGCTGCATATTTACTGTGATGTGATAACAAGCAGGACACTCCGCGGTGTCCAAGGGTACAATCAGCTCCGCTGCCAGGACCGCCTTCGGATCCCACTTCGCCGCCGCAGTTGGTCGAATAAGAACCATCACCACCATTTTTAAATAAGCACCTTTATCCCTTGACGCACAAAGGCATCTGACCTTTTATACACTGCACACCATTCTCGCCGTATTTCACAAATGTGGCGCCTAAGTCACTTATACGCTTTTCTTTCGGACTCTGAGAAAGGACCCCGCGATAGTTGAATTCGCTACCCGCTATAGTGCTGCGGACAACTGCCCGGCATTAAGAGATGGACCGTCAGAGGAAGCGTATGCCTTTTACCTCTCATATTAATTTGGTTATATTCATGTTTGATCTGGAGTCTAACAACTGCTGGTTGTAGGGGAGCTTCGCGATCTGAATGAGCGGGCCTGGGCTGGAGAGAGTGGTAATTTCGCCTCAATCTCAACAGCGATTTCTCTTTCAGATTCACTTCTAACCCCGCGATTGGTTTATATAGATCTCTTCCCTGTTAGCAAATCGCTCGATTCATCGTTGAAGAAGAACACGGCTTTCATCAAGCGTCTCCGAACCGGCATCAATGCCTCTGTCCAGCAGACCTTCCTGGCCGATATTCGCGCCTTGTCGCTGCACAAGTACCTATCCGAGATCATTTCCGCCTGTTACGAAGGCCTATGCAAGCTAAAAACGCCGGGGGAGATCGCTGCGGGCGTGGAGATCACCAGCGCGCTACATCAGCGCTTCGGACCCGCCGAGTTCACGAGACAGATTGGGTGGCTGTTAGGTCGGGGTCTCAGCACGCCGGACAAGTCGCAACTGAAATCCCTCAGTCAGGAACTGCGCGAGCGTGAAGAGAAGGAAAGGCTTTCCCGACATAGGGTGCTACTCAGAGTGGTTACGGAGCTTTGGCTGGTGGGCGTGCTGAGGACCCTCGATGACATTGAGAGGCCGGAAGACTTGGGTTCCAAAGGCAAGGATGGCGTTGTTGGAATTAGTGGCAAAGCGGTTGATGTTGTTTCCAAGCCCAAGGCGGTACCATCTACGGCCAAGGATGGCGACAAAGAGGCCGAGCCGTTCCCTCTTGAGGTGTTGAAGGATCTACTCGGCCACGACCGCGAGCATGTGAACTTACCACTTGCCGTCCTATTTGCCAAGAGCTTCAGCTGGGATATTCTCGGAGCGAAGACGGTTGACGAGAGCAGGAAGACCGTGGATGCAGATGGAGGCACTACATCTGCTACCCCCACGGGAACAGCAAACGGTGGGGAGGATGAAAATGCGACTACTGCCGAGAATGATCCGCCACTGGTGCCAGAGAAAATGCAGCTCCGTTTCAAGAGCATTATGAGCCGGTACTTGGAGGATGTGAAGGCACATGTTGTTCGTGATCAAAGAGCGTTGGCAGCCCAAAGTCGTCGAAATGCAGAAGCATACGTCAAAAGTGGCGAGATTTTTGAGGATCGTCAAGCGAACTTTGAAAAGCAAAGCAAGTCGTTGGAGAAGCTTGTTGCCAATACGCTGGTGTTGTGCGAGGTTCTCGGGGTGGATATGCCAGCCTTGGCTGAACAAGAATCGGCAGATGCTGCTTCGAGTGGCGGAATTGGTCTTGTCAAGACTGCCGAGTACCTGCGTGGCCAGGGAGAAGGTTCAGGTTTCTGGGAAGATGAGGAAGAACGGCGATTCTATGAGAATCTGGTCGACCTTAAAGGTAAAGTTCCGGCAGTCTTGCTTGAAGATGGCAAGAAGAAAAAGCCCGAGGCCGACGAAACCGCGAAAAAGAAGGCGGAAGGCGAAGCTACTCCGGAGTCAACCACTGAGAAGGCTGAGGTCACAAATCAAACTCCATCAGGGGAAGAAAAAGTCACGGCAGAGACAGATGATCAATCTACCGCTATTGCGAGCAAGACCGTTGGAGCACAGGTGGATGCTCTCCTGGCGAAACTTCCTGATCTCCAGACGAAGGATCAAGTTGATCAGTTGGCTCTCGATTTTTGCTTTCTGAACTCTAAGGCATCTAGAAACAGGCTCATCAAAGCTGTGTCTGATGTCCCCAAAGGCCGGATTGATCTTTTGCCTTTGTATTCTCGACTTGTTGCCACTCTAGGGCAATATCTTCCAGACATCCCTCAAGGCTTGATCACTTATCTGGATGAGGAGTTTCGAAGCCTCCAGCGCCGAAAATCCAAGGAATTTCTCGGCCAGGTCCGCATGACCAACATTCGCTATCTTGCAGAATTAACGAAGTTCGGTACTGTTCCGGAACACATCATTTTCCACTGCTTCAAGGTCTCTCTTGACGACTTTTCTCGCATGAACATCGAGATTATTGGTCACCTGCTGGAAAACTGCGGGCGTTACTTGCTCCGCAACCCAGAGACATCACCGAGAATGACCTCCTTTCTCGAGAGGCTCAACAGAAAGAAGACTATTCAGCACCTGGGTCAGCAAGAACGGATGATCATTGAGAACGCAGTCTACTATGTGGATCCGCCACCGCGCCCTGCCATTCAACAGAAGGAGCGCACGCCTATGGAGTCCTACATTCGAAAAATCATCTATCTGGATATGAACAAGCGCAATTATACCAAGATCTTGAAGTCAATTCGAAAGCTTCACTGGGAAGAACAAGATGTAAGTCAATGCTGCCCTTGTTCATGGTTAAAACTGGAAGGCTGGTATCGTATGTCTTCGTCTTGGTAGACCACTAATCACTTGAGCCTATTAGGTTGTCGACATTCTGGAGCGAGTCTTCAGCAAACCTGTCAAAGTCAAATATGGCAATATCCATCTTCTCGCGATCCTTGTCAGTGCGCTTTATAGGTACCATCAGAACTTCGTGATCAACATTGTAGACAACATTCTCGAGCAGATCACATTGGGCCTGGAGCAGAATGATTTTAAATTCAACCAGAAGCGCGTCGCTGAGGTCAAATATCTCGGGGAGCTATACAACTACAAGATGATTGACTCACCGGTGATCTTTGATACTTTGTATAGAATTGTCACTTTCGGCTATGGTAAGCCGTTTGATTTCTATTCATTAAAGTCTTTCCGCTTACTTGTTCGATAGAAGGTGGTACCCCAATTCCTGGAAAAATCAACGTTCTGGATCTGCCAGACGACTTTTTCCGAGTCCGCCTAGTTTGCACACTCCTCGACACTTGTGGTCACTGTTTCGATCGTGGATCCGCCAAGAAGAAGCTCGATTTCTTCTTGACTTTCTTCCAGGTATTATCGTGATCTTCGCGTTTGAAAGCCATTGAAGGTCTAATTGTTTCCTGCAGTACTATTTCCTCACGAAAGACCCTCTTCCCATGGATCTTGACTTCCTTGTGCAAGACACGTTTTCGATGACTCGTCCTCAATGGAACCTCGCGACTGATTTGCAAGAAGCTACTCAGCTCTTCAGTGAAGCAGTGGCTCAGAACTATAAAACTCAAGATTCGGAAAGGCCTATGGAACCCGACGAGGACGATGCAGAAAGCAGCTCCTCTGATGACGGTCTTGAGGATGATGTGATGCCCGAGATTGACGAAGAGCAAGAGACAAGTGACGAGGCTGAAGTACGTGTTGATCTAATTCCACCACAGTATCGTCTGTACGGTGTTAACTAACACATTGTAGGTTTCCGGCCCTAATGCCGAGCGAGATAGTGATAGTGACTCCGAAGATGAGCAAATCTTTGTCACTCGTCAAGAAGAGGAACGGGATCCCGAGGTTGAGGCTGAATTTGATCGCGAATTCGAGAAAATGATGGCAGAAAGCATGGAGTCTCGGCGCTTCGAGCGGAAAGCCGTGTTTGATATTCCTTTGCCTATGAGACGCGCTGGCCGAGACCCTTCGAACAGTGAAGGCCCTATCGAAACCCCTCAAGAGCGAAATACTACGATGGCTTTTTCTCTGATGACAAAGAAGGGAAACAAGCAACAGGTCTGTGCATTTGGTATTTGGATTGGGATTTTCAAATCATTGACCGTTCACAGACACGTACGATTGATCTACCCTCCGATTCTAGTTTTGCACTGGCCATGAAGAGCCAGCAACAGGCGGATCGGGAGGAGCAGCAACGCATCAAAAACTTAGTCCTCAACTATGAGATGACAACCGAAGCCGAGAATACTGGTGAAGGTGAGCATTTCCCTATCCAGCTCACATGCCCTTTCCTAACAATCACCTAGTGCTTGAGAAACGTACACCTCCCAAGATTGATAAATCAGGCTCCAACCGCACAGCTTTTCGTTCCAGAAAGCTCCAGCTCAGCGACGTCAACTGGTAGTGAATTCCTGGGTCTACAGTTGGTTTCTCAACTGTTTACGTCTCCACGAGTTAGCGGGAAGTTCCCGTCTGTTGATGTTCGAGAGAATATGAGCATCTTAACTTGGAACTTGGCATTCATCTCATTGCCGTCAAATGCTATGTGCCGAGGGATAGTATCAACGATCATGCATCATATGACGGTTGCCATTGCTCATGTTGAGGTCTCTAGTACCTTCATGAGTTGCGCATGCACAATTTGAGAGTACTATGTCTCCGGTGCTTTTGCTTGGCAAGGCTCTCCGGAGCGCAGGATCTGCGGCTTCTGAGGTCCTCAGTGTGACTGTCAGCCTATTATCACCCGATTGATTACCACGAGATCCAGCATCCTCATGGATATCGTGATGTGTCGTGTTGTCCTCGGGGCAGCAAATGCATTGCGGCTTGAGTAACAGTGACGTCGACGTGGCACGAGGTGGCGTCTCCTGTGGCCTTTGCGAGTGGCACCAAGAGTAGAGGATGCGGTGAAATTGAGGGTCCGCCATGAAGGTGTTGAGCCGGACAATCATGCGAGGCTAGTATCGGTCAATCTGTTCCTTCACCTTGTCATATCTTGAACAGTTCACTGCAGTACTTAGTTTAGATTGAATTATGCTAGCGTCTACGGGGTACCATGGTCTCTTGGACCCGTTGACAACAGTTTCCAAACTTATTGATAGACATAGGGTCTAGTTGCTCAAGATCTACACAAATGGCTCTATTTTCTATCGCTTCTCTTGCAGAAAGGGCGAAACATACAAGTACAGTAAGTTACAGGATGGTGGTAGGGACAAGATGGGAATAAATCAGATACAGGAGATTGGAAAGAAAAGAAAAGGAAAACCCCAGAGAAGGTGAAAGAAGGGAATAAATCATTCCACATAAAGGTAGGATAGGAAACAAGCGAGATCAGTGGATAAGCTCCAATTCTGCCAATCTTCAACCACCCTTCTTCGATTCAGAAGATGAAGATGGGGGGGGAGAGGCCGACTCATTTTCCCACTGAAGACTGAAGAGATTAAGGCAGAATGTGTCTTTTCTTCTTCTGTTTTGTTTTTTTATGCGCTTCATGCATTATCTATCGATGTGAGAGGAGGGTGTAGCTGTTCATTTCTCTGTCTGCTGGGCGTCGGCATCGTGCGACGCTTTGGGAACGAGCTCGTCGCTCTAGGCCTACTCGAGCTTCTCTGCGATTTCCGACTTCACCTCCGCGTGGACGTCCTTCGCGCGCGCCTGCTTCTCCTCGGGGAGGGAGGCGGCGTCGACTTCAACAGCGGTCACTTCGACGGCGGGGGAGGCAGGCTGCTCGCCGCCATCTGGCGGGGCGGCGGCGGCAGCGGCCTCGTCATCGTCCTCGAGCTCGGCGCCGTAGACTTCGGGAAATCTCCGGAAGCACTCTTGCATGCCCCTGGTACGGTGGAATGTAGTTAGTAAATGCCACAGGCCCTCAACAACACAACAGGGAGATGAAAACGCACTTGAACTTTTCAATGCAGTCCATGCCCTTCGGCTCCTCGGTGGAGTACACGAAGCAGCTGAAGGCAGCCTTGAACTCCTCGCCGCAAGGGCCGTGGGCCATCCCGCCCAGGCACGGGCAGTCCCAGTTGATCTCGCCGGTCTCGGGGTTGAACGCGGCCTCCTGGTTGGCTTCGTCCTCGAGTTCCTGGGGCGATTTCAGGGCCGCTTCTGAGGCGGAAAGAGGCTCGTGCTGTGTGGGTTGCGCATCGGATTTGGGTGCGGCGCGTGATGCTGCTTCTTTCTCTTCGCGAATTCGGGGCTTGATGGAGTCGAGGGTCGGGAGGGAAGATTCATCGGAAGATTCCGGTTGCTTCTTGGAGAGGAGGGAAACTGCAGTAGTGAGATCTCAACATGTTAGTTCAGGTCTTGTCCGCGAGTATGTAGCAGCTGGGACGGCGCGGGTATTGCTCGAAAGAACTGGCCGTTCTCTCCAGCTGAAGGGGACGGGAGGGAAGAAAAAGCCATAGCCGGACTGGGCTATGTCACGACCGCAGGGGAGAAAAAAAAGTTACGAGGCCTCGCACGTACATGAGGGCTGTTCGGCGAACACATTGCTCGTGTTGTAATAGTAGACGAACCCAGCGGCCAAACCCAGACGGATAACGGAATTCTTCCAACTTCTCGACTTGGTGTCTGGGGGAGCAGTGCTTATCAATCGTCTACCTGCCGGGCCACGGACTGCGACACCCGGCGCGCGGGCGAGAACTCTGGCCGCGGGACGGAACATGATGCGGAGAGGAGGCAGAAGATTGAAGATGGAGCAGAAGATGCAAAAGAGACTATTAGAAGGGCTGTATAGACATGAACCGGTATATGAAAGTGAATTGAGCGGGAAAACAAGGCCGGCCAGACCGGTGGGAGGCGGAGAGGAAGAAGATGTGGAGGAAGTGGTGATGTCCGGGAGGCCTGAGGCAGAAAGATTCTCACTTTGGGAATGCTTGGTCACGTTTTGTGCTAGCCAATCAAATGACGTGTAGATCTACTTCCATCGACTTCTTCCATTCTTCTGCCGATTGCTTACAACCACGAGGATCTGGCTGATTAATGCTGCTTGATAGGACTCGGAGCTTTTCCCCTTGAGCTCAGTAATCACAATTCGCAGCAGACTTGGTCTATGGATCGGGATTCAGCGGCTGTTTCAAGCAGTTTGCAGCGCTCTGGAATGGGAACCCACAGGAGCAACACTCGGATATGATGCAATCCTACACAGCGAGACACAGGCACATGTTGTGCAATCCAATTGTCAAGAATAGACTGTTTATGTTGAAGAATTCTATAGCAGATAGAGATTTTCACGCCTCAGTAGTCATAGACACAGTTTGAAGGTGGTTCTCAGATTCTCTTCCTATGTCCATAAGCTCCTCCATCAAGATAGATACTAGATAAACCACCCCTCCATGGATTTTACGGCAGACTTTCCCCCGAGATCACACCAGCCAAAACATCACACAACAGCACATCCAGGGAAACGAACATATTCGCTTTGAAGTCGAAACTGGATCAAGTCCCGAGTCCCGTGTATGCTTTAGTTACAAGAGACTTGTATACCAATTGACCTCGAGCCCTGGAATACCACTGAGATCAGACTCCGTATCACATCCCCCATCAACTAACCACGACAACAACTCGCATCGAAACACCCAACACCACCAGCGCAGTAAATAGCTTCTTGTCCTAGCAATCCAGATACCCCGTCCTAATGGAGTGGGATCCAACACAATTCTTCCGCGAGTCCGACGACCCCGTTGCCCCCTTCGCACTGCTCGTCCTCAACCAGCCAATCAATGAAAGAGCCTTTACAGTGCTGAACGACCATGGCAAGTCCCTTTCCCTCTCCAACCACGACCTATTTACTGTCTATCTCGTGCGAATTTCTAACGCCGCACTTGCATCTAGCATACTTCACTATCTGCGCCGACGGCGGCGCAAACCGCTTCTTCGACATGATGCAAACTCACAACCGGGAATCAACAGACGTAAGCCCTCCCCCAAATTCCCCACCCGAACCAACCACACAGCACCTACCTAACCCTCCCCCTTTTCCAAACTCCAGCTCCCCAACATCATCGTCGGCGACCTAGATTCCATCCGGCCCAGCGTGCGCGCGCACTACGAGCGCCTGGGCGTGCGCATCCTCAAGGACGCAGACCAGTACTCGACCGACTTCACCAAGTGTCTCAAGTACCTGAGCGCGCACGCGGCGGAGATCATCGCGGGCCGGCGCGCGACGCTGCCACCGCCGCCGCCGAGGCGCGACACGCGGCTCGAGATCCTCGTCATGGGCGGGCTGGGCGGGCGCGTGGACCAGGCGTTATCGCAGATCCATCATCTGTATGTGATGACGCGGGAGGTGGCGGAGTCGGCGGCGGCGGCGGCGGCGGCAGCAGTAGAGGAAGAAGCCACGGTGGGGAATCTGTATCTTATCTCTGAGGAGAGTATTACGTTTGTGCTTCAGTCGGGGAAGCATACTATCCGGACGCCGAGGACGAATCGGCCCGGGATTTCGGGGAGGGGTGGTAGTAGGGAGGAGGAGGGGTTCTACCTTCTCGAGGAGAATGTGGGGATTATTCCGCTGTCTGGGCCGGCGAGGATCACCACACATGGCTTTGAGTGGGATGTGGCAGACTGGTTGACGGAGATTGGCGGCCGGGTGAGTACGAGTAATCATATTCGGGCAGATGTGGTGAGTGTAGAGACGAGGGTCCCGGTTCTGTTCACGCTGGAGCTGGCGGAGAGGTTCAAGAGGGTGCGATGACGGTGCTTTCAGTCGAAAGGGGAGGTTGTGATGTGATGTGATTGGAGGAGTGTGTATATAGATACCCCATGGGCAGAAGGAAGACAACCTCTGTGCCCCTGTCCCCCGCCAGAAAGTACTTTGCTAAGTGCACCATCAGCCTCGCGCTTCCTTGGAAGTATATCAGTTGATTAGGTCTAACACCAAGCCAGCCGAAACGGACAAGATACCAAGTATAGTGACACAAAAAGACATCCAGAGATAGAACAACCAAGGCGCCCTTCCTCTTAACGAAAACAGTCATACAGAAAATAACACACAAAAGACCCAAAAAGACATCGCGCCATACTCGATCCGAGGGATAAAAATTTCAAGATTGTAGTTGTAGTCCAGTCAGACACATAAGGAGCAAACCGACCTCCTTGACCACGAAGATATAAGCAAACTGACGCCTCCCTCCATCTCATTCTCAATCCAGCACTTTTTTTTTTTCCTTTTCTGTATGGTTTTATAAATTTCAGCTGCAACATATAAGCCCGATAAAACTGCGCCATCCACGCAAGAACGCATCATCCAGCAAACCTAGAGCGGGCCCTGCCACCCAGCCTGACTCGCAAACACATATCAATGTATATACAGGGGATATATTTACTTGCGGAGAATGGCTTCATACAGAGTGCCAACAGTACCGATTGCAGCACCAGTAAGTAAGCCTGGCCAGCGGCCGGGGACTGACTGGTTCACCTTGACAATGGAGAAAGTGCTGTACACATTCCAGAAGGTGAAGCGGGTGGCATAGACCAGGTAAGAGATCAAGGCCTTGGCGATGTTGAAGCTCAAGGGATCAAAGCTGGCATGCGCGGCGCGGATCCTGCGCGTGTTGTGCGTGGGACCACCGCTGGACTGCGCGACATGCAGACTGATGTTGAAGAAGTAGGCAACTGTCAAGGGAAGGAGCAAACTCGTAAGCAGCCACAGCGAGAAGGGGGCCCAGAATGCTCCATCCACAAGCATGAACAGATCGGGCACCTTGAGTGGGAATTCCGGTGAGTGAATAGCCTCAATAGCAGGCACATTCGTCAGAAAGCGCAGCGGAACGAGTTCCTTGATGATGCTGAATCCTTCAATGGCCAGCACGATGGTCTCAACAGCCTGCACGTTGCTCAGAATCGAGCGCAAGGCGTTAGAGCGCTCCTGCACGCCCGATTCAGTCCAAGCATCGTGGATGTTCTTGCGCCATACCGCCGTTTGCTGATCAATCGCATCCGTGACTACAGCAGGCGACGGAGGTAGGGGGGGCTGCACGCTGAATGTAGGTTGCAATGGAGTTACCGCGGCGAGAACAGGAGGAGCAGGTTTGTTCGGTGTTGGCTCATCCGAGTGATCCGAGTCATCCCTAGACGCCAGCATCAGTAATCAATCGCAAGACTACACCCAGAGAAACCCAAGGGAGAAACCCAAGGCCTCCGCGCCATAAAACATTGCAGAAAGGGTCCAACTCACGTCGTCGCTTCAACCTCCTGCTTCAATTGTGGCTCAGGGAGCGCGCGACGCGTCGATGCAGGCGTGGCTCGCTTCGGCGCAGGCGTGCCTCTGCCTCTCTTGGGAGCAGGCGTGACATCCACCTCAACGGCTCTCTTGACCGGCGAGGTAAAGCGCGCGGGCGATGTCGCCAGAGCGCGGGCCCAATATTCCTTCAGCGCAGGGATATCCACCAAGATGGAGCGATTATCTTGCAGATACTTGTCGAGATCTTCTGCGAGCGCGTTCTTGTTCGAATACTCCGAGCTCCTGCGGCGGAAGGGTTAGATAAGTACAATAATCAAACTTCGGATCCCCCGCGGGAAGTGTCGCGACCTACTCTTCGAAACCGGCGGCTTCCGCGAGATCCTCGATTTGAGCCCGGCGGAGCTTCTTTAGGAATGACAGGGCGTTAGACATGGTGATGCGCGCGGGAACACGGATGAACCGAGACTGTGGAGACCAGAGACCATGCGATGGGCGCAAAGCAAACACAGAGTAAGGGGATGGGGTTATCCTCGTAGCAGGGGTCGAGTGTATATAGAACGCGTAAGACAAATCAAGTAAATGGACTTGGAAACCGAAATGATCGATGAGAGAAACAAATGCAGATGGGGAGGGGGAAGGTGAAGAGTCAGTAGACGAAAGGTGGGTGAGTCTAGTTGACTTGTTGCATCACTTCTCGTGGGGCTCGGCGGCTTTGTTTACATTTCGCTGCGCAACTCCGCTTGTTGTCGCGGTCGCTTAGCGTGGCCCAGCATTTTCTCCGACTTCATTGGCCGTCGATGGATCTACATGGGATGCTTCTTTGTTCTTTGCTCATTTTCCTGTCAAGATTGTCCTCGCGAGCACGGTTTAGACTCTCTACTTTTCTATTTTCTGCTCTGTGGTTTTGTTAGGGAGTACAGTGGAGTGAAAGAATTCTTTTATAATAATACATATTGCATAATTAACCATAATCTAAGAGTCTATCTATATGTAGTATGAGAAAGTGACCAACAATAACCGTACAAAGAACCTCTATCCAAGAAAAAGGAGATAATAAATATACATATCAACAATGAACTGGCAATCCTGATCAAGTTGCCAGTCAGTCGTGAGGAGAGAGGGGGGGGGGGGAGGAAAGAGGGGGGAGAGGGACACAATAATAGGGAATAGGAAGTAAAAACATCGCTGGAACGCTCCCCTAAAAGATAGCCTGCCAATGCGCACACATATGCTCCATGCATGGGACTGGGTCTACAACTGCGAGATTTCATTCAGCCAATCATTGGTTGTAGATTTAACATCCCATTCAGATAGGTCCCGTCTCCCCTCGATTCTGCCAGTTCTCTAGCTGTTTCAAGAGATACTGGTACATAACCAGCATCGTTCCGCTCTGAATGCTGGTCCAAACACCTCGAGGGCCTACTCCACGGAACCATCCGGCAAGACCTTCTGTCTGATAAATCATCTTTAAGCCGGTGAAGAAAGAAGAGGTGTCCAGGCGAGGAGTTCCAGGCGGCCGCACCGACGTAGACGCGCCTCCTGTTGAGATTGGCCGTGAGTGGGTGCGAAGATTGGAAGTGCTTTGATTGAGAGAGTGTTGTCGGGGATTCTCCTTCGCCGAAGGGTGCTCTGCAGGAGGTTTGGATGAGGATGAACCGGTTTTCACGATATCCGGGTTTTGTTGCGTCTGAATCCGAGTCTTCACCACATCCATAGGACAAGTTAGGACACCTGCCATGCCTCCAGCTGTGGCAGCAGTGAGGACCTCGAGTCCTAGTCCAATATCTTTTGAGCCGACCCACTGTTTTGCTAACCGGCGCTCCTGTTCGTAGAATGCGAATTGAAGAGCGGAGAAAGGAAGATCACGGTAGATGGTGGCTCTGTAGCCATGGAAGAGAGCCGAAAACCCTTCTTTTCGAATGATTGTACGCAACGCGTCGGAAGTCGATCGATAATTGTATCCCGAGTTGGAGTAGGGGTTGTTATAACGTCCTTGGAGTTGCAAGCGAGTCTTCAGCACTTCCGAGGGAACATATACGATCGACGCAGCCAAGTCCGCAAAGAAACCTAGTGAAGAGTTCTAATCAGCACCAACACATATATCAACCGCCAGAAGGTGGAACGTCCACATACCGCCAGACAGATATGCTACGTTAGCATTGATCCCCACATCCAGCATCCATCGCTTGGTGAATTCATATGTTCCAAAGAAAGTGACAGTGCCCGGAAAGGAGCCGAGGAGCGCAGGGGTAACTCCACCATAGAGACCACGCAGAAGGCCCTCTTGACGGTAGATGGTCGCGTAGGATGAAGTCATGGACGTATACTTCGGAGGGAAATGAGGGTCACCCTGTTGCCGGGTCTTGACTGTATCGAGCGAATGCATGAGCATATCGCCGCAAGTGCCGCCGGTGCCGCCGGCCAGCATCGCCTGTATTGACAGAAAACCGAGTCATCAGCATATATAGAGATATAGCGAAAAGACCACGCCACAGTGTTTTCCCCCTCCGTGTGCGACACAGGAGATCCTTCCGCACCATCGGGAGAACCAACGAAGCGACTATATCAACGTACATGTAGATACGGAGGGCGAGGCTCCTCCTCTTCCTCCATCAGGTCATCGTATTGTGCATGGGCATTATTGTCCCTCCTCATCGAAGCACCCGCATCGCGACGGGTATGGTCGCCGCTGGGAGCGGTTTGAAGATATGACGTCGCCGACGCAGGCGAGGGATCAGAAGTCGGTGTCTCTGTCGTCGAAAACAAGCTGAACACGCGCGAGGTCAAGCTCATTGCAAGGACACCGCAACCCACCAGTACGTGGTGCGGGCCAGACCACGGGAGTTGGGATGCGGCGGCGTAAATTTACGGGCAGCACGCCACCTCGAGCGAGGGCGACGGGGGAGAAATCAAAGCTGAAGAAGGAAGCCAGAGGGGAAACGGAGGGAAGGACGCAATATTATACAAATCTGGAGGAGGTCCGGGAGTCGAGAACAGGTGACATCGCACCTGTTTGATATGTCGCTCAAAAGAAGGACTAACTGCGGTTGTTTCTTCCCCGTTGGCTGCGCAAACCACGCAAAATGTTCCCAAAATTTCGGTCGGGCTTCCGCTTTCTCCGCTGCCCGAGCCCGCACGGGAGCCTTAGGCACCATTCTGCGCTCAGCTTGAATGAGCTTATTCTGCGCTGTTCGTCTCTATAATTAGATCGAAGAATAAACTATTCAGAGAGCATGCATCTCGAAAATCGAAATATATAATAAATTTCAATTTCCTGGCCGAGTCTTCAAACGTTGACTGACATGCTGATAAGTACAACAAAATCAAGACCGTGGTAATGGCTAATCGAAACAAAACACAACTTTGCATTATACTTGCACCATGCATGAGAAGGATCAAATGCATCAAGGAAACCATGCGCGTACTGCTCTCCCAAGAGTGCCGTATCCCTGCCAAAGAAAAAAAAACAATGGAAAAAGAAGAAAAGAAAAGAAAAAAGCAGAAATGGAAGACATGCTCCTCCTAATGTTAGCTCTATCCACACTTCCTCACCTCCTCGCAAGGATGCTCACCATCCACTGCTACTCCGTAGAACTCGCTGATTGTGATAAATCTCAAATCAATGGTTATTGAATTCGTTAAATTGTTCGTCAGTTGGGGCCGATCGCCATCTGTAGCGTGATCCAAGGGAGCCATAACGAGGATTATCCGATTGATTTCATGCTACAGATCTGACCCGCCCCTCATCAACCATGCCACCGTTTACTGGGGCTTCTTGGCAGTAGCACCAGTGGTGAAACGGCTGAGATCGGTAGCCTCGTATCCCTGGCGAACAAAGCCCTTGAACTGTTCCCATCCCTGGCGCACCGCGGGAGGAGTGCTCTGGTGGGAGATCGAGGCATCAACTCTAGCGGTGAAATGGCGGACGGCCTGCTGGACGAACGAGCTCTGAGAGTATCTGGCGCGGAAGAAAGCCAGATAGAGGAAGAAGAGAACGATGCTGCCCTTGGAGAAGGTAAGAAGCGAGAGCAACAGGCGGAATAAGAGAGCCATCTCGAGGCCAGCGACAAGATCCATGCTGGTGTCATAGTACTGCTTGACAAATCGTCCGATGGTTTCCGCAAGGGGAGACTGCTTCACCGCGGGTCTAGCGCTGGGAGAGGAGGGCGAAGCGGCGCCAGCAGCACCCTGGGCAGGAGGCTGCAGAGTAGGGATCAAGTGGGCACGAGTGTAGGTGGCGACATGGAAGACCGAGTACACGGTGAAAGGAAGAAGAGCCAGAGGGATCTGGCGCGAGTAGAGCCAGACCAATGCCATTCCTGATGCAAATTGGTCAACCGAATGCTTCGGAAAAGCCAGTGCAACAATATATCACTAGGCCGCCACTCACCAAGGTACTGAACATTCTCATCGCCAGCAAGCTTCAACGCAATGCTGGGAACGCTACCCTGAAGACGACCCCGGGCGATGTGCGCTTTATACACCACGATTCCATAGGTTGCGGCAGCGGCGACGAACGCAAGGCGATATGAGACTTGTGCCGCCGAGGAATAGTAGTTGAAGGTGAGGTAGGATAGCAAATAGCGGAACACGGAGATGAGAAGTGTCACATGTCTAGAATTGCTCAGTAAATCCGTCTGCCAACAGAATTGCCCTCTCTCCCTCTCAGGTATGGATGGCTGTTACGCAAAGGGCCCGAGGACCTACCCAATGAACCAACCGAACCTGTAGTATCACCACCACCTGGTCAGTCTCCACATCCTAAAATCAGACGACAATGGACAATCACATACTGTAATGTCTGAGCGAGAGCCTTCAATCTCTCAACGAGAGGCAAATTCGCCGGAGGAGGAGGAGCCATGGGAGCCGAGTGTGTGGTTGATAGCTGTTATCTTGGAAGGTTCTGGCAGCAGGGGTGAGAAGAATTGTCTCACAAAGGTCAAATGGCACCAGAAGGGGGAATAATAGGGACGAGTATGATATTGAGCAAAAGAAGAAGAGAGTGGTTCGATTGAGCGGTGGCCGGCTTACCGATCGATCGAATTAATTATGAGGGGAGGCTGGGGCGGGGAGGAAGAGTTAACGAACTAACTAGCACGAGGGTTTTGACGAAGCTGAGTTGACTTGGGAAGTTTGGGAGTTTAGAAGTTTGGGTCCTGGGGGGGTGGTGCGGCCTAGCCTATCATCTTCTTATTTGGAAGTGGTTTAGCTGGCGGAAGCTCTCTCTTTCTGTTGTCTAACACTGAGTAGTATTTCGGAGTCCGTACAACTGCCTGGACTTGGTCTATCTTAGTCTTTCTGTTTTTTCTCTCCGCCTCGTCATAAGTCGGAGTGACGTCGGGTGTCTGGCCTAGGGATGATGCAACCTCGTTTGGAACCATCACAATTCAGCCTCCATTCTGTTGTTGTCCAAGTTTCTATCTGCTGTTCTCTGAAATCTCTAGTTTCTGGTGGATGTTTTTTTTATGTCGTAATAATTTTTTTTTTTATGTTGAATATCTCACTTCCACCTCTCTCCTCTGACTTTACGTTGGAATATGCTCTAGGCTTAGCTTACACTCACGCCTCAGGTCCCAAGGAAACAGAAAGGAACATTACTTTTTTTAACAACTTCAAATTAACAACTAGGACACAACAACAGTAATGAAAATGGGACATCAGGAAAAGATGGTCAAGGGTGAGCTGGTTCACTGAAATGAGTAGCAATGGGACAGAAGAGAGAAAAGAAAAGAGAATCAAAAGTCAAGAAAAAAAAAAAAAAGAGTAATCAACCACATTGGGGAATAGTAACAGAAGTACCAGGTATAACGTAGACAAAAAGTACATGACGAAAAGTGGAACATGGGCATAAGACAGTTGATTCTGAACCCGAGCGCGCTGAGAAGGACCGCCATCCCCGTGAGTCCATCATCTCGCAAACAAAAGGGGCCATCGAGCTTGGGCAAGCTGGAGAATGACTTGTAGGCCCCGCGGCTCGCGTGTTCCAGCACGTCTCCTAGCCAAGTCTCTGTCGATACTGCATTGATGTCTGCTAGGGGGAAAAGGAAAAGAAATGATAGAATTCTTTTGCTTTGGTCCACTCAATTAGATGGTAGAGAGTCATTACTGGAAGCAGATACGAGAAAGAAGGGTCTCAAGGAGCGTGGTGAAACAAATAAAAACAAGAGAATGTAGGGAAGTCGAAATGAGCGCTCGGTCAATCAACAGTCGTGGAGAATGAAACGTAGAACCACCAGAAGGTCTCCGACGACATTGCATACCTTTGGCAATCCAAATTAGTGCCCTTTGACAAAAAGCATCAAGGTTTCCGTCATCGGAAAGGAATCTTATTAACGGAGAGAAAAGCCCTTCCTCTTCCCTTTCTCTTCGATCGGCCGTCCACTCTCGAGACGGGACTTCTTTTCTTCCAACTCCTGGCGTTGGCGTTCCAGTTGGTCCTTCATCTCGCGATGTCGGGCATATAATTCGTCCTCGCTCTGTTTCAACTTGCTTTCCTTTTCTGCAACCTTCTGCTGGAACACCATCTTCATCTCTGCCTCCATCTTGGCGAGTTTCTGCTCGTGCAGGGCACGCTCTTCCTCCTGCTTGACAGCCGGGTTGACCTCCTTGAAGACGCTTGGGTCCTGCGCAACACCCATCTGGGTAAGCTTCTCGGAGCGGTAATCCTCATAGAGAGTGTTGTTGGTGTGTTCCTTGAGTTCTTCCATGTGGGTGCGGATCAGCATCTGACGCAGCTTGACAAAGTCGCAGTGTTCCTCGTTGTCGACCTCAATGACACCCCAAGGATAGCTACGGCCGCGTACTTTACGGCCGTCGGCCGTCGCGACCTCGGTATTGGCACCGACAACGGCGAAAGGAACCTTGGACATAATTTCTTGGTTCTCTGCAATAGTCTCCTCATCGTCAAGCTCGTAGCGAGGACCCTCGAAGATCTTGATGGAGTGGTGTTGGATATCTGCGAGAATCTAAATGCAAGACAGAATTTTAGTCACCATCCCCTTGCCATCAAGGATAAGAGATACTTACTCTTTGCTTGAAAAGGGCAATTTCTTCGTCTGTCAGGGTATCGGCCTTAGCAATGACGGGAATCAGGTTGACCTTGGTATGCAGTCTACGCATGACTTCAATGTCCAGAGGCTTGAGCGAGTGGCCCGTAGGCTGGATGAAGTAGACACAGGCGTGAATACGGTTATCAACGATGTTCGTACGGTTAACCTTGTTCTCCGCCTCCAAGTAGGCATCGTATCTCTGCTCGATGTTCTCCACGATAGGACGCCACGAGTCATCATTGTTGACGAAGTCGCCAAAGCCGGGTGTGTCGACCACAGTCAGCCGAAGACGGACGCCATTCTCTTCGATATCTGCACTGATGGATTGAATAGACACTGTCTTGGGGATAATGTCATGGCTTGGGCCGGTACGCTCCTTGGGGGGGTAGAGAGAGGTGTTGAACAAGGTGTTGACGAGAGTCGATTTTCCGAGTCCCGATTCACCTGTCACACAGAATCATGGATCAACAATAACTCTTAGAGTGAATACACCCCGCTGCCGAGGATATCCAGGATGATGATTTCCCGAAGACTTACCGACAACCATCACATTGAAGTTGAATCCTTTGCGAACACTCTTGCGGTGCCATTGGTTGGGCAGGTTGGCAAAACCAACGTAGCCCGTCAGCTTTCGGCGAACAACGTTCTTCATGTCTGTGGCAGCTTGGGCCACAGCCTTGGGATCTTTGGAGCTGACGGTCTGGGCACCGGCCCCACCCATTGGGTTGCTGCGCTCGACGAATGGGGAACCCGGGCTGCTAGCCGCGGGGGATTCCATAGCAGGAGTGGGTGTGCCATTGACAGGAGGTGGAGGTGAAGCTACATCATTCGCAGCAATGTCAGCATCATGAACTGTTTGTGAGCATTCATCTTGAGAGGTGGGGCGCCCTCGCGAAGGAGAGGGGGGTGATTGGCTTTTGGGATCCGGTTTGCCTCGCAGAGGACCCAGGATAGGACTTGGGGATTCTGAAGGTATGTATTCTTCCATTGTTTGTTGCGTGGGAGTCGACATGGCTGTGGTGCAGCACCCAAGACTTCGCAGGATGACCAGCAAGGAGTCGCGGGGAGATAAGGAGTGCATGTAAGAAAGAGATTCGAAGAAAGAAAGGCGTATCAGCCGTTGGCTTACCCATTGTGAAAGTATCGGTCTGGTTCTGGAAGCGAGCGTGGAACGGTAACGAGGTAGAGAGCGTCAAGAAGGAAATTCCCCTGAATTGCAACTTCTGTATTAGCGATGACAATCTACAACCGAACCTAGCAAGAGGAGGGAGACGATCGAGGAAAGATCAAGGGCCATATGACAGGAGCACTGGCAGCTTTCTTCCAAGGCAGACACGGGGGAGCAGGAAGAGCTCTCAGGGACCATCATCATATCATCATACCTTAAAACACAACACCGTTCAGTGGGAGGGTGAGGTTCAGTCAATCACAAGCAAAGCGACTACTGAGACCACAAGGGGGGAGGAATCTCAAGCACGACGCAAAGGCGGTGTGCAACAGATCCAGGGAGATTGCGAACAAAATAAAATACTATGGGAAGAAAAAAAAAATGAGTACAGATAAAAAGAAAAGGGACGTTGAACGAGAGAAGTGAAGTGATATTATGAAGAGCCAGGGGAGATTGGACCTGCGGAGAGCGATGGGGTGGAGGTCGAAGAAAGGTGGTCGTTGGAGCCAGACTAGAAAGAAAGGGGCTCTTCGCTCAATTAAGCTAAATCTTAGTCCAGAGAGTACTTAGATACTTGTCCTGTGAAGCTGCATCGATCTATCTATTTCTCGAGATCATAATATGAACTTCTTTCCCAGTCAAGCACCAGAATCTGATTTCATCTCGTTTCTTACAACCTACGGGGTACGTCGAGGGAAAATCGTGACTGTTTATCTTGGATCCCACCCAGGAGACAAGACATCTTACCGTCCGGACCGTTTCCCTCCAAATGAGATCTAGAACCTTCAATTTCCACAAAGATGTATCCATGGGATGTTTTAGGAAGAGGCATCGCGGAACCAAATCCTTACAAGAAAACGAACTCTGCGAAGCATCAATGATGTCTTCTCTGTTCGAATCTTTGCTTCCGAACCTGATGCCCAAAATGTTTAGGAGACTTTTGAGCTTCGGAAATCTCCAGTAACATGGATACTGTGTGGAGTAGATTACTGTATCGTACATACGACACAACCACACTTCCCTCCCCGATCAAGTAAGGAAGCTGCATTGATATCAACCTAGCACTTTTCGCTCGACATTGACAGTGCAGTCAGTCCTCGTTGTTGGGTTGCAGGTTAGCACCACGTATAGCCCAGTTTGCCAACCTGACTGCTCACAGCAGACAGCTTATTTCACGGTTTATATGCCCTGTCCTACCCTGGTGCGAACCTGCGACTAAGCTCATCAGCCAGTACCTACCTACCCACCTACCTAAGGTATGGTAGGTACCAGGTAATAAAGTAACGCGGTTACCTGTCACTCAGGGGTAAAATTACAATTAGACTTCCCGTTGATTTTCGAAGAAAGAGGTTGGCCTGCAGCCAATCAATGGTTTGGAGAGCGGGCCGGAGCAGCATCAAATGGATCATAAGTTAGAACTTGGTTGCAAATTGCGATCTTATCCAGCGCAGGTTGAGCATGACCATTCGATTCAATTCAACCACGGATTCTGTTTGAAATTGCTATGACCGACTCGCATCCACACAGGTATACTCCCCTAGGTCCTCCAGGCCCGCATCGACATCTATATATAGCAACCATAGGTATTCCAAAAGCAACCCAGACGTTTGTATAGTGACATCTCAGTCAAGTAGGCATGTAGCACAAGTCTTGATATGTGGCAAATGAATGGTTAGGAATTGTAGATTGAGAATGAATTTCCTTGCACATGCTCCACGGAAGGAGAAAATGTCTTGTATTAGGCTTTGATACCTATCCTCGCGCTGAGAGGGAAGCTGAGACGTCAAATATATATACACCGATGTTGCATGGGGGACAGGGACGCAGCTTTGCTTTGAAGCCATAGGTCTCGCTTCCTTAGACCAATCGTGATCTTCTTGCTTCTCACACAGCAGCGGACTCCGTACATCGTGTCGATATCCACACTCCTCTCGGTAATGATGGTGCAGATTGAAACGATCATGCTAATCAAAGATCAAGTGTACCTATGCGGAGAGAGGACCTCCATACAATTTTTAAGATCGCTCTTGCCGAGGGAAATGTACTTCATTATACAAACATAATCATTACAATTCGGTAGTATCCACTAGTCAAATACTGTCTATTTTCCAGTCTTCGATTTTTTCGCCGGCCGCGCCTCCGCCTCCGACATATCCGCATCCTCCTCATCGTCGTTGTCACCACCGTCTGACGCGTCGTTCATCTCCGCATCGCTGCCGCTGCTTTCATGCGCAGAGTCGAACTCCTCTGCAACATCTGACTCGGACTCCGCCTCGAAGTCCTCGTCGACGGACTCTTCATCCTCATCCGCAGATCCACGGTCAGCACGCACGCCCTCCTCCTCACTGGAGATCATGTCGTCATTGTCGAGAGCAGCGGCAATGAGTGCAGAAGTCTGGGGAAATGCATTAGTATGATGGTCTTGCCTTTGAGGATAGAAAGAAGACGGAAACTTACATCGTCCGACATCTCGTTCTTGAATCGGATATTCTTGGCCTTGAAGAATTCCTCAAGAGGTTGTTGTTCCTCACTAGTGCAGATGTCAGCCCGAATTTCATGGATCAGCGATTGAAGGGCCATACCGATTGATGTTGCTGAACTGGTGTTCTCCCATACCAGACTTCAAGCTTACCGTGATATCGAAAGTTCGACTGGCCGATACGGCACCGCCAACACGAGACATGGTGATCACGGCGATATTTTCAATCTGAACGTATGTGGCAGGCTTAGGAACGAAGATCAAACTCTTATCCAAGAAGTACAGAAGACCTTCGTTGGCCTTGATAGAGCATTTGACTCCACTGTGGCCATGATGGCTATTCCAAGAGTCAGTAGGGAGTAACATGGATGTTAAATGGTATGCGTGACCTACCTGACAAAATCCTTCGACGGCATAATGACCTTCTTACCGGACAGGCCGCGGAAGATCTTGGTGACAACTTGGTGAATCGGCTCTTCGTACCGAGGTTCCAACTTATCCTTATAGCGAGATGCCAATAATTCACTGTAAGATATTAGACCCCCATTCCATCACAGGCAGGAAGGTGAAATACTGACTCAGTCATGTTAAGCTCCAAGCTGATTTCTTCATCGAGCTTCAACTGCATAACAAGGAACGGATATCGAGTCTGTCCTTGCCGTAGAGGAGGATCAAGACCCAGGACGATGAGGGTATGCAGCTCATCGTTCTTAGGCAGCAGGAAAAACTTCTTAATCGAGGCATACTGGATCTTGTAATCGTATGTTTTGCCGCGCAGCCGGAAGGACGACTCGTACATATCGATATCGAAACGACCTCTGGAGGCTCTTTAGCACACGGAGGATGTGTGGGTTGGGATGAACATACCTGGGCGTAAGGTGAAGAACATCAAGGAATGTAGCAAAGGTATCACCTGCAACATCACCGATTTCTGCCTTGTCCATGAGAGTCTCGTAGAAGAGATTGGCCGCATTCTGTTCCTCGCCGCCTTCTTCTTCCTCCTCTTCTCCGTTCTCTTCCTCATTCTCCGACTTGATGCCCTTTTCTGTCTTCACTGCTGTTCCTGGGATGTAGAATCGCATCTCTACCAACTCATCTGGGCCCGCTGCAGCCTTTCGTCCCCGGTTCTTTGTACTTCCCGAAGGTTGATTGGCGTCACCATCGGATGTGAGAGCGAACTCGACTGCAACCTCGTTTCTGCCGGCAAGATTTGTGTTCGAGATTTCGGAGTACGGGATTTCGAATGCAGGCCGGTTCTGGACGTTGAAAACAAGCTCGGCCTTTGTGAAATCTGCTTTACCCCAGTTCCAACCTCGAAGCGCATGCTCGCGATTCTCGACGTTGATTCCGTACCAGATCTTGAATGCCTTGCTCAACCGTTCGAAGTCCTAGTTGTGTGGGGAAAAGGAAAAGAATGTTAGAAGGCAGACTCAGAGGTGTTTTATCTGCGGCTTCATCCTTTACTGTGGAAACTTACCTCCTGGTCAAAGCCGTCTAATTGGATAACGCCCGACGAGCGTGACAATATTTTCAGTTCAAAACCCTTCGCGACGCGACTCCATTGAGCAGCACCGATATTGCTGCTATCAAGGGTGAAGGTATCACCTCCGCCAGAAGGTCGCCATCCTAAGCCACTCTCAGCAAGCTTGCATTTTCCGGGCTGCTTCGAAAGATCGAGATAGATGTTATCAAATGCCTCCCTACAGAGCAAGTCAGTGTTAAATTCAAAAAAGAGACATGGAAGAGCAGTAAAAGTCGGGGAGGTAGCTCACATCGTGGAGGAGCTTTTGAGAATTGACCCTGAGATTTATTGTGCAATTTCTGAAAGTAGACCTTGAGCGATAAATCAAATAATCGTAATTATAGGACAAGATAATTCAATGAGTGTATGAGGTGGATTGAACGCAACTAGCAGCTGAGTTTCACCCCCAGTTTTTGATAGATAGCCCTTTTCTTGACTTTCGCGTTGCGCGCGACAATCGGCATCTCACGCGGATCTCATTAAGTTGCCGCCACGTTTTGCAGGGACTAGCGCCGAACTTGCTGCCTCAGGCCATAATATTACCTCGCCACAAATAACACACAATTTGTATCAATTGTAGAGAGCTAGAACCCTTTTCTTCTGGATTCGCAGTTACATGCTCGGTAAGTATAGATAGGTTGTAAACGTATAACAGTCTCAACTAAGGAGAATATCCAATCCTATCCTCTTATTCCCGCAAATGCCGAAGCCCATTGTCGTTTGGTATGCGTCTCAACCCCGATATTTGAGTCTGATTCTTAGTGTAGTAAGACATGCGACATTGAGGTTTTGTTTCCCTCAAATATCCATTTCTGTTGTGAAGAAAAGACTCGCTTGGTGAAACACTCTTGAAGCTGTTTCAATAGTCCATCTCTTTAGATTTTTAGTCGATGATAGTCCACCGCATACGCAGGCTTGGTCTATGAATGACTATATCCCGTCTTGAGAGTAAGCTGATGTATAGAAGACCATTCAGCGACAGCAAAATCCTGATGCTGATTCTGTATGATAGAAACTATTGATCTCACTGCTGCGCATCTATTCAGTGACTTCAGTCATTATCTCTGAAGCAGTCAAATGAGCTGGAGCTTGGTTCCTGACATTGGCAGAATGAGAATGGTTGATCACAATCATCCCAAGTAGCATAGCGTTCACCAGAGCGAATTTGGATCGTTTGGTATCACCATGAACATCCCAGATTTTCTACCCGCATTGAAAAACCTGCATCGTGGATGTTCATCCACATGAGATTGTCATATTGACTGCAAGATAAGTATCTCTGCAAGCATCAGTTTGACATGAACAGTAGGAAGCAGAACACTGATCATAAAGATGCTTGATACGCCATCATTCTCAGGACCATAGTGTGGCCACCACGGAGTAGGTCCATGATTCCGTACTATGAATAGCGCCGAAGTCTCTGTCTTGCAGCAAAAAATAGATCCTTCTTATCCCTACGTAGTAGTTTCAAAGGGAATAGATACTCGAAGGTGAAAATCCTCGCTTTCCGAGGACTTAGTCGTACCGTGCTACCTTGCTTCCTATATGATGAGCACCGGCCCTTTGGAGGTCTTCAAACCGAGAAAATCGAGTCCGTGAAGTCTATCTGCGCCTTCAGAATGGCCGGTAGTTATGAGCCCTCGCCGAATATTGAGCACGACCTAGTCTATTCTTGAGGTTGGATCAGCCTCCTTTATTCCAGGGCTCATGTCGGCAATCTAAATAGCTCGAGGAGTGATAAGTTGGTAACTGATAAGGACGGGTGGATTCGTGGCTGGTGTAATGGCATATTTTACATACCGGGCCAAGTAATCTCCCAGACGGGCCGTTCAGAGGCTTTTGCTCAATCGACCCGCCTTCTGCTGAACTAAACCTCGTCAGGTAAGGTAAGGATCATAATAATACTACCTAGTAGTCAGTCAGACTCAGGGCGGAACCGACCAACAAATGGGAACCTGACTGACCTGGACCACCACCACCACCACCACCACTAAGGCACTAACTCACTAACACCACCAGCAAAGCAGAGGCTCAGTCTTTCAAGTTGAGCAAACGAGCCCCTGCCATGTCACTCCTTTGGCCCATTCAACTTCATCCAGTCATTCGTTAATTTTTTTTATCTTGCTTTTTCATGCATTGTGCTCTTATTCATCTTGGAATGTGAAGTTATTCGTTCATTACCACCTATTATTGTTTTCCCCTTTAGGCCCACTGCCACACGCTCCTTTCCGAGTCCCTCCTTTTGCCAGCCATTTGCCTGTCATCAGTTCAAGCTTGAGCTCGTCCTATAAACAGGCATCGCATTCAATTTGAAACTCACGATTTTGCTATCTACAGCGTCCTTGGACCAGGATATCTACCATTCTATCGGACGCTGATAACTCCCTAGTCTGTCGTCGCGCCCCTGAACAATGAGGGCCGCCTCACTGTCTGGATCTGCGACGGCTGGCTTCTCGTCTGCTTCCCTCGTATCGATTTCCTTGTCAATTCTTCAAGCACTTCCAATTCACGCGCTGTCATTCAACTCCGTAACAGAACCACATCTGGATCTTTCGCCCCTAGGACGAGTCGCTCTCACCGGAGACTTCAATGCAGTGTCGATTTATTCGTACGCAGAACAAGGGAAGACAGCTTCCACCAATCATGACGGCCAATCGATTCTCACACCACTCCCGAATGGCGAACTGACGGCGCTTTCATCTTCCGATGCTCAGATCAGGGCAATGTGCCCCTTCACACGGAAAGATGGAACCTACGAGGGCATCTTTGTTGGGGGCAACTTTACCAAGCTCGGCGGTGTTGATGCAAAGGGCGTTGCCCTGTACAAGCCCGATTCGAACGAAGTGACTGCTCTACCTGGACTGTCTGGATCCGTTTCGACGCTACTGTGCGACCAGGAGACAAACAGCGTCTATGTTGGGGGGTACTTCAAGTACAAGAACACATCAAACGCGATTGCGTGGGTTGGCGGAGAAGGTTGGACGCCTTTGCCTTTTGACGGATTGAACGGGCCTGTCGCATCCCTTCTGAAAAATGACGACGGCCACATCATCTTCGGTGGATCATTTGACGGGACAGGAAATTCCACATCCCCCAAGAAAAAGGAACAAATTATAAATTTAAAGGACTCCACAATCACCTCCGATGCGGTTTCCTCAAGGTCCGGCTTGAGTAGTCCACACAACATCATCTGTCAAACCAGCGGCGAAGAGGGTGATGGGAAGACATGGTTGCTCGCCGACACCTCCCCAGGCTTCTGGAGAGCGGACATGGGCTTCGACTATCAGCCTACGAAACTTCGCCTGTGGAACACCCATCTTGAAGGTAGGGGTACCAAGGCCTTCTTGTTCAGAAGACTCCCGGACAATGGCATCATGAACTTGACCTACACGGACCCCAACTCTGGAGAGGACATCCATTGTGACTCTTACTGCTCGCTTTCTGACAGCAAGGACGAAAAATATCGTGATTTCACCTTTGTGAACGTTGTGGATATGCGCGGTTTCCAGCTAGAGATTCTGGAATGGTACGGGTCTGGTGCTGGCCTAAATGGGATAGAACTCTTTCAAGAAGGTAAGGGAGTTCTCAATGGCATTCATGGAAATTATCTAACTGGAAGATGAAGAAATTTTTGCCTACGCCGTGGATACTTTCAATGAGCCCTCCTGCGCAGGTATCAAATATCCATCCAAGTCAACTCAGACTGGTTCTTGGTCAACCACAAAATCCGGTCAGAGTCTATCTGACTACTTGACGGCTGAGATTACCGACTCCACTGCAGCAAGTACATCCGTCGTCTTTGAACCTGATGTCAAGCAGTCCGGAAATTACACTGTCCTTCTTTACACGCCTGGCTGTATCCAGGATGGAACCTGTGGTTCGCGCGGTGTTGTTAATGTGACAGCCACTGTTTCAAGCAAATCCGATGAACCAACCCAAAATCTCATTCATCAAACGAATCTCTACGAGAAATATGATACCATCTATACTGGCCATGTCGATGCAGGTGACAAGTCATTCCGTCCTAAAGTCACATTGACTCCAGCGACTGGTCAAGGTGCTGTTACAATCGTGGCATCAGCTGTGGAGTTTCTGTTGGTCGATGCTTCGGACGATTCGAGTGGTGAATTGAATGGATTATTTGAGTATGATCCTACTTCGAAGGCTGTCAACACTAATATTACGCAATCTGCTATCAACAGAGCCGGAATGCAACTCGAATCAGGCGCATATGTGAAGGCCCTTGCGAAGCACGACAATATCGTATATGCAGGGGGAAATTTTTCGGACCCCACCGCTCGCAACTTGATGATCCTCGATGATGGACACACCACTGCCGTTCCTGGAGGGGGCCTTAACTCAGAAGTTTCTTTCATGGCGGTGCTGGACGATTCTCTTTACGTTGGAGGAAACTTCACCGAGGCATCTGATGGTACAAACCAGAATCTGAAACACGTTGCGGCTTATTCCTTCAACTCTAAAACCTGGTATGCGCTTGGGGGAGGTGTTAATGGGCCCGTCAGCAGGGTCATCCCTCTTCAACTTAACGCTTCCACGAGTATCAATGAGACTGTGGTTGGAGTCAGCGGTGACTTCGACAAGCTCCTTGCGTTTGGCAATGAGTCGGCTACTGATGTTTCCGGGTTTGCTGTTTGGGTTCCCTCACATAAAAACTGGCTCGAGAATCTCAACATTAGTCAGATCATTTATGGTGGGCAACTATCCGCTTTCACCAAGGATGGGAATACGACCATCCTGGCTGGCAGTCTGGTCTCAGGAGGCATTGCAGCTGCCGGCGCCGTAGCGGTTCTCTATGACGAGGATTTGAATCTGGTGCCATTGCTGACAAAAGCGAACGGATCTGACACCAATACTCAAACTGATACAGGAACATACACCGGGGTTTATGACACAAGCTCTGGCCGCAACCTCACTATTCTTGGAGGGCACTTTACCACTACCGCTACCGATGGTTCTTCCGTCAAAAACCTCGCCATTCTCGACGGCGCCGACAGTTCAGTTCGCGGGATTGGTTCTGCGATCGATACCAATTCAACTTTCCTGGCTCTGACGGTCTCCGACGACATACTCTTTGCCGGCGGAAGTGTCACCGGACATGTAGGAGACTCGATGCTCAACGGGTTCCTAGCGTACGATTTGCGGAATGGGTCCTATGTTGAGAACGTGCCTCCGCCCTTCACAGGAAAAGTTGTGTCTGTCAATGCTATTGTCTCACGTCCCGGAATGAAGGAGATGTATTTCGGCGGAAACTTCGAGACCGCCGGTGCCTTGCCTTGTCCTGCTGTTTGCTTCTACGATACAACCGAGGCAAAGTGGAATAGGCCCGGGCTAAATCTTTACGGAGATGTTCTGGCGCTCAAGTGGATTAGCAACAAGCAATTGATTGCTGTTGGCAACCTTACTGTTTCAGGGGATCCTAGTCTTGTCGCGACCTACAACGCGGAAGATAAGAACTGGAAGACACTTGCCGGGCCATTTACATCCGACGTATCTGGGACTGTCACGGCATTCACGCCTGCCAGCCCTGATGTTTCGAAATTTTGGCTCGCGGGTGAGGCCAAGAACGGCTCGTCTTTCCTCGCGAACTATGATGGGTCTAAATTTCAGTTTGCTGGAAGTATCTTTAGCGCTGGCACGACCATTCGCGGTCTTGAAGTCGTCCCTCTTTCCGAGAAACACCATGATACCTCGCTTTTGAAGAATGACCAGACCCTTTTGATTACAGGCCAACTTGTGATTCCAGATTTTGGGAATGCCTCTGCCGCATTTTTCAACGGCACCACGTTGACGCCATTCATTATGTCTTCGAAGTCGGATGGCCAGTCAGGCAGTATGTCCCAGTTATTCTATGAGAACAATAATCCCTACACTAGTGGAGGTAGGTTTCCTTTGCGCGCATTGATCTTAGTGAAAGATCGTATCATCTAACCTTCTCTACAGGCAATCACCATTCCAACGGAATCGTGGTTCTGGTCGCTTTCTGCTGTGCTCTTGGCTGCGTCTTCCTGATTGTCATTGCTGGGGTTATTTTCAACAAGATCCAGCGGCGGCGACAAGGTTATATGCGTGCCCCACAAGCATATGGAACAGATCGACCGTCAACGATGCGGCGGGTACCTCCCGAGTACCTGTTCAACTCGCTCAAGCAACGCCATCCAGGTGCACCTGTGATTTGAACTCCTAACCCATACCCGCTCAACGATATTTGTCCATATTAAAGAAAAACGACACCAAAATTATGTTCTTTGTTCTGCCTGGTATCTTGAGAACGGCGTTCTTGGAAGCGTTCTGTTGCCTTATACCCTAATTAATGTATCTCTACCTTTTCTACTGATAATGTTGATTTTATTTTCTGCGGGTAGAATCTCATTTTCGCCCACCCTTATTTTGAGTCTCTTCCCATTCCACACAGTCATTCTCTTCTGTCTTCGCTCTGGTGGCCTGCAAAAGTCGTTGATAAGTCTCTTGATTTCCGTCCCTTTCGTGCTACAGTTGCCACACTCGGCGAGCTGTATGCTTGGACCCAGTCATTTTGAGCTGGTGATACTATTTTTTCCGAAGTGGCCATGTACATATGGAGGTACCTACATATGCTGCGTCAAGTCGCGCAGCTTTAAATCCAATGCAAAATCAATTATTGCTCAGTGTTCGCATTCACAATTGACGCTCACTCTTCTTTTTATTCAACTGAGGTTCACAAGGCCCACTTAACGTGTTTGTCAGCCGACATGCTTGATCACTTGATCAGCTTCCTGGCACCACGCAAGCCTACCTAGTCACCATAAGATTGAGGACTCGATAAGCCCATGTCTGAGTTACTGAGAAGTCCAGGATTTGAGTCAGAACCACCCGTCCAGAAATCCTTTGTTTGAATTTACATCTGCTATCCATCCTCTTAGTGCCAGTCTATGACAACGTCGATCGTGAAGTCATCCTGCATTGCTAAAGCCCTTATCTGAGGTGTCATTCGTGGGGGAAGATTTTGTCAACGCCCCGGGCTTGTAGCAATTGCCAATGAGCTTTGAATTCTACAGTTAGCTGTAGGAAATATAGCCGTTCTGGCACATTGGGCGCAAGATCGAACTGTAAGTATATTCCTAGTGAATTTAGCGAACAGAATAGATTGAGATATGATGAGGATGGCTGATGAGAAGAAGTTGCGCAATTTGTGAGATTGGTGGCTATTTTCAATGGTTTGCAGTGTAGACTCCATTCGTGATCCCAGGGGTCAGTTGGTCACATGGAGAGAATAGGCAGAAATGTGAAACTAGTTTGGATAGTAGACTGATACTCCAGTTTCCACGGAGCATCCCTGGGGTTCGCTGTTAGTTTGCACCAACTCGCTAGAACCCCAGAGGAACAGCGGCCCTGTGCGATCCCCGGCCAAAAGTTTGGGCCCCCGCTTTCTCTTCCCTCTCAGCCTCTCTTTCTTTTACGCTGGTTATCACAAGTCAGTTCACATCACCAAAAACACTTTTAACTCTCCCAAAAGCCAAGGGGCGGAGACGTGGTTGTTCTAATGATATATTATTTTTAATACTAATTCTTGTTGCTGCTATATTTGATATTACTTGATACATACCCAATCGCCACCTATTAGACCTCCCTTCCCTCGCTTTCTTGGGCCGTCAGTCTTCCCCGTCCATTCTGTCCGCCCATATTAGCTCGGTTCACTTAACCACCACCATCGTCTCTGGTTGGCCTTTGTTTGCTTCGGATGCTGCAATTCAGTCGGTATCGTTACCATCCGGTATGCGATCCCGCACAGGCTGGTACGTAGGATGAAAATGAAGGAGAGCGCCGCGCTTACTTCCACACCTCCATGGGTGTCGGCTTTGGGCTAGTTCCCGGCATCCATCTCATGATTTGAGGGGTACAACAACATCGTGGAGGCTATATGCATGGTGGGAAAAGAAAAAGATTGAGGCTAACGTCTCTTCACTGATCACAGCTTGACGTGTCGGACTCGAAAACTAAAATGTAATACTTCCACCCTTTTCCCTTCCGTCGCGACACCTTTTCGAGACGTCGGACAATGACTAAAGCGAGCGGCGTTGAACTAGGTGATGAGCAAAAGCCTCAGTGTACGCAGTGTCGCAAAGGGGGCAGGGAATGCCGTCCCAGCGAGGGGATCATCTTTCGTCATCAACAAAATGCTTCGATGAACAAGAGTCTCAGTGACTCGTCGACCGGCCGGAGTAATCTGAAAGGGTTTTACTCCTACAAGAATACGTTTGACGAGGATAGTGTCTGGCTCGATATACCCAAGGACGGTATGGATGGGATCTGGTGTTTTCTTTTTTTTTTTTTCTTTTTTTTTTGGAGATCTCGGACGTTAAAAAGGCTGACGGTTTTCATGCGTGTAGTCGTCTTTGTCGAGAACTCTGATCCGTACGCGGAAGATCTTGAGACTAGTCTCGAGGAGTCGGAGGCTGCTATTCTCGCCGCGGCGAGTTCCCAAGCTCAGCATCAAGGCCTGCAGACGCCGTCGTCTACGGATGGGGATACGCGGGGAATGGAAAATCTATCGACACTCGCAGCGGTGAATCGCTTCTCTCATTCTCCTCTCGCCGCCGACAGGGGGCCTCGCTCTCTGACATCGGATAAACATGCGCACTTCAATGATCTGGTGTCGTCGTTTGTCACTTCTGGGTCGTCGGCCAATGGCCCCCAACCTGCGTTGGCACCTCAGCCATCGCCTCCAATTTCAATATCGTCCTTCTCGAATCCCAACAGCAATCACAATAACAGCAACAATGACATTAAATTTATCTTGAATCCTTCCCAGACGTTGTCACCACCAATCGATCCTAGTATCCATCATGCCCTAGAGCAAGGAGCTTCAATACCATCCAGGTCAATGCTGCCGCGAAGTATTGCCATACAGAAACCCGAGGTGCCAGTGGAAACAGACCACGAGATCATTTTTCTTCTGAGACACTTTTCAGAAGCGCCAGGGTTATGGTACGTTATTCACTCAGCGAGTATGATAAGACAACGTCTGACATGACTGCCTTAGGATGGACCTGTTCGACTTAGGGACATATTTTGCGTCCCACGTTCCAATCAAGGCTCTAACAAACCCGTTGTTGAAGTATGCCGCCTGCGCATACTCAGCAAAGCAGCTGGGTCGCGTTAAAGGTGCGAAAGCTCCTTTTGGCGGCGTCAGCGCAAAGCAAGCGTTCACGGAGACATGGCCGAGTGGAAGAAATGTAGACTGGTCCTGGTACGGTGCCAAGTACTATGAGAAGGCCATTCAGCTCCTGGTCAACGAATTGCAACCCGACGAAGGTCCTCCGCCGTTGAGCACACCGGAAGCGTTTGGCCAGTGGCAGGCTTCTGAGCTGTCTCACAATCATGACAATTCTCGCAAGCGTAGAAGACATAATCGACCTTCTAGTGGAGTTCATTCGGACGAAGTGCTTGCCGCGACGGCCATCTTGTCCATTTATGAGTTTCTTGATGCGACCGGGACAGCGTGGAATAGACACCTGAGCGGTGTCAAGTCCCTCTTAGATGTTGCAGAAGTTGGCATGATGCCACTTGAACAACACCCCTCTCCTGGGGATGGTGCGCCTAAGCCTCCTAAGAAGTTTGGTCTTTCGAGGGCAAGAAGAGCGACGTTTTGGAATTTCGCCAGACAAGACTACCTGGCTGCACGTAAGTGGGATCTTGACAGAGTCTTGGAACAGATTGACTAACATGATGTTGATACAGTCATTAACGAGACGCAAACGAGATTGAACACCGATGACTTGGTACTCTGGACTGAAGCTGGTCTTCAAGTGGACAGCATGGGATTCGTTCGCACCAGCAGTCTGAGCCCAGCTGGATACCCGGAAGACGGCGCCGATCTGAGAGAGGACCTCGTTTGCAATGCTCTTGTTTGGATCCTTTCCAAAATCGTGAACTTTATTAGTGCTGGGGACACATTGCACCTGCCGCATAGTGGTGGCATCAGCGCAGCGCCCCTGGGTCTTTCACAACAAGCCCTTCTTGAGCGATGGTATCGCCTCAAGGCGGAGCTCGATACCTGGTATGATAGGCTTCCAGCCAGCTTCTGGCCTTGCGCACGAATCGATTTATCCAAGGTTCCGCACCCGAAAGCCGCTGAGGATGAAGATGCCTCTTCGCTGTCGGAGATCTGGTTCAGCATCCCCATGTGCTCGTCAGCCATGCAGCACTATCACATGGGTCGCGTTTTACTTCTTATCAACAAGCCGCATGAATCGACCAGTAGGCGGAGCGCAGTCACAAATAGGCTCAACTCATATCGGTCCATCGAGAACGAAATTCGCTTCCATAGCCGCGAGATCGTGGGCATCTCACTTGCTCGTCCGGACGGTTCCGTTCGTATCAACTCTCTGCAGCCCTTGTTCGTGAGCGGCCAATGTCTCACTGAAGACCGGGAACGCCGGGTGGTCTTGCGGTTGTTGCGAGGGATAGAAGTTGATCTTGGCTGGGCCACCGAGTACCGTGTCAAACAACTCCTCAGAGAATGGGGTTGGGACGAGAGTTCCACCTCGATCGGACGTTATTGACCGGTTGTCCGTCTATCGTCCGTTACCCGACCCTTTCATGCTGGCTTCGATCCGTCGATTCAAGGATGATCCGAGGGTTTCGAAATCGTCCAGTGGCCCCAGTTGCCTTTGCGCACCTGCGGTTAGAATCATTGTCATAGGGACATCGATGAATGTCAGCCTTCACCTCTCGATTGCGGTCGACTTTCCAGGTACAAGACTAGGACTCAACAGCCTTTTATCTGACCAGCCTCTCTGATTAAGTATAGGCGTATCCCGCACACAGACCTAACGTAATTGGGAACATTGTGGTTATGATAGTTCCCCGGGCGAGATCCGGCCCGGCCCGCAGGTCTCTCATCCAACAGATACAACATTTGCGACATGACGAAGCAATATTCGGCGGCAGTAGCATGGCTGTCTTCTGTTATCAGAGTCTTTTATATCTGCTTGATGATTATCTGGGGATCCATTGTCAATCTGTATGCATTAGCGTTGGCGCACATGATAGTGATACCATGGTCGAGTTATGAAACTGGTTTATCCTGCTTTGCACTCGAGGACCTTGCGCCGACCTGAAGTATCCACGGCGTAATATAGACAGTAGAATGCCCATCAGTATCAACATTTAGAATTCAAAACCAGGATCGACTGGGATGTGGCCGGGTTTTTGGTCGTTTATCGACTCGGCTGAGTTGCCTGTCTCCACACCATTTATTTGCATTTTTCTTGTTTGCTGAAAGTCTGCCGGTATCAAATCTCTCCTCTCACATGCTGGGGACTCTGGATATCTGCAGTAGACAGCAGATCGGTATGTATTGAGTGCACATATCCAGTCAATCTTCATCACCTGGCTTAGGCCAGTATATAAATAGGTGTCAGGCGAACCCCTCTGCGATGGTCTTCTTTCCCACAAATCCCCAGCAATATACATGCTCCATAGTAGTTATACCTAGTTTACTTCCTATTTTTCTGTTCGCATTCTACAACCTCATCAGCAGGCCCAGCAACACAAATAACATCATACTGACTCTACCGAAGATCAACAGATCCAATCCGTGGAGGCACCGCAGTCCTCATCCCTCCACCCCCCTCAAGGTCTCAACCCTCTATCTACGCACTTAGATTAGGTAGCTCCAATTCCCCTCTGGAAAGCGCAACTGCAACTGCATGTACTTACGAACCAGGTTTAGGGGGACGTCTGCAAGACTGCAAACCTCCGCCCTGAGGGAAGTTGGGACGTGGCATTCTGGGACTGTCGGGATCATCGGGCGACTCTATTCCAGGAGCAGGTTTGCCGATGTGATTTGTCTGGAGGCTCCACTGCGGTGCGGACGCGGTGTGCTTATCAATAGAGGTGGTACCTTGGTAGAGACATTAATTACTATCTAGTAGACTACTGAGTACTGAGTAGAAACATGGAGGATCTAAGTTTGTTAAGCTCTTATCTAGTTTTGTTTTTGTGTTTCGAGGATTTGGATGGGGGGCGGGGGCCTTCTGATGGAGGACTTTGGACTCTGGAGCCTGGCTGTGGACTACCACGGTTGGAGAGGGATGTATACATATGAAAAAAAGCTGTTCAGTTGCTAGTATAGCGTTGAATATCTCACTCAACTCAGAAGGTATCTGTCTAGATATCACTTTCTGACTTGACAATAGTATTGTTATAGTCTGAGGATGGATGGATCTGCCAGCGTCCTGGAGGCATGGAGGGTGTTACTGGAGGAATAGGGTCATCCCACCCTGATAGCTTCAAAGCCAACCCAATACAAACTCATAGCATATCTAGTCCAGATTGAACTTTTTTTGCATGATCTGATCTCCGTTGAACTAACTGCCACAGGCAATTTGCGGACGAATCTGTATCTAAATCCAAGATCAATAAAAAGGTGGTCTGTCCTTTGATTTGCTGTTCTTACCATAGGAACGCTCCCTATATCCAAAGTCATTCTAATCTCCCTGCAAGCGACACTACCAAACAGTCATGGAGTTTAAACAGGAACAGAAAGCTACAGTTTGGTTGAATCTCTGGACGAGCTGTAACCCAGAAGTCTTGTCTATGCAGCTTGCTGGAAAGCATCGGCCTGGCAACGTAGTATCTGCCTGCATGCCTATGGAAAAGTGGTACTTTCAATATATGCTATCGGGGCAGGTACTGTGATGGATAAAATGTCATTGTTCGATTCGCCGCCCTTGGGAGGGCTATTCTTCGCAAAGAGAAAGTCCAGAATGAATGAGCCGCAGAACTTCCATTGCGATTCCTGAGGTGTTTGGCTTCGGAATTTGCTGGGCTGGTCCCTACATTGTGATGTCGTTCCAGAAGGAATGTCATTACTTGAAGCGGGTCTATCGCGAAATGGCAACGCTTTTTCTCGAGTTATCCAAGCATGAGTTATAGATGTAGTCGGTGCACTTGAGGAGATTGAAAGTGGGTTTTCGATTGCTAGGCGACTTCTCACTTTCAACATGGATGAGTTGATGGCATCGGCAAAATTGCCCAAAGAAGTATTCTCGATATGGCACTATATAAACCACCTCTTTATTACTTCAAGTACATACGACCACAGGGTGTGGAGAACAGGGCTTCCCGTCCGCTCAGCCGTACTTAAGCCACACGCCGGCCGGTTAGTAGTTGGGTGGGTGACCACCAGCGAATCCCGGCTGTTGTATGTTTTTAATTCTTTTGAAGTCTCATATCTTTTTGATAGATGGATGTTGGAGGTAGCCCCTCGCTGCTCTTCTCCAGGTTCCTTATCTCTAGACCGTGGAGTGCGCTGAAACCTATCCCAGATGCTATTCCCCTCTCGCACTTTCAAGTCATCTACAGACTACTTCGAGGCGCTCGTGACGCAGCACCTTTCCCATCTTCAGCTCCAGCAACGAGACGAGACGCTGTTCGCTGCGAAGAGGACTGCCGGAGGAAATTCACAGCCCGTTGTTTGTTCCTGAACATCACGAGAAAGATCCGCGATGAGCGTCGGCAAAAGCCGTTTCGGCTATACTCTGATGACCTCCGTTCTTCGCATGTGTTTGTAGACCTCGATTCTTCTCGTGTACTGTGTGTCTCGGGGGGACATTGACTTGGACTTTCACATATGCAGCGCCGGCTGCGTTCACATATGTAGCCCCATGGTGGCTCTTGCTACAGAGTCCTCCGGACTGGGAGGGTGATCTGGAACACCTCGTGGCTCGCTATCTTCCCAGGTTTCATGTCTTTTTTGGAAGCTCTGCGCGACTGCGAAAATTCTGGATATGCTTGGCAACAAGATATAGCTCCATGTTCAATGAGATCTACTGGACATCCATTGACGGCCAGTGTTATGGAGCCTGCGGCTCTCTTGAAGAGCGGATTCAGCTTTTGGATCTAGAACAACAATATAGATGAACGAGCTTGTGAGGCACAAGGCTAGCCAACTGCATGGGGATACGGCGAGTTCTGAAAAGCTACTTGAATTGTGACTGTAGTATCGGGAATATTGGCTCTATCTTGTTTCTGAGGTAGTGCTTCGACTAGGAAGTACCTACCTTAGTATGACTTTTTAAGGTAATTGGATGGGAACCAACAGAATCACAGGGGGGTGGTGGGCTTTGAAGAGTGATCACGAGATTCCAATTCTCTTTCAGAGATGATAGTCCAAGATTTCAGATGAATGCCTTGCTTTGTCTTTTCATCTATGATCATCTTGCGCTGCAGCAAAGGGAACATTACGTCTATAGATGGTTGATATGGCAATGAAGCCGAAAGGTAATATACAAGTGATATCTGCTGGTGTACAGACATCAACGGTTCCGAAGCCGCTTCGACATCCTTCTCGTAGTCGTGGTTTGTGAAGCTTCGATGATGGCCTTCAAACTTTCCTTAGTCTCCTCAATCTTCTCAGATTTCACTCCAACCTCACTTGCGGGCCTTTTCACGGCAGTCGCCGTCGAAGTTGCGACCTCCGCCATTACCGCCACAGAATTTTTGTCGTCATCCTCCTCCTTCACGGCGACTTTTACATCCACCTTTTTAGTCGAGACCGCCAATCTATCCGAGAAGCTCCTCAAATCCGCCGTGAAGAGCACACTATGGGCCCAGCCAGCCTCCTGGCCCCAGAGCTTGCGAAAGTGGTTACCAACGGCGTCGTAGGTAGCTTTCGTTAGCGATTTATGGGCGCCCCTGCCGAACTTGTAATCTCTTTGCGCAATCTGCCAGACTTCACAAGTTGTTAGTATTCTTCAACATAGTGGCTGTTCAGCGTCACTTACCATGCGTATCGACCGGCACCGCCTCACCCCAACCCAGGCCCATCAGGCAGACACAATCAGCGACCTTCGGTCCAACGCCCTGCAGTTCTAACAATTGCTCATGCGCATACCGGTACCCCTGCCTACCCTCAGGCTGCATTTCACCACCAGGCACAGGCTCGATGCCGAACGCAGGGCATTCTGGATTTCGTAACGAGTCTAGCCAGCCCTGTCCCCGTTCCTTTGCCACTATCAGTGCTGTTTGATATATGTATTTGGCCCGGTATCCGAACCCTAGGCTACGGAGACGGCTCTCAACATCGTCGCCGGTCAACGCCTCGGGAGTGGGGAAATCATGGTACGCGCGCTCGCCGACCGTTGCAACGAGCGGTCCATAATTGACACAGAGCTTTTCCACCATCTGCGAGATGCGCGATATATTGTTGTTGCTGCTGCAGATGAATGATACAAGAGCTTCCCAGGCATCTTGGCGAAGTATTCGGATCCCGGTGAATTGAGGCGCTTTTTTCTTGAAGTTGGGATCTTGCGAGGACCATTGAGTGTAGAGATCCGTGAGATTCGAAGATAGGTTCAGGTAATGTTTGAGGATTTTCAGCGACTCATCATCCTGATCAGTTCCTGACGATCTTTCTTGAACGGTGTGTTGGTTCGTGCTCCCGGGAATGCTGCTTGAGTCTACATGCGACGGGGAGGATGTGGAAGGAGATTTCGATAGCAGACTGGGCGAACGGTGTGTTCTGTAGTAGAGATACTCCGGGTCTTGCCTCAAAGATAAAAGTCGGCCGTGGAGTACGCATCGCCATTCATCAGTATCAGGCACACGTTGCCATCTATGGGCGCGAGACAGTCAGGAATATCGCTTGGGCGAGATGAGCAAGATATCATCCTACCGAAACGATTGGCCACAGCGTAAGGTCGTGTTGATACATAGTTCACTGAGACTTATGGAGAACTTGCGCCACTCTGAAAATACTCCAACAGTCATGGTTCGATTAGAAAAAATTAAGATTTGCGTTTAGTACCTCTGTCGAAGAACAACATCCATCTACTCCAACTGACAGGAGATAAAACCATCTCAAAGTTCTGCCGATTCTGCTTAAAATCAGTAGGCGGTGGAGGAGTATTCTAGTACGCGCGCTAACCTCTTCAATTTTAGACGCCGCGGCTCGTCGCTGCTCACGACCTGCGAGTTTTCCCAGCAGGAGCCCAGCGTAAACCTCCTTTCATTTGCAAGAAGCTATTCCATTGCATCTCTTCCATCAGGGCTATCTTGTTGGTATTCTCTTTTACCTGTCTGGAAGACAGAATCACGGATCACTTGGTGTTTCTTTTTGCCACGTTGAAGAAAAAGGAGCAAGAAAGGATAAGATAGCTTGCCCAAAATGAACGGCGACACTTACTCTTCGTCAAGAGGTATACAATTTTCTGGTTCGCTCATTTTTTATAGCCCCAGCTGACAATACAAGCAGGAGAACCTGGACGCTCGAGGGACCACTATGTAAGTTGATATCAATAGCCTGAGCACGTTTCTGGAATCTCCGCTAACTGGTTACCGTGCAGCGCGATGAACGACGCGAACGCGGAGAAAGAGGAGACAGAGGAGAACGAGGCGAAAGGCCAGAGAGAGGAGAACGGAGACGGTCGAGATCACCCCATTACAGCTCTCGAGGCCCCCGGCGCGAATACGAAGCAGACTCCTACTCGTCGAGTCGCGATTATCGCGCCAGAGAACGTGAAGACCGCTACTCGAGCCGGAGAGAAGACCGCGAATGGGATCGGGACCGTGGCGACCGCCGGCGCAGAGACCTCGATGATAGATCGTCTCGACGCGAAAGGGACAGAGACCTCTTCGAAGAGAGGCCCCGGAGAGAACGCGGGGATCGGGAGCCCGCGCGCGAGCCCGCGCGCGAGCGCGATAGGAAAGAGCGCAAGAGGACTGCGACTCCTCCCCGGAAGAGGGAGCCTACACCTGACTTGACCGATGTGCAGTCCGTTCTGACTCGGAAACGTCGTTTGACGCAATGGGATATCAAGCCTCCTGGCTACGAGAATGTCACGGCCGAACAGGCTAAGCTGTCCGGTAGGTTTGCGCCTGTTTTGAATACGAGTATGACATGTTTTGACAAAATCTGTATAGGCATGTTCCCCCTTCCAGGAGCCCCTCGCCAGCAGCCGATGGACCCCAGCCGTCTCCAGGCTTTTATGAACCAGCCTGGTGGTGGATCGGCGGACAACGCTGCTCTCAAGCCTTCCAACTCGCGACAGGCGAAGCGCCTGTTTGTGTACAACTTGCCCCCGGGAGTCTCGAATGAGCATCTCGTCTCATTCTTCAACCTGCAGCTCAATGGTCTCAATGTCATTCATAATGTGGACCCTTGCATTTCCGCTCAAATATCCGAAGATCACACTTTTGCTCTGTTGGAATTTAAGTCTCCCAACGATACTACGGTTGCACTTGCCTTTGACGGCATTACCATGGAGGAACATGAAGCTATGGGAGCTGGTGCTGAGAACGGGGCATCTAAGGGACTTGAAGTGCGACGACCTAAGGACTACGTCGTTCCCAACGGCAGTGCCGATCAAGAATACCAGGAGGGTGTGCTGCTGAACGAGGTCCCCGATTCGCCCAACAAGATCTGCGTGTCCAATATTCCCCAGTACATCCCGGAGGAGCCCGTCACAATGCTGCTGAAGTCGTTCGGAGAACTCAAGTCGTTTGTCCTTGTCAAGGACAGCTCCACGGAAGAATCGAGGGTAAGTTTTTATATACTGCAGGATCTCATTAGACTCGCTAATTTGCCTTAGGGTATTGCATTCTGCGAGTATGCCGATCCGTCTGCGACGCCCATCGCTGTGGAGGGACTCAACGGAATGGAATTGGGTGATCGACATCTCAAGGTTGTGCGCGCCAGTATTGGAATGACGCAGGCCGTTGGCTTGGATATGGGAGTCAATGCGATGTCTATGTTTGCCAAGACCACCTCACAGGATCTAGAGAGCGGTCGCGTGCTGCAATTGCTAAACATGGTGACTCCTGAGGAGTTGATGGACAATGATGATTACGAAGGTTGGTTCTATGTTGTTGGGGGGTTTTGTCGCTCCTTACTAACCACTGCATAGAAATCTGCGATGACGTGCGCGAGGAGTGCTCCAAGTATGGCAAGGTTCTGGACCTGAAGGTGCCGCGTCCCTCTGGTGGCAGCAGACAGTCCCCCGGAGTTGGCAAGATTTTCGTCAAATTCGACACTGTGGAATCGGCGACCAATGCGCTGAAGGCGCTTGCGGGTAGAAAATTCTCTGATCGAACAGTGGTCACGACGTATTTCGCAGAGGTGTGTATACTTCTCTATTTTGTCTGGAGTAGTTTTTCTGACCGTGCTTTGCAGGAAAACTTTGATGTCAGCGCGTGGTAATTGAGACCTGATCTCCGGGCTTTTACGGAACTAATATTGCATTTCCAAATGCATCTTCTTTATTGTCTGAAAAACAACGCTTGACGGGCGTTTTGGCTCCTTCGAAAATGGTCAGGAAGCAACTGACATGAATCCTTCAACCATCGGACCTTACTGCAAGTGTTGCATTTGGGCCATGGAACTAGTTTGACCGTGTATCATAGCGAGAAGTAACCAATTGTGGCAGATGCTTGACTCGTGGACAACGCTTGTAGGATCTTGATATGTGGTACCCCGGGAAGGATTCGCAAGGAACGACCCCAGACCTCACTAACGCTGAATCTGCATGGAGTAGGGAGACCAACAAAGTCCAGGGTAGCATCCGTTCTGCGTATGGGGTAGTAGTAACAGTAGTGAGTAGACTCAGAGAATCAGAATCCAGACCAGACCCGATCCACAATCACATGGGAGAAGCGAGAATCCCAACGATCCCGAACCCGATCTCCCAGTCCCAGTCCTCGTCCTAGTCGCCGTCGCCGTCGCAGTTCCCCGGCTCCCAAGTTCACCTCCCCGCTTACTACCGAGGCTGGTTTGTGCACTGTACAGTAAATTAACAACCCACGCCACTACGATCTCGTTAGTGCCCAAGCCTCAGTAGTCACCATTCCCAGAGACTAGGGACTAGGACAGGGTCAGTGCAGGAGCCTTTGGGCTTTGGAAGCTGGCTTTTTATCCCAGCATGAATCAGAACGAACCATGATAGCCTAAATTGTCAAGTACCGAGTACCGAGTACCGACTATCTAGTAACGACTCACTGACCACTGCGCCGCGGCGCTGATCGTTGATCTGATCGCTATTCTCCAAGTCCACTGGTTATCTGGTGTTTAGTGTCTAGCAGATGGCAGCGCCACTATCTCCAATGGGTGGGTGATCAGTGATCATTCCCCTGACCGGTCACGACGCACGAAAATAATAGTCAATAGATGGTAGATTGGTAGATAGTCTTTGTATAGGTATGGCCTCCTGATCCATCGGACCAGAGACCACGGACAGCGGAGTAGATCCCTCGGACTGGTACTATCAACAGGAGTTCGATTTCCGCAGATCCAGATCTTTGCGTTTACCCCATGGGGAAGGGGGGGGGGGGGGAGGGTTCATCAATTGCATCCATATCTCATACAAATCTACTAGTAAGCATTCACTAAGAATCACTACTGTGTACGGTCTACGTCGTCCTCAGTCCTCACCAACTGGTATAATTCCGGACGGCCAGAGCACAGCGCTCATCCCAAGTCCACCACTCAGGACGCGAGATAACTACTCCGGAAGGACGAGCGTACATACTAAATATGCAAGAATCCCTGTCGCCCATGCAGGAACCTCGCAGTTAACAAACAACTGGACATCGCTGAGTAGATAGATAGACTAGATAGAACCAGATATTTGATTAGATTTGATCAAATAGTATTTCGATGATATAGATATAGATATATCTATCTATCTGTACGGAGTACTTCGTCCTCTATCTGATGGATAGACGGATAGAATAATACGGGGGGGGGATTTAGTAATTTCTCTCCTGAAGAAAACCTGAAACAAGAACGGAACCTTCCACTTAAGTACTAGCTCCAAACACCAGTAGATACTACCTATCTTACTCTGTAACCCTCGGCCTCAACTCCATACGGCGTATACGCACACCCATGGTCCATGGACGTAGCTCGGCCCGTTCCAATCCTCGCCCACACCCCCTCCTCGACTTTTACTTCCCAGGTTTCCTTCCATCTACTCTGGTAGATACCGGCAGAATCCAAACCCCAAAAAACCAATCTACAACAATTCCAAGGGCAATAATGACCAATGGCTCGGTAGTACCAAGTCTGGTAGGTCCCAACATCTTCGTCTTGAATGCCGCGGGAATCTGTGCTCGACTGCAGGTGGTGCCGTCTCAATGTCAGACTCAGACTCAGACTCAGACTCAGACTCAAATCGACCGGATGACGGATAAGTGATACAGGAGGCGCTCGTGGGGGGGAGGGAATATCCATTTTCATTTACCCTGCTCTATCCAGCTAGCCCCTCCCCCCCCCCCAAAGTCCCAAACCAAGTACTAAGTAGGCTTTCTACTCCGTAGTATCTACCGGTAGAACCACCACAAGACGCCGTGGAGACGTGGTGCTGGGCACTACTCCATAGTCCATAGTCCGTACAGTGGCAGTGGTCCCTCAAGCCAGAGGAAAGGTCAACCAAGTGACCAACACAAGAAACCGAAAATTAAAACGGAGGCTACGGAGCATCAGCCAGCATCCCCAGTCTCAACAATCCTTGGTTTACTAGACCAGGATTAACTCGTTTTCTAGAAATCTAGAAAAGATTACTCGGTCTCGGTTTTCGGTAGGTTTTTTTTTTTTTTTTTCTTTTTTTTTTTTTGTGGTTCGTCATGGGCCATGAGGTGAGAAGCTGGATCTTGTGAGAGTGCGGGGACTGGAGGGGGGAACGAACAAACGAACGGAGGATGGACACGAGGTTTCTACTTTCTAGTTTCTGCTACTACCATACAGTCTATACTAGACTATCTAGTAGTTGGTTAGGCTGTTAGCTGGAGGTTTGAGTTTTGGGGGGAGTTCGATCCTTGGTTGACTAGCTAGCTAGCTGTGAGTGTTGGAGGAGCTGGTTCATTAAGTTGAGCGTCGAATACCGATGTTGAGGATTATGGGGATTGTACTGTTCTCCAACGATCTGTGGAGGTGCATCCTTCTTTTATTTTCTTTGTCTGCTTGTACAGAGTAATACCTCCGAGGCTGTAAGCTTAGTAGAAAAACACATGACATTGCTAGGGTATACATCGTGCATCGTTCCAGTACAATAAAAAAGAAAAGAAAAAGAGACCAATATACAAAAGAAGATGTTCTTTTTTGACGACTCCTCAAGAGTACGATACTATAGCATTAGGAATAGAAAAGAAAAATCATAGACAAGAAGAGTAAAACAAGATCACCACATAAAAGTCAGCCGTCATATTCCCGATAGACGGTCGGGGCAAAAGATGATTTGGGGTCCCAGTCGCGGCCCTGCGAGGCGCTGGGCGGCCGAGGCGTGGAAAAGCTCATCGACGGCCGCACGTACTTTGCATCGCGGCCAAAGTGGCCACCGGAGTCTGGGCTCTGGGCGCCGGCCATGCGCGCGGGACTGGGCGAGCGCAGCATGGGCTCGGGCGACTTGAGCGAGGGGATTTTGGTGCTGTTGAGCATCTCATAAGAGCGCGAGTCGCCGAGGCGGGCGCGGGCGTCAGCGGAGACGAACTCGTGGCGCGCGCCGTCGCCGCCGAAGAAATTGCGGAAGAATTCGACCCAGCCGAGGAAGAGCGAGGGGCGGGCGAAGAGGATGAAGTTCCAGAAGCCGACGAGCGAGAGCAGGATGATCACGGCGAGCACCTTACCCTCGCTGGGCCGCACCAGCGCCGCCTCCGCTTCGCATTTGGACCGGTCGCCCATCTCCGCGACCAGGCACATGAGCCAGGGGACGGCGCGGTGCACGTTCTTGGCATTCGGTTCCAGCTGGCGATCCAGGTCGATGAAGACCACGGAGAAGAAGATGACGTTGGCGACGATGATCAGCACCAGGGCCACGCCGCGCCACTGCAGCTTCAGCACCCGTCGGATGCGGCGATAGGCCTGGCGGGCGGTCAGGGTGCGGACGCTGGCCGAGTACGACGGCAATCCGGAGCTGTTCGTCGTCGATTCGGTGTCGAAGAGCGACTTGATGTACACGTGGATACAGTAGGCCATCGTCGCCAGTTGGAGGAGCAAAGAGGCGACGGCAAATGCGGTGATGGGGATCCAATAGTCCTGTAAACCCTTTTCGATGTTGATATGGCACATGCTCCCGAATCGAAACGACACCCCGGTCAGCAGCAGCATCACAGTGATGCCGATGATGGGAATCCCCCAGCCGCAGATCAAAGCCCCCCACATGAATTTCGGACCGAGGATCACTTCCCAGCAGACCTGAAGATGAAAGGCGACGGTGCGGAGAAGACCTAAAGCAGCGAACCCCATCAGTTTTCAGTTCCCAAGATGATGAAGCGGGCACCGTTCTCGACGTACTCCATACTACTACCATGTAGCCCCCGAATAGAAGCATTGAACCGGTAAAAGCACACGATAGACTCGAATACATATCATTGGGCGTGATCTGGTTATAGCATTGTTCTGGTTTCGCCCCGAGTGGGATGATAAACGCGATCTGGTCGAGAGATTCGATTTAGTGTCGGCCTTCGTCCAGACTCGACGGCCACAGTCCTCATATGCCCACTCACCTCCATGAACGTAATGCCTAGCGTAAAGCAAATACTGAGATAATGGCGGTGCGTCCATTTGGCCGGAAGGACGGCGTACGAGACAAGCAGGAAGATGCAGAGCGGTAGAATGGCAACACTGATCCAACTGGCAGCGCTCGCTTTGTCGACCAGGGCTAGAAAGATGAGCAGAGCAGCACGTTAGAAACACTTGCAACGCGACCTTTCGAGCCCACACGGCACGTAGGAAGTCAAGGGGAGGGGGGAACGTACCGTCACCATATGTCCATGACGCTATCGGACACGGCAAGCAGCAAGAGATATTGGTCCCCCTTGCCCCCAAGGGAATATCCTGACAATAGCGGCCCCCGATGACTAGCCAGCACCAACAGCAACAATCAGCTTCATGTCGACCAAACCAAACCAATTGTTCAGGGACGCGTACATCCACCGGTGCCTGGAAACAGATCTTCTTGGAGAAACGGGATCGGACATCGCCCGTTCATCGCATGCGGCGCGAGGGTTGTCATACTGGCAGTCTGAGTGGTGTATCTGGGGAGTCTGCGAGAGGCGACGGACGTTGCGCGAAGACCATATCCCGTTCGAGTCGAGTCAATTGAGGTCAAGGCGAGAGACAGTAAAGTTACCACAGTTGTTTCCGGGAGGCTCCAGGGCATGCACACCCCACGCGAGAGGCTCGCCAGCCGAGCGACAACTACAGTGAATGGGAGCGAATGCTGCGAAGGGTATAGTACTGATCTGATATACAAAGGAAAAGGAAAAAAAAAAAGTGGAGGAGGGGAATTAAAAGACGACGAGAGAATTAGTTTTGGATAGGGAGGAGGGGTGGGGGGGGGGAGGCAAAGGATTGGAAAAATATAGTCTACATGGATTTGAATGTATCTATGCTTTGCGAACCCAGTCTACCCAGTAGATAGATAGTACTTATTTAGCACAGACGGTGGCCAGCCAGGATCTTCAAATGGTTGGGGAGAGAGACAGAGAGAGAGAGAGAACCAAGTAAGTAACTAACTACTACTGTACCGATGTGCCAGACAGAGTTACAGGCATCACCATATAATAATTTATTATAATTGTAATAAAAAGAAATAAATAAAATAAAAAGAATTATACTCCGGAGTATACCCCATAGAGTTAATTATAATTGCAGAAAATAATAATCATCACTATTATTATTATTATTATTATTATAAAAATAATAATAATAAAATACTAACCATACAGTCATACTAATCCCAATCATCACGGAATAATTGGCAGTGCCTGGCAGACTAGAGCAGTCGACCAGAGGCCCGTTCACCCACAGGCACGAGTGTGTGCAGTTGTGCACCGTTCCTCCAACCCATCATCGAAAGGATAATGCTGATAATTGGGCTCTGGAAACAGCCGGTCCCTCGGTCCTCTGTCTAGTCTGTTTTCCCTTGTCATTTACCTTGAGCTTGGCACCAGGGGCGTGGTCTGTGGTGTGGTGGACTGGTGGGAAGGGGGGGGGAAAGGTGAAGCGAATGAGGGATTCGAAGCGAGAACACCAATAATGAAGGCCCAGAGATGGTCAGAGGGTTTCAGTCGACTGGGGACCGAAACAGGAGGCCATCCCAATCAATGGAATATGAATAGTTAGTACAGAGTAGATGATCTAGTATGTATCTAGAAGGCGCGGTCTCTAAGGTTGTCAACTTGTCAGAGACTCAGTCAGTCTCTTCTTTTCCCCTTTCCTTCTACAATAACTCGGACGGGAAAGGATCAGTCCATATCAAGTATCAAGATTTAAGAACTTAGGACTTCCTAGGAAGTAGCACTAGGTAGGTCGATGCTGGGCGGGGCATCAAACGGCCAGAGACTCCACTGTGAGAGGACTGAGACTGAGTAGCTGAGCTCAACGCATATCAAAACCAAGGATCTTGGAAGAAAGAGTTGCCCTGGTCGGAGTACGAAGTACGGAGTAATGGCGGGACTATCAGTATCATTAGTTAGTATCATTTAGTTAGTGTCTGTTCCTCCCAGACTCCCAGGCTCAGCATTTAAGTTAGAGAAGTGCAAGCGTAATGGTCACTAGGCGAACGAACTCGGCTAAGTAGTCTGATACTCGGTAAGCACTCCGTCGAACACTCTGCGAAACCAAACACGATATCAGCTGAGCTGAACTCTATCGTGTAAATAGTCTCCGACTCAACCTAGATAGCTTCCGACCATCGCCTGTAGTCCTGTAGGTTATTCAGGTAGTGAGAACTCAATGCCTTCTGGAATGGTTGCCTGACACTATCAACCAGTCTGAACCATTCCAAGACCGAAGATTGAAGAGTCATCGCGACAATTTCATTGTTCTCTTTATCTAGACTATTGACTCAGCTATGGAAGATGAGCCTACGTAGCTGCTCATCGCTTAAGAGTGTTCTGTGCTAACTACTTGTTACTTGTTACTAACATTTATCTACTACTCCAGTACTCCTGATATTCTACTTGATGTACCTTCTGTAGAGTACGGAATACCAGCTAGCAAATTGCCGCATCATTTATGAACACCCATGACGATCGAATATTCCAAATGGTGGACATACCACGAATCGTGGACTCATGGTAAGCTCCGTAGAGGCGTAGACACAATCGATGTCTAATCTCCTCATCCAACAAAGTACATTTCGCCATACCACCCAGGCTCCCAGCAGAGTCTCACATTCAAATCCAACGGTTACACTTGGACCTACTCTGCCCTGGTACCTTACAGCCTACAGGAACTACTACGAGACTAGTTACTGCTGATGGACGCGTCGTCGTAGTATCCATGATCATATAAATATAATAGACCTGCATAAGCCCCCGGTCTGAGGTCTTTTTTCCCATTGACCAGGGTGGCCGAATAGGGCCCCGTGAACATGGATTCCCGATGGGGCTTCCCTTGCCACTATCCCCAACACAGTAGTCTTACCTGACGCTAACTCTTCACTAGCGGACTAGACCTGCTGGTTTTTTTTTATTTATTTATTTTTTTTTTTACTTCCATTTCTTCCTGGTGTAAAGAGAGGGGAAAAGAATGGAAGATCCCTGACCGTGGGCACTTGTCCCTTTGCTCGCTTCAACTTTTCAAGCCTTCGACCTTCCATTGTCACTTTTGAGAACCTTCTCTCAACAAAAATAGTGCTTTTACCCCCTCCTGGTGGGGTCTAAGCTCCCTTATGAATCAGATTGTGATCTAGGCTATGTATGGATGGATGGACCGACGTCGTACAAACAAGTCGACTTGTCTCGATGCTGAGATTGGATGAAGAGCTGCTTGGGATCAATGGCATCATCTACTACTGTTCCATTTGATCCTTCGTTCTGCAAACCCTCCCCAACACGAGCTGGATAGTGGATTGACCGTTTGAACTACTTTCAAAGTTCAATTATGAGGCTTGAAGTGGAACACTGGAACATTCGTCACAAAGTCTATGTTATTGAAGGATTCAACGTCCCCGCGATTATTCATTCCCTTGAGGCGTTGTGTTCTGAGTTCTTACAGTTACGGCTATCCAGGTAGCCACTCACCACTTTCGCTGGTCAACTTCGCGAATCGCGACAGTGGCACTCACTCTTCATCCAAACCCAGGATCTAGATCTTATCCTAAGGTCGCGATAACTATCGCATTCCTTTATCAGAGAAATAATGCCCACTTCCCACTTCCCACTGCGATAATGCAATAATAGAAATAATCATAATCATAATAATAATAGTAATCTATCGACGTTAGGCAGTCAGGCTTCTAGCCGCCTTTTTTTTTTTTTCTTTCTCATATTACTACAGTACATACTGTGTACGGACGGACTACCGAGCTCCACTATTCTAAGCCTCAAGATGAGTCCAACGTCTCATCGAGTTCCTCTCACACCATTGCTATCTCTCTCTCGCTACATACCCACTCTCCGATCCTTCTAGGTCGGCGAGTCTACCAGAACCAGACGAACCCAGACCCTCTTTCCGGAGCCTTTGCGAAATCGAGCTGATCGGTTCCACATCGATAAATAATTGGTTAGCAAAAAGAATCCTCTTCGCCCTACGGAGTACGGAGTAGTTAACCCAAGACTTCCAATTTCCAAAATCTCAAAGAGACAATTTACTAACCGACTTGGCGGCATACTCCGAACAAGGATCGACATGCTCCTCGGATAGTTTGCGTGCAGTGTTAGTCATTGGATTGGAACCCGTCGTTTGGCTCTTCTCCGAAGTATCCTGGTCGCTGGCTCGCAGAAGTGATTTCGCTAGAGATTGATCTTCATCTTCTGCCTTGGATAGTTGGATACCTTTCTTCCTTCGATCCTGGGGCACTGGGTGATGGGTTCTATAAAACTGTATTATTAGGGCTTAGGCTTGTTTGAATCGAGTTTGAACTCTGATCCCCGAACGCTCCCAATGGGAAATCATCGGAGCGCCAGAATCTAGATATCGAAACGCATCCACTCGGCGGCTTGACGAAAGTTCTTTCTTCCTTCCTTTCTTTTTTTTTTCCCTTTTTCTTTTCCTCTCTGGTACTCTGGGCGTCAGCCACACACGTGGAGAATTGCTACTGTGGCCCTATGGGAGTGCCCGTGCTGTCAACCGGGGGTTATTTTGTTCTTCTCTAATTTAACTGTCCCTCAGTCTGGATCACCGAGGGAGATACATGGATAGATAGTGGGTAGCAGAGGGTTCCTATTCCTAACTTCCTACGGAGAACGGAGTCCATCTGGCGGAACTCCGTAGGCGAAACTGGTCCCGATAACAGACCAGCCGGCCTCCTCTTTAGCTTTGAGTTGTCTACGCACCTGGCAAACTTGCAACACAGGCGCAGGGTAAATACTAGATAGTCTATAGCCAAACTGGGAAAATCGGTGTATCTGTATAATCTTTTCGCTGCTGATCTTTCGTCATCCAACCCCCTCTCCCCCTTTTTTTGCGCTTGTCTAACCACCGACGTACCGAGTATTGACGACGTACATGCAATAGGGTTGAAGTTGGGATGACAGAGCCATATCCCCTCCTCAAGGTGATTGGGCACCACAGACGGCTATGTACATAGGAAAAAAAAAAAGGGCCGGCCAACCATGAACTTACATTTACCAGACCATTGGAGCGCGCAGCGATAATCCGCCGACGCTGGCTTGATCGCCCACTATCGGCGCTGCTAATTGCACCTACGTCGCGTCTCTGGGCGATCATCCCCAGCTCGCTTTGCTCTATGACCAATGTACTCTTCTACTAACTACTAGACCACTCCAAAGCACGAACAAGAGTTCACTCTCTTCCCCTCCCTCTCAGGCTCCCCCAGCTTATTACAAACGAGTGTCTGATAACAGGACTCTCCTGAATCCTGATTAGGCTAATCCTCGAGGGACGTCGATTCCGTGCCGCACACAGCTCAGATTACGGAGTAATATCGTTATGGGCGGGAAGGGAAGACGGTTGCACAGCAGCCAAGAACAGGACCCAGATTCGCAACTGGGTTGGGGAAAAAAAAATCCGAGAATTTGCCATCGGATAGATTGATTTGAATGATGGCGAAGGAAGAAGAACCGAGAACAATCAATCAAGTCGACTGATAACTCATCCCCCGCCACTTGTAATTTGGACGCGTCCCAATTACTGACTGGAGAGGTTCTGTTGATGGCAGCAGCTGGTCAAGACAGCCGAGAAGCGAGAATCCTTTGGGGCTCCAGGATGGCTGGACTCTGGAGACTGGAGGTTATGATTGGAGTGCAATGCGAATACACAAAACATTACCAGCTGAATCATGCCAGCTAATAATACCGAATATGTATCTACCCCATGGTTTTCAGGCCATTGACGCAATTCTCAATAAAGAATAGATAGTAACTTGATAGTTTGTGGGATGACTAGCAGTACAGAGTAGGCCCTAGCAAGGGCTCAAGGCTCAAGAGTCAAGAGAGATGCAGCTTGCCTTGTGCTTGACTTTTCCCACCACGTCCAATCGACCTCGAGAATGCCATCGAATTATTTCTTTGGCTTTGTAAGGCGTCTACAGTGATCCTTGACCCCCCTGGACCCTGGGATAATGCTTTATCTGTGGTCAATCCGCAAGCGAGCTACTTCGTGTCGACTCCTGCCATCGGACCAATCGCCAGCCCATCCTTGATGCTAATGGTGATCACTGCACCGAGTGGTGGTTCTTGTACAGGCCAATCCACAAGCACCATAGGCGCATCGCGACTATCGAGACTTTAAAACTCCACCGCTCTATCGTACAGACTATAGTCACTGATGTTGGTGATCAATGATCAATAATAATCCACCATCAATGGTCCCAATGTCACTCATCCAGGCCAATCGACGACCCCAGCTCCTAACCTACTACCTAATACTGCGGCCGTCCAGACGTCAAAGAGGCTGATTCCTGCATTGATCGTCATCCTTTTCTGCACACAGATCTGCCGTCCAGCCTGTATATTGGTCCTGATTTGACGATCCTCTCGCTCAAAACGCAGCTGCTTTCTCCTACAGGCTACATCAGTCGAATCGGAGACCCTTTTTCCAAATACCCTTTCATCCCCTGAACCTGGTCGCATCATGCGATCTCGACCTTGTTTGATCCAATCCACAGCTGGGATCCCCCATCCCTCTTCTATCTGCAAGCTCCCAGGAAAGCAAGCTTACTGGGAACAGGAAAAAGACTCGTGCATCCCGCGCCATGCGAGCCGAGACCGAAGCCCCAAGAGCGTATTATGCTCGGTTTCCAACATTCAAAACATCACGCTCGCATTGAGAATCACGCGGTCCATCACAGCCTCGACTGATACTCCAATCCCACATTCTCTCTCGCCGATATCGTCTTGATTGGAACGGCGAACGGCTGGCTCACGGGGCCAGCGTCCTACGCCAGCCAGCCATGAATCTAGCCATCATGACTACCGGCAAACGAGCAAGAACTGCTGTCGGTATCCTTCCCAACGTCGTGGAACCACTAGTCCTCGACTCGAACCTTGCCCCCTCCTCCTCCAAGCCAAGCCAAGAACTCCCGCTCGCTGCGCGAACAGCTCCAAAGAGACAAAGAACGCTTTTGTGCACACGGGAGCAAAGCCGTGTACTGTACACAGCGATCAAGCTTCGCGGACTGTTCCTCCTGCGTCATCGCGAACTTGCATGACCGTGCAGCTGGAGAAGGCCTACGAAGACGCAAGGGAAAAAAAAAAAAAAAAAAAAAAAAAAAAAAAAAAAAAACCGTAAACTCAAGCGAAGAACAGGGATTGAGGGTTGTCGGAGCCGGCAAACATCCCTTTGGGCGGCGGACGATGCATCTCGAGAACCATGCCGACTGACCGAGAATTAAGGCCGCTGGAATCGAAATGAGGTACTTTCTGCTCGCACATTTCTGCTACGCTATGCGGTTGCTTTCGGTATGCTTCCGATGAGCTCGCTGCAAGCTCAATGGCGGTGTGATTCGCTCATGTGGAGGACGATACTGACCTCGCGATCTGCGACAAGCAGTCTCTGTGTCGAGTTGTCTCTAGGAATGCCATGTATGATGGTGATGCCGAGAGGTCCAATATTCATTGATCGTCCTTTCAGTGCTTGTCGGCTGGCAGTTCTCCAAGCCATCTCGGATGGAATAGTTTGCTCATCTCACATCTCGATTGAGCGGTCTATACCAGGGGCATTGGGAAAGCACCTAACCTGGACGGTAGAGGCCTACTGCCAATCTAGAGCGTTCAAGCACGAAGATGAAGCCGATCAATATTGCCGAAAAGACCATGGCAGACCGATCGAAAATGGTGCTGATACTCTGGGAACAGATCTGAGCAGAGGGCCCCTGGCAGAAAAGCTCTGTCGATCAGATATTGTCGACTCGCATGAGCCGTTGAAAAGGACCTGTTGCTGGGTATACCAGAAACGCAATAGTTACATAGGGTTTACGGACTCTCGCGCAAGTACTATTCACCGGACGCATTCAGGAGCTACGAAAACTAGTTCGGCAGTATTGATCGAAGCAATTAAAGCTCTTCATTATATTCTATCTAACGGTCTTGCAAATATCCCACTCGGTCTGAAACCGAGCAAAAAGACGATTCCAAGCAATATCTGAGCCAAGAATGCTCAATTCAAGTCGCAGAGGTCATGGAACCTATATCCAGAACAAAGTCAGCAATTGTGGTGAAAATGTAGGCTGGATAGGCATAGATTTTGGGTTTTGGGTGATTATCAGAAGTCCATTAAGATCATCGAGGAAGACCACAAGGATCTCCCTCTGACATAAGAGGTACCAGAAATAAATAAAAAGGTGTAGTATCATCATGTTGAGCAGAGGAACGGGGGTTTAGAGTGAGTTCAGTGTAAACGTACCTTGCGCATAAAAGCTGTAGATTGCAGAATCTCAGTTAGTTCGGTATCGACAGTCTCATCAACTTAGATTGATCGACATCATGATCAAACTGGTTGCTTTTCAGTTGATTGAAGACGAAGAAACAAAAACGCAGGATCGTCGAGGCCGAAGAAAAAGGAACAAAAACTAAGCGAACTCCACCCCTCACGTGACCCACACTCCACCGCACCCTCCGCCCTTAATCTTCAATCCATCAACCAACGACCGATCGAAATTTTACGATATTCATCCATCCGCCAGCTCAACTTCGTCGACACACCCGACCAGTTCACTTCCGACAATACATTCAAGATGGGGTAAGTTCTATCACTCCTGATGCGAGACGGCGATTCGAAAAAAAAAAAAAATTGCGCCCTCGATCGAAACTTCGTCGCGACCAAGACCGCGAAAAATGAAATGGGCAACCTGGAACTGACAAATCCGCTACAGTCGTATGCACAGCAAGGGAAAGGGTATTAGCTCTTCTGCTATTCCCTACAGCCGCAGCGCTCCTGCCTGGTTGAAGACTACCCCCGACCAGGTCGTTGACCAGATCTGCAAGCTCGCCAAGAAGGGTGCTACTCCCTCCCAGATCGGTGTTGTCCTCCGTGACAGCCACGGTGTTGCCCAGGTCAAGGTTGTCACTGGTAAGTTATTCCCTGCATTTGTTTTTCTTGTGGGGGGTTGATGTCGCTAACGCGCGCGTGTGTGTGCAACAGGTAACAAGATCCTCCGTATCTTGAAGTCCAATGGTACGATATCAATCACCGCTCCATTTACACCGGTGTAGATGCGGGGTTTCGAGCGCAAAGGAGAAGTTGTGGATGGGAGTGTACGGCGGTTGCTCTGAGAATGAGACGCGGGAGCGTAGAAATACCTCTTTGCGTGAAACCGCTGTCGTCCTGTCCCAACTCTCTGCGTTTTGCAATCACGTTTTCTATTCCGGAATGGGAAAGAAGATCTTTTCTTTTTCTCTCTCCTGGCAGAAATGCAGGAGAGGATAAAGGGGATTTTTCTACCTATATGCCTCTGCTTGGTCAAACCACAGGCTGACAGAGTGATTTTTTCGTAAACAGGCCTCGCTCCCGAACTCCCCGAGGACCTTTACTTCCTGATCAAGAAGGTAACAACTCCAACTCGGTTTCAAAACTCGAGAATTCAATCACGCTGACTATCTCTAGGCCGTCGCCGTCCGCAAGCACCTTGAGCGCAACCGCAAGGACAAGGACAGCAAGTTCCGTCTCATTCTGATCGAGTCCCGTATCCACCGTCTGTCCCGCTACTACAAGTCCGTCGGTGTTCTCCCCCCCACCTGGAGATACGAGAGCGCCACCGCCAGCACCCTTGTCGCCTAAGCGGCTCGCCCTTTTTCTGGTCTTGGTGTATGGTTGTTGGTTCTGTGACGTTTCGTTGGCGACGGAGGATTCGAGCCCTGTCAACCCGAAATGGATGATAGGTTTCGATAGTCCCAGATATGTATCTGGCCGCGGATAGTCAAAAAAAACAAAATTAACGATTCCCAACCATTTACTTTTCTGCTCTGTTCCCGTAAACCCGTAATCCTTCTTCGAGAGTACGTATGAATCTATCGTTATATTCAGAAGAACTAGGGTATATATACAAACCGCACTTCCAATACCTATTATTCCAAACGGATATATCCACGGTCCAAATCAATCAACTCCCCATCCTGACCTCCCTCGCAACCGCATTACAAAGCTCGACCTTCACACCCGCCCCAACAAGAACATGTATCCACAACCGCTGGGTATCACTCAGCCGATCATTCTCCGACTTGACCTCCACAAACATCACCTCCTTCCTCTCCAAACTCCACAGAAAGAGATCAGGAATGCCCCCGCCGCGCTGCTGGTACTCCTGCGCCATGACCTTGCAGATAGTCGCCAGCGCCTCACCGCGGAAACAGCGCACGATCTCGACCAGGTCGTCCAGCTCGAAGGCCCAGTCGAGGCCGATGGCGCAGGTCTGCTTCGCGGCCTCGCGCGCGTGCACGGCGCGTAGGATGTGCTCGGCGGCGCCGTTGGTGATTTCGACGAGGCGGTGGTTGATCTCCGAGGCGCGGGACGGGTAGAAGGCGTCGGTGTGGAGGTCCAGCGGGCAGGTCTGGAAGGGCGTCTGGAAGACGTTGGGGATGTAGGTGAAGAGGATGTCGTAAAAGAGGTAGCCGAACTAGAAAGGGGAGGGGGCAGAGGATGGGTTAGCTGCCGTGTTGTCTTGGTGTGGGGGGGGGACAGTGATTATGGAGAAACAGAGAATAGAATATGAGGATGGCGTACCAAGGTCCGGACTATTCCTCCCTCGGAGTGGTATCCCTTCCAGCCCTGCTCACGATACCAGCTCAGACACATGTTCTCGACTCTGCATTCGCTGCCGTCCTCTCGTTCGTCGATCCAGATGGTTGCGCGGCCGCGCTTGGACGGAAGATCGTCCGGCTTGACCGAGGAGGAGGAGGAGGAGGAGCGACTGGGTGAGTCGTCGCGTTCGATGCGAATACCTTCGACAATGCGCTGCGCGGGTTTGGCCAGCATGACGTGGCCGAAATCATGTTGCTCGCGCTTGACGATCCTCAGCGCCTTTTCCAGCTTCGTAATCCGCTTCTGGAGGTCATAGTGGTAGATCAGATGGCAGTTCGGGTCCTCGAGTCCCTCTTCGCACGTCCGCAAGGCGATTCTTTTCCAATGTTTCTTCTGGAGGTCCTCACCGCGTCCTTCGAACGGCGTTAGGGCCCACATGTAGTGCTCTTCTAACAGGGCTTTCCGCTGGTACCATGCTCCGCGCCGTGAAGCGTGGAATAAGCGCTGGGCGAGCAACTCGCACAGAATCTCGTGTTCCTTTTTGTGCTCCTTGAAGCGTCCGAGGGGTTGAAGACTCTTGTGAATGATTCTGGTATAGACCCAGGCTGGTGAGAATCGACGTAAATAGGCGCCCTCGCCGGCCTCGTAGATGGTGTCTTCCTTGCGCTGCTCCTGCTCGAGCAGGACTTTCCAACGGGGATACACCTCCTCAGCAAGCCGTTTCACATGTTCCAGTCTTTCTTGTGTAGGGGTGCCGGCAAACTCGAGAAGATTGTCTATGCGAAACTGTGTGCGTAGGGCTGATTCGAACTCCAGGAGGAAATCTCTGGTCGGAAAGATCGAGTTGGAGCGACACACGACATACTCAGGAAAGTTCCTGCGGGAGATCTTTGCCAGGATTATGGTGGTGAGAGATTTCTCGGTCCACTCTGTGGACCTGTAAAAGACCAGATGAACCCGTTCGAAGAGGGCATAAGGCCCTGGCGCAAGGCGGATGCAGTCGCCTGTGTAATCAATGATTTTCTGAATGTAATGGACATCTCTATTCACGGCCTGGGGTGAGTCCCCCTCCTTCTCGTTCCAATTGAGACCCGCTTGTTTCTGGCTGGATGCACGGAAGGCGTCGAGGAGCTCTTTTTTACTTTTGCCTTGGACTTTTGCATCCTTGGCGAGGACTTTGAGTTCTTCAAGGAGCAGTAGGGAGGATGCCTCTTCTAGAGTCGTTATTTCACCAGTGCTCTCGGCAAAGCTGAAGTGGGCAAGACCTTCAATTTCAGCGGACTGCGCATCCTCAGGATTGTCGTTTATAGAGGTTAAGGGAGTGGGTAGGCGCCGGCGAGCCCGAAGATCAACCACCGCCTGAGATATATTACTGATATCCGAATAATAGCCTAGCCGGTTGATGCGATGCCATGCTGAAGTCTTACGAAGAAATAGCCGTACATATCTGACAGTACACAATTAGCCTTCATTCAAGGAGTATCGGCCACTCCGACCTACAGATATTGAGATTCATATGAGAGGTTCTTCCATTGCCTGAAGACCTCTATTTCTGCCTCATCAAACACATGCGCTTCCTCCTCCAGCACTGTCTCCAATGCAAGGTTGAACGCGTCCACATAGATCGAGCTCTTTCCCTTGCGCCATTTACCATCCTGCAGTCTCTGGCGCAGATCGGGCTCATCATCTTGTTCAGCTGCGCGAGAGAGCTCATATTCCTCAATAGCTTTGCTATCTGTTTGAATAGCCGGAAGCGAGGACTCTAGCTCTGTCTGACTGTTCAGGAAGGGCTTCTCGTCTTCGACTGTACTCTCGCCGATCTGTGCCGAAGACACCGCGTCCCAGGCGTCCTCCAATGGACTATCTGGCTTTTCCAGATCCCGGCTATTGACTTTGAGGTCTTGCTTGTGAGCTGCAGCATCGGGGCAGTCCTGAATCGCAGTCTTCCTGCGCTTCACGGCAGGGCGCGATGTGTCCCAGTAGTCCAAGAGGGACATGCTGCCACAGACGCCTTGCTAATCATCCGAGAACAGTTAGACGGGAGGACCGCAATCCAGACCATCCCTACATGCGAAATTTGATGCGAAATACGCGCTGCGAGACCGATGTCGCAACAGATACGGATGATCGTAGTCGTTGGCGCCTAATCGTGTCACGGAAAGACGCGAAGTCACCTGATCTTAATTGGATTTTTTCTTGGGGTCTGTTTGCTGTGTTTGCAGCTTGATCAACTGACACTTGGTGTGGTGACTAGGAAGATAAGCAGTGCAGATGCGAGGCGTAAGTGTGCATCCATCTGGAAGAAGACCTCTAAACATGGATCTCCTCTTTTCATTCCATATAGACATCATTTCTTGGTGACCCGAGTCCTAAGACCTAGACACTAGAGTAGCCATGGCGGACGAACCTGTAAGGAACATCCCCCCTTCCATCATCGTTATCCCCACAGTGGAGAGCTTTCTTTAAGCTCTCCGCCCGCGAGCTCCGCCTAAGACATTTCTGCTCCATTCTGCAAAATATATCTCTACCAGATAATCTTGCTATACATTTCTCCCGCCCAATCCAATCCACTGCCCCCCCTTCACTGCATTCATTTGGACATCGAGCGCGCAGCACACCCCCAGATAACAATCTAACCCCCATCACCAGTCACCAGCACCCGCCCCAACCCAGAAAGAAACCGAATTCGCCTCAGCGTACAGCCGCGACCAGCAGAGCGACTCGACCCCCGGACCCGGCACAATCCCTCAACCCCAATTCACCATGGGCAACGGTGCAACTCCCACCAGCAACACAGGCGCAGCGAACACGCCGCGAGCAGAGTCCAACACCCCGGCGGCGCAGACACGGCCCGGCGGCGCCCCCGCGCGAGTCTACATGAACGAGAAAATCGTCCCGTACCTGCTGGAGGGCATGAAGTCCATCGTGAAGGAACAGTGAGTGTGTCCTGATTGCTTCGTGAAGCCTTTATGTTGTCTTGAGCCGTGCTGGGACGAATCGAGACCTCCCGTCCAACTTGAAGCGAAATGGATCGCTGACGCAGGTTTTTCCTTTTTCGTGGCAGGCCGTCGGACCCCCTCCGTGCCCTTGGGGAGTTCCTGATCCAGAAAAGCAACGAGGTGGAAGGCGGAGCGGCTGGGCCGAATAAGTCTCCTGAATAGAGGAGGGTGCATAAGTCGGATGAATGTGCTACTGAACGCTCCGCCCACCCCTGTATAGCTGAACTCTACCGTCTGCTCAGTGGAGTGAAATCGGGGGACGGAGAACCATACGCCCCCGTTGGGGGCTTCCAACAGCGCCACGTACGCAGGCCAAAGAGATACCCCATATACGTGTCGAGTTTGCCGCATCGTGAAGGATGGGAGATGCATCGTGAATTGATCTGCTTGCAAGATCTCCGGGAAAGAATCTCTGTACCATGTGAAGTCTCAATGCTGCATAGCGGACGCATCCTTCTTTGTACACGGTTGGTGCATTCAAGATGATCAAAGCTGTGATTACTGTTGCCGCTCAGAGGTCGTGTTGTGTATAGAATTGCTTGATATCAATGCCATTGAGCCTTCTATATTATTGTAGATTTGGCCATGAAAAACTGGCATGTTGAGAATCTGCCCTTGTCGCCCTAGTAAACTACAGATCAATGAGATGGCAACCAGGCAAAAACAAGAAATGATCCAAAGAGCCAAGGAGATTTATTACGAGGTCTAGAAATACGTTATGATATTGATGAATTAGACTCAATGGTCTGTTTCACACAGCGTCAAACCTGAATTCAAGGGGCAACGAACTCCCCTGTACTAAGCACAGCGAGTAGAATCATGTGAAAAATGTAGTGATGAGTAAACCATATGTATGATGGGCAACAAAATGCTGGACATAACGTGCAAATAGTTCGTATGCAGGTTGATCCTCAAATTCTTCACAAATCTCATACTTTCGAAGCATTCGTTGGTGCATGTGATTCAGTACTGCTGGGATTTAGTATTTTGCACGAGTCATAGGCCTGCAACAATCATGTTGAGTAACATCAAGAATTGAGATGGTGTCCGCAAAAGAGCGATTCTCTCAATGCACACCCTTAGTTTAAATTAGAACGGTATCCTTGGCTTCAATATCAGTAAGTTCTGGCCAACCTATCAAGCAATCAGTCAGAACATGTCAAAGAATGGCTGGCCCAGGATCCATTGAGTGAAAAGGTCAAACCGGGGAGGCCACGAAATAAGGAACCGATTCGTGGTGCCAGACGATTACGTTGAACAGATCCAGGTGTGACAGAATATTGGAATGTCGAGGCCTGCTTGGGCGTCCTCGTTGGCGATACTACAGGCACGAAACAACAACGGTTATGGCGGAATAGGCGAGCAAAAGCCGAATCCCGTCCAGTCAGTTGGTTTCAATCAAGGCGGGAAGACAGATATCTTGTGTTCGTGAAGAAGGCCGAAGCCATTTTGTTTGTTTTATGTGTTTTCAGGCCGAATACAATCGAGTCGTTACGTAGACAAAGCTGTATAAGACGCAAACAGGCGAGAAAGTTGACTAGCGAGATAACGACCAAGTTTTCCGGAAGAGTTGCAAATGTAGCAGTGCTGACCCATGAGAATAATCCGAAGAATTACAACGTTAATGTGAAATATTGTTTCTCTTTTCCTGCCGCCATATTCTCCCGGTGTTTCGAAGCGAATAACAAAAGAAAAGTAGCAGCCAGTGACCGAAGAGAGTCGACACAGTTCTGTTCCGGACTTTCTTGTTTCTGAAATAGTTGAAAAAAAATAGGGCGCAAAACTGTTGGCGTTCCGATCGAGCAGACACGTTACTGTAAAGACGACTTTTCTCCCGGACACAGAATACAAAACAATCACGTCCCACGGCCGTTCGTCGAGCCGATTTCCAACCGCAGGGGGAATCTCGAAATTGAAGCATTTCAAGGAAAATGGAAAGTAAGATGGTGCGTGACAGGAAACAAGGAGCAAGAGGATGGGACGAACGGGAGGAAAACCCCCAGGGCAAGGAGAAAAGACGAACATGGGGGAATAATTACTTTGTGTGGCACCGAAGCGAGTTTCGACTTTTTCCCCTGTTGTCCATTCACCTACCTGCCACTGTATCTGTCCTCACCACCACGAGATTCATAAGAGCGGCCAGCGTAGGGTTCACGGGCAGGAGGGGCGTCGCCGTAGCTGGGAGGGTTAGCATCACGATCATAATAGCCACGACGATCATCACGGCGAGGCTCGCGACTGTACCGCTCTTCACGGCCACCGCCGCCGCCGCCGCCGCCGCTAGAGGCATAGCGATCAATGCCACCACGGTAGCCGTAGTCGTCGCGGTACTCACGACGACCGTAATCACGGTATTCGCGGCCACCACCACCACCACCGCCATAGTCCCGGCGTTCACTGTAAGAGTCGTAGCGACCATAACGGTAGTCGTCACCGCCACCACCACCGCCGCCGCGGCGCCAGCCACCACCGTAAGATCCACGGCGATCATCATAGCGATCACCACGGCCACGGCCACCACCGGGTCCACGGAATTCTGCAAAGGGGGAAAAAAAAAAGCGGATTAGACACGATTCGACTCAGACAGCGAATTGACTGCGAATAAAACATACCACGCTTGGGGGGTCCAAAGTATTTGCCAGGAGTAGGGGTTCTGGGACGGCTACGACGGGCCTTCTCGATGCTCAGAGTACGGCCCTCAATAACCTCACCCTGGAGACCCTCCTTGGCAGCATCAGCCTGCTCGGCAGTAACCATCTTGACGAAGCCGAAGCCACGAGACTCCTTGGTGTGAGGATCCACCATGATGGAGCAGTTCTCGACATCGCCGTACTTCTCGAACAGGCGGGAGATATCGGACTCAGTCAGACGGGGGTTAATGCCAGTAACGAAAAGGTTGGAGCCAGGGTTGATGGCACCCTCCTCGTCATCGTCCACGGGCTTGCGAGAATCCATGGGAGGACTGCATGTGCGATGTCAGTCTGCTATGTTTGAACCAAACAAGGGCACAGTGAATATTACCGCTCATCGACACGTCCGTTGGGCGAACGGCTGCGAGCACGATCGCCCCTGGGTTCATCGCGAGGAGAGGCGCTGCGGTCGCGGGCGAAGCGAGGCTCGTCTGCATACGCACAAAAAACAAAGAAGTCAGCTCTGCAACCGTCGCGACGAGGAGTCGACTGATGCGAGGAGAAACACGTACCGTCGTAACGACCATTCTCGTTATCGTATTCAGCAGACATGATGACGACTTTTGAAAAAAGAGGTAAGAGAAAGCGAAGGTGTTTCAAGAAAAGGACAAGGAAGAATGAAGCGTGTTACTTGAAGATGAAAAGCGCGCGAGGTGCACGTCCAGCAACAAGCAGTGGTTGAGAGAAGGCGGGAAAAAAAGGGAGCAGAAAAATCCAACCACGGACTCTCGGGAGGTGTGGTAAATTCTACTGCGTGAGGAATCACGAATACCAAGAAGGTATCAGATATCCAGCAGAAGAAGAAGGAGAAGAAAAGTAGAAAGGGAGGAATGAAAGGGATGAGAGATGGAAGAGAGATAGATGGTGACGATGATGGGTGGATGGAGGAAGGGAGAGAACAGCCAGGAAAAAGCGAGGCGAAACAATTCCAGACTCGGGGTGGATTCCGCCAAGCCTTCCCTCTGTGTGTCTGCAGCAACGACAACAACTACCGCAGAGGAAGAGCTGTGCGCTTTTGATCATAATGAATACTTGAATACTCAAACATGCAGTTATCTGTGGTCAATGTAGATTCAATTTCACTAACAGAAAAGCCCAGATGCCTCACAATGCTTGGGTAGGATAATACACACAATACAACACAACACGCCTTTGCTCCCTGTTCTAAAGTCTCGGAACAAATGGCATGGGGAATCGAAGAGAAACAGGACACATAGACAGGTTTAAAAGAGAAAAAAAAAAAAAAAAAAAAAGACTAGCAGCATCCCAAAAGCACGCTCACAATCATGTCAATCATTTAAATCCACGCCATCGCCTCCGAGTCCGGTGTACCTTCACAGCTGCCTCGGCCGCTGGCGCCTCAGATCCAGTCGCCGACTTATCATTCGTAGCCATCTGGCCTTCCAGCTCATCGTCTACGAGGTCCTTCAATTCGTCCTCATCCAACTCACTGAGTTCCTCGCTCATTCCTCGCATGACGTCGCGTCCCGTCCAGCGCTCTTCGTGGACGGTCGTTCCAATTGGATCAAATGGTTGCATGTACCACAGGATTCCGCCCTGCGAGAGGGGGTGCTGCGCATCGCCTTGGAAGCTAGGTGGAGGTGTCAGGAGCCCCTTTTGAGATTCAGCTGGAAGTGCGGACAGTCGCGGGCTATTGGCTTCTTCTTTGCTCGGTTCGGCGGTGACGGGCACTGTTGATGGTGCGACATCGAGGGGTTGACTCTCCTCCGGCTCAGCTACAACAACCGGGGCGGTTGTATTGACTGAGTCCGCCATTTGAGCATCCTGCGGCTGGGCCGCTTCCGCAGGCTGCTGAGGCTGCTCAGTTTCGGCATCAAGCATGACAGTATCTTCTTCCTTATCAGGTAGTGCAGTGGAAAGCGAACCCTCCTGAGGCTCTGCCTTCGCAGCCACGTCTGGCTCAACTGCGGCTTTCTGATCGGTGCCGCTTGAAAATTCACCAGGCGCTCGAGACTCGCCACGCGACTCATCAACCCCCTCTGCAAATTCTTCCTCTACTGATCCTCGTCGAGATAGAACGCTATTCTCGAACATGAGATCGAGCTCTTTCAATTCTTTCTCAAAGGGCTTGCGGTTGAGCTCGCTTTCCTTCTTGATTGCGTCCTCTAGAGCGGGCTGAATGGCCTTGATGATGCGTTTAGCCAGTTTCCGCTTCTCGCGCTGTTCGAGGGGAAGCTCGGGGGCGCGCCCGCTGATCTGCATCTGTAGCTCAGCAGTATCCCCGGCGGGCTGAACTCCGATTTCAGAGGTGAAGATGGTTGCCAGATCGGCGGAGAAGGCCGCAACCGATGTGTAGTAGCGCTGCTGCAACTTCTCTCGCAGAGATTGCAAACCTTGCCTGAAAGTCCCCTTTCCATCAAGCCTATTGTAGAGTTAGCACACGCCGTTCATTTCGTTAATTGTCTCAAGATTATGACCCACCCTTGGGCTTTTTCAAAAATCGGCCAGAGCAGAGGGAAGATAGGAAAGTACACGGTATCCATGATGGACTTCAGGAGCTCTGCGTCTTTCAGCTTCTCCCGCTCTCGCTTCTTCACCTCATCACACAGCATCCTCAGGCGATCGAGATCGTGGGTTAACCTCTCACCAAACTCAATGCGCCGCTGCAGTCGTTTGCCTCCACCAACCCCCATAGCAACATAATCTCTGCGTGTCATCTCCATGGACGAGAAGGTCTCTAGTGACAGCTGCAGGCGCTTCAAGAGGGCCGCTCCACGCCTGGCCTCCCGCTTGAGGGTCCAGTATTTGCAAGCATCTTCGGCATACTGTTTTCTTTGTCGCACGCCGAAACGCTGCAGGGAGGCCACAACGGAGTTGAGCAAGACCTGCGGGATGACAGGTGCGCCAGAGGGGAGCTTCCAAATGGTCTTGGGCGGGCCAAGACGTTTCCGCTTATTGCCGCCAACAGTAAGTGTGATACGCGGCGTATGGGTTCTCTGACCATCCAGATCGCTCGGTTCGGCCCCTAACTGATGCGCTGGTTCCAGAGAAAGAGCTGCCGCCTGGCTGTCACCCCACTGTCTGCCCTGCATAGTGTTACGGTAGTATTCAATAGCATCGACTGTAGCAGCATCGGTGCCGTGCTCTAGACGCCACTCGTCAGGGACATGCTTGTCGCAAAATGCTTTGAGGAGGTGCGAGTCCATGATCGCAGGGGCTCCATGGCCCGATTTCATCTTGAGGTAAAGCTGCGCTCTGCGCGCGCACGTTGGATGGAAAGCCACGAAGCAGTTTTTGTTGCTGCACTGGATCGAAGCTCCCATTCGCTGCTTGCAGATATAGCAGTTGAGTTTCCAGCGACTCCGGGGCACTTTCTCCACATCAGTCACTGGCTCCATGAGTGACGGATTGCCCAATGAGACCTCAGGGATCCAAATGGCGCAAAGTAGATGTGACCACTTCGAGCTCGTAGTCTGCTTGAACGCCCCCTCTGTATTCGGGCAGAAGATGCAGTTGACCGATCCGCGTCCGATCAATTGACACTTCCGGCACAACCACTGCCCTTCAGGGATAAAAGGAACGCCGTAGCACTCTTGATGCACCGCCAAGTCGCAACCGTCACAGAAAACAATGGCATTGGAGTTTTCACAGTCGCCATCATCGCAGATAGTGCATTTGCTATCTAGCTCTTCACCCGGACCGGTGGTTTCTCCATTCACGGCAGCTGCCGAGCTCGACCGGGGACGCTGCGTTTGTGGCGGCTTGGGATTCGGCTTCGGTATGCGCTTTTCCAGAGTATGCCATTCCTTCTCGATCTTCGTCATGGTGATCTCGAAAACCGCCGGCTTGATAGGCTCCAGCTGATCTTCCCTTCGTTTGGCGTTGTAATCTTCCAGCCATTTCTCGTCTTGTTCATCCATATCATATTCCACTCTACCAACCGAGGCATTGATTTCTCCATCAGTGGTCGGAGGATTGATAATATCAAGGTCATCCTCCTGGGCCCCTTCTGTCATGCGAATCATTTGCCGTTCATGACGGACAAACAGATCACTTTCCTGATATCCGACGCTTGCCATCGTCCGGTCCACGTAGTTCTGCTGCCCAACCCCAGGCTGATCGTAGAAGACGAAAGGATCACGTAATCGAAACGAAGGCTTGGGAAGGGTGAGTTTCTCGCGAGGATTGGGACCCGGCGGCGGAACTGCCTTTGGCTGAGGAGTGATGCCGAGAGCGTTTAGAATGGCTTCAGGACGACGGGGAGGACGGCCTGGTCGACGCTTGATCGGCGAAGGAGATGCGCCACTAGTGTGCAGCCTGATAAGCTCAGCTAAGGGATCCTTACTCCCATGCATATCGATGCCATTCAACTGCAATATCTCGGCTATGGGCGTCGATGGCGCCGGCCGGTCCACTTCCTCTGAGCCGAAGACGGCAATTTTGGCATCGATGTCCAGGTCGGGGTGGAACTCCTCCCAGCCACGCTCCTCTCGTGGTTTATATCCGTCTCCCTGCTGCAGGGCCAAGGCGGCGGCTGTTGACGACCCATAACGACCACGAGTCTGCGCTTTATCCCTTCTTAAACGTGCAGAGGGGGGAGTTGTAGGAACAGGGGGTGGTGGCGGGGGAGGAAGAAAGACGGGTTGAGGTTCAGGTTCAGGTTCGGGCTCGGGCTCGGGCATAGGGACAGACGCAGGTTCTGGTACAGGTACGGGTACTGGTTCGGGTTCAGGTTGAAGTTCAAGTACAGGTTGGAGTTCAGGCTCAGGCGCAGGTTCAGGCTCCGGCTCAGGTTCTTGTTCCGTTTTCTGAACTTGTTCGGGTGCGGGCGCAGGACGACTGCGAGAGGACGAGGTCCGCCTGAGGGGAGCTCGTTTAATCTTCGGGGGTTCTTCATCGATCTCGATGTATCTGCCACCCCCTCCAGGCCCACCGGGCACGTATTTTCGTTTCTTGAGAGGAGGGCCTTCGCTAACGTCGGGTTCCGGTGCCTTGGGCGACGACTTAGAACCCTTTCGCGACTGTCTGCCGGCTAAGGAGCGATATTTGGACGAAGAATTTGGCGCCATAACTGCACACCACTGGTAAAGAGACCGATGACGATTGGTAGATGCGGATATAAGCGTCGCTAAGGGTTTCGTTGAGAGCTTGCCGCACGGGGCTCAGATTCAACGTGAGAACGCTCCAAGCCGCGCCGTACAGTGAAAATAAAAAAAACCAAAGAGCAAAACAGTGCGACTCATGGCTCAGCGCGCATCAGATATGAGCTTCACAAGCAGGCAGCGCAGAGTCGAGCGACCGTGACGGGCGACGGCGAGGGGCGACGCGCAGGGGAACGGGGATGTCCCATTATCGCTCCTGTCAATGTCTTGGCGCTAAACCGCCCTGGGCCAGGGCGGAGACTCCACCCCCAGAGTTAGGTACACTCCCAAGCAAAACACAGAGCTCATTCCATCCCTCTCGCCCCAGCTTCTCTTCTGTGGGAGCATTTTACCTTTTCCAGGATGAGCGGTCCCGGTGAGGAACGGTAAGGCTCGAGCTCATCCTCCCCGAAACCACGACGGTAACGGCTCCCGCTAACTTCTGAGCTTTCCAGGTGGCGCGGAGGTCGTCCCTACGATCAGAACCGTCAATCGGGTCAAAGAAACCCTAACTCGAGGGCGATCAGCGGACACAGCGGGAACCGTGGCGGACAGAACTCAAGCACTTGGGGCGAATCGCGCGAATCGTCGAACACGGGGCCATCGCAGGAGCAGCATGTTCCTGTGCGTGGGTTCAACGCGGCAGAGGCCAAGGCAGCTCTCCGGAAAGGTATGTATTGCGTGGTCCATAGGTGACTAGGATGAGAAAGCTAATGCTTGGCTCTCTTTTAGGTCCAGGAGGTAATACCTACGATTTACTACGCCAAAGCAGCCGAACAACCGCTAATGATCCCACTAGAACCCAGGCCGTTTTTCTATAAACCGACAGGCAAGGACGCGGGCAACAATCGTTCCGGGCCTTGGGGCGCAAAGCGTACGTTTATCAGCGGGCACAACCTCTTTGCACAATGGACCGAGTTTCGTTAACCCAAGAACAGCCAACACGATGGCGAACGGGAAGGACTTCTTCCTCGAGCTTCGAAAGCAGGTGACGACGTTGCGTCAGGGAGCCACTGTGCCGGGAGGTTGAGTCTGAAAAGATCCACATACTCACAAGTGCAGAGTTGTTTCCAGTTAGACGGAACGGATGAATTGCCGCAAGGCTGGTTTCATCCACCACTCAAGGGATCACTACAGGGAGCGAGTGGAAGAATGGCTGGTATTGACATTGCCAGCTATTTGATATCAGACTCGGGAAAATCTGATGGTGACTCGGTTGAGAAAGGCCTGCTGTATGCTTTACGACAAGGGGAGCATCATTTTGTGCAATGGCTATGGCATGAACATATTTACGAGTACATGGAACTGCTTCACGAAGAATGGGGATACACCACGCAGTAATATACACTTGTAAAAACCATCAAGAGACCAGCAAATGACGTAGAGTACAGATCGCCAAAAAATATAATGTACATTGATTCCATCACCAAGCTTACAGCCGCTCCCAACCAGTTGGACCCAGAATCCCACCGTCTTCAGCGCGTGGATCCAGCGTCCATTTTCTTAAGGCCCTGCTTCCGAGGTCTGTCCGCCAGCCGGCCTCGAACATCTCAATGCCCGCCCACCCGATCATAGCCGCATTATCGGTGCATAAGTATGGTGGCGGCGCAACGATATCGACATTTGCAAACCCGCGGATATCAAGGAATGACCGCAGCACCGTCATGAGAAAGCGATTCGCAGCAACGCCGCCACTGACAACAAGAGTCTTAATTTCTTGCTCTCCAGCCTTCTCCGCTTGCTGCCTTAGACCCTCCAGAGCCATCACTGTCCGGGAAGCAAGATGTTCAAAGGAAACGCGCATGGCCTCGCGGGCCAGAGCAACACGCTCCTCGTGGGACATACTCTGGCCACCCTTCTCTTTAGAACCCATCACCTTCGTGACGGTCGTTGCAATGGACGAGAAGCCGAACCGTAGCTCGCGGGTGTTGGCAAAGGGGGCAGTGAGAGACCAACCCCATGGGCTCTCGCGTTTGACTAGCTCTTCGCCTCGAGTCTTGGGTGGACTGTAATCTGCATAGTCGAAGCTGCCGTTGGGGAAAGCAAATTGTTCCAGCATTTTGCCATACATCGTTGTTTTAGCTTCGTTAAGCAGAGTGGTGGGGAGAATTTCCCGCGCAGATTTGTCCAGCGCATCCCCAATTGCAGTATCAACGCTTGAAGCTAGTATCTCATGGTCCGTGATGGAGGATGACTTGACGAGGATCGAATGGCCGCCCGAGACAAGAATGGATAGGAAGGGAAACTCAGGTGTGGTGGGCAAGTTGCTAGCGGTATCATGACTGTCGGTTTGTGCCCGACTTAGGGAAGATACGAGACGAGGTGTCAAGAGATGCGCTTGCATATGGTGCACGCCAACGAAGGGGATCTGCCAGGCGACGGAAAGTCCCTTTCCGGTATCGAGTCCGACGAAGAGGTTCGAACGCATACCCGGTCCTCTCGTAGTGGAGATGAAATCCGGCTTGCGACGTCGAGAGCCATCCGCTAAAGTGATTGATCTGGGGCCACCAGAATCCGTTTCTGTAGCAGCAGGCAAATGTTTCAGTGCCTTGTTGACGAGCTTCGCTAGATTCTCTTGGTGCGATTCGAGCGCAAGGAGCGGATGAATGCCTCGGTATTCCCGCGTATCTGCAGTTATGCTTTCGAGGAAATGAACTTTTGTAGAGTTAATGTGTGTAGACGAGTCTTTTTCGACGATTGCAACCGATGTATCATCACTGCTCCAGATAATAGTGAGCGAAAAACCAGGCTGGACAGTCGGCAGTTGCAGAGAGTCTTACCACGAGGTCTCAATAGCAAGGGTCAACAACCCTCGCCTTCGGTATTGTATACAGTTTCTCGAACCCGTCCATATTCGCTTGCGCAGAAGCGCAGCCGTAGAGCTTGAGGTCAGCATCGGGTTTGATAAAAAACCGGGGGAGGATCTATCATGCCTGAGGTGCTGCGACTTATTTGGACCTTATCGTTATCACTATCGCTATCCTTATCGCTATTTAGATAAGATAAGCTGTCTAAGTCAACAAAGGAAACAGACAATGGAGAATCAAGATTGCGCCCTGAATTTTGAATGAAAATAGAGAACAGACAATAGTAGTTCCCGAGTCAATCAAGCTAGCTATGCTTATTTTGACTTCCATAGAAATTTTTCATCCAATGGATAGTAGCAGCCTTGGTCGTCTTCCCTGAGCTACTATATTGCAGTCAATATCTAGTCTTGACATATTCAGGCATCGTCATCTCTCCTCCCCAATGTTATAGCGGATAGCCTAGTGAAAGTTTGAAGAGACTTTTGGATGAATAAAGATGCTGGGCATGCAGCTTTGCGAATACTACAGGGGATATAGACCAGAACCATGACATTACCCACACAAGGGACTGCGGGTAGAGAGTGCTCACAATGGTCAGAAGACCCCAAGCGGAGAAACAGAGTGCCTCCACAACAAGAAGCATATCAGTAGCATATATGAGAGTAGTATTGCTCCCAGATACATTACATTGGTAGGCCATACTGTTGCACGAATTGTTCACTGCTGTAGTACAGTGAATCTCCAAGTAGATACCCACAAAGATGGCCACAACCCAGAGCATCCTCCATGCTGTTGTGAGGAGCTGACCAGCAAATCTGCCCTTAACAATGAAACATATAGATTGGTTGGCTGTGAAAGTAAGATCCGCAAGGAGTGAGGCAAGGTAGAAATAGTACTGAGTGATCTGGCAATGCTTGACATAGCTCACTATGGAGATTGCAGTACCTGTGATCAGTTGCTAAGCACTGACTGACACTGATAGGGTATAGATTGTAGCCAGGGGCATTGGACATCTCAGTTTTGTTGAAAGTTTTGCCATTACAAAGATCATGTTATTTCCGTCCATCCGACTCAGATAGTCTGAAGAGATATCTTCGGCTGCAATGCGCGCAAGATGGACAAGAAGAAACGAACGTAAGCCACGCATGAACAAGACAGCCCAATATGACCTATTATTGTCTTCGGTGCCAACGCCCTGCTCATCCATGGGATTCAAGCAGATTTGCAAGTATGCTTGCACCGACGCTGCCTAGAGGGTACGATATCAGTGAACCGTCGATAGCAAAGGGATAAATCAAAGCTCGAAGTGACAGTATAACGTCAGGATCGAAGTCGAATGGGACAACTTCCCAGTCCGTGCAGTCCGAATTGAACGAGCATTCTATATTTGTCACCAAAGGATGACTTGTCAAGAATTTGAAGCTGCACAACGTAGCTGCACCTGCCATTTGCCTGGAGTCTTTTTTTTTGCAGTAAATATAGTTCCTTCTCGCATGAACATGCAAGCACACTGATGACCCTCCACAAGCTAGAAGAAACTCAAGTTACCAATCTTTGAGCAGGAAAGGAGATGGAGCTGCCTTTGAAGGTATAGTTGCAGGCTTGTCGCACCCTCTCAGCTCGCCTTATCTGATATTTTTAGCTCAAGATTTTTGCTACCACATGTGTCAATGCTATCCAAACCATTTACTTTCGGCCTTGTCTAAGTGTAATTTCTGTTATATTCAAGTGATTATCATAAATGGATATTTCCCGGAAATGATATGTCAGAATAGGCATCTTCAATAGATGGCCGGAGTACACGTGTATAGCAGGCCACTCACCAGCGACATCAAGTCGACGAGGACCACAACATCAAGGCTGCTATCCAATATTCGAATAGATATGGGCCGCTCTATGAAAGAGTCATTTGACTCAGTATCTACAAGTCTCATCATATCATTGATACATTGATACCAACAGCTCTACCGGAATGTCTCAGGATAACGACTTACCTGGCCTACTGAAACCTCGTCGTCTGCTGCATGGCGAGATCACATATCATGAAGCAAAGGAGCAGGAGTCCAATATCCTACATCAGTTAGGCTATACGGACGAGAGGGATCGCTTCTTCAATCACTTGCACCAAAATCGAAAGTCAATTGCTATACTTACTGCCCATCATCTCGGCCTCAGTTCTACAGCCTCGTGCCGTGTGGTTGACGTCAAGGACTGGATACACGGGAGCTTCAATGTCTGCATCCGCGTTGACATTAATACAGGCCGGGGACAAGATCCTGAGAGACAAGTGATGATCCGATTTCCGTTGCCTTACCGAGTGAGGGAGAGCTCACCCCCGGACAATGCAGACGAGAAGGTCCGCTGTGAAGTTGGAACCTATGCCTGGCTCCAGGAAAACAGCCCCACTGTTCCTATTCCTCATCTCTATGGATTTGGGCTAGCTGCTGGCCAAACTGTATGCCATCTGATGCATGTGTTTGAGGGATAAGCTAATGCTTACAGCCCTAGTTTACCCATCTCGACAATCTGCCTTTTCTAACCCGCATTTTCCACCGCGCACGCCGCCGAGTTTTGAGTTGGTTCGGCTACCCGCTCCCATCCCAATATGTTCAGCATCAAAGCAAAGATCAAGTTGCGCTGGGCATGCCCTATCTTTTGATTGAATACATCAAGCCATCGCGCGGCAAGATGCTCGCGGAATCATGGGAGGACGGCCGCTCCAACCTCCAATTACGCAAGAACCTCTTCCATGGAATCTCCCGCATCATGCTGGCTATGGCGCATACACCTTTGCTAAGGATCGGCTCCTTTGTCCTTGACGAGGCGGGCTACTTGACCTCAAGTAGGCCCCTTACGTGCAATATCCAACAACTAGAAAACGAAGATATTCCTGTTCACATGCGGCAAGATGCTACCCACACCACTGTAGATTCATACATCAATGATATTCTCGCAATCCACGAAAGCCGCCTTCGGCACCAACCTAACGCAGTTAATAGTGTTGAGGATGGTCTTTATCAGACATCTGCCCTGATGGTGATGCGAAGTGTGTGGTCTTGCTTCTTTCGTCAAGATCTCTTGCGCGGCCCATTTTTTATGAGCCTTACCGATCTGAACCAGACCAATATCTTCGTTGACGATAATTGGAACATCGCATGCCTTATTGACCTGGAGTGGGCATGCTCTCAACCTGTGGAGATGATCCACCCTCCATACTGGTTGACAAACGAGGCCATTGATTCGATCAGCGCGGATTACGAGAAACTCCATCGTAAATTCATGGAAGCTTTCGCAGAGGAGGAAACTCGAGCCGAGTTGCCATTTTCTCTCCACGCTATCTTGCAGCAGGGGTGGGAGAGGGGGACGTTTTGGTATTCTCTTGCCCTCAGCAGTCCTCCTGCGGCGCTATTCAAGATCTTCTATGACTATATACAGCCGAAGTTTTCGACAGTCCACGATGATCCGGCTTTCTGGAGGATCACAATGCCGTACTGGACGTTTGATGCATATGAGTTCATCAAACAGAAAGTCAAGGATAGGGAGCAGTATGATGTCTTGTTGCGTGAAGCATTTGGACGTGAAAGTTCTCAAGCTCAGAGTTTATGAGTTTGATTATCTTATCTTGGGTTGAGCATTACGCCTATCTTCACATAAAGCACCCATGTATAATATACTTCATCCGCTTCATTCTGCTCTGCTCTATTGAAATGACAAGACTATTCGCTGTATCTTCGCAGCAGCTTGAAGAAGATCATTGTATTGTACCCTTTCTTAGAGAAACCATATCTGATCCTAGTAGGGTAAAATCCATGGTCTTCCTGCTTCACTATCTTATTTCTCCTCCATATCCCAAGATAGCACCACCATTAACTATGCTCACCGTGACAAGCGAGGATCCAGTTAGTTCGACAAGAATAGACAAATACAATCCTCAACCCCTCCCATTCGATAAACCGAAACAAGCAAACAAACAAAAAGCCATATATTTGGATCATATCATCACGTCATAAACCATAATAGTATCTATATACACACTGGCCCAAGAGTCCTCCCACTCACTGGATCCACTGAACCCCAACAAAATCCTCATCGTCCCTCTACTCCGTCCCCAGGAACCGACAATCCCACTCGAGTCCTCTGCTCGCACCTCAACCATTCCCATCCGACTCATCTCCCGCAGATCTTCAGCTTGAGCCTAAGGCTGAGCAACAAGCCACCAGGAGAGAAACTTTAAGCCCTCCACCACGCCACAACATGAGGTGGAATGGGGCCGCTCGCCCACGTCTACACCAGCGAGAATAGCGGAAACCCGAAACCCGAAACCCGAAAATTGATCTTCCGCAGCAAAACTCCGCCCCCCCCCCTCAAGAGGGGGGGAGGGAAACGCTTCACTCGCGCACCATCCACCGGCGCTCTTCGCGCGTCAGCTTCGTGTACGTGCCGTAGTATTCCTCTGGGTTCTCGATGGGCGTGACACAGTGCACGGTCGGGGAGCCCTGGAACTGGATGCGTTTCTCGCGGCTGCTGGCGGCGCCTGCGAGTGTCTGCGACTGCGACTGCGACTGCTTGTGTTGTTGTTTCTTGAGGATGCTCTTGGACGCGCACGAATTGGTGTAGCTGTAGGCTTGTGGGGGCTGCATTTGCATGGACGAAAAGCGCTTCCCTGCGGGGCTGGAGGGCACCGGCGAGATTGGGGTGCGGGGGAGAGCGGCGGGGGATTTGAGGGAGAGGGAGGGCCGGGTGAGGGTTTGGGCGGTCGAGATGACCAGAGAGAGCTTGGGTTTGGCGTACATGTTGAGTTGGGGGAGAGAAGGGTGATTGATTGATTGATTGATTGATGTTTTTTTGGGGTGGTTGGTTTGGGGAGAAGTAGACCCTGAGGACAAGACTTGGGGATGAAATAAATGACTTTGGTCAACAAAGTCGTGGTCTTGAGTATGTATGTGTATACTATTATTGACGTAGGCTGGATGATCCAAAAATAAGAAGGCGAAAAGGATAGTCAAAAAAAGTGGTTTGGGCCAGCCAAACGGAATCCACTATGGGACGAAAATAGAACAGAAGGGGAAAAGAAGAAGAAGAAAAAAAAAAAAGAAACAACAAGCGACAAAACTGAGACAGGACGTGTCTGGGAGAAGAAGAGGAAGAAACCACAGCAACCCCCAGGGCAGACTGCGCGCCTATATAGTCGCCCAAGGGCTCAACCTGAGAGCCATCGAAATGGTCCAGTGTGTGTAGACGAAGGGGGGATACAGTAGACAGACATGGAGGGGGTTTGGGGTGGGATGTAGATCGCAGCGGAATAGCCAATAACACGGCCCAGCACATCGTCCTAAGCGCCAGACAATGCTGAATGCACACACCACGCTTCATCACACCTGGACTGGGTGTTTATCCATCGCTAGGGTCGAATCAGAGCACTGTTCCTGTGATGGGGAAACACTGCTTGAAGGATTGACTTGATGCAGAGGGGAGTGATTCGTCAATTCTGCTGCCAGATGGAGCAGATCACTGGAGACAAGATTGTGCGGAGTATGTCCATCATCCCAGTCAGAATTGCTATACTTAGTTCTTGCTCCGGATAGATTGCTACGGAGTATAGATTTCTGCAAAGAGAGGACAAACATGTTTCTTCTTCTCACCCATTCAAATGAAAGACTTCCCACGACCAGGAAGAACCACTAATCTAAGGGCCCTCCTCACTATCTCATTATCCAGACGATCACCGGGTTGATTGAGGACAAGGATTCCGTGATGTTGAGAACGTCCAGCATGTCGATTGGCCCTCGCCTGGATACACCTCGTTAACCAAGCTTAGACTCTGAAAAGTCTGCCGATAAGGTTACCAATAATAACTACGACGATGGTTCCTGCAGTGCACAATCACAATCCTCATGCAGCCCGAGCCATGCTCGGACCTTGATGAGGGATTCTTCACTGAGGGGTCTTTCGTTGCTCATTGTGGTCACATATTGATCAATACAGTATTATCACACCGCTATCCTGTAGACGGACTGGATGTACGGAGTAGCGCAACATAAAAATAGGAAGCGAGTTTCGTAGTTCTAGCTAGTTAGGGATGGGCAAAGGTTCCTGCGTCGAGAATCAACTCACCAATCCCCTCAATTCAAATCAGTTGCGGCAGGTACTCATCCTTCTCCTCTAGAGTCAATTATCGAATAGCTATGGAGGAAGGCCATCGAGACAGGCTCCATACCTTTCTTGTATTCGTAGATGCAGATGCGCAACGATTCCAGCTTAGGGGGCAGACGATCCGCAAGCCTTGGTCAAGATCTAGGAGTAATATGTTCAGCACCCTTCCAGCTTCACTGCTACCGAGTCCCGCTCGATCAATCGCCTTTCAACCGAGAGAGGTCTTCCCACTCTAGTGATATCAGAGGGTGAGAATCAACAACACCCTGTACATAGTCGCCTCTTAGGAAAAGACAGATACCGAATGTTACGTCCCCAGATGGGATTTTTCAGGATTGAAAGCAGTATTCTGACCCCCGTGGCCAGCTTATAGGTTCTTCTAAGCTTTACTCGTCGGTATCTCTTGCGATTCGACTTGTCACAGAGACGATCGATTCGTCGACATTGCACTGGGAGTGATGCGAATGGATGTGGGATTCGATAGTTTTGATGATATTCAAAAGCATCCCGTCTGGGAGGTTCAAAAGAGACATTGGAATTAGGGAAGAGAACGAGACACGATGTTGATAGCAGCAGGAGTGATGACAGGACAGACAGAAAGCGTTTCTTGTTCTTGGTTCTACCCAGGCAGCAACCTCTTCACATCATAGACCATCCCTGATGGTTGGCCTGTCGTCTCACCTCACAAGACCATTCTTCTGGCTTGATCAAGGCTGTTTTATGAGGAGATTACTCGCTGAGTTTGCAGTCCAGAGAATTTCGATAATAGTCAGGACCATCTCACATGCTTTAGCAATGGCTTGGGATGAGGTGTTTTCTAACCATAATCTATTATGCAGTACGTATATGACCCAAGTACATTTTGTGCTCTATAACTGAAATGTAATTAATGGCCTCATGCCATCAAACATCTATGGTGCATCTTTCCCATGCCGTGCAGACCTGGCGGAATTCATCATAAGGTCTCTCGGAGGATAAAATGGATCGTCTCCAACTCCCTTTGAATAGGCAAAACCATATCATTTGGCCAAGTCTATCTCTATACTAAATTACATTCTTTCTATTTGAGATCAAGCGAATTCTAGAAGCTCGTATAGCAGGGTATCTATTTCGAAATCTCAACACCGTTCGTGGCACCTACGGATGAAGTCAGTCGTCGTCAGTTTCATGAAGAGTCAGCTATCAATAAAGAATGCAAACATACCAAGAGCCTTCTTGATATCATCATAGATCGCGAATTGACCAGCAGTCAGGCCACCGATCATAAACAAGCGAGTAGGCAGGCCCGCAAATGAGCCGCGAAGACTGAGCTCGCTGGCGATCTTGACGAGACGCGAGAGGGTTCTCTTACCGGGAAGGCCCTTGGTCTCGTTGATTTTAGACAGCATGGTGTCAGCAGGCTGGGAGATAATAGCGGCGGTAAAGCCAGCAAGGAGACCTGATCCCAAGTTGATACTTGTCTGGGCACTGCTGGACATTGTGGATTAATCAAGGTGAGCGAAGAAGGCCTCAGCAACCTTTTCAAAGACAACAAATTTGGTTACTGTATAGGGGACCCTGCGGAATGATATCAGTTTTCTTTCTTTCTTTCTTTTTTTTTTTTTTTTTGTACAGATTGATGGTTCAGAGATTGACATACTGCTTCAAAAGAATGGGACCAAAACCACAGTAGAATGCTCCAATACCCTCATTCTTGAGAATCTTACCAAAACCACCAATCAGATCATTAGCAAAGCCGGGCTGGGAGACAAGATGGATTTGGGTAGCCTCAAGAGGGCAGAGCGCGACGGAAGCAAAGAACTCAGCATAAGCAGCAGAGATGGAGTAGATAGCAGCGTGGTTCTAGCAGGCCTTATCAATACCCAAAATGTTGATCAATTTCTGTTTAAAAAACTCATAACCACCGAATTTGAAAGCTCCCTGCAGAAACTACCCAGCAAAGGTTGGGCCAATGCCATTCAGGAGGGCATCGGCACCGTTGTTCTGAATGACTTGACGGAAAGCACTGAACATGCCACGGTTATAAGTGACAGGGTCGAGCTGGATCCGGGTCTTGATACTGTGAGTGCCAGTCAGCCTCACACGAGTGGACTCAAGGTTACTAAGTCACGTACACATCAACCGGTGTGAAGGCACCATGAGTGACAGAGCAGCAGACAGCACCTGCAAAAGCGGATCGGGAGTAGAGGGCCAGACCCTCAGCAAATGGTAAGATCATAGCAAACCTGAGCACAAGAAGTCGAAGACTGCCGGGGTGGCTGCAGAGTCTACTGAGCTTACTGAGGTTGGCTGGTAGGGGGCGCTCGGCCCACACAGGGTAAACCACTAAGGAGTCATTTCGGAGTTTTTGGGCTTACTTCCATTTCTTGATAATGCCGTTTTGAAGAAAGGCCATTGGTCTGACTGCTTCTGACATTGCTTGAAAGTGTTCATCTTCCATAAGAGGTGCAGACAGACCGAAGGCTTCGAAGAGTCTGTCTTTGGCCTCTGGATATCGGGACTCAGCTGTTGAGATTTTGTATTCTTCCCCATGTGGGATATATGACTCGCATGTGCACGCTGTTGGCTGCGAGTGTCAGCAGAGGTTTTATACTCTGATTTTGTCTCATTCCATGATCCCCAACTGAGATACCAGATGACCCGATGTCTTTTAGCTGACTGTTGGAAATGATCATACACAAGGGACATGATGTGGCTGAGATAAAAGATCCTCAAGATCATTGCCTATTTCGCTAGCTGTGAGACAGACCCACTGTTTGGTTAGGTAGACTAAGCTCCAACAAAAGCTCCCAGACGGCCACTGGGATCTAGTAGTAGTCATGCAATAGAGTGACGATTGATGAGGGAAGAAATTAATCACCAAGTTACGTGGCATGATAAGAAGATGTGAGCCTTGCACTGCTGGTTGACTAGATATGAGGGAGGATGGGAAACCCTACAGCAACCATCGCTTCTCAACCATTAGCATGCTTGTATATGCCTTTCATTCGAGCGACAAACTTACTGACGCATTAATGCAGACAATCTAGGTTGACAACTATAGGCATGATCGGAGTCTTTCAGATATACTAGTCACATTGAGTCGAGCATTCCTATTCTTGACGACCGCCAGCAGCACCGCCAGGTCCAGATATATATCCAATGTCACCAATTCGTTTGGACAGTTACTGCGAAGACTGGATACTGAGCTATGGATGGCTCATCCTCAGCCAACTGCTTGACAACAGCTGGGCGAAAACACTCAATCAAGATAGGTTTGACAGGAATTTGGCGGCATAGTAAATATGCATGTCGCATGCAAAGAACGTGTTCTTGGGGAGATCTTGGTCCGAGCCTGCTTTTCCCCCGAGGAAATGAGCACCATCAAGTGTTGAAAGCCTATGAGAAGGATATCGTACATGGTAGCCAGGTCGCCAGGGCTGACGTGCAAAGGTGTCACAGCCCATTACTTCTAGGCACCTTCGAATAGTTCTCACTGCTGGATCAGCAAGACTCCAGACTTGTCCCCCGAGATCCATCGGTGCAAGGAAGTCAATAACCCTGAAGCTTGAGCCAAGTATAATTCTATCAAAGCCGTCACCCTGTGCGGATGGTGAAGTTGATTAGGGTCAACCATCTTACATTCACTCCCTGATGGATATCCATCATGATGCTACTCTATGAGTCCAGATGCTGTTTTTCTACAGTCAAATTATATGTGAAGCCCATTCCTCCATGCTTATGCTGCTCAATATGATGATTTAGCTGTCTATTCTGATGATACAATGGTTGAAAACAGAAGTAGCGTTGGCAGCTTGAGGTTTCTGGTTGGGACAAAACTCGGAGAGTCTTTGAGATCCAATGGATGTTCCTGGCTTGATGCCGATGAGCGCTGGGAAACTGTCAAACAGTGCTACACGGAGGTCACACTGCAGATGTTCTCCTGACTTATGTTCTGTCCCCTCTTCAATGTGCCGCTTCTGCTTTTTTGCAGTTATATTCTTATCCAGTTGAATCTCTTGGGCATCTTTTTTGTCTTTCTATCTGTCGTTCCTCCCTTGTTCTGCAGGAGATCTAGTAGTGACGTCAGCCAGAACCATTCATTGCACAGGACCAGATCCTCAGTCTTCCTGTCAGACCCGCTGGAGTTGATCTTTGAAGATCAGCTCGCGATCGGATTATTCTTAGCGAGTCTTGCAAGAAGTGCTCCGTACAGAATCGGCAATATCATTATGGGAGTAATCCGTAATCTACTGGAACCCGCCGGTGAGTCTTGCTGATACGATTCCCTGCATCGACGTGAGGCTGACTGCGCTGGAAATACAGCGATTGTGGTTGTGTTTACCACTGGTACTCTGATCAACCGTCGCAGGTATACGAAGTTACGGGATATACCATGCGTTGAGACGCCACTGCTCAAGAACGACTGCGAGGAGGAAAAGCCCCGATCCCTCAAGGGCCGTCCCAATATCCAAACCCGGATCCTCGCTCATTTCCCATTCTTAATTGAGATTTGGTACTGGCTCCTCACATACTGGGTACGGCAGCCAGTTTATATCTGAGGTTTGTTTTGAGGGATGAGCGGTGTTGACACGGTCTTCAGATATACCAGGGGCTGCGCGCAATATCCGCCAGGGTGATCAGCGACGACGAGGCTGTTTTTGAGCTTGCTCAACACCATGCGCAGCAGATACTTGGCTTGGAGCATGTTTTCCATATCGACGTTGAGCTGGCTGTGCAACAATTTGTTCTCAATCGCGTGCCATGGCTGACGTCTTTCCTCGCGAGAGTATATTATTCGCACATCGTCTTAGGGGTCATCTTCCTTGTTTATGGATATACCTTCTTCCAGCGGGACCGGTATCAAGAGGTTCGACGTACACTCGCCTTGGAGAACGTGATCGCATTCGCCGTCCTCACTCTTTGGAGATGCAGTCCCCCGCGCCTCCTTCCAGAGGTGTTCGGCTTCATTGATGTCTTGCACAGCAATACTGCCGGCTCGGCGTGGACGCAGAATAAGTTCCAGCTTACTATTGCAGCCATGCCTTCGCTGCACTTTGGGAACTCGGTGTTGATTGCACTCTGTTTGTTACGACATAGCCCGCACTGGCCTATCCGTTGCATTGCGCCTATCTGGCCCATAATGATGGGATTGACGATTGTCGCTACTGCTAATCACTTCATTTTGGACGCGGTGGTAGGCGTATGCGTTACCTTGACTGCGTACTGGTTTAATCATGTCATGTTGGTCTTGTTGCCTGTGGAGCGGGTATTGTTCAGGTTGCTTCGCATTGAGAAACCTGTGCCATGAGCGGTGACCAGGACGTCTCATCCGATATTCTTTTCGATTCGTCGTGGAAATGTAAAGCGATAATTGTATCAGTGCTTCGGTACTTATATGCAATAAATATGCTTTGATGTGTTGTCCTCGATATATATCTTACGAGGGATGACGACCACAGTGGTGCACAAACATATATTGCGACATCAACCACGACTAACATCAGCATCTCAGCTGCAGCCGCCACTACACAAGACGATGGAGCACTCGACTAAAATGTGTAGATCATACAAGGACACACCTCCTCGCCTAACTAACTCCTGAATATAGAGGCCGGGTAAATGCCGGTGCTGATGTTATCAGATAAGCTAATAATGCCGACTAATGAAGCAGCAGCGTGACTAATTTATGCTCGGCACATCCAGAAACTCTCGGCTGAATATGGTGATTTATATAAGATGGTATGATGGTTGACTAACACAATACAACCTAAGGATCATGATTCAGGATTCCAACCCTGGTCGTCGGAATGCCTCGCTCGTATAGATAGTTATTGACTGCAGTCAGCACACCGATTCGAGTTCGATTCAATGCAAGATACTCCGTGCAATACAATATACTTAATCCTAGATAATTAATTGGAAAGGATCGTGGGGAAGGAAGCTCGTCGGATGATAGGAAAGGGAAAAGGTCAAAGTGAGCAGGCGTGTGTTCGGAGATGCACCGAAACGACCGAGGACCTTAGGAAAGAGAAGCTGAATTCTGGCCGGTGAGCTTTTCCTGGGGTAAATTGGGTTGTCCTCTCCGCAATCTGTCACCTATTAGATATCTAGTCTGCTTGTTAAGTTGTATGCTTGAGGATAAAGAGACTGATAGACTTTAAAATCACTCTGTATTTGAGTTTACACTCACAACAGTGAACAGACAGGATGATTCTTCTTCTCCAACTGCGGACCCGCAGTCGACTACTCCGCACCGAAGACGGAGAGCATCGCAGAATCCACTGGCTCAGACAGGAAATGCGCATCCCACATCGGCCCGAAGTGAAGTGGTTTAGCATCTAGATATATTCTAGTGTCCTCCGTCGATGAAATGGGCTGTCAGATGAGAGTGTCATGTGAATCATCCCAGCATGCTGACAAAGGCCTCTAAACACTGTGTACTCTGTACTCCGTAGACGATGTGATGTGAAGTTTCCGTCTCTATCTCTAGAGTAGGATATATCTACCGAGTCACCCTGCAATCTCGAAAAAAACACCTACGAAGTTGTTGATCGTCTAGATAGAACAAATAATATCAATTCAATTGTTCATTGCTTCGAGCAAGATACTATCTAGATACAGAGTACACCTCGGGTTCTCTGCCCTCCTGCGGTTTTTTCTCTAGGCCCGGCGGGCATCGACTCTGGTCCTCGAATCAGTGGATGGCGTGTGTTCCGGATCTTACCGTGGCTCGCCATCCGCTCAGAATTTCTGCCTGCCCTGGTTTATTAGTTCGTTCCTTGTGACTCGAGTATTTTCAATACAGGCTGCAGAGTCAGACAGATCTATCTAGAATTCTAGCTACTCCGTAGATACTGAGATACGCAGTACTTCCTCTTGTCTGTAAATGAAGACATCCCTCACCAATCTACCCTGCTAGAGAACACCAAAGAACACCATCGACTCTCTTCCACCGTCGCCAGGATTATTGTCTTTATTATATTTGTCTGATATTGAACGGTCCCACGAGTCACAGCGACTGCGGAGAGCCGGGCACTGGGCCTCAGGCACCCGTGGTCAACTCCGATCGTCAAGCAAAAAACTCACCGGGTAATTTACTCCTTCCAGGGGCGGTGAAAAGATGGTGCCTGTTGTTTTTTTTTTTTCTCTCTCTACTTGTTATTATTGGCGCCTCGCTCGCAGAGGCAAAATACTTGTCCCCTAGGTTGTTGTCTTTTTTTTTTCCCTTTTCTTTTTTTTGCAAAACGAACGAAAAGGGAAAAAAAATTCTATTATTATTTGTTTTTTTTCTCTCTCTCTCTCTCTCTCTCTCTCTCTTCTTCCAGCGCAGCTGATGAGAGACAGAGTAAAGATAGAATAAGAGAATGATTTCCTCAAAGGGCTAGAAAAGCAGTCTCTCTAGAATAATATATCCCGTATATCCAATCCACTATTTCTCCTTCTATACCTGTGTAGATCGTCTTCAGGACAGTGGACAGAGGACAGAGGACAGACAGACTGCAGAGTTGACTCTTGTCAATCCCACTCCCCGATTATTATTATTACTCTTTTTTTTTTTTTTCCAATCTTTGTTCTTAGTCGGGTTTCTCCACACATTATTTTGCCTCGACCCAACCCCTTCATAACCTCCGTCTTTTACCCACGTTTGGCCTCCTTCCGCTGTCGCTTGCTTCTTCCTTCGTTCTTCTTGGATTTTGGGTCTTTTTAGGGAATCTGTTTGCATTGGCATAGAGTGCTCTGTTGGTTTTGTTTTGCATGAGAAAATGACCGTCAAGGAGGCTGTCAAGGAGTCCCTGCTGGGCCATTCCGAGGAGCCCCAGCTGTCGCAACAGGTGAAGAGTCATTTCTTCCACTATGCCGGGAAAGACGAATCCACGGGCGATTACTTTATGACAGAGGATGACTTCATCAACGCGGTTGCTCCCAAGCATGAGGATTATGTGAGTATCGCGCGGACTGTTTCTGTCTTCTCTCACCATCATTCCCTTCCATTGGAGGATGTGTCATCGCGCTGGACGGTTGCGCCTGTCTCCAATTCGAGGCTAACGTGTTCATTTTCGGACTTCGATAGAACAAGATCAAGCGCGAACACTATGGCATCCTCTTTAAAGTTGCCGATACGCGGAGAGCCGGCAAGCTCAGCCTGAGTGACTGGGCTACCTTTGAGAACCTCCTGTCCAAGCCCGACGCCGAATACGAGATCGCTTTCCGACTCTTCGATCTGGATGGCACAGGCACGGTGAAGTGGGACACGTTCAAGAACCTGTACAACATGAACAAGAGCAGTGACAATATCCCCTTCGATTGGAACTCGGAATGGGCATCCCTGTACTCTGGCCGGAGCAAGTCCCGCCACGACATGACCTACCCTCAATTCTCTCAGATGCTGCGTGGTTTGCAGGGTGAGCGCATCCGCCAAGCTTTCCACATCTTCGACAAGGACGGTGATGGTTACATCGAACCCGAAGAGTTCCAGCGCATTATCCTGGAGACCTCCAAGCACAAGCTGTCCGATTACGTTCTCGAGAACCTTCCTAGCTTGTGCAACATCTCAACCGGCACCAAGATCTCGTACGCCACTGTTCGCGCGTTCCAGAACGTCATGCGGGAAATGGACATGATCGACGTTATCGTCCGCGAGGCAACGCAGAAGAGTTCTGACGGCAAGATCACCCGTGCTGATTTCCTCAACGAGGCTGCTCGCGTGACCCGATTCTCCCTTTTCACTCCCATGGAGGCAGACATTCTGTTCCACTTCGCTGGCCTCGAGGCGCCTTCTGGCAGACTGTCGCAGAAGGATTTCGGCAAGGTCATTGACGCCTCATGGCGCATGCCGCTGGCACTGGCTGGCCAGGCCGTCTCGACCGCATCCACTACCGCGCACGTTGCTGCTGAGAAGACCAAGTCGGTGTTGCACAGCGTCCTGGAGTCCGTTCACCACTTTGCGCTCGGCAGTTTGGCTGGCGCCTTTGGAGCGTTCATGGTCTACCCCATCGATCTGGTCAAGACACGGATGCAGAACCAGCGGTCGACGCGCGTTGGGGAGCGGCTGTACAACAACTCGCTTGACTGCTTCAGAAAGGTCATCCGAAACGAGGGTTTCCTGGGTCTCTACTCTGGCGTTGGGCCTCAGCTGATCGGCGTGGCGCCCGAGAAGGCCATCAAGCTGACGGTGAATGACCTTGTCCGTGGCCATTTCACCAACAAGGAAACCGGCAAGATCTGGTATCCCTATGAGATCTTTGCTGGTGGTGCTGCTGGTGGTTGTCAAGTCGTAAGTTCGGCCTGCAAAACTGAGAATTGTTAACTGGCACTGACTCTTTTTTCTGTTAGATCTTCACAAATCCCCTCGAGATTGTCAAGATTCGCCTGCAGGTTCAGGGTGAAATTGCCAAGACTGTGGAGGGCACCCCTCGTCGCTCGGCCATGTGGATTGTGAAGAACCTGGGATTGATGGGCTTGTATAAGGGAGCCAGCGCCTGCCTGCTTCGTGACGGTAAGATTCGTTCTTTCTTTTTTTTTTTTTTTTTTTTTTTTGATGCTCATAGTTTCTGACTCATTGATTGCCTAGTCCCCTTCTCCGCCATCTACTTCCCCACCTATGCTCATCTCAAGACCGACCTCTTCGGCGAGACCCCCACCCAAAAACTCGGCATTGTACAGCTGCTCACTGCCGGTGCCATCGCCGGTATGCCTGCGGCCTACCTCACAACACCCTGTGATGTGATCAAGACCCGTCTGCAAGTGGAGGCCCGCAAGGGCGACGTCAAATACACCGGCTTGCGCCATTGTGCGGCAACCATCTACAGGGATGAAGGTTTCCGGGCGTTCTTCAAGGGCGGCCCTGCTCGTATCGTCCGTTCCTCGCCGCAATTCGGTTTCACCCTGGCTGCCTACGAGCTTCTGCAGACCTGGCTCCCCATGCCCGGCACCCACGCCGATGTCTCGCCGACAGGACAGGTGGAACCCGGCGTCGGGTTGCAGAGCGCCAAGGAGCCCCTGCCCTACTTACGATCCAGAAACGCTCTCAAACTCATCCTTGACCTGGACGAGAACATCGGCCGCGTGTATATTCCCCAAGCCGACAAGTGGCCCAAGTTCCTCCAGCCCTCGAAGCAATGATTTGCATTGTTCTGATTATAGCGATCTGTTGGCCTTTCCTCTGTGGTTCTCTTCCTGCGTTGACATGAAAATATATTCTCTTTTCCATACCTTCTCAACCCTCTTTTTTTTGGTTCTTGGGGTTCCGGTTTTTGTTCGTTGGGCGGAGGTTACGCATAATTCGTCCTGTTTTTCTCTCTTCTGTTCATACAAGGACCATCTTGCATTGCACATTGTAACAAAAGCAGGTAGACTCGGGAGCAAGTCATATCATCTTGTGCATTTGTCGCAGCTTTCCTTATCTCAAGATTTCAGATTTTCTATAGAGACTACTACTTGCATTCTCCACATTTCTCACTACATAGAGCAAAATCACTGTCTCATTCATCATCTCCATGGCATGGCTATCTTTGAATTGATACATCATCAGCTAATTACTCAGCCCTCATCCACTATTGACTCACGAGTCGTTGCTGTGTATGAGTCACTGGTCTTTGGATTCCCCAGGTTGCCGATAAGCGGCCGATAAGATAAGCTGGTATAACCTTATCTCACACGTGACCATTCCACTTTTTTTTTTTTTTCTTTCATAGATGGCGAAGGACCCGCCGCAGACTTTCTCTCTTTCTTTTTCTCTTCCCCCCCTTCCCTGGTTTTCACCAGGAGGGCTAATATTGAATCATATCATTTTAATCTCAATTAGCCAAAATGAAGTACGTTCTGGTCTCGGGAGGTGAGAATTGAATCCTTTTCCTGCTTTTCTTTTTTTTCTGTACCTTGGACACGTCGCTGACTCTCGTAGGTGTCATCTCTGGTGTCGGCAAGGGCATCATCGCCAGCAGTTGTGGGCTGCTGCTGAAGACTGCGGGCCTGGCTGTTTCTAGTATCAAGATTGATCCGTATCTTAACCCTGATGCGGGTCTCATGAACCCTCTAGAGTTGGTCCCACCTACCACTATTCCCTCATCGCAGACATTGACGCGTTAAAAAAAGACACGGAGAATGTTTCGTTCTCGACGATGGAGGCGAGGCCGACCTCGACCTCGGAAACTATGAGCGGTACCTCGGAGTGACCTTGGGACGGGATAACAACATCACCACTGGAAAGATCTACCAACACGTCATTGAGAAGGAACGTCGCGGTGACTATCTCGGAAAGACGGTTCAGATCGTGCCGCATCTCACCAATGAGATTCAGAACTGGGTGGAGCGCGTTGCGAGGGTCCCTGTAGATGAATCGGGACGGGAACCGGATGTCTGTATCATCGAATTGGGTGGAACCGTCGGAGATATTGAGAGTGCACCGTTCGTTGAGGCGATGAGCCAGCTCCAACGCCGGGCTGGCAAGAACAACTTCCTGGAGATCCACGTCAGCTATGTTCCTCTGATTGGTTCGGAGCAGAAGACCAAGCCTACACAGAGAGCCATCAGCGACGTCCGCAGCGCTGGCCTCAGGCCGGATCTGATCGCCTGCCGCTGCGAGACCCCTCTTGAGGAGAGCACAATCCAGAAAATTGCCAATGCCTGCCAGGTGGAGCGTGACCAGGTTGTTGGCGTCCACAATGTGTCGACAACCTATCAGGTGCCGATCCTGCTGGAGAAGCAGGGCTTCTTGAATACCATCAAGGAGCTGTTGCACATCGATACAGTGCAGAAGGACCCCAAGCTCATTGAGCACGGTAAGGTCATCTGGCAGGAATGGCATGGCCTGGCCATGAGCCAGGACCGGGTCTTTGAGACCGTCTCTATTGCCCTTGTCGGCAAGTATACCAGTCTGCATGATTCATATATGAGTGTTAGCAAAGCGCTGGAGCACTCTGCTATGCACTGCAAGAAGAAGTTGGATCTTATTTGGGTGGAGTCTTCCCACTTGGAAGAGGAACACAAGGACTCGAATCCGTCCGAGTATTACAAGGCCTGGCACTCGGTCTCGACTGCCGACGGTATCTTGGTTCCTGTAAGTTTACTCGCGGATTTGTGTGGATGTATGGATTCTAACACTGTCACAGGGCGGTTTCGGTGAGCGTGGTACCGAGGGTATGATTAAGAGTGCCGAGTGGGCTCGTACAAACAACGTCCCCTACCTCGGCGTATGTCTGGGTATGCAGCTGGCCGTGGTGGAGTTTGCCCGCAACGTCTGTGGGATGCCCAACGCTGGCAGTGCCGAGTTCCACGAGCACTGCGAGCAGCCCGTGATTGTCTACATGCCTGAAATCGACAAGACGAAGATGGGCGGCACCATGCGCCTCGGCAAGCGGGCCACGATCTTCCAGCCCGGTACCGAGTGGTCTCGTCTGCGCAAGCTCTACGGCGACAAGCAGGAGGTCTGGGAGAGACACCGTCACCGATACGAAGTCAACCCGGAGCTGGTCGACCAGCTCGAGCAGGGCGGCCTGACCTTCGTAGGCAAGGATGAGAGCGGCAAGCGCATGGAGATCATCGAGCTCAAGGACCACAAGTTCTTCGTCGGCGTGCAGTTCCACCCGGAGTATCTGAGCCGGGTCCTGGCGCCCAGCAAGACCTTCCTGGGCTTCTTCGCGGCGTCGGCGGGTTGCCTCGACGAGATCACGGAAGTTTTCAAGGATCCACACGATCTGAGCCACCGCGAGCTGAAGGTTGCTGTTCAATAGACGCGGCCGATGCTGGTAAAAGGCGTCGGCTTGCTAGTTGGTTGGTTCTTTGGTTGTTGTTGCTGTTGCTGTTGGTACCTGGCGTTTGGCAGATGAAAAAGACATACCATGCATTTTCTCCCATAGGGATATAGATAGAGTCGCTATTGTCAGCGCAGTATAATCCGAATAAATTGTCATCTATCTCATCATCCACCTGCCGAAGCATCTCATCAACCTCGAGGCCTAGGTTCATCAATACTCTATCTAGATCGACTCCGCCCCAGATCTACCATCTCCAGACTCCATCCAACCCGCCAGGCCTGCGACGCGCTAACACCTCAATCAATCAATACACGGGTCCAGCCTCCCCTTCCTCTCCCTCTGCCAACGGCGATGAAGATGACGACGATGAAAATGAAGACCAGCAAGCAAGCCCTCCTCTCCCAAGCCCTCCTCTCCCAAGCCCTCCTCTCGCAAACGCGTCTGCGCGCACTAAACACTATGCACATAGGTCTATACGAGTCTGTACCCGATCAGATGGCGTTTACGGACCATGATGAGGATTTTCATGGGGAGAGTGATACGGAGGAGATGCAGGAGTGGTTTCCGGAGCGGGTTGTGCAGCCGTGCTATGAGGGGAGGTTTGGGGGGAAGGGGTGTGAGAGGGATTGGCATTGGGAGGAAGAAGGAGGTAATATGAAGTAGGGATAGTGCTTTGCTCTGGTGTAGGTGTCGAGTATCGATGACTTTGACTAGTTATTATTTCCTCTGTCGAAGGGTTGTTCTCGGTATGGTATACCGAGAAATCCACGGCGGAGCATTCTTCACACATCTGCCAGCCCCAGCTGTGCTCGACCACCAGACAAGAACATCTGCCCGTAGCCTGCCCAGCCTGCCCAGCCTGCCTAGCCTACGAAGCTCCAGCTGGATTCCTCATAAGGCGGCCCATACTCCGCATGTCGTCTCTCGGCCCACTCGCGGGCATCCGCCGCCCACATGGGCTCGGTCAAAGCCGGCTGCCGAAACCGCAATCCCTGCTGCAGATCCGGCTTCTCGAATACTCTCGAGTGGACGACGAAGTCGTTGTCTACACAGCGATAGCTCGTCGGCTCGTCCTCCCAATCCACCGGTCGCGACGTATCCCACACGGGCTCGAGGTTGAGGAGGTGTATCTTTCTGCTGGCTCGCGCCGTGTTGGCCTTTTGCTCGGGCTCGGGCTCGGGATCCCGGGTCCACAGCGAGGAGAGATCGAGGAGGTCGAGATCGGGCATCGCGCTGCTGAGGTGTGCCAGGATTGGGGGCCAGGTTCCCTTCGTCAGGTAGAGGCCGCGGAGGGATAGGGTCCGGAGTCGGGGGTGGGTTTTCAGGAATAGGGAGAGGGAATTCTCCGTGACCATGAAGCCGGACAGCTTGCAGTCCTGCAGCTCCGGGAGACGGACGTGGGTGGCGATTGAATCGAAGATCCAGTCGTAGCGTTCCAGATCGTCGTATTCGAGATGGTAGAGGCGGAGGTCAAGCCGCGAGAGCCTGGGGCTGTTCTGTAGCATCCGCGTAATCTCCGGGAGCTGGGGGCTCGAGTTTTGGTAATCTGCCTGCACCGATAGCCATGTATCCAAGACCGAGGTCTTGTGCGTGGCAGTCCTTCCCGCGAACGCGAACCTCTCGACAGTTCCCTCGTCAATGTCCGTCGAGAGGCTCAGCGAGAGCGCCTCGAGACCCCCACCCACGGCAGAGAGGTCACCAGCGCTCCATCCCGCAAGATGACGACCGTAGTCGCCGCACGGGATACCGCATCTCGTCGTCGTCCGGTAGATATCTAGTTTCCGCACGGATACCCGGCTCCGGGCAAGGGCTGCCATAGTCACGTCGTGCGCCCATGACGCCTGCGCCCACATGGCGAGCAAGGAACCGTTGTTCGAATCCAGGTCGAAGCTGTTAGACTGCCGAAGCGCGGCATCCAGACGGATCGTATCGAGCGTTGCGAAGCGACGCAGGATCGCTGCCAGGGTTCGGATCGCATCCGCTGCTGACCGAGCCTGCTGCGCGTCGTGTTGGCCCTTTAGCCAGGCAACCTCTCTCGCAGCCCTCGCCAACTCCTCCTTGGAGCATTCTCTGGACCAGGGGACAAATAACGAGCCGTCGATGTCGGTCACGCCCGTTTCTCGGCCTTTTGCGATGATCTTCTCCAGGGCAGCCGAGTCATGGTAAGGAGCGAGGATCACCAGGGTGTGACAGTGCTGCCGTAGTACGGGGTTGCTTGCCAGGGCGTCTAGACGGACAAGACTCGCCTCGCTGAGATCTGTTTCCGGCTGTCGGAGAGAGTCCAGGAAGGACTGGGTCATGCACGTCGTGCTGAAGGATCGGCTGGTCAGCCGGAGAGCTTTGATACTGGTGAGATCCAGGTCCGAGAGCACCAGGTCGAGAATCTCCATCGGAATCTTGGTGATAGACATGGTGATTGTGGATGATCTTCGGAGAGCTGACGCTACATGCAATTTACGCGAATCTTTGATAGTGCGGAGTTGCCAACAAGCATATATATATATATATATATATATATATAATATGCAACAGGGGTATCTATTATTTGGCGATTTATGGCTCCCACTGTGTTGGGCTGGGACCCGCTGTGCCAAGCCCGTAAGACGGCTAGATGTCTGCTGCCCATGCTCTGACTCATTTTTATAGACACATTTAGTGTATCTAGTGCGCAGTGACTCGTGTTCCACCTTGTCCTTGATGCTATGGTCAACATGTCAGTCCTAGAAGATAATGTACGAGTTTTCCCAACCCCATTTTAAAGGGTTGAGAATCACCATTTTTCTAAGCACAATTCACTATAGGGCCTCATAATTTGTTAGGTAACTGGATAGGTTGATGAACAGAGAAAGCATGAAGCTGGTAATGTTAGAGGAAGGTTGGTTGACCAAAGCTCTCTAGTAGCCATCTACTATGGCAGAAGCATGGGCATGGAGGCGGCCAGATAGGCAGTCGTAGGGACGGTCAATACTCTCCTTTCCCACCTATATACTCCGTATTGCTTTCTCTCTTCTCTTCATGCATAGAATCTGCTCAAAGAGTTAAGTGCTATTATACATTTGCATGTCCGAGCTGCTGGTCATACAGTAGTGGCTGCCACGATGATTCCTAGCTCTGTTTGATATTCCCACTGATACTAAGTATACAAATCTCTGGCTGGTCTCTATAGAGACCAGTAATAATATCTAGCAGGAGATCTACTTTGTTTATTTTAAGTGTGTTCATTGGCACTGGCAGTGCAGGCATCTCTCAAAGGCTGTGATTGTGGTTATAGCCTCGTCATTTGCCCGTGGAACCATAGCGCGTCTTCGGAGCTGCTCACCTGCAGCTAATTTTCGGGCGTTAAGAAGTAAAACCAAGCACAGCCTTGTCTTGTCGCCAGACGCATGCTGCATCTCCCCTGCAGATCTTCCAAGAACTGGCCTTTTGCTTGGTCCAATCATTTGGGGAAGTCTGGAATCTAGATGAATCATGAGTCAATATGTCGACCTTGTGGCTATTTCTTTTCTCACTTGCCTCCCTTGGGCCCAGGAAAAAAAAAAGCTATACATCCACAACAGTCTTCCATGCTACCAAAGTCTTCCCACTGTGGAGTTGCGGTTCCCCTTGATTATTGACCTCGTCCGACTTTCATATGGCCTCCATCCTAGACATTCGGGATGACCCGTCCACACCACCAACCGCATTAAGCGCCCCTCCACTGCACACAGAATTCATGGTCGGTTGGATCTGTGTACTCAAAGAGGAGTATCGTGCAGCCGTGAGCGTTCTGGACGAGCGATACGATGCGGCCGGTTTGATTCGCGGCCAAGGAGACCGAAACCACTATGTCCTCGGACGGGTTGGGGGGCATCACATCATGATCAATCTCCCGCCAGCCGAGATGTACGGACAGACCCATGCATCCCGAATAGCCATCGACATGAAAAGCACATTTCCGAGAATCCGATGCGTGCTTCTGGTTGGAATTGCAGGCGGGGCGCCGTCCCCGAAGCACGACATCCGGCTCGGTGATGTGGTTCTCGGCACGAGGGTTGTCCCCTACGCAACGGGCAAAGAGACCGACGATGGCTTCGAGCGGACTGGCATGGTACGAACTCCACCTAGAGAGCTGTTGGAGGCGATAACGTTCTTGGAAGAGCGCATGTGGTCGGAGGATCTGAGTCTGTCAGAGTCTATTGAGCGCATTCGCGCAAAGACCACTCGAGGCCAGACTGCATTTCTCCGCCCCGCGAACGATCGGCTTTACAAAGACGGATTCCTCCACCAAGAGACGGTGTGTGATTGTTTGCAGCCGGAATCACAGCAACAAGCCAACCTAATTCCGCGCCGGCTGCGTGAAGGAGATCTGGTCCAATTGTTCAAAGGAAGTATTGGGTCTGACAACCGGGTCATGAAAAACGCTCAAACCCGTAATGATATCGCCAAGAGAGAAAAAATCTTGTGTTACGAGATGGAAGCCGCAGCGGTGATGGAAATTACGCCTTGTCTCCCTATCCAAGGAATCTCCAACTATGCGGATGGACACAAGAACGACGACTGGTGTTTATATGCCGCGTTGGCAGCAGCGGTGTGCGCCCGGGAGCTCTTATTGTCCATTTCGCCACAGATTGTTGCTCAATATCCTCTCACTCTTTCTGGGACACTTTTGGATCGCTATATCACAGATGTGGCCCGCAATCCACACGCCTTTTCTAGCAATGAAACCGAGAAGTTGAGACAGAATCGTAATAGTCTAATTGAGAGGCATCCTTTGATCGAAGAGCTCTTGAAACAGCAGCTCCGGAAGATGGAGGACGGGTCAGACGGAGATATTGAAGACGTGCAAAACGAGGTGAAGCGACTGCAGGACCTGCAAGCAACCTTGAAGAGACACCTGGATGATCTTGGTCCAATCATGGACCGTCACAACGACTTACTTTTGAGTCACGACGCGGCCGTCCGAGATGAGTACACCTATTTACAGGCTCAAGTACAAATGGACTCCAAGGCAATGGAGGACTTTGCCGTGGTTGCCCAAAGCAGTCTGCAGACCACAGGCAAGATGCTGAAGCTATGCAGCTTGAAAATGAGGAACAAAGAATAAGGGGTTGCGAGTATTGTGGTTGGAGCTATTAGTGAGCTATTCGGGCATGTTGCGAAGCTCTGGAAATCAAGGAGAATATTCTCAACTGCTATGTTGCAACGGGGGTTCCGAAATATGCGAAGCAGATTGGGCTCTCCACGTCCAGAGGATACAACTGAGATGGAGTGTCTCCTAGTCTGATTCTAATAGTCAATGTCTGAGCACATATGTATGTTTACCTTGACTCTGTTCCGACTATGGTGACCAACTTGTAGTTACGGAGTAGTTGCTGCGCCGCGATAGCCCAATCACAGCACCCAGCAGACTTAATCACGGACGGTGTCTTAGTATCTCTCTAGAGTGGACTGGAGACTAACGGCCGGGCATCTATTTCCGAGTAGCTCCTGACTTTTCACGGAAAGGCTTCATAAATGCCAAGTCTGACACCAGTAGGAAACCTTAACATATTGAATCCCAACTCTTCTTGATCTTCAAGCATAAATACCTAGAAAAGTATTCCGTCTTATGATATGAGCGGTGGTTCAGATTACCTCCCAACAAGCTTTCTAGGACAGTACCCGCAAGATTCACTTCTTTGCATTCTCCGTGGCCGCTTGGTAGCTCTGCATCAAGCACCAATACCCAGGGACATGATCCGTCCAGATCTTCCCGAAGCCAGCAATATCCCGCCGCCAGTCGCGGTGCAACTCAGCCGCAATGGCCGCCCAGTTCATCAACTGGCAGCCGGCGTGCACCATGCGCTTATGCGCCGCCTCCCGCGTATGCTCGGCAAAGGTTCCCGACGCGTCGGTGGCGATGAAAACATCATACCCTTGCTCGATCAGCGAGAGAGCAGGGAACGCAACGCAGACCTCGGTGAGGACTCCGCTACAGGCACGATCAGTACATCCCCCGTGTCTTGCCTTTTGTCTACTTCTAATCCAATCCAAGTGCGTGTTGGGGTTTGAGCATACCTGATAACCACCTGTTGCTTGCCCGTTGCCTTGACCGCGTTGGCGAAATCCTCGTTATCCATTGCGTTGATTTGACCGGGGCGACGGATGATGGGGGCGTTGGGCAGCACTTCGGGAATCTCTTGGGCAATGGGGCCATTGGGACCGGTCTCGAATGATGTAGTCAGGATGGAAGGGGCGTTGAAGTATTTGGCCACCTTCACCAGGCCGAGCACGTTTTCGCGAAATTCATGTGGCTCAAAGTCGCGGACTAGCTGGATCAACCCGGACTATTCCTGCTGTGAGCTTAGGATCATAAATACGACAATAGGAGACATGGAATTACCTGGTGATCGATGAAGAGGAAGACGCAGTCGTCCGCGTTAAGGCGTTTGTAGGCGGGAGGCATTTTGAACGGGATGATATGAGAGGGTCCTGGTCTAAGGTAGGCTCGGTTGGGAGTATGGAGAATCGTACGGGCTTTTTATAGGATATTCGGGGGTTCGCCCAAGGCAAGAGGCTCGATAGAAGCACGCTGGGATTAGGGCAACTGGGCAAGTGTTCCGGGAACAGCCGCTAAGCTTTCCCCGGAAAGATTTCCTAATCGTTCTCCTTAAGCTTAAGGCCCCGGTTAGCCAATCGACAATTGACGATCAGGATTAGACTATCTGGCCGGTGGGTCCTGAAATCGATGACGAAGTAGGTATCCACTTCTTTTATATGATATTTGTCATTTGGCCAGACTTTTGACATACACCATCCCTATCATCCTACGCCGGCATCATGATTGCGTAATTCATTCCCTCTGTTGTCTGTAAATGCGACGGGAGCAAGTAGTAAACCGGATCAGGGCTTCAGGGATGGCATTTATATGTGCCGTCATACCCTACAAAACTCCTCGCAAACGATTGAGATGATTGAGATTAGACCCCATCATATCTATGAGAAAGGCTTATACCCTAATACCAAGAGATCGTTCAATTTCTGACCTGGGGGCACTATTCATACGGTCATACCAGAATTATTCAATCTTGGAAAAGCTAAGATATAGCTTCTTCAGTATCTAAAACGGAATTGTATAAGCTAAAAAGGCTGCCAAGGCATTACTTCCAAGTTCATTGCAGTAAGGCTCAGGACTGGTGGAACTTGGGGATGTAGAACATGCAGCTTTACATCCAGGTCTGCAAGAGGATGGTCCCTATGCCATCTAATGATGGCACTACTCAGCTGATTCCTGTCAAAAAATGACTGGGGGAATCTATGTGATGAATGGGGGTTGCCAACAGAGCGCTGGGGATTCGAATAGTGGTATTTTCTTATCTATATAGCCACCTTTACACTTTGAAAATACTGAATGTCATGTTTTGTTTGCATGATTGATATAGAATTCCTCTGTGTTTTCTAAAGTGGTTGTCAAGCAGTAGCCTCATTTGTCGCTCCTGTGTCAAACTGGACTATGCTGAGGTGGTTATTTTCAGATCATCATTGCGGCAAGGACTGAGTTTGGGGCACCGGGGGGGTATACAGGACTACTAGCCTAGATCGACCCATACTTCGTAGCGAGTGTGGTAGCGATTCGCACCATCACGACCTATCCTACTCAATGGCCACAGCTCTCGGCGACATGGATATCGCAGTCACATCATAGCCAAACCAGGAGAAGAGATTCGAGGAATGCAACGACTTCGGAGTCTACTCGGAGAGGTCGAGCAGGTTGCCTCCGCCGCTGTTCGTTGACTGCTGCCTCGGAATACGAGGAGATCGCCATGGCTGTTTCTTCAACGAACCACGCTGCAACCTCGCGTTGCGCGGGACTGAAAACCGGGGTTGACTGATCGACGTTGCCAAGATGGGGCTGATTGATTTCTGGAGAGATTCCACGAGTTGGATCGATGGTGGGATGAGATGTAGCTAGCATTGGTGGCTGCACATTGGTCTTGAATCAGGGCCACGAGGGGGTGGATAGTGGAAGCTATACTGGTGCATGAATTTGGCATGACAGAGATGTTTTACAGCTGATCTTAATGTCATTCTCTACACGAGTCACTGGAAACTGGGAGGACAATAAAGTTACGTCTCTGCCGGGTGGCCCCCATGGTGTATTCCCAGTGGTGGACACAGCTCGTATTGCTTCTATTCTTGAAGCTGAATTGCCTTCTGCAATCAGTAAAGGGAGTATCACCCAAGGCTATCAGAGCTGCAACTGGCCACACCTCAATGTCGGCGAGTATCTTGGATCGTAGGTGCAGTGTGGAGTGCATCTCGTATTTGACTGTTGATCATTGAACCAACTTGCAGGACAAGAAGGCGTGGCCATGATATCCCCACGCTCCTGTTCTGCTTGAAACAAGGGTTGTTGTCGATCAGATCCACGCGACTCTGTAAGAAGAAGAGAGTATCGAACTGGCGATGCTTTGATATTGCATCTCGTTGGGGAGAATTACGAAAGAGGTATGCGGCCGACGTCAGGTCGAGGATGATCTTAGTCAAAGGATACGACGTGAAGGTTATTTTGTTGAGAAACCTTGATGACTATCGTCTGTAGGTATCAAGGAGTGGAAGTTGAGCATCCCCAGATCGGGTCACGATGAGGGAGCGCAAAGGTATAAAGGGGCCGTTGACCTCGCCCTGAAATCCAATTCATCATCAGCAACAGCAGCAGCAAGACAACAGACCACACTCAGAACCACAATACCGACTGTCTAACTCCCAAAGAACATCCACAGCCGAGTAAGTTTTCCCTCCTCTCCTCTCAAACACCCTTACTAACCCTACCAGTAACATGCGCTTCGCCCTCTTCACCCCCCTCCTGGCAGCCCTCCCCCTGGCGTCTGCCCTCTGCCACAACTCCATCTCCTGTGCCCTCGGCGGCGACAACGTCTGCAATAACGTCTGCGTGCGCCAGGGCAATGACAACGGCGGCCGCTGCCTGCCACGCGACGGCTGCCCAGGCTACGACATCTGCGCGTGCTACCCGCGCAGCAAGCGCAGCGACGAGGTCATTGACGGCGACGCGCCTTTGCGCGAGGTCCTCAAGGACATGGGTGTGGAGGATGTGGTCAACAAGGTGGATGCGCGCGACGTGAAGCTCGATAAGCGCAGCATCTGCTGCAGCTTCCCGGATCCGTGGGGCGGATTCTGCTGTGAGGATCATTGCTCGTATATTGGCAAGCCTGGTGGACAGTGCTCGGATAAGAAAGTTTGCACTTGCAACTAGGGGTGGAGGATGAGCTTTTGGGTTGGGGAGGTTGGGTTGACTGGGAGGATGGAGGGAGTTGTTGGACCTAAGCTGCTGAGATTGCTTCACTCTGGGATTCTTGCCTGTCTTTATGGATGGACTACATGTCTATTAGTATCATCATTTTCAGGTTATAATGGCATATTTTCCTCAAGAACTTCATCATCCCGCTCTTGATATTAGTACTGCACAAGGCTCCCATCAGATGAACTATGTATAAGCCCTGTAAGTTTCCTAATCCTCATGCTTTCACTGTGAAAATGTAAAAAATCAATAATCTATTTCTGATATTGGGCATTCACTATGAATACTTTCTCAATTTCTCCAGAGTTCTGAAAACAATGTCAATTACTTTATGTCAGTGAATAGCTACACCTTCCGCTATTCTCATTCACTTGCTGGATATCACCAGCCTTCCACTAGCACCAATTCGTGCCAACCTTCACTTCTTTGTTCAACCAACATTCACTATCACCAATGATAAATGTCTATATAAATCTCCTCCTCCTCCATCGATCTCATCTTCTCTCTTCATCACTCCCTCTCGTATCTCTTTCCCACTTCAAACTTCTCTCTCATCAAACAACGAATCCAAACAACCCTGTCTTTCAAACACTCCAGTCTTCACAATGAAGCTCAACACTATCATCCTCTTCTCCCTCGTTGGCATTGCCACCTCTTTCGCTACCCCCCTCAAGGGCAGCCAGGAGGACAACAACATCGCTGCTCGTGCTGACAGTAGGCACCCCTTCCATCCATCCTCCCCTTCCCTTCACACAAGACAAGAGAAAAAGAACCTGACAATGCATCAGATGCCATGCTCGGCCAGGCCTGCGGCAAGCACGGCGAGTGCCCCGAGCATTACGAGTGTCTCAATAACTGGTGTCGCTGCAAGCCTTTCCACCTTGTAAGTTGTTTCCCCTGACTCGTCTGGCAATGGTGGCTGACAAGGCGGCTAGCAATTCTGCAAGAGAGCTTAGGTGTATTGAGCGGAGGCATCGAGTGGCGGGCTGGTTTGGATACATACACTGGGTGTGGAGATTCGAACTGAGCTTGGCTACGATTGAGATGCTTTTATCTTGCAGGAGGAGTGATTATGGCTATGGTTTATGATGATGGTGATTGGTGGCGCAGTTGACCTGCGGGATGTATTTAGATACTCAAACAGATCAATCATCACCTCATGAGGACTTGACAAGGCTGGCCATGTAGAACAACCGCGCCGCTTTCCAACTTCGAAATGTTCCTGCAATGGCTATATCTCGGCCGTGTAGAGCTCGACGACGAAGCCCCAGAAGACCGAATCGCCGCTGCCATAGAACTCGCGAGGCTGGCAGACATGCTGGGGTCAAGCGGACTGGAGGCTCAGATGGCGGAGTTGATCAAGGCAGCTATTATCGACGACTCGGAGATTCCAAATCCGGACAGCGGGGAGCAAACGAGTACTACAGAGCATGTCACACCACAGCACATTTCTGCAGCCAGGAACTTGCCCAAGGGACATGCGGTGCGCCTTATGTTTGCCGAAGCAGCCGTCGAGGGATTCCTTCACTCCGATCGTTTCAAGTTCCTCAACGAGCTGCAGGAAAATCCCGACTTCGCTTCGGATCTTCTCCAAGAGTTGGGGAGTGCCCTGAAGACTGCTTCCGGGGGCCACTACGCTACCTATCTAGATCCTTTCAGCGGCAGAAAGCTAGACTTCCATCTAGACCAAGACGATTAGTATTCATTGCAGAAGGGGGTTGCGTGGCCTATAGCATGCCAAGTCTACCAAGCGCCCACTCATGCTATCCATTACAATTATTGAGACTCGCCAGTGATCCCCCATAACCTGCTCTGTACTCGCCAGAAGAACGAAACCGGATTTTTAGTTGCCAAGTCTACATAAGCAATATGAGGGTTCAAATCCCTCCAATAGGCTAAACAAACAAGTTAAATAAAGTGAGAAGTGCATTTCTGTCTTGAAATTGGATTAGACTAAGCCTGTATCTTCCCTTTCTTTCTCTAAGCCCTCGATTTCGACAACGGAATAGCCTCATCTCTCAACCGCCCTTCCGAACCTAGCCGGACGCGTGTGACAATTTCAGTTCAAGGTCTAGTCCACTACAAGAACGCCGTTTTGGCTCTTTACGCGCCGAATCTCGGAGACGGAAAACAAAGTAACAAGCTCCCATGGATCCGCCTACCCAACAGACAGAAGATTGGTTCTCGCTTCTGACTTTCTGAGAGATGTGGCTTGAAATTGAGGGGATAAGGGCGTCTATGTGATAAATGTTTCGACGGTCCTAAAGCCGTGAAGAGCAACCACTTTCGGTTTGACGCTGTTGATAGATATAGCTTGGATGATATATCGATCAATCAATCAATCAGTCAAGATTCTACTAACCTGTTGGAGCCTATCCAGTGGAATGACTAGCTAAACAGGCGCTTTACTAGTTGAAGCAAGAATCTAGTGTCCATACGTCCGCATCCCATTCCCCATAAAAACAGAAAGGACATAAGAAATATCAAAAGAGTGATCATCACCACAACCAAGGAATTGATATATTGCAGATCTAACTCTTCACGTCCTCAGTCACCTTGGGGTGCAACACTACACACCACTCATCCCCGTTCAATGGTACAGCAGCAGGGGCTAAGTCAACAACCCCTAGGTCTCGGATTCGGTTGAGCTCGTCTGGTGACAGCTGCCGGTCTCGCTGAAGGTACTCCTGCATTTGTACACACCAGCACTCCTGCATAAACCGAACCAGCGGGACGTGGAGTCCCTGGAACTGCTCCGCAGATCTCTCTGTGAGTTCCTCAAGTTGCTGAAGCCCTTCTTCCTGGATTCCCTGAACCACTTCCCTCTCAGCATCATCCAGCTGGCAGTCGCCACTCTCTCCAGGACAGATATGCTCGAGGTCGAGATCCTCGAACGTGAAGAGTCGAATGACTGCACCGGCGGTGCCCGAGCACGCGGGCATCAGTCTTAGAACGTTCAGCATTGTCTGGCGAATTGCGACAGTCGCTAGCTCGTTCAGATGATGTCTCGGCTTTCTCACCCACGACGCAAATGGCGTCCACCCAGCCTTGGAGCATGCGCACTGGCGCCCACTGAACCTATCCTCCATAATGATTGCGATGAGGAAATTTCGATTCTCTTCGTCCAACATTGCGAATTCGTCATCAATGAACTTCATTGCCTCGGCAATGGAATCTTTGCGTGATGCTGCGCGTTCCAGTTGATACATACTCTCATGAAAGATTGTGTGGAATGCAGGAATGGTGGCTCCAGGGAGACGATTGCTGGGATTTGCACCTTTTGAAATCATCCATCGCGCTCGACTCAAAATATCTTGCAGTGGATGTACACGATATCCCCCCTTCAACGATACGAAGCCGCTCTCATCCGGGCTGTCGACGTCCACCACGCCCGCATCATAAAGTTTGTTCAGATGGGAGATAGACAACCCGGCTTCAAAGAGGACATTTCCAACGTATTCTTCATAAACAATTTCGGAGCCTTGTCCCCAGCAGTGTAAAGATTGCTTCCGAGGGTCCAGTTTATCGGCTACGCTAATACCTTGCTTTCGGAGGGCGTTGTACACCATCGGGGCGTTCAGGTGCGGCAAGCATGAAGAGGACACTCCGAGACTGCGCCATCGACTTTCAGGTAGATAGCGCATAGCGAAATCGCGAAGATGTTCCCTTCGAGCAATGAACTCGTCAACAAGAAGATCTATGATTCGAGGATTTCGAGAGCGGCTGCCTTCTGAGAGGTGGAAGGTGTAGAGAGGGGCACCCGCATCCAGTAACAATTCCACGGAGGATAAGCAGTTTAACTGGGCAGCCCAGGAGATACAATCCCCTGGAAGTGGCCTCGTTGCGGTTTCAAGGAGAAGGCTTACCCCGGACGGCCAGCCAAGGACAAGGCCTATCGCCTTCCACTCTCCGATGATGTCGTTTGCAAGAAGCTGGCCGCGGGATATCAGATTCGCGAGAGCGATTTCGTCTTCACAGGCAATGGCCCGTGCTTCAGCGGAAAGCAGGACGGCTTATGAGTTAGCAGCGGCCGACTAGCTATGGAGCAACAGAACTTACCTTCTGCATGATTGAAGATGATGTGACGAATTACGTGCCGGTTGAATGGGGTTAAGGCGAAATCCGTGATGTAGCTACCGGCATCGACGAGCCTCGCTATCAGTGGGTAGGACGACTCTTTTGGTTGCGCGTTGGAGACAAAGTGGTTGAGGTAAGTACCCTCCAGCCCACTGTTGTCTTCTAAAGGCGCTGTAAACTTCAAAAAGTAGTCCATAACCTCTAGGAAGGCGTGTGGGTTCCAGCTATTAGGAAACAAGAATGAGAAGCCGAGATCCTTGATCAACAAAACCTATCACGCTACCCATCAGCATCTGTTCCATCAGCATGCTTTCAAGAGGCCTTTAACTGGAAGCTCACGTCTAGCATTGTTATTCCATCTCTGGATTTGTCAGACGGCTTGATTACGCCGGATTCAAAAAGGTAGCGGCAGCAGCTCAGATCACTATTGGCATGATTCACCGGATTTTCGCGGTATCGATTCATCAGTTCATCGAAATCGTAGGGCGTGATCGCACGATAAGTAAGTGTATGACCGATAGAGTATCCACCGGCTCGCTGGGTAATCGACAGACTTAAGGATAGAGAGAATCTCAGAATTCCGCTGTGAAGGTGGATCTTTCTCTTGAGGACTTCGGTATGCTTGCGCTGCAATGCAGTTACAGACTGAGGTGCGTGATGTGTAACTTTCCCGGACGGCATCTGACGTCGGACGTGGGTCGTCGAATGACTATCTATCGCACTCATAGCTGCCGCGGCACGGCTATTTTCACTCTGCATGGTGTAGAGCAGACTCGGGGCAACTGGAAGCTTGCTGTCCAACATATACCGAATCATCGATTCCTGTTTGATGTGAGTAACCGCCTCTCGATGACTCGAGCAGGATTGGATTCGCACCATTCGCTCAAGCTGGGTATCCTGCTCATCGAGCCTTTGTTGTAAAAGCATGTTCTGCGCCTGGACATCATGGCGCAACGTGTGTTGTGCTACAGATCCCTGGTGCAGCAATAACCTATATCCATCCCTATTAGACTGGGGCTATTGTAGACGATCCTGTAGGAAACACTCACACGCCTAGTGCTGTGTCAATATTACCTTGCAAAGTATCAAGGAGCCTGGCAGCATCCATGAGGGCCTGTCTGCGCAGGGGGTACAGCGCTCGCTGCGCCAAGTCGCGGGTCTTGGAGCTTTTCGGAGGAATTGGTATCTTGCGTGTCATTTCCTGAAGTTTCTCGAGTGTGACGTTGCTGGCTTCCAGCAGATCGACAATCTGTTGTCGTGATGATGGTTCGACGGCGTGTCTCTGTTGCAGGACATCGTCGAGGTGTTTGAGTGTCCTGGATAGCCCGGTAGCTTTGTGGCCGAGATCTTCGGCATCCTGATTGTATGCTCTGAAGGCGTCGCAATAGACGATCATTCTGTCCAGGACTTCGAGTCCGAGAGAGATGATACCAGCGGCGCTGGCTATTGTTGAAAGAGGGTCCGACATGATGTCCCGGTAGCATACCTATGAATTTCAATTTTGATCATTTTGGGTGAGATATCGTTCACGAACACCCGCTTACATGTATCTCATTAGTCCACTTTAGTTAGAGAGTGCTGTCTAGACATATCTCCCCGTCGTTGAGACGATGCCGCTCGATTTCATGCTCGGACGGCGAGGAGAGTGGGAAGGGAAGAGGGAGCAGCCGGGGGTTCCTCACGAGGCTGTTCTGCAGCCTCAGCCTCGTTGGATTTGAATCCAAGTCCTTTAGAAGGTGCATCTGCCTCCAATCAGATACCAATACATATATCTATGCAGTGCTGCGCCCACCAAGCAAGCCGCGGCACGATCTCAGCGGAGACACTATACTAGTGTATGTACTAAATGGATTTCCCACGACTTTGACAGAGATCTCTCCTCTCCAAACCACCTCGATGGTTTATTGCATCTTGAACATCGAGACATGGCGTGTCGCAGGTAATCAATCACCACAATGTCTGTTTTCCTCGCCTTTTATCAGTGCTGACGAGATTAGAGCACATCGCCGTGATCTGCAGACGTGCTGGGTTGACAGTCCCTTCCTGCGGGGCTGCTGCGGTGCCCTCAGTTGCAACTACTGTCCTCGCACCGTGCGTCCTCCAGCATCCCCTTTCTCAAACCATCGCCCAGGCACTTAATCTTTCAAACACACACAGCATATCAACGAGCTTCGAGTACCACCCGAATACGCTATCCAGAACCCCGAGTATCCCTACTCCGGCCGAACAAGTCTCTACTACACCCGCTGCCAATACCACTACCGACCGAAGTTCATCTGCCCGCAGCCCCAGTGCCGTCGCATGGTCAAACCCTTCTACGACCCGGACCGACTAAGCTACGACTTCGACCCCTATGGCAGTCTCACCGTGCGGCCGCTCCCCAGCGCCAACCCGGACTTCGCCGCCGCCCTGGAGCGAGATCGGTGGAGTAGTCGACGCGCGACACCGGCCCAGATTGCGCTCTGGGAGCGCGGGGGGGACCTGCGAGAAAAGGCTTCGGTGGACGGAAGGGGCTTGACGTGCGAGGAGGCGGAGGAGCTGCGGTCGATGGATGCGGATGTATGGTGGACGCGGTTGATTACCATCGGGAATCGGGCGGAGAGTCATGAGAAACGATGTCCGTCGTGTGGACGGGGCGTGGTGCGTGTGGGCTCGACGTTTCGAATCCCGGGGAAGCGGGACGAGAAAGGCTGGAGGCGGGTGGAGCGGTGGACTGCCGAGGGGACGGACATGGTGGCTCGATTTTCGTACTGCGCGACGGTGCAGGAGCATGCCAAGATGGTGGAGAGGGCGGTCGATCATTGATGATCCCCGAAGACAATATCAAAGTATGGTCTTTATGCCTTTGTGGTTCCATGGTTCGGGGTGCATGACGTTTCCTCTTATCGTGGGACGTCTCTGAGAGGACAATTACGTTCTCTGTGGTCTGAGGCCACGAGGCGACCATCTCTCCTGACATCATTGACTCGAGTCCAGAATAGAGGACCAGTAGACGCAGCCAGACCATTCCATCTCATCTATTATGGAATGACGTCGGGCCCAGGTGCTTAAATGCTCGTCGGCGTCCGCATCCGAGGGAATCATCACAACGCAAACATACTATCCACATAGCATCTCTCACAATGAAAACTCTCACCCAAGAAGAAGCAAAGACATACTCCACCGACGTCTGGTCCTGGGGCGCCAAAGCCGGTCTAGCCGGACTCGGCGGCGGGCTTCTACTCGTCGGCGCCTTGAACCGCTTCCACCCACGCTTTCGCACCTATGACCTATCCATCAAGGCCTCGCTGCCGCTCTACCCAGCCTTCCTCGGCGCGATGGCCGGCGCCAGTTACGGAGAGCATCTCTTCCAGCGCCAAGAACACCCGTGCATCGGCTACCTCGACGCCAAGCAGCGAACCTTGGAGGCGATCCGCCGCGACGAAGCGCCGATCCAGCGCATGAAGGAATGGGCCTACGACCACCGGTACAAGCTGTGTGCGGCGACATGGATGACCACGATGCTCGTGGCGATGCGTATGATGCGGCGAGAAGTGGGGATTAGTGAGGGACAGAAGCTGCTGCAGGGCAGGCTGGTTGCGCAGGGATCGACGATCAGCATCCTACTGTTTACGACCGCGATGGAGATGCGGGACGCGAAGAAGGGACGCGGCATTTATGAGGAGGTCGAGGTTGTTGAGTGGGATGACCCGCGGCATAAACGCCTGCATGATGTGCCGAATGAGATGAAGGCGGATAGGATGTGAGTGGTTCGAATGATGTACATGATAACGTCGATGTGATTTAGTTATGACCTTGCATCTACTACGGCTACCATATCATACCTGCTTATCGTATTCCGTCAGTCTTATGTCAAATAACAGTCAATGGCAGACAGCCAGCCTAAATACTCGCGCTCCCCTGCCAGTACTCTACCTCATCCCATATCCATCCCCAGCTTCACCATCACCCTACCTCTGCCAACAACAAGAACAACAAGAACAACAAGTACGTCCACCTCCCGCCCCTTCCCCACCCCATAGCTAACCCCGACTAACACAATAAACCAATCCAAAACAGTGCCTCAACCCCAACCCAGCGAATCCAACCCCGGAGCCGGCGGCAAGTCCGAGAACCCCCAGCAGGAACAAGGAGCACGCAAATGCCCCTACTACGACCCGGGGCGCTCGCAGCACCACCACGTCACCGTCCCGTGCCAGTCAAAGAGCGGGCCCGGGTGCCAGGACGCGCAGCATTGTCACGGGTGCGGGAGTCATCATGAGTAGAGGAACGAGCGCAGAATGCAAATGGAATGTAGGAATGAGCCAAGAATGGAAATGAAAATTGTCTACTTTGATTGGATACTGATATGTGGTTTTGATTGATTATGTAGAACGAGTATAGACCGAGACGGACGGGATATGTTAGTTGTAGTTATCAGGCAGAAGAGAAGTGTTAAAGACTAGAACTAGAAGCTAGGAACAGGAGGTCGCGGACCCGGACCCGGACCCGGAGCTGGCACTGGCATACCCGCAGTACACCCCGCCGTTGTCCCGCAGACACACCAGACCCGCGGCGCAGGACTGCAGCACCCAGCGGCCGTTGTCGCAGAGCGCGAAGGCGGTGCCGCTGCAGGCGCTCGAGCCGGACGAGCACTGGCCCCCAGCGACGGGACAGGAGGTCGAGGTCGAGGTCGGGGTGGTGGTCGTGGTCGTAGTCGTGCTCTTGGTGGTGGTGGTCATGCCACTACTCGTCGATGTTGTCGTTTTCGGACTCGTTGTCGTCGACGTGGATCTGGTAGTTGAGGTAGAAGCGTCAGTAGTCTTCGTCGTCGTCGTCGTCGTCGTCGTCGTTGAAGAAGAAGAAGCGGGGTTTCCCAGCGCGGCCCTCACCCCATCCAGAAAGCCCGAATTGGCCACCGCCTGGCTCGCATCCCAGACCATGACGCCGCCGAACGAGGCAAAGCCCTTCGCATAGGCGACGATGCCCTGCAGCGTCGAGGCAGGTACGTACCCGCTCCCCGCGGCGGTGGCGCTGCCCGGAGCGCCGACGAAGATCCTGACGGTGGGGTTCTTCGAGACGTTCTTCGCCCAGTAGTCCCAGGTGGCGTAGTTGAACTGGTCCTGCGAGCTGGCGCCGGGGACGAACGCCTGCAGGCCGCAGTAGTTGTTGTAGAACTGGATCCAGATGGCGTCGAAGGCGACGGCGCCGTCGAGCATGGGTCCGTCTGCAGCGTCCGGGTAGGGGCACTGCGGGGCCGCGGTGAGGAAGTATTGTTTAGATGGGTCGGCGGCGTAGAGGGTGCGGAGCTGGTTGGCGAAGACGGGCATGTTGGAGACGGTGGATTCGAAGTCGAGGTCGAAGCCGTCGACGACGGCGGTGCCGAAGGGGCGGGGGGTGGAGGACGAAGAAGAGACAGGGCCGAAGGTCGCCCAGAGAGTGTTGGCGCCGGCCACGGCGGCGGACGAGGAAGTGAAGCCGCCTTCAGTGTAGGTGGCGCCGCCGAGGGAGAGGAGGATGGTTTTGCCGAGGGATTGGCATTTTTTGATATCTTCTCTGGTTGGTTGTGAGTATGGAGAAAGAGAAGGGGGGGTGGAAGGGGATGGAGGGGGAGTACTCTATCTCAGGACAGTGAAGGAGGTTTGTCCCGTCAAAAGTGGTGCAGTTGTCGCCTGCATTGGCGAAGTTGACTTCCGGGACGCCGCCGATACCGTTGATTCGGGTGACAAAGGCGAGTTGGTAGACATCGATGTCGGTGTCGGAACATGAAGTGAGCAGGAAATCAGTTTTTACGGCGGGGGGAACGTACTTTGACAGTAGTATGCCAGCCGCTGCTGCGCTAGGATTCCCGTCGATGCGCCTCGGGAGTTTTGGCCTGGATGCGTGAGTCCTTGAGAATGAACTATAGGGTTGTGAAGGGCATACCCCAGTAGACCGCAAGATTGGACTGGCTGTTGAGATTCAGTTTGCTTTCCACAGCGTGGAATGTAGCCAAAAGGCCGGTAAAGAGAGCGAGTTTATACAGAGCCATTATGAAAGAATAATGAATGAATGAATGAATGAATGAATGAACGATAGGTACAGCGAGCGTAGTGTTGCTATAAGGACAGGATATGATGGACAGGGAAATGAATTGTTGACTTGTAGAATCCAGGACGAGCTTCGCATTTTATAACCGCCTCGTGAGCAATTTAGAGTCAATAAACTCGAGTCTGGACTGCCATGGAGAAGCACGAGGAATGTTACTCTGGCATGCCTCGAGGCTTGACCTCGAGGGGCCGTGGGGAGGAATGTCAGCGCGTGGACCAACTACCAGATGATGACCCGATGGACATGACATGATCACAGGAGGGTTGCGACATACTTACTCATGGGATGAATGGACGTGGATGTGCCTTCAATAATGGACGGTAAATACTACCCCTATGCGCTATGAATTTGACCGCAGTCGATACCAGCTGGCCATACCTACTACCCCAGAGTAATGGAATTCTTCAGCGTTTTGCAGAGAATGCAACACCAGTGCAAGCGTGATAGCGTGCCGATACTCTGCCTGAAGAAGAGCATGATTAGATCATTCGGGGGGCTACTTGTTTCAATATCATCTGAGGCTACATCGTGAAGTTCTACGCCCCCATGTGTGATCTGACAGGGGCAGCCCCCTTACAGTAGCGATCTCATAACGATTGATGTAACACAATTCCAGACCCGGATGATAATAGCGTGAGGCGAATCGAGTCCGATGAAACACGGCGATGTCTTCTGAATATATTCCGGAAGCATATCAGCCGACACATGGTGCTGATCATCGGGCTGTATCGGACCTTACGCACATCTAAGGACAGAGCCAACAGGTCAGCAGTTGTGCCAAGCTGATTCCAGTATCCTATCAAGTTGTACAGGAGTCAGTGCGAGAAAAGGTGTATGCTGTAGATACCGAGATGCTCTCATGCTTCAGAGAGTGGCCATCCTAATTTCTATCCGGGCACAACCGTCGTCTACCTATCAACATTTAAATTGAAAAGCAATATAGAAGAATCAAGAAAGGAAAGTGGTATCCGTTTTGTTTAACTAGCGATGGCACTATAATATAAGCAATGCCACAATAATCTAAGCGATGGAACGCTAATCTTAATAATGGCGCTCTGTTGCATTCTGACTTGTTGCGCAGAGAGTCAATTCGCATCGTCCTGAGCGTCGATGCATATCTATCTAACCCCTGACATGGGCCCAGAGCCCAACTTCCAGCATGTGAGCGATATCCGTTCTACCGTCCGCGCTCAATGTTTCGGGCGCGTTGGCTTTAATATCCTCCCAGCCCCAGAGATACTTTTCGATGACCTGGGCCATGCCTGATGCGTGAAATATCTCTGCCAGTCTATAGTGACACTCAAGGAAAGTGACACTTGGCAGCGGAAGATCCTCCGAGCCAGGGGATTTTGAGAATTTCACTCGAAGATCCTTAGGAAGATTGACTCTTTCTCGAGGCGGAAAACGGCGATATGTTTTAATCTCATAGGTATGATCGACGTCCTGGAAAAATGTATCGTTGTTAGTTATAGTAGGATGGAAGTTAGATACTCACAGTGGGCCGGAAAGCTAATTGAAACCCCCTGAATATACGATGAAATGATCCTGATAATGTAATACTGTTAGAAGTATCATTGATCCTCTCCGGTTTCATGCTGGCTCTTTGAATGCTGGGAAAGCAGCGCCACAATACTTCCCACGCACTTGGAACGTCGCGTGATGGCGCCTTGTTCTAGTCAGGACGTCGATGCAAATGGGCACACAATTGAGGAAATTACCGATGATTTGTCCCATGAGGCATATGAAAATGGGATGATATGCGCTGCTTGAACGTCCATATGCCAGACACCTTCCGGGGAACCGAGCGTTTCCCAGTGATCTGTATCAATATCGCCAGTAAGGATACAACGATAATCATCGCGACGAGGGCACATGTCACGGAAGTTGTGATCACGAGTATTTGACTGATCCAGAGTAGAGGCCACCACCTCTACAGGATGCTGACTCTTGGTGGGAGGGGAACTAGTGATGGATGATTGTCGAGAGCGGACTTTCACTGTTCAAGATATTAGCAAATAACAACTACTATGACTGGAGCACTGTAAACTCACTGGGCACCATCAGCCTAGTTAATAAGTTATAAAAGATATGATATAGTTCGTCGTCGCTTGTTACACCCTTGATGTCACGGGCTAATAATTCCCGGCTTCCTTCCGGAAGCCACTCGAGGCACGCCTCTAGTGATTGTGGTAGCTTCTCTTCATGCGGACGGTCCAAGGGCTTATACTTGCGAATCCTCTGCTTAGCCGCTTCTTCCAAAGCGGACCAGGTTTCTGACGGCTCTGGTTCGGTTGACAGGACGCTGAGGACAGACGCATCCACTGACTGCTCGCGTGCGGCCATTGCAGGCTCACTTTGCTGCAGACGTGCAGCCCTTGCAAATGCAGATTGCTGTAGGCGCGCGGACTTGCGGCGAGGAGGAGTGGATCCACTGGCACTTGGGGAAGATGACACGCGCTTGCGATGTGGGGGCGCCATGATGGGAATGAATGTAGAAGTATGAAGTATGAAGTATGAATACACTAAAGCTTCTTGGCTTGCAGAGTTTGGAAATCTGTCTTCATCCAACACGGAGAAAATGACATCAAGATCCGTAAGAGCTGGCCCAGATGGCCCGTGCTCCCGTCTCCCGTGTTCGCCGGATTGATCTAGGGCTGGTGGAGGTGTAGATCAACTAGATCTTGGTTTGCTTGAGCTTCATTTTCTGGACTGGCTTGGCTGTACTCTATATCTCCTGTGGACTTACTACACGTCGTTGGTTCGAGCGTAGAATAAGGTGCAAGGTTGCAAGAGTACTGAGATCAGACACATCTTGAATACAGACCTTTCAGCTGCATGCTCCGTTTATCCCCATATATATAGATGTATATCATCCGGTTGTTTGACGATATTGAATAGCTCGGGATAACTAGCAACAAACCAGCAACAGACTCGGTAGGAATTGATCTTCTTTCAGTAGGGACAGTTCAGCTGAAGAACATAAATATGTATGATTCACTCCGAGTATTCCAGATCAGCCCACCATCACCTGATCACGTCATCATCCTTCTACATAAACCCACCATCTCGCTATCACCATCACCATTCACCTCTCAGGCAAAACATATCCCCATGCCCATACATATAACCCTCAACTAAAACAAAAAAAAAGAATCCCTCCAAGATGACAACATCTCTCATCTCTCCCCTCCTCTCCCCACCCCCCGTCATAATCGTCGGCTCCGGCCTCGCCGGCCTCTCCGCCGCCTCCCAACTCCTCACCCACAACATCCCAGTCTACATGCTCGACCGCGCCCCCAAACCCGGCGGCAACTCCATAAAAGCCTCCTCCGGGATCAACGGCGCCCCCACCCGCTTCCAGCCCGCCTCCGTCCCCGACTCCGTCGCAACATTCCTAAACGACACAATCGCCTCGGCCGGCGTCCCGCTGGCAAACGCAACGGGAGCCGACCGCGCGCGCAGAGAACAGCTCCTCGCCACGCTGACCGCGAACTCCGCGGAGGCCGTGTACTGGCTCACGGAGAAAGGGGTGGATTTGAGCCGGGTGGCGCAGCTGGGCGGACACTCGTGGCCGCGCACGCACCGCGGCGCGGGCAAGGAGCCGCCTGGCTCGGCGATCGTGAGGACCCTGCTCGGGGAGTTGCGGGCAGATCCGAGGTTTACGTTGCGGAGTGGGGCGCGGGTGACGAGGGTGCTGCGGAAGGCAGATGAGGTGTGCGGGGTGGAGTATGTGGCGGAGGGGAACGCGGAGCAGGCGGGGTCTGGGTCGGAGGGACAGACACAGCCGGAGGCGAAGACGGAGGTGATTGAAGGACCGGTGATTTTTGCGTCGGGGGGCTTTGCGGGTGACTCTAGGGGTCTCTTGGAGAAGTATCGGCCGGATCTGGCTGGGTTGCCGTCGACGAATGAGGCGAGGGAGGGCTCGCAGCCGTTGCTGGAGGGGGTTGGCGCCGCGCTGGTGGATATGGAGTATGTGCAGGTGCATCCGACGGGGTTTGTGGACCCCAAGAATCCCGAAGTGATTGTGAAGTTTCTTGCGGCGGAGATGCTGCGCGGAGAAGGTGGGATTTTGTTGTCCGGGGAGGGGACGCGGTTCGTGAATGAACTCCAAACACGGCAGCGCGTGGTGGATGCCATTGTCGCGTCCGCAGAACGACTGGACACGGCGACTCGGCAGTGGGATGTGACGCTTGTGTTGGATGAAGGGGCTGCAGCTGCCGCTGGATCGCACATGGAGTTCTACGCTTGGAAGGGCTTGATGCGCAAGACGACGGTAGGCGAGCTGGGTCCGAGGGCGCTACAGACGATGCAAGACTACGCGGAGGTGGTCTCCGGCAAGAAGAAAGATCCATTCGGCCGGACAGCATTCGGCCACTGGAAATTGGCGGAAGTCACCCCAGACAGCGTGGTGTACGCCGGAAAAGTGACGCCAGTGACTCATTTCACCATGGGTGGAGTGGTAATCGACGCACAGAGCCGGGTTCACAACCAAGAAGGCCAACCAATCCACGGACTGTGGGCAGCGGGAGAGGTGACTGGAGGCGTTCATGGACAAAATCGACTGGGGGGATCTTCGTTACTGGAGTGCGCCGTGTTTGGAAGGATTGCAGGGGATCAGGCTGCAGAGTTCCACGACAAACACTGGAAAAATGAGTGAATAGACACTAAATCTTGTACAGTAATGAGAGACGACAACTACTTGTATCATCTGGGATTATCTCTATCTGCCAACAAACTTCTTCGTGATCCTGTCCTGCACGAGTACTTCTGTCTGTACATCATCCAAGAGGGTATTAGACATCAGTTGCAAATCCACCGTTGATTGACATGGCATCTCGTATCGGAATCTGGGGAGACTACATCTGCTGCGTTCATGTTATCTGCTCAATAGCAGACTCACTGGCTATGTCATGATCCATAATGAGAATTCAGGGCTTGTTTGAGCTTATGATAGTTGACAGTTGACAAAGATAAGTTAGTTACCAATAGGGAAATACGAACATGAATCTATAGTAGGTTGAGAATCATCATCTAGATCTAAAGGTAGCATGGTACACTTGTACCTACCTTCAGCACTGATATTTGATTATATCAGACTACACAGCCTGGTGTATTTGTATGAGAGACTACGCGGTATCCATACCGTTCGTGGAATGTCAGCAAACTGCCTCCCTTTCTGAGGAATCTTCCCAGAGCAAAAGTCCGGCCAATTCATCAAGAGCAGCTTTGAACAGCACGCCACGGATTGAGACCGTCTGCCGCTGCCTGACCATGAAATGGGAGCCTGTGTTTAACATGACCGTCCGATACATGGACTGCCGCTGCATTTTGCGCATGTCCACGCCCTCTCCATTTGCACCAGAGATGACTTTACCACTCTGCGCCCTATGTCCACGACACAATACCAAGGGGAAGAGATTCGCGGACTACGGATATCAAGATTGTCATCAGGATCCCTATTTTGACCGGTTTGGGGGCTATACCGCATTTCGTGGAATGGTATATCGCCTCGCCTCTTCCCACTAGTATATGAAAAGCTCCTGCGCCGCGAACCATGAGTTGCAGGATGTACTTGATGCCCTGGCCTCCGCTCAAGCCCGGCTCGGAAGCTCATTCAAGGACGCTGAGCTAGAATATATGTTGGGCGTGTATTCCGACGCCCAAAGAAAGGGTGCTGAGCTCCCGAAGGAAGCTTTAGTGCTTTTGGATCATAGGAAAAAGGAACCGGGGAGCAAGGTACCTATAGATCCACGTATGGTCAAAGATTGGCTCGACAGTCCGATGGTGCAAGAGGTGGAGGAGATCTCGGGTGGTCGATGGGATGGAAGACCGCATTGGACGGTACTTTGATCGTCGCAAAACATACAAGGGGTATGGATTCAAGGTCATCGCAGGCTGTTTCAAGGGAAGTAAAATTAAGTGACGATCTTTTTGAAGCATTTTATCCTGCTTATTAGCTTGATGCTCATGACTCTGATGGTCTGGTTAACTGATATGTTTGACCGGGGGAAGTATCAAATAAGCCTGTTAGAGGAAGTATGTGTCTTGCAATATAGTGAATAATGGGTGAATGAGCTGAACACATAGCCAGCCAGTGATATCTCTAGCCATCATTTTAGTTGTAGGGACTGTAGGATTTACTAATTATCTTTGTATTCCCTCTGCACTGAATATCAACCCATCCTTTAGGTTAAAGGACGCTGTTTATATCTATGTGGTATACAGTATTCTGCTGGAGGGTTGAGATTAGTTAGGAAAATGGCTCTTCTAAAGCTATATCAATAATGGTAGTCTACATAAGCACATTCCACGGCAATAGCAGTACTGGCAGATGATCTCTTGAGAGTCTGCTTTAACGCAGAAATTATAACATACATAGCAAGTAGTCAGAGAGAATGGAGGATACAGACACCCTATCTACATAAGCTACTCACACAACACAGAAGACTACTACAGCATTGATGCATCTTGCCCTAGTCCTGCTTTATTATGCATTCTAACAGTATAGGTAGAGCTCAGGTACCAGGTAAACCGTAGCAATGATGCACACTATTACCCTAATAGTATGAATCATGATACTACGGAGTAGAAATTAGACATTAAATATGGGTTTCCACCAGTAGCCTCTCTCGATAACCAATCATTCCCTAACTAACTGGACCGGGATTATCCACAGTCATGCAGGCAGGGCATCTAAACTAGGACAAACCCCCATAATGATAGAATAGGGCAAAGGCAACACTGCATCAATTGTCCAGACTGCTTTCGAACAAGGTGGTTTCTAGAGGCCAAAGACTCTGCCCATGCATATGTTATATTGTGGCACGCATTCATATGTCATGAGATGCAATCCTAGTGCTCTTAAATTTTAGCAGGAGCAGCCAGTATACTGTAGGAAATAGTGGCCACAGCGTTTACTCCAACTCTACCCCCACATATCGCTAGCACCGCAAAACTTCCTCAACCAAGTATAGTGGCTATATACCCCACCGGATGATTGCACTTGCACCAAATGATTGATTTTGGATGAAGCGATCGTACGTTGAAATAAACAGTCCCTACCACGCGATCTGCTTATACCGCATTGGGGAAGTTTTGCGGCACTAATCCAGCACCCAGCGAGAAGGCAAATCTAGACCACCTTCAGCAGACCCCGTCCGGCTGAACTTGCGTTGTCTCGGAACCTGTGATGGTTCGCGAATCTGGAAGAAGTCGGGGCTGCGAAACCTGTCGTCAGAAAAGGATTAAGGTAAGCAATACCACAATGGGAAGCATATGTCGACCCAGCGGTACTCCAGCGTTCAGCCCATGGGAAAAGGCCCCACGTAGTATTTGCATGTATTCTCGTATGTCGGGTCTTCTGGACCCCATTGAGGTTGTATTGTACTGATCCTAGGCCCGCTTAGTGTGATGAAACGGAGCCGGAATGCGTCCAGTGTCTTCGACGAGGCAGGAAATGCCCTGGCCCGTTAAAGGGGCTTATCATTTTCGAGACTCAGCCTCAGAATCCCACCAAGTTCCGGCGTCTCGTCAATAATGCCCGTGGTCAAACCCGGAGATCCGATTCCTCGAGCCATGCAGACCGTCAGCTGGCGCCTTCTCTTACCCCGGACAGCGATCGGGCCCTGGGGACGGGCTCTCCGGACCCATTCTCTTCCATGGTGGTTCCGTTGACTAGGCACACCAATGACCATTTTCAGTACTGTAGGTGGAAAGCGGGCTCACTGCAGTTCTGTCTGTGGCAGCATAGTTTTGCGTTCGGCGAGGTACTGATTCCGTTCTCTGTAATGTGATCTAGTCATGTTGCACACTGTGAAATGCTGCTGGCCGTTCCGCCCCGAGATGCTGGGGATTTGGTGCGGGCAACAAGCAACCACTCAGCCGGCGATATTCTATGGAGTGATTTCAATGTCTGCATCGCACCGGTTTCATATTGACTATAACCATAGGACGAATGACCCGCAGGCAGGCCAGTGGATGTTGCAGGCGCTTGAGTTTCGTGCCAAAATCATTCAGAGCCTCAAGCAGACCATCAATGACATCGCTACGACGAATGTCGACTTGGCCATCGTCACGATTGCCATGCTTATTTGTGTGGAGGTTTGATTTCAATCTCTCTTTACGTCAGGGCTCTTTCGCGGAGCAGACTAATAATCAGATTGCTGCTTCTATCTAGGCATCCAACGCAAATCTTGCAGAAATGGATATTCACATGGCTGGGCTACAACAGTTGATTCAATCCGCCGGGGGCATTGGCCGTCTTGATTTGTCCACAATATCATTTCTGATCGGGTAGGGAAATCTACGCTGCTTCTAAAACCTCCATGTCCGTCTATCTATACTGACGCTCAGGGTATTGTAGCATGGATATCCTCTGGGCTATTGTCAAATGCACCTCGCCAGCTCTCCCATTACCTCCCAAGTACTTAGAGTATGCCCTGAATCACCCATCTCTCACCATTCATCCCTACAACCCCGTGGAGGAGGACCTTTTGAGTATCCCCCGCGGCAACATCTTTCACGATCTAGGATCTCGGTTTGTCCATTCTGCGTGGGCGGGGATTCTCGATCGGTCTTTTAGAGCAGCCATTGAGAATTTCTGTAATCGGATTGTGCACTATGAGGCCGATGAGCAGCGGCAGCAGCGCGATAGGATTGTTACATACGGGGATAATAATCCTTGGAATATTTCGCAGCGATATATACTCTCATTATCCTATGAGCACTTAGGTCCTGGCGACATCAGAGAACCACTACGTCGCTCAATGCTCACGTATTCCATGGCGCGGTATTGCAAGTTCGGCTCATTCCCATGCATGGACGAGATCGCCGGCGCACTCCGTGAAAGCCTCGTTCCTAGGCTTGACACCTTCCTCTCGACTGCGTCTGACCTTTTGTTCTGGATCCTCTATGTCGGTGCCTTGACGGCAAGAGAGAGCTCGGAGCACTATCTGTGGTACTGCGCTCATTTCAGCAGTGTTTCTTCAACGTTGGGCGTTCTTGATTTCACAGACGCACGGGCGCTCCTTGAGCAGTTCTTCTACATCCACCGACCTGCAGACAGGGCAGCCGAAAAAGTGTGGCAAAGCGTCTCATCGCGGATCACAAACAGCCTGTGTATTGATCGTCCTGTATTACGTGTCGGGGTCGGCATACCTGAGGTAACATAATAGAACCGCAATGAAGTTCTGCTGCGCGGACTGTATTGTCTCGTCGTATGTGATAGTATCGGCATGGGATGAGTAGGGCGGATTGTTGTAACCGAATATTTATTCTCGTCCTTCGTGAGAATGCGTGGTATCATGATGTCCGAACAACATCGAAGACCTGTTCTGCAACCCCGGATCGTCACCCTTCTCTTCATCTTTCGCCCCCGAACACACTTCTTGCAAGGAAAAAGAGGTAGTCCTTGCAGGGATCGTTTCCAAACCTCGTTAAGGGTTTCTCATGCTAGGACAAATGACCATAAAAGCCAAACCATCATCCATCAGCAAGTCCGACTTATCCCCGGCTGTCAGCCTGCCTGCTCCCTCCACCAACAAAACAGCGCATGGCCTAGACGTATGTAAGTATATAGCATATAGCATATACACTCTCCCGTCCAGTCCATTGGACCATTGCCCCAAAGAGGAAAATTTTGCGGCTGGAAGGTTTGCGCAGGGCTGATGCTTATTTAGCATGACATGCTGAACTGGCACCCAGACTTGTATTCTAGATCAAATAATAGACAATAAGATGAATAAACCAACTCCACTGGTGTTTATTTAGGACGCTGTCACTCTACAAATAGGCTAGATTCGCTACGGATATCCCGCATTACGTTGGTTCCACGCTATGGCATCTGTACCTCGTGGGAAGGCCGTATGGAGAGATCAAACGTCATCTTTTCTAGTCAATGCCTTCAGCTGGTCTAGGGACCCCCTAACAGAATATAGCATTGGTATGTGTTTACACACACACACACACACACACACATATATATTATATATATGTGTGTGTGTGTGTGTATTGACACGCGCTGCTTGCTTACTATCTTTTTTTTTTTTTTTTCCCCTACTCTCCAGTATACTACCACCGCGATGAAACAGATGCAACACAAATCCCACCTAACGAACGCCTGCAGGCTCTGTCGCAACCAGAAGCGAAGATGCGACAAGAAGCTCCCCAATTGCACTCGCTGCGCGAAGTACGACCCTTCTCCAACCCCAGATAAAATGCGACTGTGAATTGCTTATCTCTCCTCTCGCGACAAGGTTAAAACTGACATGCGACTATGATTGGTATCTCGAGGAAGGCCATGCCAGCCCGCAGTTCAAGTCCCTATCGGACTTTCTTCTCTTCCATGTGCCCGTGGTGTCGGACCAGCACTGGCTACCCGGCACGTTTCTACTGCTGCAATCGTGCAGACAGAACATCGAGTCCCGCAGCCTTGGGATCGACGAGTTCTTCGTGGAGTTGGTGATGACGGCATTTGTGGAGCAGAGCGCGGCGCTAGACGGTGTGCTGAGCGTTTTCTTTGGGAACGTTCATCGGTGGCTGCCCATTATCCCCGACCAGAAGTTCCGAGCGCGAGTATCACAGGGTCCGGAGTAGCCCTTCGGCGGAAACGGCGCTTCTCTTACTGGCAATATATCTGGTGGCGGAGAAGGAGTACCACGGGAGTAGCATGCAGAGGGGAGACCGGCGCCATCTCCACCAGCACTGCAGCTATCTGATCTCGTTTTTGCAACTGGTGCGCGAACCGTCCGTGGAATTAGTACAGGCCGGGTTGCTGCTCACCCTGTACGAGTTGGGCTCGAGCCTTTTACAGGCTGCCTTCCTCAGAGTCGCAACATGTGCTAGGCTTGCATGTGTACTTCAACTACATCTTGATGAACCCTTGGGGGACGACTGCGCTGATGCGTGGCGCCCTGCGGAAGAACGAAAGAGAGTCTGGGCAGGTGTATATATAATGGACCGGTCAGTGCGCACAAAGGGCTGCGTCGCGGATGGTAGTATAGCTAACGGTCATCATGAAGCCTCGTCTATCAGGTCGTGCCGGATCTGGCGACGGTACATGTGGTTGATGAACCAGACTATGGCTTCCGGCTGCCAGTGGACGACTCGGATAGCGAACGCAGTTCGAGCAGCGTGCGCCCGTCCTTCGCCACCTCACTTGATGTCCCATTATCATATTACGCTCGTGAGATCCAAGCTTCAAGGATACTAGGCAAGGTGCAGATGCTGCAAAAGTCATCGCGATTCGGTTCGTTTCTAGGACATTTTCATCTGATAGATAATATTTTGATGCAGTTCATGCAGCGCCTGTTCGAGGACAGCATTGGCTGGGAGGGTTATCTTGGTGCCACCGCAATTGCTCTAATGTATGAACCGCAGTCATCGTCTGCGCGAATCTGACGCTAAATTGGGAGAGTTAGGGCTGCTCTTACCTTGCACCGCGATCAAGTCGGATACGGAGACCCCAGCACCATACCACATCACCCCGATACATACGACGGACTCACCCTGTCCAGGGCCGCACTATCCTCCGTTATCAACATGGTCCGTGATATCTGCTTGCAACTAAACGCAGTCGAACCCAGAGCAGAGATCGCCAGGGTCCCACTGCCGGCGGTCATATGCATAGGAGAGACTGCTCTTACAGCAGCTTGGATGAATCAAGCAAGCACCGACGTGTCGTTCATTGAATCTGCGCCGTTCAAGCAAGCGCTAGGCCATGTGAGCCGTTACTGGACTCTCGCAGGTAATGGGGACATGCACGCCTCACGTGATCGTCGCTGATTGCTGGACATAGATGATTATATTCACAGACTCGGCTGATTCTATCTGCATATCTTAGCGGTGAGTCCAAAGTCTCACTATGTGGAAAACCCGATGGATTGGAGCCTTAATTGTGGTTATTTCATTGCAGGGCCCATTGATCAAGTACAGCTTCTCGGCACAGGCGGCATGGACATATTAGAAACATGGCAGGACATGTTGGCTTATCGCTGCAATATCACACTTCGGTATTACTTAGAGCTTGTACTGTTGTGACGATCCATCTCTCTAGTGGACAGCGATGAACATTGCTCCCTAATGTGGCTGTGGGAGCAACACCGAAAACGACGATAGGGGCTATCAGCAACAAACAAATCATCTATCGATGAAAGTACTGACTGGCAAGGACTTTGCAGATCTTGCGTTATCGTGAGTTCAACGAATACTGGGCGGAGCCCAGCCTTAAGGTACCCCAAGTGTTCCAAACCGTGGACTATGGGGAATATTGACAGCGCTGGAAGGCCCAATAATGCTTTCTACAGACTAAGCCTCTCACACGACTTGATAAAAGAGTAGTTGAGGACGTGTAATCATTACGAGGGACAGGAATTAAAATAAAAATCAATGACCAAAGGCTTGTATTGCCGGCCGAGCAGCATGTAAACCATTCTATATTATAAGTCAAACGCCCAGTACCCCACCTGAAAACATAACAATCGTCACATCCAGCACCTCATATCGCCGGATACGCTGATTCAAGATTTGGCAGTATATCCAAGACCTGGGCCAGATCATGGGAACCAGCCAGCAGGTCTTGGGGAGCGGTCAAGGGAGCCGGAGGTGCAGCTTGACCCGGGAACTTGACCATCACCACCTGCGCCTTGTTCCAGAGCTCGAGCTGGCCTTTCAGGTCTTGTACCTGGCCCTGTAGACGCACGGCCTCCTGTTGTAGGGTTTTGTAGGCATTCCACAGGTTGCTGTGGCTCTCATTCATCTCATCGACGAGCTGGAGGAGATCACGGATGTATTTCCCCTTGCGCTCTCGGTACGCACGCTGCGCGTTTCGGTTTTGCTCTCGTCGTTTCTGGTACCGACAGTTCAGCTTGGAAGGTCCTGTACTCGGGACAGAGGGGACAATGCTTACATTGGATTTCTCTTCCGGGGTTGATTCTTTCGCAGGCGGAGTCGTGGACCCGGCCGGGGGTGTACGAAGACGTGGCATGTCAAGCAGGTTGTCTAGGCATTTATAATGTTCATCCCCGCTGGAATGGTCTCCAAGCATCAGGGTGGGACTATGGGGCACTTCGGGCCATTGTGGAAGCGCAAACTGGAGACATCAGCATTCCCTCTTTTCACACAGGTCTTCCGTGGACAATGAGTTACATACACTGGCGGCTGAGACGTCATGGGGCTTGTCACTTGGTTCATTGGTGCGCGGCATGGTTGGAGAGGATTGCTTGGTAGAGTTTCTGATATCGGGATAAGAGACGATTGAGAGGGTGAGGCTGGATTACATGTCCCAATCCGCCGTGTCTCCCATGGGCTTATATAGCGCACTTTTCGGATTGTGATGGGCAGTCTTGAAGAGTAAAACCGATGCATGCTAATCCCTAATGGGAATTTCGTGGCGTTCGCACTAAGTCAGCCCTGCAGATCCCGCTCTCGGTCATTGGGGGCATCGTCCAGGAGACAGTTGTCAATGACGATGTTTGAGTGCCGGATTACCGGTGCGTTATTATTGATTCCGAAGGGCAGGGCAGGTTCAACAAGATGAGAAGGATAAAACTCGGTCCCTCGTCAAGGAATTCAAGTTTACCACTTCGTTGGTCAAATGTACCTTTCCTTTCCTTTCTTCTTCCTTTCTTTCTTTCCTCTCTCACTCACCAATTCCCTCGATGCTCTTCTGGTGTGATCCGTCCTGTACTATATATCGGACGTCCCTGCTGTTAGAACAGTTTCAACCCTTGCTATAGTTGAGTCGATCGATACCTAATGCTATGGCATGTGCGGCCCTCGACCGTATCTCCATGGACTCTTTCACTACAACACCCATGGATAGCTTCGTGGATCGTTCTAAACACTAACGTCCTTGTTCTTCCCGCCGCAGCTACCTTTCGAAGTGTTCGTCCTATCATCCGTCCTTCCTCCGTCGCCGACAACAAAAGCATCACATCGGACTGCACTTCGACCCTCTGCCAGCGAAGATTTCGTCAACCACATACGTCTCCTCGCTATTTACATAATAGCGTCAGCAATGGTTGAGTCCCATTAAGAAAAATTTCCGCCATGCTGCATTATCTGGTACCCCTGAGTCCAGAAACTCCCGACAGCCCATTCCCCAACGACGGCTCTCAATCTTCTTCGACAGCAAGCAATGTCCCAAAGCTCATCGGATCGCGAGCTTCTGCATAGCCGCAACCTGAATGGCTTTAGTTTGACGCATCAATTGTCCGCGCATTTGCAAGAACGACGTGGTCAAATCCCAGCCGGAAGCCAAATCAGTCGACCATATGGACCGTACATGGAGCAGGAAACAATGCCTGTCATCCTTATAGACAGTCTGAGACGAAAAAAGCACTCGACAAACTAGACTTCGTCCACTCATCTACGCAGACTCGGGCGGTTCAGTGGGGAGACAAGGTGGAATTAAACCCACCAAAACGGAAACTTCCTTACGGCTGAACAGCACGGCCTGCTGCAATCTTTTCGCCAACGACGCAGTTGATTCGACTGTGCTGTCTGCGATTGTTCGTTGCACAATAGTCTGGTTATAGTAGGGCTAACCGTCGTCTCAGTGTTCGATGCGCATTATTCGTTGGTCTATGGTCTATCTTGACATTTTCTTCCCTCGTATTGTCTTTTTGATTTTTATCGTGAGTTGTTTTATCGTGATTATTTTCTTTTTGATTTTCAATTCCTCCCTTTTTTTACTTTCTACCCTCTTGCTTCACGTCTCAATGGTCACAATCAAGGAACGCTAGGACAATGGCAATGGTTCAGCGTGAAGGCATTTCTGAAGCTTTGGGAGCGTCTCTGCGGAGACCGGCACCTCCGTTGAACCGCGACAGGCCCCAATTTGGAGAAGTAGCCCTCAAACGTAGCTCGATCGTTGAATCTGAAAGTTCCTTGGCTTTTCTCGCTCAATGGGTCGCAGTCTGGGCCGGTGCCTGCACGGGAAACTGGAGTCGCAAGCCTCATAAGAACCTACCATTTCGGTCACTGACCGTAGCTGGTTTCAGCTTATCATAAGTGAACGCTTTCAATTGCCGTTTCTTCGTTTGTATCTTCTTTTCTATTCTTCACCTTCACTATCGTCTTTCTTCTATCCGAGACAGAACTCTCTTTGCGTAACCATAGCGTACTTCCACGTTTGGTGGTGGGATGATAGAGGGGTATCTCTGACTTAAGTGCACCCGGAAAAACATAGAGCAGCTCTCTCGATTGATTTGAAAGAATTTCCGGTGTTGAAAATGAACGGCGATGGAGGCAAAAGTGCGGAACTGCACAAACCTGTCGTGCTGTCCTGGCGATTCTCGGCTGCTCCCTCGAAACGAAAGGTAGACCTCCATCCGTCAGAAGTTTGGTTGCAGTACCGTCTAACATGGCCCCCCTTGCGGCAACAGAAGCGCCCGGTTCGAAGTGACGATGCAGAACAGCAGGCCCATATCTCGCAGTGCGCCATCTCTCCATCTGTGACCGGGCTTTCAGCGTCGCTCGACTCATTCTGTCAGCTTCCCGCACCGCTCGGCAGAGAAGATCAATCCCTCTTCCACTCCTGTGAGTCTAGATACATCCTGCACTGATGAGTGACCCCCTGAGCAGTACCATTCACAGATCTCCTTCGAGTACCCAGTCGCGTATACGGAACGCGGCCGGACACAGTTTTTAGCTCCGTTCGCGACGTCAGCTTTCCCATTTCGCTGAGCTCCAGCCTCACTCTACAGTGGATGTTGATAGCGGCCCATGGGCTCTTTACCCATCAGCCAATGGGAAGCAGTATATCGCTTTCACTGACTCACCGGAAACATCACGCCTATCGATTATTGAAAGACGCCTTGAATCGGAGCGGTGGAGTCATCACCGATGAGATACTCGGGGGAATTATCATGGCGGCCATCACGGAATCGCGCTTATCGGATCCAGCAGCATCAGGCGCACATCTACAGGGATATGAGGGAGCCCTCCGAGCCAGAGGAGGGCTCCGAGCTAGCCTATTGCTCTGTTCCATCCCGGCCGTGCGCATAGCGCACATTATGCCCTATATGGTCTGTGAGCCGCCACAAGACCCTGCAGGAGGACCACCGAATGCTGCACAGGAAGTGCAAGTATTTGTGGAGTTCTTGAGGGTTGTTATACGCCAGCCGAGCGTCGCTGGGTCCGCAGACCTCGTTCCGCCACAAGATCCACGCGTCCAATTGAAGAAACTCTCTTTGATTGCTCCCTCGCTCTTGCGTGGTACGCTGGCTTATTATCTCCAACCCGAGGAAGCCCGCATCCTACGGTTCGCGGATGAATCGTCCGCATTTCTTTCGCTGTTCCTGATTGCTTTGACACTATGGAAAATATCAGACTCGGTTTCGAACAGCCAGGTTTTCATTACACGGCTGATCACCGTGCTTGAACTGAGCACCGCTTTTGACCGGGTAAAGGGAAGTCTGCTCCTGACTGACCAGGGCTTTATGTGGGTGGTTCTGAAGGCCGTCCTGGACTTTGGGAGAACAAGCTACGATCTAAGCAAGGATAAGGAGGTACAGCCCATCGTGGACTCAGTCAACGCTTTTCGGGCGTTTCGTAGGCTGAGCACTCGAGAGGCCCGTACCCAGGTTAGACTATTACTTTTGCGTCTTCTTTCAGGGGACGCTGTATGGGATTAGATGAAATGTAACGTTTTAGTCGACCACTCTATATTCATCCCTACTAAGACGGTAGCACGTAGACGTTGCCTGTGATATTTTGTCATTTGCTCCCTCAGATACCCGCTGGTAGTAACTAGAGGTCTGTCCACTACGAAATTACTCTTTCCAACCCTCACTCTGTTGTGAACCCATTCAATTTAAAAAAAAAAAAAAAAAAAAAAAAAAAAAAAAAAAGATCATAGAGCATGAAGTATCATCTTGCGCGAGACTGTTAGCATTTCCTGGATTAGAAACAAGCCGACAACCTTCAATTGATCGGCTCGAAATATCCCACCATGACACCACCCATACAGAGTACTTGCATGGATGCATCTTCATCCAGATAGTGTTTAGCGCCGCAAAATCTTCCGAAAAGGCACTAGCGTCAGAACGTGGAAGCTTATATGGAGTACGGATAACCGAGTACTAGCGTAGCGTCTGTTTTTCCCTTTTTTTTGGTTTGTTTCAGCTCAGCTCAGCTCAGCTCAGCTCAGCGTTTGACAGAGGGCCCTAGTTTGGACGTGGCTAGGCGAGATAGCTGGTTTGGGGCCAAGCAGGCAGGTCAGGGGGGATACGCTCGGTCTTAGCCATGGTGCAACCCCGTGAAGAGCTACGGGGTCGTGCAGAGAGGGAAATGGAATAGCGGTGGGCTGGATGCGAGTCTAACCGCGAAAGGAATCTGGTCTTCTCTGTGTAGCTACTCCGTACTTCTTTCGAGGTAGACGAGCGCTCTGTCTATGCTTCGGGATGAAGAGCTGATTTTCAGATCAGTAGTCGGTAGTTCATTGGTGTGGGGGGGGGGAATGGGGGCTGCTGTATACGCTGCTCACGTCGCTATGAGCGCCCCCCAGCCCAGCACAACCGCCATCCATATCCAGGCATAAATGGCAATAACGCCTCCGCGGGCAGACGAGACGAGTAGACTGTTCCCCTACCTATCCCCGCGCCACAATGGATGCAAATGCAACAGCCACTGACTGGGCCGACGGCCCGTTCGACCTCGTCCCTAGTCCCAAGTTTACCGTCCAGGACGTGAGCACAGCACACCCCGCGTACCCCGTGTCGCGCCTAGTCCTTGACCACTGACTGAATTACAACGCACGCAGCACGCCGGCATCTTCGCCGCCAACGAGATGGCCGTGTCGCACAACATCTACATCCGCGGCCTCAACGCCATCTACCGCCAGGCCGAGGGGGTGGCCCTCGCCGCGGACGTGGCGGACTTCCTGGCCTTCTGCAGGATTTGGGTCGAGGTGATCCACCACCACCACCGCACCGAAGAGGCGGTCATGTTCGCGGGGGTCGAGGCGGCGCTCGGCGAGGGCGTGATGGCAGGGAACCTGGAGCAGCACCGCGCGTTTGAGAGCGCGATGGAAGGCTTCGCAACGTATGTGTCGAGCACGAGCGTCGACGCGTACGACGGGGCCGCCGTCAAGCAGCGGATTGACCGGTTCGGGAAGCTCCTGGTGCAGCATCTGCACGAGGAGATCCAGACCCTGCTCTCGGTGCGGGAGCGCCTCGATCCGGCCGGGGAGGTGCTGAAGCAGCACTATCTGGCGTTTGAGAAGAGATTGGTGGCGCAGAGTTCTTGGGTGAGTTGGCGCGCGTTGACCGCCGATTTGATTTGGTTTTTTCTTCTGGAGGTGTGAGTGCTGATTGAAACAAAAAAAAACCAAATTGTGGAGCGTGTAGACTCGCCACCAGCCGTTCATCTTTGGCTGTCGGGATGTCACGTTTGAGAATGGCGTGAACGGGAACTGGCCGCCGGATGCCCCGTTCTTCGTCCCCTATGTCATTTCGGGCGTCCTTTCAAGGAAGTTGGCTGGTGTTTGGCGGTTTCTGCCTAGTGATTTCCACGGACGGCCGCGTCCGTTGCCGTTTGCGAGTCGTCGTGCATAGATAATTTGGGGATTCCTTTGCTTCGAGTGGTTAATGCCTGTTTACAGCGTTGCAGTATGTGATGTCAGCGACACTACTGGTCCGTTCAATCCGGCCCAAGCCAACCAGGAAGCAGTAAGCACTAAAAGCCACCTGCTAGGGCTGCTCTGTCGGCCGCTAGCTTCTCATGAGTCGAGGCTGGAGTGAACACCATGCGAATCCCGTCCTTATATAGAGAGCTAGCTATGTCAACCACCAGGCCTCGACGGCTTTCATTTCCAAACTCTACTTCTTCTGCCAAGCGTACAACATAACATAGTCAATCAACATGCCTGCACTCTCTGGTAAAGTGGCCCTCGTCACAGGCGCATCGCGGGGCATCGGCCGCGCCACGGCTCTGGCGCTCGCCAAAGACGGCGCCAACGTCGTCGTGAACTATATCGCCTCCGCCGCATCCGCCGAGCAAGTCGTGTCCGAGATTGGGCGGGAACATGCCATCGCCGTGCAAGCGGACGTATCCAAGCGTGAAGACATCGCGCGCCTGGTCAAGACGACGGTCGATCGGTTCGGGAAGATCGACGTGCTTGTCCTCAACGCCGGCCTGCTCTGGCAGAAGGGGGACCTGCTCAGCATCACCGAGCAGGACTTCGATACACTGTTCGCTGCGAACGTGCGCAGCCCCCTCTTCACTATTCAAGAGGCTGCTCCGCATCTGACCGAGGGCGGGCGGGTGATGCTCTTTTCGACCTCGCTTGCCGCCTTTAGCGGAGTCACCCCGAATTATCTGCTTTACGCGGCGAGTAAGGGGGCTGTTGAGCAGATGACCCGTGTGCTGGCGAAGGATCTGGGAAGGAGAGGTATCACGGTGAACACGATCGCGCCGGGACCGATTGGAACGGATGCCTATTTTGTGGGGAATAACGAGCAGATGGTGCAGCTTCAGAGTAACCTGGCCCCCACGGGACGATTGGGGAAACCGGAAGAAGTGGCAGCTGTCGTTAATTTTATTGCCAGCGATCAGAGTCAGTGGGTAAACGGGCAGACGATTAGGATCAATGGTGATATGACTGTGGGGTGATAGTATGAAGCGAAACGGAAAGGATTGATGGATGTGCTTTATCTCTATAGATCAGGAACCTTCACAAACAGGTTGTTAATTTCAGTTGATATCCAAGTAAAAGTCACTATCAAAGACGGTAGTGCAAGATGTACTGTCAACCTTCTTCCGCTCGGGCAGATATCATAAAATGCCCTTCTCAACCATTACCCTCATTGCTTTGAGCGTTCCTTGAACCGACGTCTTTGCGATTTCCAAGTGATCCTCCTCTGCCTTTTTCGCCTCACTTGTCCCAGCTTCGATATCAGACAGCCGCCATTTGTACGTGTAGGTGAGATAGAGTGCCTGATCAGGGCCAACTGAGACGATATTCTGGACCTCTGAACCATCAGGAAGGGTGAAGTGAGTCTAGGGGAGGTGAGATCAATGTAAGCGACTGTCCTGGTAGGGTAGATAATAAGAAGCAATTATGGAGCTATGGGTATTTTCGTACGTACCCAGGTGGGCTCATGCAATCTGCATTCCTCCCGGACATATTTGCCCGCCATCGGGGAACGTTCAAGGTTCGCAGCGACGTGCGCTTCCCTCAAGATATACGATCCATTGTCCCGCTCCTCCACAACACGACATTCGTCAATGGCGGGAATAAACTCCTGGGGGCGCCGGATCTTGAGCACCAACCCGTTCCAGACCTGTTTAGATGTGAGCTTCTGGATAGACGGGTCAGGGGGGTTGACTGGTTCTGTGTAGCTGATATTGAGGGTAATCATGATTGAGAGGAAGAGGATACTATGTGCAACAAGTGGTCAAAATTTGTACGCTCTCGATACGGCAGTCCGCGAACAGCGGACATGGAGGGATATATATATATTTAATTTGAGACCACCCCACCCCCCACAGGAATGAGACTCACCATTAAGATGGAAGCCAATCGGATATCAAAAGGAATCCACCCAGGGTTCACATGAGTTACCACCTGCCACGACACCACTCGCCTGTCGGTGCTTTCGGATGCCGACATCGCGGCTTAACGGCGAAGTATACCGAGCCGCAGCCACCCAAAATGCCGCTGTGGATATATATATATATGTATGTATATATATCGGGATGCAGCTGACCAAGGGTAGAAAAAAGTTGGCCAAGGTGTTACAGCACCAACACCGCAAGGTGGATATGCCAACAGAGTATCACTGAACTTACATCTATAACGGTGCCGAAGGATGTCTCGGTCTCGTCTGTTCATATCAGTCAAATGATGCCTTGAATTACTATGCGAAATTCTCGATATACGCACTCGGTTTGAGCCCCAAGTTCTGGAGACAGTCTCGCACACAATACCTCTGTGCCATATGAGTAAGGTACTTTTCTGTGGTTGCTTTGATGGCGCCCTTCTTCTTGTACCCATCAGGCCCAGTATCCTGCAGCCCTTGATCGACATTGGAACGGAGATACTGGTTTTTGTCAATATGCTTAGCCTATCTTTCTATACTTCTTTTCTCCGTGGCCGTTGTCTCAATTGTAGATACTAACAAGGTTGAAGAAGGTGGTAGCAGCGGACCTGGCAAATTGTCGCAGGAATGTCTGGCCAATCGGTCAAGCTATAGCTTCGGAGACAGACCGTTCCTGTGTATCGCGAGGTATATATGAAGCTGTTCTTGTTAGAATCTGGACTCATTGCGCAGGCCGAGCTTTTACGTCCGACATCCACGCTCAGTCCCATCATTGAGCGAGTCCGTCTCGGACGCATCCTTCTGGGTTACCACCTTTTTGATTGGGCTGTCTAATCTCGCGGAATTGAATCGCGGCTTGACTGCACCATTGATGCTAACTGGAAACCAGCTTGGTTTTCTCGCTGAAGACATCTGCCGTGAGATCAGTGTACGCGGCAATGCATTCATCACCTTCCATTTCGAGCCGACTCAGCATGATCGCAGTCAGCCTGTTGTCACGTTAGTTGGATACATATGGGTCTTTCTTCACTCAGTGGATGTTCTGGTGCACCTCGTTATATGCCTACCCCGTGTCAGCCAACAACAAGGGGGGAAAGGATGCCATCTTGTCTTGCAGCCTGACCAAAACGCTCTTCAACAATTAAAGAGTGGAAAGCTGGGTTCATTGAGCGTCCGCACTTGAAGCAACTAGTTTTGTGTCCCATTCTCGATGTCTCGTACACAAGAAATATGAGATAAAGGGGCGTTTTCTTCTTCTGAGTGTAAAACCAAACCAGTGTAAAACCAAACCCATCAAGCAGGGCGAAACACAATTCCTGAAATTTAGATAGAATACCACCGCTGTATCCGGGACGCAGAAACAAAAGAAACAACAATCAATGGAGGATGATGGTCTAATTGCAACGGAGCCCAGAGTCAAGCAACGCGCTGAAAGCGAGGACTGCCTCGAAATCGGATCCTTAGGCTGGTGAATCATTCTTGCTGGGCTGGCTGGCCGCCGGGGGAGCTTTGGGCTTGATGTTGATCCATTCCCCACAGAAAGCTAAGATGAGTGTGACGCCCCAAAGGACGATACTCATGATCCAGGCATGCTTGAGGCCAACCATATACGCCTGCAAGACTCCCAGCAGCTGATCTCCCGAGAAGACCCCGCGGAGGTTATAGGCACCGGTGCTCAAGACCAATTGAGGGGACACGTCAGGGGCCAGCCGTGGAAGACTTTCGAGGAGGCCGTTGTTGAAGATAGCCTGTGCACACGATGTGCCAAAGGAGCCGCCCACGAACTGGAAGACTGCCAGGGAGAGCATGGTCAGTGCTGTATTCTGAATCGAATTCCCATCGAAAACTTACATAGCACGTTTGACATGGCCATGCCCATGTCTGGTTGGGCCGTGGTTGACTGGGCCACAATAACGGGAGTCTGGATGGCCAACCCCAATCCGAAACCAGCGATGATTTGGTATCCGATCCACTTGCCTGCCGGGGTGCCAATATCAAAGGTATAGATCAAGCCACCTCCGATGATCGCGAGCATGCTTCCGACAATCAGGAAGGGCTGGTACCATCCGATCTTGCTACCATACGAGCGGCAAACATACTACAGAAAGCTGGTGGGGGAGATCGAGTTGATTAGCCGCTACTATTCGGCTATGGATAATCGCATCCGAAACTTACAGAGAGATAGTATCGTCGGCAGTACACGGACACCACTCTGCCAGGGAGATACTCCGTCGATGGCCTGGAAGTAGATGGGCAGGTTGTAGGTTCGGGCGAACCCAGCAAAGTTCGTGCTAGATCACCGTCTCGTCAGATTCAAGAAGCCAAAAGTCTCATTCAAACTACAGGGCACATACCAGCCAATAAACGCACTGCAGACCCAGATCGTCCGCCGCCGCATAATCCGACCGACAATGAGGGCTCGTTCGCCTTGCTTCCACTCCAGGATTCCGAAGATGACCATCAGCAGAATCCACCCGATCAACGTCCCGATCACCTCGGAGGAGTTCCACGCCTTGGTGATTCCACCCCACTCGAGAGCCAGGAAGAAGCAAGTGAGCGATCCAATCAGGAGAGCCATACCCGGAAGATCCAGGGTCAGCAGCAGTTCCTTCAGAGTGATCGGCACCGGCTTCATGAATGCCGGCGGCTGATATACCAGTGCGATGATAATCATCACCAGCCCGCCGATCGGAAGGTTGATATAGAAGCACCACCGCCAGGTCACTTGATCCGTGAAGGCTCCTCCAAGCAGAGGTCCAGCGACACTCGCCAGACTGAAAATGCCGCCAGTTAACCCCAGGTAGGTGGGCACCTTGGGCGGGGGCACAGAGATGGCCATCAGCAGGTACACGCCGCTGGTTGTGCCGGCGCCTCCAACGCCCTGAACAGCGCGTCCCGCGATCAGCGTTGTACTGTTCTGGGCCACGCCGCAGATCAAGCTCCCAATCTCAAACACAAAGATCGACCCCAGGAACACCCACTTGACGGGACCATGCTTGAAGGCCTTGCCCCAGAAGGACACAAAGGCCCCGAGAGTCAAGAAGAATCCTGATCCATACCAACCGACTTGGTCCAAACTGCCAAACTCGCGCGTGATCTTTGGAATGGCCGTGGCAATAATACTCTTGTGAGTTGGGGCTAGGTTAGTCAGGTGACTTTATCCCCAGGGGACCATCGCATCTTCTCACCATATCTAGTGCAACCAAGAACATGGCCAAGAGCAACGACAACACGACCAAGACAAGCTTGACCCCCGTGGGGTACATGGGCTTCGGGGGTCCCACGGCCACAGGTGCTGGTGGTGGGGCCGCCTCGCGCTTCTCCTCAGGGCTCATCAGTTCATCCTCACCATTGGTAACGGTATTATTTGCGTGGCCGTGCTTGGGGGATGATGAGAGATTCCCATTGGCCGTGGGAGCGGTTGGCTCAGCCGCCATGAGTGGTAGGTTAGGCTTAGTGTGGGATGCGCAAGTGCCACTATGGGAGAAGGACGAATAAGCTTAACTCCAGGCGGAACAAACGAAGACAAAGCAGATGATCTAGACTGGGCGATGGCCCCTGGGTCCCGAAATAAATACTCATCCGGAGTCCTCGACTCCTCTCTCCTGGTTGGAAATACAGTTGCTACTTGCTGGTGATTTGAAATCAACAACAGCAGTCTTTGTCCCCTAGCCGCTGGTCGGGTCTTGTTTCCATTGGTCGACAGCCCTCCAGTCTCAGATAGCCTGGGAATGATACTTGAATTAGTCCCTCATGGTCTGATGCACTTCATGTCCCTCGTCTGGATCAATCCCAACAACAGCCGGTGGCTGATATCCTGGTACACCTTGCGATCAGCTACTGGCCGTCGGATTCGGAAGACTTTGCTTTCCGTCCGTCGGCAAGACCCTTCCTCATCCGTGGTGGTTCTCAACCCAAGTTGCTTCAAGCCGAGGGGTCATCGTATCTCACTCCCCAATGTGACTGGTTTATCGACGAGTCATGTAACCGACAATGAGGCCAGCACGACTATTAGTAAACCTCCAGCCAGCGAAGAGGGCCCAATACTTCTTAATGAATGTCAACATGAACAGACCTGGGACTCCTTCTAACGCGATCAAATGCTAGTTTCTAAGTAGTACATTCAAAAATGTTCTACAAGTCATTTGAGGACAGCATATTCTCTATCCGTGCTGCGCAGAATATCCATCTCTATGCCTTCCATCCATATCCTTCACAAAGCTGTCAAGATATCAAGTCTGCATGTGGATCCAGACATCCATCATGGCCAGTGTCGCCCTCATCTCCGTTCCACCTAGAACTACCGTCAGTAAATACAGACATCATGGTTGGAGGTTGAAGCATCGTGCCGTCTCCTTGCCTCTGATTCTAGACGTTCTGGTTGAAAGGCAGGACAGAAAAATGATCCATATTCTCCATCGCCTGCAAATTCAAACAGGATCCCCAATTGCCGAGGAGGGAGGTCCAGAATCTGGCGCATCCCGGACCGGTGTAGATGTTGACCTTAGGATAGACGCCATCGTTGCGACCGATTATGGGTAGGAGGGAACTATTTTGCTTTAGTGTGTGTAATCATACACTCAGACCTGTGTCACTCACAATCTGTAGAACAAGAAGTTATTTAGATCAGTAAGATGGCCCCATCATAGTAAGCTCAGGATTCAGGACAGTGCAGTGCCTTACCTAACAAAACTAAGAAGATAGACAATGAAATGTTAGCTATACGGAGCTCCTCATAAACAGGATTGATGGTAATGTTCTCACCCTCCTCTGTTGACCAGAATGTTAGCTTGATTATCTCAATATGCATCGCTAGTGTGGCAAAGACTTACCGTTCACTATGTTAAAAGAAGACCAGCGTCAGCCTGCCTCTATTATTTTTAAACAGACAGTAAAAGAGTGGGTAACAAACTTGTTCCAAGACCATCTGTCTCATGGAATAGATGTTAGCAGAGTCCCCTAATTAGGCGATAGCACGCTCAATCACAGGAGAACTTACGTGACACAGGCACCATTACGTAGCTGATTGTTCCGCGGTGGGCAGCTGGAGCCCCTGGATGGAGCGCTGGAATACCAGTAGTTCGCCTGCGAGCGACCCTCCAGATGGGTGGCCCTTGGGGTGACTTCCACCGTGGAGATCCGACTTTCGTGAACCCAGACCGGGCCCGACGATCGCATCGCCAGCGACCATGAAGTATTCCTCAACATGTTGTAGGAGTAGAGTTCATGGTCTCGGGAGATATTGACGTCATCGGGGGGCGGTGCAGCGGCTTCTAGGAGGGTGGCATTGATAGTCACCTCGCTAGTAGGCTGCAGAGATTCATGGAAAGCCTCGGGGACCTTTTCGAGAGCATCGCCATCGACGTAGCCGAGAATAGCGGGCTCGGAGGAAGATGCTGTAGCGGTGGCGATGGACCCCGTAGACCCCAGGAGGAGCAGTGCGAGGAAGCGAGAATAATGCATGTTTGCAAGGGATGGCAAGAACACTCTGAACGAATAGATATGGAGTCGTCAGATTTGATCCTGTTGGAAATCGCTCGTTTTTATATCCTACAGTGCTGTGATCAGACCATTCCGGCCCCAACAGACTCGTACTCATCATCAAGCATTACCAAGATTTCTAGTAAGCCTGTGCAAAGAGTTGCAGCTGACTCCTGTCCAATTAGCTTTCATGAACCTCCGCCAAAACTTACGGAATACGAAGTAAGCCTCTCGGCCAAGAGACGGAGATATTGCTTCTTTGGGGGCAAGGGTGCACTTGTCGAACTTTTAGCAAATTCGGTCTAAGAAGTCCTAATTCTATATGGGTATTCACTTAGAGGGCCAAGACCATGTTTCGAATCTAGAACCTGTGAGAAATTCGTGTACATGCAAGGTCGATTCAATAGTTAAGACCGAGGTCTCTGATAATCTGGTGTGTTCATAGAATCATACGGCGATAGTGCTATGAGTTACATATCTTGTGGCTGCTGCGCACTAGGCTTCCTTAGGCCATTGACCACTTATCTCCCCTAGTCTACGGAGCCTAAGGTTCAGAACTTCTGACTGAGTGCTTTGGTAATTCTGCCCATACATGGCAGGGATATCAGGATTGATCGCTCATCTTATGGGACAGGGTCTACCATTCAGCGAGGCATAACACGAGTTTTGGTTCTTGAGCTAGAATATAAGACAGCCTAATGAGTGACTAAAGATAAGACAACTTCGACCGGGTTCTGATGCTGATACCACGACGACATCCATGAGTGCTTGTCTGTTTGGGAGTTGTCGCTGTCCCCGGGGAGTACCTATTACAATGCTTTTGTTCTCACCTAGGATCCACTATATCTAACGACAATGTTTCTACTTCCAGAAATACCTCGACCCATCCAGGTCATATTTCTGCGAAGGCTTGTTACCAGGGTTATGCCCCTTGTTGTTGATTGACGAGTATTAGGGCTACTGAAAATTGTCATACCTGTTCTCAATTTTAAAATACTTCCTGGCCTATGGACTAGATCCTTGCCGAGCCTTTGCCTTTCCATGGATTGGGAAATGCCAAGATTGCATACATCCGCCTCACATATAAACCTTGATAGTACTACCAACAATACGACTGGCGGCATTTTACTAAGATTGAACCATGGCTTAAGCTAGCGACAGAACCTGGGCTTTAGGCGTGCATACATCCTCTACCTTTTCGGAATCATGTCGCCGCCAGGCCGAACCCATCCGGTATGCTTGGCTCTTCATCCGTTCTTTTTGAGGCCGAAGACAGTGTGATGTTGCGACAACTCGAGCTGCTGGAGAATGATGGACCGGTGGACGGGGAAGACACGGAGTTGGACACGGCCGAGTCAATTGCCCGCGAGCTATCTGGTTTGGTGTCGCAGGCAGTAAAGGGCGGGTCAGCCCAGGCGAAAACGGTGCGCCCCTCCGCTGAGCTACAGCGACAGGGCGATGGTCGTGTCGTCGCTACGGTACGGGCCGGACGCATTCAAGAAGCGCGCTTGACAGGCAGCGGGACAACCTTTCTGGAAGCGTCAAGGAGCATATACGTTCCGAGATTTACACGGCTATCAAGGTACTCGGGCAAGGATCAACGGCTCTTGTTGAAGCAAGGAAGCATACTGTATTATACGACCCAACCTAGAACCAATGCTGTAAAGTTTGTGAGCCAGACACCATTGGTCCCGATGAGCCGCAGATGTTCACCAAATTTGAAGACTATCCTTTGGGCGTACAGGTTTGTCCCGAAGGTGTTTACACCTCCACCATCAGAAATCACATCTCGGAGTATTTGCCTAATGCTTTCCACGCACTTTGGCTTGCTGGTAAGCTTTCTGTTCCGTTTGGAGGGGGTTTTTTCTATCATGCCTGGGTTTACCAAGGAGGGGAAAGTGCAGCGATGGTGTGTTGTTGAAAGGAGCATTGCTACGCTTTTCAGATTTCTTGGATCTGCTCTGCCCCCTGGTCGACTTCATAACTGTCAACATGACCATAGCATCTATATCACTACTAGTTAGAGAGTGATGTCTAGGCACTTTTTAGCGCACTGGTTTTATTGATAATAGCTTTATGAAGTCGGTTCAATTGACGCTCTCACTCTGCGCTATATCAAGTGCAGTCTATCTCGCATACATATTGAATGCTAGATACACCCACCAATTGCTCGAGTACACATCCTTCCAGAACATCAATTGTTCCAGCAATTTACTACAACAAGTTCTTCATTGCTGTTCAGCCTCTAATGCTTCCATCCGCTCGACTGCCAACTTGGCCAGTTTTTGAGCCTCCGGGAAATACTTATCATCGCCCGCAATGCTCCTCAGCTGCTCTTTCCACTGCTCCCACCTTTCCCAGCTCCACATGGCTCGCGAGTCCGTCACGAGAAGACGGGGAACCGCTTTACATTGCTCATAGATATACCGGCCCGTATCCGCCTGTAAGATCCATTGTACGCCGCCAATTACATCTCCAGAAACCCTGCTGGCAGACGGCGTCTTGGGTTGTGGAAGAATCCCCTCCAATGCACACAGAAAGCTACAGTCGACGAATCCCCGCGCCGTGATGCGCGCAAGCGCCGATTGCCAATTCCGCCAGCCGACTTGCATGTCGCTGCCGGGAACTGCAAAGGTGGCATTGGGATATGCGCAGTCTGCTCCGCGTTCGTTAGCCCGCACAGCGAGAAGAAGCCCAGATCACATTACCTTCAGCTGTCATTCGGAAGACCTCTGTCAGCGCCAGCCAGCTGTCGCCGAACGGCCAGAGGTCCAGCATGTAGTAGTATGGTTCCGGGGGGTCATTTGGAAGATAACTCGGGACTACATGTCGCGGCATCTCTCTCAGGCTCTCCAGAAACTGGATGAGGCGGTCCTGGCCTACGTGCCCTGGTGGATATACCGAGCATAGCCGAGCGAAGGACTCGAAGAAAAGACTGATTGTCCCATCTGGGTTTGGTGCGGCCCAAGACGAATCGGGGTCGCTGGGAGAAGGTACATTCCACGGATCCGAATGGCTCTTTCGCTGTTCGAATTCTCTGTTTGAGGTTTCGACGATGCGTTTGTCGAGGGTACTCGCAGCCTGTGAGGGGGGGACTGCCCCTTCTACTAGGGATGTGAGAAGTTTCTTGAAGAAGAGGTCTTCTTCGTCATCTTGGGCATTGAAGAGGTTGATCGCCAACGGATGTGAGGCTTTCGTATTGCTGGATTCCATGCTTGTATATTGACACGGAAATTGACGCGGGAATCAATCCTATGTGAAGCTGAGATGTTTTTCTGCGATATCTGGCACTCTGTTGATCAGAGAGGCTTCTGCACGTGAAGACCCGAATCATGTGACTGGGGCAGATTTGGCCCCCAAATCCCAGGCAGAAATATTCGTTGCGTTCCAAACTTCTACTGGACTTGCTCCGCAATTGATGTGCATCATTATTGTCTCCTGAAAGGCAGACCGAGAGGGGGGAATGAGTTCTTTGAAGCTGCGAAGTCGGAGAGCAAGAAGGATTCAGTCCCAATCACCGGCTATGACCCTGGGGTAGAGCTTTTGAACTAATTCGCCTTCTCTGCCTCTTGGCAAAGAAGGTTAAGTATAGTTTGGGCATAGCTGGACAAAAATCGGCGAAGCTATGGGATCGAAAACTGCATCTCGGCGCTCTTCCGAGCATGCACGCCAGACGAAACCGCTTCCACTGAGCTTTTGGCCCCTTTGGCCCCATTGTTGCAATCTAATGATATGCAATTGAGATATAGACGCGAATGCATAAGGGAAAGTGCAGCTTCAGGGGGGTTCGAAGAGCTCGTCGAGCGGGAGATTCCAGGAGACGGTGGACCAGTTCCGATGAGACCACATTTGCTGAAGATGAATGAGAGAAAGACCGGAGGCCCAAGTCGAAGTAGGTATATAGCCAGCGACTTTCGCCTGACTCTTGCCTTCTCGAACAATCCAGCCTCCGTCTTCCATCCATCAGAACCTTCGATTCTACCGCCAACAACCCTTTCAAGATGCATTTCACAAAGACTATCCTGGCTGTTGCCCTGGCCTTCGCGGTCTCTCCGATCGCCGCTGCTCCTGCTGGAGCCGAAAGCGCCATCGAGGCTCGTGCTGTAAGTGTCCCGATCGTCCACCTACAGCAGCCCAATACGGAGGTGTCATGCGACAGTGACCACTGACTTTGCTGCACAATCAAGAACACAGTCACCTGCAAGACCACCTTGAGCGGCAAAGCAAAGTCCTACACCGTCAGCGTTGACACAGCCAAGAGCGAGGCCATCAAGATCGGCTTCACCCACGGCAGCTCCAAGAGCGACTACCCTCACCCCTACGGCGACAAGGAGAAGCTGTGGGCCAAAGATGTGAACGAACAGGGCAAATGCAACAGCAAGAAGAACATGCTCGAGTACCCCATCTACTGGGTCGGATCCAAGGATACCGCCTGGAAGCCCGACGAGAAGAAGAACAAGCAGAACTCCACGCCGATCCGCGTCGTCTACAGCAACCTCAACGGAGTAGTGCACTACTGCGGTGTGATGATCCACGAGAAGGTGGATGCGAAGAATTCGGGCTCTGGAGACTTTGTGTTGTGCAAGTAGATCTGGAGACTGGAGGTGATATTCCAGCGGGGATGGGATGTTAGATTACAGGAATCGCAAATCCCGATGTATAATGAAATTAGTCTCCCATTGAGATATTTGTGGACTATAATTGGCAGATCATTTGTAACTCAATCGTGATCTCGATGTCGTCAAATCGTCAAATCGTCAAATACGGCAAATGGAAAGACCCTCGCTCCATCATGTGATGATCAAGTACTGCGTCCCTGCATAAACGACCGTTACACTGCAGCTAAGTAGTAGTAGTACTCTGTAGTGCTAATACTCTAACCAATTCTTGCAGAGTCAGATAATCCACTAGTCAAGGCAGATAGTTGGATAGAACCAATCAATAGAGACTCTCTCAACTCCCTTATCCATCTGAGTAAGCTTCTCAGGACAAAGCGTGGTTCCTTGCGACCACCCAGATAGCCCGCTTCTCGCCATGCAGCAAATCATGAAACCCTAGCCGGTATCCCGCACGCCTACAATAATGGCCTGACCTGACTGACGCACATCCCGTCGATCCTGAAGGACCATGCATGATGTCTCGGTCAGAACACCGGCATTTCCCGGGTTCGCCGGCATGTGTAATAGGGGCTTCTATTATTTTGCTGCAGAGGATCATGATCACTGTCGCGTCCGCGGAGAGTGGTTCGAAGTGATTGTGGCCAGAATGCCACCATGCATTGTCAGCATGCTTGAGCTGCACGTTCGAAGGAGTCTACAACAAGGAAGATCAGAAGGCGTCGATAGCGGCCATTTCTAAGCTTTGAGATCAAATCACCTGCGACGGGTAGAGAAATGCCTCACTCATCGAGCATGTTGATCACTTTGGGGGCCGTGATTGAGGCTTCCGGGTAGCATGGACCCCCTCCTTTTGGGTGTTATATTCAGAATATAAAAGGGCATCGTCGGCCTGGATGATAAGGGAATCAACAGCACCTTCTTGAACACCAAACCAGTCCAGACCATCCTTCAAACAAAGCATCAAAATGCGTGTCTCTAACCTCGTCGCCGCCGCCCTCGTCACAGGTGCCACTGCCTACGACGTCCCCAGCAACCTGCAGCAGATCTACGCCAAGCACAAGGTACCCTTTATACCTTTTCCTCGATTCATGACCCTTGACTAACTTCCCCCGGCAGAGCTCCTGCTCCAAGGTCCTTGCCAAGGGCTTCACCAACGGCGACTCCAGCCAGGGCAAGTCCTTCCAGTACTGCGGCGACCTCGAGGGCGCCATCTTCATCCGCTCCACCGGCCATGGCGGCCAGTACACCAACATGGACATCGACTGCGACGGCGCCAACAGAACCGGCGGAAAGTGCGCCAACGACCCGTCCGGCCAGGGCATTACCGCCTTCCAGGACCAGGTTGCAAAGTTCGGCATCAAGGACCTGGACGCCAATATCCACCCATACGTGGTCTTTGGCAATGAGGACCACTCTCCCCGCTTTGACCCCCGGAAGCAGGGCATGGAGCCGCTGAGTGTGATGGCGGTTGTGTGTGGTGGCAAGCTGGTATGTTTTCTTTTTTGTTTCCCTTTTGTCTTGTGGTTATTGCGTGTACGGTGTGGCTAACGCGATCCCCCACCCCAGCACTATGGTATCTGGGGTGACACCAACGGTGGTACTTCGACCGGCGAGGCCTCGATTTCTCTGGCGGATCTCTGCTTCCCTAATGAGAACCTTGACGGTGACCACGGACACGATGCTAACGACGTTCTCTTCATTGGTTTCACTGGTAAGGATGCTGTGCCTGGATCCAAGGCCAACTGGAAGGCCAAGAACGCCAAGGATTTCGAGAACAGCATCAAGTCCATCGGTGACAAGTTGGTTGCTGGTCTGAAGGCATAGACTAGTGGCTCTCATGATTGTATCTAGAAGCTAGTAATGACAAGTTGTCGTGTTCAGTTTATGTTGTATCTGCACATCTATAGTCCGATTTATTGATCATATATTAAACTCCTTGCCATTTGGGTAGAATATTTCCCTGTCAGTCATCCAGTTACCAAAGGGAAGAGGAAATATCACACTGGTCATCTGTGTTGAACTTTGTTGAACTTCAGAAAAGAAAATCCTAGACAGTTCTTTGGTCTAGAGGTATGATCCGTTCTTAGCTCAGATGATCTGATTTAGTTCTGGAGGTATATATCCCATTCCATGCATCCCTACCACAGAAGGCTTTCAACATTCCAACATAAACTTCTGAGCTATCATAGGTGCCTCCTGGACTGCGCAGTCATAACCACCTTCATTTTTTGGATGATGTATGTACTTCCACCACATGGACCATCATTATCGCGCGGCCAAATAGCACATTGCGAGGCTCTGGCATTGGCTCAATCCAAATACACTTTTCTTTGTCCATCAGGAGATCCATGTAAGAACCATAAAAGACACTTTGATCCAATAGCATAAGCGAACAAAGAAGATACCCATCAAATGAAATCTAGTGATTTATAGATTTAAAGCCATCATTTGACCAGAATAATAATCAGAGGGATGAGTTCTGCACTACAGTACACTAATCACTACACAATGTTCTCTCATACTTCTACTCAAGACATTAGGGAGTTTTCTGGCTTAAGCTAACAAACAGCAGGCCAAAGAGCTGTCATAATATCAGAGACACTAGCCTCTTCGTCCGTTTGCTCTAGACTAGGCGAACAATGCCTTTGTCTTGCATCACTTGTCTCTCAGTGCCCAAGACAGTCTCTGGACTATCATAGCTATACAAGCACACTTTGCAGAGTGTCTCTAATTACTGCAGTGGTGTTCTGAGACACGCTGGGAGCCATGAAATATTGTACCCCCCTCAGGGTATAAATATAGCTTAGATCTCTATCACATTCTTCCCACTATCATCCTCACTCTGCTTGCCCAATCATCCTCCTACTGTCGCAAAAACCTCTCAAGAAACCATCAACCATTCCTCAAAAGATAATCCACCAAAAACTCCCCAATCCAAAGAAGAAACTATCTGTCAACATGCCCAGCGGAAAAGAACAAAAGCTCGTCTACGCGATCTTTCGCCTCGACGACCCCAACATCCCGGACCTGGACATCCTCCACCAATGCCTGGAGAGAATCAGTGTCGGTGCCGTCGGTATTGTCTCAAACCCTCAATACCTTGCTGACTGGGGCGCAGAACACCCGGACGAGGTAATCCTGCAAGTCTACTCCACAGACAGGAGTGACGAGGAGGTTATGGCCGCCGCCGCGGCATATATCCAACGCCAGATCGATAACTGGGCGGAGGATATGTCCATGTCTGCCTGGTATAGGTATGACCAGTGGGCGCGCCTGAAGAATTTCGGGCATATGGATTAGGTGAGCCACCTCTCTGTGTGTGAGTTTATCATTTTTTGCTATTGGGGTTGCTTTGGATTGTTAACAGCTTCTATGAATAATATGATCTTTTGCGGTTACTTATGCTTGGGAAATATGATTCTATCTTCCGGGTTACCCTGAGAAGCTGTCAAATGTTTGATGTAGAGTATGTATGAATATTTTGTAGCTCTTCTCGTGATCTAATCTTTTCTTGGATTGGAGCTATTCATGGGATGTTCGGTTCAACCCTATGCATCCATGTATTTGTAGTACATCATGCAGCATCTGTGTTGACATTTGCTTCACTTGTAAACCAGAAGATATTAATTCAATGTCTCGGCTGAGGAAGTCCCAAATGTCTCTTTACAATCTGTATCAAACATATGGACCTCGACAGCAATGACACTGATATCCCCGGAGGATCCCCGGAGGATCAAACGGAACAGCAAGAGCAGCGCCTGAGCCTGCACTTACCGTGCGTGCCTCAGGCCCAGCCTCCCCAGGGACTAACACACTCACCCCCTTTCTAGGCAACCAGCCGGACAACAGATGACCCAACCACATCTTTCCTTCTCAAGGAACCGGGCAGGTGGTGCAGCGGTAATCTGAGAGCAGCCGGCCAAAGTTGCAGGCGCTTGGCAGTAGCTGCATAGCCTAGTGAAGTCCCGGGTTCGAATACAGGTCCAGCTTGCCTGACGGCTGAAGCTGGACTTGGGCAGAATGGTGAGAGGGCAGGTAGCTCCTGCCTCCCTTCTGTTTTGCTTCGCTGATATTCTTTTCTTTTTGATCTTAATTGTTTTTGTTTTCTTTTTTTTTATCTTTAGTCGAGTCTCTTTTTATCACTACCTATGGCTTTGGCACTATGGGTAATTTCGTGTGTTCTTAATTCGGCTCCTGGTCTGGTGCTGCAGTTGCTCGGCCTCTAGGTAGCTGTTGCTATTGACTCTGCACAATCCTACCAACTACGTATAGTATGCAAATATGAAACTAAACAGTTCTTCACTGGGGACAGCAAATGGGCAGGCAGTACATTTATACCATATGATCTACGTGAACTTATCTATCACACTGACTACAATAAGAGATGGGGAAATATCCTGAATGAAAAAGCACATTTTGCATCTATAACAATCGCCTCAACGGATGGAATACATTCATTCAGGTGCTTCCATACAAAGATCGATGTTATGACTGGCAGCTATCATTCCCTGGGATCAATTGATACTGGATAAAAAAAGCGAACAAAAAAGAAAAGAAACCGAATGTTGAGGAAGTCGTATATCGCAATGCCGGATGAGAAGCTGAAAAACAAAAAAGAAATGGACTCGCGGGGAATCGAACCCCGGACCACTCCCATGCTAAGGGAGTATTATACCACTAAACCACAAGCCCATTTGTTGAAAGATCGATAGCATTTTGTGTTTTATGAAGCAAATGTGGCTTAATTATAGGTGACACGGTATTTGGAGATTATGGTACTGTCTGGGTGGGTACTGAGAGCATAGCTATAGAACCATTAGTGTAAGAATCATTGGCGTCTATAACCCGAATATTCAAAACAAGGATTTTCTTTATTAACATTTATCTCTTTAAGCATAATTTGTTAGCATGGGAGCATGTGGTAGTTCACTTTTTGCCATGCTGGCGTCACCATATATTATTTCCTTCATATGAGCAAGTGGTGGTTTCACCAGGTACAGTTGAAAAACAAAACAAAGGAATGACACATTCAACCACATAAAACAACATAAGATACATCAATTACATGGACCTATCATCTCAGCCATCAGAGCATACAAATGCCCTCTTCAACCTCGCGTTTTCAACCAGAGAGTCTTAAACCGCATCAGGGAATGGGCGAGGGTTAGCCAATGCAGCAGGAGCGTGACGCTTGTGGGGACCGATCAGATGGTCGAACGCAGGAGAGTGGGAGACACGGGGAGTAAGATCCTTCAGGTCCCAGAGGTATCCGAGGGTCTTGAGAACGGAGGTCGAACTGTACGGGGCCGACTCGCCGGTGGCAGGATCGACACCGTAGTTCTCAATGTGTCCCTTAGGGGAGTAAGGGGAGATCAGCCAGGTGGGCATGCGGCCACCAAGACGGTCGTAGCTGAAGGTGTATTTGCTGCCATCGAGAGCGGTCTCGGTGTAGGTCTTGTTATCCGGGCGAACAGCGAGAGGGGGCTCGACGTGGTCGAAGAAGCCGCCGGTTTCGTCGAAGGTGACCAGCAGAAGAGTCTTGTCCCACTGGGGGCCGGTGCGCACGGCGTCGTAGATCTGCTTGACGAGGACCTGGCCGAAGGAGACGTTGCCGGAGGGGTGCATGGAGTTGGTGTTCAGGTCGCAGCAGGAGGGGTTGATGTAGGAGAGCTGGGGGAGAAGACCGAGGTAGGCATCCTGGTAGAAGTTCTCAAGGGGAACGACGTTCTTCTTGGCGTGCTGGGCGGTCCAGTTGAAGAAGAGAGCATCAGACAGGAAAGCACCGTTGGTGCCGTCATAGTTCTGCCAGGAGATACCCTTCTCGGTGGCGGCCTGGAAAATGCTGGGGATATCGACGCCAGAGACGTCGAAGCTCTTGTCGTTGCTTCCGTGGCCATCGGCTGTACCGGCAACGGAGCAAAGACGGTTGGGGTTGGTAGGCTATTTATGTCAGTATTCGACTTTCTGGATTGGGGTAACAAGACCTACACCAGGGACACAAGAGTGCCAGTAGTTGAAGGTGGTAAACTCGTCAACCAGGTCAACCAGAGTTGGGATCTCATCCTCAGAGTAGTATCCCATGACCTCTTCAGTGGCCAACTTAGGGTCAATGCCCTTATGGTGAGCCATCTGCTGCTCCACAAAGCCCTGCATGCTGGGTTTAAGGCTGCCGCTGGCGATGTCGGCGTTGTTGGGGTTGTAGGTACCGTACTGCTCCATGTTGTATCCAGTGACCGAGTGATCGGGGTCGTGGCGGACCGAGTCAAAGTCCTTGTAGACACTGCACCACTTGGCGCTGCTGGGGTTGGTCACATCCTGGAGGTTGCAGAAAGGGCCATTGTTGATGACGTTGTCGAGACCATTACGCTCAACTCCACCCAGGATGTTATCGAAACTGCGGTTCTCCAGCAGGATCCACACCACATTCTCGATTTTGTCCTTCAGGTTGGCAATGGACTCCTTGGAACCGGAGGCATATCCGAAGGGCTTGCTGGTGCGGGTAGACACGGCGGCCGCAGCAGCACTGCTGGAGAGGCCGAGCAAGGAGACGAGAGTGTTGGTCTTCATGATGAGATTGCTCTGTGATGTGCTCGTCAGATGAACAGGGGAATTTCTTGATGATGCATGCCCATCCTTTTATAATCATGCAAGACCGTTGGCAATTTTCGGCCGACACATTAACCCGCATTATTGGAGTATACCACAGTGACAAATGAACAGCCAGAAGCAACAGCACATGCTCTGTTGGTCTCTTCTGACAGGCAGCTCATCCTGCATATGCTATCTTTTAGTAGCTTCGTTGTAGGAACTCCTCCATGCGTTAGCGCATCTTACCCACTCATGCATGGGATCCATGAATCAGGTAGTAGCGCATACTGCCGATCCTGATATAGGTGTAGGGATGTCTTTATATCTAGTCCCACTATAATCATGCTGACAAGAGACATGAAGCTTGGATGCCTCTATAACAAGCACAGGGAAGCCATATCTGTAACTTTCAAAACAGCTGTATAGACATGCTCTCCATCCCTGGTTTCATTCCAGGAACAACAGAACACACATAGAAGATAGTAGCAACCATAGTTCATAGCATAGGTACAATAGTATCTCCCGGGTCTCGCTACTAAGCTTTGGTGAAGCGTCCCAAGACGGCTTGGCGCCATCCACAAATCTTGTATCTATTCAACCCAATCAGAGAGCGTCAACGGAAGCACTGATCACAAACAAGTAACTTCATTGGGTCGTACTGAACTTCTGCAACTATGGCTGAATCCCCAATCAGCTTTGAGCGTTGCAGCATGCACTGAAATGTTATCAAATGACACCCAGTTTAGTGGCTCGACACTCCCCTGTCTTCCGTGTCTTCCGTGCCTTCCGCGATATTTCCCTCGAATCAGAAAGCTTCAATCCCTGTCTCAGGCACTGGTAGGAACTTCCTAGCTTCTTATGAGCATGGGGGAATGAGTGGTTTCCGGAAATTCCCTACAAAGGCAATCCTGCTATCGGACCACTCCGCAAACACCCTCCCACGTGGAAACTCGCCTTCTGGAGACTATCGTTTCCATATTGACTTCGATCGTCTTGGATACAGAATGAATATCTCCGAGCACATGGCTATCAATATCCCGACAAGGTATCAAAGTAAGGTTCAGGAATCAGGAAGTGGAGCATCAACCGACTCCAAGTCTCCAACACACAGCAAACATTGCTTTCAGACCAAGTACGCTTGCAAAGTACCCAACCCTAGTACACGCTTTCCAAAACGCATGGTCTTTTCCTGCGAAGTGACGCAAACTCCCATAGTCGAAAGCGTTACCTTTAAAGCAGAGACGGAAATATTTATGGAGCATGTAACGGGCGAAATGCAGGATCGGACAAGGTCTGTCATAAGAACTACTGTTACTGACTAACTAGGGTCTGGACACCTTTTTAGTGCTACTAGTAGTAGAACCCCTACAGCAAGGACTCTGGCGAGTAAAAGGTTGGCTGGCCTGAGTACATCTTAATAGCATGGAGGAGTGGCAGGAGATAGAGAGAGCCGTAGTCGGCGCCGGACATATCGGAATTTCCGCTGGCTGGACGTGGCAAAACGTGACAGCTCAATGTATGTCCCAAATCACCTGGAATGAGGATTTCCTCCAGGCGGAAAGAACCGAAGAGAACCACACTAACAGTACGCGAAGGCCCCAAGCGTCTTTTGGGGTGTATGCTCGAGCTTGCTAGGAGAAGTGCAAGTTCCAGACCGGATACCTCCGAAGAATATGTGTGTAGCAACCATGAATTGCATGATTTGGTGAAATACTGTCGCTGCATGTCCGGGTTCAAGAATGCCAGGGTCATATCCCTCTGCTGCATGTTTTTTATATAAAGATGGGCCTCAAAGGATTATTCTACAGAGCTTTTTTTTTTTAGCTTTCCTAGATAAGTACTTCTATATGTAGCTAAATTATATCCCTAACAATATATATATATATTCTTCAAACTAGAAAGTAGCCGGTTGGTGGTGAGGGAGGGGTTGGGGGTGGTCATTATGGCTATTATTATTATTATAAGAAGGGAGGGAGCAAGGTATGAGAGAGAGAGAGAGAATTAGAATGGAATGAATGACTTTGAAGGAAGAAAAAAGGGATTAAAAATAAATAGATATAGAGTGTTATATATACTCTGTGCACACTATGTTTACTCTCCCCTATACTCACACTCTCTATATACTCTGGTAAAGATAGAGTTACTCTGATTAATATTAAACTGATTATGCACTAGAGATGGGGACTTAATAGGGGGCTTAAATACTCTGGATAGCATGATAATGGCTAAATAATAATCAAAATAAGAAAAAAAAGATTAATCATCTACTCTGGGCTAAACACCTGGATCACACTCTTGCTTCCTTCGCCGCTGAACCCATTCCTCCGAGCCAGCAGCAACACTGTCAACGCCGCGTTGCCCAGGTGCAGTGGGCAGACAGAAAAGCGCCTGCTATAAACAACCAATATAACGCAACGTGTAAACACTCCCTCCATACTGGTCATAATCTTGCTTCATGGTCTGGATCAGAATCGCTCATGCCGTTGTATGAGAACCGAAAACTGTCTCTTCGAATTTGTCGTTCGAAGCACAAGACCAGATGTCGGAGATCATGAACAGTTGACAGTTCCTGCAACGTTGGTTTGCGCACATCTCCACTCAATGCAGCCAGAGGGAAAGGATAGACAAGCCATAAAAGTCGAGCAAAGTTAGAAAAGAGTAAATTAGGGCGAGGACTTTACTAGGGAGGAGTTGAGCAAGCTTAGAAAATCTCACCAAGATAAGAACCTCAGGCAGAAATCCCCTCAACTTGATCAACTTTGGACATCTTTTTGAAAGCTTGAAATAGAAATTGATTGGGACTATTCTTGATATTCGAAGTCGTCCGTTAACCAAGACAACTACAGTAGATGCAACAGATGCAACAGTCATTTCATGCAGCCTCCAATGTATAGCTCCCATCGCTCAAATATGGAATTTCACTCAAAGTGATCATTCCAAAAACTTCAAATGTCCGTTCTGGTTGGTGATCCTCTCATCCAGCCTCACCCAGGCTCTCTTCCATCCGCCGCGCCCATCCGCCAGCTCTGCCTCAAGCACCCGTCCTCCATCAGCGAGATGAACATGTCTGGCCGAAGCACTGAAATTGCCGCCGCGCGCCCAGACAAAGGAACCATTCCGGTTCGACAGGACTGAGTTCAGGGGAAGAACGGACCGATGGTGCTGACCTGAGACAGCTCGACATTTAGCAACCAATTCATAGTTGTGCTCGAGGTTGATCTCGTTCGAGGAAGCGGAGAAGTTGCCGCGTAGGTTGCCCTGCGCGGAGTAACGTTGTTTGTGATGATCACGGTCATCGTCGCTGCTCGACGAGGACGAGGACGAGGGACGGTGGTGGTGGCCCCATTTGTGTTCGTGCTTGTCCTCTTTGTCTTTCTTCTCTTTCTTCTCCTTCCTGTGCTTCTTGATTGCGTCTTCGGCGACAGAGCCACTGAGCGCTCCGCCGATTGTGCCGAGGATGCCATGGCCTGCTTGGTGGCCGGCGTAGGCGCCTGCGGCGCCTCCACCTAGTGCTCCGAGCAAGCCTCGCTCGTCCTGTTGACCCTGGGGATATGGTGCCTGGCCGAGTGATTGCTGGGGATATGTGTCATTGGTGGGATATGGAGGTTGAGATTGGTTTGAGTCATATTGGTTCTGGCTGTACGGGGGACGCTCTGAGTAGCCGTATTCATTGTTGGATTGTTGTGGTCTTGACTGAGAAGTGAAGCCGGGTGCGTTACCGCCCCACGACTGCTGAGGATAGTGAGGCCGATCGTAGCTGGATGACTGCGGAGGCTGGGAACCATAGGTATAGTTGTTATTATCCCCCGGTTGGGAATAGGGCCTATCCGGACCAGGTGTGGGATTCGATGAAGACGGAATCCATGGTCGGTTGCCGTTGTTTCCGCCGTTTCCACCGTAGCCACCCTCGTACGGACTCTCAGGCTTGTTGCCGCCCGTATAGTTGGAATTGTAGTACTCTTGTGCAGCCATGGTGGTATGGTAAACAAGAGGACGGGAGTAGGTGATGGATCAAGATTTGCGTATGTTTTCGGAAAGCCGAGGCAAATGAGATCAAGTTGAGGAGGTAAATTGAAATGAGGAACTCTCCCGGCAACCGAGGAGACTGGAGGTTTCTTTAAAGTGAACGAACAGCTTGGGCTGCTGCCTTGTTATTGAGCTCCCTCTTGTCGCAAATGTGGCTGTGCAGCCCCGCTATGCAAGTTGACCCAACCGCACTGCCACAGTGGGGGGTTCCACTCAGCCTTACAGATGTGGCTTGATATTGATGCTGTTCGGTCCTGGCAGCAAGCAAGGTGATGCCATCGAGTTATTGCCACAGGAAACAGCTGAGGATACACTCATCGATGCGAGGCATAACAGACAGATTAGACGATGGTATTCGAGCTATCGATACTCTTATCTTGAGGCATGATATGGGCCCGACATTTCCCCATCACTCACTGTCCCACTCCGCATATCCCTGACCCGCTATGACGAAGAATCGCATTAGCAACGCTTTTTATTTGAAGTAGTAAAACGCTTATTGTACGCAGGAAAGTTGAACAATCCCTCCCATTTCTCCTCTCGAGCCAGCTCAAGCACTTTCTGGAACATGCCCTTGGGGATGTAGATTTTATGCTGTGTGCCCTCGGCGTCGTAGAAAACCAACATGTTTGACTCGACCTGTTTCGTGATTCTGTTCGTGCCGTCATTTTTCGGAGGGGCGTTGAGCTCTACGTTGGGCCTCGCAGCGTTTGAAGTCTCAAGAGTCATGGTTGGGCTCTACGAAGGCTGATGTGGCTTCGACTGCAGCGCGATGTGACACCGCAGATTTCCCAGAGAAGGCGGATTGAAGGCGATTTCCAATCCGATCACAGGACTTGTCCTAGCATATAGGCATAAAGTTAAAGTTCAAGAAGGCTTTGAGATGACATTTTGGTATTATGCCTCAAGATTAGCGAAGCAGACTGCTCTGCCAGTTGGGAATATTGCTGATGCTGGAGTACTAGTGTAGTCTGTTTAGGATTATCTAATCTAACAATGCGCACCAACGGGAAGAATGTTTAGGTCATGTCGTCGTTACTAGATGCCAATAAGCTATACCTGTAGTCTAATCCACGAACAGAAATAAAAAGTGCCTCAGAAATTGTCCAGTCTGCTTCAGGCTACCTTGCCGACAGAGGCCGGCGGGACTCTGATTCGAGGCCTGCCTGGGACGTCTATCTTTGGAGTGATTGTTTGCACAGTCTATACCAGAATTGTCGTCCTGGTATCAGAGCAAAGCTTAGTGCATCACGATGAGCTTCTCTCAGAGGCTCGGGCATATAGATCGATGATCAATCTCGATCACAGTCCACAAACATTGAGGCTCATCATGAGAAGTGGATACCTTCCGTATTGAAACCGTGGAGAAGCTGAAGAAAGTTGTTCTCATCACACTTGTTGGCACGAGCATTGCTCAAGCCAGCTTGCTCCAAAACCCGCTGGATCTTCACCTGGATCAACTTGGTCACCATAGCACGGGGCACCTGCTGATCCCCGATCGCCACAAGGGATCCCTTGGTGGCAGTGACAGGGGTGTCATTCTCGTCACCCAGATCCATGAAGATATCATCCTCATCGTCACCAGCCTCTGGCGCGTCCTCTCCGTCACCCATGTCCATGTCATCGTCTCCGCCCTGCGCCACAGGCACGTCCTTGCCCTGCAGGAAATCGATGTCTGAATGTGTGACCTTCTCAGGATGCATCGAAACCCACGTGATCCAATTACGCTCAATCAGCGCACGAACCTTGGTTCCCATGAAACCGGCGCGTAGGGTCTTGTTCTTGCGCACGAAGCAGATGCGGAGCATGCCGTCCCATTCATCCCAGCTGATGTCCGGTCGATCAGCCTTGGGCTCGACCCGAACCACACTGGACTCAACCTGTGGCGGAGGCCGGAAGTTATTCTTGCCGACTTTCATGATATGCGAGATGCGGGAGAAGAACTGTGCGTTGACCGAAAGTCGTGAATACAACGAGTCACCGGGACGAGCGATCAATCGAAGCGCAAATTCACGCTGAACCATGAGAACGCATGTCTTCGGAGGATTGGGCATAGAAAGAAGCTTGAAGATAAGCGGGGACGAGATCTGTGAGAAGCGTGAGTACACAGCGCAATTGAATCTGGCAACTCTTTGCATACCTGGTAGGGAGTGTTACTGATGCAGATTTGGAAGGGAGGAAGCTTGGATAAATCGGTCTTCACAAAGTCACCCAGAACAATCTGTAGTTTCTTCTCCGCAGGTGTAGCCTGAACCGTCTTTGTGAGTTCTGCTGCCATGCGAGGGTCCAATTCGACTGCGACCACTTTCTTCGCCTTTTGCAAAATACGTGTTGTCAGGATACCCGGACCGGGACCGACTTCGAGCACGGTCTGACTCGGTTGAATATTGGCCTTGTCGACGATGGCATCGGCGATTGTGGGATTTTTCAAAATGTGTTGGCCGATGTCTGTGTTGAACTTGAAAATTGCAGATGCCGCTTTGGACAGCGGAGCGCCTCCTGGCTTCTGATATGGAGAATTGGAGCCCGAAGCATTCCGCTTCCCTCTTGCCGCCTTGCCCATTGTGATGTGATGGTGGGGTTGATCTGGAGGATACCGAAGCCTGTGATCGCGTTTTTCTAAAATTTTTTATCTCCGGACTTTATCAGATAAGAGCATGCTCGATACAGTTAGCCCACTGACAGTCACGTGGCTTCTCAACTTCATGGATAAATACTGAACACGTGACACTGCTTGGCGGGGAACCTTAGCGCCTGAGGCATGAACAGCACACCATATGGCACAACTGCTTCTGCTCCGCTTGATGTCTCTTGACAGAATTGCAAGGATACCTTGTGAGCTTCCAAGTCTGCGGCGTATCTAGACTTCTCTGAAGCCCTTGGCATTTGGTACACTCGCTATGACGTCCTTCTTCTCGGTCAGGCAGCCGCCATAGGATTTCTTATCATCCACCTATGCAAAAGATTCAAGCAAGCTCCTGCATTTACTGCTTCAACGCCCTTCTAATTAACTTTGCCTAGATGAGTCGCTTAGAGGGATAGCTGTACGGAGTATCTATAGCAGACTTTGGAACTTGAGGTCCGATGTCGGCCTACTACGAAAACGAACACTCAAAGCTCAGTTCAATAGGTGTTTGAGCTCATCAGTTCGCAATGATGCAGCAGCGTGCGGAGAAAAACGGCTGGACGGTGTTTGTGTCCATGCAGAACCAGTAGAGTCTTGCCTATCGTGAAGAAAAGCGGGAGATGAACCGTTTCTGCAACGAGTCGGGAGTTGGTCTGATTCCAGTGAGTGCTCCTATCGAGTGTCTTTGAGCGAAAAGTCCGGCTGAAGATGTACTTTCCAAATAGTTGTCTCCCCTGGATGGAGGGAAAATCGCTCGTCCCCTCTCACAAGGCCCGCAACACCGCTCGCTCCGAGACCAATGATCCCAATGCCATCACGGAAGCCGATGCAGCAATCATCGTTCGGGTAGAGGAGGTAGCGAAAAAGCAGGGCTGGACAATGGGTGAGGTGGCATTGGCGTGGGCGGAGAAGCGAGTCGCCAGTCCAATTGTTGGATTCAGTTCGGTCGAGCAAATGGATGAGACACTACAAGGCAAGGATTATGTCTTGACGGAGGAGGAAAGGTACCTGGAAGAGCCATATGTGCCTAAGCCGGTCGGTGGTCATGACTGAGAGTAGAATGTTATGCTTGAGAGCAATTGATGCCTATTTCCACACCTGCTAGATTGCATAATAGGCTCTTCTCTCCGCCACTAACCTCCACTTAGTTCTACAGATGCGGCTGATGTCCACTGATTTTTTTTTAAATCACCACCCCAACAATCTGTTGAAGAGTTCTTGTACGTAAAAGTAGCCTCGGACGACGCCCCAGTCAGCACTACTAAGCACCGTATCCTTCATTCGCTTCTTCGGACCTCATATCAGCCGCAGCCGTTGCGGCGTCTCACTCAACCTCTCAACGGGTGGGAACTCAACAACCGAACACGAGCTTGTGGGAGAGGTGACCTTTAACCTTATAAAATGGTGAGCTCAGTATCTCCTATGTGACAGAACACTTCCATTCCCCCATATCACTTCTCTAACAATGTCTGACCCCAAATCCTATACTGCAAGCTGCCACTGCGGCAGCATCAGACTCTCATTCGCCACGCCGACACCTATCGAAGAGACCGGGGTGGTATCGTGCAACTGTATGGCTTCCACAAGATACTGCCATCCAAGAACCCGGCCTAATATATTATAGGCTCGATCTGCCACATCAATGGCTACCTCCACACCCGCGTCAACGCAGCGGATATCACCTTCGAGAGCGACGGGGACGCGCTGAAGGTTCCGTGACTCAATCTTCATGTGCTGAGATGACACTAATGGGAGCAGGAGTACCGGTTTGGATCGCGCAATTACCCGCACTACTTTTGCGGGAATTGTGGAACGAGTGTATATGTTCAGTGCCAGATTCCGGGGACGCAGTCGGCCACATCGATCAATGTATGTCCGTGACTTGTGAATGGAGTTAAATACTAATCGGTATAGGTGCGCACGATTAAAGGGCTTGATACCAAAGGGTTGAAGGTCAAGGAGTACGATGGGAAGAGCCTATAATTGAATGAGGCTTGATAGAATAGGATGGGGATCTATAAACCTTGACCGTGGCCGCCTATCTGAAGTCTATAGATATACCTTATGTACTGGAAGTATACTATGGTCTTTCAATTCAAGTGTACATTGACCTGGTGGTGATTTAGGATTCCCTAGAAGATATTCATGAAGAAGCCATCCCAGCATTAGGATGGTACGCATGTGAAGCATGAAGGCTCAATTTGCTCACCAGTAACATTTGAAACTAAAACCTTCATTGCATAACTAGCTGACAGTAACATTCTATGTCTCCTTCAGAACTAACCCAAGACGGAGATCAAATCCAGTAATCCTTAATCAGACATCCGGCGTCGATCCCCCGTACGAATGAATATATCATTATTAGCATTTGCATTACTTAGTATTATGAGGATAGATAATCTTTTATGTAAAGTAGTATATCTAATTAGCTAGTGTTCTTCTATTCTCTCTTTTTTTTAGGAAATAAGACTTATATCTTACTCTTGGCCCTTTACTTGCTCTTTCCTAGTAATGATATAACTATAAGATATTAGTTATGCTATAGCTTAGCACTAAAAGTAATGCCCTTTCTAACCTCCCATGAAATATCTAACATTCAAGATATAGTTTACATGAGGTCAGACTAGCTATGAGACAATTGTCCGACTCTTCTTTCCTTTCTTCTTGCGGTAAGAAGAACTTACAGCTGGTGGAGTGATAGCGTCGAACTCTGCGGGTTCATCCACCAAGAGTTCCAGCCTTGATACCGGTCTGGCATCAGCCTCTTCATAGCCTGGACTCACAGGGGGTGGAGCAGAGATGGTTGATCGTTCACTACATGAATCATCAACATCACATTCGAGTTCGTCGCCATTGTCAACCGAGATGACAGAGTCCGGCGGGGTTCTGTGGAAAGAAGAAAATACTTTTGACATGCCTGATTTATCAGGATCTGAATGCCGATTAGTAGTCATTTATTTGGCCTTTTGAACTCGAACTCACTAATGCTTTGGCTACCGACGAATTGCCGGCAAGTCTCTAGACCTTTTGCAAGGACTTGTAGCTTCCTGTTTAGTTGATCCCGTAGTGCACGATTCTCCTTTGACTCTCCAGCAATTCGAGTGACCAGCTCAGAAGGCATTTCAAACACCTTGACCGGAGACAATATGGAAGAAAGAGACTGGACAAGGTTCAGCTCGATGACCTCGACCGCCACGTCGTCGATGAAGCGTTTGAGAGCGACCTATGAATCGTCAATGAAGGTGCTTGACTTGACACCTTAGGGAATAGATTGCATTACCTTGTAGTAGGCAAGCATGCAATCTAATGCTTCAGCTGACGCAAGTCGTGTCATGTCTGGTTCGGTAAGGCTCACGAGGGACTGAAGCAAGTCATCAAGACGGTATGAGCCATTAAGAACATATGAACCTGACAGGTCATCAACCCCAAAGAAATTTCTCATAGTGCTGCTCAATCTGGCCCGTTGTCTGCTCGCTCGAATGCTCTGCAGGGTTTCGGTAAAATAGTGATTGTAGGTGATTGGATGACCTTTGTGATGAGGTGCCAGTAGCTCTCTGGTTCTTTTCTCAAGGTTGCGCCTGAGCTCATCCAGTTCAGGGGAAATTAATTCGTCAAAAAGGACGACAGACGTGGCCTCATCGGAAATGTATCGTATAACATCAAGAAGGAATACTTGAGCTGCCTCCCATGTGTTCAACACATGATCGAGTGTGATATCCTTCCAAGGAGCGCATTGCTCTAAGAAAAGCTCGTTGACAATCATAGGATTGAAAGTCCCGGGCAGTTCTCGACCCCTTGTTTGCTTAATCAGTCCCTGGATGTGAAGCATGTATGTATCACGCGTAATCAGAAGCTGGCCCTTCTCGGCCTTTTTCTCGGCTTCCTTCTCAATAATTTCGCGACGATGACCTCGCCGCATAAGACACTCCGCGAACTCCTCATTGAGATTTTGTATCACGGCCCGCATTCGCTTCTGGCGCCCCGTGGTCGAGTGAACGGCACTGAAGAATGTTTCATTGTAGGTTCCGTCAACAGCAGCCTTCACAAGGCGTTGATACGACTGGCTGATATTCAACAAATAAGACTTCTGTTCATCCAACGTGACACGTGGCTGTCCTAGATTCTCGAGCTGTTGTCGGCAGTTGTCCTTTTTAATTTGAATTTCCTCAATCAAACTTGGAAGCTCAGCCGCGATCTGTCGGAGAAGAAGCTTGCTGAGCCGGATTCGGAGAGAATCGATACCCACCAAAGAAGGTGGCATCTCTCCCCATGCTCCGTTGGCGAAGAATTCCCGCTCTACCGAGTCGCGATCTGCTAAGCTGGATGTGCCCTGGTCGGAATCCATGTTCCTGAGTGCATGCCAACCAAGCCGGAATTTCACATCTTCGTTCTTGGCCAGGGATATAAACATTCTCTCGCTCTCGGACCCCATTACCAGCGTGTCTGGCTTGGTGATGACACCCAGTGTTCGCTGGCCGGAGTCGTCAGCATCTCTTGCCAGTCGCAAGACTATCTGATTGGCGTAGTCATTCTTCGCTGAAACGACCGCAAGAATGATGCTTCGCGGCTCCTTCATGTACATCTGAACCACACTCTGGACCAGTTGAACGTCTGCTGCTGATTGTTGTTTTGTCTCCGAATGAATCAGTCCGGGGAGGTCAACAATGGTTAGATGCGGTCGATCTGGGCCTGAGATCTCCACCCGAAGGATATCATTCGAGAATGCTTTACCGTGTGTTGATATGCCCATCGCTGCTTTGGCATTCTCCACCAATTGGGAGAGTCCGTCAAACCCATCCAGTTCCTCGCAAAAGGTGCTCAGGGATTTCTGTTCTGCTTCGCTGCGGGAATGATGGGGTACAATCGATACCCGTACTCCAACGGTGGGATCTTTGCGAAGGACCAGCTCCGTTGGAAACCGTGTGCAAAGGTTGCTTCGCACTGGAAACGACACGCCAGAAATCGCTTCAAGCACGGAGCTTTTCCCCGAAGACTGGTCGCCACATACGATGATTTGTGGAAGGGAGACAAAATGACTGATTCCCTGGGATCGGAGAGTATCGATCGAGTTCAGAAGATCAAGCTGCTCTTGAGTGCACAACCCGTCAAGAGCAGCTGAATAGTACTTCATAACCATTTTCACTGGAAATACAAAGGGATGACGGACCCAGTTAGAACGAGTGATAAGTCAACGGGACTGAGACAGTCCTTGATTGCTAAAAGACTGGAAAGTGGTGGGTTTTGAGTCGAATCATCGGGTCATCCAGAGGATCTATATATCTTCGTACTTTGCAACAGAAGCAATGTGCTTTCGCGCAAGTCATCCCAGATCAGGATATTATTGGTGTGATAAAGGGGGAAGAGAATGTGCCCGAGAATGGATAGATTGGGGTAGCAAAATCCTATCATGATCTATGAGGAATGCAAGTGAAACCTATACCGTCCCTTTTGAGTAGCCCAGCGCAACCACTATGCTCTGTGGTGTTCTTGCACGCATTTATGCTGTAGAGCCCATTCTTTTCTACCGCCTTTTGCCTCATTATTTGATGATATTTGAATAACAATCGTCGCTGATTACGAAGAGGAACATGCCAATCAAGCAAGAGGCTGACATGGAACTAGGGGAATGTAATTCTCTATAGAGATCATGGTCCGCAATTAACGCCCTTGCATGACAGTTCATGCACGAACCAAATGAGGCATTAACATGGTCTCAGCTCCGTAATCTTCGCATTTGGTCAATCTCAGCTCTATCCAGCGATAGACATGAGAGTTTGCCATTTAGGAGGAAGCTTCCGGTAGCTGATTTCTTTCGTGGGGTTGCGAACATACGTATCGGTCCACATCTGAAGTCTATTCTTTCTTTGACATTCTAGCAAAAATGTCTCTTTCGGACAAGATTGAGCAAATTAGCGGATATCGCTTTCGAGATGAGCGTTTACTACATGAGGCTATGACAGCAGCAGGAGCTGATGAAAACAATCATGACGGGAATCGTCCTCTCGCCCAAGTGGGCAAAAGTTTTGTCGAACTATGCTCAGTCAAGTTTGGTTACCTTAACCGTACAGAACGTGGTAGGTTCACACATTGGCGCATGGGTGATCTATAACTGATGATCAGAAAGACAAGAATACAGCCTTGAAGATACAAAACATCAATAATGATCGCTGTGCACTCATTGCAAAGGAGATTGGAATTGACCAGCATTTGACCTATTGTCCTCGCCACCAAGGCTACTCCAAGAAGGTTTTGAATATAGCTGTCAACGCCCTGATTGGAGCAATTAACATTGATTCAGACAGTGAGGAGGTCACAATCACCGCTCTGCACCGCATTGGGTGGTTCAGCTTTCCCTTAAACAAAGAACTAGGTCTGAAGACTGGGAGAAGTGGCAGCAAGTCCTCGAAGAATCTAGCTGAGCCGAGGACGACGAAACCTCTAGAGAATCAGACTTGCTCAGCGCGTCTAGACTCAATGGAACGAGTCAATGAAGGAATTAGCGTATCTTTGAGGCTTCTCCTAGAATCAGAAACTCAACGATGTGTGGCCCACCAGATGAAGCCCCCTCAAGAGACTTATTTTGGTGAAGCAGCACGGGCTGAGCTATTAGCAGTTCAAACCGAATTTCCAAAAGCTTCCTTGGATCTGCTTACTTTGTTCTTCACCTTGGCGGGACCTCAATCGATTGTTGGCTTCCAGGAGAATATACTGGGTGCACTCGCAGCATCCAACCCACTGGCTGAACTATACTATACCGAAGCACCTCCTCAACAGAGATTCGCTATTATCCGGACGCTTGAGCAAATTGAATGCCACTACGATATCCTGAAGAACTACCACACTTGGCAGCTCTACCAGTCTTGTACTGGGCAGCACGAGAGCGGCAGGCTTCACATCATCTCCTATGAGTCTCACCCAACCCGGCAATCTGGCAACCCAATAAATTTGAGAGAATCTAGAACAACTGAGAGGATGGTAGCTCTGATCTGTCCTGAAGCAGAGCCAAACTCAACAATCTTTGAGTCAAACTACAACAAGTTCAAATCATTGCGTCGAAAGGGAAAGAGGTTACAATCACTTATTGACATCTTTGGCCTGGGGATTCTTGGATTGATGTATTCTTCCCCGGGCCATCAAAGCGGCTGTATCCTGACCTTGTCACACTTTCTGTACGTCCGAGGCTCTGATATCCTTCCATATTTTTGCTAATCAACACTCCAGAAACCTCAAGATTTCGGATGGGCTCTTTTCCCGATTCATATCGATTCTTGATACTTACCAAGGAACGCTGATCCGAGAGGTATCTTCAGCCATGACCCCACTGGTGAAGGACACAATTGGTGGCAGACTTGAACGATTAAAAAGGACCTGGATAAAGTCTTTTAAGGCAGAGAATATATTACTCTATCCAAAGGGATCACAGGGTCTGCTGCAACTTTTAGATATGGAAGTATATGAGAATTGAATCATTTATGTTTGTTCCTTTCATAGGGCCCAGGGGTGATATTCCCCTGACATAGAAGTAATAATATGACTTTGTTAAAGCCTTTTAAGTTTTTTCCAGTAGTAGATTTTACTAGTAGACTTATTTATAAACCCACCTTTCCAATAGTGCTGAGTAGGGCCGACCTATACAACACTTTCTGACTCAGGGATACCTCTGCAAAAAGGCCTCCTGGGCAATATATATATATACATATTTCTGGACTCTATTTGCTAATTCTACCTAAGCCTTCTATTTTTAGCTAATGATCTTTATAATAGTCTCAATAGAATACTAGAAAATAAAATCTTCTACCCTATGTCCCTATCTTACTCCTTAAGTACCTATACTAGTATTGCCTTTATATAGTGTAATGATAAAGATAAAGTATCATCAACTACAGAACACTTCAGAGATACTGGTTATTCATTAATATTCACTAGAGTGGCACAGCCTATTACCTAACTACTCTACCTTAACCATAACCTAATGTTGTAGCTAGGTAATTAGGGTAATACAAATACTGATAGATATAGGCATGTAGCTCAGATATAGAGGTATATCCTCCTCTTATTCTCTTACCCTAGCTCCTCTCTAGTAGATATAAATAAGGGGATAAATATGCTAGTTAGTATATATTATATTATATATATTTAGGTATAATAAGTAAGTATATTATTAATATAATAAATACTACTTTATAATATATCCTTCTAGCTTAGATATTAACTAAGCTATAGGCTTCTATCTATCTTAGTTAACTAATATATTAAATGTATCTAAATCTTTTAGATTTAGTATCTTAATAAATCTCTTTAGTCTCTCTTTATATAATATCTTAATAAGGTTATTAATACTTATATTATATATATTAATCTACCTAATATTAACTTTATTAGCTTATATCTTCTCTCTTAGCTAGTATTAATAAATATTAATATAACAAAGCTTTATAATAATTTTTGGATTATTATCTTTTATAAGTTAGACTGTCTACTACTTATTATACTAGATAAAGATAGATATTTATTTAAGTTATATTAATCTTTTGGTATTACTGTGGGTAAGGTAGTATTACTAGGGGTGAAGAGAGATAGGCTGGGCTAATGCCTCTTTACTTACCTAGGGTAAGATCTTATATTTATATCTAGCTACTAACTATCTATCTAAAAGATAAGTTATAGATATTATAGAGATTTCTTAGATTAACCTTAGTAATCTAGGGTTAACCTTAATAATTATTAATCTACTTATAATATTTATTTACTAATATTATATTCTTCCCTACTTAAGATAAAGCCTATCCTTAGTAGGTTATCTAGCTCCTTACTAAAAGGTCCTTATAGTCTAAGAGAGTAATATTATATATAGTAAGCAGGATTAGATTCATACTTAGTAAGTAATATTAGATTATATTTAGTAAGTAGCATCAGATTATACTGAGTAAGTAGTATTAGATTATACTTAGTAAGTAGTATTAGATCATGCTTAGTAAGTAGTATTAGATTATGCTTAGTAAATAGAGGGGGGTCATATATAGTAAGGAGGGTTATTAGTATAGTTATTATAGTAGAGGTAAGGTAAGATTATGTATTATTTATTTTAATTTTAGGTAACTCTACTTTACCTTATTTATTCTTTTTTTATCTTTTATATTTCTTCTTCTCTTCTTTTTTCTTCTCCTATAAGTATCTTTCTTTTTATTATATTAATTATTATCTTCTTTTAGTAAATCTCTTTCTTTATATATTAGTCTTTTATATTCTTCTTATACTTAGTAAATATAGGTACCCTATAAAAGAAGGATAAAGATTATCTTATTTATTAGAAAAGTATAATTACTTTTAGTAAGTTTAGTAAGTACTCTTTCTAGCTTTAGTAATTATCTCTTATTAATAATAGAAGATTATCTTAGTAGGCCTAATAAAAGTATATTAAAGGTAATAAATATTATTTACTTAATTATTTAGAAGTTTAATAAGAATAAGAAGCTAGATATAAAGGAATATACTTACTTAGATTATATATTAGCTATTATTCTCTAGTAGTAAGATATATCTTATAACTATATATTAGCTTATAGTAATTATTTTTTAGATAAGGGTCCCTTTAGGAGATATATCTCTACTCTTAGTTATAATAAATTTATATTCTTTTAGGGGTCCTATACTAACTATACTTAGAGTAACTAAGAATTAGTATATTTATTTTATATATAGGGTCTTTATATATAAGATTCTAATACTCTTAATAAATATATATTCTTCTTAGTAAATATTTCTTATCTATAATTACTAATCTTTTTTACTTCTATAGATCTATTATTTAAGCTAGTAGTCTTAGTTTCCTTATTAGTTATAATAATAAGTTATATAATTAGCCTATAGAGTTAGTAATAATAATTAGTAATTATATTAAGAAGTTAGATAATAGTGCTAGTAAAGGTTCTCTAAATAATAATAAATATATATAATCTAGTATAAAAAGTAATATTAATTCTCTTATAATAAAGATAGGTCCTTTTAGTATTTCTTATAATAAAGGCTCTTCTCCTATAATAAAGATAAATTCTTCTAGTATTTCTTATAGTAAAGGCTCTTCTCCTATAATAAATAAGACTCTAGCTAAGAAGTATTATCTTTCTTTAAAATATTTTATAGTAGTAGTAATTAGTCTAGTTAAGAGATATTATTCTACTATAATAACTCTATCTTATTTTTAGATTAGTTCTTCTTTAGTAACTCCCTCTCTTACTTAGGATAGTTTAGTTAGATTAACTCTCTCTCTCTCTTAGATTAGTTCTACTATAGTAACTCCTTCTTATATTTTAATAAATATCTTATTAGTAGCCTTAATAGGAAGCCCTATTAGATATTATTCTTCTTTATTATTACTTAGTTATAAAAATCCTTTTAATAGAGTTTATATTCCCTAGCTAGTAAGTTATATTAACTAAGATAATTATTATAATCTTTCTATAGTTCTTTAGGATCTTTAGATATTTACTTATTATATTAAGACTTATCTAGAGGAATTAGCACCTCCTCCTAGTAATAATAATAATTTATTCTAATTAGCTAAGGTGTTATCTTATAGGGTCCTTAATATAAAGTTTAATTTAGACTTTTAATTAATAATTATTTATTACTTTACTTAATTAGTATAATTCTTAATATCTTATTATAATTAGTTTTTCTTTATAATTAGTAAAATCTACTAATCTATAATTTCTTTTTTTCTTCTTAGAAAAGTAATTCTAGTATAGTACTATTTTTTAATTTACCTATATAAATATATTATTTTTATACTACTCTATTTACTCCTAATAAGAGGATATTATAACTATAAATAATCTTTTAAAATCTATCTCTTTAGTATTTTCTTAAGATATTAATTCTAAATTATTACTTTAAATTCTCTCCTAGTCCTTATTATCTAAAATAATTAAGTCTTTATTATTCTATAGCTTTAATAACTCTATTTATTATTATATAAGGTAGCTATTTCTTACTAATTTTTATTTATTAATATATTAAGTTTTTTATTTACTTATTTTATATTATATCCCTAATCCCTCTCTTACTTATTATAAACTTTCTCCTAAATATTTTTATTTATTATATCCTTCTGTTATATACTATAATAGTTCTTTATATAATAATATTAAGGGGTTAGTCTTATTAAGTATCTTTTATATTTTAGTTAGATTAGAGATTAATAGGCCTATTTTTTATAGCCTAGTATTAAGACTTATTAATATTTATAGATATTATAGATTATCTCTTATCTCTACTTCTACTAATCTTTATTTATTAATAAGATTCTTTAGGTTATATCCACCTAATTCCTATAATATATATATTCTAAGGGGGTAGGCCTTAATTATCTTATATAGTTTAAATTACTTACTCTTAAACTTCTAGAGGCTCTTATTTTATATAAGGATTTATTAGTCCTTCTTAAGATAACTTTTTTTTATTTATAAATCTTAGATTATCCCTCTCTTAATTATATATTCTAATAGCTTCTTATTTACTAATACTTATATATATATTACTCTTATAAGTCTAGTATAATTATTTTTCTTTATAAGTTCTTTTATATCTCTTAATAATCTTAGTTTAATCTTATATAGTAGGTAGAAGAGGCTTTTACTAGTATTTATATAGGTATATATTTATATTATAAATACTACTAAATAAAGATATTTATCCTATAGCTATATTAGTTTCCCTATTAAATATTTTATAAGTATTTATCCTAGAAGTCTATTAAGATTTTTATTCTTTCTATTTATATAGGGGTGGTTTAGTATTATTATATAGTATTTTATTTTTAAGATTTTTATAAAGATCTCTACTATATATAATAGAAGGTTTATACTATTATTAGATACTATCTTATTAAAGGTGCTATACTAAGTGAATATCTCTTTATATAGGAATTTTACTATTATTTTATCTATAGTATATAGAATAGCTTTTATAATAACCTATCCTATTATATAGTTAATAGTAGTAATAATCTATTTATTACTATTTAGTATTACTAGTAGGTATCTAATAAGGTTAATACCCTAGTATTTAAAAGGTTAGATATCTTTCTTTACTATATAGTATTATTATTCCTATTTAAGATATTTCTTTAATCCTTATAATATTTAATAATTTAGGTATTCCTTAATTATAGCTTAGATATTATATTATAGAGAAGGCTACTAGGCTTA